AATAATTTTTATAATTAAATTATTATTATATTTTAAAAAAATAACTTTTAATTTTATAAATTAATTATTTTATATTACTTAAATATATATAAAAAAAAATAATATTTAATTAATATATTTAGTTATAACTTATTTAAATACTTAAAAATTACCGAACTTAAAACTTATTTTTTATTAAACTTAAAACTTATTTTTTATTAAACCCGAAATTTATATTTTATTAAATTTCACCGAAATATTAATTATATAACGTAATAATATTATATATATATAAAAGTTTTTATAATTTATTATTATAAGTTTTATTATTATTTATATTTAATTTACGGAAAATTATATTTAATTTATAATTTAAAAAAATAATTAATATTAATTATAAATTAATATATAAACTTTTATTTAACATATTTTTAATTTTTTTAATTATAATTTTAAGTTTATTAATAATTATATTATTCGGATTTTTAAAAAGTTATAACGTGATTATATAATTATTAACGTTATTATTAACGAAGTGTGAAATTATATTTTCGTTTTTATAATAAACATATAATTAATATTTTAATATATAAAAATAATAATTAAAAAAAAAAACTTACGAAATAATAAAATGAAATTTAAAGTTATTAAATTAAATATTAATATTAATAATATTTATTTTAAACGTAATAATATTTACTTTAAAAGTAATAATATTAATTTTAAAAATGGTAACATTTTTTTTAAAAACGGTAACATTTATTTTAAAAACGGTAATATTTACCTTAAAAATAATAATATTTTTTTTTAAAATCGTAATATCGGCTTTTAAAAATATAACGTTAATTTTAAATTTTATTACGTTAATTTTAAATATAATAATTAATATTAAACGTATAAACATTACTTTTAATAATATTAATATTTATTTTCATTTTTTAAAAAATAATTATAATTTATTAATTATAATTAATTATAAGTAAATTATTATATAATAATAATTCATTTATAATTTAAAACATATATTCCGTTATAATTAAAAAATTAAATTAAAATTTTAATTTCATAATATATATAATAAATATAAAATGAAAATTTAAAAAAACAATATTTAAATTAATAATTTAAATAAATAAAGTTTTAAAAAAAATTATTTAAAAAAACATTCTTATAAAAATAAATAATAAAAATTTTACGCGTTATATTATATTAATTATATTTAAATATTTATTTTTATATTTTTAATTTATAAAAAAAAATAACTTAAGTTTAATATTATTAATATATTTAAAAATATATATAAAATATATATAAATTTAAAATAATTATTATATAAATAATATTTTTATAATAAAAATAATCTTAAAAATTATTATTAAATAAATTTTTAAATGTTTAAACTAAAACTTTTTAATATATATATAATAAAAAAATTTTTACATACCTAGGTAAATAAAAATTATACCATTTAAAATTAAACTAAATTAAGTTTAAAGTTATATATATAATTATAATTATTATATAAATATTTTTAACTTTTATTTTAAATATTATAAATAACGTTATAAATTAATAATAATATAATAAAACATATTATTATAAGTTAAATTAAATTAAATTAAATAAATTACTTCGTATAATATAAAGTTTTTTTTTTTTTTAAAAAAATAATGTAAATTTTATATATTCGTTAAAAATTAAAAAAAATAAATAGTTAAATATTAAAACATTTATAATTAATATTATTCACGTTATATTAAAAAAAAATTTAACGTTAATTCGAACACGTTTTAAATTATATTAAAATTTTATTATATATTTAATTAATTTTAATTATTCGTAATTTAATTTATTCGACGTTTTAATTTTTTTAATTTAATTTAATCGAAAACATTTAATTTAAATTATATATTATTTTTTTTTTAATTTTTAAACTTTTATTTAATTATAATATTTAAAGTTAAAAATTAATTATTACTTTAATCGATTTAAATTAATTTTAATTTAATTTAATTTTAATTATAAAACCTTGATTTAATTTTTTATTAATTTTAATATAATTAAGTTTATTCGAAAACGCATTATAAAAATAATTAAACTATTTTAATTATTAAACTTTTAAAAATGTTTTAAATGCGAAATAATTAATTAAAAATTTAATATTATAAAAAAATATAAATTTTAAAATCGAATTTAAAAATTTAAATTACGATATTTAATTTTTTACTTAATATATATAAAATAATATATATACGTTTTACCGGCGTTTTTCCGGTTTTATATAACGTAAATAATACTTATATACTTAATTATTTAAACTTAATTTTAAAAGCGCGGGAATTTATCGATAAATATTTCGATTAATTAAAAAATATATATTCGAATTTAAATTACATTATTAAAATAATAAAACTTTTATGAAAGTTTAATTTTAATTAATTAAAAAAATATTATAATTTTACATTATTAAATATAATTATAAAAGCCGTATATTTATTAAATATTTATTTATTTTACTACTTTTTTTATTATATTTTTATTTATAAAAATTATTTTACGTTTAATCGAAAAAAAAATTAATAATTAAATATTTATAAAATTAAAATTTAACTTATAAAGTTCCCGTTAAATCCGTAAAAGTTCCGTTAACTTTTAATTTTAAAAATAAAATAAATAAAAAACTTCGTTTATATATATACCGTATTTTTTATAATAAAAATAATTAAGAATTCTTCGCATAATAACGTTATTATTTTTAAATTTTTTAATTTCATTTTATAATTTAAATAATATAAAGTAAAATAAATAATAATACGTATACCCTCGATATAATTAGTTTTTTAATATTTATATTAAGTTTAATTTATTTATTAAATAAACGTATATATATTTAAATATAATTTTAATATTTAACGATAAATAATTATTATTTAAAAAAATAAGTTATAATATTTATTTATAATAATTTACTTATTAAATAATTATATATTTAAAAATTATTCATTTCATTAAAAAATATTTAAAATTAAAAAAACGTAAACTTAAATTATTATTTAAAAGTAAAATTTTAAACGTAAAAAAAGTTTATTAAATATCGATTTCTTTTTAAATTAATAATTAAAAGTTTATAAAATTAAAATTAAATTTATAAAATCTTCGCAAGGATTTTATTTACGATTAATTTTAAAAATAAAATAAATAAAAAACTTTATTTATATATATATCGTATTTTCCATAAAAAAAATAATTAAAAATTTTTCGCGTAATAATGTTATTATTTTTTAATTTTTTAATTCCGTTTCGTAATAAAATTAATTATTATAATTTTTATTATTATTATTATTATTATTACGAAAAAATTATAAAAATATAAAAAATAATATTTTTAATAAACTTAAAAAACGGTATTATATATTAATAATAATTTTTTAAAATAATTAAATTTATATTTAATATAACTTTTATTAAATAAATACGTACTTAATTTTATTAATAATACCGTTTTTTTTACGTTTTTTTTTTTTATTTTTTAATAAAAAAAATATAATATAAACCGTTATAATATATATTTAAAAATATAAATTATTAAATAAATTATAAAAATTTTATATTTAAATATAAAATGTAAAACTTAATTTAATACGTTTAATATATTTTTAATAAAGTTTTAAAATAATTATTTATATAAATAACGATTTTTTAACGTTAATATTAATTATTATTATTATTATTATTTCGTTTAATAAAAAAAAAATTAAACTAAACACGTTAAATTAATAAATAACTTTTTTTAAAAATTAAATATTAACCGTAAAAAAAATAATATCGAAAATTTAAATAATAAATAAAAATATAAATAATAATTAATAAAAATCGTTCGATTTTTATTTAAATATTATTATACTTATAAATTTTTTTAAATATTACCGTATTTTACATTTAAATAAAACTCATTATTAAAATAAAATATATTCATTTTAAAATAAATTAAAAATTTAATATAATAAATATTAATTTCTTTTAATTATTTTTTAAAAATTAAATATTTAAAATAAGAAATTTTATAATTTTAATACTTAATTATATTTATTTAAAAAAGAAAAAAAAATTTAAATATAAATAATTAAATAATTTATTTTTTCTTTAAAAGTTTATAATTTTTTTTATAATAAAATAATTAATTTTATTAATATTAATTTACGTTAAGTTTCGAATAATTATTTAAATATAACGTTAAAATAAGAAAATTAATTAAATAAGTAAATTATAAAATTTAAATATTAACGTAAAATTAAAAAATAAAATAAAAAATAAATAACATATAATATATATTTAATAAAAAGTAAAAATAAATTATATTTTTTTTTAAATTTAATAAATATTTACTTATATAATTTTTACTTTATTTTCTTTTTTATTAATAAACCGTAAAATTTAATAATAAAAATTAACGTTATTTTTTCGTTTTAATTTATTAAATTAAAAACTTTATAAAATAAAAAATATTTTTATTTATAATAAATATATATTTACTTAAATATTAAAAATATTATCATTAAACATTAATAACGTTTTATAAATTATAAAATATAATATAAGTCCCATATATACTATTTATTCATACTATATACATTTTAATACATTAATTAAATTAACAAGTTAACGGATACGGGCTTATGGTCCACCCTACGTAGCATCTTTCACGAAAAAGTTAATACGGTAGGTTTCGGAAGTACCCCGGCTTCACTCGGTCCCGAAGAGCTATAACGGGGATGGTCATAGTCTCATTTAGAAGTCCTTCGGACCTTCCTGGTAAAGCACCTGACCCTTTTAAGGAGGATTTCCATAAGCTTAACTGCCGGAACTAATGCTGCGCGGCCCTTTTGGGCGGACAGCTCTTCGGAAACTACTAACGAGGTAATACTAACACCGACTTCAAAATTAAGTGCTTATCAAGAAGTACTAGGTAAGATTCATATCTCGGCGTCGATTATAAAACGATAGAAAATTACGATTATAACATAATAACTGTAAATTCTGTTTACTGACATACTTACCTATATAGATAGGGCGATGGGCGAGGGAATGTCGAGATTTAACGGTTAGCCTGAAAAAACTTGGTCTCAAAGGCTCTTCGTAACGGAAGTCCTACATAATACCCACAACGGCTAAGACCTGATTAGTTAAAAGTAAGTCAAACTTACGTGAGCAGTCTTCTGCTTATTAGACCCCGCCTATCTAGGACTACTGATCATAGAGATAGAAAATGGGCGTAGTAGGGGTGTTGGGTAGGTATTATGCATGTTAGGCGTGGTTTTTCGCAGCTTCTTGGGGTTCTAACCCTACTAACGTCAAGATTCCCGTGTAATATAAATGCGCCCTAGGGATGCCAATATTCTAAATTCTAAGGAACCTTTCAGATACCATACCATCACAAGCAAGAGATAGAAGATATGGACAACATAGATCGTGACGCCTTGACCTGGCCTTACCAACTAACTAATAGCGTTCACCGAGAACTATATCCTGTCCTGAACCCCTCTAATCCCGAGCTTTCCGCGGACGGTAAGACGGTTCTCATCACTGGTGTTTCCGGTGGTGTTGGAAAGGTAAGATATCGAATGATGGATGTTTCGGTCTCTACGATGCTGCATATTAATCGCATGAGTATAGGCAATCGCGGAAGCTTGGTCCATCGCAGGCGCATCGGCTATCATTCTCACCGGGCGCAAGGTAGATGTATTGAATGAGGTCGCTTCCAAGGTTAAAGAGATTGCCAAAATACCCACAATTAAAATCATTGTCCAACCTGCGGATCTTACCTCAGAGGCCTCGGTGAAGCAGCTTTGGGAGAGGGCAGCAAAAGATGTGGGCAAAATCGACGTCGTCATCAGTGATGCAGGCACTATGAACTGGTTTAGAATCGAGGAGAGAGAACCGTCAGAATGGTGGAACGACTTTGTTAGTTCTTCGATGTTTTCGTATATCAGTTCTTGCAGAATTTTTCTAACTTGTACTACAGGAAGTCAACGTAAAAGGACCTTACTTGATGTGCCACTATTTTCTCAAGCAGGCCAATGGAACGGGCACTTTTATCTTCGTCGGCACTGCCGCTATTGGTACTGCTTTCCCGAATATGAGTTCATATAACGCTAGTAAGATTGCTCAGAATAAGCTGATGGAGGTCCTTCATAATGGTGAGGATATATGACCCTCCTTTAGATACCTAGGTAGGCTATTTTATCTGACTGGTGGTGTTACAACAGAAAATCCCAACATTCGGACCTTCACTTTACTTCCGGGTTTGTTGAAAACTGCGATGACAGCTCAGGATTTTTTACCGTTCGCGCGAGATGATCCAATGCTATCTGGCGGGTTGACTCTATTCCTCTGCACACCGAGGGCAGAGTGGATGCGGGGTGGCATTATGAGTGTCAATTGTATGAATGTACCTATCTTCTTCAAGGCTACAAAAAAACTAATAACGTTATAGGGGATATTGAGGAGATGGAAGCTCACAAAGAAGAGATACAACGAGAAGGCCGGAATAAGATGGCATTCCTCAATGCAAAGCTAGGGAAAGGCGGCCATCCTTGGGAAACATGATGCTAACTTCACTCCCACTAGCGGAAAAGGGGGTGGCGCAAGATGTACCCACCATCATAAAAAAATGCCAAAATTTCGGGCAGAGACAAGCTGTTCATACTAATATTTCGTTTATTGGTACAGAGTATCTATTACACGATCGAATGAATTAGAAATACCTAAATGTATATCTCGCCATCTCGCGTACCTCCAATAGATAGGTACCAGCCGCACAATCAATGCTGGTACTTATATGACGGCGCTCTATCAGAAAATTCGATTGGCTCCGAACTCCTAGTCCCACGAACATCATTTTTGAGCGACTCGCGATTGTAATAGATATGCCTAATTACCATCCAAGTGGAAAATGCGACGCATATCGCTCCAAGACTCCATGCGTGACCCAGAGTGTACGCCGGGGCCATCGTCTGCGGATATATCTGCCCAGAGATAATCCCACCGAGATTTCCTATTGCTAGAGCAAACCCAAGGGACGCCGCACGCTTACCGTCAGGTGCCGAATTGGTCGATAGCCAAGCTATATTCGCACCGCCCATGACCCATACACAAGTAGCAATGATAAAACAAGCGAAGTACTTAACTCCGACAGAAAGGTGTTCGCCGCCTAGAAGAATTGCGTAGCCGATTACACCGAATGGTGCACAGAGCACACAGGCTATAAATCGTCGCGAGAACCGGTCGGATAAGTACCCCACCACGGCGTAGACGAGAGAACCCCAGAAGAACACCGGAATGCTCAGGTATTGAGATTGTTCGACGCTGAAATTGAACCCGAAACGAAGGATAATCGGCAGGAAGACGCTGAAGCCGTACATGACGGTCAAGCACATAACTTGAATGAGTGTGTGCAACCAAGTCTTCACATCTTTGATAGCCATCATGAATTCCGCACGGGTATAATGCCCTTTTCCGCCGCTGTATGCTTCAGTAAGCTCCGCACGCTTCCGCATCACGGCGCGATCATCTTCGTTGAGGAAGTAAGCCGTCGTGTAAGATGACGGAATAATGAAGTAGCAGGCAGCAGCAACGACCACGGTTACAGAGCCCTCGATTATGTACAACCTAACAATATTGTATCAGTGCCAAGTAGCGAGACTTCATGTAGGCGGTGACTCACCATCTCCATCCAGGATATCCCGCCTTCCCATCCATAAATAAGATAGCGTATGCGATCACGCCGCTAAACGCACTTGAAACAGACGAAGCAACTACGCCTTCATGTCAGCCACTACGGTCCGAAAATACCAGAGAGGTCTTAGCAGATCTCACTGAACAGATAACTTATCCTCAACCCAATCTCCTCTCGCTTATACCAATTCGCCAGCATAAGAGTCAGACTAGGCATCAAGAACCCCTCAAACATGCCCATCAACAAGCGACACGCCGCAAGGTCGCCGAAACTCTTCGCGAACCCATTCCCCAGACACGCTAGACCCCAACACGCCGCCGCCGCGGGAATCAAGCGGTGGAAGCCAATGCGCTTGACGATGAGCGCCGCGGGGAACTCCGAGAGGATGTATAGCGGGTAGAAGAGCGAGATGGCGGTATTGAGCTGGGTTCCAACGAGATGTAGGTCCGTGATCATGCCCTGGGTGGCGGCGAAACCAATATTTCCGCGGTCGAGAAACGAGATGAGCTGCAGGATGATAAGGATTGGACAGACGTAGAGATCGAGCTTCGCGACAACGCGGGCCTCGCGACGTTTGAAGTCTGCATCCTCGGGGTCTGTCGCTATCTCGACCTGCTGGAATTGGGAATCGAGATCCGGTTTGGGCGGGAGGTCTTCGGACCCCCGGTGGGCGGTCATGGTGGTGGTGGTGGTGATGGTGGTGCAAGATAGGCGCGATTCGGCGAGTGGATAGATGGATGGCGACGCAGCCAAGCTTTCGTCGAAGGGTTTCAGTCTTCTTTATAAACAAGGGGGCCGCCTTCAGCTACCCCGACGTTCCATCCGGTTTGGTCGGTAATAAACCGTGTCGGCATTCGTGCTATCCAATCTTCTCGATACGCCAAGGAAATACGCACACCCAAACTTCTATACCCCTGGATCGCGGTAAGGGAATGTCTTGAAATTTCGAGATAGTTGCTTCCCGTATAAGGCGTTAGTCAGCTCGTCTTATCCTATAACTTGGGGTGACCCCGCAGGCGAGCCAGGATATTTCGCAAATGACTCCAATAGGATTCACTTCCCGCGAGCTGATGATTTCCCCATGCTCGGCAATCTATAAACTAGGCAGCTGAGGCGTCGGCAACTAATGGGTCTAGTTTTATTCGCTGTATTGCCGCCGCTTAATTGACCTGCGTAGATTGTTTTATATTGCACCCCTTGCCCCCTTTCATGGTGGCTTTGTGTTACTTGAAATTCTAGAGGCGTTTGAATACTATTGCTAAATTGGTACCGGTCGTGAAAAACACCATTATCCTAGTATACACACATAGAAGATAGGCGGACTACCTATGCATCTCTAGAGTCTTGTGATATTGAATAATTGAATTTTAGTTCGGTAAGCCAACTACCTTCTCAAATAACTGGGCACATATACAGACACATAGTCACCAAGCCACGAAACACGGAACGCCATAGGTAGGTAGCCAACAATTCATATCCCGAAATTCCAATCCAAAACCAACACCCGATTCTAAAGTTCATCTATCAAGTCTACCAAATCCGACAATCCACAATGTGACGAAACCATGGCTCAAGCCCCATCTCACCAACCTCCTCACCCACTCAACCTCTCCGCCGCGAAATCCTCCACCTCCTCCGCATCAACCTGAACACCATTAAACTCCGACCTCAACCGCGCAATCGTCCTCGCCAGCTCCCCTCCCTCTTCCACCTGCGGCAAGTCATCGAACGCAGCTTCGACCTCATCAAGCGCGTCCTCCGCACGCTTTAACAAGGATACAAGACGTCCGATCGACCGCTTCGCTCTGCCGCGTTTCGACGTGCTTTCCTCGTCTGTTTTATCGGAGCTTGCGGCTTTAGAAGTCGGTGATTGCGAGGACCGCTCAGAGTCTTTGAATTCGAGGGATGGGAGAAAATGGTCGGAGGGTTCGAATTTAATTATTCTTTGAGGGGTGGATGGACTGCTAGATGAATTCTGCGACCCTTTAAACGAAAATGCGGGGAGGGGTTTCGGTTCGAAGTTGATGTCGTGTCGGAGGGTATATGAGCTTCCCGAACTGCTCGGCGAGGGAGGAGGCATGGGTGCTTTCTGTTTAGGCATCCTCAGGAAGGGGTGGCTCGTCTGCGGAGACTTTGTGGGCTGAGTAGGTGTGTCGCACCGCTCACTGTCGCTTTTGTCCGGGAAGTCAAGAATTGGTTTTAGGTCTCCCGCTGGCGTTTTGGTCCCCGCTCGAGGGGTTTCTGGTTGACTGGGGACTGTATTGTTTGGAATTGGTACGGGCTCCCCTGTTGACGTTGAATCAAGTTTCTTTGATCTAGGAAAATTAGACATCATCATTCTATCAAATCAAACGAATATGCGCCTACTTACCCAAAGCTTGCTTTCTTCAACCTCTCCGCGCCTAGTTCGTCGGCTGTATTCTTAATCTTCCGTCGGACTTTCTCCTCGATTATGTCATAAACATTTTCCCCATGATCGTTGTTGATATCTTCGTATCCATCAAGGTTTAGTTGAACGAGCAACGGAGAGATGTCTGCATTCTTAAAGCCGAGACCGACCGTTTCTAGAAATTCCACGAAATACAATTTCTGGTATCTGTCCCATGAGAATTTGACACCAGATACTAAATTCTTCGCCTTTGTACTTCCCCATACAGCTGAATCAGGTGATCGCACGCGACTAGTTTTTGAATAGACAGTGGACGAAATATTGCCAGATTTTTGAACCATGGTAAGAGGTACGCTGTTAGTTCTCGACTAAAACCTGGAGTACTAAATAATATTAAGAAAATGATTTGAGGAGTTGAAAAATTTCTATGAGGGGCAAAGATGATATAAAAATAGTGAGATACAACATCATCGACAATGTGTACAAAGTTTAAGCTAGGTACTAGGAACTCAACTTAGGCAATTCGTTTGTTTCTAGCCTTATGCAAGGTGCCTCAGGTAGTCTTGCATTAAGGAATATTTTCATATTACCATGAGTCATGTCCATATTTAAACTAGTCGGGGAAAATAGTTGAGACCTCTATAAACTTTGCGAGACTTGCATCTCTATCATTGCTTAGATATGGAATGATGCGCTACCGTACTCTTGCCAACTCGTGATACACACACGATGCAATCGATACAAAATTTATCGGTCCTCGTCCATACCAGTCAGGCTTTTCTAAAATATTAAGTTGCGTACCTAGTATTCTATATAATAGCCTTTGTCCAACGCTGAAGTTGTAGAAGATAAAGGGGTGATGAGTAAGCTAAATATTAGGTAATGAATTATGTAAGGGCAGAGATCAGCGATGAGGCAACGATTAGTAAGTAATGAGTAATCAATTGAATAGATGCATAATAGCTCTAAGTCGATATTATTCTAATAGAAAAAGACAACAGGTTATGGAAATCCTTAGTCAGTGGATCCTGCCCGGTGATTACATAATATCTCAATCAATCAGATTTTCGGATTTTTAATAAGATTACGTAATAGCGTGCACACGTAATCATTCCCACCCCTTTCCAAGGTCATTCTCATCTTTTTATCCTTCTCATGATTTCTGGTCAGCTCATACTAGCGATAACACCACAACATGCAAGTTGAGATCTACTGCCATGGCACCTGGCACGAGTAAGACTAAAGTCAAAACAGGGTGTCGCACATGCAAGTAAGTCGATAAATGCAGTATACTCTCTTAGTCACGTGGCTGACCTTATGATAAAAGGATCAGGAAAGTCAAGTGTGATGAGAGCTTCCCTTCTTGTAAAAGATGTCTCTCTACAGGTCGCATCTGCGAAGGGTATGGGATATGGGGAGGAGGGACCCGTTCTAACCCCACTTCTTCTATTAGCCCTCATACGAAAAGCTTGGAAAAGGTCATATTCGCTCCAACACCGATAAAAACTGCGACCAAAGAGGAAAGTCGGTATCTCGAGTGGTTTACGCATCGAAGCGCCTTCAAACTTCCAGGTATCTTTCGACTCGAATTATGGGACAAGCTTGTCTTTCAGGCTGCCTCGACTGAGCCAGCTGTTCGGCACGCAATCCTCGCTTTAGGCTCCGCTCACAAGAGAGAAGGCCGTGCCAACATTTCAGCGCCAGGCAGCGCCCTGGACAAAGAAGAGCATTTTACACTACAACATTATAGCAAGGCGATCACTCACCTTCAACCACATTTTTCAGCCAGAGATAATTCCTCAATTCGCGTTGGTCTGCTTACATGTTTAATTTTCGTAATTATGGAATTAATCCGAGGGCATTGGAAGACAGCTATCGCACATCTCCAGAGTGGATTGAAACTACTAGACGAATTCCAAGCCCGATCAAGTGAAGTTGATGGTTATAGCCTCTTCTTGGAGCCGTGTCATGCTTCGGTGGATTCTTGGATTATCCAAGCATTTATCAGACTTGACGTCCAGACAAAGCTTATGGGTCAAAACTCACATTCCTTGAACATGATTCACGAAGATTGCAATTCTGAGATTCCAATCCATAACCTAACTTTTCAGTCCGTACATGAAGCAAGACAGCATCTAGACCGTTTGCTTGGTCAAATCCTGTATTTGAGTCATGAATATCGTTCTCAAGTAGGATATCAAGTCAAAATCAATCTGCAGCGATTTCTTATCAGGCAACGACGTATCGAGGCTAAACTTGGTTCATGGTATCAAGCATATAAGAATTTAAAAGCAGTTCTAGCAGCCGAAAAAATCAGCACGACTACTATAGCCTTTACAATACTGTACTTATACTATCTCATGGCTGGGATAATGGTTGATACATGTCTCCGGCCAGCAGATCAGTTAAGATACGACATCCACACAACATCCTTCCTTTTAATGATGGAGCAGCTAAAATTACTTCGATATCTCACATCTTCAGCGCCTTTAGACAAGGAGTTGCACTTACCAAACATGACTAACACTATATCAGACCTCGGCGCATTTCCAGCGCTCTTTTGCGTGGCCATTAAATGTCGCGTGAGCTGGATCAGACACGACGCTGTTGGCTTCCTGAAAAACTTAGCCCACAACGAAGGGATTTGGAATGGTCCGTTGATAGCAAGCATCGCGGATGAAGTAGTCAGAATCGAGGAGGGTAGCTTTTACGAAGGTTCTAGTGCGGTCGAACAAGCTTCTTTCTACGGCGCCTCCAATAAACTTGACGTCCTACAACCAACGCTACCCGAGTCACATAGGATGCATGATGTTAAAATAGAGCTACCGGAAGATTATGCAGGGACGGTTACACTAAAGTGCACGCGGGTATTAGAGGACCATAGCCAAGAAGTGATTACTAGAGAATTTGTATACAATGAATCAGCTCGCCGTTGGGTAGTCAAGGATGGAGATACGTAGAGCATTATCAATGATGAACAAGCTTCCTTTTAATCTAAATGACTGGCATGGAGTAACGCGCAATTCTAGCCATGATTGGTTTCCATATTCTTACGACATTTGTTATTTAAGGAGCTCCCTTACGCGGCTTGCTCAAATGAGAAATGGAAATGTCCTACTTGGTCATTGTAGATTCATCTAGAATTTTGAGTCGTATGCAGATGCAAGCCTTACTCTAGATCCTCCCCGGAATTCAATTTATGCTAATATCAAATTTCTGAACTCGGCCGAGCGCGTCGGCGTTTCAAATTTCAGGTACCTAACTAAGCGACAGGATCTTCTTCTAGCTCTCACATGATATTAACCTGGAAATTAGAAATCGAGGTTGGAAATCTCACCGACATTACAATCACATAATTAGTTCTTCAAATTGAGTTACTTACCTACCTACCTAGGTACCTACCATACTACCTACCTGCTAGATAATAAATGCCGGATGCCGAGGGCATTTAGTTAGCATTCTCGTCTCCACCTAGGCACTTAATCAAGTTGGTACTGCCGGTTTCCAAGAATCAACGGCTATGCCAAGATGGTCTAGCTGAAAATCATGATCGCCTCCCGCACGACAAGCCAAATTGATCATAGATCGAGCTGCATGAAATAGATTAAAATGATAAGATTATCTTGGTCCGGGGAGACCCGCCTGATCGTAGCCAGGGAATATTGCCATCATACGAGTTGTAAGACTGAAGCTCTTGTGACATTCCTCTTAGCACCAACATGGTCTTGTTAAGTCTCGCTAGGTCTTGCATAGCTCTTATGTGTCAGTATTATCGGGCATGGAATGTCAGGCTGACGAGAGGAGATGACAGCATCAATCCTGCCCGACTGACCGACAACTAGGGACAACTACCGTAGCGGCAAAAGGGGTATTTTTACAATTATTCTTATAAAATAATTATTCTTTTTACAAGAATATTTCCACTAGTCTTAAGTACCTTCCCATACAAATTTGGTGGCAAGGTACATCGAGAGAATCGGTCATGTTTAAGAATCATTCTAAAGCCATAAAATACATGCGAATAACCTCACTTTTCCTGAAATATTTTCAGAATCATTCTTTTCTCTTCAACCATTCTATCAATAACAACTATTCCTTCGAATATTGCTAGAATCATTCCTTAGATCGTAATCAAATCAGTAAATAATAAAGAATCATTCCTTAAATCGTAATCGAATTCATCAACAACACCTATTCCTTCAAGTATGATTCCTTAGATTGCAATCGAATTAATTATAAATAATTATTCTACCTCTTCATACTTTCTGGTACTTTCTAAGGTTCTAAATAACCTCACTTTCTTCTAAAGATTTTATACCTAAGAATCATTCCTTGAACTTCAATCTATTCAATCTATTCAATATATTCAATATATCCAATCTCCCTACCTTACAAAATACGTATGCGATCTATTCGATCAATTCAGTCAATTCGATCAGTTCAATCAGTTCAATCACCTACCTACCTTAGTAAATACGTATTCGATATATTCAACCTATTCAACCTATTCGATCTATTCGATCTATTCGATCTATTCGATCTATTCGATCTATTCGATCTATTCGATCTATTCGATCTATTCAGTCAATTCAGTCAATTCAGTCAGTCAATTCGATCAGTTTGATCAGTTTGATCAGTTTGATTTATTCGATTAATTCGATCTACCTAGAGCCTCGTACCTGACCTTCCTACCTTTATTTTGGCGATACCCTCATTACTTCTACCTAGTATCTGGCAGAATACCTACCGCCTTCGTTACCTTCCCTTCTATCTCGTACCTCTTACCTATCTATTTACCTGCCTTCCCTTGCCAATCTTTTTATTTCTTCATCTTTTCATCTTTTTATTTCTTCATCTTTTCATCTTTCAATCCTTCAACCTTACAAAATATTCAATCAAGCTATCGCGCCATACCAACCCAGGTACGTACGTAGGTATTATATCAATCTTTCAACCTTTGAATCTACTAATATAAGTAATAAATATACTAGAATATCAATCGCGCGATCGATAAATTTACCTAAGTAAGTACGTATTAATCTTGCAATCATTCAATCTACTAATCTAGGTACCTATTTAGCAAGCAAGCAAGCAAGCCAGCAAGCAATCTTTGAATCATTCAATCAAGGTGAGTACGTATTAATCTTGCGATCGTTCGATCTACTAATTTACCTACCTAGCAATCAATCAAGCAAGCAATCTTTGAATCATTCAATCAAGGTATGTACGTTTCTATCTACGGATATATCTTCCAATCGATTAATCTCATATACCAGTATACCAATCTTCCAATCTTTCGATCTACTAAGGTACGTTTCAATTTATAAATCTATTGATCAAGCAGTCGACTAATGAAGCAATATACCAGTATTCAATCGAACTGAATAGTAGAATCGAACTGAATCGCAGAATCGAACTGAATCGAAGAATCGAACCTATTACAGTTATAATAGTAATACAGGAGATCTTATAATGCAACTTCTAAGTTGAATTACAAGGTCTAAATAATAGAATCATTCTATCAGTTATGAATCATTGCTTCCAATTAAATCATTCCTATGCATGTAACAATTAGAATCATTAGATCGACTGTAGAATCATTGCATCGATCGTAGAATCAATGTATTGAGTGTAGAATCATTTCTTCCAATTAAATCATTCCTATGCATGTAAGAGTTTGAAGCTATTTAGAATCATTCTCATAAGTGGGATGTTCCCACTACGGTAGGTATCCATTACTTAACGACCTTACCGCAAAAGAGTACCGGCACTACGCTGCTAGTTTCTCCACGCCGCTAGATCATCCCACATAAACAAAACAAAACTAATAAGTTAGGCTTCAGCCAATTAGAGAAGATACCTGCCTCAATAAGAAATAGTTTATAATATCAGGAAATATCTTATATGATATAAGCCACAATCCGCTGTCCGCTGTCGCTCTACAGCTTCAGTTCGGCGCGGAGTAATTGCGGATCGCTTAACCTTTCTTGGGAGGTTCTCGCATTAGGGAGTCGTTGGTAAGCACGAGAGTAGAGCCGAAAACGCATGACCTAAGCAAGATTCCCGTCGAAACAGCTTCCCATTTCTCGAAACGGTCCGGATCCGTACCTAGAGGGGAAGTCGTGGGTATCATGGGTAACAAAATACAAAACCAAGAAAAAAACAAAAAAGCTTGCCCTTCGCCTTACCCGCTGGGGCATGCGACGGGGGGGCGGTAAGCCCTCAAATAGGGTAAAGCGGAATTATGATTTCCGAATATTACCATCCCACATAGTCGCTCCCGCTAGATCTAAGATCGGGAAATCAACTTGCAATGCGACACAATCATGCTTAGCAATTGCTTACGAGGTTCGGAGAGCTGCAGCATATCGTCAAATTTGGAAGGAAATTGACCGAATGTGTTAGCCATAGGTGAGGTTCCGCCGCATCGGGTGATCCTTCAGTCTAGGTCCACACCCTAAGGCGAATCCTCTGCCGGCGCACATATATATAGGGCCTGTGAAGATCATCACTCGATCGTCCCTCAGCTCGATACCTTACCTTACCTAAGCCACTACCACGCGACATCAGCTACATAGCTACTACATATTACCCGCACAGCAATCACAGCTTTAGCGTCAGTACCACCAACAAGCAGCAGCTATGAAGTGCACATCCTACATAACCCTAGGCGCGCTATTCGCCGCCATCACTGTCGTGGCGCAGGACTTCTCAGGGTCCGGGCAGATCTTCATCCTCAACAGCACGAGCCTCGGGGGCGCTACACCGGCAGACCGCGTCGGCTGCCTTGACTCCACCGGCGCTGTCACGCTGGACAACTGCGCGACCTTCACCAAGCTCAGCTCCTATCCTCTGACCATCTCCAGCGAAGTCGGAAACTGCACCTTCGCCGACTCCAGCCAGCCCGCCAACACAGACAACGTGTACGGCGCGAACTCGTACGCGTGGCACTGTCTAGACGACTACGCCGCAACCACCTCCGACCAGCTCTACACCGTCAAGGTACGTTTGCCCATCCCCTATCCATATCATCCTAACCCCCCTCCCCCCAAATTCCGTAATCTCGTACTAAGCAGCGAAACGAGACGCGCTCGAATGAAACGAGAGAAGAGAGAAAAAAAGCTAACTCGAAACCAGGGATTCACCTACCCATTCCTATGCCACGGCGACATCGACTGCTACTACGACATCAAGCTGATCCCCAGCAGCGATGCCACCGCGCCGGTATGGAGTTACGTCTGGGGCTCGCGGCAGACGTCCGTTCCGGCTGGTCACACGAAGGTGATGTGGTACTGGAACAAGACATCCTAGGTTGATAGCACATACCTAACTAGGACTGGAACGAGCGAACGAAAAGAAGCCTGGTCAAGACGCCACCGATACTAAGAAGGAAATGCTAGGGTTCCGCAACGGGAGGGTATTGTCTGTTTTGGGAAACCGGTGTATGGGAGGTTTTTTAATGAACTTGTGTTATCCGGGTAGGTAGGTAGTATTATACATACATACCCTGCCTTTTTAATCAAACGAGCCATGAACCAAAAAAAGAGAAATTTTTTTTAAAAAAAGTCGACGTCGCACCTACGAGGTTGCTTTGCTTCCGCACCGTGGGGTAGCATTGGTCCCGTGTCTTGGTACCGCGTCTATGCCGGATGGGACTGTTGACTGACATCACCCCTCCATCATATAGTATACCTTGTATTAGACGCCATCGCACGGCCGTATTCGGCAGATTCTGTTCGCTACCGTGTTTTGTTTCACTGTAGATTATGCTGATAGGGATATGGTATCGTAGCTTCAATAAAGAAGGTGACATAGGCACCAGCGATAGAAGGGAAGGACGGTAACTGCCACTGCCAAGCCAAGACACACTTTCCAAACCCGTCCTTAGCCGCTAGCTAGCATAGCCCGGCAATTGACACGTGAAAAAGGGGGGTTGGAGAACGCCACGATAATCTACCGCCGGCATGGTCGGGATGGGGCACATGTGGGATCCATGTGAACTAGGTTAGTCAGATGGGTGACAGCTGGTGGGTACGCGTCAAGACGACGATCACGGCCAACACTACTTTAACAAAAGTTATTGTATACGTAAGCTCCCAACCAAAACTCTTCAAAATTCGGTCTAATATAAGTATCCTCCAATTGGAAATGAAATATCAGTATAATGATATTTTGCCTTCCCCAATTCGACCTCAATAGCACCGCTCTACTGAACAAGGGTAATAGGTTACCTCCCGACGTAGGTTACTAAATGGAAACAAATATTTTCCAGAGATTCAGTGGTTTTAATACACAATTACTACTAACCGTTGGGGCAGTAAGACATTAGAAATGAGATGGAGGTTTTTTTATATGCCGGTGAAGATTAGGGGGGTAAATTCCCCTATTTGAGTTGATGACTAAGCACAGTCAATCCTCTCTATTCCTTTCGTGACCTAGATCAGTGGAATTGCGCCCAGAAATCATCGCCACAATATGCAACGCCGATTTAAGCTTAGACATAGTTTCCAGCGTAATCCTATGATTCTAAGATATACCGACCTTTGGTGGGAGGATGCCGTATTACGGTAGTTCCACCTGTTGGTGACGACTTACGTAGCCTGGTTCGTAGAGTGGTTCCACCAATTGTGTTTGTCGATGACATGATAGTAACGATGCCAACACCTATGTCTGACAGTCTACCGCAGAAATATCAATAAATCTGTTATCCGAAGACTCATTATCAGGACGCACAACTCGGAAGTTCCCGATTTCCATGTGGGACTAGGTAGTACGTAACTCAGCCGACGTAAATATTTCAATACCTTGAGATATTCTCTTGGCCTTCAAAATGACAGGAGTGAGCTCTACGTAATTCATGACTTAGTCCCTCTAACCATTACTTGATATTGAACTTGAACCTACTACTGTATGACTTGATACTACCTAAAATACCTACTTACATAATCTTTTAATCTCTCATATTGTAATCAAATACAATGTTTTTTCCAGGAATTATGTAGGAAGAAAAATCTAAATGTTCATCTTTCCATAAAGCGGAGAGAAAGATGATAGCTGCATTACCCCGACCAGGCTGCACAACATGGCGAAGTGCCTCATTCCCATATTCGTGTGTCATTCCAATATCTTCTTTCGAGGTGAACGCCACAGGCTCATCTCTTGCCAGTTTACCCGCCAATTCGAGTACATTCGCCAATACATCCCATTGGACCTCTACGTCAAGACAGTTTCCCTTCTTATCGTAATTCTGCAAACAAAATATTTCAAACCGAAAGCTATTCGCGCTCTCATCTCCGTGCTTACGTAAGGTATGACGTATCCTATCAACATCGTTGTTGGCATAGTCATGGTTTGAGAATTGATAATTAATAATGAAAATAAACGCAATGGTCCATAAGGGCCAAGAGAAAGAGTATTTCCTCCCCGTAGAAGCTTCAATGCGAATCGGGTGGTCCAGTATTTCGTCACTAATGATGTGTTTGGCGGCGGACACCCAATCTTTTCTACCTAAGGCGGCGAGCAGCATAGCTGGGTCATAGGCCTCAGATACCCGAGGAAGTTGAATACTCGCGTTGACAAAATTTGAGTAAAACTCGAAACCTTTCGCATTGGAACGAAGACAATCTTCCCAACTCAGACCTAACGTTGCGTCGGGATGGTAGGTTTTTAAGGAGAATAGAAACCATGGCCACAATCGCTGGATTTCAACTTGTATTTTGTGGCAGATTATATCGTTGATATGTTCAGGGAATAGTCTTTCTAGATAATTCAAAAAGTTTATTGTATTTGAATTATCACCGGTTAATATTGCCCTAAATCCATGGATAAGCTGGGCAAGAAGGATTCTTCCATATGGATAACTTGAGTTAAAACGGGGAAACGGTTCTTCGAAGTTTGACATAACTCCTTCGTGTTGGAGAAGGAAGTCTCGAGCCGTCTTATGTGAGAATTGAATAGTACGATTGAACCAAGGCTGAAGAAATGATTCCCTTTTCCTATTAGTTGGGCTGAACTCAAGAAATCCTCGCGTTAGACCATCCATTTTCTTTTCCACATTTTCTATTTTTTCCGTATATTCCATCTCGTCATAAGGGAAATACGTATTGATTTTAGGAAAGTCTGGATCCTCTATCCCATCATTTCCCCATCTGTCAAGCCAGGAGAAGACAATTGCGTCCAGGTCTTCATTTGTTGGGTTCCGTAAAGCAAGGAGGAGCATTTTGTTCGACATTTCTTTGTTTAGCTTACTCCTTTCTATCGGTTCACGTAACTTAGAGTATAGCAAATTCAACTCTTTGGGGATCTCGGCCAGTTTCTCCTGCAGGATATGGTATGGGTCGCCTTGACGAAGAGCTAAGAGGATAATGTCGACAACGAGGCGAGCCCATAAGAAAACACCCTCGGAGTTTTCGGTAATATCATTAATTATGCTCATATATGATTGTTTCATCTTCTTCGCTTCACGGTCGTGGCTGAACCGATTGACGCAATAGGTCCAGATATCAAATCGGTTCAGTAAATGTAAATGTAACCTTGGAATCTCTGAAGATCCTAGGACGTCGTGGAACTCTTTATATGGCCGAGAAGATGCACAAACTTTGACATTACCCCCTTCTGTCCAATATTTTATTTTTTGGGCCAACTCTTCATGGACAAGTCTGTTACCGTCGCACTCATCAAGCCCATCAATAAAAAAACACACCCGATAATGAGAATGCCGAGATTTGCGTATAAAGGCCTCAAATGCCCTTTCGAGATTCGGTTCAGATGAAAATTCCTGTTCGAATAGATATTTATATTCGTGATGACGGCGGTTGCTATTCATCAAGAACTCCGCCAGTGTGCGAGGTATCGGTCCTCCGATATTCCTCTCGGTTTCTGGGATATCTCTATAGAGTTTCTCCCATTCGCAGGGGAAGATTAACTTGATCATTTCCGGGCAGCGACTTAAAATCGCAAACAAAAGGGATCTATAAAGGCCCCCGAGTGACATTTGTAACGTAGTCCCAGGGTTCCAGAAATAGAACTTTCCTATGATAAGAGTTTTCTCCCCAGCCCATTTCTGGAGTTCTTCCCGTGATTTTTCATGGGAAGCAATGAATTTCATCAAGGTTGACTTCCCCGATCCAGCTTTTCCCGAGACGTGAAGGATATTGTGACCATGATTCAACCAAGAGAGAAATTCATGACTCGCCTCTTTTCGGTGCTGCTCTAAAACGCCCTTCTCATACTCGTATTGACGAATAGTGACGTTTTCGGTTACTGTGCTGTGAAGACTGTTGGAATGACCCGGAAGATCATAACCGAATATCCACCCGCATGTGTCTTCATTTGCCGTATGGATCTGCTCGTGTCGTAGACACCTGTCCTTGAAGTTGAGCTTTTGTAGAATATAATTCTGCGCACTAATCTCATTATTCTTTTCTTGAATATCACGGATCAGAGCTAATGTTCTAGTAGTTAAAACAGCATCAAACTGGACGTATTCTTTAGATACTCGAATGAGCTCATCGCGGAAGGTGTCGAACTGTTTTGGGAATTCAATCATGAGATGTTTACAAGTTTCTTCCACGGATCTAAGATGTTTTGTCATCTGAGAACTTTCGTCTCTATGCGAAACCGTCAGAAGAAGTTCAATTATAATGAAGGAATCCGTGAACGTACTGAAGCATCAACATAAAATGAAGCATTATCTGCGACTGGTATTCTCGCAATCTATCCTTTGATTTCTTTACATCTCCACTAGTCTTCCACATCTGCCAAGATTTCTTCAAGCTAAGAAAGAACCAATATTTTTTCTGTCGAGCTCTAAACTTCTCTAATAAGCCTATCAATGTCTTTGATTCTTCAAAGCAAGCATCGGCGATCTCTCTGATATGTTTCTCTGGGCCGCTATCCCCTGGGAAGTCTGTTTTCAGGTTTGCAGAAACTACCTGTAACTGTTTCGCTACTTTGATGTAGGCATTGTTGTCAATTGTTCCTAGAGGATTTTGATAAACTTCTGTAGCGCCTGTGACAAGGCTCCAGGAGAAGTCAATGAATGTGATGATAGCAGAGACAACACTGAGGATCGATACAGGATCCATAACTCATTACTAGGTAGGTAGTCTGTAAAGTTCATCCATAAAGGAAATGACTAGTAGTCTCGTAGTTGAGTTCCATAGGTGAGAAATGAGAAAACGGAAAGAGCGAGACGTCTATTTTCAGGTAAAATGAATATTTTCAATGACTCTGCTTATTCTAAATTTTGATTGGAAATTGGTACTTAGGTACCAAAGAGGCTGGGTTTAGGCCCCCCTTTTCTTCTCACGCCACGTCACACTTATATTCATTATTTGAAGCCTCGACCAGGTGCAGGTACCTAATCCTATGTACCCTACCTACTAGGTACTTAAGTAGGTACCAGCGTACATAATTACATATATACCTACCTATGTATATATACATATACCTAAGCACTTAGGTAGGTAGGCATATATGTACCGTAAAGTCTATCTACTGCAGGCATGAGCTTCTAGATCGCACAAGCTTGCATGTCTCGAGCGCAGCTCACCTCAATGGCCGAGTCCCTTAACCTAGGGTACTCTATTATTCACTTACCATCTGTTTATTGATTTTATGTGCGGGGGCGACTTGCTATTGGCTATACCTATACTCCCATGTTGGCGGTCTTCGGTAGTAGGTAGGTACCTATCCTATTAGCACTCCCGATTTTCTTAACGTCGACCCCTCACATAGGTATTAATGCAGTGCATATCTCCAAAAAGAAAAAGTTATTCACATGATCGCAGCCATAGCCACGATATACCTAACATAGTACACACAAACCTGCCACATACAAAAAACTCGCGCATAGCGGCAGGCTACAGCCTCATCTGCTACATTGGTATCCGTTATGCTAAAGCTCCTCCTCGTCCAGTTCATTGGGTTTATTGGTATCCCTTACCATGCAAGTATTCATATCCCCCAACCTACCTATTGAACTGAACCTGTGCATATGCGTATCCTTCCAAAATCCTCTCCTAAAATGCAATGTGTCTCTTCTCTTTGTAATAGTCTTGGTGGTCGTATAAAACATCGGGGTGATATCGTCCTCGTTTCCATATGAATTCTTAGAGTTTCTTTTCACCAATGCAATCCTCATTCATTGTAAACATTTGTTTCGAACCTCGTTGTTCTTGGTAGTGTCCCTTATTATAAGGGGTAAATAATAAGGCATGACTAAGCGCCCCACTTTTGCTTGCCCTCACTAGGGGCGCGGCTTCGTCGCTGTTTTCCGGACGTAGATCGGGTTGATGAACTAGCACCGGTGGTAGCGACATTTCCCGACTCTGATACAGATAGTCTGTTCGCGTGTCGTCGGGGCACCTCTGCGGCGCCTTCGATGTTTTCCTTATTGGACATCAAACTTTCGCTTCGGGATGCACCCGTAGGGACGCCTAAGCTAGGTCGGGAGACGTAGATGCCTGGGGTTCTTGGTGCTCTGCTCTTACTAGAAGTTAGGCTACTCCCTGCCTGTATATCACCACTTGCTCGGCGGGGGATACTCGCTTGTGCACTGGCGTTGTTAGCGAGATCATCTCTACTTCTAGGACGGTATGCAACATGATCGCGTTCTGGGGCGAGAGAAGCAGCCGATCTTCTAGAGCTTGATGCCACCTCAATGAACGCGGCTGATTGCAAGTGGGCGTGGGAGCCGCGAGAGGCTTGAGTAGGCGTAATAGGCATGGAGGTAGAAGAATGGAGGGAAGGGGGTGTATATATGCGCCTCCCCCCAGATCGTGTGCGGTTAGAAGATGCAGTCGGTGGCGCCGACGTGGGCACGGCGAATTGATCCGGAGTCCCATCTATAAGGGCAACCAGATCAGATGCTAAGTTTCTCACTAGTACAGCTGAGTCCTTTTCAGCAAGGATTCTAATAGCATCCACTAATGATCCGAGTTGCTTGTTTCTCAGGTCTGCAAAGTAATCGGATTCCCGTGCTTCGAGTATGTTTCGAACAAGACGTAGAAGGTTCAAACGGACAACGGCCTTCTTGTGGGAAAGCTTCTGCGCTATTCCCGAATACATCGCCGATTTGGCCAGTGATGAGGCCAATGATGGTGATAGACGAAGAACCTTTAACAAAGGTTCTAAGAGATTAGAGTCAAATGCATTGATCTTGTGCGTATTAAAACAAGAAACAATTGCGTCGGTGAATTGACAGTTAATAAGGTGGCCTTCGACCTTGGCGGTCTCTTCTTGCAACCTAGTCGGAGGGTTAGCGAATTTGAACCTTTCAAAAAGTACGAGAATAACATACCAAACGAAAATAGCGTCCAGTGCTGTAACCTGCCAATACTGGTCTGCCAAAAGAGATATATAGAAGTCCAAGCCCCTATTTTGCCATAAGAAACGGCGGCCTTTGCTTCCTGAATGGGCCATGTCGCATAGAATAGGCAGGGCGAACTCCTTCGGGGGTCGATCTGTCTTCATAATCTCTAATAGCAAAGGAATAATTCCATTGACAGCTGCATACTCTTGGCGATCCTTGCTCAGACGACAGAGATTGAACATTGTATTGAGTACCTGGTTCGAAATCTCGCGGAAGTGAGGATGGCCATTCTTCATGCTATTGCTTAATAACTCGATAAGGAGATCGATCGCATCTGCCGCATGGAGAGCTTCGAGAGTCGTTGATAGCATGGAAAGATTCTTGATGAATTTCAACATAGTAATCTGATGAGCGGGCGTCATACGTCGTAGATCCTTTAGAATGCCTATCATTTATTAGCTTGAATCGTAAATATTTCGCAAATCACTTACTCTTCAAGACTTGTCGATCAGCCACCATCTCTTTGACATAATTCTCAGCCTGTGAGAAGAGATAGAAGATGTTTACTATACGACCTTCAATCAATTCTGTGAGCTCGTTCTCAGAATCCTCGTCAAGGACGCGATGGAGAACTAAAGCAAGAGGATCCAAGATCTTGCTTCGAGAGAATATCCGACAGAAGTCATTCTTTGGGGTAGGTCCCTAAACATAGGTGTCAGTACTAGGTGGACATATATAGTATGGGAAAAACGATGGCAACAAACCTGAAGCTCGAATACACTCCAGATACCATTGACTCCGATAAGCACAAGGTCTCTTGCACTATCATAGTCTTCGTCCAAGAACTCCACTAAAACGTTGAGACCGCCAGCACTAACGAACATTTGCAATGTTAGGGTGGATGTTTGGTACATCTGTCTTACGAAGGCTGCAGCCTCTAAGCGGATTTCATTAGAGTACTGCCGGGCTGCAAATTTCGTGATAATCGGAATGCCGCCAACGAAACATAAGTTCTCTTGAAGTTCGATGTCATCTAGAATAATCTAGTTCAAGGTCAGCGATTAGTATTACAATTATAAAAATTCAATCGTCATACCGTATTGACAACTTGCAGCAGTTGCAAGATCATTCGCTGCTTGCTCTTGGCGGTACATGGCTCAAGAATCTCGAGAATAGGAAGTAATCCATGAGCACTGATGATGAGATTCTTGACCTCTCTGTGTTCGTAAAGCAATCCTAGCTAAACCCGGGTATCAGTATGTTTATATCTATCGAATGAAGAGATTAATGGATACTAACCAAGTCTCCTGAAAGTTCAAGAAGTGTATCCTCACCCTCGGTCGTCTTGAGCGAACCGACGAGTTCTTCGATCTTCTCGGCAAGTCGCGCGGATCGGTCGCGAGCGATGTTTGCTTCTAAATCCATCTCGTCCCAATCGGGATCCATAGACGCGAAAGGGTCGTCCTCGTCCTCGTCGTCGCCGAGCCAAGAGTTACTAGATAATCGCGACAGGACCAAGTTGCCGTCTTCGGATCCTCGATCACTCTCTTCCTTTTCGGCCAAATTGCCACCTAGTCCAAAGATATCCGAGAAATCCTCGTCTTCTTCGTCCTCGGCAAATTTCTGGATCTCAATTGACGAGTTCGACCTTTGCATAGGACGGTCGGGAAGAACTGATGGTCGCGCCGAAGATTGCCTTCTCGAGGTTCCCGAAACGGGTGATTGCATAGATCGCGGCAAACTAGTAAGATCTGAAGGGTGGAAAAGTTGAGGTGTCTCAGGCTATAGAATTAGAGGTGAGCGACACAGTGTTATGGAGCAATGGAGGGCCACAAATATGCCCAGTTAATTGAATACGTACCTTTTTCGCCAGATTTAATCGTTGGTTAAAAACACTGTCATTGTCATCGAAGAGATCCGAGTAATCTTCGATTGACTGTTCTCTAAACACTAGATCGGGGCGCGATGGAAGTTCGAACTTATTCCCACCAAGTTGGCTCTTGGGTTGGGATTTCTCCCTCTGGTGGCCATTCGTCGATCTTTTGCGAGGGGAGGACTTCGATTGTTGAGGCTTGGAATCCGCCTTCTCAGGCTTGGGTGTCATCTTCCAGTTAGGTCTGATTGTCTTCTCCTGTGGATCCTCCTCTTGGATCGGCGGCACCTTTTTCATTGTCATAAGTTCTCCGTCATAGTCATTGTCCCAATTAACAGAAATATCACGCGAATTATCCATAGACGCGAAAGCTTTCAGACGGTCGGCGGAAAGCAACCCGCCAAAGTGATCCTGAGGTTTCATAGGAAGTCTCAAAGCATTCGGCGAAAACGTTGTAGCAAAATCATCGTCCCAATTATCATCATCTAAGAAACCAACGTAAGTAAATCGCTGGCTAATAAATTTATAGAAACTAATACATATGAGCGCATACCTGCAAGTTCAGGAGACCGAAAGTCCTCGGCGGTGAGCTTTGGCTTTCCGAGAGGAAAGGGCCCTTTGGCGGGTGTCGGCATGTTGGACCTAGGCTGATCTTGAGATGTGAATCGGGATGTTGGGTGACCGTGATGCAAAGGCAATGAAGAATCGGATCCTCCAGAAGCTCTCAGGTTGGTTTCAGAAGATGTGAGAGCTTTATTCCATTGTTTAACTTCTTCGACCGCCTGACTGAAGTTGCCAGGTGCTTTGGCCACCGGAGCGTCACTCCGACGGCAGCCCACAATCCAATTATGCTTCAAAAGCTTTCTTGCGGAGACACGTAAATTGGGGTCCTTTTGGAAGCACTGTATGAGAAAGTCACGCGCCGCCTAGAGCACAGTTAGCCTCAATTCTAGTAGTCGTGGGGCCAACTGTGTGAGAATTACGAACCGAAGATACACCTTCAGGAAGAGGCGGATGATCATCGTTGACAATAGCAAATAATGCGGGCATTGCCTGGAGATGGTAATATGGAGGTTTGCCAGATAGCAGTTCAATGACGGTGCATCCCAAACTCCAAATATCAGAAGCCGGCGTGGCACCAGATAGCTCAATTATCTCGGGGGCCATCCAATACGGAGTTCCTACAACTTGAGCTTCCTTATCGGGTCCGGCGAGAGTACTAGTCGATACGCCGAAATCTGCCAGCTTGACTTTGCCATCTTTAGTCGTTAATATGTTGGCGCCTTTGATATCCCTATGAATAACACCTTGGTCGTGTAGGTACTGGAGACCTTGGAGGACCTGGGTCATGTAAACTCCAACCAAATTCTCTGGGAACTTTCCGTACGCCTTGCATATCGAGTGTAGAGAACCATTTTCACAATACCTAATATCCATGGACCCGTCAGTATATTGGGTATGCTCGTAGGTAATGAGTATAGAACATAGACATAACGTACTCTAAAATAATATTGAGGCAGTCTGTCGATTTGACGAACCCAATGTATTTAACGATGTTATCGTGCTAGGCAATGTTAGTTCTCAAGAACAGGCAGGTCTAGCAATAATGACCTTGTCAGCAGGAAGAAGGTGTTCCTTACATTCAAATTCTTCAAGAGGTCGATCTCGGCCTATATCATCCACATTAGTCTCCCTGTCCATGTATGTATATGTGGATGTGTTATGCCAGTATACCTCAATCATTCGAAGTTCACTCTTTGGTAAGTTCACCAACTTGATCTGTTTGACAGCCACGGCCTCGCCGGTGCCCCAATGGATGGCCTTGTATACGGAGCCAAAAGCCCCTTTGCCTAGACATTCTCCTAGACGCTGTGACGAACCTAGTTAGCCCAATGCCAAGCACGGGCAACACTTATTGGAATAAGATGGATAGATGTTGATTAAACATACGTAATCTCTTAAACCTGGGTCTTGTAGAGCTTTATCTCGCCCGCCGCTTTCCTTTCTTGGAGTATTGGGTGTTCTGTCGTGTCTGGCCGCCACGGCGGCTTGGGGTTTTCCGTTTACGGCGCTGTAACGCCTATCGGCAGACGAGGAACCGTTGGAGGGATTGGGGCCATGCCCCGAGCTAGGCGCCATGGCCACGTTGTGTACAATGTCGTCTTCCCCTCCCTAGGCCCTAGTTGCGGTCGTCTATCGAGATTCGTCGAGGGGGGGGAGCGTGAAGGAGGGGCAGCGCACGCGTCGTAGGCGGCCGTAAGGTCAGGAGTTTCTTTTCACATTCCACCTAAGCTAAACGTCTATTCTTCCCACCAATGTCAGGATGATATATGATGCAACTCTATGTCGAGTAACGGGTCGTTAGTCGTTGATCGTTAATCGTTAATCGTTGATCGTTCTCAGTGGGGGTGCGTTTGTCAAGATTGGTAGGTTGGTCGATACAAGGTAGATTGATAGCGTAACCAATTTCTATTTTTAAAAAGAGGGACTCAAAGGTCAGGTCAGGTCAAGATCAGGTAAAGGCTCTTGTGAAACGAAAAGGAAAAAGAAAAAAAAAACCTAAGCCTAAGCCTCAAAAAAGCTCCGTTGCCATGAATTCCCCAAATCTTGATTCCCGATGTGGGGAGAGAAAGGTTGCAAGGTAGCAAGGTCGCATGTATGTATGGATTTTTGTGCGTGTGGGAAAGAATTCGGGCATCCAATTACATGCTCGCGTTGCTAGTTGCTTGTTCCTGGAATGTTTCAAGACGCAGCAGCGTAATTGGGTACCTATCTAGGTACGTACTGATAATGCCATTGTTACGATAGGGCGGAATTCAGGCACGCCTTACCACCCGCACACTTCCTTCCCACGCTGTCATGTTGCCTAAGTGCTTTACTGGCTAGCGGGGTAATACTGGGGGACTAAGAAGCAGCTACTGCAGCCTACCTCAAGTAAAAGCACTGTGCTTACCGTGATAGGTAACGTTATACACTTGAAATATTACTCTACCTACTAGGTATGTACCTACCTACATACCTAGTAGCTCAAATGCTGGCATCGCATAGTAATATCTACTACTTGGTACTAGGAATTAGTTAAATAGGTATTAAGACATCTACCGACATCCAAAATTATAGCATCTAGCACATAATGACATCGATTCTCAACAATATAATTCAGTGAACGGGTTCAGATTAAGTAGAGGCACTCTCAGCAGGGAACGCCTATACCGGGTATGGAGGACCTAGTCTGTTCTCGCCCTGGCAGTAGGGCTTCATAACTAAAACATAGAACTCAAACACTCATACCGCACGTATGATAATACACAACACAAGGTCAACCGTACGGTCCCTTTCCTTTCCCTTCCTTTTTTGTCCTTTCCGATCCGGTCCGACTCATTGTCCCTTAACACAGTGAACTGCATTGTCGTGTTCACAGTGCAACATTTTCCAGAACGCCATTACTAGCCCACAAAATCATCAGACCAACTCCCCTCGCCCAAAACTCCTTTTCGCCCTTCGTAATCATGGAACTTAATCATAACTGACCGTTCCAGTTGCTAATTATCCCCCTCCCATGACATCGAGCGGCTAAGCCCAGCTCGCCTCCACCATTCGTCCGGAATGTCCTGTCGAGTAGCGAGACGGCGGATGATAGCATGCATACTCGAGACGAATGCCAAATCTTCGGATGAGCTGCCAGGGTTGGCTGCCAAAAGTTCCACGTTAGATCGTACGCTGTTGAACCAATCCTGACGGTCCCAATCACGCGAAGCAAATCCCTCCAAGTCGCTGACCGGATCGCAAGGAGGCTCGGCGGCCTCTCCCGGGCTAGTGATCGATGTGCGAGACGAAGCGACAGTAGGATTTTGCGATGCTGAAGTTGAAGCGGTCGTTGATGCGAATGAAGAGCCGACGCTGGGAGGCTGAGGATCCGGAGTTAATGTAGTGAGAAGGTTATCCCACAATCGTTCCCCATCGGGACTTAGACTACGATCACGGTCGCCTAGACCGTCGACATTTCGACCTGATCCTCGACTTCCTCGACTAACCACACTACCAAGTCCGCGAGTTTGAAGGACACGCGCACGGCGACGATTACGCGAAGACTGTCGAGATGGAACCGTTGCGACTCGGAAATTCCGGCTGGGAGTTCGACCAGGCGATTCGGGAAGGTTGGTGGTTCTAGCTTGCGCAATACGTACTTCACCATCGTCTCCATGCGACCACTCAGGCCATTGAGAATCAGGCGCATCGGGTGATGGATCGCGGTTGCTTCTCTGAATGAGCTCGGCCGCAGATAAGCCTGGAGAGTCCAGATTAGGTGAGTCCCGGTTTAGGAGTGGTTCCCGGGCCATCAGGTATGACACAACCTGATCGAGTGCACGCGCGTCTTGGGTAGGTGGGGTATTAAGGTAATTATCAACCTCATTATTAGCCGAATCAAAAAACGTGTTGGTGTCGAAAGTTGATGATGTATTATCGGCATCAGCGCGAGGATAGGGGACCCTTGGAGTTATTTCATCGTCATTGTCGACAAGTTCGCTCAAAGCACGTAGACGACGTTCTCGAGCCTCGCGCAGCTGGCGACGTCGCGGAGATATGGTAGTGTGACGTGGCGAGGACACACGAGTAATGGGTGATCGAGCAATAACAGGACGGGACGGAGATCCTGCATGGGGTAGACGAGGAACGCCAGATGAACAAGACGAAGGCTCACGCCAGAGTCTAGTAAGTGAAATATGTTAGTAAGAAAACATCCCAAAATAGTGCCAAGTTGTATAAATCATGGACAAATTGAATATCAAAATAGGGGAACATTGTCAAATTGATGCAGATTGACGTCAGAATCATTTTGAGGTGCTGGTCGTGATAACACGAGTTCTGAGACGCGTCGTAATGATAAGACTTACGGTAGACCCATTTTGGCGTGCGCGCGTGGCAATGGTCAACTATGCAACGAGTAACGTGTGGTTTTGTTAGGATCGATCTCGCGTGTGGCCTGAGGCTCAAAGCAGCTGCAGTAAAGGGGATAATCGGCGCTATGGCGACAGCGATATCGATTATTGCGATTGTTGCGATTGTCGCGTTGTCGCAGAAGTGTGGGTTGTTAATTGCCAGATATGTAGAGGAGGAATTAGCAAGGACTAATCTCGGCAAGTAGGAATTAGGAGAAGGAAGAAGGTGAAGAAGGAGGTATGTAGTAGGTGTTAATGATGTGCAGCAATCCACGATGGTATCACTGATCAATAACAGCAACCGTGCAGAATTAATCCCAGGTACTGTTGTGGATGAAGGAATAAAGAACGGAAGAAAAAGGCCGAATTGATTTGGTAGGTTAACCTGGAAGGTAAAAGGTTGCAAGTGGGAAGTGGGAGAGTTGCGAGGGATAGAAAGCCGGGTATTAAGTGGACAGTGCGTTCGCGCAGTGAGCACCTAGGCAGTCTACTAAACATTAAAAGTTCAAGGTAGGTGCAGAGTACATAAATACCTAGTATATACTTAGTATCTAGGTATTGTACATGTATCTATATGTACGTACATGCACCTCACCAAAGCTGGTACGTTCCTCCTAGGTAAGTACTAGGTACATAAATGTACACTGCCTAGGTACCGACATGCATCACAGCCTTACCATTGACATCCCAATTGGGGATAGTCCGGAGGGATATATCCACATTATAATGATCCTTGACTGAGTATATTTTAGAGTCAGTTAAATCGATAGGCTGAGAATTATTCGTCATCTTACAACTTATAAGTAGAATATCATACTCTCATATTTCATACGATATCACCATATCTGCCATTATTTATGACTCATAATTCGAAGCACCTCGGACATATCATCCCCATACCAAAAATTGTAGGCATCCACCGAATAACAGGCAATATCATATACCTCACACTCTACTCCTGAGTTTCCTACGTGCCAAGGTACCAAAAGTACCCGTCTACCCGCGCACGACTTCCAGATATCCAATATCACCATTATGGTGAGCCTCGGGCTAGCACGTATCACGGCCCTGCTGAAGCAGACACCACAGACATGGAAAGCGATCCATGTCGCCGGAACAAATGGCAAGGGCTCGATATGTGCATATCTGATGGCCATGTTACGTGCCAATCAAATATCTTGCGGCAGATTCACCTCGCCCCATCTCATCCATCCTCGAGATTGCATTACCATCAACGATAGTGTCGTGTCTGAGAGTAAATTCAAGCACTTTGAAGAGTTGGTCAAGAGGAGAAATGAGGAACAATGTCTTGGCGCGAGCGAATTTGAGTTGCTCACAGCCACAGCCTTCGAGATATTTGAGTCAGAGAAAGTCGAGTTTGGTATAATCGAAGTAGGATTGGGTGGGAGACTTGATGCGACAAACGTATTGAAACATAAGTGTGTCACTGTTATTTCCAAAATCGGTATCGACCATCAGTCTTTTCTAGGCAATACTATCGAGGAGATTTCACTTCAGAAAGCCGGAATCATGAGGCATGGGGTGCCATGCGTTGCAGATGGCAGTAACCCGGCGTCCGTATCGGACGTTTTAACGAAGCACGCCGAAGAAACAGGCACCCGCGTTCAATTTACAGATCCAGAGTCCGATACGCTTGTGAAGAAGTTAAGCGATAATCTTGCGCCGCACCAGCGCCAGAATCTTGCATGTGCGCATGAAGCATTCCGACTCGCGTATCCTCAGCACGCTAGCTCTACTGATGTCCTTGCTTCCGCCGCCCGAAATATGGTGTGGCCAGGTCGACTTCAGCTACTGAGTATCGAAAAGTTGACTGGCAGGAAACAGAATGTTCTCCTTGACGGAGCTCATAACCCCCAATCTGCGGAAGTTCTCTCGGCCTTCGTCGAGAGACACCTACGGTCTCAAGGCAAGCCTATCACTTGGGTGCTGGCTGCTACACAAGGGAAAGACGTGTCCGAAATGTTCAAATTGTTATTACGTGACGGTGATTCTATCGTGACAGTCGAATTCGGCCCCGTGGATCAAATGCCCTGGGTTCGGCCCACAAACTCGGCAGCATTACTTGACGCGGCGAGCAAATGCGGTGTTACAATTTCTTCGGAGTTCAATTCATCCACAGATGTGCTCTCGGCCCTCAAGTGGGCAAGCCAAACAGCGAACGAAGGTCCACTTGCAATTGCTGGAAGTCTTTATCTGGTGTCTGATATATTTAAGTTACTCGGGAAAAATGAGGAGTAAATTTAACAAGAATGGTTTCTAACACATAAGCACAATTCTCATAACGCCACCTTACGAAATCTAGCGTCAAGTTTAGATTTTCGATATGGGACAAGGAAATTTAGGCCAACCGTCATATATGAAGACTACCTAGGTACTAGGTATATATACGTCGGGCCATTTCGTAAGTTCCATCAACTTTGGGTTCAACAAATGCATCACACAGATATTGGGCAAAGTATCACTGCGCCGTTAAGGGACGCGCGCCCGATGTTGGAATAAGAGGATCAACTCCTTGACGAATACCATTAAAATACACTAAATTTAATAAAATATACACCGTCTAGTCTGAGGTCGTGACAACCTTTGAAGTTTGTCCATGTTAGAATATGCTTAATTCGTCGGTAGTATTAAGTATTCCACATCTTAGGTACATAACATCGATGATCGCATATTTTATCGCTAGATACATAAATATACAACTATCCAGCTGTTTCATTTACTACTGCTGTTTCACACCTCCTAGGCATCTAATCTACCTAGGTAGGTAAATCAAATGATTGTCAACTCTAAAAGGCCTATGATCTCAAGATACATCATGGCATCTGAATTGCCTAGAAACCTGATAGTTGTATGCTGTCACGGCATATGGCTTGGCGGCCCCTCACTTGGTCACAATGAAGATGAGTGGCTCATTGCTGAATTTCAAAAAGGCGAAACACCAACCTTCATCGAGCATATCAAGGCTGGACTGCGCGTGTTGAAAGAAGATAAGAATGCTGTATTGATATTTTCTGGGTAGGTAGGTTCTTGATTCTTACATACTCATACCTCTCATCGCTGAAAACGATATTGGAATACCATAATGAATCCTAGGTCATCGCTGAGCCAATTTTTTGCTCTTAAGAAATATTCAAATTAGCATACTCTTAATTAAGTACTTTTGGTAGAATTTTAAGTGCTAACTCTATCTATAGTGGCCCTACGAGGAAAGAGAACCGCCTATCGGAAGCGCAGAGTTACGCCAATCTCGCCAGCGCAAACGCGTATTTTGGCATTTTATCCGAAGCTGAGGCGGCGGGGCGGATTTCCTGCGAAGAGCGTGCTTTAGACTCATACTACAACGTACTATTTTCACTCATCGAATTCTGGAAATGTCACGGAACCTGGCCAAGAAAATTGACGTTGGTTAGCCACGCCTTTAAACGTGAGCGCCTTGTCGATTGCCATTGCGGCGCTATTGATTTTCCTTTAGACCGCGTTGATTTCGTCGGTGTGGACCCGCCAGGCATGATCGATGGGTCAAATCTAGCTGCTATCAAAGGTATCACTGAGGCGATTACGCAGTGGAAAGACGACCCCCATGGAAAAGACGAGCTTCTGGCTAGTAAGCGCAGGAAAAGAAATCCGTGGGGAATCTCACAGATGCTTTTCGCCGACGAAGATAATCGGACACGCAGTGGTGTACAGTCAAGACTTGTCGGAGAAGACGAATATCTCATTGAGGGAGTTTTTCAACCGTGGTCGCATTAATGGTATTTATAGGTTATCACATCTTTTTGAATTTATAGCTAAGCTAGATTTTGGGGGCTGCGGCGTCATCTTTCTTATCCACCAGAGCCACGGTATCGAGAACGAATCGCACGGCGTCTTTCTTCATATCCATATTGAATTCGTGACCTACGCCCGGATAAACATTATCCTCCACATAGATACCTCCGTCAGTGTACCAACTGTTAATGGCAATCTTAAAGAATTGCATGAATGGCTCGCTGATTCTATACGGGACGAGCTTGTCTGCCCCGCCAGAGAGGACCTGGAACCTCTTCTTAGAGACCCTCGAGTCTAATACAGGGCGTATTGTTGCCGAATCCTTCGTTGATATGGTCTTATCTCGATTATTGAACAAGATACTCCTCGGGTCGTACTTGTTGCACGCTTTTATTAATGCATCCGGGAAGTCTTTACTGCCAAAGAAAGATTGACCGTCTTTCTCCATAAAAGTTTGCAGTTTCGATAGTCGTGCGCGATCTTTCATAAGGTCTACGATGATCAGCGCATATTCATGATATTTAGCGAGGCCGGGTATTAGACTTACAGGAATAGTCAGGACACCCAATCACCATAACACCAGCTGTGACTCTAGGCTCCGCGAACAATAGCTGCCATGCGCTATGTCCACCTAGACTGACGCCCAGAACTAGGTTGTGATCGATATGCCTCGTCCCGCCATCAGATGTGGTGCCGGGACCGCTACCAGCGCCGAAAAGGTGACCTTCTATCAGATCAAGCAAGTTGATGTTGTCCACAACTGTACCCGTAATGATTCCAAACATGTCCTGAGCACTATCCATTAATAGGGGTTAGCGAATCATACGTATTCTCGGATTTTCAATTGCAAATACCCAGCTCTTAAGATATATGTTCGTTCATTTTGAAAGTTCAGAACTTACTGCGTCGGATTTCCGCTCCGCCAGTCATCATTTGCCCTTTCATCTACAAGTCGCGAGCCGTGGTTTCGCTGGTCGAAAGCGACAGCAATCAAGCCGCGCTCAGAAGATGACTTCTGATGGTATGCCGTCAGAATTTGGTCCGCGATATTCGTCATGTCATCTTTAGATCGTAGTCTCGGATGATGTAACCATAGACACGATATTTTGGCCGCGCCCTCTGGCAACTCGGACAATCCATAGACGTTCACCTTCAGACCCGCGATCGTGAGAATCACGCACGAGACACTCGGTCCAGAGCTTAAAGATCTCGCCAAGGGATTATTCGTTTCTGCTGCCATTGCTGCTCGATCTTCGTATAGGGGATGGTTCCTAGAACGAGGTGCGGACGTGCCGCCTGATAGAAACCGAAACATTCCTCGTATGTGAAAATAAACTCCCGGATTTATAATATAAAGGCCAGAAGTCCAGAAATGATCTAGCTACTTGACGTTCGACTAATCGTCCCTTTACTGGCTGTCTCTGGTATTTAAATATCCACTGCGGGGTTGATTGGATCGGCAAGCACCGACATGGTCAGGGCATGGATGCTCAGGAGAAAAACAACATCGTGAAGAGGATAATCGATTCACTCTTGAAATTTTCATTCGAAGAGGTGAACCTCATATACATTTTTTTAATACTACCCTCAAATTGGCGGCTGTTTGGTAAGTATGTCTTCATGCGTTGTGATAGCTACTGCATTTTAATTGTCCGATCCTCTATTGGGTATTGGGTAACATAGGTACCCACTTATCCTAGTAGGTAATTAGTAGGGAGTCATCGCTGTTTCCATCTTTGTGAAAGTATAATATGAGATAAATTCAGTTAGCTTTATCACCGGGAGATCCTGCCGAGAATGACGGGACCGATTACCGTCGTAATTGCCCCGGCTTTTCAATCGCCGGCGGCACTTACGGCGTTGATGGTTACAGCGGGAGGGTAATCACAACTCGGTCGCAGCTAGCCGCTTTTCAAGCCCCGGAAGTTAAAACTCGGACGGGTTCATATTACTTAGTATTGTATACAAGCTGATGGGATTTCCTCCCAAATGGTCATAAATATTCAGGTTTAAAAATAGGTTCGATTATTCCAAATTGTTTCTTCATGACATTTTACTACATTTTAATATCTGTCCAGCAATGGCAAGAGTGGTCAGCCCTGGCAGCCTAAGCAGAGCCCTGGAGGCTTTAATTGAATAAATAGCGCTGTAGTGCAGGCCTAAAATAGCCTTAATGCGTTGGATGCATCGGGATCCTTCAGGGCTATTGGATACCGCCACGTCTAGCCCTATTTCGCCCTGTAAATATTGGTGCCTGCCTTGGACAACATTCTCAACACGCTAATTTCAATTTCTTAACTCACCGTGATCCATGACTCCAAGGTTCTTCCCATTAAGAACACATAGGCGAGTTCAACATTGACAGTTTACCTGCACATTGAAATCTGTCTCTTCAATGTCTTCCCTACCGTACTACGGTACCTAACAATAATGCGGCCATTTCTACCGGTCATACGAGATACTGATCGCAGATCTCAAACTGCGCCGCAGCCCATGCCCTCTACTCCCGTAATACATGATCAAGTTGGGGTGGCATGATTTAGGCATCGCTTCCCTGCGTATAAGGCTGCCATGTTTCGTTTCCTATAAAATGGAATACTATGCGCCTTTCGCAAGTTATCAACTGGCTACCTACACTAGACGGCTTCTAGCTTCATACTAGAACATTATCTTCCAATTCCCAGCTACAACTTACACGACAACATCGTTGGTTGGTTCCCCAATCCATCACACACCCCACACCACGAAAGCGGTGTAAAGCAACAATGTCAGGCACACTGATAAAAACATCCTACGCCTCCAAGGCCGTCGACGTGCCCCCCGACTTCCTCAGGACAGACCCTTCCGACGCGGAAGCCATCACCTTCAAGCAGATCGACTTCACCAACTCGCCACTCCCGGAATTCAAGGGGCTATACGCAGTAGTACTAGACCACGTCCTGAGCCCGTCTGAATGCGCCCAACTTATCAAGTTCGCGGAAGCCAGCGTCGCAGACGAGAACCGAAGCAAGGAGACCGGGTTGCCGTGGTCGCCGGCCCTGGTTAACGCCGGAGGCGGCTACGAGGTCAGCAGCCCGACGTACCGTAATAGCGACCGCATCATCTGGGATAACCAGGACATGGTGGATCGGATCTGGGGACGGCTCGAGCGCGTGCCGGAGATCAGGGAGAGCTTGATCTCGTTCACGCAGGAGTCGACGCGTGTTGTTCTTAGGTCGAGGGCTGAGGGCGGCGCGCCGGCTCGAAAGCCGGAGGTGTGGGATTTCCATTGCGTGAACAAGCGCATGCGCTTTTTGAAGTATGGGAAGGATCAGTTTTTCCGCCCGCACTGCGACTCCCCGTATGGTGAGGTGACGGACGATGGGCATGCGGTGATGACGCATTATACGCTGCATTTGTACTTGAACGATTCGAAGCAGGAGGTTGGGGAGAAGTCTGAACTGGTCGGGGGCGCGACGTCGTTCTTGTCGTCGAATCAGGAGCGCAAACTTGATGTTGATCCGAAGGCTGGGAGGATTCTGATTTTCCAGCATAGGAGGCTGTATCACTCGGGCGATGAGGTAAAGGCTGGAACTAAGTACACGATGAGGACGGATATCATGTATCGGCAACGAGTTTCGTAGTCTTAACCTGAGAAGACTGCTTAGGAAGATTATGTGAGGGTTTATGGTGCATTCATTTGTTTTGTAGCGTTAGTATGCTACGCATTTTTACGAAATATTCGTAGATAGGTAGCTTTAAGTAAATCTTCATATCCTCGATTTTAGTCCGTAGCTATATTACTCAGTACCTTCATCAGAATGTTAACATTTGGCTTGTCTCGATAGCTTCCACCTCCAGCCTCTTTTTATTCGCAACTCACCTTGAATTTCCTTTTCAGACCACTAAACTCCGAGCGTGTAACACACCACCAACACCAACCCCTATCAAGGCCATATCTCCCTAATCCCCTTCAGCGCCTTACAATCCGCCTTATGCCCCAACTCATTCCACCCACGCACCTGGCACTCCGTACCACAATACGCAACAACGCCACAGCCCGTACACCGCATCAGCTTCCCTTCGCCCCCCTCATCCTTCCCACACGCCGCACACCCCCTCTTCTTCTCCTCCCCATCCTTCTCACCGTTTACCAACGCCCCCAGCCCAAAGACCTTATCCAGGCTCGTCGGCAGCACCCTAACATCCCTACCCTGTCCCTCCGGCACCCGCACCAGCGCCTTCTTCCCCTCCCCGCGGTCCGTCCGCGTCGCGCACGGCACCACTAGCGTGTGGCCCTTTCGAAAACGCGCTTTCTCTCCATTCCCGCCGCCGATGACTAGGCCATGGTGGTCCCCGTCGTCAAACGTGACGGCGAAATCGATGTTTGACCGATCGCGGACGACGAGCGTGGGTTTGGTGATTGTCATGTTTTCTTTGATTTGGGCTAGAAGGAACCATGGTGTCTGCGGGGTGGTTAAGGATGAGGTGGAGGGGGGTAGCTCGTCGAAGGAGGGAAAAGTTTGGGGGTTGGTGAAGATGGGCATTTTGAGATTGTGTTTTGCTTTTTGGTGTTCTTGGGGTGTACGTATGAGTGAGTTAGTGATTGGATGTTGTGAACCGTGATGATTTTTGGTGGCTTGCAGTGGTTTAGTTGGTGCTTGGCAGTGCAAGGATCCACTATCTCACAGTCCGGTCCGGCGGATCGTTTGCTAAAGGATATGAAATGATATAATATGGTGTTGATTTAGAAAGTGAGATATTTTTATTTCGCGACGAGTTGTTATATTGAACTGTCATTTTGCGTCAGGTTTTACGAAATTGAGGGAAGAATAATGTGTTTTCTTACCTCTTACGAAACAGATCGTGAGATGAAACACGGAGTTCATTCGGTGGGGTCGGTGCTGCACGAATTCTCGTGGTAGGGGTAGATGAGATGAGATACCTATGCAAACGATTTCGACGTTACCTACTAGGTACCTAGGTACGCACCTAGGTACGCAGAGATTAGGTTGGTCGATCACGGGTGAATCACAGCTTCTTTACCTGATACTTGAAAACTACCTATCTAATAGTAATGATATTCTCAAGTATCCGTGTAGCAGGGCGGGGTTTGCAGAATATGAGGCTGAGCCATCAGCCAACTTCAAATTGTCATGTCGCTGCCGGAGTGCTATATTCTTTCATCTTCTAACCCGATACTTTTCACCAGTCTTTACGTATCTTCCCGCAAGCAAACCTTGTATACAATATCATCTTATCAACAAACATGTCAGGAAACGCTGTTGGCTTTGCCTTTCAAGCCGATGTCACTAACACAGGTTCCCTTCTTCACAGCCTTACGGGGAGGGCCCTAAAGGCTATGAGTGATGGTGGTGTTGACTTCTACTCTGTCGTCGCCACGATTGCTCTAGGCAAGAATATCGCTGTCCGAGATTCTTTGGGAAACGCAGTATACTCGCACATCATGTCGAAGGGTGGCCTACAGTCCGTCCTATCGAAAGCTCTTAGCATTGGATGGGGTCACAAGGCACTTGCAGTTGAGATGGCAAGCACAAAAGCAGGAACAAACGCCCTTCTACTGGTTGGGGCTCTTGCTACTGGATCGAGCCATTTCCAGGCCGCCCAGTGCTTCTCGGAACTTCTTTCCTTGCGTGGCTGTGAGCCCGATAGGCTACCCAACGTCGATATGTTGAAACACATGATCGGATACATTGCCCCATTCGTTTATGATTTGGGGTTCTCAAAGGTCCTCGAGAATGTTTCGACGACTACAATTCGCCTAATGAGGGCAGCCAATCGAGACTCCTATGAACCGTATAATCATCTAACGACACATGGTGACGCTGCGGGTGTTGCTGGAGGTATTAATCAGCTCCTTCTAACCTCTCAGAAAAGAGAAAGCTATTACTTCGTCACGAAAATGAGAGGTGCTTGGTTCGCTGCTTTCGCTACTCATATTCTCGGGATGTCAGTCGAGCTACGGCTCAATGATGCCGTCCTTTGGGCGTCTGCAGGGGAGAACGGAACTGCTATCTTTGAATTGGGCGAGCACCAAATTGCTGAATTATCAGTCCGCGCAAATAATGGCAAATGGATCGAGCTAGTGGACTCCACAGATCCGACTAATCAAGTTGGCATAGTACTTGACTATCTAGTCGGTGAAATGTTTGGTTCCATGGTTGCCCAAGAGCCGAGGATCGATCCCATCGTTTGGGATGCGATACGCCATGGTATAGTTCAAATCACACATCAGGCGTTAGAAACTGACGAAACGACAAGGGCGATTCAACACGAAGATGCATTGAAAGAAACTCTCGAGGCATTTGGGTTAAACTTTGACTACAGAGAATCCTGCCAACGACAAAGGAAATCGACGTATTACTTAAGCGCGTTAGACGAAAATATACAAAACACGCTGATCACGACCTGCGGCAAACATGCCGAATTTTCAAAATGGGATTCCATCCTTGGCAGATACGACCGAGTCCTGGACTGCATATGCCTACATGCCGAGACTGTTATGCGCCGGCTTGTGGTTTGTATAACGAATCTGTACGTAACATCCCAAATCACTTGTTTTTCAATAAGCAGTTCAACAATATCCTCCAATGAAATTATTCTCTTTCTCCAATTAGAAGCCAAAAACTCTCTTAATACAAGGTTCAAATCAATTCGTATAGAAATTCCTTCAAGGCCTTACTAATTTTCAATGCTGGGTTAATTAGCACGCGCTGCCGCTTTGATGCTAGTTGCCTTAGAATCCGACAAGAAGCTGAGGATGCTCTATCCCCTGGCTATTATTATCACAACTGGGACTCAGGCAAAATATCTCTCGAAGAGAGTATCAATAATATATATTGTTTCGTCTGCGACGACGGTACTGCACAATTTAAGGACAACCGCCCGGCCGCCCACGGTTTTAATGTACTGAGCCATTCAGGCGGTAATATACTTGGCCGTTCAGGCGGCGGATATACTGTTTTCTATACAAGTATAATGCAGAACGATTGTTACGATAACCAGGGTCGCTTTATATCATTGTGGCCTGGCACGGCTTCCATCAATGGTGTGGCTAGGTCAAGTATAGTAGAAGACGATGCGGGTAACTGGGTGCAGGCTTTTCCACAATTTCCCACTCCCACCTCATCGATAGCATCAGGTTTACTCCTCGAACCTCACTATTGCCCTTCAGATAAGAAGATCCACATGAGCGTGTCCTTGGACGAAGACTATATTTTGGTCTACTTCACAATTGGACCCAGGGAGCTTATTACACAAGCTTTCTCTTTCACTTTTTGTATCAGTTGTTTCATTAAATTATCATCCCCGCATTGTTCACACGATCCCAAGGAGGGCTACAGAGTAGAAGAGGATCAATGTGTTGCAGTTGTTGGATTTGACAGGCGATCATGTCCCTATGTTTTTGGGAGTGGCCATACCAAAATTTTCGCTCTGCATGGCAATAAACTTGAACAGATTGTCACCGCGGGGCACCTTACAAGTTCTCTATGCGTTTTACAAAGACTGGCATGCTTAAGGTGCTGTATCAAATTGGTTTCAGCGGTGGGAGAATCTCAGGGCGGAGAGGTGATCATGGGAGGCTAGCCTTGCCCCTTTATCACAAAACCCTTATGTGCACTATGAGAGATATTGGGCCAACTCCCGCTTACCTACCTTCAGATCAACCTGGATGCGTACGTACAGATATACATAGGTACCTAGTAGGTACAGTACAGATACTGTAAATTAGGTATACAAAATATTGGATTGGACGTATGAACAGTCAAATAAAGAATCATTCTAGAGTGTTATTTTATATAAAATAATTCTTCCGTAAAGAATGGAAGTGCTCAATTTCGATCGATCTTATGCATATAATGATTGCATGAAGTTTAGAATGATTCTCGCGGACCTCGGGCTCCCGCTACGGAACATACAACTTGTGGCTTTATATACATAGGTAGGTAGGTACCTAAACCTAATGGAAGAAATGGTGTACCCATATGAGGGTAGGTAAGTAGGGAGATGAAAGAGGAAGTATCCATGGATGTTCCATAAATCATCGTGGCATCCTTAAAGAGTATGCCCCCCTAATGTTAATTGCAACATCCATAATAACTCCACTAGGTACCTACCTAGTACCGTTAGAATATTCTTTTAAGTAATTCAAAACTTATCAGCAAAGGTAACAATCTTCAGGATTCGAATGTCGGGAACCCTTATTCCTATGTCATTAAGAATTTCCTAACTGTCCAACCCTGGTACTGAACAATTCATCTTGGTATTAGTCCTACCCTAAACACCTCCTATCTGAGGGGTACCGCGTATCGAAAATCAAGACGCAAAAATACAATGTCTCCATGTCCAGAGGAAAACACTCGTCAAGACCGATACCAAACGCCTCATGCCCTTAGTCCTACACTTTATCCTGCCTTGCTTCCTAGACGCCACCGCAGATGCCCTGCTATACTGGGAACCCTAGAGCAAGACGTCATAATGCATTTCCACCGACAACTATACCTTTTATTAAAACGAGAACTCGGCCCATATTGCGAATATTAGTGATGCCGTAAGTGAATTTACGCCCCAATGCTCATCCAAGCAAATGTGCCAACCGCGGAAGCGAGAACAAGCGCGGTTAGAATACCGGCACCTGCCCGATCTCCCGTGGTTATCGGCGACGGAGCGTTGGTGAAAGAGTCGCTCGCAGATCCGGCATTTGGGTCGCCCTCGCTTGTACCGCCGGTAGCATTAGTAACCGGCGCTTTAGCTTTCGCAACCAGCAAAGACGAGACTGCTCCCAACACATTCATTGTCTGGCCGGCACCAACACTGTTGTCGAATGTACCGCTAGACCACCCAAAGCCGCAGGTAGTTCCGTCAGGTGGTCCGGTACATTGGTTTACGGCGGCCTGAGCTGACTTCTGTAGGACGGGCAGGATCTTCGAAGATGTGATAGGTGCAATCTGCGTTACGGTGGTCATCCATCGGTGTAAATAACCCTTGAAACTTAACATGTCCGTCGTACAAGTCATGTGCTCCTCGCATGCGATTTCATAAGCCACATTGTTTTTGAAGAAGTCGCGAATTGTTGCGTCAATAAGACCGTTGAGTCGTGATTCCCATTTCGAGTCGCCATTGGTCTGAGAGATGTTAGTAGAAGTCTCACAAAAATAAAAGGGTTTGCAGTACTCACGAAATTGTACATGTAAGCAGCTCCCAGGAGATAGACTGCATTGTTATACGAAAATTGAGCCTTGTTGATATCGGTACAGTTGGTCTCGACGTGTGCGCCATCGTAGATCCTGTATTCCGAGTCCATGAATCCTACACCCTGAACCCAATCCCATGTCTTCTCAGCCCAATCGCCGTAGGTTTGATTGTTCAGATAGCGTGCCAAGCGTGCGCCAAGATTGAAGAAGCATCCATTGGCGATGCCTAGATCTCGTTAGTCTTACGTGCATGAGGAACAAGCGGGACCCCACTTACTATTCTTGTAATCATATCCATTGTTAGAGAAGGGAATTTGCCATCTTAAACCACCGTTGCAGGTATTGTCGTGACGACCGGGATCAGCCTGAGTGTTGAAAACTGCTTGAGCAAGGGCTAGCCACCCAGGTTGACCTGCGGGAGGGTCTGGAAAGTTGGCCTCAGCTGCGAGCATAGCAGACATTCCCCAAAATCCTTGATCATCATTACCAAGCGAAGCTGTGACATTGGGAGGCATGTAGTCCTTGTTCGGACCAACCTGCCAAAGCAAGGCTTGGGTAACCACATCGTTGTAAGTAGTGTCGCCGGTATAATGCCAGTAATCGATCATAGCTCCCCAGAGTGCACCACCTTCCCACCAGTAGTAATCACCCGCAGGAGGAGGACCTGGAAGGATACCTGGTGTTTGTCCGGATTCATTTCCATGGTAATAACTCATAACATTTTTAGCGAGGGCTTTCGACGTCGAAATAATGTTGTCTAGAATAGAACTAGATGTTAGCTTCGAGACTTGCAAGACCCGCTAAATTTCCGATACAGTTTAAATGATTAAAAGACGACAAATCATACCATCCGAATCAATCTTGAAAGTTTGCGCGGAGGCAAGATCTCCAGTTAATAAGAGCGCGACTGGAAGGACGCGCGAAAGACGGGATGTCATCATGCTGGGGGTCGGAAAAGTTGGCATAAACCAAATGCAAACGAGTGACGGAGTTGAAATCAAAGGAAAACGTATGTCGCGGTCGGATCTATCGCCCTCAGCAGTTATCGGTAGTGTTAATCGGAATTAGGGATTCGAATAGTATCTCGAGTGTTGTGAGATGATGGTGAAATCTTTCCCAATCCGCCGCAGAATGGACACGAAATTAGTTTAGGATTGGGTTTGGTCTAAGATTCAAATTGAGAAAGTAGTGAATGGAGATGGAAAAGAAGGGAGGAGTTTCCTCTCAACAGCAGGTTTGGTGTAATTCCAGGTACATGTACGAGGTACTTGAGTACAATCAATACCTAACCTTAGACATTGGTCGCAAAGGGAAGGTGATGTACCCACTGTACAAGCACTGTAAAGAAGGTCGACCTTCCATACTATTTTCTACTAATCCCCCATGATCTGTATCGACGGGTAACTGATCTTGACACTGTGGGGTTTGGAGGGAGGGGAGCAGAAGAGGTGCTGAATGACGATGAACAGACCCACAGCCAAGCGAAACTCCCACAACAACCCGAAGATCGCCTTTCCCTAGCGCCTACCATAACGATTCCTTGGTCAGGGACTCCCTGCTCCACCATCTTCCAAGGAAATACAAGCTTTTCGTCTAAATCTACTTCCACCAACTAGTCTCATCTTGGCGAATCTGGGCGTGGGGACGATCCCAACTCACCGGAGCACTAATACTTGGTGCTTGAAGACGTATATTTTCACAAAATAATTGAAGTTTTTTTCTTCTATTAATTTTCCAACATTTAATAAAGAAAGAACACAGGCATCCAAATTCGACCAAGTGGTCGGCGAGAAAATCATCCCCTATTCCGATACCAATTTCAAAGTTGTAATACACGTTGCCGGACATTCAAGGATTGCAGACGCGCTACGGATCAGCGCGACGATCCCCTAACTTTTAACGGTCTGACGTCGATATAAATCGGCAAATGCCTATGATGCTCGAAAGGAAGGAAGGCCAAAATTTTTCTGTCACAATTGACAACCACATTGGTACCATTTCTGATTGAATAATCCAATTCCTTACTCGAATAAAGAACCTTGCTACATTGTAGTTCTTACCCCTTTTCAGAACGTTTTCATAAGCACAGCCTTAATGCAATACAGCATTTGCGTTACAACGACCAAGCGGTAAAGCGTTTTAATGGCTGAGAAGAATTGAATTTACGACCGCTCGAGCGTCATAATGTAACCTCATTTTTAGTGAGTTATCTAAAAACAACGTCCGATTGAAAGTTCTCGATGCTTGCAATTAGATAATTGAAAGCCATGCTATAACATTTCATTTATATTTAAAAAGATCTCATTTCTAGAGCCTTTTCGCAACTGGATTGAGCGATGAGTTACATCTATGTAGATACCTTCTCCGCTCACCAAATAAGGAAATCGTATTATAATAAGGTTTTAACGATCCTAGCTGCCCAGGTGTAAGTTTCCCGTGTCGCAAGGAACTAAGGGAACAACTTGGACCTACCTGGACCGGTAGCCAAATACTGTGGGGTCAGCTTGGTACCTAATGTATTACAGAATAGGCACCGAGTTTATTTAAGCGTTCAGGTCATTAACTTGAAACCATCGTATATATCACCAACTATCCCTTCAACCTTCAAAATCCAAGTAATGGACCCCAAGAACGACCCATTCGTTAGATATCTTTTACCCTCACATGAAGAATTATTCGTATATATCTTCCAATAAAAGGCAAACAGGATCTGCAAATGAACAACACGCTTCCTCTAAACAGCTCTACCCAACCTTAAGAATCCAGAAGTTCGTACTGCGGCAACGACTCAGTGCTCGTAGCAGCACTAGCCGTCCAGTCTAAATCTAAATCATTCCTCAGGCACGTGGTATAGATATCAATCCTCATCCTACGGACCCAGTTCTCCCAGCCGGGGTATCTCGCATGCGGGAGAACCACGACCCGATCCCCGGGCATCAATCCTTTAATCCAAGTCCCGCGCTCGGCATCCGTCACCTCGGGATCGGCTAGGCTCCAGACCAGCTTATGCGTGTGCCAGGTGCGGTTCGCGCCGCGGTTGTGCGCGAGGTAGATCTCGTGGTTCGTTGTGCCTTGGTCCTGAGGCCCCGACAGCTCCTGCGCGAACACCGAGTTCTCTCGCCGATGCACGTCCGCTGTGAACCAGGTCCAGCTCTCGCCCCGCGCCGGGTTCGAGCAGTATCCTTGGTCGTGGCCTGTGATTTCGAATTCTACGCGTCGGACGGGCTTGGTGGATAGGCTGGTGATGGCTTGGCTAGTTAAGTACGGGATTACGGGGTCGCCCCATCGTCGGACTTCCCCGCCTTTATCGATACTGATTCGCGTGCTGCTTGATCGGATCCAGTACTCTGCTAAATCCAGGATAAACGAAGCTAAGTATGTTGATGTATGGGTTCGGTGGCATGATTTTGATAGGGGTGAGTTCTGCCGTCTCAGCTTCCTTCTCAGACATAATGCTGCTGTTATGATGTCTTCCTCTTGCTTTGGCCAGTATTCTACGCTAGCATTTGGATTAGGAGTGGTTGAAGATCTGCGAAGTATGCTATTTCCCCGTGGTTGTTGTTGCAGCCATGCGGTGTCATCTGCGCTTAAGTTGCCGGGCTCTGGCGATAAGTGGTAAGTGGCCATGATACCTACTATGTCCGAGAATCGTCTTTGGATCGCTACATGAAGTGGCGTAATACCCTTGTTGTCTTTGATATTAATATTGGCGCCAGCTTTCAAAAGCCTCGAACATATATCGGCTAAGTTATCGTCGGTCGCTAGGTGTAGCGCAGTCTGACCGCATTGATTCCGCGAATCGACTTGGATTCCATCCTGCTTCAGCAATGCGATCACGGCATCTAGATTGCCACTCTTTGCTGCATAATGAAGGGGCAGGTTTCCTTTAGAATCCGGAATGTTATAAAGCTGGAGGTTTGCGAATTTCTGTATCAAGAATTCCGTATTCTCGGGTTTATTCCCTCCAGCAGCGTAATGTAATACACCGTTCTCGCCGGGTCTATTCAGCAGGTCGGGGGTAAGGTTTTCTAATAATAGGTTGATCATCGTAGGACCACAGGTCCTTGCGGCAAGGTATAATCCGGAGAGTACTTGCGAGGGATAGAAGTCGACGAATTTATGCTGACCGTTTTTGGCCAATATTGTGTCGACAGCTTGAATATGGTTGCGGCGAATGGCTGCCTCGAATGGTGTATCGCCTTTTCTATCGCGCCTCTGCAATAGGCCGTTGGCGTATGAGCTGTCCAAGAGTGCATCGAGTATCCGTTGAGGGCCAGAGATCGCGGTCTTATCGGGGTTCTTGACGCTGAAAGAGGAGTCGCTAGCAGCTAAATGTAGCGCCGTCTTCCATTCAAAATTCCCGGTGAGAATGACTTTTTCTCTACGTCCTGGAGGCCATTGAGTCTTTTCGTAATGTCCCATAATACATTCAAAGACGCTGAAGTCAGTTGTATTAACAGCCTCCATAAGCGCGGTGCTCCAATACACGTCGTGCTGGATAAGCAGCTTGCTAATCGTGTCCTTTTCCATTATTGCATCTATTAATTCGGTCTTAGACCCCTTCGCAGCGTGGGCCCATCTTATGGCTTCTTCGAGAAGAGTCGTGGACCACTCATGTTCACAGTGCGCATATATATCGACGCCGTAGCCCAAGAGGACCTGGAGAGCACCTAGAGATCCATAACCAACTGCAAAAACTGCGGGCTGCCAACCTATAGGATGCTGTATCGCTTGGTTTGCATCTAATTTGATGCTTGGGCTGCTTAGGAGTGCTTCAATGGATTGAACAGAATCGTTGAGGCAAGCCCAGTGAAGCGAGTTTCCGAACCAGTTCTCATTAGGATCGCCTGCCTGTTCTGTGTTTTCTATCAACCACTCGAGGCTTACTGTAAAAGGACGGTCCGCGTCGCTCCTAATCAAGCCAAAGAACGCGGCAACATCCATTGCGACGGCTTTCGTAAAAAGAGCATTGCGAAGGTCAATTTCCTGCATAACTGACGAAACTCTTCCCCCAAGGTGTAGAAGAATAGTTATAGCGGCACGATTAACATGCTCTGGGCGCTTTAGGAATTCAAGTAACAGTTCCGTAGTCTCGCTTGAAACGTCAGACTCTCCCGAGCCTAGGACTTCGGCCTCCCGACCGCAGTGATATCCGAAATTTAGAGCCGCATACGCTAAAAATGGCGTCTCTTCTTGTGAGGGCCACATCTGGGCCACATATCCACCTTTCGACAGGGTAATGTCATTAAGCCCGAGGAAAGTTATGCAGGTCAACGCTATGTCCCCGTGACTGTGAGCGAACTCTTCGCTTTCTCTAACGGAATTGAAATATTCCTGCGTGGTATAGTGAACGAATCTAACAGTTTTGCTATCGCCTTCCACGACGACAAGACCAGCGCAATAGTTTGCAATATCGCTTTCGTCGCCGACAGCATCTTCATCTAACTCCTCGTCATCCGGACTAACGGCAAGCGCGCACAAGAGCTCGGCGAGTTTAAGCGGTCGCCTAGCGAAGCAGACCCAGCGAATGACCCGCAAGGCAAATTCCTCGATGTTGACACCCTGATCTCGGATACGCGACATGGCTTGGTCATACGTATCCTTCACCACGTTTTCGCCCTTGGGTATGCGGCTGAGCTCCCTTTTCAGATCCTTCAGTGTAATTGACCTACTCAAGGAGTCGAGATGCATCCTACAAAGAAGAAACCTGGGCGCAGAATAATATCAGTGTCTACCTTATTCAAGAAATAAGGGGCGTTAAGTGTGGGACAGCATACATTCCGTTAGCTCTGTCGATCACGATGCGTCGTATTTCCTTTGCTAATTCTGGTTTTCGTTCGACGTAACTAGATATCTTCTTTGATTCTCGTATTCGCGCATCGATGTAAATGCCCATGTCTTCATTGGTTGGTGTAAACCAAATGGACCTCACGTCGTTGAATCCCCCGTTGTCAGAATGAAGGGTCCGAGATGTGACCAACACATTCACTAAAGGCTGCAAACTATGGAGACCGTCTATGAACCCGTTACGTTCATTTTCGTCGCTACATTCGTCAAGGGCGTCGACAACGATATAGACTCGCTTCCAATCCCCATTAGTCAGCTCTTCTCTTATCAAATTGATCATATGTGTTCTATTCGGCGTGAAGTCAAAGCGCGCGAAAATCTCTCCGAACATTTGCTCAACCTCAGTCGCAGAGGGTCCCCGTCGAAGAAAAAGTTGAGCCCATATATTACCGAGCAGTATCGATGCTTTCTGGTCTTGCCGCTGACGATAGTCGCAGTAGACATATGCCAAGCTGCTAGTATCACTTCCTTTGACCTTCTCATAAAGATACTCGATGGCTGTTGAAGCCATGACTGTCTTGCCGGCACCGGGTGCTCCTGAACACCATAGGGTCGACCCACTAGACTGCATCCAGTCTTGGAACTCAGGGGACTGAAGGAACCACTGGTTGGTTTCATCTTGTCTCTGTTGGAGAACGTTGCTGTGTTTCTCTGAAAAGCTAACCGGAGCGAAGTGGTGCACAATCCGGTCCATTTTACCCCGGATATTCTCTTCCTCCACGCTGCTGTTGAGTGCTTTGACACCCTCATCAATCGTCTTGGTCTTCTGATTGGTGTCGAGTGAGAGCCATGAACCAATCAATCCATTCATGCGTGCCGCCTTGTTGATGGTCTTCTCTATGTCCTTGTCCATATGGACGAAACGTACTCTTTGCAAGAGGCCCTTAGGGCTCAACTTTTCAAATTGCCGAGCCAGATTGATCATGCATGTTTCTAGGTCTTTGATGAGCTCCTCCAGCCCTAAGGGGCTACGAGTTGTAGAGTCGGTAATGACCTGTCGCTTGACTTCATATAGAAATTGAAGCATCGTACTGGCTGTATGACCAAGATCATCGATCATCTTGGATGCGCCAATTACAGCAGCGCAATAGTTGATGACTTTGCCGGTAACCTCTATTAGCTGTATAATAGAGGCGACAGAGCCTACAACATCCATCGCGGGCGTACTTTAGCCCGCAACTGCATACGCAGTCACAGAGCTTCCAACTTAGTAATAATATCGATATAATAGAAATGGCGCCGTAGATTAAATAGAATACTCTTAAAATTTCGTATAAACGAGAGTCTGAAAATGGCGAAATAAACGAACTAAGATTGGACGAACGAGCCATGCTACCGTGGTGATATCGTGGGGATTAAGTAAACATAAAGAGGAGCAAAACGTGTTTCATGAGCTTCAGCCCGAATGGTATGGTATCTATGAATAGGATCTATCAGGTGACGCCTTACCCCGGACTTCGTCAGTCGAATTTGGTGATTACCTACCCCTATTGCCCTTAGGGGCTACGTTAATAATCATCCTAGCTAGGTGTCAGCAGAATGTACCTAGTATCTAACCAGACTTGATACATATATGTAAGCGACGCTGAGCTCGTGTCACCACATGTTACACGTAACAAGTATTTAGGGGGTGTGAAATCTGCAGGTTCCTGGTCGATGGGATGGATCGGGTTTCGACGCCAAGGCCTGCAGCCATCGGGAAAATCAGTCTTGGAGCTTACCAGGGATCGGCGATGATACCCTCATTCGGCCGAGACGATCCTACACAGATCATATATACAGCCAGCCTTACGAACTGTTGGAATATGAAAATTTCAAGTATGGTTCTAATATCATAGGTATTGTTTTAGTTACCTATTTTCATGTCAACTAGGTACCAAGTAGGCTGATATAATAATAAAAGCTTCATGTACCTACCCAAATGATTCCGATTCAAAAGTAATACAATGTCTCACTTGTGCTTTTTTGGCCCCCACAACCCCCACTCTGCGGTATTATCCACTTTCGTCCTTACATCCGTCATCGTGGACTTCTAACGCAAGGGTTTTTCATAGGTACCTACCTATTGACTTGTGTATATTTCTATTATTAATCACACGCTACCTATTCTGCTATCTTTCTATTTGCGAAGTTCCTAATCCTCTATAGGTATAAAATCCAACGCTACGATTCCGATAGCAGTTCCTTGAAAAGTGGTATCTCCTCTAGAAGTGAGGGGATATCGTTCCAATTCACCAACCCAACCTCAAGCCATTTAAGACGCCACATCTCTAGTGTCCATTCACGGCGTTCTTCAGCCAGTTTCTTGGCTTCAGATGTGGAATATTCGCCGATATCGAAGTCACAACGGATAAAGGGGAAATTCTTATTCGCAATGGCTTCTTCGAGGGCTTGTGGGAAACCCGTGAATGTATCGAATGGGAAAGTACTGCATGGCCTATGGAAGAAATCCAGTGGCTCTAGAAGACCAAGCTTTACGTTTTCTTCTATGGCGGCCTGCCAGGTAGCATCTCGTTTTATGACGTTCTGGAAGACTTCCGAACATTTTTCTGGCGCTCTGTCGGCATCTTAGAGATATCGGGTTAGCCCTCATCGACTTCGTCTTCCAAGTAGCCTGTTTTGGGATTAAGTCCGTAGCAAATAAGATTGGTGTACTCACGAAAGACTAGAGAAAATGAATCGATAGGCATTTGAGCACTAACAAGTGACATGGCCTCCATGGTCCACAGCGCAACCGACCGTGTCATCGATTCCGATAAATGGGCGTCTAATGTCTCTAGGCCTCGTATGGAAGGATATACGGGAATATATTTGCAGACCCTCGGAAGAGCGCCCTGTAGGAAGATATTCCTCCATAAGTGAACACGGCGCTCGATTCGGAGAAGGGGGTTGTGCTGGCAGAATGGGATGAGGCCCATTCCATGAGACGCAGACATGGATACGGCTGGATGATCCTCCTCTAAGACGATATTTCTGATGTAGGCGCGGGTTTCCTCTTTAATACTTGTTAAGAATTTGATAGCTAAAGCGGCGGCTGAAAAGCCGAACTTGGTAACATCCGTAGACGGAGGAAAAGTATCTAACATCTGATATATATCAGAGTCTGTTTCTTTGGGTGTCCTAACAATCCAAGGATCTTGGAAATATGTTGTGGTTGTAAGGTAATCCGCTATGGGAATGGTGCGCCATTCATCTTTGAGGTGACCAGTATCTCTCTTGAAATTGGGGTGGGTATGCGCAAGGAACAGAGCACAGTCCATTGCCTCCTAGGCCTCGTAGGGCGCATGACCTATGTTGTCAAGTCTGATTTTTGTCCTGAAGTTGTCGAAGAAATGTCTAAATTCTGGGTAGTAAGCCATGCCAAATCGAGCCTCCTTATCCTTATTATAGCATCTCTTTGTGTACTGGAAGATTTCGCATTTCACATTATGGTTCTTTAGGAGCGCTATTCCTACGTACTGTGCGAGAGGAAGCGCCTCTTCCGAGTGGTAGGGATAGAAGGTGATTGTATTGATACTGAGGGGGGAACCCTGCATCTCGCGATATATTGACCAACATGTAAACATGAGGGATAGTTCAATGAGGCCACCATCGGCTTTTCTTAACTTGTTTGTCTCGGGATTATAGACATAACCGCCATCGACGAGGAGATAATGGTCCTAGATTATCTTTCGTACGCTGTCGGGTAACGGATAGAAGACCGAGCGTCTATACATGGTTCTGATGGAATATAGTAACGAATGAAACGAGGTAAAATATCCTGGATTTAATGGCGGGATTGTTGTAGTTGAAAAGAGAACTTTGGAAGTTAGGTACCTATCTACTTAGGTAGAGATACTAAACGAAAGACTTCGGTATGTCATGGGTATCTCATAGGTACTAGGCACTTACTCGTACCTGACGTGTTTTATGTTGGGGAAATAGCGACTATAATAATGCAGTAGCGATGGCAGATGGCAGATTAGGTACCTACGGATGTAGGGCTGATAGGGTAGAAATCAGTGACCCTCCGGTCCTCGTAGCACCAATAGATCTGTCCTGCCGTCGTGGGTCGTGTCTCACTAACTAATGCAGGTTATATAAGCACACATGCGTATACGTCGTACCTACCAGATGAATAGGTACCTAATATGATGTCGGTCCGCTTATTTAGATCTCTTGTCCTCCCCAAACTCAATTTTTTAATTTTAACATTCTACTCTCATTCTCCCCTTTCTTTCGTATTAGAAACTGTTCTGGGAAGGGCAGAGTTTAAAAGAAAAACTACTAGAATTATTAAATAGACGATGGCGTCAGATCTCAGACTACTCAATGCGGCTATCGATAACACGCCCCTCATCGACAACCATGCCCATCCGTTGTTGAAGTACGGAGCCGTAACTAATCACCCGCTGCTTTCTATTGCCAGTGACGCTCACGGCGCTGCTCTCGAAGATTCAAAGTTCAGTCTTCCTCACGTTCGGGCTGTAAAGCAACTAGCTAGAGCTCTCAACTGCAAGGAAACTTGGGAAGCTGTCGAGGCGGCCATCGAGCGGAAACGGAATGAGTCACCCGATGCATGGGTCAAATTCTGTCTAGAGGACATTGAAACTATACTCATTGACGATGGACTCGATAGACCTAATCTATCCGAGTCGTATTCGTGGCATGACAAGTTCACCAAGAGCAGATGCAAGCGGATTGTCAGAATCGAAACCGTGATGGCAGATGTCATTGCTCATTTCCTGCAACTTGGGAGTGACATCATTTTCAAAGATTCATTTATGGGTCATGTCCTAGATAAGTATACGCTCGAGATACAGAAAGCTCTCGATGATCCTGATGTTGTCGGTTTCAAGTCTATCATATGTTATCGGCGTGGACTAGATATCCCGCCAGAGATCCAAATTAAGACCGAGGATGCAAAGATAGCCCTTCGGGGAATCATTAGTGGCGGTTTAAGGGACGCCTATGGCGATGGCTTTTCTCTAGTGAAGAGGCTAGAACACTCGCCTCTTAACGACTTAGTCGTTCATACAGCTGCGAAGCTAATTCGCGACGCTTCCGGCCATAAGAAACCGCTCCAATTTCATACCGGGCTTGGTGACAATGATATCACGCTAACTAAATCATCTCCGTCTCACCTGCAGAACTTCATTCGAGAATATCCTACCGTCCCGATCGTACTGCTTCATGCTGGTTATCCCTGGACTAAGGAGACGGCATATCTAGCAACAATGTACCCTAACGTCTACGCTGATATCGGAGAGGTATTCCCTTGCGTCAGTCGTCAGGGGCAAGAAGCTGTTGTGAAAGAGATGCTGGAAGTTTGCCCCTGGACTAAGATTCTCTGTAGCACGGACGGTCATGGTTTCCCAGAGATGTACATGATAGCTGTAAATCAAATCCGTTCTGTCCTTGAGTCAGTAAGTATTTGCTCTCTATTTAGAATCGTACTTGTTATATCTAACTGGGTGTTTCTAGATATTAGGAGCGCTCGTACGTAATGACCAGATTGACGAGAAACAGGCGGTACAGATTGTCCAAGCCGTCTTATTTTCCAACTCAAAGAAGCTTTACAATCTCCAGACTGTCTCCATTCTACCAAATCTTGCACAGTTGGAAACGGTCTCGCGCACTAAACAAACGAGCAACCAGTCTATCGTGCAAAGACTGCAGAGCCTAAAAGCCAAATATCTACGTATTTACTGGCACGACTATACATCTACTTCCAAGTGTCGGACCCTGCCAATCAGACAAGTGTACAAAACACTATCTAGCGGCAAACCTGTAACCCTATCTATTACCAAAGCCGGCCTCGGGTTACTGCAAACAGACGCCATGATTCCGCAGGTAAATGCCTCCGGTGCATTCACGGTGCAAGTGGACTGGTCTAGCCTAAAACCCGGTCCAGCCGCCGGCCACGTCAGCGTCTATGGGGATTTCACAGAGCAAGACGGCACCCCAGCATCTGTATGTCCACGCACGACCTTACGCACGACCCTCTCGAAAGCTGGTGAGCTGGGCTTGACATTCCTGCTCGGCTTCGAGGTGGAGTTCGTCGTTCTAGACCGTGTCCAACCTGCCGATTTTAACGGCATGGATAAGTACGACACGCGGCGCAGCAACGGACATTCGTGGTCGACCGCCCGCGTTCTGTCGGACTGGGGCCGCGAAGGTAGTTTTAACACCGCGTCAGAGGAAATGATGGACGCTCTCGACGCCGCAGGGATTTCATTCGAGCAGTTCCACCCCGAGAGCGCGCCGGGTCAATATGAACTCGTGCTCGCACCGCTCCCGCCCCTCGAGGCCTGCGACAGCCTCCTACACGCGCGACAGATCCTTGAGTCGGTAGCCGCGCGCCACGATTTCCGCATAACTCTACACCCTAAGCCATTTTCTACGGCCTGCGGCTCGGGCTCGCATGTGCATATGTCCATTTCATCTCCTGGAGGCGATAGGCCTGCGGTCTACGAGCCATTCTACGCGGGTATCCTCGGACATTTCCGGGCTATAACGGCGTTTGTGAACCCGAGCCCGGCTAGCTATGAACGCATGATTGACAGCTACTGGGCCGGGGGGCGATGGATCACGTGGGGCACGCAGAATAAGGAAGCACCGCTGCGCAAGGTCGAGGGTAGTCACTGGGAGCTCAAGGTCATGGACGGCATGGCGAACCCGTACCTCGCAATAGCAGCGCTTCTTAGCGCCGGCACCCACGGCTTTCGCAGGAAGAGCCCCCTCACCTGGGGTGATTGCCTCGGGGACCCAGCTAAGATGGACGAGAGGGAGAAGCGGAAGTTAGGGATTACTACGCTGTTCCCCGGAAACTTGAGGGAAGCGCTAGACGCGCTGAAGCAAGACGGCTTGGGGTTGAATCCCGACGTTGTGACGAGGTATATCAATATTAAGCATGCAGAGCTGGAGATGCTGGAGAAGATGAAGCCGGATCGGAGACGGATGTGGTTGATGGAGAGGTATTAGATGGGGTTGAGAACGAAAAGCATATCGGTAGATGCATGAAGATGGTCGGTTGGATTTTAGAGCACTTAGACATGAGACATGAATTCATCAGATCTTGGTTTAGCTCTCGTAAGTGGTATGTGCAACGTGACCAAGAACCATTGTCACTCATCTAGATTATCTCAGTTTGGGTATCACAGAAGTCTGAATACCTCTGTACAAGACCTAGGAGCCACCTCATCCCCTTAATCAAACGTCGTCTTCTTGCCCTGGGATCTAACAACCGCGCCTGTGAGATACGACGCCGTGGCCGAGTCTCCGTATGCCGCCTTCGACACCCCCTCGGTCTTCTCCCCAAACGCCGGTTTGTTCTCGCCCTCCGACCTATGAGTTCGCGGATCCCGCCTAAATTCCCTCTTCCCCTGCGTCTTCCCTGCGGGCGCATCCTTGCCGAATCTCTTCTTATACCGGACCTGATCATCCTCCGCTGATTCAATCTTCAACTCACGGCCTTTAAGCCTGTTAACCCACCACTTCCGCATCTTAAACTTCTTCTCCTTCTCTCCCTCCGCATTGCCTTCGTCGTCGCGGAAGTCGTCTTCAGTCTCGATTTCTTCCTTGATCTTTACAAACCCTTTGACAGCCGATGATGCGGCCTCAGCCTCCTTGAACTTAACCCAGCCGAACCCCTTGCACTTCCCGCTATCCTCGAATGTAGCGACTTTGATCCACTCGATCTCGCCACACTTGTCAAAATGTGCGCGCAGATCGTCTTCGGTTGTTTGGAAGGAGAGATTCCCGACATATATCTTCCTACTCGTCGGGACTACCTTCTCCGCACCATTACTCGCAGCCCCTCCATTCTCCCCCGCAGCCTCCCTCTTCGGCCGTCCCTCATACGACTTCGAGTCCTTGATCAGCACCTTCCGTCCACCAATCTCCGTCTCGGTAAGCGCCAGCGCCGCGACCGCCGCAACCTCCGCGTCGAAGTCCACGTACGCGAACCCCTTGTTCTGCCGCGTCGCCGGGTCCTCCGGGTTGCCGTATCTCCTATCCTTGCTCGTCGGCAGGTTCACCCGCGTGATGTTCGCCTCCGTGATCGCGCCCCCGGAATTCTCTACTAGCCATTTAAACAGCTCGACCCGCGTCACTGTGAACGGCAGGTTGCCGATCCAGACGCCGTGCTGGGCGCGCTTCTTGTCCCCGCCCTTGGCGCTCTTGACTTGGTCTTTGGTCTTGGGGATCTGTAGCTCGTCTTCGGATTCGGCGTCGTCGTCGCTGTTGGGTTTCACAGGGAGGGGTTTTCCTTTTTTGAGTAGACGCTTTGCTTTTTTGGAGGGCGGTTCCGGGAGCGTGAGGTCGACTTCGATTTCATCGATTTGAGACTTGCGCTTTTTGGATTGGTCGGTGGGTTCGTCGGCCTTCGAGGGGCTTTGTAGCGAGGTTTCTGTCGCGGTGGCCGTGGCCATTGTGGATTGGTGGTTTGAGAGTGGGTTTGTGCTTTTCTGGGTGCTTTACGCAGGATTGACGGGTGTTCTTGTTTGAGATTGTGTGGACTTGAAAAGTTGTAGGATGAAGCTTTCACGAAAATTTTATGGGGCGTGGTACTGATAAGATAAAAACTGGTGAGACTGTTAAGTGCATATCACGCTCAAGTGAATAGGGGTATGCAACTGTGATGATATTCATTTTAGCGGTGAGTCGCTTAGAAAAGGGGTAATGATGCTCTTTTTTGCCCCGAGCAACCTTTCCTATATTCCTGAATCCTATTTCATATATCTATTAGGGCTATTTACTAAGTATTGAGTACCTATGAAAATACTGCAAACAGATAGCGAAATAAGATATACCGCCGAAAGCAAGGCTGAGTATGAGAAGTGAGGCAGACCCAGGTGAGTGTCCTGGAAGTTTCCTAATTTACTTACCTTCCTATCTGTATCTCATCGTGATATAGCTGTAAATGACGTCTTCATGCTTTGTGGCGCAAAAGTCGTATGTCGGACGTCCGTACCGACCCAGTTTCCAACGAGGTAACCAAGACGTCAGGCACAATACCCGCGATACGATGTGGCGCGAAATTTTGGTAAAGATTATATTAATTTCGTACCAAGCCACTTACACTTCCGGAAAGTTGACCGAGCTATTCAATCAATATTCGGCCAAAGAAGAAGCAAGAATCTTCAGCTTTAGGCAAGCCAACAATCTACCGCAATAAGATTGGTTGGAGTGTAAGACAACCTGTTGATCCCGGTTCTTTGCTTCGTCTGCAGAAAACATGTGGCTTGAGTCTCTACTAATCCCTTATGCGTTCACTCACACCTTTTCTGCGGCTGTAAGGACGCCTTACGATAATTGTTACCTAGTTTCCGATCTTGTAATACCTTCAAAAATCTGGAAGATCTTGAAAATGATTGGCGCATTTCCATACAGTGGCTGCGAGTTCCTGGCGCCAAATCTGATTTATGGTCCAACTAGCTACCTTTAATAATGGGGGGCTACATCTATATGCGGGTATGCGTACCTTCAACAACGGAGTACTGTCCTACCCAGCTACCTGGAAACTTATAAGGGGGTAAAGGGCTAACAGCATGTATTGGATCAACTCGCTCATCGCGTTAGGCTGCCTGTGTAAGTTATCGAATAATCTGTAAGTTAAATACCTCCTTTACGTTCCACCCTAGTAGGGGCCATCTTTATAATGCGATAAAATTATAATAATATTCGAAATTTTTTCTATATATAAATTAATTAAATTTTACTTAATCTTAAAATTAAATATATTATTTTATTTTTTAGTTTTTTAATTTTTTAAAATGTTTAATTTCGAAATTTAATTACGTATAATGTAAGTATTAAAAACTATTTTAAATAAATAATTATTACGTAATGTATCGAAATAATATTATATTATTAAACATTACTTATTTTTACGAATAATAAGTATATTAATAAAAAAAAAATATTTAAAAATTTTTTAAAAATTATTTATTGTTTAAGAATAAAATTTAACGAATTAAGTTATTACGTTAAGTTATTTTAGTTATGTATTTTTTTTAGTTTATTTTAGAGATATAGTTTTAAAATTAATTTCTTACGATAAAATTAACGTTACGTTAGGAAAGAATTAATATATTCGTTTTTTAACACGTCATTTTAAATTTAAGTTTACTAGAATTTATTTAATTAATTATAAACGAATTAATAGTATTATACTTAAAAATATTAATTTTTTTTTCGATAAGTTTAATTTATTATAATTAGTAAACATTTTAGTCGAATATTCGTATAACGTTAATAAAATAAGATTAATAAAAAACGTTAATAATAACGGCGTTATAATTAATAATGTTTATTAACAATTTCTATTAATTAAAAATAATAATAATTACACTTAAACGTTAATAATTAAATATATTAATGGTAACTTTTAAGCCTTAAACTTATTTATTATTTTCGCTAATAAATATATTTAATAATAATAATTTCTTAATAAAAAAAAAACTAATTTTAAAAATTAATTTTTTATAACGTTACTTAATAATTAAATTAATAATAATATTACACTATTATAACTTAATAAAATCTTTATACCTTTAATTAAACTTAAAAATTTTAACTAATAACGACTTTTTATTCTCGATAATTATAATAACCATATTATTATTAAATTCATATAAACTTATTAAAATAATAAAATCTAATTAATCTTTTTCTTATTATATACATCTTATATATTATAACCTTTAAATTTTAATATTTTCTTTACATTTAAATAAATTTATCGTTAAAAGCTTTTCTTAACGTACCTTATTTTTTTTAATAATTATCTTAATAAAAAGGAATTTCTCCTAGCTTATTAAATAGTAAAAAAAAATCATTTAAAACTATATAATTTTAAAGCCGAATAAATAGCCGCCGGGATTTTTCCCCGGGACTAGAAAAAGCTATTAAACTCTCGATAAATGTTTCGAGCGGCCCAAAAATCTACCCCGAAGCCTTTTTTATACTTTAATAAATCCTCGAAACCGGATTTTACCCGAGATTTAAGCTTAATCCTTATACGAACATTTTTTAGTTTTAAAGATATAAATTTAATGGTAAAAGATCTTATTACCGCAAACCTAGTGTTCGCTAAACTTACAACCCAGTTTTTATTCAAGAAAATAAATAAAGCATTTAACCTTACTACTAATAAGATCGCCACTGTAGAAGCCAGGGTTCACTTCTTAAAAACTAAGTTTGAAAAGGCAAAGCCTACGAAACGTAGAAAGGTAGTACCGAACCCTAATAATACTTTTACAACCATCAAAGATATTTAGAAAATAAGGTAAGAAGTAAGGGATGAATTAGTAAAGACTTCTATTATAATCCCTAATTCCCAGCTCCAGGAAGGCATTAAGGATTTGTTGATCGAGTTGGAGGCGGAGGATTACATTATCGTTAATTCTACTTAATTTCAAGTCAATTAAGTAAATATTAATTAAGATATAATATTTTAAAGATATGGTAGTGATTATCGTAGACCTAAAATCCGGGGTAGCCCCTGCTAAGGTAGAACATGAGGAGGGTATTTAACTTAGGTACGGAGTCCTATGTAGGCGTACAGATATGAGACATCAAAATGTCAAATATAGAAACGCTGTTCAATTGACTGAAGGTATGGAATCGTTATTAAGGCTACGGCGCGGCTTCATGGCCGCAAGAAACGTTCAGAGCCACATACCTATTCGTTAATTCTTACCTTATTCTCTATTTTGTTTATATTCAAGGTCACCAAGTCGCGATGGGCAAATCCAGCATTGTTTCCAATATCAAGAAGAAATTTTCAAATCCCAAAAAGAAATTCCCGGGGTACAAAACTCTTTCCTCCTATTCAAAACGGGATAAGAGTATAATTGGCTGCATATTGGTGGTAGCCCTAGCGTTCCTCATAAACCTATCCCTGCTTCTTTACTTGATCATCCGAGACAATGGGTTCAAGGCCTATGGCGACCTTTTTACCGAAAGTTGTGATCAAATGAAGACTATCGAAACTGTCATACATCTTATCATCAACATGCTCTCCTCTATGATTGTGGCGGCTACCAACTATTGCACTCAGCTACTTGTCGCCCCAACTCAGAATGAAGTTACCCGAGCACACGGGAAAGGCGATTGGCTAGAGACGGGAGTGCCGGGCTTCCACAACCTGTTACATAGTCGAATCAGCGGGAGACGCAGGCTGATTTGGGGTATCATGATGATAACTTCCGTACCTTTACATCTATTGTAAGTAGGTAATAGACTCCGCCAATCGAGAAGAGAATATGACTAACTCCAAGTTTTATAGTTGGAATTGCATTATCTTCTCAGCCATTCCCGTCACTAAATATCAAGTCGCCCTTGTTACTTCCGATTTTCTCCATGATCCGCAGCCGTGGAACAATACATGGATTACCGATGGCCTATTCTGGAGTACATATGACGAGCCCATTGGAAGAGCGGATCATACCGCGGAACTCAGGGGTATGCTCCTCGAAAACCAACTCGAGCGCCTGGACAGACAAGCATGCGTGGAAAGATATATCGACACTGATATCCGGCACAAAGATGTTGTGATTGTTGCATCAAATATCTCCATGGACCAGGGCTTATCGTTGGTGCCCAGCAACAAGAATTCTTCATTGATCTACATGCATGGGACTTTCACTACACGATCGAAGTGGATGTGGACTTCTGCTTGGATGTGTTCGAGTTGGCACTCGGGTAATATAACGGTCGGGATGGGCCAGCCATGGTGCTCAAGCAACCTTCTACTTCCTCATGCCGACGATTGGCTTCTGAAGAGCTGGAGACAAGATAATAATGGTGCAGTACTACGCGAAGTCTTGCTTAGCGTTGACTACTGCCTCTCTGCTGGGGCGGAACAAATTCCACAAGGATGTGCAATCCGGTACAGCAGCATCCTCATCTTGATCGTGACTCTGATGAACGCGGTAAAATTAGTCTGTCTGTGGCTTATCTGGAAGATCCACCAAACGAGTAAGAACGAAGGGCGCGAGTATCAGTCGCTTGTCACTCTGGGTGATGCCATCGCGAGTTTCTTGCGCCACGAAGATAAGAACACCATGGATTTGGACTTTCTAGAACGAGAGGATTGCACAAGGAAAACGTTCGCAATTCCAAAAACCCAACAAGCCAAGGAAATGGCGATTAAGTCGAGAATTTCTCGGCTTCGTCACTCAGTACGTTGGTTTCGCGCTACAACAAAATCGCTATGGGCTACTACAATATTATCGTAAGTTCAATCTAAAAAGAGGAGTTGTTGGTTTAACGAGATTATAGATACCTTATAATAGTAGGTGGTTTGATCATTGTTCTCGTCAAGGCACTGACTGCCTTGGTTGGATATGAGCAATCAGTCGACTTCAAATCGTTGTGGCAAATGGGTCTTGGGCATGTTCAAGCATATGCCATATCTCTAACAGAAACATGGGGCAACATGGGCGAGAATGCGTTTTATGCTACAGCTTTCCTGGCAAACGGGTGTCAAATAATCTTGAGCTCTGGCTGGTATTTCGCCAACTCACTGCTCAGCAGGATGCTCCTTGCGCGCCAGTGGTCGCAGTTCATAACACAACGCAAGAACCTTCGAGTTTCGGAACCAACTGGAGATCAGAGATCATCCTACACACTGTCGTTGCCGTATCGTTATAGCATACCGCTTCTCATCGCCTCTGCAATGGCTCACTGGCTTATGTCGCAAAGCTTGTTTGTTGTGCAAACATTAGGATTCATGTACCAGCCCACTCATAAAACTGACGACGGCTTCGTACGGATCCCAGATCTTGACGGTTCCGTTTTAGGGTTTTCCGCGATAGGCATGATCCTTACTATAATTACCCTTGGAATCCTCCTGATAGCACTGTTAGCTCTGTCGATGAGAAAACTCCCTTGTAGAAAAACCGACGATGCTGAGGTTAGTGAGGTCATTCGCATGCCTGTTTCTGCAGCCTGCAGTGCCGCAATTAGTTCGGCATGCCACCCTAGCGCGGGCGAAAAGGAAGCCGAACTACTTCCTCTTCAATGGGGAAAGGACGAGACAGGGGTATGGGGCTTTACAAGTCGAACACCACTTGGGTATTCGCTTCGTGGCTAAATCTATTAAGAGAATAAGATGTCTGTGTTGAGTTGTGAGAATTGGTAGTTAGAAGATTAGATTGTCAAAGTTTCGACGAAAGAAAGTTGATGTGGGATGGAGATTAAGTGATCTAACTAGAAATGGAATAGCGGGAACTCATATGTAAGAAATACAGCCCATTTAGGCTAAGAGCGGGGTAATGGGGCACTACCTATTCGCTGCCAGGTTCCGCATCTTAATCTTACTTGTCGTTCTTAGCTGCGCGCCTTCCGTTTGACGTGCTGTGTATAGTAAAGTGGGCTGACCGTCTTATTTTAGTGGGAGCGGGAGCCCAAGTACCAACTACAACCGCACCGGATTTTATTTTGACTTTTTAACAAAACATCCCATAAGCAGTCTCGTCTCGACTTCCCACAAGATGGCTGCTAAAGCTCCCTCGGATGAGCTGAACAAGCTCAGTAGTAAGCATTGCTGGATATTTCACCTAACAGACTAAATTTTTAACGTCAGATTAGTTGGCGAGGGTGGTGCTGCTAACGGAAAGACCGCGAAGGCAGCTAACGGTGCTAAGGACGGCGAACTGGCAGAACAATCTGGAGAAGATTCTGACGACGATGCTGATGACCAAAATGTCGGGGCTGCCCCAGAAGCAGCAAAGAAAAAGAAGAACAAGAAGAAGAAACCTAAGAAGAAGAAGAAGGCACCCACTGCCCAAACAGACCCACCAAGTGTCCTGATGTCCCAGCTGTTCCCCAACAATACCTACCCCAAGGGCGAAGAGGTCGAGTACAAGGATGAGAACCGTTACCGTACCACGAGCGAAGAAAAGAGACACTTAGACAACTTGAATACCGAGTTCCTGACAGACTACCGCCACGCTGCCGAAACCCATCGTCAAGTCCGTCAGTGGGCACAGAAGAACATCAAACCTGGCCAGAGTTTGACCGAGATTGCCGAAGGCATCGAAGATAGTATTAGGCGACTAGTTGGTCACGATGGGTTGGCAGAAGGCGACGCGAAGATTGCTGGAGTGGGGTTTCCCACTGGTTTGAACTTGGATCATATCGCTGCCCATTTCACACCCAATGCCGGTAATAAGACAATTCTGGCACAGAGTAATGTCATGAAAGTTGATATTGGTGTTCACGTCAACGGCAAGATCGTGGATAGCGCTTTCACCATGGCATTTGACCCTATGTATGACAACCTGTTGGCAGCTGTGAAAGATGCCACGAATACAGGAGTCAGGGAGGCTGGTATCGACGTTCGTCTAGGTGAGCTTGGTGGACTCATCCAAGAGACGATGGAGAGCTACGAGTGCGAGATCAACGGCACCACATACCCCATTAAGTCGATTCGCAACCTTACTGGCCATACCATTTTACCGTATAGTATTCATGGAACCAAGAGCGTTCCTATTGTGAAGTCGACAGACAACACGAAGATGGAAGAAGGCGATGTTTTCGCTATTGAGACTTTCGGAAGTACCGGAAATGGGTATGTTCACGATGAAGGAGAAGTCTCCCACTATGCTTTGCGCAGTGATGCTCCGAAACCAGATCTGCGATTGTCCTCTGCCAAGTCGCTTCTTAATGTCATCAAGAAGAACTTTGGCACTCTCCCGTTCGCACGCAGATACATAGACAGACTTGGACAGGAGAAATACCTACTGGGTGTAAGCATCTCCAAGCGATCCCGACCCTCTTGTTGGCAGTATCTGACACCATATCAGTTGAAAAATCTTGTGCAGAATGACATTGTAGAGGAATATCCACCTCTACTAGATAAGAAGGGTTCATACACCGCCCAATTCGAACACGTGAGTTTGGAGAGTATGTCGCAAATATTAAGAACGATAACTAACATATCATAGACCATTCTGCTCCGACCTACTGTGAAAGAGGTCATCAGCCGTGGTGATGACTATTGAGTGAATTATGAAAGTGACCCATAGAAAATAGGAGTTATGGGGATAACTATCCCGCCACAGAACGGAGACATCTACCATGGTTTAGAGTTTACTGAGTTTCTTTCTACACTCTGATTCTAGATCTAAGGCTCGACTCAGAATATGATCTCCGAAGGAGAACCTGGAATAAATGGATATCTGATATAGGGGTCGACATCGAAGGCTGGTATGGTTGAATGGAAGCTTTCAGCATTGACCAGGCCGTATATCACAGGTCAAAGCTCAACCCCCTGCCCCCCTATCTTGGGTTGTTGAGATTCCTCATCTAAACTTATTTACGAAAATCAATAAACATGCATTGCTTTCACTGGCTACATACCTAGTACGCACCATGTTGCGGGTCTAGTGGGCATCTTCCAGTGGGCATCTGCATGCAACCAGTAACTTCATACTGTCATTGGGTCGTGGCTTCATTCGAGAATTCGTAGATTTGTGATGTACATAAGGAAGCGGATCTGATTCAGCTTATTCAGGAGAGGTTAGGTATGTAAGTTGTGTTCAAGAGTGGTTGATGTAAGAGGCTCAGGTAGATCATCCAGATCATTTAATGACTGGCGCTGCGTTCCGATTTTAGGATTACGAGTTGGACGAATGAGAGAGCAGTGATTTTTAGATTTATGGGTTTTATCATATGCAAAATGTGTGTAACTTGGAGTCTAGATGTTCGTTGACTCCGCAAACCGCTCCAGATTTTCGGACATATGGTCAAAGCTCGGTTCCATCAAAGACACAATCAAGCCAATCAAATGTTTGAAAATTGTCAGGGCTTTCAAGCCGTTTCCGCACTATTCTCTAACTTTTAAGCGCTAGTCTAGATATAGTATCGTAAGCGAAGTTTAATGACATACCGAACATTGCCGGGAGGGCAAAAAGGAAACTGCGATAAGAGTCGCCTCTCGTCACTCCCGATTGTAGGAAATTTTCTTAGAGCTTTGTCATTTGATTAGAAGAGTGGATTTTTTTTCTTTTAAGGGACCAAACGCCCTCATCTTCAACTTTTATTCACCATTCACCGCTGTCAGTTTAGTCCATCCTTTTTCGGGCACAACACCATCGTTTTAATACCGTTACGACAAGTAAACTTAATTGCCTCGTCAATTTCGTAGCGGTACGGGTTTAAATCTTAAGTGCGGTTTTCCGGTGCTTTTACCTTTCTTTTTTTTGGTGGGTAACGTTTTTACGGGATTTGGCATCTCGATCCGGATCTCCGACCGGCGTCAAAAATCAGCGCAAGAAACATTCATTTTCGCGAATCGCGCCTGACCAACCCACCTCAACCGAATTTAATCTCTCATCTATAGAAGTTATCGCCATCCCCGCGGAGGATTCTTCTACCTTTTGTTGACCCTACTTCTATTGGTAATTGTCTTGCAATTAGAGATGAAGGTCTTTTCCAACTCGCACACATTCAACTACTCGTGGGAAGAAGTATCGACCGCCAACTGGCGCAAGTACTGCCCCTGGAACGACAAGTCTACCCACGTTATCGCCGTCGATACCCTCAACCGAGAAGTCGACCCAGCCACCGGTATCCTACGAACAGAACGTCTTATCACGTGCAAGCAATCAGCACCAGAATGGCTCAAGTCAATGATGGGATGCATGGAGACAAGTCAAGTCTTTGAGACTTCCTACGTCGACCCGGTCGCGAAAACCGTCACCATGGTATCCCAGAACGTCACATGGGCAAATCTCGTCAATGTTCAAGAGACGGTAGTCTATCGTCCCCTAGATGCGCACAAGACACAGTTCGAACAAGACGCAAGGATAACAGCATTATGCGGAGGCTGGCAAAAGATAAAGAACAGCATCGAGGACACCTTAGTCACACGATTCAAGGAAAACGCGATGAAGGGTAAGGAGGGCTTCGAGTGTGTCTTAGCCATGAGCCGACGAGTCTTTGCGGAGGAACGGGAAAGAGAGAGGCTCATGAGCGAAGCCAAGATGATGGCATAGGTGTCACCTCAGCCCGGCCAGTTATATATACATTTCCCCATCCGTCACGAACAAACAACAACGTTCCGCGAGGACTACGACGAATCGGACAGACGACGTACAAACCAATAGCATTTTCAGGAGTCTTCTAGAGGGTGGCAGACCCATTTTGTTTCGACCAAAAAAAGCACGGCGTTTCGGCATACCCAATGAGATTGTGTTGCATAGAAAAAGGTGAATAGAGTTGCTAGTTTACTGGCACGGTTTTGCGTCTTCACTCTTTAGTAAAGACAGATGCTAGACTTAGAGATAGATCTGATTCTACATAGAAGAGATAGGGTGTAGTTAATCAATCACTCCTCCCATTGAGACTATCTGCCAATGTCTTCAAAGCTGTTATACGTGTTTCATGGTATTCGGTAATATGGTGTAAATATTCGCATAATCTTCAGTGTCACGGGAACCCTTTATATATGCCCAGCCTTTTCATCGCACTTCCTTTCATAATACCGAAGTAACTTCATTGTATCATCGTCGAGTCCAGGCGCCATGCCTTCGTTGCTGTCATCGCCACTCTTTCCCAACGCTGTCTTCACGAATTGAGCTCCTTCGTCGTATCTTCTAAAGAAGTATAGTTCCTCAACCGCGTGTAACAACGCTTGTGCCTCGGGCTTGGGAACCCGTTCTGAGCCTAGAGGTAATTTGATGGTTTTCCATATCTAGAAATCTAAGTTATTTCGACATAATCCTTTGGGTCTATGACGTTATGCTCTTGATCAAGGCTCTATGGCGGGTACGTACCTCTCCATTCTCGACTTTAACTCTGTACTGTTTCCTCACAGCTTGGAACTCTTCTTCCGACTGGGCCGTCCGGTCCGTAGTTGTGCAAGTCTCTCGTTTCTTGGGCTGATTGCCTTCCGCGGGTTCCGAGTCATTGTTGCTGTCTTCGGAATCGGATAGCTGGATACCAAACAGACCAGAGTCAAGATCAGAGTCCATTGCCAATAGCTTCAACCTGGCTACCGCTATCGAAGGTGAATCCAATTGTACAGCTTACTTCGGGATTACCAAGTTTCCACAATTCCCTAGACCTTTTCGGAGCCGGGTCGGAGCTGTTGGTGCCCAGGTCTGAGAGGGGATTGGAAGGGGATACCGAGAGAAAGTTTGCTTCGGGTTGACATCAGCGTGCATATAGGCTTTCCGTTAGTGGGGCTATTGGCTTCCGCACCCGGATGAGGGGACGGCCAACGGAATTACCCCCTAAATAACAGTTAGGTACTACATACAGTTACCTACCACTAACACATCAACAATTCGCATATCCTACAAAACAGATAAAAATTGGCGGAAATTCTCATTCTTAACAGCGTTGTTGTTTTTAATTTGTTCACTGTCTAAATTCACCTAACTAGGTATTTTTCAAGTTACGCCGCGCCAGAGACAGCCACGAGATCGCCATGGATGACCAAGTATCCCGCCTCGTGGACAAAGCATGGGGAAAATTCCAACAGCTAGAACCGGGCCAACGACTTTGTAAGTCCCACAGACCTCGGCTTCCGCACTACACCCTTACATCATCCCTCCCTTACAAACCCGACAACTAACTCCGTCTAGTAATCGCCGTAGCCGGCATTCCCGGCTCAGGTAAGTCCCCACTTACGTACCACATCTACCAAAAACCAAAGCTAACCCACCCCAGGCAAAACAACCCTCTCCCAAATCGTCACCGCGGCCCTTAATGCCCGCCACTCGGCACTACACCCGGACGCCCCCTCACCTGCCGCCTTCGTCTCTATGGACGGGTTCCACCTAACACGTGCGCAACTCTCCGCAATGCCCGACCCGGAGCGCGCACACGCCCGGCGCGGCGCCGAGTTCACCTTCGACGGAGCGGCGTTCCTAGCACTCGTTCAAGCCGTGCGAACGCCATCCGATCCTCCCTCAGTAGTATACGCACCGAGTTTCGACCACGCGGTGAAGGACCCCGTGGCAGACGACATCGCGATCCAGACTTACCACCAGATCGTCGTTTTCGAGGGGAACTACGTGTGTCTAGATAAAGAGCCGTGGAAAAGCGCCGCGGCGCTGATGGATGAGCGATGGTTTGTAGAGGTGGATTTCGGGACGGCGAGGAGGAGGTTGGTTCGACGGCATGTTAAGGCGGGGATTGCGCGGGATGAGGAGGAGGCGGGACGGCGGGCGGATGGGAATGATTTGGTTAATGGGGGGGAGATTGTGGGGTGTAGGGTTGAGGTTGATGAGGTTGTGGTTAGTAGGGAGGATGGGGCGTGGGATCATGAGTAGGGGGCTTGGGATGGGTGGGATTTGGGTTTGTAGGTGGTTGTTGGGTATACTTGAGGGAAGGATAGGAGGTTTACGACGACGAGAAATCGTGTCTTCTCAAGCGACCCTGAAAACCCGGGGTGCGAAACTCGCTGAACGGAGTGTACTGTGTGCTGGTTCTACTATCGCACTGTAACTAGAACCGTTCACCTTATTACACAAAGGGCACCCATTGCCTATTATTGCACGTGTAAGTAAGCTACGTACTTGTGTATGCGGGAGAAAAAGATGATAAATTTCTAAATGGCAGCCAGTACCTTTCTTTCATCGGCCATTTGTACCTTCAACAGGTAAGTATGGCCAAGTCATTGTATAGGGTCGACCACCATTACACGGTGAGAAAAGGGGCACATAGGCCGTCGATCTCAGGCAATTTATTGTAAAACCTCAAGTATAGGCTCCATCCATACCTAGTCCTATTTGATTCTCTGAATATTTGCGCTCCCTTTTTAGAATAAAGACCTCAGTAACTTCGACCTCCTACTCACTCTTGTAACAGTTGCGATTCTCTGAGTCCACAACAGCTTTAAATGAAGCAGCTAGTCAAGTTTTAGATAACTTTTGTCTCAGATATAAGGCTACCAGCCCCTTCGGCCTCCCCAGAACTTATAATCATGATTATTTTAAACCTGTGTAAAGAAAAATACGAAAATGAATCCCTGAACGATAGATACCTACCTACTAAGATTTGTTCGTGACTCAAAGAGAAACTCTTACGTTTAGTTTAGTGACTCACAAGTCACAACTTTTCATAGGTACTAAGTGCCTAAACGATAGCACGGTAAGTACCTATCTACCTAGGCTATTTAGGTAGCAACATACCTTGGGATTAGAATGAGTTACAGAGTGCATTGACCCCAGAAGCACCTTCCGTAAGCCATCTGTGCACACCGTGTTCTCCACGGAGCTTCCGGGTTAGCTAGCCAATGACGTTCGCCTAACTGCCGAAATTCTCCCAAGGCTCATATAGTAAAGTAAGAAACTGATTTAATCAGGGTCAATGATGAATCTCTATGGTGTAGTGGGTAAGTCCTGTCTTACGCCGCTCACTATGCTGCTTGATCACAGCGTGGTATTCGAGATCCGGGTTCCTGCTGCTTGCTTGGCAAAGACTTCGTCGCAACGTTCCATTGGTCCACGTGCTGAGAACCGAATATTCTTTTTTCTTTTTTCTTTTTTTCTTTTTTTTATTAAGTATTTCTATTTTATTCATTTTCGTCTACCCTTGCGGGGTGCCTTTCACGCTGTGTCGCTATCCTAATTTTCTTGCGTATTTAAATACCTAGGTACTTAATCTAGTATCTGTCTCGTGTACTCTAAGTCATTTTCGAGATACCATCAAGATTCTTGGAGAACACTTAGAAATTATTCGATTCAATTCAACTAGGTAGAGCCTTACACTTCAACGAGGGAACCCAATTTTAAAATTCTTACTCCGTAGCTTCTAGATCTGCATTACACTACAAGGCCTTCTATCGGGTGCCTATCGCTATCCAGGTTACGCCGCAACAGTAAAGGGTCGTATCGGACCAGCTCTCGGCCTTGATAGTGAAACCATTCACATCCACGGCCGTGGCGTATACCTTAACCCTGAAGTTGGACGAGTGCTGCACATCAGCCATGTTTAAGCTCACGGCCACCATCGGCACCGAGGCGAACTTCTCTATGAAGTTAATGCGCGCCTGTGTCGAGCTCTCGGGTCGGTTCCAGGGTCGAACTTCCATCGTGTTCCACGCCCCGCTGTCGATTATGGGCGTCGTCTTCGCAGAAGCGAGTTGGTCGACTTTCTTGGTCAGAGCGGCGAGCTGGGTCGCAAAGTTCGGAACCGCATCCTCACCGCCGTTGTCGCCATGCCCGCTACCGTTGTTATATACGGGCGCTGCACCGCCGGCGCCGGAACCTCCCGCGTTCGAGTTCGAGTCGCCTGTGTTGAAGACGTTGACGGTGACTTGAGGGCGAAAGAGGATGCGCTTCTTTTTGTCCGACCAATCTGGGTCGTTACTCTCTTCCTGGAAGAAGTCTCCCGGATCAACTGACACGTAGTCGTCGGGCCATGTCAAGGAGATATGTTCTGAGTTTTTTAGCCGCGAGGATTCCGATGGCGATACAGTAGACATCTCCCTAAAACACTATATTAGCGAGTGAAAAAGGGACTTCATATTACTTTTTTCCCGAAAAAAATACTCTCGACTAACTAGTTCTGATTCTTGGACTAGAGAAACTTTGTAGAAGAAACCGAAAGATGGTTATCGAATTAAGATAAGAGCTAACTCATTCGACTAGAATTACATAGATAACGAGCTGGGAAATAAAATTTCCCCTTTAAATACGCAACCTCGTCCTTTTTATTTGACCTTTAACTGTCACACGGGGATTGGTGCCAAGTATTGTTAGTATCAGAAAAGATACTGTTGGATTGTATATCATATCATTGGAGATACAACTGATTAGAAGGACATACTAATGCATGAAAAAGTCATGGATAAGAATTAACACGAGATTGTCGGGCGCTTGAGACCTAATGTAACTCCAGCGCTCACTGGATAGATTGTTGCTAAATAGGAGCGTCATTGGATGATCGGGCTCGGATGAAAGATTGGTCTAGTCAACAGTTGTTTTCCCAGGCAGCAATATGTCTTCCAGGTTAATACCGTATCCTCTCATAATCCTCCTAGAGAAAGCCTTGAATGTCAATATCGACGCCACTTATGCACTTGTACATGTACGCGCCAAAAATGAGGTACAAAATCGGATCTTCAGAAAAGCTCAAAGCTCCAGGTCCGGACAATTGGCTGGATCTTGGTAAAATATTCCACCAAACTTCTCCACCTCCTGACACCTTTCGTCCATACTAAACGCGTTCCAAATACTTCCTACCCCCTTCCCCCCCGCCTCACACCTGTCCGTAACTAGAACCCACACGCCTTCTCCGCTCTGTAGCCATGCTGCGATTACTAATTTCTTTCGATCCAAGGTGTCCGGTTGTAAGAGTTCCGCGAATTCATATTCGCCGACGCTTGTGAATTTCCAAGCGCCTAGCTTCCTCATGAGAGCGCAGTGGCGGTCTTCAACCTCGGGATCATCTGAACGATCGCAAGAGTCGAAGCGCGGCAGCCCGAGAAACGATAAGTCGACACCATTACAGTGCGGCAGTACGAGCACGCCGCCGGACGAGGGGTACCCGTACACGCAAGTAGAGTGAGACCCGATACGAACACGGATGGTGTCGGGCGGGTCGGGCTCACATTCGATGCAATCGTCATAGCCGGGTTCGTGATCTGACGAAGGCCGCGTTCCGTGGGAAAGGGGCCAGAAGTTGAACATGGTGTGTTGACCTAGGACAGGAAGCTTTGGTGGAAGATGACGAGAAATTTCGAGAATTAAAAAGTCGAATCACTATTTTTCCGCATAGATTAAATCAGAAAAGGTCAGAGATTGAGAGACTACAACGGAAGTTGCTGAGATTATAGGATGAACTTAGGCAACCATTTTCATACAGGATGCGTGCGTTGTGTCCGCGTAGCCCCCGGGTTCAACACCTTCTCCAATTCTAATATCGGTGCCTATTTTCAAATACAATGAATTGCTTGCAGTAGATATGATAACCGGGAATATATCAGCGTTTCGAGTATTGGTAAACATCGCATTGTATGACACCTGGGTACAATATCTAGCACAGCCACAGCCACAGCCACCCCCTTTTTGAGAATGTTACCACTTTCTTAACTGGCAACCAGCTGGTTAACTTGGTACCTAGTATTTATATTCCGTTACCATCTCAGAATTACCGTTCTTAAATTCTCTTATTTATACTATATAAGACAGCGTAGGGACCCGAAGTCCTACTAGATTTATCATCATCGAACCGGGTATAAAGTGGAACGTGAGAACTATAGATTCGATTGATGTTGAAGGACCGTTCGAACTGAGTGAGAAAAGTAGGGTTGCGTCAAAAATTTGGACCATGCGCTGAGGGTGCTGATGACTTAAAGACGTACAAATTGAAATATCCTGTTCCTGTGTGGCGTTTTTCTTTAGTGGCTAAGCCCCTTAAGCAGCCTTAAATTACAGCAGCTGACTACCTGAATTTAGCGAAAGGATCACTGCAAGGTCTCCGTTTTAGCCCACTACTTGCCCAGTGCGCGATTAGATAAGCAATCGCTGGATACTGTATTAGGTCTAGGCTAAGACCTAGACCTTGTAGTGATATGTCCGCCTGTAAATCCACTAAGATACAGCGGATATCCACTAGGTTAAGACACTGAGGAGGAGCGACACACAGTACGATGACTTTTGAAATCACACGGCTTTAGCCCTTAAGCAAATGTGCCAAACTTTTGACCCGAACCTTCGTACAAACCTCCAGGGCTAGTATATACTCCTTGAGTACAGGGCGTGGACTTCTAGCCACCTAATATTCTAGTAAAGGCTAAGTTACCAGGACCAGGCAATGGTTCGTAAATAATAGCTACCCCTTAGATACCTACAAGGCGTAAATTTCCAGAGGTGTAGCTTGTCATGTGAGGTTATTGATATTGAAACGGCAGTAGAATTGATACGATGAGAACGATCATTTCTGTGTGCCACACAATTTAATTTCGTCACTAAATGACATGTCGACTTGATGTATCTTTCGAATTGACGTTGATGATGACACCCCGCAGCGTGGTTTTGAGGCCTTTGGAGTCCCGGAGCTTGGCAGGATCGGGATTGAACATATCATTACGAATCTTGTGACGGAAGCAAAGGTGATATCCATGTATGTGGTATTTCTACTTTTCTTTTGCTCTTTTTAGCTCAACACCTCAAGTTAGTCACTACTTGTATTACTTCGCATATATGCAACCATTTCTCTTATGTAGTACGTGCCCAGGTGAATATACAAAACCGTTTTATAACTTCACCTCTACCTTTTAAACGTAACCTACCGTAGCATGGCAGCAAGTAGAATGCGGGTGTAAGTATGATTACTAACAGTCAGACAGGAAAGGGGGTAAAAGTGGGGTCAAGGGATTTTCTCGCCCAATCAATCCGACCCGTGGACATCTGTCATATGTCTCAAGCGCCGTGAAAAACGACGTGGAAAACCAAGTAAAAACTTAACTAAAGCAATAGGTAGTACTCGGCGAGCTACGAATCTACGAACTAATGCACCCAAGAAATAATAGTAATAGGATATCCCTTTTACCTCCCTCCCATTACTCCAAAAAAAGCGTTGCATATTGGTTCCGATTGTCTTTCATTTCGGCGAAGTAGCGTGGTTAATTAACCTCGACAACTGCTACAAAGCCTCCATGTCTTGCTTCCAGTTAAAACCCGCGCGTGAATTGTGCATGCTAAGCAAAGGAACCTAGTTACAAAGCGACCAAACCGAAGTGCGGTTTGGCCTTGTCGTCCCAGTCTCCTCATGGTCCGCGATCCCCGCCCGGGAAGCAAGAGTCATGATAGTATCCCCATCCTCGTCCAAGTTTGCATTTTCCCTAGCCTTCCGGCCCGCGGCACGGCTGTTCTACCGCTTCTTGACGCTGGGCCGGGGTTTGCACTCGTCGCCCTGGATGGGGTGGAGCATGACTTTGTTGGGGAAGTTCTGGTTGTTCGCCATGTAGCCCTTGCTCCAGTCGTAGCCGACGGCGTACGCGAAGATGGTGCCCCCGGAGTTGAACGTCGTCGCCGTGATGCTACCGCCCACCGTCGGGTACCCCTTAAGCCGGTGCTTAGCGTCCTTGTCCCAGAAGTGGAACGTACCGTCGCTGCCGGCCGTCGAGAACGTGCCGTGTTGTGGGTGGAACGAGATATCGTTCACCGAGTACACTTGTGTCGTGTTGCCCTGCGGCGGGTCGCGATGGCATTTAAAGGAGAAGTTAGATCTAGGTTACATTAGCACGTGTTTTCTAAGTATAAAAATAAAAATAACTATATCAATGAGAGTGGTTCGTGAACTTACCCCGAGTCCTTGTCTTCCACATACTGAATGGCGCAACGACCCTCGATACTGCCAATAGCAAAACCGGTGGCGTCGGTAAAACAACTAACGACTCGCGTCTGCCACTTCAACGGGCTTTGTAAAGTCTTGTAGAACTTGAGGGGGTCCTGTAAGTTAACGACATTGATGTAGCGGTCCGCGGTGCCGATGACTAGCAGCGAGTTGCGGACATCCATGGAGTACACACGCTCCTGGCACGTCACGCTGCCGACCGGGGTGCTCTGCCGCAGATCCCAGTACTTGACGGTCTTGTCCCACGACCCTGTCACCAGCATTGGGCCGTTGGAGTTCGGCGACTCGAAGAAGCGCGCGCACCGCACCGTCTGCTCGTGCGCGGCTACTTGCGCTGTCTGTAGCGTCTGCAGGTCGCATACCTTGGCCTGCTTATCCGCGCCCGCCGATGCGAGTTTGTTGCCGTCCTACATGTATCTGTCAATAAATCGATCTAGAGTACGCTAGAGCGTGTAAACCTACCTTGGAAAAATCTACGCTGAGAACAGGGGCCTCGTGCTCATACATATGCTTCCCTTCACTAGAGCCATTGGAAGCGATCTGGTATATGCGGACTTTCTTGTCCCAACTGGATACTGCGAGGATGTCTTGGGTGGGGGAAAAGGCGAGGTCGGAGACTGTATCTTCGGGCGGGTTCGACACCGGAACGTCGTTCTTCAGATCGCCAATTGTGTTAGAAGTTGTTGATGCCGAAGCGCTGCTTCCAAACAGTCCCGACATCTTGCTGGCGGGCGGCTGTCACAGCCAGGAATATGTCTAGGAGAGATTCGGAATCGTTTCGAGGCGTGTTGAAGGGGTTTGGTTGATAAGCGGTAGTTATTGGGGGCGATTTATTAATCACAAAAGGCGCCGCCCTGAGTTGGGAGGGGAATATTCTCGGGTTTATAAAGCTCTATTTGAACCCTTTCACGTTTTATTTATCGACTAATAGCCAAGGTACGAGTAAGGCTGTGTCAATACGGATAATGGGGATGAATGGCAGATTGTTGGAATGTTGGTGTATGTAGAATTATCGAATTGGCGACGTGAACGCGAAGCAGTAACGAAACTAAAAAGTTGTACTAACACGGCTGTTAGTACCTCTAGTGACTTCCTAATGCTGCCTAGTGAAAAGCTCAAGCTAAAAAGTCTAGGCTAAAATAAATGAAAGTTTATGATTGGTCAGCTACGACCAAGAGTTTGAGAGCTTGGACCATGTTTAGCGTCACCTGCAAGCTACCATAAGTTTTTTTTTATCGAGCTCTTGAATGAAATTTCTTCTTTCCTTCTTCAACCCCCTCGCCCAAAAAATCGCTATCGAAGCTACATACAGAGACTTCTCGATCCACGATCGGGTCGTCTCCTCTACTCTAGAAAGCTTTGGGAGAAAGTCCCCGGACGTTCCTTTTCTAAAAAGGAAATGCGGAAACGCGCCGCCATAGAAGCACAGCGGCTTATGTCTCCCCGTCTGTCCTCTGTTCCGTCGTGATCTGCCCCGCCTGTCGCTACATCGCTTGCTTTCTAGGTGCGCAGCCCCGGATTTCCTGGCCTTGAGACCCCATGGACGAAGATATGAGTCCGCGCTCTTGGTTGGGGGTTCGGTGTCTGCAATCTTAGGAGTTGGTTGATGACAGTTGGCCGTGGATCGGGCGGACGGAGGGCGCTAAGGACGGGTGTAGGCTTCCTGTTGTCGAGATCGAAAGTTATGCGATTGCCTTGCTTCTTCCTTTGGAAGATGGCTTGGTTACTCGATGGGGCTCATTCTTGGTGCGAGGGGGTTCTCTTCATGATGAATAACCAGACAATCAAACTCTGGGCTTCGTGGGAAGTCATTCTCTGTCTAGGTTATTCTGAATTGGAGGTAATATGGGGATCTGGGGGATATTTGTTTTTGACTCTGACGGTATTCGGATAAGTTCAGGTGATGATAACCAATAATTAGAGTCAAGCACTGAGGCGAGTCACTTTGTGATTAGCTCGTTGAAGACTACCAATGCCTTACGGTATCTGATGAACATTGTTTTTATTCTTTACTTTATTTCTCGGCTCTCTCCATTAGGTATATAGTATGATCATGATATTTAGTTGTTTTTCATCTTCGGTTCATTTAGACCGTGATCTCCAATTATTCATACTTATATGCCCACTTTGGTCAATCCTAATGGTGTAATGTCGTATCATATATGCATTCAAACCCTCGTGAAGAAGTCAACGCCGTCGTGCCCGTATAACCCCAATGCGACCTGGTATCCTCAGCCCAAAGTGATCCCAAAACACCGGGACAACAAATCAAGCTAATAAACATACACTATTACGGGTTCATATATAAACTTTTCATTAAACCAGTCCCCCGAGTACCACTTTACCCACGTTGGTTACTTCCTGCTTCAAACCCACCCGGCTTGAGTCTTCGAACTCCTTGACCACTCCCTGAATGATGATCTTGCGAACTTTTGAATCGGCCTTATGAAATAGCTCCGCGATAATGGGCGTACAGTCCTTGGCCGTGGGGAGAAGTGTCATAAGTCTCGCGTAACAGTCGATGAGCACATCGCACAACGTAGCAAATGTCTCGAAGAAATCGGGATCGAAAGGAAGGTTCGGAGTTAAGAGGTGTGTGTACTCCTCGCCGGGAACAAGATCGTTGCCTTCGCCACCTAGCCCGAAGTTGATGACGCTTGTAGGTACCGAGTTCACGGCTGATCCGCTTGCCAGGCTGTTGCTCGCATCCGCATATAGGTCCCCTGCCCCTGACTGCCTCCGACCTTTCCCACCGGCTCCTCGACGGAACATATTCGGGATACGGGCGCGTGAAAGGGAGCTGGTATTGACACCATTTTCGGTGTGTATTTGTTGGTAGGAGTCAAATTCGGCTAAAAGGGTGTTAAGAGAACGAAGGAATTCGAGTGGCGTAGCTGAGTTTAGGTCGATGACGGCGGGCAGTGATAAGCCAAGTAAGAGGTAGTTCGTGGCTCGGTAAGCGATCTTGCGACTATCGAAGTATGGCATACGTGCTAGATCAGGCTTGTCGAAAAGTAAAGTATTAAACCAGTATACTCGACCCTCGTGACTGATGTATGTTATTAGTCTTATGTAAAATACATGATGTGATAGATTAGGGACGGAGGTAGCAGAGTTCGTAGCTTACGCTTTACGCAGGTAATCCAACGTTGAGATCCTCTTGTTGGAAACTTCGTGTATATGCTGATGAAGTGATGGTATTTCGGTTTGGAGTAAAGGGGGGGAGGTCGCGGTAGTGGGGTATTGCCCATTGATGGGCGTCGTTGCAGTTCGGCTTAGCATCTTGGAAAAGGAATCTGCCGACGCGGGTGACGGCACTGCCTCGTTATCTCTCGAGAATTTGGCAGCAACCGCGAGTGCGAAATCAGGGGGTATCGCAGGTGGTGCAGTGGCGTCGGTCTTAATCTGATCTCCGGATACAGATCCCGCATTGGACGAACTCGCGCGACGTTTTCCTTTGGACGGGGAAGAGAAGGATGGTCTACGCCCAAAAGAAGGTTTGCGATCGCGGTCTTTGGTCAGAACGTTATATTCTCTTTCTTTGTCCTTCTCTCGATCTCCAGAACTGGTGCCAGGCCGTGATCTACTAGAGGATTGCGACTGGGAATTCGAAGTGACGTTGGGATTAGCGCTGGTATTTCCCCAGATGTTGGCAGAGAAGAAAGGAGTCGCATTTTGCGTCGGCGTAGTGGCAGAAGGTCTCTGCATGGCTGGCCGAGCGTGTGGCTCCCACCCTTCGAAAGTTCAGCCGTGGTAAGTCTAATATTAGCGCGTTGCTGAACAAGGCCTGGTCGAGTTTCCTCGATTCGTGCAAAGTGCCTGACTGCCTCCCCTATCCGGGTAGAAAAGTTGCTTGGTTTAATTGGATGTGGGGTGGAGGGAACGTAAATGCGTCAATTCAACGAATTAGAATACGGCAAGGGGTACCAGATTGATGGATTACGGATTCGACATGATGTACATTAGATAACCTTTAATCAGAATAATCGGAAATTTGGATACTAGGGGCAATGATCTGAGGAAGAAGAGAAAAAATTATGGAAAACGGAAAATAAAAGATGAAAAATAATGTGTAGTGGAAGTTGAAAGTTAGAAGGATCACGAAGAAACTCTACTCTGTATGGGCAAATGCAGTTGGCAGGCTGGCAGGTTAGTTCGTTATGTACCTAAGTGGTTCTCTAGCACCTTATTTGGCCCCAACATGAGCGGACAGGTACTTGCATGTCTTGGTGACACCTTTTCGTGGCCGCATTGGCGGCGGCAAGAGGAACCAACAGGTCGGGGCGGAAGGTATCACACATATCGCAGTGATTGCGATGCAGCGTCAGGGATCCATACTAGGTAGTTTTGATTGGTCAGAAACTCGAACGCACTGTACGTTTGTACTTTATTGTATTACTTCGTATCTCGGAATCGATATCTGGATATGGGAATCTGCATACATCACTGTGCCATTCAATAGGTATGTCGTGCCTTGGTTGCAAGATACCGGAAAGGGAACCGAATTCATCTCTTGAAACAGCCAGCGATTAGGCGATGGTACACATCCTCTCCATAGAACTATTCATCCAATACTGGGGGCTCCCAGTCAATAATACTATATATTAACATATAGACTACCATTATAAGCAAGTAGATAAGTAATAATGTCAGGGAATTCGTCGAGGTCGAGTTTTGCTCGTTTGATGATCGATTCTAGAATGTTTCAGCAGAAACCTGATCACCTAACATACCCCCTTGTACTTGACCTAAACAGCTAGCTAAATTTGGCAAGAAGTGGACCCTAAATAAAAGTTAATGATTGGCTAAATTTCATGAAAAAAATTACCCACCTCGTTTACCTGAGCCACTTATGTGCCGAGCCATTGCTTAGTAATACGCTACCGCGCATGGACACACCTTTCCTAATTGGGTAACAACTATTTCAACTATTCTTTTGAATTACCCAGCTACTACTAGGTAGTTCTAAGTCCCATAATTAATTACTAATCAATCAGTGATTAATCATTAATTAATCACTGATCAATTAGTAATTAATCACTGATTGATCAATGATTAATTATCAAAATAATAGAAACGAAATTGTCATAATTTTAACTTCAAAAATAAGAAAATAATATAAAGCTTTCGATTTCAAAAATATATTACTGAATAAGGCTAATAGATGCGATTAATTCTTAGTTGATGAGATGCAATTGGCTGCACGCACTTGAGTATGACGAGTGTGTGGCCCAGGTGTGGCCCAGGTGTGGCCCAGGTGTGGCTAATGTGGCTAAAAGACTTTTAGTTGGCCTAAACGTGGCTACAGCCCACTAATTCCCCAAGACGGCTAGCTGTTTAGGTTATGTACAGGGGGGTATGTTAGGTTATCCCCCCTCTCAATGTTTCAGTCATCTCGTACGATAAAATGTCCAAACATTTATTCTCCGAACCCTGCAGCTGCCGTAGCGGAGTTTGAGTACCTACCTACATACCTAATCACCAAGTATCGCATCCATGGATAACAATATTCGAATAATAGTAAATTCCTCAATTTCTCGAGGACAAACAGATGAAGTGGGTATACTTTTTCCGAACTTAGGTCCTACATAGTTCTATTTTACACTTGCGTACATGAACATGTTTGTCAAGACCCGGGAGCATTTAAGATGCCGCGTAAATCAAATGTACCGTTCATGAGATAATTCGTACCTAGTATTATAATTAAGTACCAAAGTACAACTACCTGGTACCTGGTAACCCGCAGCTGCCCCGCCAATTCAGGCGCTAATCACGAATAGGTGCGACGCGCTACGCGTTGATTCCCGATAACGTCAAAACTACATCGAATAACTTCGATCAAGGTATTTGTAACAGCAAACGCCAATAAAGGTCAAGTCAATGTCGTGACAATGCCTAGGTATGTCAAATTGATTCGATTGAATTGATACCCGGACTATATATGTTAACGCCATGCGCTAGAGAAATCATCACAATCCAGGCAGGCCAGTGCGGCAACAGCAGTGAGTTATACCCGATCAATAACAGCGTCTAATTTTCGAATCAACACGCTTACGTATCCAAGTCGGTAGTCAGTTCTGGCAACAGCTCTGTCAGGAGCACGGAATCAACCAAGATGGAAACCTCGAGGACTTCGCAACAGAGGGCGGCGATCGTAAGGATGTCTTCTACTATCAGAGTGACGACACGCGATATATCCCCCGTGCAATCTTAATAGACCTCGAACCGAGAGTCATCAATGGAATACAAAACGGCCCTTACAAAAACATCTACAACCCAGAGAACTTCTACGTCGGAAAAAGTGGCATTGGCGCAGGGAACAACTGGGGTGACGGATACCAAACGGGAGAGACCGTCCACGAAGAGATCATGGAGATGATAGAGCGAGAGGCAGACGGGAGTGATTCTCTCGAGGGCTTTATGCTACTCCATTCCATCGCTGGCGGCACGGGTTCTGGTCTAGGCTCCTTTCTTCTGGAACGAATGAATGATAGGTTCCCCAAGAAGATCATCCAAACATACTCGGTCTTTCCTGACACTACCAACGCGGGTGATGTTGTGGTCCACCCTTACAACAGTCTTCTCTCAATGAGGCGTCTGACACAAAACGCCGATTCCGTTGTGGTTCTGGATAATGGAGCATTGTCTCATATCGCGGCAGACAGGTTACATGTTCAAGAACCATCATTCCAGCAAACGAATCAGCTTGTCTCAACAGTCATGTCTGCTAGCACTACTACCTTGCGATATCCGGGATACATGCACAATGACTTAGTCAGCATCTTAGCCTCGTTAATACCCACGCCACGCTGTCATTTCCTGATGACTGCGTACACGCCTTTCACTGGAGATCAAGTTGAACAAGCCAAGACCGTCCGAAAAACCACGGTGTTGGACGTTATGAGACGATTATTGCAACCTAAGAATCGTATGGTCTCTACCGTTCCGAGCAAGAAAAGCTGCTATATCTCTATCCTAAACGTCATCCAAGGCGAGGTTGACCCCACGGACGTCCATAAGAGTCTTCTACGTATTCGTGAGCGAAGATTAGCGACATTCATACCGTGGGGCCCCGCAAGTATCCAGGTTGCTCTAACGAAGCGCAGCCCATATATCCCGATGAGCCACCGCGTCAGCGGCCTCATGTTAGCTAACCACACTAGCATATCAACCGTATGTTGCCTTAGACGCAAATTCTGTCTAGAATATAAACTGACGATATTTAATAGTTGTTTAAGCGAATCGTTCGCCAATACGATTTTATGCGGAAGCGGAATGCCTTCATCGATAGTTACAAGAAGACCGCTCCCTTCTCCGAAAATTTTCACGAATTCGACGAGGCCAGAGAAGTGGTGACGGACCTGATTGCCGAGTACGAGGCGGCTGAAGATGCCAATTATCTAAATCCTGACGAGGGCGATAAGGTCACATCTGCAGAGACGGATAAGAGAGTCGGGTAGTAGACTTTCTATTTCCCTTGAAATAGGACTAATGAAGTTATGTCGCATTAAGAGCATCGTCAATTGGGTTTTATACAACCATGATCGACAGGAAAGGGGAAAAGTTGATATCGATGCGGAGTTTAGGTGTTTCGGTTTATCATGTTTAAATGTTGGCGTGATTCGCCTAGCACGTAGCACCTAGTTTATCCACACACCAAGCAGCAAGTTACCATAGATACCAACATTGCGAGATCTCTTCTTACTACGCAGGTACATCTTTGGGCTACAGAATTCACCTAAATGGGTTCAATTCCAGCACTCATGCGGCCCTTTTCGTTATGTTGTAGTTAGGGGTGTGGTCGCACCGAATCGTAATCGTTCCTGTAATCGGATGGATCTAAATGTCCGGATGTCGAGGTTTGCCAGGGTAGTTGCAGGGATGATTGCGGCGCATCTAGGGCTTAATAGGCGGGTCCTGGATCGGTAATTCTACACATGCCAGGGACTTAATTTAATTGGCTCCTGGATGACATCAATTATAGACTCTCCATGACGTCAAGAACATAGAAACATCGGACAAGAAGCTCCTAGAAATTATATCATAGCATGTATGTTACACTCATACAAACAATGTAAATATTAAACCTTGGAGGTTCAGTTTCTAGAATTTCTTCTCTTTCTCCTCAATATCCTAAGATAGCTCTAATTTGAAGGTACATATCACGAATCCTAAAACCACAAACTCTTCATTTAGACCATACACATCTCATAAGTAAGTAAGCTTCGCCTTCCTAAAAATACATATGTCAATGCTGAATAAAGCGGACATGGTTTTGGATCGCAATATTGAATCTAACAATATTCTAGTAAGATCACAGAAGCGGGAATGTCTCAGTCAAAAGCAGACCACGCAGAAGAGGTTAGATCCAACCTTCCCCTTCCCGAGCAGCCGCCTGTTCCCTCAGATTGGAACTCGGCCGACGCCCGCACCGTCAATGTCGGATCTGGTAGTGTTCAGAGCGATGTTTCCACCGGCGCTGGCTCTACATCAGGACTACGCGAGCCCGCTAGCAAGAAGGATGTCGACTTGAGTGGTATAGGACGTCAAGGCAAGGACAATCTCGACGGTCCGCCTAGAGACGCTCAGTCTAAGTGAAATACTCTTATGGGGATATATCATAGGCTGTGGCCTAGAACTGGATAGAGTCACCATGATTTCCAACGGGGGAGTATTACAGAATAGGGGTGATGCCCTAGGGATGCACAACTTATGCCTTACGCGTGTCTAATGCACTGCAACGGCTATTATGAAAGCTTGGCGTCTATTAGTTTTTTTCACGCCTAGATATAATAATAAATGCACAGCTATCAAAAGTGTTCTATTGGGGGTACCTAGGTGTTTCAAAGCTTACTACCTAAGTACATTAAATCCCCTAACCCCTAACACTTATAGGGGCACGAAAAGCTTAATTCCAATTGTTGCGCGGATAGATACATGTACCTATGTACTAGGTGCTTTCTACTTTACCCCCACCACCAACTTGGAATCTATTTCGACGGCCTTTCTCAATGTACCTAGATACTTATTACTCGCCATTGCCACACTCTTATACAAAATACCTCTACCTAGATGCGCTTGCAACTAAGTTTTATACGATTGTTTTATTATGTGATTGTCATTAGTAGTTAATTAGGTTGTTATTTATTTGGTGGGAATTATAGCCTTGTGCCAATTTAAGGGATCTGGTAGGTACCTAGGTATCTGATAGTACATATCTACGTATGTATATGTTGATTACTAACAAGGTTACCTACATGTACCTAGGTACTAAGTACTCATCCTCTACGTCTAATGCATTAACTAGGTACATATGTAGCTATCCGTGTATCGCATCCATCATTGCCCAACTTGAACTACAAGGCACCTAGTACCGAAGAGTAGGTGCCTATTCAGGTGACATTCTCCTCAGAAGTCTTAATGATAAATAATAGAAGTACCTGGGAATCCAATACCTCCTTATCCTACCAATTACTAGGTATATCTAAAGTTAGGTGCTTTCCGGTTGAAAGACCTACAAAGAGACCTAAGGATTGCTCACCGAATATGACACTAATACTAGGTAGTTATTACCAGATATGTAAATCTTAAATTACTATGTAGATAATTGTATAGTAGATACTCAAGTCGTTGCCCTCGTACAGAACTTCAACAAGCACCCACACCGCCGAGATACTTGGAGATACCGAGTTAATCGTGGATATGCCCTAGGTAGGTGGGTAGGTCACGACTTCCTTCATAAAGTCAGTCTGATTAGAAAGTTATATGAGATTCTCCTTCCTGTCCCTCCATTCTTTATTTAACACCACCACCATCCTCCTACTAAGGTTTCAGCAATCTTCCTTCTCTCAACTTTTTCACCTTTCAGTACCTCCAACTTCATACTCAATCGTTCTACTCCCTACCACTCATTCTTTTTTGTTTTTACGATCAGCAGCTAAGGCTGTTGCTCGTGCAAGTCCGCACGACAATATATCAAGAACATCAACGGACCTATACGCGTCTACCATCCAACCTCCTTCGACTCATACATCGTACACATCCATGTCCTCTACGTGAACCTCACAATCTATATATGCCTGTGGTTTTTATGGTAAGTAAATAAGCTGCAAACCCATTTTTTCTAAAGATACCAATACTCGACCTCGTCTCACCACACCGTCCCATCACGTTTTATCATTGCCCACCCTATTTCTATTTGCTAACGCACATGTACTTCCACCTTTACACTCGCAACTAATTTGACCTATCGCAATCTAGGGCATCTTGCACACACCTGAGTACATTCTGAATACAACACCGGTCTTGAGAGGCGTGTCCGATCCGGTCTAATCAACCTACTAGGTAGTTTTCTACCAAAAGGCAGCCACAGAAGGATTCGTTATCACCCTTAACCCTATCACGTTACTATTCATTAAATTTCCAGATCTCGCAACAGATTGAGATTTAGCTGGGAACATTTACACGCCACGAAATCATCAAGTCATTGCTTCTACTGATAGATGCCCAATCATCACAACCCATGGTTTGATCACATTTATTTGAGTAACGATGGCATCTAAGTTGTCATCCGCCGAACTGGCAGAAGCTATGAGGGTAAGTTATTCTCTCCTTCAACCATTTTTCAACTATACATATTTACTACCTACATATGTGTGGAGTGCAATGGCAGATTATAAAATGATAAAGCTTGGAGACATGTGTTGACTGAATCCCCCAATAGGCGGACCTTGGTAATAACCGACTTGAAGAATTGGCTATAGACGACGCAGCTAGAGGTCGCCGAGGAATCCCAGATCGTCGACAGCCGCCGTCTACACAGCCTGCCGGACGACCTTTTACTGGAATTTCTGAAACCCACGCAGCAAGTTCGGGGGCTGCAAGATGGTTTGGTGAGTCAAAAATATAAACCTCGCTTGATTAATCATTCATATTAACTCATAAAATAAGGTGCAATGGACGGAGGTCTATTCAACGACGAAGACCAGAAAGGTGTCATGGGTCTTGATTCGATCGAGGACGGAAATGCTCATCGACGTAACAAAATGCCTTCACGTGTCCCAACATATGATCCAGCGTATGTTACTCTTGAACACCAAATTACAGACCCTTGTTAACTCGGTTATAGAAACCCTCTTGGTCCTAGAGGTAACCCTAGCAGAACTTATCCTTCCGCTGGACAAACAAGTCGATATGCTGGGCTGTCAACACCTGAGACCACACCTGGCGTAGGACGTGGTGCAGGACGTGGTAAACCAACACCTGCCCGAGCGGCAACACACCAGCCCCAGACGCCAGTAGGGCGAGGCGGTGGTGCTTTGCCAAATGCACATAACCCATCTACCGTAGCTACTGGAAGTCGACTTGATTCCACACCACAGGGCACACCACAGGGCACATCACAGAAGCGCACAGCTGATCAAACTAGAGTCAGTAGTCCAACGGCGCCTAGAGTACCTTCTGTCGTAGTATCACTGCACGACGGTGGTGTGGGCGATACATCTGGAAAGGGTGCTGTTGGTCCCAACAGCATCTCGGTGGAATTACTGGCGGGAAAAAATCAAAAAGTTGAGAATGTTGCTGTGGAGAAAGACAACCAGTTGGCCGACATAAGCTTTACTCCGCCTCACTTACGACACGTAGTGCCTCCTGTGAAGCAGAAGGACGAAGTTGTATCTTCTGCGCCTCAACAAACGAGCCAAGGCCAATCTGATGGTAGCGGTATGGCTGGAGGCATACCTCCGCCTTTGGAGCACAGCCGGATCGTCTATCGTGATGACAATACCGACACTTCATTAGTGGCTGGAAAGGAGCGGGAAGGCGTACGCAGTACGGTCACTCTTTACGCACAACCCAAAATCGACACTGTGTTCTGGGAAGTTGCCACTCAGAATTCGATACTGAGGGGTGATATACGGCGCTGTGTAGGACCCTTAATGCTCGGAAGCCTCGTGTATTTGCGACGGAATAATGGAATTACGGCTGATGTACAGATCTGTTACATCACATTCTCAAGCATTATTGCTGCAGAAAAGTTCAAGACAGCGCTGAACTTCTACAGAGACAAGCATGCAAATTCCAAGGAAGAACTCTTCAAAGAGAAGTTTGAAAACTTGGAAAAAGTTGAAGAACCCTTAACTGACAAGGCGCCGTCGGTCTTGATGTCACCCAAGACTGAAATGAGCGGTCAGACTGCGGTGGAGGATTTGATTGTTCTGGAAACAACTAGACCGCCTCAAAGCTCTTCTTCTCAGCCGGAAGACCTTCCCGAACAACGAGAACATGCTCGACCATCTCCTATTCGTCTTACAAGCAGTAGTGTTGGACTATATGTCCCTAAACGATCTTCAGGACATTCTACTGGTTCCGCATTGCCAGTCATCGCAGACATTGCAAAGCATGGCAAGGGAGATACCGTACAGACGAACGGAAAAGGTGGATGGTACAATAAAGACTCAAGTTACAAGATTCTTAACCATTCTGTGGAAACCATTGAGAAGATTCCAGTTGGAAAGTACTTGTCACGAGCGACTCTTCTTGTCCTTACTAATCTTACCAATAAGGACTATGACTCAATGCACAAGGAATATCTGTCCATGCTCCCTTCGACTTCCACAATGTCATCGGAACTGATAAGCATGAGACAGAAACGTAGTGCTTTGGATGTTGCTGCCAAATGGCTGTGGATGAAACCCAACTTCACGGACTTGCGCTTCGACGAACAGAAGCAGGCATATGCGGTAGTCTACGCAAATGTTCGACATGGGAAGAAGAGAGTCGTACGCTCAGTCGACCAGCTGATCGAGTTACGACCATCTCTGGCATCTTGCCCACAAGGAGTAATCAAGTTCAATGAATTCATTGGAACGAATGGGCTGAATAAGAAATACAACCCTGGTCCATATTTGATCGATTGGGATGACAAGTGTGAGGAAATAAGTGAGGACTTCCTGGCCGATGAAGGCGAGATGACGCAGGATCAAGAACTTCCACTTGCCGAAGCAGAGCAAAATTGTACGGGAGAGCAGGAGAAGAAGCGAGAGGAAACGAAAATGAATGCCCCCGATATTATGAGCAACAGAACGATTCGTTTCTTGCTAGAGAACCAACACCCTTCTAACAAGTTCTCGGGCCGGGCTTCTCAAGGTGTACCTGCACCATCGACTTCAAGTTACAGAATAACCAGCTCACCAGCATCTACTCATCGGACTGGTGCGTTGCCAGTACCACGTATCGGTTCGAGTAGTGCTGTACACCATCATCTTCCATGGGAAAGTGGACTTAACGGGGAATCATCGACTTCCCGCGCAAGTCATCGCGATTCTCATACTGCATCGGATCACACTAATGCCGGCCACTATTAAAACTCCCCGGCATGAGATGTGAAACGTCTGATGGGAAAAATTTTAATAATCCCATCTTAGATACTAGGAGATGGTTCGCACACCATAATTTCATAAATTCCCCTATTGCACAACGAATTCCGAAGCTTGATTAGGTCCCCTGAAAGCACACCGAATACTCGACTGATTTTCGCCTTGATGATTCTTAATCATGACTGAAGCCTTTGGTCTACTTAGGGCTCGGAATTTTCGACATAACTCACTGTTGACATCCATGGGGGTGGGGGTGGGCTTACTACCACCTTCATTCTCCATACTATCCTCGGGCGGAAACTTGTGATGATATTGGGCCCGATAATGTTCACGAGAGCACTCTCAGTTTGTCCTTATCAAACTACACAACAAATTGGTTCTTTGAATCCCTACTTAACCTTGACAACGAACTAAGACAAGCTCTTTCTTCGTCAGCATATGACGGCAAAGCAACCTATGATCCGAAAGAGTTAGGAGTTATGGTTCTATAAACGGGCAATTAATGTGGATGCTCTTTTTTCTATTTTTTCTTCTTCTGTGAGCCTTTTACTGGCATGGAAATCTATGGAAATCGGTTTCCATGAACTAGGGGCTCCTATACCTATCGTGATCTCCTTCTAAGGTATCCGAGAGGCTATTGGACGAGGTTAAGTTGAAGTCACTGTTGTTCCTGTCGTCCTACTCAAGGGCAACAGGCGCTTATGACCTAACCTACGTCTCTTCCTTTGTGCTGAGATATTGCGATGGATAGGTACGCAATGTGGCCTTATGTCCTGCTGCTAAATCAATGAGATGCTGAATTGCTTTTAAACGAAAGCTATTTCCGCGACGTGCTATGATTATCCAATTCTTCGTGCAATTAAGTATACCCAATCAGAAAGTGTGGAACACGTAGGATAAGAGGACTGCCTCGTTGAGTGACATGTAATTAACTACAGCACCCCTGTAATTTGTAATAGTACATCAGATTTATAGTTACCAATAGTTGTCATGGCCATAGTCTCACATTGGATACTTAGATACCCAGGTATGAATAGTAATGATTGGTTAATTTCGCGCTATATGAGTCATCTGGTTCTGGAGATTTAGATCTGTATGTCGGACAGTCTGGGGTGAGGTATAGCAACCTTCGAGCCGCACGATTCGGACGATGCTGGAGTTTGGTATGAAGAGAGCAAGCCAATGCATCTACTAATATACGGAGCTAGTCAGATTGGATGGCTTGGCGACTTAGAGATAGGTTATGATTTGTGCCTTGAGTTGATGGAAAATGTGTCGTAACAAGAGGCGGTCACGTTGGAGCTGCTTGTCTAGAAGAGCTTAACCCTGGTAGGGAGCCAATCAGAAGGGCCGACGGGGATCCTTGGACGGTTGCTGCGTTGGTGACTTGTGACTTGTTTTTTTTCTGCATCCCCACACAGATGTGTAAGTGGACGAGGGGCGAGGGGTCGTGGATGGATGAGAGGCGACGGTCTGTGGTCTAAAATAAGCGTTCAGGATTTCATGCGACATCATTGTCTTTGAGTGTGTATTGTATGTGTAAGCGTTAGATTGCGTATCTACGATACTAGAAAAGCGTGGTCAGAAATGAAATAGTTAGACAAAATGTAACTATTTGCATTGAAATGATGAACGAATGAGTCAACGAACGAACGATTGAATAATTACTTCGTACGCTGTACTAATAAACGAGGAATCCCTGTGCCTTATGAATGGATTGTATTACATAAGTATGACAGGGTTAGGTAAGGTTAAGATACCTAAGAACTTAGATACTTAGGTACGACGTAGGTATTACTAGTGCAGCCACAGGAACTAGGTACCCGCTTTTTGATTCGAGGTAGCCAACAGCATCAAGGGATAGACCGGGGCACCTGGCAGCTGGCTGTCGATTAGGCCATTAGGATTTGGCTAAGCAGGGCAGTCTGCCTAAGACAAGTACGATCGTTGTTACTTGGACAGAAACATCCAGCGCATATCCACACACATCCACACACACTCTTGAATCCACTCCAACCAAACCCAAACCTAAACCGAATAATCACCAGTACAAGCACCGGCACCAGTGCAGTACTTTCATTCTTCTCCTCCTCTTTCTACATAATTAATCCCTTACTCTTAAACAACTTGCGCTGCCCCCGTCAAGTCAATGCGCAGCCAATATTAGGCGGTCTTTTATGCCTGAAACCTGACGAAATAAGTAACGACAAGTCAACAACATTCTTTTTATTCTCCATCCTCCATTCTCCCCTCAATTTATTTACTTTTCCTCCCTCTCTCGACCCGACAATTATCATTCCTCTATCCTTCGTTGGACTGATCCTATTGTCAACAACAACCAACCCGATAAAACCGACCGACGTCGACGAAATATATCATCCCACAAGCGGTTTGACGTTAAGGAGAAGGGATATTAAGAAGCGTTTCGCATTCGGATAAATAGTCGTCAGCAATAATGAACGTGCTGCTGTCACCACAGCCACCGTCTTTCTTCTCACACCAACACGATCTAAACCGACGTTCTCCCACACGTTCAAGTATGTATTTATTGAGTGCATTGCTTTTGTTATCTTTCCGTTGTTTGGAGTCACGGAACATAGACTCGACTATGCTATGAATCGTTGGATTACGCAAGCTGTACTGTGAGCTAACAATCATTCTTCCATTAGTGTCTTCTCCATTCTACAACACTCTTGGTTCGAGCCGAAAGCGAAAGGCTGAAGATGATGGCGATGAAATGTCTGTTTCGCCTACAAGCTCTCCTGCAATTCAATCCAGACAACTTGCCCCAAGAGCAACTAAAAAGATTCGATCGAGCGAACTAGCTGGGAGGCCTCTATCCCTCCCTCGACTCCTCGAGACTCTCGATGCCACACAACTGCGAACCGTCTTACAGACCATTTGCGAGCGACAACCCGAGATTGGCGAGGAGGTTGTTAAGAGTGCCCCAAGACCCACGGTTGAGTGCGCGCTACAAGTTTTGAAGGAGTATCAGGACAAGCTACGAAATGCATTCCCCTACGGCGATTCGAGTTCCGACTATACCTACTTCCGAGTCAAGCAACCGCTTGTAGCGCTCATCGAAGCCCTTGCCGATTTTACTCCCCAGTATCTCCCTCCCCACGAGACTAGCGCCAATGTCTCCTTGCAGTATCTCGATGGTGCTACCAAGGTAGTTCACGAATTACCCGAATGGGAAAACCATCGGCATCACAAGGAGAACGCGTACGATGAGATATCGAAGGCATGGGCTCTGGTCATCAATGAAGCATCTAAGAGAGGAGCCGGGTTTACCTTGCATTCAGCTGGATGGGATCAAGTTCTTGCTAAGCATAATCAACAATCAGGTGGCAGACTAGGAGCCGCCATTGCGTCCATGAGCGCAAATCTCGGATGGGTTGGTGGACCAGGTGGTGGAATCCCGAATACGTCCGGCGGCCAAGGCTCGATTTTGGAAGATATAATGTCAGGCAACTACGGTTCGCCTGTCTCAGTTGGTCCCTGGTAGGAACCCAAGCCGTCCGAGAAATGAGCTGGGAAAGAGGAGGCCGAAGAGGGATGGATTTCAAGACAATTCGTATACCCCCCTTGGTCGGGTCGTCACCGAAGATTCTCTAAATCGTCTTGAAGGCAGGCTTGCCTAGGGAGCACGAAAAGTAACGAGCAAACGACATTAAATTAGCATCAATGCGGCATCAAGCATATAGCAAAGTAGGGCGTCATTAGTTGAGTACGGGGGATGGATGCATCGCACATATCACAGCACCAACTCGCAACGAGATTACGATGAACATTGATTTCGGTTCCTTTCGTTTAGGGGCATGGCACGGGTTCATAGATTTGCTGGCCGCGGGTTTTTTTTCCATGGCTGCCATACCGGCGTTCCATCATCATCATCGTTCTTTGATTTATGGTGTCTTTTTTCCAACTCTCATCTGATATCCCACCCCTTAACCTTAACCTTAACCTCAACCGCCACCTCCTTTTCTATTCGACATAATCCCACATTACTATTACTACCACTACCACTACCACTGCTACTACTCCCGTTTGTTGGATGGATGGAATCAAGGAAGAGGTGCTGCTCGTTGGGTATGTGGGTTGTACCTTTCGACTACCGTACCGTCTCCGAGGGCGATGCGACTTGCCGCTTGTCGGCTTAGACGCGATAATGTACATACATGGGCGCGGCGGGGGTTAGGCTGTAGGGCTGTAGCATAGGGTGTTAATTGGCGGCTGCCAGGCTGCTGTTCTAAAGAGATGATGGTCCGTATGGGGATTGTTTATACATGGATTCGTGTGTGGTGTTCGTGATTGTGTGAAATATTTTGCAGCTGCCTTTCTTCACCGACCCGATGTCGTATTGCATCCGATGAGATGCCCGATGCTATGAATGGGGGTTGGTTGATGCTGATCCCTATGCGCCCACGGAGTAGTTACGTATGTGGCTTTCAGTCAACTGTCGGCTCTTCTAAGACGACCGGGTGGCTGACGGTACGTACTGCATTTATTCGCGCATTAGGATCAATAGTAAGATTCAAGGGGAAGGACGGCGGACCATAAGAACAATTCCGCCAACCCGCCAATTCAATTAATGTATTGAAATGTATACAGTGTAATACAGTGTAATAACATACAGTCTGGTATATATTCCACACAGTGCCCTAAAACTTACAGGGGATTGTAGCGCTGTAGGGCGCTGAAAGCCCTGTAACTCATAGGCTTTATAGCGCATAAATTCCTTGTAACTTATAAATGGCTTTTTAGGTATATAAAAAGTCCTAAAGCTAGCGCTGAAGCCCATTAAGGTTATTATTAATACCTATTTAAACATTTTCGAAACGAATTAAATCAATCGATTCGATTCAGTTGAATGCGTACCTATTAATAGGTAGGTAAATAAAGAAGGATATACGTGTAATAGTTCAAAACGATGGGTATCACGTGACATACGCTGAGCCTCATCGGGTAAATGTCAACAGCGCGTATTATAAGTTTAATTAAATCTCAAGGTAGAAATACTAGTTTTGAATAGATAAAATGTATATAAATAGAAAGATCTTTCAAAGCGCTTTCGAATGAACCTATTTTATTTGCGAGCGACCGAAAATTGAAGCGTATAAGGGTATCCGAATTATGAGCTATATACTGAAATATGAAATACGAAGGTAAAAAAGCTATGCGCTATAACGCCTATAAGTTACAGGGACTTTCAGCGCCTTATAGCGCTATGACCCACTGTAAGATTCAGAGCACTGTGTGGAATATGTATCAGACTGTACGTTATGATACTGTATTATACTGTATACATTTCAATACATTAATTGAATTGGCGGGTTGGCGGAATCGGCCTTATGGTCCACTCTAGGAAGTCAAAAGTCGAGCAACACTTAACTTGAGACTTATATAGGTATGAATTAGCTGAGTATGAAAGATCTTAGCTTTCATAACATCGGAATTCCGATTGACTTTATTATTTCGTCCACAATTTCTGTAGTTAGCAAACATTAGTAACTATAATAATTAATGGTGTAGTTATAGGTCGGCGATGAGTGAGAATTAACAGCCGCCATGCAGCATTTCAAGGTTGACACCAGCTGAAAAAGAAATTTGTATCAATATTGCAACGTCGGTTAGGTGAAATGATCCCCTTATGTCGCTACCGACTTACTTCAGCTCGTATTTACTACCAAGTTAAACTTAGTAACTAGGTAGGTAAAATCCAGAGATAGTGTTGGTTATACCTACCTAGGTAGATTATAAACCTGTGAGGGCGCAAGTTTCTCATCTCCAATCTTACTATTTGAGTTTCTGTTCAAACCCCGATGCTTCTTTTCCTACGAAGTACCCGAATCTTCAATTCATCCTACAACAGAGCTATTTCACCGGACTTCTCAAGAAAGTCATTTCCCGACATTGGACAATCATGGCTGATGACGACGACCCCCCCGTGGCTCAGGTTGAACACCAAAATGAAGTCGAACTCAAAGAGCAAAACTGGACAGAACTGTATGAATTTCTTACGTCGGGATGGGGCGATGATTACGACAAGGACAAGCTATCCGAACTATTAAAACTACAGGATAAAGATACTATCAACGCTCATCGCGAGCATTATGACCACGGACGAACCCTACTTCATAGAGCAGCTTGGAACAACTCAACAGAGGCGGCTAAACAGCTGCTTCTCCTTGGAGCAGAGATTGACGTTACTGATGACCGAGGGTACACCCCTTTAATCGAAGCAGTCATGTACAACGAAACAGAGACCAGCAAGTTTCTTATAGATCACGGAGCAAACGCCCAGATAACTGATAGTGATAAAAGTACTCCTCTCTATATAGCGAGTACTCATAAGAATATAACCATCATGGAGTGTCTTTTATCTCGAGATAAGACCAGCCTTGATGTCCCCAATACCACAGGCAGGACTCCACTATGTGTGGCCGCGGAAGAAGGTAGTGTCGAGATTGTCGGCCTGCTGCTAAAATTAGGGGCAGACTTATGCAAAGCAGACAACAGTGGAAAGACCCCACTGATGTTTGCATGCGAGATGGGATACCTAGACATCGTGGACAAACTATTGGACAATTCCCTAAATCTCGAACATGTCGATCAACGCGACAATAATGGAATGACGGCATTATACATGGCTTTCAAACAACCTAATTCCAGTCCTGAGATTGTGAGGCTTTTGTTGGACAGGATGGTTTGGGCAGATTTTGGTAATCAAGATAAGCTGGAACAGGAAGCTATCATCTGGGCTGCAGAGATAGAGGAAACACATGATATTGCTGGCACGATATTAATGAAAAGAAAAGGATCGAAAGAAAAGCCTACAATTGCCGGTTCAGAATCATGGAGTGCCATTGAGTGGGCTGCGTATAGAGAGGAACCAGAAGTACTATGGTTACTTCTATCTAGCTCGCGGCCTACAGATAGTACGGAAAACAGTCGGAAACTTGCCTTGGATAGAATTTCTCCTCAAATTTCCAGAGAAATTGGAAAGGGGAATAAGGGCAAAGCGATTGATGTTAATAAATCTCTCGTCACTGACATCTTACGGGACCCTCCCTTTACTCAAACATCAAGACGTATGGAGCCCTTCAACATACCGAGCATTGGAAATCTTGATAGGGATTCCATTACAGTGGTGCAAGGATTCGAGGCTGCAATCATTGAATTCTATGAAGGAAATGCCGGGTCGGGATTCCTTAGACGATTTCGCAACGTAAAGGAAGCTATTTATGATAAAGGACCCGACGCGATATTGAAAGAGGCGAAAGGCAACATGGAACGAATTTTCGCGGCCAAGTCGAAGCAATTACCGGAATCATTGAACAAGCCTTTCGGCCTATATCAAATGTACCTCCGCGAAAAACCAAAGTTCATGTGGGTTCATTTACCGGCGACAAATGTGAGTATAGCTATTATCTAATATTTTACTATTTTATATCGTATATGCTGACTATATATGGATAGATGGTATGGATGAATGTGAGTTTTAAATTTATCAACGCTCCTATGTTATCCGAGCCATAATGTCGACGCCGCTGCCTGCGAGCACGCGGACAGGGCTTATATGTGACAGGAACATCCATTAATTAATCTCATAGGATCTGCTGAGAAGAATCATGAAAGATCGGGGATCGACAAAGGAAGATTTCCAGGAGATAAGTTCCTTTTTCCGAGATAATTGGTTGCAAGTACCGGATAGAACATCTCAATCGCGATTCATGAGTCCTCGATGCGTGGCTATTGATGGGAAAAATGGCACTTCGGGTTACAAATCTCTCTACGTAAGAATATCCAATTTATTACTTACTAAGTGGGCATTTAATAGGTCAAATTGGGATATTTGATTCCTTTCTAACCGGAGATAGATGCCGTACCTTACTTTTTCTACCGAGTTTTCCACGGAGACGGACCAACAAGAGGCAAAATTGAAGGAAGCAAAAACAAGATACGAAAGTTTGTTCAATTCTTATAAAGGCAAAGTTATCCATGGATCACCGACACTTGACGAGGCATACTACCACTTTTCTTCTGATGAAAAATCTCAGGACGACAAAAGACATCGCAACGAAACCCAAGTAGTTACAAAGAAGATGTATTCAACACGTCCTTCATCTTGGAAACTTCTTCGGGTTAATCAACTATGGAGTTGGGTTATCGATAAAGGTACGTTCGCAACTCACTTTATTATTATTTTCAAGTTCTAATGCGCATTAAAGACTTACTAATCACTGCCACTACACATCCTGTTGATAAGGAAGAAGATTCTTTATTAACTGACATACTTGAATACCTTGGTAAGAGAGGAGAGGCCGGAGGAAGTCATTCTCAGCCTAGCTCCGCAGTTGATATGAGCAAACTGCTTGTCGACTACTGTATCGGCTTCTACGAACGAGAGCAAGTAGACCATGAACCAAACCAATCGATAGGTCAAATCTACTTCGACGCCATTAATGAAATTGTGTGTCTTAATCAATCCCTCTTTCTAAAAACACTACCTAGTATCGATACTATATTCTAACATTTTTTACAATTTAAAGGCAATAAAAGAAGCAAACTTATACGCAGGGTTCAGCTTGCAAAAGAACAACGTTGGAAATGCCGCCGAAGACGATGTAAGGAAAAAGAGATTTGCCGAGAATGTGAAAAAAGCCATCAGCGAAGCAGCAGCTCTTTCTTGTGACATCAAGGATATTCGCGATGAGCTAAACATTCTCAAGACTATTGCCAACTACCAGAACAATGTACAGATGAAAATGAGTGACGTGCAGGGTAATGACGATCACTCAAAAGCTGGCATTCTGGTAAAATCGGACTATTTAGCGTCTAGGATAATTAGTGATATTGAAAACATGGACCAAGCCGCGGATCGAATCCATTCAGCTGTAGGATCAATGCAATCCATCACCGTGGTTGCTTAGAACTAACTATTGAGTATTAGGTAGATACAATCCTCTCTCTGGAACAAAATGAGATTTCAAATGATCAAGCCAAGACTGCCAATGATCAAGCTAAGACTGCCAATGAACTGTCTAAGACTGCCAACCGTCAAGCTGAAGAGAGTATAAAACAAGGTCGAACACTCATGGCCTTTACCGTCATTACAACAATTTTCGTGAGTTTCCACCTTATGCGGTTGAATTGATAGCAAACTAACACTTTACAGTTACCTCTCTCATTCCTTTCATCTATCTTCGCTCTAGATTACGAAGCCTCACAGAAAACCCCGGGTAAAGTGTATGGAATTATAGGTACCTAGGCTTTCTCACAAGTTCCCGTAATACTGGAATGCTAACATTGGATACTAGTTGGTGTCGCTCTCGGGATTCTCGTTTTTATAGTCGTGTTTGGCCTTCAGGCCGGCCGATGGATAGTGGATAAGCTGGGGGAGACAATACTGGGTGAGCTCATACGGAAGCACAAACCCGATTATAGCGCTATAAAAGCCATGTTCGGGCTGGAGCCGATGATAGAGAAGACCGAAAATGAACTCTCAGGAAATAATTCTAAGTGGAACCAGATTCGGCGAAGAATATGGAAGCCAGCTGGAGGGGTGCTAGATGGCAATTCTAAAACGCTGGAAGAAGGCGGGCTTGTGGAACAAGGGGGACAAACCACAGTTGACGCGAATTAGCTAGCATAGGTAGAGTAATGTTAGGGGTGCGAGATAAGAGTAAGCTTTTCTTTAGGTCCGTACTTACGAAGAGAAGGCATTGATAGATACCTACCTATACTTGTGCACTTCTGATATTCTAGATGCATATTGGGACCTAATTTGATAAAATTTACTGTATGTACCTTACCTTTGAGGAGAAGTATCCTAATCTACCTATCCTTCATGGGCACCTACCTGGGTACTAGGTATGCACCATGGAACTTAGATCCTATCCCGATCTGAAGGTTCTTCAGATCTCTTGGCAAGATTGAGTTTTCGTAAATTCCCGAGCCGTTATTAGGTATCTAGGTAATCATATTTGATACGTCCTCAATAGTTCAAAATCATGCCAAGTTTGAGTTTCCTGTCGACTTAAAAGGGTGAGATGAAATATGTAAGAATTTGCGGAGTAGGGAATTATCCTCGGTGATTCGTTTGAAGGAATTGGAAACGTAATTTCTACATTAAACTCAATATAAAGATTACCTACCTAGGTACTTAGTAGTTGAAAAGCCTTTTTCCGATGTCAGTCTTTGGGATGGCGTTTTCAACAGAACTATAACGACGGAGATCAAAATAGGTCAAAACTTACAGGGAGGAGTATTGAGGAAGTGCATATTGGCCGAAGGAAGCGTTTGGGGTAAATACCTAATTATAATTCACTGAGGTAGTCTCAAATTTTAACATTGATTCGAAGCAGAAGCAGGATGAAACTTACCTACCGTATTTACCTAGGTACCTATCTCATCGGCTCCCAATGAAAAAGGGTATATAATCTACCTAGTAATTTCGTTACCATCAGTCCACTGTGAAAATTCCGACGACTAATGAGCCTACTACCTACCTAACTTATTACTGCATCAATCCAAGATGGTTACTTCCGACTCTCACTCTAGTTCTTCCCCTCCCGGGATATCCTCCAACAATATTGACGCGTATGCTCTCTTTGAGGCTCTCACAGGTCATAAGATGGATAGGCGATCAATACCTTCTCGAACCATGTCTGAAGACTACGAGGATCTTGGAAACGAGGATGATGATAGCCCTCTACTTGGTCAGGAGCCTTCTCCCGATGAACCACCCAAAGAAGTTAACATCGGTGCGATCAACCCCTATGCCCTAGTCGAAGCTATGATTGGCCATAAGCTGGACCGCCACGCACTGTCCACTTCGCGTATCATCTCAGACGTCTTGCAGACCGATTATGAAGAGCTTTTCGACTTGAAGCACAAGTCAGTCCTCTTTGCTGGCCTTAAGCTCAATGAGCAGGAACGACGAGCCGAGGAGTTGCCTGAGAATGAGATCAAGATTCTTGAGGAGCGAGACCTTGTCACACCAGACCTATCACGTGTTAAAACTCTCAATGACCTGGAAAAGATTGGTCTCAAGGAGGTCGGAGATATTCGAATCAAGATGGCTCGTATGCAGAACGGAAAACTCCGTCTCATACTTGATGGCCAGTCGCTAGGTAGAACGGTTGGCAACGACGATATCACCGAGACGATCAACGATCTCGTCCTCCCCTTCCGCCATAATAAGGAGGATCGCGAATGGGCCCCTCCAAACAGTTCTTGGCGCGACATGAATGAAGCCCTCTTCCGGAGCATCCCCCGCCGATTCATGATGGACGGACCCCCATTCGCATTCACCCGCAACTTCCACGAGCAATACCAGCACCGATTCGATGACCCAACCCAGGGCGCAGCAAGCAACTGCTGGCTGATCGCCGCCATCTTCTCCGTGTTCTGGTCCAACCCAGCCATGATCAACCGATCAACACGCATGCTCTCCTCGCCAATGGAACGCAGCCGACGAACGCTCTCCGTGAAATTCCACGATAAAGGCGGGCGCAACAACGCGGAAACCGACACCGTCGAAGTGGACTACCAGATTCCCGTCAACAACTCAACCGACATGCCCATCTACGCGCGCTCCAGCGACGGCTTCGAGGCCTGGCCCGCGCTCTACGAGAAAGCGTTCGTGAAATGGATGACGGGCTCCCAGGACCGCAGCCGCGTCGACCTAACACAGGCCCACAACGGCGACCCCGTCAAAGCCATGGCCCAGATCAACGGCCGCGAACCGCGCTACTACTTCACAGACCGCCACTCCGCGGCCGAGCTCGCGGGTCTCGTGCGCGCGTGCAGTGTTAACAAGCGCACTATCAGCCCCATGGCGGCTTGGACGCACGCTACCGGCGACATGTTCCGCGGGAGCAATTTGGTTGCGAACCATGCTTACTCGGTCCTGGGCTGGGTTAGCGAGGGCCAGGAGGAGAACCAGTATATCATTGTCCGCAACCCCTGGGGCGTTACTGAGCCCCGCGGCTTGACGTCCTATCCGGGGCTTTTGGACCGTGTTGAGCCGGAGTACTGGCCTCCTGCTGCGCTGCTTGACCGTGATGGCGTGTTGAGTATTGAGGTTCAGACTTTTAAGAAGTGTTTTGCTTGTATTGGTGTGGCGAAGTGAGATAGGTGGCTGAATGTGTCGGTTGAATAGGGTTAGGGTTGTGATTACGTTGGGTTCGGTTAGGGTTAGGGTTAGGGTTAATTTGGGAATTGTTGCTATTTTGAAATGAAAATGTTGGGGGGTGGTAATTAGATTATAAACAAAATCTGTGATGTATTTCTATATAAAGGAGGGCATAAACTACTGGAAAAACTCTAGTTAAGAGCGTCCGTACGTCTCAGGGGCAAATAGAAAAGGGGGGTGGGATATCTTTTTAATGAAAAGTTTAGGTTAGCTGGTTTCATGCTGATATTAATGAGGATAAACTGTCATAAATAGAAATATCCTGCGTAAAAATTCCTGCAATGTGGCCACATTTACCATATACCTCTTACCAGCTTATCAATGGGGGCTTGGGAGTGTTAAAAAAGTCATGGTGACACGAGATTCTGTGAATCATGTCACAGGACTTGGTAATTTTCGTCGTATTTTCTAGCTAACCTGAGTAATCAGTGACTGTATTACAGATACGAAGCCGTACCAAAGAGAGGGATTAATGTACTTGACCTAATATCAATGCCTAAAAACATGTTGATGAATCAAACTCATACTGTGGAATGTTGGAGCTCCACCGATACTTACCTAGGCAGGTACCGAGTATACTTTATTTATATATTCCAGCATTCCTTAAATTCCTCACAATACTTTATACATGAAGGTACCTAATTTAACCTGTCTCGAATTTCTTCATGACTGCAATAATCCGCCTACATACAAGTTATACGTGATGGCAACCAACGGAAATCATTCTCTCGAGGGCAGGTTTCTTCAACTGAAAGAAATGAGAGGCCTTCTACACCAAGACAGGAAACGTGTATCTAAAATTGTTAACAGGTGCAATTGGTATATGTTCAACAACCCTGGAATAAGAGGCCAAATTGGGAGCATAAAGGAGTTTTACAAGCTCTGTCAAACTGCAATTTCTGATTACCCACCTGAGCAAGAGATGCCAAATGAGGAACTTGCCAATAATCCTCCCTCGAAAGGTAGTTTCTACGACAAGTATTTTCTACCGTACCCAGAAGGTAGTCCATACTGGTTCTCGAAGCAAGATCTGATACCCAGCAAAGACATCCATGACGTTCTTGCGGAAGCATGGAACAGGTGGCAAACCATAAGCACTCGAGCTACGCAAGTATACGAAGCCATAGAAAGTATCCCAAAACCAAACCGCATCAAGAAAGTGGTATGCTTAGGGCTGGGCGCTATCCTAAGAGCCCGTTCTCCAGAGAATAACATACGAAATTCACTCTGTCCGCGAAGCGTAGCCCAACATTGCTTGGCAATAGCCATCGTCAAGCGGTTAGAGAGGAATACGGGCAAACAGATAAGCCTCTACACCTCAGACTTAGCATACACAGCTCAACACAAAATTGCCCTTGAGAGATCGAATATCATTCGATTTAATGTACTCGATCCCAGTTACGGAAAACATGAACAGTTTCCCATGATCGATGACAACACTATGCTCATAGACTTTACTGGACCGCCTGATTGTCCGACGATGGCAATCATTGAAGAGTACGCACGGCCAGTGGTAATAATAGGGCATGCGGTTCCTCAAACAGGGCCATATCAAGATAGGCAATGGTTCGAGGTTACAGAGGAGGATGGTAATAAGCTCAGAGTGCCTGGATGCGCGTAAGTTGATTCCAGAACTTTAATACGCAGTATCTTTGGTTTACGGCTGCTAATGTTTCCAGAAATCTACCTCTTCCGGATGGTATGAATATTGGCGTATTATGCCCCAAACGCGTGCGAGATATGATGGTCCATGAATACAACATAGAAAGCAAGTTTCCGGCGGAGGATCCAGATCTTGAGCGGAGTTGGGGTAAAAACGAGCTTGTCGAATATGGATCTCGTGATAACTTCAGTGCTAATGGGGGCTACTACTGGTTTTCGACGACGCGCATGTATATCCGCAAGGACTAAAATTTTTCACCACTAGCCGATGGTAACGTTACGAACGTGGGAAAGATTTTGAGCAGAAAGGTATCAGCTGAGATAATGAAATAGAGTGGAGACTGGGATTTCTTAGGATGTTTTCTTAGAGCGAATAGAGCCAGTATAAAGTCTTATGTTTGCATATATCCGAGTGAGTGTGACAATGGCAGATTTAGCAATAGGGGCATGACAAGTAGGAATTCAGGGGTAATGAAGAAGATCCACTTTTGTTGATTACTAATCCAAAACAGCTGGTACCCCAAAAAGTTATTCCGTCTACGTTCGACGCAGTTTAAGCAAAGAAATTTTGCTGGAATAATACACCTAGTTCGTCTATTCCATTCTCCTGCTATGAATTTAAACACTTTCGTTACTATAACATGAGATGGCCTTCTGGGTAATGAAGTGAATATCTATCTAGGTAGTTAGGTATGCGAATATAAGCAAATTCAGTGAGCTGCCCGTTACAGTGTACCCTATTATTGCCGTAGAATGTTAGCAAGTCAGGTCTGGATGCCTAGGCACCGACACAGCGAGTTCAGAATGGGTAAGAAAAGCCAGTTCAATGACCTAGTTGCGGAACGAAATCAGATTTATGGTGAGATGTGAAGAACAGGCCGGCTAGAATATTGGGTAGAGCAAGGTTTGCAATAATAAATGGAATATAAGCGGCATTGTAACGCTTATTGCGGAGGTTTAGGGGGATAAAGGATCAATTGGATCGCCAGAACAATCTACCTAGGAAGGAGTCCGCACGGCCTAGTTTCCTATCTGAAGACTAATGATATGATTAAATCCGGGGAGGTTGCGGCGTTCCCGATTGACGAATTCTCTCAGTCGGACATCCAGCTATCAGTGGGGGGACGGTAAAATCGTATAGTGTATAAGCATACCTACCCCTACCTATACTGTCTGAAGTCCACCAAAGGGGCACCGCCAAAGACTATACACGTTTGGAGCTTTGAGACTGGGGCATGGCGGCGTTTTGATTCAAATTGATATAGGAATGATTAATTACGGGTAGTTCATTGGGATACAAACTTATTCAGAAGTACATAAGATGCAGGAACTTTGGGGTTGGGGCTGGTGTGTGGTTAGGGTTAGGGTTGGGGTTGCTATTAAAGTACAACCCTAACCCCAAAGGAAACTTTGCCTAGCTACTAATAGTCTAGGTACATAGGTACTTAGGTACCTATCATCGATATCATTGGAGTAGATTTGGATTGAAAGCACCCTAGTATCTATCATTTCGTATGGTTCAGTTAAAGTCATCATAGGTAAAGGCTTCAAAGAAAACTTAATAACTACCTAAACCCTAGGCCTTAGGAGCCCATCTCATACCTACCTCCTATATAACAGATGCATAACGAACAAAGCAACGAAGCCGCCTCACTCTATGGAATCAACCCCTTTAATGTAGTAGCTCCACTCCGTATCTCTACTCAATTCGTGTAGATCCTCCTTCGTCAGGCACAGTACAAGCTGCATCTCTCTCTCATTATCTGACGGGAAGAAATACATGCACCCAGGAAGCCTTGGCCCATCCGGTTTCCGAAACATCCTCGACTCGCCTAGCGCGCCCATCCGGAACGGCCGACCTCCCCACGTAAGCAGCGATGAACCACCAATATCCGTCGCTGGGTTGTATAGTCCGCCGTACATCAGCTTTGACTTATCCGGCACGCCGGCCATGAACGTTGCGCAGCTCCGAACACTCCACTCCGTCCTCGCATCTTCGAGGTCGCTTCGTAACATGCTGGCTAACTCTGCTACCGACTTGGCGACTATATCCCTGAAGGGTAGCCGTGTTGTTGCGTGAACTACCATTTGCCCAAGATACGTTTCAGGTAGGCCCACAGCTCGGCGCGCATTTACTGCCCGCCCGAACTTAGAAAGTTGAGAGGCTTCACAGCGACCGGATGAGAGACGGACGGCACAGATCCGTTGCCAGCAGAAAGCGGATAAGGCGTCGTCGGTAGATACGAAGGAGCCCTCTGTTTTCGGAGAAGCGCGATCCTTGATCTCGGTGAGGGCTGATCGTGGTACTGTGAATCCACACCATGTAGTTTCTGGTGGGGGACCTAGGGGCCAGGGGTTTGGGCGGAGGAGGTGACTGTAGTTCTTTGCCGGCTCATTGGGGTATAATAACGGCACGGCCCGCGAGCGGTCAGCATTGGCCCATCGAATTGCTTCGTCAGAGAGACTATCTCCGTTCATGAGGGTAGCCATGTGGTCCCATAGCTGCATGAGGCCGGTGCCGTCAATCATATTGTGGTGTGCGGACATCACGACGAGAACCCCGCCCGTGATGAAGACAGCTCGAATGATGAGGATCGGAATTGGGGAAAGACCATGTTGCTGTGGAAGGCCGGGACAGGGAACTAGATTCGTAGGTTCAAAGCTAGATATTGGACCTCCGGAGGCGAGAATTGAGGAGAGTGGAGGGAAATCGGCATCATGGTCCGCCCGGACGACGTCGTTGGGCGGAGCTGATGCTGGCCATGGTGCAGATGTTATGAAGCCTGAAGTCCCGGGCCCGGTATCAATCGTAATGACTTGGTCAGCTAGCCAGGGAATATTGGATCGGAGTTCGCCAAGCGCCGTCTGGATATCCGCAACGATAGCTTCCCGAGGCCTGGTTGGGAATGTCTCGAACGCGCGAAGAGTATGCGTATACCCGTTTAGAAAGGGGAACTGTGAAAGGACATCCTGATAAATATCATATTTCTCCTGTACGCACTTTTCCTCATAAATCTCGAACGCAAGACTTCCCATGACTTTTTGCAACAACCGACTCAGAATTTCGGGCAGGAAGCTTGAGTTGACGATCATGTTGAACGATAGCTTGACCCACAGACCAGGCGACTGCGGCTTGTGGGCGAAAATTTGCCATACTCACCAACCATGATGTATGCTCTCATCGCATGAGAAAGGACCCGCCTTACCGACGTGATAGAAGGCAAGTTGGTGTCTTCACATGTGAGTGCCTAGGACTGATCTGTCTCAGATAATAATAGCAAAAACGGCACAGTGGAGTAAATACGCAGGACAGGTCCCAATGTAACATTGCAACGTCGTACTCCGCCGGCGATCCGCTTTGATCGTCTCTACACTATTTCGGTTAGACATGGGGGCCAAAACCGGACTTAAATGACCCCTAACAGAGAGTAGGATTCCATGTCCTAACAACTACCGAGTAACTACCGGTAGGACGCTCCCTAAACGGGCGTTCCTGTAGACATGGTGCGTAGATGCGCGATATGGCACTTTCGATGTAAGTTCTTGAGTTTCCTGGAGAGTTGTGTAAGACCATACCACTTGTCACCTAAACCTATGGTCCCCGAATAGCTAATGATGACTAAGCCGCCGTCCCAACCCGAGAACATGGACCCGGAGAAAAACGAGGCCATCGTAAGGGTTTCGGCCGAAACTCACGAACATATCAAAGGCTCTAAGCTAGTTTCGATACTAGTAGCTGTCACTTTAGCGTACTTTTTAGCTATGTTAGACACTTCTATCGTAGCTACTGTAAGTCGATGGCTCCTTTCGTCTAAAAAAAACACAGTGAATCCTAAATAACAGAGTTAGTAACATTTCAATAGGCCATACCTAGAATAACAACAGAGTTCCACTCACTCTCGGACATTGGGTGGTATGGCAGCGCCTACCAGCTGGCCAGCTGCGCGCTGCAGCCCCTGAGCGGGAGGATATACACGAACTTCAGCACCAAGGCAAGTTTACCCTTCATTTGCATTACAACAGTGCCACCAATCCATCACACAGACGATTGACGTGATGAAACAACCATAGTGGACGTTCCTTGCATTCTTCCTAGTCTTCGAAATCGGCTCCGTCATCTGCGGCGCTGCCAAGTCCTCAGCCATGTTCACCATCGGCCGGGCTTTCGCAGGCATGGGCGCCTCTGGGATCTTGAACGGCTCCTTGACGATCTGGACGGCTTCAGTGCCGGCGGAAAGGCTGCCCGTTTTGCAGAGCACGCTTGTTGCCATAGGTCAACTAGGTGTCGCTCTTGGACCCCTGCTGGGCGGTGCGCTTACGCAGTTTACTACTTGGCGATGGTGTAAGTCTACACCTCTCTTGTCTTATTCGATATTTCTGCCCAGCGTATGGCTTATGAAAAAATTAGGCTTTTATATCAACCTCCCTGTCGGCGCCGTTGTTGGGGCTCTCCTTCCATTAATCCGCATCCCGGAGATGACGGAAAAGCAGGGGTTGAATATAATCCGCAACGGCAGCCTAATCCGCATCCTCGACCTCGTTGGTTTCGCCATCTTCGCCCCAGCAGCCGTAATGTTCTTCCTCGCTCTAGAATTCGGCGGGAATCGGTACGCGTGGGATAGTTCGCAAGTCATCGGCCTGCTGTGCGGGGCAGTTGTCACGTTTGCCGTCTTCTTGGCATGGGAGTGGAAAAAGGGGTCCGAGGCTATGATCCCATTCGCGTTACTAAGAGTGCGGATCCAGTGCTGCGCTTCGTTGCTTATGTTTGCGTTCTTGGGTATGATGTTCGTAGTTGCATATTACCTGCCAATCTACCTCCAGGCTGTGAAGGGCGACTCCCCGTTCATGAGTGGGGTGCATAACTTACCGACGATTTTGAGCCAAGTTGTTATGGTTCTTGTTGGGGGATTTGTGGGTGAGTCATGGATTTTTAGAATCCATATAAGCGCAGATGTTCGTTACTAACATACTATTCAGTACAGAGGATAAGATACTATCTTCCGTCAGTCCTATTAGGTACCACGTTGGCCTCCGTTGGTTCAGGTCTACTCTCCACTCTACAAATATCAACATCAGTAGGGAGATGGGTAGGATATCAAGTTATCTACGGTCTTGGTGTGGGAATGGTGGTGCAAATGGTGAGTCACCCCCTAATATATGTATGATCATGCTTACTAATCATCGACCATGATAGCCCTTCATAGCAATCCAAACCTTAATCCCAAGGCCAAATATTCCCTCCGCCTTAGCAATTCTCATATTCACGCAATATTTCGGCGCGGCATTATTCGTAACAACCGCACAGAGTATTTTCAATAATAGTATGAGAACGGTGCTTTCCGAAACCGCGCCGGGGGTCGACATTGAAAAGATCATGACTGGCGGTGCCACAGCTGTACGATCCTTGGTTTCCGGTCAGCAACTTCATGAGGTATTAGCTGCTTATGCTATAAGTGTGGATCGCGTCATGTATCTTGCAGCTTCTTTGGGGGTAGTCGCGTTTAGCTTTGGGTGCGGACTTGGGCGGAAAGATATAAGAAAAGGGAGACGTTAGGTTACACAAAAAGATGCGGAAGACGGGTGATGAGGAACAGATATCACCGGTGACTAAATGATAGTATTATTTACTATGAAGAATACCATATAAATTCGCTATGAAGAGGAGCATGGTCAAAAATTAGAAACTTTTTTGAAATTCATCCTATCTCTGGTCGCCTAACTTCTAAGGTTCTCTAAAATCGACCTAATGAGATCCCGCTACATGAAGGCTTGGAGCATCTCCGACTTACCTACCTTCGATATAAACCAAAAACACACTTGGAATTATGAATACGTACCGGTTCTAGAACACAAGATAGATGTTAGATTGAATCAATCTAGAGTCATTCAAATTGTTCGTCATCCGACACAAGTCCGCACCGAGTTATTCTTCAAATCAGGTTACATTTTACCAAGATCCCATATCCAACCATCCCCCCAAAATTCACTTAGGGCTTAATTACAGAGTTACAACAATCTTCTGGGCCGACACGCCCTTAAGGCGAAGATCATACGCCTCCTGAATCTTCTCAAGACCACTCCCCACAACCCACGGCTCCGGCTCAGGGACAAACTGGCCAGAAGCAAGGGCCTGTGGTAAAAAGTCGCGAAAGATCTTGCCAATGACAGCGTCAGGATCAGGCAAGTCGCCCAGGTCAATGAACTTCGACGCGATACCTTCGAGGTACCCCTCAGCGGGCGGGGGCCCCGCGTCAGCGATATTTTTAGCGCTGTCAGTGGCGTTCAGCACTCTACCACTAAGCGCAACCCCGCCGGGGTTAATAGTTAGCGCTCCAGCGACCTTCTTACCCTTCAACGCCGCGATTATGCTATCGGCTGCGCTATCGTCGTGGTAATCGTATACCCCGGTAGCACCCATTTTCTTCACCAGGTCAAAGTTCTTCGGCGATGCAGTAGAGTACACCTCGTACCCCGCAGCAGCGGCAAGTTGCACTGCGCTAGCACCTACACTCGACGCGCCGGATGTGATTATCACCGCTTGGCCTTTAGGGCTAGCGGCCGGGGCGGTGGGGAGGTCTAGCCCGAGGAAGTCCTTGTGGAAGAGGCCGTACGCTGCAGTGCTGAGACATAGCGGTAAGACGCTGCCCCGCTCGAAAGTGACGGACGCGGGGATTGGAACAGTCATGTGCTCGCGTACGACGGTATAATTCTGGAAGCCGCCCTCGGCCGTTCGGTTGCCGAACGGAAGCGTCCCGGCCGCATAGGCGATCACGCGGTCGCCGGTCTTGAAGCGCGTTACAGCGCTACCGACTTCGACGACCTCACCGGCTAGATCTTCACCTTGGACGCAGGGCCATTTGATGTACCCGAGTAGCGCGTCTCCGAGAATTTGTTTGTATGGGTCGACGACGTTGATTGCTACGGCGTGGTTCTTGACGACCAGCTCCTTGGGTCCGGGCAGGGTGTAGGGAGCCTCCTTGACCTCGAGGGGTGCTTTGGCAGCGACCAGGAATGCGGCTTGGTTGCTCGGTGCCATGTTTCGTATCTGCCAAGAGATAGATTGCGGAATGTGGAATGTGGTAAGATGGTATTGGTTTGAGCGATTATGAGTTGTTCGTGTAAGTGTGTGTAAGGATGAGTTTCGGTATCCAGGTGGGTATAAGCCGCGAATTAATCACCAATAGTTTATAGTTTACCGAATGGTAGCCAAGTCTACTAAGCTTTAGACCCTGACAGCATTCGAGTGATAAGATCTTGAAGCGAGTGAGTGCCGGATCCTTTGGAACGGGCTCCCAGGGTTCCTTCCTTATATTAGGTCATGTTGGGTGCCAATCCCAGTCAGGGATCTATTTAAGGTTGCCTGGCAACTTTAATTATCTGCAGGAAGAAGGTTGTACTCCTAGATGTAACGGTAGGTAAGTTGCACATTGCAATGAATCCCTACCATTGGTACAGCTGATGTATCTGGTGTATTACACAGCAGAATTCCGGCATAGGTGCGGTCCGACTTTTTAAAGGCAGGAAGTTGGGGGTTAAAGGCTAATAATGCCTTTATTAGGGCGGACTATTTTATGTGATGGTTTGTGGTTCCTGCTTTACTTAGCACCTACTGGGTACATGGTATGTAAGGGAGGGGCCGGACCTGTCAACCCCTACCTACTTAATTTCTTCTCAGCAGCTTCTTGCCTACCTAGATCTTCACTTTTACATTCCAATTCATCCAACAACGGACCCCTTTTGTGATAGTCCAATCCTTCCCGTCATCACGAATCCTTCGACCCTTTTCTTTTCGGCTCACAAGGGCGGTACCGCACTTTCGCGGCACGGTCCTTCAAGGTAATGGCCGACGATGACCAAATCAGTAGTGGTACGCGAAATGTAGCGGCACCTCGGCCACAGGCTCTGTTTAGGTGGTTAGATGGTGGTTAGGTGGAAAAGTCCTATGGAGGAAATGAAGGCAAAGAGCCCAATGCTCGGATTCTGAATAACAATAATTTCTATCTTGTCGCGTACCGTACTTGCTTGTCTATTCAGGTACGGTTCTCTTCAAAATGAATTCAGCTCTTCGACAACAGCCAGGGCTTGCTTGTGAGAACTGCCGCAAGAAGAAAAGCCGCTGCGACCGTGCGCGACCGGAGTGCGGTAGTTGTGAGTTACTCCGGAACCTTTTACTGGGGTCTTGACTGAACCTGTGAGCTTATAGTTCGGTATTACTAACCTGCTTTGATTCAGGTACTGCGACAGGCGCTGTGTGCGTTTTCACGAACAAGCGCCCGCAGCGAGGACCTAGGAAAGGTCAGCTACAGGCCTTGCGGGCCCGGATCGGTGAGTGTCGATACTTCATCTCCGGACCTCGGCTAATGGAATAATTGAGCGACTCTGGAGCGCTGTCTCGACGACCAAAACGAATATGTAGATTTAGATCATGGCGTATTCTTTGGGCCTCTAACTCCCCTCGAGGGGAGTACAGCGTCTAGTACTACAACTAGCCCCGAAACGACGAGAAAGCCCAGCATAATTCAGTCGTCAGATGTGGAATACGATCATTCAAGCCATGATCTTTTCCCCAACCTTCACGGTAATCTCGAACTTAGTGCGACCGAAAGCACAAGGTCGAATAGGAGGTTGGATGATCTAGATCATGGAATTTTTCCCGATCTTCTTTTACCAATAGGCGATGAAGTTACACTCGTCGCGACAAATCAACCTTCAGATGAGGAATCACCCGACGGGTCGGAAACGACATTTATATCTGGTTCTACTATAGTAAATACCGCAGCACAACCAACAAAACAGTCATGGAGTAATCCTTCGATTCCAGAAACAGCACCCTATAGCAAGGGAACCGATTCTGTGGATGAGATCGGAGATTTGGTTCAAGCTGACTTGTGAGAACCCCTGGACGACTGCGATAGGATGATCACTAACCCCCTGTTATGCTGATAGAGACCAGCTATACTTCGATCGGATCCATCCGGTTAATCCACTGGTTCGCCGGGCTCGATATGTTTCGTGGACCCGTAAGCCGGAGAAAGAGGAAGTTCAAATAGCCCTTCAATTGGCCATGCGTACCCTGGCTGCATCTGCTTCTGCCGCGTATCAAGGGCTCGCTAACTCACTCTACGCGGAAACATGCCGAAGACTTGCAAAACTAGACGAAACTACTGAACACGACTTGACCGAAAACTTTCCACTGGAACATATCCAAGCATGGCTACTACTCGCTTATTACGAATTCATGCGCAGGCCGCATCGCAGAGCCATGATGACAGCGGGACGCGCATTCCGGATGATACAGGTATCTTTACTGCACGAAATCCATGAACCGGATATTTCACTGGGCGATTTCAGCATAGGTTCAACCCATTGCTGGGTTGAAGTTGAGGAAAAAAGAAGGACATTTTGGGCAGCCTACTGCCTTGACCGGTGTGCGGGCCTTTATGATGGGAGCCCACTAACGTTCCATGAAGACGGGGTAAGAAAGCCTCCCAGTGGTGTCCTAGTATAAGTCACGTAACTGATAATAGCAACCCTTAGATGCGTACTAGACTTCCGGCTCCTGAGGACCACTTCGAGAGCGGTCAACCTATTTGTATGGACTTTTTACACGATGCTATCGCCATCGGTGACCGTAGCACGCTCTCTCCCTTTGCCGAATGTGTGATACTACTGACACTAGGAGGTCGGTGTATTATGCATCGACCGCGCATCCGAGCAGCAGAGACGTTATATGGCAACGATTCGCTTGAATTTTGGGCTCGGTATGAGTGGCTTGATACTACATTAGACAAGAGGAGACGTCGTCTTGGACAGATTTTACCAGCTACTGCCACATCCACGGACCCAATGCTTATCTTTACTCACATGATTGCTGCTACAATTGTCATCCACTTGATGGAGACGCTAAGCAGCAGATCTTTTTCAACTGCCCAACATCGGATGGCTATGGATGCTTATAAAGATCGAGCAATCCAAGCAGCACGTGAGATTGTGCTGTTAGCCAAGTCCGTGACTCAGATAAGTTGCTTTCAGGTATATATTCCAATTTACACAGGTACGCCTATTGATCATGAGAAAACGGCGATACTCATCGTGTTCATAGGCACATCCATTCGTTCCTGGAGCACTCTTTCACGCCACTCGCATTCTATCCGCTGCTCGTTTTGGAAACTCGGCCTCGACCGATGCGGCCGGCGCGACTCAACTGTTAGAGATACTTAAGAGATATGCAAGTCTCAATAATCTGGCACAGGACTCGTTACGGAAATTGGAGCCCCATGGTATATCTAACCTGCGCTCCAACCTTAAGGTGGCCGCTCCACATGTAACCAAATAAAAAGAGAATGATAATGAAGTTGTACAATATACATTCAAATTTATCGTATATACATTTGTGCATATGTATATCAGAATATACTCATATACAAGTTGGGATTGTGGACTTGCAAAATATAAAATTCTTTCGTAGCACCTACTGTTCCGGGAGGTTTCGTGTGGTTGTACATAGTACCAAGCACGATTTTCAGGGGTCGTTGAACAAACGTTCCATTTTATTTCTCACAGTCCTTCTCCCAGTTACTCAACTTCCTACCGAATCATTTCTCTTATCTTACCATATTTGTGCCGTCCGGAATCTACTCGGCTGTAGAACTCGAAGAACTTAAAAGAACCAAGCTTTTATTTCCGTGGTAGAAGGATCTGTAACAGTTACATTGTAATAAGCGTATCTCTTGCCGAGACCAACTAAACCCAGTCTAGTCGCGAGGCTCAATGTAACTGTGCGCTGCTGAGGTTAGAACTCTAATCACGATGAAGAATTGGGTAGCACTCCGTTTGCTTGCGCAGGGTTGGTGATGCGCGTCAATCCTATGCGAACCACCGAACACGGCGCTATTGGCCTCGTCCGGCAAGGATTAACGGCTCCTTCAGCTCCTTCCCCTGCCCAGACTAGCCGCTAACCCACGTTTCTTGTGCGGTCCCGACGCAACCATGCGGCACGTAACCACCAGATCGCTCGCGACCGATGCCTTTCGTGCCACTGTATGGTCCGAGTCAAATTCCCACCATGCCCCGGATTCTCCGCCCTTGGAATATCGGGCTTGGGAAGTCTAGAGGAGGTTATATCGATCGGCCATCATGGCTTTAAACGTCTTCTACGATTCCCAGGAGGCCGCTGGCTGGATTCTAAGCGTCATTCTCGCTCCCATATGTATCATCGCGACGGGCCTTCGGTTTCTGGCGACTAAGCGTGGTGGTCGCAAGCTTGGCTGGGAGGATTGGTATGCTTTGGCGGCGCTGGTGTTCTTTTTGCCTTATGTTGGGTATTTGATATGGAGTAAGTCAACAATAATATCAGAATCTAAGTACCATTACTAACGAGCATTCATTCGGGGTAGTCCTCACACTCGCCAACGGTCGTCCCTTGACGATTTTCATCAAAGAGAACCCCGCGCAATGGACTGAAGCCGCGAAGGTCGGTCTTAACATGAATGGTCTCTATGGAATTCAGCAGAGTTTCGCCAAATTCAGCCTTCTGGCTCTCTATTATCGGTTGTTCTGGGTTGAGCGCAGTTTCGCGATCATCGTCTGGGCTGTGGCAGCCATACAGGGAGCGTGGGGCATAGTTGTTTTGCTCGTGCACATTTTTGCCTGCATCCCAGTGGCTAAGAGCTGGCAGCCGGGAATTCCGGGGTATTGTGTTAATATCAATACATTCTTCAGCATCTATGAGCCCATTAACGCGGCTATCGACTTCGCTATGGCAGGGATGGCGATTTGGATGTTGCATGCCTTGCAGATGAAGAAAAAGACGCAGTGGTATCTCAGTGGGCTGTTTATATTGGGCGGATTGTGAGTATGGGAACCCGTATCTCATGAGCATCAAACTAATCAAATGTGTAGTTCGGGGGTTGTCGGTATAATCAAAGTAGTCGAAGCCCAAAACAGCGCCCGTAAGTCCGCTGGATACTAACGCCACAGTGTACATATCACTAACTCACAAACTTCACAGAACGGAACTTCCTCTCCGTAATCTGGAACCTAATCCAAATGGCAACCAGCATCATCTGCTGCTGCGCACCAATCTACAACTCGATCCTGCCCAAAGCTGGGCTATACACGGCCTTCCGATCATGGGCCTCGCAGACCTTCACGCGCCGCCCGTCGTCGTCGGAAGCGCTCAGCGAGCGCAAGGAAAGCGGCGCCGGGATCTCGACGAAAGCGAGTAAAGCCTCATCCGCGAAGTCGGGGAAGTCGTTTCAGAGCCAGCCGAAGAATCTGGATAGGCATGCGCATTGGGTGCATCTGGATGGGTCGAGAGAGCGGGGGTTGGCGTGGGCGGAGATTGAAGCCGAGAGGGGGGGTGCGAAGGGTGGTGGTGCCGCGGAGGATGCGGATATTGCGATGGGGGCGATTACGGTCAAGCGGTCTATTGATGTTGTTTGATTGGTACCTATCGAACTGTAAGGAGGTGTTATACATATATTGTTGGATTGTCTTGACGTCGTTATGATGTGTATGCAAATTTCTTGGTGTGGTTTGGATATGGCCCTGGCTTCTGCGGATTATTTGGTATCGTTGGTTATTGGGCAGGCGTTTTTGTTTGCGTGTATGAATAGGCCTGCGAATTTATACCCACCGATGGATGCTATTCTCACTAATGTTTTGTGCTGGTGGGCGATTTTAAGTGCCTAGTAGGTACCTAAGGTGCGATTAGTGGGCTTTACGCTGCGTGGGCTCTCTACACTACCTCTAAACCCCCTATAATAAAAGAGACTTAGCGCTATTCAGTCCGTTCTTCTCAACGACGGCTCGAGATATCAATTCTGAATCGATAAAAGTTATATCTTTCAGTCCCATATCTAAAGCGCTTTAAACCAACCTTAGTTGCATTATATCGGCTAGAATATTGTAAATATAATCATGACTCTTGTTGAGCTGTTGCTGGAATTAGTGGCGCTGGAAGGGTTTATCTTAACCCAGTAGATGCCTAGTGACTGAAATGACTCTCTATAATTACTCGCTAAGACCACCTAAAGTATTAGCGTTACAAAGCGCTAAGCCCCTTCCAATTTCCATAGGGGGCTTTAGCGATGAAATACAGCATGTGTGTGGTGTAAACGCCGCTAATAGCTCACTATTTCCCACGACGGAATTCCAGATTCAGCAGTTTAGCGCGTTGAGGGCACTGTAAGTAGGGAGATATAACCGTAGATACGACTCCATGCCCAATGATGCGGATGATTCAAGAAAGATAATAAACGACATTCATGTTAACTAGATACTTTAAATGTGTTAATTTTGAGAAATTAAGGATATATTATAGCCATGGATATGAAAAATAATGTTTAGGTGAATTTTTTCGAATTTTGAGGTTCCTGATATCAAGATACCTAATCCAGCTTGTCAGCATTGGAACCCTTCGCTAAGACCCCTATTTTCGGTACCTACCTAGGTACCTATAAAAATGCAAGTTTTCGCCAACACCGAACGCCTCTTAGAGCAATGGTAAAAAAAGGGTTTCGGCTTTACGAAATAGCTCCGAAAAAAGGAAACCAACGACAATTTTCATCGAAAGGCCACATCGATCGGTCGGTCGGAAAAGACACCCGATAGATCATTATTCAGAGTATTTATCATACTATTAAATTAACATGTTAAATTTGATAGTCTTAGAAGCGAAGCCAATTTGTGTACGAAAATACGGAAATAGGTTATATTTCACTCCATCGCAATTGCCCCTCAAAAAGCTTCAATAACTCCGCTCGGAGCGGACCGTAACGGTTACCTAAATAGGAAATATTCGGGTTACACAAGTGATGGTGGAGATAGCTATGGCAACAACTTTGTCATCTGCCCTTGCCTTACCTAACATTCGATATCCCGTGTACCCAACCACGCTGCCACACGTCTGCGTAACTGTTAATAACTTGCTGCCGTTAGATTTTTGTTAGAAAAAAGTTCCAACCCTGATCGGTTTCCCCGTCATCCCGCCTTGCCCGCATTCGCCTAACTCCAGTCATGTCCGTAAACGACAACTCATTTCCGATTCAGGAAAGTGGGAAAGGGAAAAGACCGGGATCTCACAGCAGGGCTACGGCGCAGAGCTGCCACTGGCCGAGCAAACAACCAATCAGATGAAACTGCACGGATTCCGACTTACGTACCATCCCTAGATTCCGAACCTGTATTTCTACGTATTTCTATGCTAGCCCGGTCGATTCCTTCTTCCTGTTTACTTCCGCGAAGTGCAAAGTGCGAAGGAATGCATCGATAGCTATTTTAGCTACCCACCCTCGACTCCTGCCGCCGTTGATGTCTTCCTAGACAGTCTTCCATTTTCCTTCTAGAAGACATGCGCGCATTAAGTTGGCTGTACAGCCTGGGCGTCGCCTCTGCCTCCCAGCAGTTGCTGCCCGGTCCTGCGTCGCAGCCCGTAGCGCCGAGCCAAGACCCGTGGTATTCGGCACCGATCGGCTTTGAAGCCGCTACGCCCGGCACTATCCTTCGGGTCCGCCAAGCGCCAGGAAACTTAACAACGGTCATTAGCAGCGCCACCTCCGCGTACAATATCCTCTACCGCACCACAGACTCTCGCTACAAACCCTCCTGGGCCGTAACCACACTCTTCATTCCATCCACCTTCTATACCGCTCCCTCCGGCAACAAGGCCCTAATATCCTATCAATTCGCCTACGACTCCGCAGCTCTAGACTCTAGCCCTTCTTATGGCCTCTACTACGACCTCTCCCAGCCCGTCCCCAGCCTTGGCGTCCCAGCGGGCTCAGACCTCCTCGACTCCCTTCTCACAGAAGGTTGGCTAGTCAATACTCCAGACTACGAAGGCCCAACCGCCGCCTTCGGCGCCAGCATCCAAGCTGGCCACGCCACCCTCGATTCTCTTCGCGCCGTGCTCAACCTCGCGGAGTTAAGTGGCCTTGGTAAAATCGCCCTCGGAATGTGGGGTTACAGCGGCGGCAGCATCGCGACCGAAGCTGCTGCCGAGCTACAGGTGCAGTACGCGCCGGAGCTGAACATCAGCGGCGCCGTTCTCGGGGGTCTAGTCGCTGATTTTTCCACCGACTTCGATTTGTTCAACGGGAGCGCGATTGCGGGGGATTTGGTTTCCGTCGTGTTGGGCGTCACGTCGCAGTACCCCGAGGCAAAGGCGTATGTGGAGAGTCGGCTAGTGAATTCGACGGCAGCGGAGTTCCTGGGCGCAAGGAACATGACGTTGGGGCAGACGACGAAGTATTTTAGCATGAAGGATATTTATGCGTATTTTGTCGGCGGCGCGGTTGATCTCCAGGCGGCGGTGTTGAGGAAGGTGTATAATGTTGAGATGAAGCTTGGGTACCATGGGGTCCCTGCCATGCCGATGTTCGTGTACAAGGCTATTGGCGACGAGTACTGTCCTGTTGAAGAGACGGACGCGTTGGTGAATAAGTACTGTGGTGTCGGTTCTGATATCACGTATCAGAGGAACACGGTCGGAGGACACGTGGCGGAGATTATAAACGGGCAACCGAGGGCGATAGATTGGTTAAGGGGGATCTTTAATGAGACGTACACGCCAAATGCGTTCGGGTGTTTAACTCGTGATGTCACGGTCAATTTAACTAGTTTAGCCACTTAATAGATAGAGCTTCCGAGTGTTGGGTAATAGACATTTTTCACCGAAATTTGTGTCGCGTATGGTTGGGTAGCCCCTATGTGTGAACATACCTAGGTAGGTACTAGGTAGGTGAGAAAGTGAAGTCGGTTCCCTTCGATACAAGGAGTATAACAGTCAGTTGTCGATATGTCACCAATTTTGAGAGAATCACCCGTATCTAAGAGAAGATATTCAAGTCTCGGGACGAACGTACCCATCCCCTATAAACCCCTAGCTCCATGTCACAAAGAATATTCCCGAGTGCGAATCACTTATACAGTATAGAGACACTTGTACAGTATAGACACCTGTACAGTATAGAGACGCGTTGATACGCGTTATTATGATTCCCTTAGCAACCAATGAATAACCAGGCAGCAGTTCACCTTTTTAGAGTGTAGGTTAAATAATAAAACAGTAAAAGAATTTCCCATCGGCGGTATTAGAGTAACGGCCTTGCTGGCAATGGTCTAGTTACTTATGTACCTCAGACACCACATCTTACCCCCTTTAACGACGCCCCTGCAATGGGGAGGTCTAGGGTTCGATTCCTGACGATTGCAGAAAAAAAAGGATAAAAGATCTAGAAAAAAAAAATAGAAAGAAATTATACCAAACATACAATCCAACAACGCAATCTGAGGGGCCTGAAATGGAGTGGCAAAGAAATACCCAATAGCGGGGGCGCAGTAGGCAGGAGCCGATCAACAATACCTGAGCTGGGCCTTGAAGAGGATTCTCTTTTTTGAGGCAATTTTTCCATGTTGTCGTTACATCGCGAATCTCGTCGGCGCGATGATTTTCTGCGACAACCAACGTTACCACCTACCACTAAATGCATTACTACAAGATCTACTACGTTTATTGAGTATTCCTAGATCTATGACATGGATTATTAATCTGATATACTTTAGTAAATGCAGGTTCTCAGGGTGGGTATGACGAAAGCAACGTCGGGCGGAGCCCATCTACTTGCTTACATGTATGTACGAATGTAGGTAGATAAAGATAACTATTTTAATCATCTCCTCTAAGAAACGGAAACTTGTTGCACAGATTTCGATCCTTTCGATCTCTCTTCATCCACTGATCATCAATACTATTACCAAGCACGGACTAGATTCCGTGAACTAAACAATGTAACGTCTAGGAGTATAAACACTCCGGGTGGAGCCAGAACTACTCTATCTGCTACCCGTGCCCCTGGCCTACTTCACGGTCACGGAAAGAGACACTATCTTAAGATACTCTGTACATCTAGACCGAATACGACTCGGGATAGTGGCACGGATCATGAATTTTATCTTATCTTTTAGAGCGTTCGTTCACAGGTGACATTAGGTGAGCAAGTTCCCATACTAGATACCTCCCAAAATGCCGAGCAGAACCGAAGAAGCTAACGTCGACAGCCATCACGATGGTCAACATACAGAGGGGCCATCAACGACACAAGCTGATGCTAGTCATAGCAGCCGACCCGTCCGAAACGATGATAGCCTTTCGGTAGCTATTGTAGGAGGCGGCATCGTGGGCATAATTTTAGCTCTGGGGCTTATTGACCGTGGCATGCATGTAGCCGTCTACGAGAGAGCTTCCGACTTCAATGAGATTGGCGCTGGTATCGCCTTCACGGGCGTTACCCGCGAGTGTATGACGAAGCTGAGCCCGTCCGTCATAGCTTCTTTGAAACGAGTCGCCAATGAGAACCAGCTCCAATACGATAACTACTGGGATGGATTTCACAATGACGAAGAAGATGCCAAACCCAAGACTCCAGAAAGCACATTGCTATTCCAGCTCCCGAACGCCAAAATGTCATGGTGGAGCTGCCTTCGCTCTCACTTCCTCGACGATCTAGCCAAAGCCCTACCTTCAGATATAATCCACTTCGGCAAAGAACTCCTCAGCTACTCAGAACCCGATCCCAACAACTCTTCCCCAGTGACTCTACACTTCACAGACACCACAACAGCAACCTGCGACATCCTCATCGGCTGCGACGGCATCCGCTCCCGAGTCCGACAGCAACTATTCTCAAACACACACCCGCAGGCCTGCCAGCCGCAATACACGCACAAAACATGTTACCGAGCCGTAATCCCCATGGCAGCAGCTGAATCCGCGCTCGGGGAGTCCAAGGCGCATAACCATTGCATGCACACCGGCCCCGGGGCCCATATCCTCAGCTACCCCATCGCGCAGCACACGCTGCTAAACGTGGTGATTTTCCTCTCCGACTCAGACTCCGATTTGGAGTCTAGTAATAAAGGGAACAACCTCGTCCGTAACCGCGACGCCATCCTCTCCCGTCTGAAATCCTGGCGTCCTGAAGTGCGGGCCCTGATCTCCCAGATCCCAGAGACTCCGCTCGTATGGCGTATCGACGACACAGCAGATCACCCCGCGCCATGGTACACCCAGGGGCGAGTCTGTCTAGCCGGCGATGCCGCGCACGCGAGTTCCCCGCACCACGGGGCTGGAGCAGGTTTCGGGGTCGAGGACGCGCTGGCGTTGGCGACTGCGCTTGGACTCGTAGATGAAGCTGAAGAACAAACACAGACGGCGGATGCGAAAAGGGGAGAGGCTGTGGCTGCGGCGTTAGGGGCGTACAATGATGTGCGGTACGCGCGAACGCAGTGGCTGGTGCGTAGTTCGCGGGAGACGGGGGATATCTATGAATGGATGTACCCCGGCAGTGGAAGCGACCCGGTTAAGCTGCGGGAGGAGATAGCAGCGCGGCAGAAGGTGATTTGGGATTTTGATGTTGCGGAGATGGTGGAGGAGACGCGGCGGAGATATCATGCGAGGTTAGGGGGCGAGTAAATAGGTAGGATTAGGTGTAGTTTCTACGTGTAACTCTAAGAGATCCCTATATCATACCTCTACCTTGTTACCTATGGACGTATACTTGCCTATTATTAGAGAGTAATTCAGCAGACAAAAGTAAGATAGCTTGCTGTTTATTGGGCGAAATGTATGCTTCCCGTACACCGAGACATCATTCGCTGTTCAAGTACGATACACCTAAAAAACCGTCAAATCAGCAACCGCTAGCAATACCATCGCTTAGGTCCTATCGTGAACCGTGCCGGGAACGGAAATAAACCGATCATACTGAATACTAGACCCACGGAGCATTGCCCTATTAAGACCCCAGCCAGGTCCGATAACCAGACCCCTGGAGCCAGGGTTTCCAGAGCCGGACTTTTTATATGTTTCAAGACCCAGATCTGCCAACTAAGCGGCTTACACGATAAGCCTGGAGCCTCACCCCCAGCCGGCCCATTTTACTCCCGCACGTACCCTGTTCCTACCCATAGAAAAGAGTTCGGTGTCAAATCGGCAGTCGGTTAGCATTCCGCCAACGTAGCTTCGTAGGACTTAGGCAGTGATGGTAACCATCCTGTTGGAACTGGTTTGGCGAACGTGCTAAATATATACGCGTCCAATTATATGCGTTCATGTAAACCTGAATCTTAGAGCCTAACGCATGGCGCGATGATCGACCTCGATATGTATTTATCATCAAGATCCGTCATATACGTGCGAGTAACCCTCTAGAAAACATACTCACTTACTTTATGCCCATTTATCCTAAACTAGCCTCTGAAAAGCGAACGGTGTAGTTTCCTACTCACCTCTTATAGATTTTTTTACGTCATATAGCGTTAGGTCTTACTTTAGATCTCAGATCTGACTTAGAACCCCTTGCTTGAGAATTAGGAAAGGATCCTTACAGAGTAACGAATGGGGAGCCTGGGGAGCCTGGGGAGCCAGCCCCGTAAGCGTGGGGCAGGCATTCTGTTTTTTGGACCTGAAATCCCTTCTTTCAGTAACCAGTCTCTGCTAGAGCTGGGATCAGCACTGCGAGAGCAACAATGGGCCTCTGGAATCCCGCACATGCTGCTCTCTGCTTGGGATACGATCTCAACTAAGATACCTTCTTTATCCTCTGTCCCTGGGAGGCAACAGCTCACAGATCTCAACACATGGCTGCAAGAAGGGCCGCCAGAAAAGGACGTTGGTGACCTACCCAACGTTGTGCTGGCACCCTTGACAGTCCTCACACAACTCACACAGTTTCGGCGATATGCTGATTACTACCCTAACAGTGAGCGAGGTACCCTCGATGACCTAATCCGCGAAGGGGATATTCATCCACTTGGCTTTTGCATGGGGCTGCTATCAGCTTTAGTTGCCTTTAATTCTGCAGGCGCAGATCTCTGGTATCATCACGTCGGCGTGGCGGTTCGTTTAACAGTACTCGTTGGGGCTGTAGTCGATGCCGCAGATATAACCCATCCTAAGGGCGCGTCAGAGTCCATCGCAGTTTCGTGGCAAGACTCAAATCAAAGAGGGGACCTGAAGCGTATCCTCGAACAATTTCCAGAAGATGCCTATATATCGGTACATTACGATGAGCGGCGGAGTACAGTCACCATATCGAAACAGGCCGCTCCGCAACTATTACAGGAATTGCGAAAGGTCGGCGTTACTGCTGTACCCACAGGGTTAAGAGGGCGGTTCCACTCGAAACAACACAGCGAGATAATGAGCAAATTACTACGACTGTGTCGCTCGAACCTCGGATGGCAATTTAAGTATCCAGATACTGAAATTGACACCGACGATCACGAGGCTGCTCTGAGGGCGCTGTTGGTTGACGAGTGTGACTGGTATAGAACTGTGTCGATGCTTGTGAAAGACCAAGCTGGCAGTAAAGGGCGATTGACTTCTATTTCATTCGGCCAAGGCCGGTATATATCTCCTTCTTTACAGTCGAAATTCGATAATCGGATTGAGCAATTGATGCCTTCGGAGGCACAGGCATCGTCATCCTATCACCCTGTTGTCAACCCTCAATCGAACGAAAATGAGATTCCTTCCACCAAAAATGGTACCCCTCCACACGACTCCAATATCACGAGGAATGACGATATGGATGATAGCAGGGATATCGCCATCGTAGGAATGTCAATAAAGGTAGCCGGGGCCGACGACCTCCCCGAATTTTCAGCTATACTCCGCGCAGGAGAATCGCAACACCAAGAAGTCCCCGCTGAGCGTGTGTCGTTTGGCAACTCGCCGTGGAGACGTGGTGAAGAAAGTGACGGGCGTAAGTGGTATGGCAATTTTATCCGCGATGTCGACGCATTCGACCATAGGTTTTTCCGCAAGAGTCCGCGCGAAAGTGCCGCAATGGATCCGCAACAGAGACTGGTTCTGCAAGCCGCTTACCAGGCCGTCGAGCAGTCTGGTTATTTCTATCCGACTACTATCCCCAGCCGGGATAAACACATAGGTGTCTATCTTGGTACTTGTGCAACTGAATACGAGCACAACGCGGCATGCCACACGGCCGGGGCGTTTACGGTAATGGGGTTGCTGCGGGGATCTATAGCGGGTCGCATATCGCATTACTTCGGATGGACTGGTCCGTCAATGACGTTTGACACGGCATGCTCAGGGTCTGCGGTAGCGATTCACTCTGCAGTGCAGGCTTTGCGATCGGGCGAGTGTAGCGCTGCGTTATGCGGAGGAGTAAATATTATTACGAACGAAGTCTGGTTCCATAACCTGGCCGGTGCTTCGTTTCTGAGCCCCACCGGACAGTGTAAGCCGTTTGATGAAGCGGCCGATGGATACTGTCGTGGAGAGGGCATCGGGTGCGTTTTCTTAAAGCCCATGGCGGCTGCGCTTGCAGACGGGGATCAGATATTCGGACGAATAGCGGGGTTTGTAATATTTTCCTGCTTCTCACATCTTTCTCCTTTGCGAAGACTCTGTTGGCTAACTGGATTGCGGTAGTACCGCGGTGTATCAAAATTCCAACGAAACACCATTGTTCGTTCCTCATGCGCCTTCTATGTCTCAACTCTTCCGCGATGTCATTCGCCAAGCTCAGCTCGAACCTAAAGATATCTCTCTCGTGGAAGCTCATGTGCGTTAAAAGTTCTTCCCAGGTATTATGGACGGTTCCAGGATTAACGTTATGCGTATAGGGAACGGGAACACCAGTCGGTGACCCTGCGGAATATGAAAGCGTCCGCGCTGCCTTGGGCGGAACGATTCAGCGTAGACCACTGCCGATTGGGTCCGTTAAAGGACTTGTGGGACACACTGAAAGCACATCAGGGGTAGTTTCTCTAATTAAGGTTATCCTCATGATGAATGAAGGCTTCATTCCGCCACAGGCAAGCTACTCAAAAATGAGCCATCGCATTCATGCGTCAGATTCCGATATGATTCATGTGCCAACTAGCCTACTTCCCTGGGAGGAAGATTGCAAGGCGGCCTTGATCAATAACTATGGCGCAAGTGGATCAATTGCCGCAATGGTCGTAAAGCAAGCTCCTCGCAGATCGCAGGAAAACTCGACGTGTCTCTCGAACAACACATCCTTCCCCTTTTGGATCGCTGGCTTTGACGGCCGTAACATCGAGAAGTACTGTGCTAATCTCGCCGCTTTTGTCAAGAGAAAATCTAGTAGCATCACTTTGGCCGACATCTCCTTCAACGTGAACCGTCACTCAAACATAACTCTGCCTCGTGCTCTGCATTTCCGTTGCAGCAGTGTCGCCGGTTTACTCGAACAGCTCTCTCCGGTCGCGACATCAAAAACCGTCCAAGTCAAAGCTCCTAGGCCGGTGATATTGTGTTTCGGTGGGCAAATATCGACATCCGTCGGCCTAGATCGCGTGGTGTATGAAAATGTACCACTGATCCGCTATCACTTGAATGAGTGTAATGCCATAATACAGTCTCTCGGGTATAATAGCATTTTCCCTGATATTCTTGCTAAGCGGCCCATTCCAGATCCAATTCACCTCCAGACAATGCTATTCGCTCTGCAATATGCGTGTGCGAGGTGCTGGATAGACTGTGGAGTACGCGTCGAGGCAGTCGTAGGACACAGTTTTGGAGAAATTACCGCACTGTGCATAGCGGGTGTCCTCAAGCTTAGAGGCGCCATCAAATTGGTTGCTGGCCGCGCCGAAGTCATAAGAAACCTATGGGGTCGCGACCGTGGGGTAATGGTGGCGGTGGATGGCGAGTTGAAACTGGTGGAAAAGCTTCTAGCAGAGGCGAATCGAAGTCAAAAAAGTGGCAGTGCGGCTAGCATTGCTTGCTACAACGGCCCGCAAAGCTTCACTCTTGCCGGATCGACGTTGGCTATGGAGACTGCGTTCGATATAATCTCAAATAACTCAGACTATGCGTCCATCAAGAGTAAAAAGCTGAATGTCACCAATGCTTTCCACTCTGTTCTTGTCGAACCTCTAATACCAAACCTAGAACAAGTTGGCATGGACCTTGAATTCCACAGCCCTACCATCCGAATTGAGAGCGCGACCGAAATACCCTCAAACAATGAACACTTCACCACGAAATTTGTAGCGGATCATATGCGCAATCCCGTATTCTTCCACCACGCCGTACAACGGCTAGCCAAGGACTATCCTTCCGCAATATGGCTTGAGGCAGGATCGGCTTCCAAGATCACTTCCATGGCCCGGCGCACGGTGAAGCCAAATCTCAATTCGCATTTCCAGGGTGTTAGTCTCACCGAAGACCGAGGCGTCGATAGCCTTACGGATGCGACCCTTTCACTTTGGAAAGAAGGCCTGCGCGTCAATTTCTGGCCTCATCATGGCGCGGAAGCAGCCCGGAACCACGCAGTACTACTCCTACCACAGTACCAATTCGAAAAGACAGGGCACTGGCTCGATCTTAAGGAACTGCCGCCACCAGTGGCCCAAGAGGGGATACCGCAGCGCCATGATCCGTCTCTTGGTCTGTGGACTTTCGTAGGTTACCAAGATACCAACAAGCGACGCGCCCTCTTTAGGATAAACACCGAATCCGAAAAATACCAGGCCCTTGTATCGGGACATATCGCCGTCCAGACAGCCCCTATCTGCCCCGCCACATTGGAATATAGTATGGTAATCGAAGCGCTCCTTAGTATTCAAGATAGCACCATGGCGAGAGACCAAGACTTTCACCCCGTGATCCGCGATATGCACAATGACGCGCCATTATGCCTCAACGCTTCCCAGGCAGCATGGATGGAATTGCATGAAGACGACGATCTCTCACATCAACATTGGTCGTGGAAGATTGTTACTCTTCCTGTAGGCCAGCAACCAGACAGCCGCAAAAATAACAACGCTACGATATGCGTACAAGGGCGGATAGAATTACGGCCCCCTGGAGAAGACGCCGAGTTCGCGCGATACGAGAGACTAGTGACGCATAGGCAGTGCATTTCACTGCTTGATGATAACGCGCAGGCAGATGACGTTCTTCAGGGGCGCAATATATATCGTTCCCTATCTGATGTCGTCGAATACGGGAATGTGTACCGCGGGGTACGTCGAGTCGTCGGCCGAGAAAACGAATGCGCAGGTATCGTACAGGACCCGACTACCTATGCTACCGAAGCCGAGAAGAATTGGCTGGACGATATACCGGTCACGGATTCATTCAGCCAAGTAGCGGGCGTGTGGGTTAACTGTATGACGGACCGGGAACCAAATGGTAGTGATATCTTCTTAGCTACCGGATGCGAGACACTCATGCGCAGGCCTGGACTTGCGCGAAAAGATAGGCGATGCGAGCCGGGGAAGATATGGCACGTCTGGGCGAGGCACCATCGAGAATCGGAGAAGGTTTATCTGACAGATGTTTTCGTGTTTGACGCGACAGATGGTCGATTAAGTGAAGTAATGCTCGGAATTAGGTATACTCGGATCCCTAGGATATCTATGAGCAGACTACTAGTAAGGCTCACGGACATCCCCACCCTTAAGTCCGGGACGACAACGATGGTGAAAGCGAACGCCATTCATACGCCACAATCTTCACCTACGTCATACCCAAGCACGAGCCACCACCAAGAGGTCAAGGCGAAAACATCTGGATTTTCTCGTTCAGAGCTAAGTCAGAAAGTCAAAGATATCATAACCAACGTGTCGGGAGTAGACGCAAGTGAAATCAAAGAAGATTCGGAGCTGGCCGACTTAGGCATCGACTCCTTAGCAGGTACCGAGTTAGCTCGCGAGATCGAGAGTGTGTTCCGCTACAAGATTGACACACTAGAACTTCTTTTCAAAGCTACTAGCTTCCGCGAGTTTGTAGCATGCATTTCAAGAACCGTTCACGGCCCAGAGAGCGATGCGCATCTCGAAGGTGGCGACGATGATGGTAACTCGGTCTCCCCTTCAAATGGAGGCGGCCTACTCTCTGACGAATCTGGCGATACTAGCACAATCTTAACACCGACTGCAGATGACGCATCTTCCATGGATGAGCAGGAAAACGATGCGGCCATCGAGTCATTGATAGAGAGAATAAACAACCCAGAAGACGGCGACCATTCTTCCTTATCTCAGCTCGACATTTTGACTGCCTTTGCCCGAGTCAAAGCATCAACCGACCAACGCATCCGCGATAACAAAGTCGACAATACAGATGCTATCATCGTCTCTCGTTCAAACCGGCTATGTGTAGCGCTTATTGTCGAAGCATTCGAGCAACTTGGCTGTCCGCTCCAAACCGCAACTATAGGTCAGATACTACCATTGGTGAAACACACACCCCAAACTTCTCGGCTGGTCGATTGGCTCTATAACTTCCTCGAAAAAGACGCACGACTAATCGACAGACGTGATGCGCGTATCACACGCACCGGCATTTCTACCCCGCGCAAGACAAGCGAAGTCATCTTCCAAGAACTTTTGCAAATGAATGATCAATGGATCATGGCACATAAGCTGGCGTTCTACGCCGGGAAAAGCTTAACCAACGTACTTCGGGGTCGGAAGACAGGTATCCAGGCCTTGTTCGGCTCATCCGAGGGACGGGATCTCGTGCGAGGTCTTTACTACGATCTACCCTTCAACCGCTTGTTCTATGAGCAGATGCGAGACACGATTCAGCTTGTAGTTGATAATCTAGCTTCGGACTTCCATGGCCCACTGCGCATTCTCGAGATGGGTGCCGGTACTGGTGGTACAACACACATCCTAGCACCATTCCTCGACGGCCTCGATATCTCTATTGAGTATACAGTGACCGACCTAGCACCATCGATGGTCACACAAGCGCGTCGTTCGTTTGGGGCGCGTTACCCCTTCATGCGCTTCGCCGTACACGATATCGAACAACCACCTGCTGAGTCCCTACGTGGCACCCAGCATATTGTAATTGCCAGCAATGCAGTACATGCTACAGATGATCTAAAAGCGGCTGCCTCCAATATCCACATGGCGCTGCGCTCCGATGGAATGCTTCTCCTTACCGAAATGACCGAAGGCTTGCCATTTGTTGATTTGGTGTTTGGTCTTCTCGATGACTGGTGGCGTTTCGCGGATGACAGGGTACACGCTATCGTCCCAGCTGAACATTGGGAGACTCAATTGCGGCATGCTGGATTTGGGCATGTAGACTGGACGGACGGAAACTTGTCAGAAAATCGTATTCAGAAGGTCATAATTGCTTTGGTATCTGAAGGTTCAAAAGGCAAACAATCAGTACCTCCGATGATACCGCAACCAGTTTCATCTCACAATGATGATAATGCGGCGTCTCGGGAGCAGGAGGCTGAGAAGTTCATAACGCGGTATTCGGCCGGCTTCATGGCATCCGTGGATAAACCATGGTGCATACCGAATAACGTAGAGAAACACGAGGACAATGGCGGCGCAGTCGTCATCATTACAGGGGCAACTGGGAGCTTAGGTACGCATCTAGTCGCTCGCTTCGCCGAGGATCCTGACGTAAGTGCCGTGGTCTGTCTTAACCGACGATCCAACCTGGAAAACTCAACCCCGTGCCGCCAGAGCGAAGCGTTAGCGTCCCGCGGCATAAGCTTGTCCTCAGAAGCCTCGTCGAAATTGCGCATTCTTGAGACAGATATAACTCAATCACAACTAGGTCTACCGTCGGCTGAATACGCATGGCTCGTGTCGCGCGGTACGCACATACTTCATAACGGATGGCCTATGAGCGCTAGTCGGCCTCTATGTGCCTTTGAACCGCAATTCCAATCTCTTCGAAATTTACTCGACCTTGCTGCCGATATATCTACCCATCGTAAGCAGAACCACAAGGCAAAGCGCGTATGTTTTCAATTTGTGTCGTCAATTGGCGTAGTTGGCCGACACCTAACCCACAACACTTGCATAGTACCAGAGGAACGTGTCTCCATGAGCTCTGTATTGCCGATCGGGTACTGCGAGGCCAAATGGACATGTGAACGGCTATTAGATGAGACGCTGCATCGGTACCCTGAGAGTTTCCAAGCGATGGTGATCAGACCTGGTCAGATTGCCGGGTCGACCACGACCGGTATTTGGAACCCGGTCGAACACTTTTCATTTCTAGTGCGGTCTGCGCAAAGCCTTCGTGCATTCCCAGCTCTCGATGGCAGGCTACAATGGGTGCCGGTAGATGGCGTAGCTGCAACCATTGCCGACCTAGCGATAAATTGCAAAGCCAATGATCCAGTTTATCATATTGACAACCCAGTAAACCAACCATGGGAGGAGATGGTGGGTGTCTTAGCGGAAGAACTAGGCATTCCTAATGAGAATATAATGCCATTCTCAGAATGGATTCGGAAGGTCAGACGATCACCATTGGTGATGGAGACGGAGAACCCGGCATTAAGAGTAGCTAATTTCCTGGAGAAATATTTCATGCACATGTCGTGTGGAGGTATCATATTAGGAACGGACAAAACAGTACAACTTTCGTTAACGCTGGCTGCCCAAGGCCCAGTCTCTACTGATACGGTGCGTCGATACTTGGGAGCGTGGAAGAAAATGGGGTTTCTGGGTTGTCCATAACGTACACGGACTATGATTAACAAAAGGATTAAGAAATGTATCAATACGGTGTACGTATATTTCCTTTGGTTTCGATTACATTTAGATGTCGAATGTTGTAGCAATGAGAAACGAAACGTTCGTCAACTCAAGCTTTGACGTTACGTAAGTACCTAACTAAAGTTTGATTTTCTAATGAAGACTACTTACGTAAGTGATTACAAAAATATGCTTATTAATCACCTGTCGAACTGCTAAGGCCTATACCCTATTACTCATCTTGTACAGTTTCACAGCATCATTTCACACTGTCACCCCTATTTCAATTATCATAGATACACACTGCCGATGGAAATATTAATACAATCAGAATACCAGGTATACGCTAATATCTATGAATAATATTACCTATATGCTAAAGGCATGTGTAATTCATAGAAGGATGACGTAGAAGTCAATGTGTGACATGTGAAAACGCACAATCTCTCTTAACTATATTGAAAGAGACGCACCTGTTATATCTACATAGCTGCCAGTGACCTTACCATTCAAGATTTATTTAATGTATAGACCAATTTTTTATGTTCAGCTAAGTGATTCACATCCACGAAAATACCATTAAGTGCAATGAATATATGTTGAAAGTCACGACTTATGAATAAGATACTATAGGTACCTCTCAGCCTAGTAATCATTGGACTATAAACTCGCATCTCTATGTTCATTTATCTCTGATAACTATTGGTGTTCATGTAGAAATGAGTGATTTTACCACTTTAGATACCATTTGTCCTTCATTATTTAAATTTCTCGAACTCCAAAGTTTTCTAGGTACCTACCTGCCTACCTACGTTTCCTTCATTGCCTCCTCCTTGATGAAAAAAATGCCACAAAACGTAACACATATCTCCACAATGCCCGAAAAGGCTTGGTACAAATATCGAGTTGAATACCGATCTATTACAATGTGGCCATTGTGGACGTATTTGCGCAGCGTGTTGGATACTGAAAATGGGGAGTTTGTAATTGCGGTAAGAACACTCCGACAAGCAAGTCTCTTCAATCTCTATATACCAACCATCTAATGCTCTCGCAGTCGGATTCAGATACGTGGGCAATACAGACTTCACGAGAACTTACTGAGGTGCGTTGATTTCGACTTGTTGGATTCTTTCCATTTGAAGCTAATGCAATTGCAGGAGGAACTTGACGGAATCAAAGCGTGGCCCGAGGCATCACCCAATGAGAGTTCAACACAAAATCGCACTGGATGGTTCCAATTCTTGAACTTCTGGAGATAAAGCATGTTGTTGGTGTCCACGACGATAAGATGGTATTTTTTGGCACATTTTCAGATTGCGAAACATCATCTACAACCCCAAGTTCACGGTCTGTCTTCTAGTTGTAGAACGAATCCGTCAATCTACATTACCATTCTCAACATCAGTCTTGATAAGCCTAGTCCTCGTACGGCACAGTCATCGGGAAGGCGGGTGGCAATTCTAGTCCATTATACCACGCTGCGGTATCCGACATCTGTTTATTGTTACTTGGCATTTTGATTTATTTTCCTTTGGAAAAGGGCACTTGGAAATTGCTGTCCGGAATCTTGGAGATAATAAAGCAAGCTATATAATACCTACTGAACTATTTGAAATTTATATCAAGTTTTCGATATAAAAACTTCTATTTTTGTAAGATAATCGAGTTATTTTTCTTTGCATACGAAGATTCGGGCTAAAAATTTGGACCATGCGTAGCGGGCGCTGATGGCTGAAAGCCGTCCACGGGTGTGAACTAGAATATTCTCTCACCGTGTGGTGCTTTTCTTTAGTGACTTAGCTTTTTAAATAGGCTTGAGTTATAGCGATCATCCACTAGAATTTAGTGAATGGGCCACTATTTGTAGCGGTTGTAGCCTAAACCTGATACAGTATGAAGCATTTTATTATGTAATCACGCACTGGGCAAGGGACGTGGCTTGATGGTCCAAACTTTTGGCCGGAACCTTCGTACCTACTAGGTACATAATGAAAACCTTAAGCTGCTGGATTTACCTTACATGATTGGATCTACTATCATGGACTTCATTCACCATGCTTTCTGATTTCATCTTCCTCGCCTCATATAGCGTAAAGGTACGAAATATATATAAAATGTTTCTTAGAAAGGGTTGAGATCAGAGTTTCTATTGGTAATATGGAGATAATGTCATGTAGAATTTCCATCCATACCTAGGTTTTGTCGGGGTACGGGAGCCGAAATAAATTCGATAGTAGGCGGGTTGGAATATGCTACAATGACCATGACAATGATTATAAATCAACAAAATCCCATTTCTAAATTATTATTACCTATGCGTCAAAGAGTATGTGACACATGAGCTGTCGTATAAACACATCAGATTCTTCTCTATTGCCGTAGAACCTTGCATCCCTATTACGTATTGCATATGGTATCCAGACACTCAAGGACTGTAGGTTTGGTATGTGTTGGGCGTTGGCGGGGGAGGCCCTACACATGCCAACAAGAACCCTCATCCAGTCGTCAAGCCATTCGTACGGTCTGAAAGGTAGTGGGTACATACCCAACTCAGATTGGAAGATTAGGTGAGCATCCGTCTCAATATCCTGACCAAGGTGATTGAACACAAAAGTACCTTCCCTTTCATATATTATTCTAGGATTGAGAGTAATGAGTTCTATCATAACCTAATATTCTTATTAGTACGTGATCTAAGAGTTGGTACATTCTATTAGGTAGAAAACGTACTTTTCCAATAGCTTGAACATTTGCATCCATTGCCTCTTGAGCCATCGCAGGCGTGGGCGCGGCCATTTCCGTTAGACCAAAGTCGATGATCTTCATTATCGGCGATATTCCGTGCTCCCCGGCAATACCTAAATCTCCGAAGAGAACTTGATTAAAGCTAGATTAGTAATTGTTTCATGTTATTGATACTATATAGGTTTATCTGCTTACCATTTGAAGTGTGAAGATCACGATGTGCAAATCCTCCCGCTGGAACACCGGGTATTGGAAGCTCGGTTTCTGTTCGGCCGTCTTGACGATTCCTGGGCCACTAAGCCAATTAGGTCAGTATCGTAAGAAAATTTTACAGCGGGGAGAGAAACGACAGTGCTGATTATCAACTGGTAGAAATACTCACAGACATTCCGCAGCAGCCTCTCACCACTATATGCTTATTAGCCTGACTAGTAACTACAAGTTTCCCATACATAGAAGGAGACATTCTTCAACTTACAGCACAAGAACAATCTCCAGAGCAGACGATTAGGTAGCCGAGTAACCCCTTTGTCCCTTGCTTTTCTGATAAAATTAATGACAGTGCCGTTTGGTATCCATTCCAGTGCAAGCCAACTTCGAGGAAATTGGTGCACTGTTAAAGGGTCATCATTAAATTCGATAAGTCGTGATATATGTTCCCCGCCGCGCATCGCCTGTAGGCATCAGCTTTCATTATCATAATTTTTGGGATTCAATGGTATTGGGCTTGGAGAATACATACCCTCAGGAAGTTCCTTTCAGTCTCTATCATTAGCTGTGGATCCTCATCCTCGTCATCCTCGTCCTCATCCTGGTGAGCCAATTTAATTAAGAAATCCGTGATTTGACTATTCTCATTCTCTCGATACTGTATACGATAAGTACTACCATAGCTTCCAGAGGCGACATAGTCGTAGAAAGCAAACCTCGGATCTCGAGAAAAATATTCGGTCAGCAGTCTGATAGTCTCTTGTTCTAATTCCCGGGTCATTTTCTGTTTCGGGATAATGGGAGAAAACTATGGTATTGTTGATGGGCGTTATATTGGACGTTAACTGTACAGTAATCTAGATAGGTGATAATAACTAAAAGATTTTCATTGTTCTTGCGCTGGGACTAATTGATCCGATTGCAGCCATATTGAACAAAGAAGTCGGCGTTTATCATTTTCTTCATATAGGTGGCTAGCCACCTTAACAATGAACGTTAGCAATTCCTTTCCTAGGTCTATCTCTTATGCGCAAAGACCTTTGCTAAGGCTCGTAAATTAAATGCGACTTGTCGTTGTTGTTGTTGTTGTTGTTTTACATAGTCAATGTTAAACTGGAAAGTTTCCACTCACTGTCAATGCTAATGATCATGCCCCTTTGGGCGTATTGCATGAACCTGGATTATATGCGTTTCTATTAAAAGGTGTTGATTGATCTTGCATGTTATAGGATGTGCAGCGTAAATTTATCGTACACCAACTCTTGGGTACCTACTTACGCCTGATTTAGGCAAAAGGGAAAAAAAGAGTCGTGATCATGAATTTAAGATTCCAGGGTTGAAATAAAAATAACAGAAAAATCTCAATTTAGTATGGTTTATGTGAAATGAATGATAATGATTATGTTGATAATTGAATGAATGAGAAAGAATTTCGTGGTGGGAAAAGGGGGTATCACGTGACCTTCCCTGACTTCATGCTTAGAAAAAACGAAAGTTAGGTACAAATGGTGATTTCAACACTCGATTCCATATGTACCTAGCAAGTACTTAATTATTCAAATATTCAAGTAGGATATATTGGAATACATTTGAAAATTGTGTAGATTATCGGTTTATTTTAAGATAATTAGGTACCTAGATACTAGGTACCTAGGTACTTATGTTAACCACAACCTTTCCGATCAAACTATATGGTGGAATTAAATTATCGCCAGATATATTTTTGGTGGCGGCCGTCAATATCTTCCGTCGTCCGTGTTGGCACCTGTTGAGATCATCCATTCTTTCCTTGTTCTATGCGCGATTGCCGTCTACCAGACTTTTCCCCCTTCCTCTTCGGCATCGTTACCGGCGTGGTAAGTAATAAAGCGCGATACTTCGACAATGTTCTTTCCCTTGCCGGAGACAAATTGTTAAGAGTTAGGAAGTCACGAAGTAGCATCATCCGAATTTGTTGGCAAAAGTCACGATTTGATTCTTGTCATGAATTCTTGTTCCTCGGTACTGACCATCCTCTTCATTCCCACTTTAGGTATTATCAACACAAACTTTTGTCAGTAAAATTTCCTTTCCACATTCTTTACAACATCTCGTCTCTCTATTCTTCTTACTTTCCACTCTCACATCACCATACTCCTCTACTCCTAACGCGATTGTATCGTCTACTTACACGCATTAGCAACACGAAACCTATAACCAATGATTAACTATTCACAATACTGATCCGTTATGGACAAACTTCCACTAAACCTCCTGGGAAGGATCATTAAGGACGCCGCAATTGATCGCCTGACAACTAGGGGAGAAATCAAGAAGTGTATCGCACCATACGCATCCGTATCTAACAGATTCAGGCAAGTAGTTGAACGGACTACGTTTCGCGAAATAGCTTTTGTTCGAGAAGACATCGCCGCAATCTCTTTCATTCTCAATCGGTATGAGAGATGGCTATGTGTTAGAACTGTGAAGTTCGTGGTTCTTCTACCCCAGTACGAAGACCGTTTAGATCAATTGGAGACCCCTCAAGAGACTGCCAAAAATTCACAGATTTACGCCCTACATATTGCTTTATTAGTCGACCTTCTTTCACAATATCCTGCCTGTAACGCATTGGCATACAGCAGAGCGGCATCAATCAAGTTGAATATTCATGTTTATTCACCCACGGATTGGTATGTCAGGGAATACAGTGATGACATATACGACAGGGGATTCGAAGCAATGAATGATCATCGCTTTACACAGGTCTGGAGACACCATCGTTCCGTAATGCGCCATGTCGGCTACCTCCCCCTTCAGTCACTTCAACATGTGCCTATTGAAAAAATTGGGTTCCCCGGCCATCCGGTAATAAGACACAAGGACGCCAATTTCCTCACCGAAATGATCTCAGTCATGAATCTAGGTAGACTCAACAGCATCCAGTGGGGATTTGGAGACGTGGATAAGAATGACGTTCCGCGTAGATGTGCACGTCGTCGTGGTTAGTGCTTATCTCCCCGTTCTGTGTCGTCTATACTAATATATCTGTTTATTTCTAGACCTCGCCGATGCTATTGACTCCCTTCCCGAGTTAAGTGAATTTAACCTCACTTATTCATACGTCGCTCCGTATAATCATGACTATCAACCTCCTATTCTCTGTCACCCAAACGAATCCGATGCAGTGTCTTGCTCAATTAGAAGGCTCAGCCAGAGAACGAAGAATGTAACCATCACTGGCATCCTAGCATCAACAGAAATCTTTTGGCCCAAGGCAGGTTTGAGAGATGGATTGGAACCGAAGCCATCCTGGGAATCACTCGAGAGATTGAATATCTTATTTCATCCCATAACTCCTGAAGGAAATTGGTTGTTTGAACGCGACTATGATATTCCTATTTTCGACATCCCATACGTGGACTTGCGTCCACTGCCAGTTGAGATTCGCGCAGAGGAAGATGCTGAATGGAACCAATGGCGATACGCGCCAATCCAGAGGCGAATGGACGATTTGTACCAAGCTGTCGGAAGAGCTGTGGCAAATATGCCGAAATTACGATGCATGCATCTCGAGTTCATCCACCACTTAGAGCCTCTCACAACAAGAGCAGCAGAACCTGTTGAGCATCTTTTTACCTTCGAAGTCTTCGAAGATAGGAAAGCTAAAGCTCTTTGGTATAGCAAGCCCCAATACGAGCCGAGCGACATCGTCAAGAAAGTCTGGATGAACTCAGCCTACGAGCTTTGCGTGGATCTACAGATTCAAGTCATAAGCAAATCAACCTACGATGATTACAACTGGGATGACGATGGGGAGGGAGAAGAAGACGACCTCGACGACGACTCTAGGGTTGTGATAGTGATCCGTTAACATTGAGATGGACAGTCGTTTGAGTTAAGGTCATGCTGATGCAATTCCAGCCATGTCCGGGCATGTTTGAATGTTGCTAAAAATTTCAACATGCTTTTTGTAAGATAAACCATAGCATCGAGCTTCTGTCACAAGGAAGCAACTCGGGAAATAAAATTGAACGATATCCCACATTATTAATATTAGTGATTTATTGATTAATTGTTCTAGGATACTACCCTAACTCGGGAAGATTAGTATTTCTGGACGAATAGGCATTTCCCCGACGACCCATTTCCTTCGCCGCATCGATCGGCGTATCTCAAGCCGTGCCCATACTTGAACACTGGGTTTTTGGTGTCGAAAGGTACGTCCTCCATTCCCGCCTCAACAGCCTCATTAGACCGCGGTAGATCATACGGCAACTTTCCTTCCGGCTCAGCTAACCCAAAAATCACATCAAGGAACGCATCAGAGCTGCTCCCGAAGCTAGCTAGCATAGCCGTCGCTCCCTCCGCTACCTCCGGCACCGCAGCCGGTCTATCCAACATCATATCCACAACCGTCGGTACTCCCGCAGCGTAAATAGCCGCCTGTCTCGTCTTCTCCTCGTCCGAGAACTCAAGCGATCCCGCGTGGAACATGGACTCGAATCCTCCAGGACGCGGCTCGTATGGGGCTGCCAAGCGCAGCAGCGCGTAGTCCGCGTCCTCGACGGAAGTCACAACGCTATAGTTCCGCGAGGTAATGTACGTCGCATTGAACCCCTCGACGTAGAATTTCGTCTGTGGACCTAGGTTTCGCAGGGGTAGGATACTGTCCTTGTTCTTGAGGAGAGTGTAAGCGCGTCGCTGCGCCTCGTTGCCCAAACGCACGAAGTACTCGTTCCCGACGACGCGAGCGGCAGCATCGGAATCCACGAACGGGTTATCAAAGAGGCCAAGGAGGAACTTCTCGCGTAGCAGCTTGCGCACTGAGGTATCGATTCGGGATTCGGTGATGACGCCTGTCTGGACGAGCTCGACGATGAGTTCGGGCCGTGTTTCGCCGCCAAATTGGTCGCAGCCTGCGTTCAGGATGCGGGCCGCGCGTTCGAGTTCCGAGAGTGATTCTACGCCCCATGCACGTGCGGGCATGTATTGTCCTGCGATCCAGGTATCCGTGATTAGACCCCAGTCAGTGACGACGATGCCGTCGAAGCCGAGGTCATTGCGCAGGAGGTCTGTGACGATTTCCTTGTTGAAGGAGAAGCCGACGGCTTCGAACGGCGTGTCGACTGGGCGGCTGTAATACGGCATCATCTGCCGTGCGCCGGCTGCGACGGCAGCGCGGAAGGGGATGAGGTGGTATTCTAGGTTGTTTCCGGGATACGTCTCATTCTTGCCGTAGGCGAAATGAGAGTCCTCGCCATTTTGCATGGGGCCGCCACCGGGGAAATGCTTTGTTACAGTGGAAACTGAGTAGGCGCCTAGCTTGTCGCCTTGGAACCCTTTGATGTATGCGGCGAGGAGCTCGGCAGTTAGTTCGGCGTTTTCGCCAAATGTACCGGAGATTCGCGCCCATCGTGGCTCGGTTGTTACGTCTACTTGTGGGTGAAGCGCGGTGCGCAGGCCGACGGCGAGGTATTCTTCACGTGCGATCTCGGCGAACTTCCGGACTAGATTTGCGTCTCGGAGCGCGGCGAGCCCTAGCGTCTCGGGCCATTGAGAGAAGCGGCCTGCGTTGAACCCGGTTCCGGCATTTTCGGTAAAAGCGTGTCGAGGGTCAGATGACAAGGTGATGGGAATACCGAGTCGAGTCTCCAAGGCCCTTTTTTGTATAAGGTTGTAGAAGTCAGCGCTTTCTTTCGCGTCGGTGATGTCGCCGACGAGGTTGAAATGTGTTAGCAGCTGCTCGCCGATCATAAAGTCAGTGCTATTCCGGAAAGCCGTCGCGTTGCCTTGGTCTAGGGTGCCGTTTGCGCCGGGGTACAGCATCGCGTGGAACATCTGGCCGACCTTCTCCTCCAGTGTCATACGCTGGATGAGGTCTTCGACTCTATCGTTGATGCATAATGAGGAATTTCGGTAGCCTGGGAGTCCTTCACTGTCATTCGAGGCTCGGCCTAGAAGGAATTTGGGAGGTATCTGGGATGCACCAAGACAGAAGCTATTCAGTGGCCATGCTGAGAGAGCAAGGAATGCAAGCAAAGCCCTAGACGGCTTATTCCGTAAACCCATGGTGTTTTGCAGAGGAGGGTTGAGGATTAAATAATATGTGTAAACCTCTATTGAATGGCTTGAAGAAATTCGTGATGATCGTCATGAGGGATCTTCATCCTATTTATTCCAACACAACATCATACGAAGATACGAATACGTAAGAGCAAGGGCAATACCTAGGTAGTGAATTGCTCAAGAAGCCATCTCGTACAAGTCAGAAGATCACGACGACGGTCAGTCGATACTGAATCGAGTCCGTCGGCCCTTCCGTCGGCGTATAACTAGGTAGCGTCCCAGGCCGTCGCCTCGGCACACGTGGTTAGCCTCCGATTTACCTTACTCCACGATGGTTGACCCAGAAAAAAAGTTGAGTCGGGGATGATCGGGGTCAATTTGCGGAGATTGTGGGGAGATCACTTGGCAAAGAACAGCGGCTCATCCCAATATACTTTTTCCCACTCTGCCACTCCAGAATATAAGGTCTTGGCATAACAAGGATAAAGAGGAGGCATTCCGAACTACGGGAGAACGTTCGGTAAACCGATGAAGACCGGACTTACCTAACCCGAATTATTTATTTACCTTATTATATCAATGCCCCGACCCCGGCTCAGAATGCATGGATATTGTTATTGATTACGTCACTAGTTAAATTTGATGTTCAAGGTTGATGATCCATTGTGTATAGAGTTGTAAAACTACGAATTACTGTTAAGGTTCGCTAGTAAAGCTGGTGCAATCCTTAACAGAAAGAACATGTTACCCCAGGTAACAAGTTGGTATTTCCAATTTATCAATCTTATACCTTATCCAAGACCATGGCTTCTTTCATACCTTAAGACTCAAGCTTTATCCTTCGGTTAAGTTTCTCAGATTTCTCATATCAGAAACCTCAGACCTTGACGTGCTTATATAATGCCCTCGGCTTAGTAATCATTATGTAAGATAGGGGAATCAGATTCTTCTTAAGCTTAGTAATAGGGCAGTACAGCATTACATAATCACAGCATACGCACAATATCAGATACTTTTGGGTGTGCGCGTGTAGGAACATACAAGCAGTCAGTATATCGAGAGGAGCACTATAGGATTGGAATATGATACGACGTACCTAGGTAGAAAATATATCCTAGGAGGGTCTTTTCTATAGTAGAATAGTAGAAACACATAGTCCTCACCATTACACCCTTGGCCTTGACAGGCCAGTAAAGGATACGACCTTCACTTATGGTACAGAAGCAAAATGCAATTTCAACACAGGAAACTTGAGATTTACAGTAATATGCCTCAAATTATCAAGTTCGCGCTGTCATTTGAATTAAGTAGACAGGCACAGGTGGAAAGAAAATCATTCTCCGACCATGAAAATAGAAAAGGTAGCCCAGAGGCGCGCTGTAATTACAGGGGACCTTCCATTAAATTGACTGGACAGACAAACTGAATTTTAACGCATACCTCCCTATAGATGTTGTTCAATAAACAAACACTGTAACTTAAATACACCAATATCCGAGATCACGTAGCTCGAACGGATAGAAATATTCATGCAATGAAAAGTGAATAAAGTATTAATTCAAGTTCGAGATCCTACTTACTTCTTACCTTCTGAAGCTCTTCAATTGAAAAGTGACAGTAGACGATTACCTAGGTAGACAATTGAGAAGTTGGTTATCTCTGATTAGTCAGCTGGATTCTTGCGTTGGAGTAGAGATCGCTATAATTATAGTGATGTTGAACACTATACGCCCCGTAATTATCGTCGTTTTTAGCGTTTCTCCGCTGAAAGACCACCCAAAAGGTAGCCTTAGCCATACCTAGAATATCTTCAGGGCTACTTTCATGCTTCGAAGTCTCTAGCGTAGCCAAATCATCTTTTTGCGATAATTCGCAACTTAACCTACCATCTACAATATACGTAGAATATCTCTTTGATCAACACATCAGTTCAATTTATTCATACTTGGTCTTGTCTTCGAACGCGATTTGACAACAAACACAGCAGGAACCTTATGTAATCCTACTGTAATCCTACTGTCCACCTGGATGACACCTTCTGTACCCCAGATTTTGTCAGGACCCACACCATCCCACCTCCGGCATCGCACCAAACTTTTCCAGTTGCCCAATCACATTTCTTCAATTGTCAATTGCCAAATCCATTGTCGAACTTTTTTTTTTCTTTAGTCAAATTATTCATCGCGTGCCATTTGTCCTGCGATGCCAATCGTCAAGGATGAGGATCGCTAATATTTTGTGCCGTCCAGGCACAAATCTTCAGGTACGTACAATCCTCGCCGACTTTCCTCTTCTTAAATTAATATCCTTTGTAGGGACTCATAGCTCGCAGTCGCCAAGCACGGCTCCCACGATCACGATCCTTTGCGACACCCGCATTCGACAATTCGAACCCACGAATACCACCGTACCTTAAGTTAGTTAAGAACTATGAGAAGGTCAAGGAGGTTTTAGGAAAGGGTACCCCCCTAACCTTGGCCGAGAAGATTCTATACAGTCATCTTGACAATGCCGAAGAATCTCTCTTAACCAATACCAATGGCGGACGGAACATTCGAGGAACGGCCAACCTAAAGCTCAAGCCCGATCGCGTTGCCATGCAAGATGCCTCGGCACAAATGGCCCTCTTACAATTCATGACCTGCAACCTACCGTCCACAGCTATCCCAGCCAGCATCCATTGCGACCACTTAATTGTGGGCGAGCGAGGCGCGAAAGACGATTTAGAAGTAGGAATCAAGACGAACCAAGAGGTATTTGACTTCTTAGAGTCTGCCTCCAAGAAATACGGTATCGAGTTTTGGCCGCCTGGAGCAGGTATCATCCACCAAAGCGTCTTGGAGAATTATGCTGCTCCCGGTTTGATGATGTTGGGAACTGACAGCCATACGCCTAATGCTGGAGGTCTTTCGACGATTGCGATCGGTGTTGGTGGTGCTGATGCTGTTGAGGCTCTCGTCGGCGCACCATGGGAGTTAAAGGCCCCTAAGATTCTAGGTGTGGAATTGAAGGGAAAGCTCAACGGCTGGGCCTCCCCCAAGGACGTTATTCTCCATCTCGCCGGCCAACTCACTGTCCGTGGTGGCACCGGCTTTATCATCGAGTATTTCGGACCAGGTGTCGAGACGCTTAGTTGCACGGGCATGGCCACTGCCTGTAATATGGGTTGGTTTATCTCCTTCGATAAGATACAGTGCTATTACTTTCTTACTAACGATAAAACTAGGAGCCGAGGTTGGCGCTACGACTTCCATTTTCCCTTTTAGTCCAGCTCACGTCCGATATCTCGAAGCTACACATCGTCATGACGTAGCCGCGGAAGCGAAGAAGTTTTCCGACATTGTTCAGCTCAGAGCCGATCCGGATGCGAAGTACGACGAGATCATCACCATTGATCTATCCACATTAGAGCCCCACATCAACGGACCCTTCACCCCGGATCTCTCTACGCCACTTTCCCAATTCAAGCAGACTGTCCAAGAGCAGAACTGGCCTGAAAAGCTCTCAGCAGGTCTAATTGGTAGTTGCACAAACAGTTCATACGAAGATATGACACGTGTAGAGGGTATGGTTCGTGAAGCCATGGAGGCTGGTCTCAAGGCTACATCCGACTTCTATATTACCCCTGGCAGCGACCAAATTAGAGAAACTCTACGAAGAGATGGACCTCTCGACACCTTCAAGGAAGCAGGCGGCACACTTCTATCTAACGCCTGCGGTCCCTGTATTGGCCAATGGAAGCGACGCGACGGTGTCGAAAAGGGGACGCCCAACGCTATTCTTACCTCATTCAACCGTAACTTCCGTGGCCGCAATGACGGCAATCCTGATACCATGAACTTTCTTGCATCACCAGAGGTTGTAACAGCTATGGCTTTCGCCGGCACCACCACCTTCAACCCCATGACCGATTCCCTCCCGACCCCATCCGGCAAGGAATTCCGATTTACACCCCCCTCAGGTCTCGAGATCCCCGCCCAACCCTTCGAAATAGCACGAGAAGAATTCCGCCCCCTCACCCAAGCCCCGGACGCCTCAGTCAGCGTAGCCATCTCCCCAACCTCCGAACGTCTAGCCCTCCTCGAACCCTTCGAACCCTTCCCCACCTCCGACCTCTCCGGCCTCCGCGTGCTCGTTAAAGTCACAGGCAAATGTACAACAGACACGATATCCGCCGCAGGCCCATGGCTGAAGTACAAAGGCCACCTGCCGAACATCAGCGAGAACACGCTAAACACAGCAATCAACGCCGAGACCGGCGAAGTAAACGTAGCCTACGACCTCGACGGCTCCAAGCACACGATCCCCGAGCTCGGCAAGCGCTGGCGCGAGGCCGCGCGCCCATGGCTCGTCGTCGCAGAGCACAACTACGGCGAAGGCAGCGCGCGCGAACACGCCGCGTTACAACCGCGATACCTCGGCGCCAAAATCGTTCTCTGCAAGAGCTTCGCGCGCATCCACGAGACGAATCTCAAGAAACAAGGCGTCGTGCCTCTAACCTTTGCCGACGAAGCCGATTACGACAGAATCACAGCCGGGGACGAGGTCGACACTGTCGGGTTATACGATATGTTGCGGAACGAGGGGAAGGGAGATGTGGCGCTTAAAGTGACGAAGATGAAGACCGGAGAGGAGTTTTTGGTGAGGACGAAACACGCGGTGAGTAAGGACCAGGCGGGGTTTATTTTGGCGGGGAGTGCGTTGAATTTGTTGTCCAAGTCTAGTCGGTGAGGTGGTTTTGGAAGGGGGATGATGGTGATGGGGGATGGGGAGGTAATGGAGATACCCTGTTGGTATATACGCAAATAGGGGTAGATGGGGGTTCTGAATGGTGCTCTTGGCGGCGGGATATGGAAAAGTCGGTCGGCTATAGAGAAAATGAATAAAGATGAATCACGATGACGTAGGGTGTTGTTTAGGTGGTGATTGTTAAGATTTTGAGTTGCTCGCCTAAGTTAATACTCCCATCGATATGTACCTCAGAGGGAGGTAAGTATATTTGGGGCAATGGTCGTATTCTTACAGGGGATAGAGGGCTCAGTTCTAAACGATCATCACTTGAAATATACCACAAGCAAATCTTTTAGTTAGCCAAAGCTTCTCGTATTTCATTTCTCTCTAGATAAATCCCGATCTCATTCAATCGGCGATCCAATAGCTTGTGTATCGGTAGAGCAAAAGCCTCTTTGTCCTTGATGGCATGATATGTGCACCTTTTAAAGACGTCTTGCCCCCTACTATGCAATGCAATGCAATCCTCTTCTTCATAATGTGCTCAAATCCTATGAACAATGCATATATGATCCATCGCCATCATGTCCCTTGGTATCTACGCATTTATAGCCTGGTTGTTCAGAGCAGCATCCGTAGCTCTACATCATATGTACAAATCTAGATGACTCCTATCTCCTAACCATTCCATATAGTAGAGTATGGCAGTTGAACATGATTCGAGATGTTGGTTTTCGGGCTATTTAAAGCACTTCTCTGATCAAACGGATTATCGGTCATCTCACAGTCACCATCTTCGTCGACTGGGATCGTTTCTTTCTCTTTCTCTTGTCGTCCCGTGTTATTTTTTAATTCGCCTCGTTCTTTACGCTCTTTGCGCCCCTTGAACTTCGCGCGTTTTTGTGCATGGTATATTTCTGCCATCTCATCTAGTTCGTCCAAAGCTGCTAACCATTTAGGGTTGCTCTTCACTCGTTCTGGTAAGCTAGTGGTGGGGTGGCTGTCTTCTCGTTTTCGCTTTGCGGCACGGGCCGCAGCCTGACCATAATTATCCTTCCTATTCCCTCGCTCGTAAATCTCTCTTTGTTTCTTGCGGTGCCATGTTTCGGAACGTGGATGCGACCAGTGGATGCGCGGGTCAATATGGGCATAATGCATTGCTGGACGAGTTGGCCGTGCAGGTTGCTTCCACGGAGGCAGACCAAACAAGGCGGAGCCTGGTCGAAATGGCTCGTTGTTCTTGCTATAGATATACGAGTCAAACTTTTCCGGATCATGCTTGGATATCAGTATCTGGCGTTTTTTCTCTATGTTCGAGCTTCTCCAACTCTGATCCCGAATCATAGACCCGAGGCTAGGTTTAACAACAGGGGCGGTAACAGGATTTTCCGCCTTGTGATTGTTGGTACCGTTAGCCAACTCTATTTGGGATGGCTTTTTAAGATCAGTATTATGGCTCGATTCCGAAAGAGTATGCGAGTTTGACTTGGGAATACTTTGTATCTTTGAACGATTTGATTCTCTACTTTGTGATCGGCGTTTACGACTAGCAGCATCGACAGGTTCCGGTCGAGGCAATGGTGCATTTAAGTTACTAGCTTTGTTGTCACTTGGACTTGGGGCACCGTTCACTTTTGTTGTTTGAGCTGCCGTCGAGCGTTCAATGATTTCATGCACGACATTATTTGTCTGTGCGCTGGACGTGAATATTGAACCAGGATGATACCCATTCATACCTGGTTGATTCGACGCTATGAAAGGACCAGGTACAGCAGGCATTGTAGAGGTGCGTGAATCCACGGTGAAACTAAAAGTCGCTGGTTTTTCTATTGGCACGGGTTGTCGAGCCTGCGTATCGTTCTGGGTGCCATCTTGACGTTGAGGATCTGGGGGAGCGGGCTGTGAATTTTGGTGACATTGGGGCGCCTTCTGTTTGTCGTTATTAAACTTAGGTTGAAATGGCTGGGGACCTAATGGGGTACCCGGTGAGGATGATGATTTCGCAGGCTGGGGTGCAATATGGATATTTCCATTCGTTTTCGGGGGCGGCAGATCGGGTGCTAAATTTGGATCTGTTCTGCGAACATAGTTCTGTCCATCCCGATTCGAAGCTTCCACGTTCCCATTGGATTTAGCAGTTCCTGGATTAGAAGTTGTTTGTACTTCTATTGACTTTCCCCCACGTGGTAAATCGGATATTCCTTGTCCAACACGAGCATCGGGCTCCGCGGTGGGGCGGTCTCGGTCTTTGCGGGTATCGGCGTACGAGCCTTGGCGGCCGTTGCTAGGAAATCGGGGCCAAGGTTCATCGTCTTGAGTAAGATCAATGACCCCGTGTGTTGGAATTACGTAGTTCCTCACATTGTTACGTAGGCCTTGTTGTTTGGGTAATTGTGGGTTATGTAGGCTTTTTACAATTGAAGGAATTTGATTCTCTCGCTGGTTAGGTCTGGGTACCATTTCCAGAGGGTTCGGGTTTTCTTTCTTCGGGCGAAGGGCAAAATCGGATGCCACTGATTCTCGACTACGCTCCTCAGTATTTGCAGGGTTGAATACAGGAGACAAGCGTGAGACGCTATCCGCAAATGAAGATACATGATGACGGCTTCCCAGACCCGATTTATCTGCGTCGTGGGATAAGCGCGGCTTCTTAAGTGGTCTCTGGTCTAGTGGAGCAGCATCGCTGGTAGAAGTACGCTCTAAAGACGACCCAGCATCGGAGGTTCGGGTAACAGAGGGGTTTTGCTTTGGCTTGGAGCTGGTGGTTTTCCGAGCGGTCTTTTTGTCAGACAGCAGTTTTTTCTCATTCTTCTCCTTCGAGGGACCCAGAGGTGGGAGAGGAGTCTTCACAGTTATGGCATCTCCTAACTTCTCCGTCGGGGCCATGGTAGCTAGATGGATGTTAGGATACGATACGTGATTGAAGTGATGATATTTAGTTTCTCGGGAACGACTAACAGGAGGTAGGAGTAGGTGGTACAGTTGCGGGCTTGGGCAAACCTTTGCCTTCTGTATGTTTTGCACAATAGGGCCCTTTAATAAATACAGTAGCAGCGCATTCTTCGATTTTGCATTGCTTCAGAATGAATTGATAGCCCCCCATGGTTCGGATGAAAAAAGGGATTCAGTATAGAAAACAATCACACCAAGTCCGAGGCGACAGCACCATAAGACGGAGGCTCAATCAAGCCCCAATAAAAAGGCAGTCGCGCAAACTCGTGAAAACGACGATGCGATGATTGGATTCTTTTCTTGGAGGTTTTTTGAAATGGTGTCATCTTAGCCGAGTTTTGCCTCGTATAATGGAGACTTGGGATATTTTCAGCGATTACACTAAAGACGACCTGGTATAGGAAGTTAATAATTATGTAAGATTGTTGATGGTCGAATCATTGATTGAAGGAGGGGCAACAAAAAATAATGTTTATTTAATTGAGGTAGGGGGTAGGTGTAAACATAAGGAAAGAGCAAGGCTACTTGTGAGTAGTAGCTACCTAGTAGATGGGATCACATGGTGATCAAAACTGAAGAAGGAGCCTTGGAAATAAATTTAAATGGCAGGCACTTACTGAAACAACCGAGCAAGATCGACACCAAAAAGTGGAAGCTATGATTACGATGATAACAATAAGCAAATAAAAAAAATAATGCTGAAAGATGAACAGTCCCTCCGTAAGAAAATCAAAATGAATTGTGTATAAATGATGAGGTTAAGACGGCAGTGACCTCGTCTTGCCCATATATAATATCAAAGCTTGATTATTATATCCAGCACATATACGTTGGGGGAGATGAAAAAGGAGATCCTATAGACGGTGTTAGATAAGATAACGAAGAGCAATAATCGAGAGTAGAAAGTTGGTAACAGTTAATGAAATGATAGGCTGGTCTCAGATCTTTTCAGTTTTCATTTTTAAGTCATCAACCTGCAGGAAAACTTCGGCTTCGAACCCCGAACCAGCGCTCAAGATATCCCCAGGCGCCAATCGACGCCCGCGGGTGTTCTCCGTAGCCTTTGGCCCTGCCTCATGGTAGCGATGCGAGGCTGGGCTCCTACATAGCGGAACGTGCAGCGGTGATCTGCAACTTATTTTCCTACATCCCAAAATACTAGACGGGCCAATGAATTGAATGTAGCGAGTCCTGTGTAAATTTGGGCATTTTAGAGGCGCGTTTTCGAGTTGAAAACTACGTTGGGTTTGAGGCGAGTTATAGAATTCGAAACCAGAAGTTCCAGACGCAGTCTGACCTTTTACCAGTTTTGGTCATCACTGACCAGCCATATCGTAGATGAAAATAAAAGCTCTCTATGAAGAGTTTCTGATAAAGTAATGGAATAGTGACATACCAGCAATGGTTAGAACCCTCGAGAATTTCGATCCGGTGTAGCTGTAGGACTTCCTCGCCGTCATTATCCGGAATTGGCGAAATTAGCTAGCTGGATTCAGGACCGGATACCAAAATACCAAAATAGACCAGGGCGCGCCGGGGGTAATTAAGAGACGCGCGGAGTACGAGTGACTTCGCTGAGCTATCCGGATAGCTTCTATCATAACATCGCAGAAATTTCGATAGTTTTAGCACCTGTCGTCTTTTCGGCGGGGAGATGCGTTGTCAATGAGATAGTTTAGATGGTTGGCGCGTGGAAGGGGAATTTATTACCAGAGATACAAAAGTGGTAGACGCTAAATTATGAGAATTGATAACCCATTGGTCCGTGCGTTCTTGGTGTGGAGAGTCGGGTATCGGAATATTATTTTAACGATCTTTCATATTTAATTAAGTCTTATGTATTTTCTTAATCATTACATTATTTTGTTTCTGGTTAGTATTTTTAACGTGTTGTCGTAGAGAAACTGCATCGGAATCATTAGGAAGTTGTTCTTCGTCTTAAACTTTGAAGACTTCAAAAATAGTATATTCGCACAAGTTTAGAGTGGGATAGGAAAGTTGATAGGCATTACATCAGTACCGATCGAGATCCTAGGACGCAACTATCCACTTTTACAACTCCGAGACAGTTGCAATTGTTGGCAATTAGGCTGGCCGCGGCTTGGTCTGTACTACCCAGAAAGCTTGGCGCTCTCAGTGGCTGACATGCATGATAGGTATTTCATCTTGTGATGGCCATCCGACCCTAATAGGCGAACAGTATGTTGGTTTGTGGAGTTTCAAATATTTCAGTTTCAAACCCAGTTTGCCACCCCTTAGTTCGTCTGGTATGATACGTTGCTCTTTATTAAGTGCGTTACCAGAAGAATTATTAGCTTAATATGAACTATAAGTTCCTAAGTTATATCCGAGTTATGGTTAATTACTAATCCCCACAGCCCTAAATAAAATCGTTGAAAATATTACAGGATATACGACAAGCAAGGTACCGCTGACTATCCAGGTATACCATTTCACGAAAACCAAACACTAATAATGCGCCTTAATTTATAACTAGAAATCGATCTATACAGATAAAAATGATGAATACCTAGTAGTCGATTCGTTGTAATATACGAGCAACTTTCCATCATTATCTATAGTTAGCACATTAGCAAAGTACGTACCTACTATCATCAACTTGATTATATTGATCTAGTATTAAACTCGCCACGTCGACTCAGTATTGCCTCCGTGTCACTATATCACTATTTAGGATCTTGACCTCATCCTTAAGAAACAGAACATGAAATGGTTTGTTCCTCAAATACGTCCATAGTAGCACAAGTGAATATATTTTCCTTGATTATATTCCGAGTTACACGAGGCTATCCTACACCTGGAGGATCTTCATCACCGCTCTACCTATAACAACAAGAAAAATAAATAGCGCGTAGCTTATTTGTATCATGTAGAAACAACTGATGCTCAAATCTCCTCTTGCTTGATATTCTAAACGCCGGTCAAATCTCGAAACTTTTAGGATAACCAATGGATAATAATAACGAGTTGCCCATATTCTGGAGAGAAGGCCACGTAGACCAAGGTCCTAGCCATGGGGATATTGATGTGATATGTGGGGTTGCAATATACGCTGCAGGTTGAAGTATGTTTCAATTGGATGAATATGTTAGGTGCATGAATATCTTTCTCGGAAATGGTGGTTGGCTGGTTGACTGGCCGGCTGGCGAATTCGGGGTTGCGTATTCAAAGTCGATAATTTCGTGTGGGGGATAATAAGTCGCAATGCCAAAAGTTCTTCATCGCACAAATAATCTTGAAACCTAATCGAGTACTATATAGTAGTACGGGGATAGTAGTTTAGGGGATAAGTAGAGGGTATAAATCCACATTTTTCATGTGATAACAATAATATAAGCATCTTACCTACCTACGTAGGTAGGTATCTTACATGAATATTATCCATAGGTAGGCAAATGAATAATTTTAAGGAGGTCAACACAAGTGAAGTATATACATACGAAGATAACTGCCATGCACTAAGGACAAGATTCCCATGAACAACCCCGAACCCCTAATTCTGCAATTCATACAATTGACTCACAGCCCCAAGCCCATCCTTTGAGTACAAGGCCAGAAAGTGTGTGGCGTCGCGATTAAACACGCCTGGCCAATGAGATGCCGCCTCGCCGGTTACCACACTTGCAGACCAGGTGCTCCCACCGTCGACGCTCGTGATGACTTTCATCTGGGCGCCGTCGTATCCGCTAGTTCCGTCTACGTCCTCGTTCGTCATGAAGCTTGCTACTAGAGTTCCCCACACGTTATACACTTGTGGAGCCCCGGCCAGCTTGCCATTCCGCGCCGTGTAGAGCCGGTTGCGCTGGCCCCAGGATAGCCCATCGTCGTGTGAGAGCACGTAGTTTACCGAGAAAGGACCATCCTCGGTGTTTTCGAACACAGCGCTGTATGGGATGTTAGCAAGTTTGATAACAGGAAGCTAAAGTGTGAGAACCGACATGAGATTTCCGTTGTTGTCAATAGGGGCAACACCAACCATGCCATCTCGAGAATTCCTGTCACCCCCTGAGACAGCAATCCAATTTGACCAAGTTGAGCCACCATCAGTAGAGTACTTCATAAAGTTGTCCTGGTCACCGGCACTATTCTCGGCAGAGTAATAACACTGGAGAGACCCATCTCTCGCGATACGTAGGAAAGGCTCCCAAAGGCCGTTGACGCCGGACGGGACATGCTCCTCGACAGTGGACAGGTACTCGAATGTCTTGCCGCCGTCATCCGAGTACGAGATCGAGATACGGAAGTAAGTGTAGTGCCAATCGCTACCGGTGCGATCGTGGTTCCGATATGCGTACAATATACGACCGTTGGGTAACTGAAGTGGCATCGCGTTGTTGATATCGTGAGTCGCAACCTCACCTCGGAATACCTCGCCAAGGTAATCCCACGACTGGGCGCCGTTGGTCGATCTTACCAAGCGCAGAACATGTTCGTTGCCGTCCGTGGCTACATAACCGCCGATTAGGCTACCATCATTCATGAAGCTAACTCTGACATATTCGGAATTGGCATCGATCACTACCGGATCGGCGGCTTTAACGACACGGCCCGGTAATCGTTTTTCGAGGGATATCGGGGAAGCCGGGATTGCCGAAACCAGCTTGATGATGGAAAGAGCCACAATGAGAATCCTAGAGAACATGATGGCTAAAGTTCATGTTTCAACACCAATGCAGATCCTAGCATAACATATTCGTATGGGGTTTGTAGAGATTATAATATAGAGCTCGACCTGGTTCTACGTCCACTATTGCGATATCCGGATTTCAAGAAGCGTAATGCCGTCAACCCTATTACACCAAACCCAATCTCCCCATCTCCAAGGCTTTTTCGTCGCTGTAGCGAAGCCATCACGAAGCCTATGGCCAAATAGGAGAGAGCTAAGTATGCAAGGCCCTATTGTTAAGGGCAACTGCCCAGATCCGGCAACACGACGTCTTTGCGCAGCCTGGAAGCTCAGTATAGTAAACCCTTTATAGATCCTTGGAATCCCAGGTGAGCATAATGGCCGAGTTCAAAACCAAGTTGTGCTTATTTTAGCAAGGCGGTGATTCTTGTTTGAGAAGGTAGCGTCGCTGGCTCGGCTTTATCTGGCCACTGGGGTTTCGCCATTCCCGAGGACCGCGAAGTGGTGGTGTCGGGTTGTGCGACAACCCTCCTAACTGTTAGTATCTAGGTCATTTTGGAAACACTTACCTAGGTACTTCTAATGCATGGTTCAAACCCATATGAATGATAAGCCTATGATGGCTATTATGCGCCTCGAAGGATGCAGAAGTAAGCGGTTGATGAAACGTTCCAATCAACTAGACTGCTTGGGTTCCTGGATGTTTCACACATTCCCTTAAGTCACCAAGTTCAGCTGTACTCTGCCTTGGCAAGTGTAGGATTGTTGTGAAGACAATGTATAATAGCATCTCCATGTTATGAATTCAAGAATAAAAGCCACATGCATATCGTATTTTCTTGTCGCAAGCGCGCGCTCGGCTCCCTCCCGAGAAGACACAAGGCGTGATTGAGTATTTCGCAGAATCCGAATCCAGGTGGTCTAGAGCTCGGTCCTAGCCTAACTTGACTTCAAGTGAGCTAACAGACCGGGCATGAGAATCTCGTCACTTGACGTATCCCGAGCCCAAAAGATCGGAATTCAAATGGAAGACCAGAAGAGAAACCGGACCAGACCGGATATTAATAATAGTCAGGAAGTTGTAGCACTGCATAAACCATCATCCGATGTCTTGTCCAAGACAACCGGTTGTTAGAAATTGACAAGTAACGGGAGGAAATTCAAAATTGACAGCCCAAAGGAAAATAAACTCAAGAACCACGAAGATCACGTGCATTAATCTAGACCAAACCTTCCACAACCCCGTACCCAATCAGATGTCTTCTGATTACTCAGGGCATTGGGGTCAATCTTTAACCCGCTCCGCTTTTCCCTCCCATTTCTCCAATACGGTCGTAGTCCCCATCGGCACATTCCGATCACACCACCCAATTCTTCGATCGAACCACGCAGCAGGCCAGACTACCATAAGCAGAAGTCCAACAACCTGATCTTTCGCCCTCTCCAGGTCAAATGCGGTAAAAACCCAACCAGTCATCTCCGGTCCCTTTTCGCCGCCTCGCTCCGTACCACTTATGAATAGCCGCATGGCGTGACGAGGCTCCAGCTCACCAGACAAAAAATTCGAAATGCCTCTAAGTAAGCTTTTTCTCCGATGGACACAGCCTGACAGGCCTGTCAGGTCCCAGGAGACGCAGGATGCCGTCATGAGCGTCCTGCCAAACCATGCCGCTGGATTGCGCCGCTAACCCCGGATCGTCCCTCGTCTCGTATGTTCAGCAACCTCTAGAACTCTCTGTAAGGCGCGGCCCGCGAGAAGTGTCCCCAGTGTCGTGAGTAAGATTAGGTGACGGCGTACCGAGTGTGTTGCCCGTGATGTAGTAGGCTAGCTAGTATAAGAGAACCCGTGAACGTCCCTTGTGAGGCAAAAAAAGAAACTCTCGTCATCACAGCAACATAGACATCTTCACTCTTCATATAAACTTCATTGCATATATATATACATTTTTGTATATACTATAAAACATCTCCGCTCCGAGCTCGAAGGATAGAATCATCTCAACTCTTACGAACTCTTACGATCATCTCATCTCTTAAGTCTACTTCGACACTTGTCTTATTAGACCTTATCATCTCATCTCACCAACATAAATAAAAATGTCGGCCGCCATCGCCTCCCGAGCCCAAGCTCCCCTTTCCGCCATCATCCGGCAAGCGTACAAGGGTCTACGACAATCGACCCGGATCGTCGAAGGCATCGAAGCCCTTCCAACCACCACACCCTCTCAGCGCGCCGACTGGGGCCGCATCGTCAGGGCACGCGCTGGTGTCGCTTCAGTGTAAGTCTCCTATTTCACCCATCACCCACACAAGCCAGAAACTCCATCTAACATAACTGGCAACGTAGATACTTCCCCGCAATGGGCACATTCCTCAGCTGGCCTCTGATATCGAGCTACTTCCTCGACGGCCACATGGGACAATTCTAATTCGAATCTGTTGATATTCACCAACCCGCCCATACACTAATGGGCTATACATAACACACCATAAACCATAAAACCATTCGTCACAACGACTGCATATACAAACTGTACATATAAATATCCGGTCGGGCGTTTTTCGGTTACCAGAACAAAAACCTGGCAGGTTTACACATCATGACATAGGAGGCGTTCCGGGTTAATTAATCAGTTTGAAGAAACGGCCAAGGGGGGTCCGAACAGACCTCGAAGTCTAGGGGAACGTGGAAGAGAAAAGGAGAATCCGTACTCATAGAGTCATATAAGCGCTTATATCTAAGCTATACTAAGAAATCTTACAAACAAACTTGTCGATTACATCTAGCCTCTTCTCTATGTATATATGATAACTACCTAGGCACATATCTTACCTACAGCACCAATATGTATCTATCTTAAGAGATAACAGTCCCATTAACAGCATGCGCCTCAGCCGAAACCTTCTCCGCCGCAGTAGCAGGGCGCTTCTCATCACCATCATACTCCAAATACCCGAACCGCGCCTCGGGCACATGGAGCTTCCTCGCCTCGCTCGTATCCTGCAACCCAGTCCGCCGTAGCACCTCCACCGTCCTCGCATAATTCTCTTCAGCATACTTCTCAGCATCGAAACCCAGCAACCAAGCCTCGCGTCTCAAGCGCATGCTTTCGGGGTTCTTTTTCGCGGCCTCGAAGTCGGCTTTGTGCCAGATATCCCGCGTCTGCTCGCCTGTCTTCTGCGCCGACTTGACGCGCTCGTACCGGATGGCTTCGAATGCGGCGACAGCTTCTTGCACTTTATCCGGGCCCCCGCTCTCGCGCAGGCAGACTGCAATTGTGACGCCGTCTTCCATGGCTTGGGAAGCGCCTTGGATGGACGTGGGTAGGAACGGGTGTGCGGAGTCGCCGATTAGCGCGATGCGTCTGCCCTTGGAGATCCATGTAGGTAGAGGGTCGCGGTAGACGAGTTTCCAGTCGATGAGCGGGCTAGGCGTCTTGTCGAGGATTTTCTGGACGATGGGATCCCAGCCCTCGAGTACCTTGCGCGCATCTTCCAGCGGCGCCTCGAGTTGCCAGCTCTCCTCGATATCCGCCTCGTCCTTGTGCGTGCACACCCATGAGAAGTCCTTTCCGTTCTTCATGCATGCCGCTATGAAGTGCACGTCGGGTCCGAGCCAGGCGACGTGCTGGTCACCGCCTTCGGTGAAGTGCTTGGTGTCGGGATCCTTGGCGATCTCCTCCGCGCTGAACCAACTGCGATACACGGCGTACCCAGACGGCTTTGGCGCATCCTCGAACCCGAGCACGATCTTACGGCCCTTGCTGCGCACGCCCTCTGCCGCGATCACCACGTCAGCGGTGATACGCTCGTTGTTTTGGAGGATCACGCCCGCTTGCTTGTCGTCTTCGAAATAATCCTCGACACGGGCGCCAAGGCGGATCTCGACACCGATCTCTATCGCATGATTGTAGACAATTTCATGGAACTCGCCGCGGTGGCCGTCATAACGGATGCCGAATTCCTTGTCTTCGCCTTCCCAGTATTGCGTGAATACTGTCTCGCCTTTCCAGGATTTCAGCGTAATCGCGTCGGCTCGCATGCTCAGAGGTTCTAATTTCTCAGCGACGCCTGGCCATCGGCCAAAGAGCCTAGAGGAATTGGGTCCGAATGAGATGATGTCTCCCAGAAGTTTGAGCTCAGGGAATTTCTCTAACACCAGCACATCGTGGCCCTTGCGGTGGCACTCGATAGCTGCTGTCAGCCCCGCAAAGCCGGTGCCCACCACGATGACTTTGATGCCTGTTTTGGCAGGATTCTGTGATTCAACCATCTTCTTTACTCTATTGCTTTTCTTCTTGATTATTCTTTTTCTGCCGATATCCTAGCTTTCTTAAAACCTCGGAATTCGCGGAGTGCATTCGTATCGCAGATACCGTGTTGAGTTGACCTCGGGATTAATTACGTAGCTAGATTCGGCCCTAACTGTGAAACCATGTCTTCCTCCACATCTCGGTCCAGCATAGGGAGGACGGCATGTGTTCTTCTACTTGTGCATTGCTGACTCTCTGTGAGGCTGTCTGTTTCTATTTCAACCTAACCATATTAGAGCCAATGTTCCCCGCATTCGAACCCCAGAATGATTGTCGGCAGTTACATCGAGACCCCTGAAGTGCGGTATGCGACGGTGTGGACGCATAGAAATGATCACCCCCCCAAGTGCTAGAAGACTTCAAATAGCCTTTCGCTAATAAAGGCCAATGAGAAGCTGTGTCCAAAATCATTAAGAATTGAACTAGATAGTCCACTCCAATTTCGACGGGAGTTTTTTTTCTGCCGAATTCGTGGGGAAGTCAATGAAGCCTTTTAGTTCCCCATGGGATACTTGTCAATATTCATTTCCCCAAGTTTTAGCATCGCGGAGTATCTGTTAATCAGGTTTAGATCGTGTGGAGTTTTCGTAGATCTGAGCTCAACGCGCTCTGACTGGTGAAGTGAGTAGCTGGATGCTACCCTTATGCAGGAGTCCTTTGAAATCCTTGCTCATGCCGGCATCTCAACCATGGAAAGCTATAATGAGGGGATGTGTAGTCAGTGCTTATGTATCAGTCTAGATTCTCCAACCCCGATCAGTGTATATCAAATATCGTGTCCCCGAGGACGCGTCTGAGTCAGTAAGGTTAATTATTTTTGTCAAATTATAGGATTAAGATATTCTTCGCGTTTGAACAAGTTGACAAGATGCCTTGGGGAATACTTGAGGATACGCTCATGGACCATGTCCCCGGCACAAGTATGGCGTCGCCTGTAAGATAGCAACAAGCAACGAGACAAGTACTAATTGAAATTTCAGTCATACTTGCCGATCAGTCTGATGTACCAGAGGAATATCGAAACATCTCCCGAGATCTACTCAAGCACGGTACTGGGAGGCACTCGCATATCATATTAGCCCCTCAGCCAACCGACTCCCCTAATGACCCTCTTAACGTAAGTTCGAGGCTATGAAGAAGTATGGAAGTCTTATGCTTACAGTTATTAGTGGCCAACATGGAAAAAAGACGTTATTCTCGTCATCGTCGGTCTATCCGCTGGTGTTGTTGGTGCATACGGTCCAATGCTTTCACCAGGTTTCGTCGAGATCGCTGCAGCGCTCGGTATTACGGTCAATACACTATCGCAAGCAACGGCCTGGGTAGTCTTGATGATCGGCCTCTCGCTGTTCCTGTTCAACCCTCTGGCTAAAAAGATTGGGCGGCGACCGGTATATATTCTGTCGAGCATCATCATGCTTTCTGGGAGTATCTGGGGAGCTCTTGCGAAAGATTATAGCAGCTTCTTGGGTAGCAGAATCTGGAGCGGTCTGGGCATGGCTCCGTATGAAGTCCTTGTCCAGTGCACCATAGCTGACACCTATTACGTGCATCAACGTGCAACCAGAATTGCGATCTGGAACATGTTCTTGTTGTGTGGTATCAGCGGCGGCGCCCTCATCGCTGGCTATATCATCCAGGTAAATAACCTCGAAGACTATGATGACAAGTTACTAATAGAATGTATAGGATCAAGGTTGGCAGTGGACTTTGATTTGGTGTGCTATTCTTTTCGGCATCTTACTCCCTCTAGTCATCCTTTTCGTCCCCGAAACAGCATACAGAAGGAAGTCATATGAACAACAACTAGCAGACCAAGGCGCCACTAGCCAAAAGACAAAATTGGAGGCTTCGGAGAAGAAAGAAATATCATCTGGACAAGATGAGAATGCGAATGCAGAAACGATAGAAACCGGAGTGGTGACAGAACGTAAAGAATCATACCTACAAAGTCTGAGACCGTGGGGTGGTATCTATACCGATACACCCCTCTGGAAGATTTTCCTGCGTCCAATGGTGATCTTCTTCTACCCGGCCGTCCTTTGGGGATTCTTGCTTTATGGAATAACTTTGTCCTGGATAGTTGTCTTCAGCGTCGTCAACGCCGTGATCTTCACCGCACCGCCATATAACTTCTCAGTTTCCGAAACGGGTCTCATTTCGCTCTCCCCTTTTATTCTTACCCTCATTGGAGAGCTCATTTCTGGACCATTGAACGATTGGATTTGCATGTACTTGGCCAAGAAGAACCACGGAATCTATGAGCCCGAGTTCCGACTGCCACCTATTATCATTTCATTCCTGATTGGTATCGTGGGCTTCTTCGGATTCGGTGCTACTGTCCACTTTCAAACCCACTGGTCCGGGCCCGTTTTATGTTTTGGATTGGCAAATATGAGTCTCGCCTTATCTAATGCGAGTGTTTTCGGATATATCATCGATTCTCATAAAGAGTTGAGTGAAGAAGGTATGAAGCTTCCGTTTTCCGTGAGCGATAATTTCAAGTATTTGCTAACCGCTGTGGCTTATAGCATTTGTGGCAATCAATGCCCGAAACCTGCTCACTTTCGGTCTAACCTACTTCGTCAACGATTGGCTAGCAAGAGATGGCGTCCTAAGCGTGTTCAATGTGCTTGGAGGCGTATTTATCGCTGTCAATCTTTTCACGATTCCGTTGTGGATTTTCGGGAAGCGGATTCGTAGCTACATCGCGAGGAATAAGACCCTGCATGGATTTATGCACGAGGATTAGAGCTATAGATGGTTGTCGAAATGTATTATTGGACGAGTAGTTAGGATAATATAAGTTGATATAAGTTGGTATATGATTTAGTACATATGAATTTGCTTCAATAAAGACGAGATAAAGATGAGATGACGAAAATGAGATGTAAATGAAAAGATTGCCCCACATATTAGAAGAGTGACATATCAACCGGGAATAGATGTGATCTGTGCGCAGACTAAGCTTTGACCACGTAAAACTGTCAATTTGACACGGACCCCTGCAGAAGCTCCTGACAATCTAAAGAAAGGCAGGCGCGTCGTAGAATTGAATTTGAAGCTTCGCCAAAAATGTCCAACCGCTAACTGTCACTTGTCAATTTGCCGATTTCGTTCTTTGCTACACGATCCGTCCATCTTCCACCGCTCTGAGCGACTTACTTCTTGGGTTTACGAATTGACGACTAATTATTTTGACATTCTTTTTTCGTTCGCTACTTTGATTTAATAATACCCTTGAGAAGCCAGACACCACAAAAATAAAAATCCGGTGTGCAATAACAAACGGAATAAGAATACCCACTTTGACCGACTTTGTGACTTTGTGAAAGCCGAAAGCCTGCGAAACACCCCGGGTTGGAAACAAAACGAAACAAAACAACATCGCAAAACCGAGGCTCCATAGGCTACGGAATAGAGGGTAAAGGCCAAAATTTAAAATAGAGAAAAAAAGGGGAGACAGGAGTGGATAGAAAAGAACACCCAAGTTTAGACGCGTAAGCCAACGATGACAGACTCCCTACACAACGCACCCATCGTGCTGGACAATGGCTCCGGCACGATTAGAGCGGGCTTCGCGGGAGACGATCTACCAAAATGCTACTTCCCTTCGTTCGTCGGGCGACCGAAACATCTACGAGTGCTAGCCGGTGCGTTAGAAGGCGAAGTATTCATCGGCCAAAAAGCGGCGACGGAGCTCAGGGGGCTCCTAAAGATCAGATATCCCCTAGAGCACGGCATAGTCACGGATTGGGATGATATGGAGAAGATATGGGAGTACGTCTACAGCGAAGGCTTGAAAACTATGAGCGAAGAGGTAGGTACCTAACGTGCACACGTATTTCATATTACTCCCTAATTATATATTATGCCGGCTCCTATCCATTTACAAATAACGCTAACGTGAACACGTCTACTAGCATCCCGTCCTCCTAACAGAACCTCCGCTAAACCCGCGAGCAAACCGCGACACGGCAGCCCAGATCCTCTTCGAGACCTTCAACGTGCCCGCGTTGTACACATCTATCCAAGCAGTCCTGTCCCTTTACGCCAGTGGGCGCACGACGGGATGCGTATTGGACTCAGGCGATGGCGTCTCACACGCAGTGCCAGTATACGAGGGATTCGCGATCCCATCATCAATGCGACGCATTGACGTAGCGGGCCGGGACGTGACGGAATACATGCAGACACTGCTGCGCAAGAGCGGCTACGTCTTCCACACAAGCGCAGAGAAGGAGGTTGTACGACTAATCAAAGAATCCGTCTCCTACGTCGCCCTCAACCCCAAGCTCGAAGAAAAAGAATGGCAGAGCGCCAAGCTCGACCAAGGCAAGACGGCCGAGTACGTCCTTCCCGACGGCAACCGCCTCCGCGTCGGACAAGAGCGCTTCCGCGCCCCCGAGATCCTCTTCGACCCCGAGATCATCGGCCTCGAGTACCCCGGCATCCAGCAGATCGTCACGGACGCCATAAACAGGACCGATCTGGACCTGAGGAAGGCGCTCTACGCTAATATTGTCTTGTCCGGCGGCAGCACTTTGACGAAGGGCTTCGGCGACCGCTTGTTGAGCGAGGTCAAGAAGCTCGCTGTCAAGGACATGCGGATCAAGATCTTTGCCCCGCCGGAGCGGAAGTACTCGACTTGGATCGGAGGCAGTATTTTGGCTGGGTTAAGCACATTTAGAAAGGTACGTCGTATTCTGTCTGTATTATGCATGTGGGAATTAGAAGTGAAGTGCTAACTTGGACGTAGATGTGGGTTAGCATCGACGACTGGCATGAGGACCCCGATATCATCCACAAAAAATTGACATAAGCTTCCCTGCGTTTCTTGATTTTCGAATGAATACAGGTAGGCGGAATGTTTCACGAACACATACTCGGGATGAGGGGGAAGGGGGTCAACGCGTTACGAGAATTGGTGATCTCCTATCCCGAATGTACTAAATATGGGCGCGACGGAATTAGTCAGATGCATAACACGAGCCCTGTTAGAGACTTGATTACCTAGGGGGTGTTCGAGGGGGAATGGGTCTGACAGTTCGCTCTACTGAGTTTTATGAGATGTTCGCTGGGGGGAAGGGAAGGGGTGATGGGACAGAAGGCAGAGGTCGGCGCCGGCAGCTTGTGTGTCAGATTATTGGCGGATTACCTATGTCATCTATGTAGATGAATGATACCCAGGCGTTGAAGATCACACGCGATTATGATGATGTGTTGACTAGCCCTCCTCTTACACGAAAAACATCAATTAGATAAAATTAGTACGGCGTCTCAAGGTAATTCACGAATGAAGAAGTGCATCAAACTCGGGACTGAAGTTAGGTTCTTCGTAGCCATGATAAAACACGGACTACCAATATTTCTTCCATTCAAAACCATGTTATAATATGTCTTCATAAACCAAATGATAATCTTTTTCGACCAAAACCATCGTCGTCGGGGGTATATATCTCATCCATCCATCCGTCACAAAAAATTCACCAGAAACAAACGCCTGCCATTGGTGTGTAGTGTGTAAGATTAAATATCTTTCGTCCCGGAGTCTGCCAGCCGGTAGGGAAAAGGTGAAGTCGATACTTCTTTTTCCTTTCTCCCGTGAATCCAAACCAAATCATTGAGGTTTCCTGTTTGCTCTGAGGCCCCGCTCCCAAATCCTTTTTTTCTTTTCCTTCGATCCGCCTTTCAGGGGATCGTGGTACCCTATTAGGTATACTTCGTCGTGAAGCGTGATAGTACCCGAGAACTCCGCTGCGCCATGCTCGCCTTTGATGAAAAGTAGAGAGATGTTGATGTGTAGTTGGTGTAGTGTGCGATGTGTTGAATATTAGGTCATCGCCGTTGATCATCATCGCGATGATGATGATGATGATGATAGGTTACACTGTATGTAGCAACTTAGTGCCGGTGACTTATGCGGCTCCATATGTTGGATAAGCTACCGGTGCTGCTTGAGCTGTGATGGCTCGAAGCGTCGCTACCCTTGCGGACGGTGGTGGGTCCGCTCGCTCCATACACGTTTCCGGCACCGCCACGGCCGACGTAGCCAACTGGCTTTTGCTCGATGTGGGTTTTGGAGGCGAACTCTTCATCGAATGACATGACGGGCTTCTCGACTGAGACGTGGGCGTTGCCTGCACCACCTCGTCCGGAGTGGAAGCGGGATGAGGTGGTCGGCACTGGTGTTGGCCTTGTTGCGATGCCAGAAGAGGGCGTGGTGGTTGGAGCGCGGAAGTAGTTACCAGCGCCTCCTCGGCCAGAGTGAGCGTATGAGTTCTTCGGGATGGTGGGGTGAGGCTCGGTGATGGTGAAGTTAGGCATCTTTGCGATTATCCTGTTCAGTGGTGAGGTTGATGATGAGTTTATAGTATATGTGGATACAGGTGGTTATGTTTTGGTTTAATGGTTGATGATTAAGAATTCTAGTAAAGGGCCTGACTCAGAATAGGTAATGGGATGGAGGGCTCAGGTTAATATACGTATTCGATGGCGATGACCGGGGAGCAACCCCTTTGTCATAGTTACACTACCGCCTCGAGAAACTTCCAGGTTTGACCGCACGTGGCGCCCACGGACAGGACCCAGGAACAAAGCTGATCACGATACGTAACTACGTACTCTAATTCTAGAATGAAAACAATTCGATTTTAGAAAAATTTTCATGGCCCAAGGAAATGGTAAAAGGCACGCGGTGGACATAAGTGGCTCTTAGACGCTAGGCGAGCTTGCCGGCGTAGCTTGTCGCATGGAGATGACAACATGATCAGGTTGGATTTGCTGTTTCTCTCAGCCCAGACAAGTACCTAGTAGGCAAGGCAAAAAAGAGAATCGGTAATTTTTTTTAGACTGGAAAATCCATCGTCTTGGCGTCGATGTCGTAAGGCGCCTAGCAGTTAAGGGTAAGTTAGTGGAATCTGGGGTAACCGCGTGATGGATCCCATTAGCTAGGAATTAGCTAACAGAAGCTCACAGAGTTGAAGCTGTTACGAAATCGGGGCTTGGGTTAAGCTGGTAAAGGCATCATGAGACCTGCAGAGGAGTTTTCTGTACATAACCATTACCCCATAGTTTGCTCCCTGGTCGCTAGTAAAACCAGGCAGGGGTTATGCAAAATGGTCTCTTGGTGGTGCAATCCGTCCTCGACTTTCTCCTTTTGGACACTGGGACCCGGCAACGTCATGCTGTATTTCACTGCAGGTACGAAGTCGTCGATCGAAGAGCCGCTGCAATCCGCGAACCAATAGATTCTAGGCCTGGTTATATTGATTCGCCAGCAACGCCTGAGATTAGTCCATGTCGAGTATGTCCAGCCAAACCAACCAACGCTGGTTACAGTGCTCGTCGGTCAGTATTTTTTAAGGTACTGGGGAGGTAACCTGTAACTGAAACAACGATTTAAACATTTCCGGTCGGTGGAAAATACAGTGATTGAGGTCACTGAAGCACCTAAATCGATCGGTGAAAGAATTTTATAGCGCCCGGGACTACTGTCTCCCGGTTAATCAAAGTTTTTTTTGCCCTAACTCCTCGCCTGCCCGATCCACATTTTACGGGTAAGCCCCCCCCAAAAACAAGGTAAAAAGAGGGTTTACACTGACATGTCGGCTTATCCGAATGAGATCGCATCTGTTGATCTGCTATTTACGGTCGGATCGAGCTTAATTTTTGCATAGTCCGAACAATTGCGTCTCAAGTGCTATTATGCTAAAAGCCATAATGACCAAGTATAGAACGTTACCCCATAGACTGATGCGAAAGCTCCGCCGTAACGAAGCAATCCGTGGCCAGCTGACCGGCGAGGAGAAAATAGCGTCGGGGAATAAACCAGGAAAAAAAGATCGTGACGCGAAAATTTGGAGTTGATCTTTTTTTGTTCGCCTTAGGCTTGGACCGGGGTGCTTAGGTCATCCAGCCCCCGCTACTCGATTATCTATTTTTGAATGTGTCTAGTGAGATTCTTAGCTTCTAGACATTTTATTCTAGTTGCCCCTAAGGCTTTGCACCAATTTCCAATCTCTAGGGCTCATTTACATCATCAAAGATTCAATTCTACAAATCAATATAGGATCTTTCATACCGCCACGTCTGTTCAGCTTAGGTCCTACCTATATGTCAAGTTGCTGGCATCCCTTGACATTTATCGTTTCCCCTTAATTTTAACACATTGTTGCGCCTTCTTTCGTGATTTTGGCGCCATAGCTGAGCAGCAGTTACATTTGTTAGCATGCGAAAATTTTACCATAATACCAAAAAATTCAACCATTTTCCCGTCAATTAAATCCACATAAAGCCTTTCGTGAAAAGGGTGGTCATATTTCATTACCCCCCAGTGGCTATGAACTGGAATTCAAGAATATAGAGGTCATTTACCTTTCGTTTTTCACCTTATGTAAGCAGTAACTTTAAATGATAGCAATTCCATGCCTTCCCCCCAAAGAGTTTGTCGGCCTCCAATGCCCAGTGGTCTTACCAACGTAGCAACATTTTACGTTTCTCGAATCCCCCTGGAAAGAGCGTTCAGTTAGGTAATATCTGACTAAGTACATATATGAGCGATACTTTCTTTCCTGATGCTCTCTGTTTTCATAAAATACCATTTAACCTTTCAATATCCATGATGACCATATCCTACATCTTCATGTGTTCTGTAAATGCCACAACGAAAATTCAGGTTGGCTGAAGGGCCTACTAAGTATCGTACCATTACTACCTACTAGGTACCTAGTAGGTATGTAATCGCTGCGCGGGGGTAATGAGGCAACCATTATTCCGTTCGTTCGTTTCACAACGTCTATCTCGGACCCGATCAACACCTCGTTTGAAAGTTCGCGAACTATTAATCAGTGTAAACCAACTTCACGCCGCCCACTCACTGATCTCGAATATGGCTCAGCCTGCCTCGACTCTAGCTTAATCTCGATAGACTATGACGGCTCTGGAGATTTGCGATAAAAGTCAAGCGCCAATAGAACAGGCACCCCATTGACCGCTTTATTCTTAGCAATTGCGCTGTAACGACGACCTACCAATCATCCCGCAGCGTTGCAATAATCAAGACTTTGATCAGGAAAGCCACATGCACGTAAGACCGGACATCATGCCCGGCCAATAACACTCGAACACACGCATCTTCACATCGCCCTGAAGTAGTGTAAACACAAGTGATAATGGTTTTGATCAAAAGATACGCCTATTTAGTACCTTTCAATCAAGGCCATGATCAAAAGTTACCGTTAAGGAGTGTCCGTTGATCATGGCGATGATCAAATATGCCCTCCTCCCACTTATGGCATGACTATGACTGGGTCAATTGGGTATTCGTAATATACAGTGAGGGAACGAGCCAATGGAACGGCCTAATTTACATGTACTGCCAATAATCTAGTATCAAGAAGATTCAAAGACCGCTTTAAATCCCATCAAGTGCAGCTGTGGATGATGTTTTTCTGTGATCATCTACATTCCAGCCGAACATTCCAGCCGTAGGTACAGAGTAATTATACCGTATGCCAATTTGGTGCAATGGCGTTTGTTTGGCATTGTGTAAGTCGACAGTTCTCATCCATGGATCCCTTCGTAATACGTACTAACGTTAAATTTCTCTTCTAGTGTCATTGCAAATGGGAAGGTTATGGCGCTATGTCCACAACGCTTTACCCGGCGTGTCTGTCTTGCCAGCAAGAAAGATGCGGCTACTGTGACGTGCATTCTGTCTCCGATGAAAGGGCGGAAGGAATGGGCACTTTATATTCAAGACCCGAGGCAGATGGGGTGATTACCGAACGTGAGGCTCTGCGTGGACTAGAAACAAGTCACCCGTTCACCGAAAGAGCCTCACAGTTACAAGCTAAGAACATGGCCGTGGATCAGATTCCCTCTAGGTACTCAGCTGCTACCAACTCGGAACCAGTCCCCTTGGTTTACTATAGTCACAACAATACCGGATCAATTAGTGGGGTTGAATCAGAAATCAGCAGGCCGAGTCTGCTGTATGCCGACAGAGAATGCACCCCCCACAGCAGTTGCCCGGATACCACTGATCCATCTGACTCCCCTTCAACTATTGACAAGGATGAGAAATCGGCAGGCATTCTCTTCGGGGAAAGCTGTTTGAATCCCACGAGTTCTATCGCTCCTCAGTATTACTATTTCCCCGAGTTAGGTGACGCAGAGGGTAATGGAATTGACCCAATCGATCCCGAGTTGGAAATGGAAATAGCTGGCGCAGATGCTATCGAGCCGCTACGACATCAGTGGGATATTCCTGACTTCCCGATACATGTGGATCCACTCAATATCGCATATTATCCTGATAGCTCTCAGCTTCGCACTCCATGGACCAATGATATTATTCAACATTTGAGTACACCTTGCCCAATGCCATCAATGGCTGACCAGTGTAAGACATCTTCGTCACCAGCACCCTTTTCTCCAGGTACCTCGTTGCACCAAAGCACCGATCAGCAGCATATTACCAAAAAAGGCAAACCCACCCAAATTTCCAAGTCTTGCAAGTTTTGCGAGTCTTGTTTATCAAGAGAGAAACTGAATGGCAAATCCAAATATCTTGCTTGTCTATTCTACAAACTCAACCCAGAGCAGCATATCAAGTGCATTTCCAAGGAGTTCAGTACTATTGGTCATTTGCGACAACATTTGGACAAGCACCACAAATTAGAGAAATACTACTGCAATCGTTGCTGGGTATCTTTCAAGGACGAGGGGTCATTGAAAGCACACCCTGAGTGCCAACCAATGGGTGGGGTCCCCGTTAACGACCTGGCGCCAATCTCTAAGACTCGAGATATGAAGGCCGACAAAAAGTGGTATTTGATTTGGAAACAACTTTTTGGGGAAAGCACCCCCTCTCCAGAGTGCCCCTATTCACACCCCATACAAGATTTCAAAAGCTACAATTTTGATAACCTCCACCGAAATCTCGAAATGAGGGGCTCCGTCTTCAGTCTTGCTGAAATTAAGCAAGTATCCTCAAAGCTGAGAACACAGTCAATGGCGCGGAATCAATTGATTTCTGATGGATAGATTAGGGTAGATCCTCACTACCCATCTTAAGGATACCCTTTGGCTTCGCCCAACTAGAGAAATTAGTCAGTATTTCCGCGATGAACAGTTCTACGTGCATTTGTGTTAACCCACCCCATTTCCCATCTAGGAATCATACACTTACCGTTAGAACAAGAATGAGGCTGCCCCCAGAAACCCAGCCCTACTTTTGGTGTTACTGAAAGGCGAACTTCATGTGCAAATAACCGCTGTTTAAGTCACCAAAAGGCCATCACCTCCTTGGCTAACAACAAGCACCGAATACAAGGCCGTTTGTTTTAGGAGGATATTTATACTTCCAAAGACTCAACTTTGGCTAGCTAGAGATTGTAAGTTACCGCTCTTGAAGATAAAAAGTGCAGCTTGTAGTACCTAACAATGAAAGAATTAGGATGTCGAGGTTGAACAACAAATTGCTATCCATTCACCTTCGTGTAGAAATACAATGCCACCATTCAACCCCACCCACTTCTACTAATTCGAGCCCCTCGTGACCCACATTCATACAATAGATGAAAGAAAGAAAAAAGAAAAATACAGAGCTAATTATTTTAGCGCCATAAAGATGGACGAGCAGGGAGTTGAACCCTGGACTTCTCGCAGTTCAGTATCGAATAGATGCGAAGCGAGCACTCTACCACTGAGTTACACGCCCTGTTAATTGAATGCTTGTGTGATTCTGATTGGTCAAAACCTTGTCATGTATTCCCTTATAATCAACAAGAGAATGGGTGCATACTTCTTCGCCTGTTCATTATTACAATCGTCGGCTCTTTCTTATTTACTATCCAGTCTTTGTTCAAATTCTTTATTGAACGGAGAAAGAAGTATGTGCAGTGAGTACCTTGGTATGCAGCAAAATTGTTGGGTGCAATAGCTGACTAAGTCAATATTAGAATACCCCTTTTCCTGAGTATGAGCAAATGAACATACATGGTATCCTGCACCTACCTGCCTATACTGAGGTAGATAGGCATAGGATAAACCGCTATGAAACTCAAAGACTTCCAAGATTGTTATTTGTCCGATTTAGTGTCATGCACTGAGATACAGTTCGTTACCAATACCGTTTACACTTAGTAAGACTTACAAGCACTTACTTACCACAAGACTACAATAGATTCACGAACAAAATAATTAACTTAAAAAATGACACTATTAAGTCTTTGAACTCACCTCGCTTCCAGTGCCATACCGTTCCCGATATGTGGTGCCGGAAACGTCGCATTTCTTTGTTACCTCCCATTCGGAATAGCCTTGTTGCCATCAATGCGCCTTTCCTACTCAAGATGCGAGAAAGGGACAAACAGCAGCTAGCATGTATTTCATTCAACTGCTCGGTTCTTTGGGTCCTTCGTATTTATCCAGACCGCCACGGGACGGCCAATCCTTGACTCCAGCTCCTAAGCATGATTCACGTCTAACCGGCACTAACAAGATACAACAATACTATTCTATCGAAACCTTGGAACTCGATGACACACTCGTCAACACACGCTAGATAACTACATACACATACCCATCTGTCTACGTGAATAACCTAGGTACAAACGTTGCTCGAACCTTAAAGATAAAATATAAGTCCCGCCAGGTGACGAAGTAGAGAGAAAAAAAGAAGAAAATGGACGACGCGGACCAACTGCGGGCGGACAAGGAGGTGGAGCTAGAAACAGCCAGAGTCACCGTCAAGAACGCGCAAGTGACGGTCAAGGACGCGCACGACTGGGTGCATGCGCTGCAGGCGAGGAAAACGTCAGACGGGGGGATGGTCATGCCAGGACCGTACATGATCGCCAACCTGGACCGGGTGCTCGCGACAGCGTGGGACTCGCTCGACACCGCAGTGGATGCGATATCAGTCGCGGAAAAGTTCCCGTCCGCGGACGCGGAAGAGACACTCGGCGGCGCATTCAAAGAAGCGGTGAAAGACACGCCGATATTCCGCGATGTGATCACTTATTTGGAGGAATTCATTCTGGAGTGGAGCCATATGTTTGACCGCGGCACGGGACGCAGGGTGAAGGCGTATGGGTCTGATGTGATCGAGGCGAAGGCCAGGAAGGAGCTGGCGAAGCTTGATTGGAAGGAGTATGACTCGTCGCCGGTTCCAACAGAGGGAAGCTCCGTCTCCTCGAGTGATGCGGAGGAACCTGATCCTGTGCCGCAACCTGTCAAGCCTCTCCCGCAGCCTGTCCCGCAGCCTGTCCCTCAACCTATCCCGCAGATTATCCAGCCTGCCCCGCAGCCTATCCCGCAGCCTGTACCGCAGCCTGTACCGCAGCCTATCCCGCAGGTTTCCCCACAGCTTATCACGCAACCTATTCCGCAACCCGTGCCTCGTGTGCCGGGCCCGGTGCCCGCGCCGGATAATGGTGTCATCGGGGGAGGGGATGGTGGGTTACCTGCTCCGGGTGATGGTAATGTTGCGCCTGGGGGTCTATCAAAGAAGAAGGGGGGCCTTGTCGCATATGATGACGACGACGAAGATGAATATAAATGGTACGATGATGATGAGGATATGAACGGTGGTGGTGGTGGGCAGGATGGAGACGGAAGTGGGAGTGGGAGTGGAGATGGGAGCGGGAGCGGGAGCGGAGACGGAGATGGGAGTGGGAGCGGAGATGGGAGTGGGAGCGGTGATGGGAGTGGGGACGGTGATGAGGATAGTAGCGGAGACGGTGATGAGGATAGCAGCGGGGACGGAGATGAGAGTGGAAGCGGGGATGGGGATGGGGGCGATGGGGGAGATGGAGATGATCAGATGCAAGTTGACGATGATCAGATGCAAGTTGACGATGATCAGATGCAAGTTGACGATGACGACATGGATGATGATGAAGATCACGACATGGATGATGATGCGGAAGATGAAGACGATCAACCCGGTGATGACGTGCCGTCTTCGTCTTCGTCTTCATCATCATCATCAGATGCTGGTGCTCCTGCTCCTCCTCCACCCCCCGGCCCTCGCCGTCGTAACCGTCGTGGCCGTCGAGGTGGCCGTCGTCGTCGTCGTCACCGTCAAGATGGAACCCGCGTGGGAAATCCCGGTCGTGGGAGCGCCAGGTTTAGGCTCATCAGAATGGGCGAGGGTTACGCCCGAAGATTGCCCAGGAAAAGATAAAGATCCTAGCGAAATGTGAGCGGCTTTTTATGATACTTTCAAGGCCTCGAGCTCAGTCCGAACTGTCATCCATGAGAGGGTATGATATGTTGATACAATATTGTTTCGGAGATTTACAGACTCGTATATAGAAAGGGGGTCAACGCCAGCGCGTGTAAGATTGTTATGTATTTAATCTACATAAGTACCTTAATTTGAGCGACTTATGCTATAATCAAAACGTTTTGATGAATACCTAGAATCCTAGATAGGAAGCAAGATATTTAACTTGACGAGAGTGAAATAGAAACACTCCAAGGTTGACTTTTGAAACGATGGCTCTCATCATTACTTCGATACCTACCTAGTATCAAAGAATAACAGTATAGGAGTCTAACTCCTTACCTGCCTACCTATAGGTATTTATGAGCAGGTACCTAGGTACCTGCGTCATCTATCCCCTTAGATACAGCAGTGTAGACCCTTATGGGGCTCTCCTATTTCGCAATTGGTTAAAATGCACGAAATTTGGATACCGAGCCTAAAGCAGCAAGACTAAAAGTAAACTTAAGGAAGACTCGGTAAGTCTTGGCACTGAAGCGCAAAGTCGGCCGCGTAGTGTAGTGGTTAGGTATGTATAGTGTCGTTCTATCAATTTCTGTTTGCAACTAGTTCACTAACATCTGGAATAGCACGCAGGATTTGTAAGTCTCTCTTTCGAGCTCGCCTTGAAGTGTTCCTCCTCCTAACGATCCATAGTGATATATTCAAAACTTCCTGAGACCTGAGTTCAATCCTCGGCGGGGCCTTATCGAATTTCATTTTTATCAATTTTTATTTTTTATTTTTTTTTATATTGGCACATTTGACTGGTGCAGATATAGGGCTGTAGTGATGTCGTCATAGAACATTTGCGAATCTTGCTAATGCCTTGGTATCCTCTGAACGAAATGATCTCCAAGGAATAGTATTTACCTAGAGAATATAAGTTGAAATATGTCCTGGTGGTGTTTGTTTTATACGGCGTATCTTTCTGTTTCCATGACCATTTTATGTTAGTTGAGGTGAGAAGATGCTTTGAAGATCCACCGTTATGATAAATTTGGCCCTTAGCACCTATTTAGTTCAAGTACTGGGTATGTTTAGTTGTTTTAAGTACTAACTACCTAGTACATATGTATTTAGGAGGTACAAGCTCATAGAAACTATATCAATAAATTCCAGTTACCGTGATCTTTATGAGTAGGTCTTTCCTTATGTGCTGTGTTGCACCTTTCCAAGTTGGAATTTTAAGTTGATGAGATACGGTCATGTGACTTGGTGTTTTCTATCACGCGTCTCATGTAATTAAGAGTGGGGAATTCTTGGCCGCGTCCGCCTAAACTTGTACGCATGTACTCTGTACCTTGTACCTTCACTATTCGATGTCACCTATTCTGTGCTCCTCCCACTTTGAACGTATTACAAATTACAACATCATCTTCCCAACACTTCTTTTATTCTGCTGTACATTTGCTCCCTATGTCATGTTGGAGCAGCTGTGCGAAACTCCATGATATACAATCTAATTCTGCAACCCAGCCGCGATGCCAGCGTATGTCCGAATCCATCAATCCACCAATCTAATTCATCAACGCGTCCAAGCTAACATATTACCATCCTGACTAGTCCAGGCGAACAGCATAATGGCATTGCCAATCCTTTCGAGGAGGCCAAACCTCACATATCCGAATTTACTGCAACCCAAATAGCCACTTTGCAGTCGCGTTTAGAAAAGCAATTGGGTCCCGAATATCTCTCCGCTCGCAGCGGCCCGTCTGGCCAAAAGGTTCACTATATCGCCGCCGAGAAATGTATCAGTCTCGCGAATGAGGTCTTCGGCTTCAATGGCTGGTCCTCTAGCATCCAGAACATCCAAGTCGATTTCGTCGACGAGAACCCACAGACTTTCAAGATCTCTCTCGGTCTGTCTGTCATCATTCGCGTGACGTTGCGCGATGGCACATACCACGAGGATATCGGGTACGGCCACATTGAGAATTGCAAGGGAAAGGCGGCCGCATTCGAGAAGGCGAAAAAGGAGGGGACCACAGATGCGCTGAAGCGTGCGTTGCGGAATTTTGGTAACGTCCTTGGCAATTGTATCTACGACAAGGATTATCTCTCTAAGGTCACCAAGATGAAAGTTGGACCTGTCAAATTCGATGAGGGCAACCTGCATCGTCACTCTGATTTCGCCAAGAAGACGCCAGATGTTGTGAAGGTGGAACCGAAAGAGACTGTGGACAAGAGTGTTCTTCCTGAAAAGATGACTGCGCATGGTGGGTTCGACTCCGATGACATCGACTGGGCGGATGCTGATATTATGAATTTGTAGTATCGGATTTGCTTGACGAGGACTTTGGTGATTTTGACATGGTCGATTTTGGCGTTACAGACGAAGGTCACCCGGATGAGGTGATCCTCCCAGGTTCTCACGGAACAAGCTCAAGTGAAAAGCCTCAAACTTTACCCGTTAGCAACAACAGTGATCGCAGTGCTCTATCTACATCTACAAACAGTGCTTCGAAGCCAATGCAGCCACCCCCGCGGCCTGCTGTCCAGCCTCCTAGACAACCCCAAACCCCAAACCAGCAGCCGCCACAGCGACCAAACCCGTCTTTCCAGGGCCGGCCAAATCCGCAACAGTACCCAAGACCCCCTAGCCACGCTAACAACGCCGCTCAGCATGCTGCAGCAACCAACAGAACAAACACACCACCCCCCCAGAACAGAGCAGTGCCACCGGAACAAGCCGGCTTCTTCTCAGCCCGATCAATCAAAAAGTTACCTGAAAACGCCACCCCAGACACAGCCATCAACCCCGCACAGGGCGCCAAGGCGTTCGACCCCCATCTGGACAGTCCCTCGATCCGAAAAACACCAGGCGTCGACCACAGCTCCTCCAAGCCTTTAGGTAAAGATGGTAAACACGTTCCCCCCGCGAAGCGAGAGGCAGAACCGCAGCAACGGGGCCCGGCTAGCGGACCGGTCGGAAATAGCTTCTCGAGCGCCGTCGGTTTGGGTCCCGGACGACCCGCCGTGGGCGGCGTCGGAAACCCCGCGCTCAACCAGGCTAGACAGATCGGTGCCCCTGGAGGCGTGGGCAGCCCGATGGGAAATAGGGGCCAGTATCGGCCGTTGACGGTGAAGCGGCCGGCTCCTGCGGCGGGCGAATCGGGTAATCGGGTGCCGTTGACGGAGGTTTCGACGAATGGTCCTCCCCAAGGTATAGGAGGTGGTGGTGGTGGAGGTGGGGATGGAGGAACTGATCCTAAGAGACAGAAGGTCTCTTAGTCAACACGGGTGTGGATGGCTTAGGTTGTTTCTATAACGGGTATGGTATAGGCAAGAGACGGATTCTTTCTCGGCGGAAATGTTCGGCGTCTGGAGTACTTTGCTACTAGCTAGGCGCTTGCTGTATTGACATCATGTTAGGCTCTACGGTCCCGAGATGCGCAAAGTCGAGGATGGCCTGGCCAATGGAATTTATGGAAGTTCAATTGAACGAAACTTCACCGCTTGAATGTATTAAGGCAGCCAATGTGATGTGTGCAACGAGTCCGAGTTCCAAATGAAACCCCCCTTCAAGGCATTGGGCATCGACGCGTTGTAGGAAAGGCAACGCCCATCAGGCCCGGCTGCAACCCTAGGCATAGACTACCTATGCCAGCGTTCTCTGGGAAAATCACAGCCTCGTTAAATCGCTCGATCGAGCCCTTTACCATTTCATGGTTTACGTTGGTAAACTGAAAATGACGGTTATACTAGTACCACGAGGTACTTGAGCAATTGAATTCTTACCGCCAAGGACTACCTAGTAGTTTAAGTACACATACGTGGAACTTTTGCAGCTTTTGCAGCATTTACAGCATACCGTCCAGTATTCCGTAAGGTACGTATTTCAGTGAATGCAGGCTCGCCCGCCCCCCCTCTCTATCGCTGTAACGCTGAAGCGCCATGCATCATCTCATTTGGTGACACTGCTTATAGTGGCGTTAATTGGCGCGTTGTAAATTGTTTTCATAGCCTACATGGATCAGCCAAGCTACCTGTATTTTGAAAATATTCTGGTAGTGACCAATGAGCGCCGTTCCTGTGAACAGAGCAGCGCCTTCATTGTGCTGTACATATATGTCCCTTCTTCCGCACTCAGATTATTCCAAAGTTGTGCTCATCATCGTTAGTCACTCGAAGGCCGCCTCTTATCATGTCAGAGATATTAAGAGCAAAACCACTTGATCCTGCGCGTTGGGAAGAGCATAGGGAGACAATCTCTAAGCTCTATGAAAACAATGGGCTCAAAAAGGTGATGAGTATAATGCTTGAGGAATACGGGTTTGAGGCATCGTAAGTGTTCAATCTTTCGCTGAAATTACAGAAGTCTCATACCTAATAATAATGTACGATCAGGAGAGCCCAATTCGAGCGTCAAGTACGCAAATGGAAGTTGGGGAAAACCCACACTAAAGAAGAATGGAATGCCATCTCTGCAATTGTCACTTCCCGTGAAATAGGCGAGGGGAGTCGTGTCCTCTTCAAGGGAAAGTCGATACCCCAATTAAAGGCACAACGAGCTGTCCGACGCCATGGTTTTGTCTCCGTGATTGAACGACTCACTCGAGGTAAGTTACATTGTTGCAAACATTGCAATTCATTCTAAACGTATCGAAGTTGAGGCCCCGCCCATTCCTCCAGGCTTTATTATTCGAGCACCGACCCCAGAGCGCTTAATACAACAATGCAAGGAATGGTGCTTGGATCTACCTTTCACTGAGTTCGTGAAATTCCTTATGCGAGAAGGTAACTATTATCTTATCCAATGTTAATAATTATATGGATACTATAAGTACTAATTAAGAAAGATGTCTATAATAGGTTGGTTCTTCGAGCAGGAACATTTGTGAACCCGCAGCTTTTGACTGCGTCGGATAATTCTGGCCTAGATATTAACCATGATTCGTCCTCTGCTGAAAGCCAAAGCCTCCAAATCACTCACCGGAAAGCGATCACACAAAATTTCAGTGCCTTCATCCCCACGTCGATGCTACAACTAGATTCGAACAAAACAAAAGGCGATTACAATCTAGCGTATTATTCGATGCTAGCATTTATGCTTACCAATGGCATGGTGAAATTGGAAGGGGAGGAAGAGAGTGAAAGTATCTGGAGCTATCTTGACGAAACCTCAGCTCAATTACTAATCCACTTTATTCTGTCAACAAATGGGTGGGCATCCAAAGAACTTTCTCAAAAGCTCTTCGACAGCGCCATCCTATACGGGCGTGCTGATGCGGTCGGATCTATGATTACCCACCCATCCTTTGATATTGACATAAACAAACATGTCTGTACTCACCAACTGCGACATTTTACCCCGGTGGAGTTTTCTTCGTCATTGGGACACTACGCGGTTACTTTTATTCTTATTCAGAGTGGCGCGGACATCAACAAGAGTTATTGTCGTTCTTATCCTAAGCCTGGGTATCCGTACCGGCGTGGAGCATTGTTGTGCGCTCTCTTAAGTCCTGGGGATCCGCCAAGTGACCTTGTAGACCTCTTACTTGATCACGAGGCAAACGTCGGCGAAACCACGATTAATGCCGCCTTTGGAATCAATGGCCTGGGATCTGACCAACTATTATCTTCAGAAAGGTCACATCTAGTGGTAAAGCTCTTCCGTAAGAGCACCCACCTCCACCACCAATTTTTTCATCTTGGTCTTTTCCACCATGCAATATCAATCGTGACTGGGGAAGTTATCGAGGAAATTTTCGACATGGTATACCGCATCAATAACGACGTCGATGCTATTGATGAGTTCAAGCCTAAGTATTTGGAGAATATAGAATATTCTGGACCTACCATTAGAACCACGATGAGGATAATGGACAGCCTGGCAAAGCGTGGATACACAGAGCTTGTACGGAAGCTCCATACTTCTGGGTGCGAAACAACGGACTACACCCTCATCTACGCCATGCGGAGTCAGGAAGTGCGACTGGTTCAGTATCTTCTTGAAGTCGGAGCTCAAGTGGATGTTTCTATCGAATCGGATATCACAGAAAAGAAGACGGCATCTCCCGGTCACAAAATAGTTTCTACGACGCACGTCCTTACACCGTATTCCGAGGCTATCAGGATTGGGAACGCGGAGCTTTGTGCACAGTTAATGCCTAAGACAGCATTACAAAATGGCGACATATTTCAATTAGCTGCTGCCTTGGATGCTTTTGTTGAGACTGAAAATTTCCAAATACAGCGTCAATTATTGCACTCCATCAAAAGTACGGTCATCATACAACACTACAACTCAAGTGGGCTATACCATCTCGATGAAGCAATATATTACTGCCTTATTAAAGCGATATGCCAGCACAACGACATTGCTCAAGTAGCTTTTGACGCGTGGTTCGAGTTACTTCCGTAAGAGATTCTCTTCAATTATTTCCTAGCCCTTCAAAAGTATTTCTACTCGCAAGAGATAGTTAAAAGAGATAGTTTGGGGGCCGTCTCCCTAACCGCGTGCTGCGAATATAATAATACGGGCGTGTACCACTAACTCTGAGTGCTGCAGTACAAATTTGGAGTTTGATACACATATCATAGCATCGAGAAATATGGCGGCGTTCGCATTCCATCTTTCCCTAGCCAAGCGAAACCAACATATTACTCATCTCTTTCTTCAATTAGACATGCAATTTCTTAGCTTTCCGGAAGGTGAACATCGAGGATATACATATCGCGGCTACCATGTTGATGAAAGGGATGCTTGGTGCTTGGCGGTTCAATGGGGCGATAAATCTATACTCGAAGGATTATCCCTTTTAGCGCCCAATAACACAGCATACTATCATTCTAGATATGAGCTTCTAGATATTGCCATTGCCAAAGGGGATGTAGTTCTGATAGAACAACTACTCGGACTAGGAGTTTCTGCCTCGGGTGTCGATCTGGCTGCAGCTGTTCGTACTGGCAATATTGAAATCGTGAGATTTCTACTTGAGGAAGGAACTGTGAAGACCCAACAAGCGCTTGCAGAAGCCATCGACAAGGGTCCTGATATGGTAGATCTTCTACTCAGCGCGTCGGTTCAAAGAAAGCCCCGACTACGATCAAACCCTTTCCCCGCCTACTCGGAAGTACAAATTTCTTCCAATCCCTTATGCCGAGCTATTCGACGGAATGACTTGCCCCTCCTCAAAAGACTCATACAGCATGGAGTTGAAATTGACAGCCCATCCATCTTAGAAGCAGCCAGTCTTAATCATGAAATGCTAGATTTGCTACTGAAAGAGATTAGTGAGAAATTCAGCAAGGGCCGATGGAGCGCCGGCACACCGGCCCTATGCGAATTCATCATTCGAAACGATGTTGATCTCGTCGGAAAACTATTAGCACATCATGTTAGTTTAGACAACTTCGTGTCCTTCGAACTAAGAGATGATGCTTACCCTCATAAACCCTCGATGAAAGAGTACCAGCTTCCACTCTGTGTTGCTATTGACAAAGACACAACCTATAACCAGCAGATTATCCGAGCAATTCTTGACTCTGGGGCATCGAAACAGCTGAATGATGTGGTGTACGATTCATCTTGGGGAGGCGAAATACCTAAATGCCAAGAGACAGCACTTTTGAGAGCTGTTAGGCGGCAGGATTTGGCGATCATCGACTTACTCGTCAAGAATGGAGCAGACATTAACTTGTTTGTTGCTCCAAGATTCAGACGGTCCCCATTACAAATGGCAGCCGAGCTTGGTGCTTTCGAAGTTGTCCGATTCCTATTAAATCGGGGGGCAGATGTCAACGCCGGTCCTGCTCAGTATGCTGGAGGTACAGCACTCCAACTTGCTGCGATCGGAGGCTATGTCGGTATTGTGGAGCTTCTGTTGAAAAAAGGTGCAGACATCAACGCTAAAGGTGCTAGAATGGAAGGCAGAACTGCTCTGGAAGGAGCTGCAGAACATGGTCGTTTAGATACCGTCGCGCTGTTACTGAAGGCTGGCGTCCAGACTACAGAAAACGGCAGGCGCCAATATGAAAAAGCCGTGATTTTTGCTGAGGACAAAGGCCATTCTACCGTGGTAGCTCTTTTAAAGTCTCATGGCACGGGTTCTCATATTGGCACTCCCTTGGATCCTCAGGCTGAAAATGATGAGAACCAAGACCAGACTGATTTGTTCATGAGAGAGGTTATGAACATGAGCCCAACGCCTTCAACATGGGAATTGAACTAGCTATTCGAGCTAAAGGGCGCAAGGGTTGAGAAGAGAAAGTGTCCGGAAAATGTCCGATTGGCATCCTAGAAATCGTCTACCCACGATCCCGATCCTTCAAACATTTCGAGTCTCAGCGCTAGGATCTCGTGACTCACTCGCCCATTCACATCAGTATGAAAATAAAAACACTGTTTCCTCTCACGAACCTACATACACATCTTCAAGTAATAACTTCACCATAACATACTTACCTAGGCACCTACCAACTCCCAATCCAACAGCCATGGCAGACAACAAGCCCACACTCCACCACCTAGAGGTTAGTCTCATCTCCCCCCCACCCCAACCTCCCTAACGCGCAAAACCAAAACCCGCAGAACTCGCAATCCCACCTCACGCTCTGGCTCCTAGAAGAGCTAGGAATAGAGTACACCCTAACCAAGCACGCGCGCGTAAACGGGCGGTCACCCAGCGCCCTAACAGCCGTGAACCCCGTCGGCAAATCGCCCACGCTCGTCACGCCCTCCGGCCGCGTTCTCACCGAACGCTCCGCCATCGCGCTCTGGCTCATCAACGCGTACGACGAGGGGGCCAAGTTCCGCTTACCTAGCCCTAACCCTGCTGCTGGGGGAAATGGAAATGGGAATGTGAATGGGGGGACGGAAGACGACGCGGTGCGCGAGGAACAGCTGATTTCCTTCGGCGGCGCGACCCTGTGTCCGCTTTTGACCGTGAAGCTCGTGCTCGCGCTGCTCGTCAAACAGGCTCCTTTCCCGATCCGGCCGCTCCCCGCGCTCGTGAGATATGCCGTCGAGCGCGTGTTTCTCGACGCGGAGCTCGCGAAGTTATTTGGGTATTTAGACGCGCAGCTGGATGTGAGGGGGAAGGAGAGGGAGTGGTTTTTAGGAACGCGGGAGCCGACAAGGACGGATTTCTCGTTGATGTGGTATGTGGATTGGGCGGTCCAGTGGAAGTGGATTGATCTGGAGAAGTTTCCGCGCTTGAAGGCGTTTCATGCTAGGTGTACGGCTAGGCCGGCGTGGCAGAGGGCGTTGGAGAAGGGGAATGGGTATAATGTTGCGTTTTGGTGATGAGGAGTGAGTTTGGCGTATGGAGAGCGATTTCGTTCTCACGTGTAATGGTGTTGTTGGTGTTGTGGTAATTGTTGTTGTACGGCGTTGGTGGCCTTGTGCGATACCAAGAATTCTCATCTTAGCTGATTGAAATATACAAGATCTCCTCTGATAAATGAACCTCGAATATGACCATACTTTGTAAAATGGGAATACCAGATAACCTACCACCTATGCGGAAGAATATAATGAACAATCAGCAGTACTTAACCACAACCATAATCCAAGCCAAAGCGACTTACTTTCCTAACAGTAATTCCATCAATCTCGACTAAGAGCTATGCTATTTATAAGAGGACTCTTCATAGGTACATAGGTAGGTATGCATTAGTCCTCATGCGCTGCCGGTCACCCATCAATTGTATACACCTAAGGAACAACACCCGCTAGTAATTGCCAAGCCTCAGCTTCTTCTCCTTACCCTACTTTCTCCAATTCGACCCCTAAACGCCGCCACACCCACCCCCCCTAAACTTCCCCAACAAGCGCTGCACATCCGGAACATCCAGATCCCTCCAGCCACGGCCCTCCTGCTCCCTCTCCCCAATACCCACAACCGCCGCAACCAGGTCCTTAGTAACGAGATCCGAAACCGCGCTGTCGCGGGCGTAACCAGGGTGCGCGGCGACGAAATGTCGGATCCACTTCGCGGCAGTCCAGAGCTCGCCGCTGGCGCGCATGCGGATGAGGTCGAGGTATGTAGAGAGGTCGCAACGAGTCTGGACGTCAACATTGACGGAGTCCAGGTAGCTCTCGACGATGGGGATGAGGCCGGGGAAGTCGTGGTCGGCGTCGGGGCCCGCACCGTTGATAATCTCGTCCACGCTCATCAGTGTGAATTCATCCTCTACAGGCCCCACGGGGGTCGGTGGGCGGCTGGCATTGGGGGAACCCTGGCGCGATGCAGCGCCGGACCGCGAGGGCCTATTCGTGAACGGGTTCTTCCGGAAATGGAATTTCTTCTCGAGAACGGCGTCGCGCGCGTGTGCTGTTTCCATGTTCTCGTCAACTTTGGTGATTGGGATGTAGAAGTTTAGGTCGAAGCTAAGGATAGCGCGGGTTATTAGCACCATGAATATCGCGAACGCCGCATTCTCGAAGTCCGTGATCTGGATTTCCATTGGCCGGAATTCGACGCGCCAACCGATGTCGGACCCCGGTGGGGGTGGCTTGAACCGCATGTGTTGCCAGTTGGTGCTTTGGATGTTCTCGAAGTGGTCGGCCTTCGTTAAGTCCAGCTCTTTGAGGTCCTCGCTGAAGATTACGATAGGGTCTCGAATGAATAGATGTGCGAAGTGTGTTGCGAGGCGATCATCCATGCCGCCTTCCAGGAGCTCCGTCTTGATGGCTTCATCGATGATGAGGTTAGGGTCAAAGTATTCCGGCCTTAGACGCGCGTCTGTGCTGATATAGGTGGAATTAGATGCGTAACGAGACTTAGGAATCCGCCATCGGCTATTTTCCAGGGGCTTGGTTTTGGTTAGCATTCTAGTAATGGCCAGATTGGTATGTGGGCGCTCTAACCTTTTCTCCCAATTCTTCAGGGGTACGGTCGTCTACAGAGCGGCTAATTTGATTCCAGCGAACATCCGTATCAGCTAGGAATCCCTTATATATAGGGGTCGCTGCTGTTAGGGCTAACATGATCGGTCCTATCGGGCTTAGTTGATCGTACATGCGCCTGCCTTCTGTGATGTTCTTCGCTTGGAAAGTAATTTGCAAACAACAACTCCCCATTCCGAATGCCATGGCATCCATGTGAATGAAGTTATCTGGCGCCGCACCATTCCTCACATCGTCATCCTCCGGCCAATTGTGAAGATCATAGTTAACCGTAGGATCCTTCCACGGATTTGGCGTCTTCTCATCATGAAACACGGGAACGTTCACTTGAACTTTTCTCCCACGCCGCCAGCGTATGTTAGCTGCCAAAGTAGGAAATCGGATGTGTGGGTTAGCGATTTCATCTGGCACAAACTGTGACCGAAGCTTCGATCCAGAAGCTGGGTAATAGGGGTCTGTGAAGACTCCCGGAACGCCCAAGCGAGGAAAAGTCGTAAGGGTGATAGGATATTCGTCAGAATGCATGTGCTCTTTAGCAATCCTCCTCCTATAATCTTATTAGCTGGAACTAGTATGTGCACTCAAATTAAAATACCTGATCTTCATATCGCGTTCGACGCCTAAGAGTTCCTTGAATCCGATACCCCATGGCTTGCCGGGTGTAGCCTCGAGCATGAACCTACCAAACTCGGGGTGGAAAACTGGCAGTGGATTCGATTTCTGCGACTCGACATCCTGAAGTGCTGGCACGCAACCACCTTTATCGGAGAGTTCCTCATCGGCTGCCAGTGCCGTCAGGATATCGGCTTGCCGAAGTGATAAGAGGACTTTGGAGTCATCTTTGGAATATTTCACAACCAAGTACTCTACCTATATTTCTTGTTAATGAAGTTATTTACTGTGTGATAGGGGCGCAGTAAACAGTACCTCATCACCCCATAACATAGCATCTCGTTCCTTGTGCTTAGCCTTGTTCCATATCTCGAGTAATTGCTGTGACGGGTTAGCCCTGGTGGCTGATTAATTGTGAGGTAGGATGCGACAAGGGAGTACCTTTATACCCCATTCCCTAACTTTCTGCGCATGCTTCTGCGCATCCGGCCAATCAAGTGCCGTGCCTAAGGCTCTAGAAACTGCATTAATGGTCCCGTATCACAAGATTGGTCTCCCGGATCTCGGGCTCAGGAGAATAACATACAATAAACCCATATTTACCGCTCAGCGATTCACGAGTATGCAGTCTGATAAGGTACGAGACTCGCGGTCCTGATAAGTTCCACGGTTCGGATAGGTACTAGGTACGTAGGGGTGTTTTGAGAGAGAGTTGCCAAGTATCGTCCTTGTCCTATGAATAAGAGGATAACAGGATAACAGTGTTCGATGTATGAATAAATACAGAAATATATATAAATAAGAGTATGTATATCTGAATGGCAAGAATCGATAGTTTAACAAGATATGGAGTATTTAACCTTTTGAATTCAAGTTTGCTCTATTCATGATCGGTATCGCAAACCCAAATTGTAGCACAGGCTGGAGCACAGACTGGGGATAAACTCCAGGTGGCGTCGATAGATGATTAGATGATTCTCACGCCGTCAGAATCAAATGCGCTTCTTCCCGTTGGATAAGCTTAGGACTACCTGGAATCATAGGATGAACTCCCACGGGACTAGATTCAGGGTCTCGAATACATGACCGCGAATTCGAATTAGGATATTGACAGGCGAGAGATGAATTGGCGAATGGGTGTATTGGTTGTATAATATGTCAACTCCGCGTCGGAGCACGCAATTATCTGGTCATACCACTGGTCCGGACAACTCCCTTTCTCTAGATCTAGGACTCTTAGCGACAATCCCTTGTTTCCCGATTTGGAAATAAATTATGAGATGTGTGGGATTGAAAGGGAGGCGAGGTGAGATTAGTCTCGAGTTGATGATATATATATTTTGGGGGTTCCTGGAGGAGAAGTTGTAACTCGTAAGTTCAACATCGTCCAGATTATAAACTTTTTTTTTCGCTCTTTCCTCTTTCCTATTTTTTCCCTTTTTCTTGCTTTCTTAGCTTGTCTATGCCTATTTCTTTGTGGGGCAGCCTAAGAAAATGGATTATTAAGAAGCAGATGCCGACCGAACCCGCAAATGGCTTAGAAATACAATTGCATTCTTTAGTAGCATCACATAAAACTTTCTATCCATACTATGTAAGAGCGTCTGATAACGGCGAGTTGCGACCAAACACGCCGAGTGCGGTCCGCCTCGGCAATAGGGAAATATGGCTGTGCTAGCGCCACATCTTGTCTTACTCACTAGCCACATCTCTCTCCACACCCCGCGGGCTATCCCACCCCCACATAAACCTCCCAGTCTCATCTCAATTCTACTTTACTCAACCCAGAATCTCAGATTGGCATTCGATATTCATCTTGCTCATCGCATCTATTTCCAGCGTATTAGAGAACTACGCGTCGAGGCTGTTTCATAACATAACCCATAACTCCAAATCCAAGAACATTCGAAGAGTAGTTGTTCCCAATCATTTTACTACTCAATCGATTCAAAGATATTGAAGCTTTCAAGGTTCCCGGCATGAGTAAATTCACAGCCAGCCAGAATGCAGCCGATTCTTCCTTGTGTTACTCGATCTTGGCGATCATTTTCTCATTGCGACTCTCTAAATGTAACCTTGGACGGGTCAGGGATATCATGCAGCGTGATTGGCGTTTATGTAAAAGCAATCACTGGACAATCCAGTAGGATCGTTAATGAGACGGAGGCGCAGCTGCTCAGCCTACGGGAGATGGCCTCTAAAAGAATAGGGGTAGATATTGTCTTAGATGACGAAGCTTCATTCTAACAGTGCAATGGTGAAATTCGGGTAGGTGAAACTAAATGAAATTCTCACTTTTATCAAAGCCGGCAAAACAACATGGAAATCGAAGGTTCGCAAACTCCTTTATCCACCAGAACAACCCTTGTCAATGCCAGCAGCTTTCAGACCCTACCACAATCAGATAATTACTCGTCCTCGGCCTCTACAATAGATCGAACCTATTTTCTAAGAGGGAAGTATGCATTTCGATCTTCTAAACTTAAAAGACAGCACAAGATACGGTTGAATCAGCGAAGGAACCCAAAATTGTTCAAACCTCCTTTGGACGAGGGGTTTGCCTGTCCGCGATGCTTGTCAGCCGATGGTCAGGAGAGTGGGGATCACCACTTCGCACTTGTTCTCCAACGACTTACAGAGATGGATATGAGACAAGAGCGACTCCTAACTATTCTCCAAAGAACGAATAGTAATAGTGTAGAAGACGCTGAGCTCTCCTTCTCACACTCCAATGCCAATCGCTTTCAACCGAGATTAGACGTATTCAGCTCTTCCTCTCTGCAAAAGTATCTGCAGACTACATTACATCCAGATCCGGTTCGGTTATGTGATATGTTCTTAGCAAGATACAATATTCCGCATATTCTTACTGGATCATACGACGCAATCGAGTTAATGCATATGCATGGCTGGGAGCCCGAAGGCTACGGGGATATCGTCCTGGTACTCCAGCATTCTCTAGATGATGACTTGCATGGGATAGAAGTACCGTGGAAGCATATTGATCAAACAGGAGAGCCACTTCTCGCCTTAAAACTCACTCAAGTCACACCACTTATCAAAGAAAACTGGTTATACCAAGGGAGGTCGATACGGAACTCAGATGAGACTGATGTACCATTCGAAACGGATGAGTTCGCAGACTCTGTTCTTTTCTTGAACTGTCCAGGATACACTAAGACATTATTATATCAGTCAAGCTATGATTCGTCCGGCTCTCATTTTTCTCGGGAGCCTTGGCTAAGCGGGAAGCGTGCACTTCTATGCCAACTCCAGGTAACATTTATCTCCAGTCCTGAAGAAGGATGATACTAATAGAACACGATAGCCTGATGATGACAGACTGCGTGTTGATAAATCATGTCCTTGGGACGGTCAGGTCTTCGGGCGGCTATGGTACAGCTAGTACATCAATCTCCATCAAGGCTAAATGGGCTAATTTGTTAACAAGGCAAATATTTCACCATCGACGACTCCTAAGTTTCGCCTGTATATATCTTGTCCTCTCACAGATGAGCGTCGTTGGTGATACTAGCCAAAGGATCCTAGCAACTAAGAAAGCCATCCGTTTTGTGAGTTGCTATGCTTCCAAGTGGCCACGCTTCATGCAAACGAGCCAGGTTTGGATGTCGTCGAATTGGATCCACCTCCACTTTCATCTTCGTGTCCTGTCAGCCGGGAAGCAGTACTTGCCGAGCGTCTATCAGTATCGCCCGAAGAATGGACTTCGACCCGCTCGCTTCTCCGGCAAACTCACTTCACTTAGCGGCACAGATGATATTGGCATCGCCGAAGAAAGATTCTCTGTTGCTGTAGTCACTTCTCATACGGCAGATATGCCGTTATATACGATTATTTACCTTAGCGATTCTGGCTACCGGCGACTCTTCATGGAAAGTGAAAGGCCCCTGGATATGCCGAGTCGAGGAAAGTTTACAGGTGTTGCCGTATATCTCAAAGTCCTGCTTTTTGTCCTGCCTATATGGAGACGCAAATGGACTGAAACGCTAAATGAATTTGATAATTTGGTTGGAGTTAAGGTAAAACGTGTCAATCGCGATGTCTCAGAACGCTAGCTGATATATCTAGATCGACGACCTGTTTGATCCGAAGCGAGATGGTGCTGCGATGTTTGACAGTTCTTTTGAGAGGTCTAAGCTTTATTTCACAGTTCTTCAGACATTGAGGGTATTCTCGGAGTGGATTCAGGAGAGTGAACGAGAACTCCAACAGCTCAAACAGAACTTCGATGTTAACATTCAATCTAACGCCGCCCGTCGTGGCTCCGTCGCTTCAAACCACGGCACCGCGTCTCCAGTTATGTTCATGAAAGAAATCGATGAGGCATGGGAAGAACTCCTAGCTACACACGATTCTTCTTCGAAATACCTTTTAGATCGCATAGGAAAGAAAGAAGTGGAGATCAAAAGTTTTAGAGATGGGGTACGTGGAGGACCCAGAAGTGACACGCGTATAGAGGTTTGCTAACAAGACTCTCCAGCTCTTCAGTGCCACTTCAGTACGGGAGGCATCTCGGGCGACAGCATTGAACCAATACATCCTAGTTTTCACAATTGTCACCATATTTTACCTTCCCCTAAGCTACGTCTCGGTGCGTCACTCCGTTTCTTCAAGAGGCTCTTGATCTAACCTTCAATCTAGTCTCTATTTAGTATGGATATTTTCGATTACGACAGCTTCCGTAACAGCCAAGCATCATTTGTTACCATCACCATCACGATAGCAGTTTCTACCTGGGCAGTTTCGGCTGTAGTTCTCTGGCTACTTCATGATGATGGAAGACTGTCCAGGTTCAAGGTATCATTAGGTCGAGTTCGATGGAAAGCCATTTATCCTCCCCAAAAGCGCAAATTTAAGGAAGATGAACAAAGACCCATATTCTCGGGTATATAGGAGATCATCTGTCCAAAATAGTACCGTTGGTGTGCGGTCTCAACACCAATGAGATTAGGTTTTGCGCCGCCAATTTCAAGTACCACTACCCTAATAGAAGGGTACCTCCATCCATCTCATACGTATGGTGGTGGGTTTGCCCACTCATTTCGGATACGGCAGCGGGTGACCCATGAAGCTCATGCTTTGGTGTGGGTGATGACTTGGTGGTATCTAACACCGGAAGTTCGGAGAGCTGATTTGCTTCATGGGTTGGGTTCGGAGGCTCCATCGCTGTCTGACTGCCCCGAGGCGGGCGGTGGATCCGACGAAAGCAGAATAATATACCTAGGCCTAGGATCGCAACCCCTGCGACTGCACCGACGACCACGCCTGCAAGGGAACCTGTAGAAAGCCTTGACGATTCGCCTGCATTTAGGATCGCTGTATTCCCGTATCGGCTTACGAGCTTGCTGTCTGACGTAGGCTTGGCCTGCCATAAAGTGAACGTATTGGCGTCCAGATCTACCATCAAATATGCAGCAGTAAGGAAGTAACGGCCGAGCGTAGTGACGGAATCATGTACAACGCCGATCAAGAGCTCCTGCTGGGATTTATCGACAACCCGAGAACCGTTATTATCGATATCAACGAGCGGTACCAGATACTGGCTACTAGGGATGTAGATATCCAAACCAATAGAAAGTGAAATGGTTAGATCACTATCAAATCTAAGAAGAATGAGATTCATGTTTGAAATTCAAGTGAGGATGTGGAAGGGTTGAGCGGAAAGACTTACAATGCTGATGTGTTGTATCGGTACGCACCCCCATGCAACCCCCAAGAGAAGTTGTTTATTTTCATGCCCGTAGTGAGTTCAAAGTTACTGATTATAGATGATGGGCCATTGAGCAATAGTTGGTGCTGTGGTACGATGCATGCCGTAAGCTGGACACTTGGCTCAAGAAGATTCGCGTTCATATCTTGAAGTGCAATTTTTGAGATGAGAACCTTCATACCAGTCCAACAACCAGAATCTTCACTAAAATCGAGAGGCTGTGTATATCCTCTTCCGATAGTCTTTTGTTCGTCGTAACCGCCGAATACAACGGAACCATCGATGGCATCATCGTCATCTACCCACATGCGACCCCAGAATATAGACCATACCCGAGATCCTATGCGTCCTGCCTTAAACAAGGCGTTTAGAATCGTAGAGTTCGTCCCCATTCCCATAGCATGAAGCATTATGGGACCATCGTCCCATTTCACTGTCGGTACACCTACCGGAAAGTCCGCAAGATCGCTGGTTGTATTAAGCGTAAATGTATCTGTTCCGCCAAAACTCGATGTGATAAGTTTACTAATAGTGGTATCTGCTTGGCTTTCGGTCTCTGTGGACGCTCCACCAGCAACAGTGATATTCGTTGTGTTCACCCAAGTAGTCGACTTGCTCTCGATATAGTAATTACCACGGCGCGCTTGGCAACAGCGACTATTATCAATACATCCCCTATTACAAAATGCTTGGTCGTAAATCCAAGTGTTATTGAGCTCCCTAAGCTTTTGTGAGAGATCTATCCAGAATGGGGTGGTTATGGAGTCACCCACGGCCAGGGAAGGAGCACTATATTTTGAGGCGGTTCACCTACAGTTGCTGCGATCCCTTTCATAAATGAGTTCGGTATGTCTGGTAATACTTGAACATCTCGTATCGGTACTTGGAAGGGGCTCATCTCGTCAAATTGAGTTGCATGGACAGTCACAACTAAGGCAGCGGACTGGAGAAAGAGTACCAACTCCATTATAAAAGACGAAGGCTTACAGTTGAGAAAAAGACACGCAAGATTGCTTCGCATTTCGAGCACTATATGAATATAAGCATCAATACCTTTCTTCACGAGTAAATAGGTAATACTCGCCATGATCCTCTGCAACGGATCGGGGCCTCTATCTTAATCATTAATAGTCATTTCTTGGACACGGGATTATTGACCTCTAAAAAGCTGAATTTTACGTCACAGTCACACCTAGACGGAAATATTATATGGCCACGATAACTAGGTGCAGCACTAATGGTGTGTTATATATAGTGACTTGGTAACGACTTTTATATAAATGATCATATAGTGAGGTAAGCCAAGTAGCATTTAGGGAACTGCTCTGTCTCTCATTGTATGGCGAATATATAATATGTGCCGACTCAATAATTCTTCGGAGTAGCCTGCTGAGAAGTAAATGACTGCTTAGGTGGTTGGGCGGCTCAGCACGATGATTTAATCATTAGGGTTAACGTGTACAACACACCCAATCGAATCGCTGCCACCTATTCTACCATCCATCCATCCATGGATAATTTTAAGTAAAGGAGTTTTAGATGTTACTATCCCAAGGGTCAATCATTTATCCTTTCCGACTTTCCAGTGTCAACTAGGAGTTCCGAAATTTTTAAATTCTTAAGCACGGAGGAGCATCTTGGAAGAGTGCTCTAGCTCCTTAATCTGTGTATCTATCGCGGTCGCATGGGGTAGTGGACTGGAGAGCTTTTGTATTTTACTTCTTGTTAATTTGCGTGTGTACCAGGAGGAATGGAGTACTTGGGTAGATGTATGAAGCGGCCAACGAGTTCACCATGTGGCACGCATAACCTATCCCAAGACGATTACCCATAGTCCTCTAGCGGAACTGGCTAACAGGAGCCATATTCCCGCGAAGCCACTTAACCGAGTAGTCGAGCCGGTCTTTAAGTCCTCATGTGCTATGCCTTCGATATTCTTTCTTCGCCATCCCTATCCAGCCTTCCGTAAAGAATTATAATGTTCCCCAAGCCCATACCCATGGCGATAATACGCCAACCAAATCCTCCTCTCCCCATCCCCATCCGCCTTCTTCCCAGTACTAGGCTCAATCGTCTCCGTCCTCCCATCCTGCAAAACCTTGATCTCGACTGCATACGCATTCGCCAGCGCCGTCAACTCCAACTGTCCGCCCCACTCCGCCGTATCCCTCATCTTCCTCACATACCCCGCCAACGGCTCCTCCAAAAACGGCGCGAAATCATCCGCGTGAGCCTCCATGTACTCCGTTGCCTTCCGCCTCACAACCTTATACGGCAGCTCACCCCTGCCCTCTCCCTCAGCACCTAACGGTATCCCCCGACTTTCCAACTGATCCGCAACAGCCGAAAACAAACAATGCCCATCCGGCCGTATCTCCCTCTCCACAAGCCCATGCGTCTTGAACTCCTTCAGCAGGTACGTCTTCTCCACTTTCCGGTGGTCCGTCATATTCGCCGCTTCCGCCTCTGCCGCCGCGGCCGCGGCTTCCTGTTCTGCGGCGCGGCGGGCTAGACGTTCTTTCTGCCGGTTGCGCTTTTTGCCGCCTTGTTCTTGCCCTGCGCTGGTATTCTCGGGTTTAGGTTCGGGGGGCTCGTCGAAGCGGACTTCTTTTAGCTTTTGGGAGATTGTGTCGGTGGGGTTCGTGGTGGTGGTGGCTTGTTCGTCTTGATTTTGTGCTTCGCTGTCTTGGTGGTCGGGGTCATCGTCTATCGCTGCGTTCCCGTCTAGAGCCGCAAGCTCCTGTTCGTGTTTCTGCTTCAACTGGCGTTCGAGTTCGGCGCACTCGTCGTTGACGCCCTTCCGTGTCTTCTTCGTCGCGTTCTTTTTCTTGTTCGTGATTCGCGCTTGTAGCTCCCGCTGTTCTTTGCGATGCCGGGTTTGTATCGTTTCGGAAGACTCCATGTCGGACTCGGTGGAACTCGGTGGAGAGGAAGACGTGTCGTTGAGTTCGTGTATTCCGGGTATTACAATTCTATAAATAAATTTAAGAGAGAGGTCTGCGCTTGGCGGGAAAGCTTAAAGCGAAGGTTAGAGTTCGCGTTAATGCGAAGTTTAGGGTTGGGATTCCTTGCGACGTGGGGTAAGCTCCAGGGCTTGTAGCTTCTGGACACGACCCCTACAATCATGGCGGGGTAGCTTTGAAGCAACCGCTATAAATGGGGATGGTACTGCATTCAACCAAAAAGTGCGTTATACCTCACGAATTCAAACCCTACATGAATCAATCACATCCGCATACATTGTACAAATGTCGCAATAATCAAACGTTGAAATTTAACAGAATCCATTTCATATCAAGTGTCCTGATTATTCAGTTCAGTTTAGGCACATTAGGAGTATATAAAAGGAGAAATCAACGACGCCAAAGACAATGCCACACGATCTAACGGACCATTTGGCGCAGCAGATAGGCTGCGCGCAACTTTTCTGGTTTCCCCTTCCCTTAGTATCTTTGCAAATCCGAGTCCCTCTTCATCCCATCTATCCAGCTTAGAAACAAGCAACTGTTCGACGCCAGGTCCTGGATATGGGCTCCCACGTTTGTACACACATTTCAGGGGGTATAATAATTTCTTAGTAGAAACCCAACTACGTTTACGTTGTTGCCGTTTAGGTAGATAACCATGCCAACCCACTCCGACGCATGACGATCACCGTCTGGCGAAGCAGCACATGATACCCGTTCGTCCCAAGAACCAGCAGCAGCCGATGAAACGAACTAGGGAGAGGATGGCAGTACAGATAAGCAGGAACTTGAAGAACTGTGCCGTTCTGTCAGATGTAGTGCCCTAAATATTCTAGTTAGTATTATGTTCTCATATTATTAATGTCTATAGGTAGAATAAACTTACCCCGATACCGAATGTCGATAGCTTGTCGCTGGTAACGCCAACAATAAGAGCGCAGTTCGAGAATAACCACGAAATGACCAGCGAAGTTCTGAAAGACTTGTAGGAATCCTCGAGGTCCTTGGACTCCGATTCCTCCTCGGGCTTGAAAGGAGCCAAAGCTCGCTTGACGGTCTGCTCGAATTGGCTGTCGATATCCTCCTGGGGCTTGTCGATTTCTTCGATGGCAGCTTCGCCCTTTTCGTCTTTCACGATCTGAGCAGCAGGCAGTGCTTCGGCTTTGTCTGAACCCTTGGTACCCCATGAAACATCGTGCCAATTGTTGAAAGCGTAAACCATGAGGATGTTGATGTACGTCGACATGAGAATCATATAGGCCGGGAAGGAGTGGAACATGTGCCACGGATCCAGGTACATGAACGATGCAATATAGTACAAACCGAATGTCGCGAGCAATGCCAATATGATGATAGCTACTTCAGATTGACCAGTGAACATATCCTTGAGGGCATCACCAGCACTTTCTCCTTGAGGTAAATTCTGCGGCTGGAAGGCGTTGACGACGAGATAACCAGATAGAACAAGGACGTAGAGCTGAATAAAACCGAAGATACCGAACGAAGCGATGTAAGACCACTTAGAACCTTTCGGACGATTACCCAGAGCGAGGACGAACTGTAGAATTAAGAAGGCAATATACGCATACTCGAGAATAATGTTGATGATCGGGGTAGCAGTATCGCCAAAGGGCCAACCATGCCGTTCCGCAGTGGTAGAACTTGCAGCTTGAGGAGTACCGACCAGATCCATGATAACCGTTGTTGTGAGATAGTACGATGCCAGAGAGAACCAGGTGAACGTGACGTTTGCGATGTTGTAGATGAGCTGGACGTGGAAGAAGAACATGCGAATGATGTTGTGACCGGACTTGTACATACGACCAAAGTGCATCAGAGAGTAGAGAGAGGCAGCGAATGAACCGTTGAGCCAACGACGTCGCTGCGAGATGAATTCGGGAGCTCCTTCGGGCACATCGGTCTCACCCTTGGCGGCCTTGATATATGTCAAATGCCACTTGGAACCGGCCTTGGCGACCAGTTCGAAACACAAAATACGATCTTCGGCCAAGAACATGTTCTTCTTGAAAATGTTCATACCCTCGATACCCTTGGGTCCGAGAATCTTCGATAGGGTATGGTCACCGTGGAAGTACTGTTCAAGGGGTCGTCCCATGATGGCTCGGAATCTGTAAGCAGAGAAGGCACCAGGCAACACAGACACATAACCGAAAGAACTTTCAAGGGGCTTGTCCAGAATGTTAGAGATCTTGTACTCGAAGTTCTGGACGGCGACAAGGGGGTTCATCAGCTTCTTGCCACCCTTGCCCAACATGGCGTGAATTTCACCACAGGCTCCACCCAAGTCCTTGTCGTTGTAGAAACCTTCCCAGAGAGCGAGAAGCGACTTGGATCCCGGCTTGGTACCAGCATCGAGGAGAATGCATACCTCGGGGTTAAGGATTCGGCCGAAAGCGTTGAATAGCCAACGATGAGAGTTGATCTTCTTTGTGTTCTTCTGCTTCAAACAGAAGATCATCTGGACGGGTGGGAGCGTCTGGGGACTATCATCCACAGGTCGAATGAGCTGCTGGTTAGGCGTCACAGACAACTGCGTGGTGTACTCGAAGACGTGGGCAACGGTCTCTTTACCGTTAACTTCCTTCTTTACGACACCGTCCTGGAAGACACCGATGGTGGCCAAGACATCCAGGGTTTCCTTATCGGCCTTGTCAATACCGTCGAAAACGAAGCAGACGACAATCTTCTGCCAGGCGGGACCGCCCTTGTTCCAGAAAGTGGACTTCTTCAAGTTGACGATATCACGGATGTTTTGCATGACACCGTGAAGTGTTCGGGCAAACAGTTGCTTATCTTCGTTGTAGTAGGTGATAGCAATCAGTAGCTCTGTGTGTCTGTTATACATGCGAGGCCGGAGATCGTAACCGTTCTTCAGAGTGAAGTCGTTGGGATCGCAGGTAGCGGCGGTATATCGCATGTTCAAAAACTCACCGCTGCCGCTCTCGGCATCCCGGTATTTGGCCTGGACGGCGTTCTTGATAGCACTGGGAACAGGATAATCGGCACTTAGAACGGAACCTTGAACCAGCTTGACTTTTCGAGTGGCATAACGCTTCAAACCACCACCGCCGGCACCACCAGGTTGCTGACGTCGAAGCCAGCTCTCATCACTGTCGACGGTAGATGCGGGTCTGCCGTATCCGAAGCCAGTATCCTCAAGCTGGTGTCCACCATAGCCACCGGCGTACTCGCTACCATACTGAGGCGCGGGTGACTGGGTAGTAGGAGGTGCACTGGTAGCATACGATTCCGAAAGACTGTATGCAGAGACTGGGCGTGCAGGAGGACTGTGTGCGCCCAACCGATCTTGTTCGTAGTGAAGACCAGGAGTTTGGCCTAAGAGATGACGTTGGGATTCATCTTCATCTTGATCATGAGGAGGTAGATGGTACTAAATAGAATTAAGTTTCTAATTAGCTGCATGCCCTTTCCCGACGTGATGGTTATAGTTATAGTTTTAATTAAAGTTAAGGTTAAGATTTATTTACCGTGCTGCCAGCGGGCATATCCTGAAGGTTGTGTCCGCTGTACTCATCACCGCCATGCTTGTACTCGTCGTGTCCACCGTTGTATGCCATCTTGACGGTCGGCTACACCAGCCGTTATCTGAAGTCTAAATGACAGTCCGATAAACGATGGTGCTTATTTTTGATTCAGTCGAAGCTTGCGTTGACGTTGACTCTGTAACCGGTCGGTACACGGACACGTAAGTTTCCAGGGACCACGCGAAATCTAGGTTCCCCCACAGGCGAACGAAGAATTAATAGCGAATGCAGCCTAAAGTTCAGGCAGGTCTAGGTATTACTAGATAAAATGATGAAAATGAGGGAATGAGGGAATACTGGGGATCAAGCAAGTTGATGAATCAATCACCCTGCTTTCTCGAAGACATAGGCAATGAAATGAGTATGTTAGGTTCAAGGTTAGGTTAGATTTCTAAAGGGGAAGATGAAGAAAGGGCAGGTGTTCGTGTTTTTCTTTTTCGCTTTTCAGGTAGGGACGGGATCAGCGTCGGGAAAGCACCCCATATGGTTTTATGAGAGGTCGCTAACCAGTACTATGCAGTACTATGCGTAAGTACCAGCAAGTAAAAGGGGATATATGCAGGAAAAAGAGACATCCCATAAAAAATACAAAAAATACATCCATACTGCATCGCACAAGTACCCACTCGTTGCAAGCTGACGGGTGAGGTACCTGGGGGCCTAATTGTGGCTTAGCAATAGACCACAGGCGACTCAGCCGTTACGTTACTGCTGTCGTAGTTTTAGCTTTACTGGATAGACGGGATGCTAGACTTCCATGTTTCTAGCCTCTAACATTCCTTATTAACGGTCTTAGTGCCAATGACAAGTTAAGTTTCATTGGATGAAAATCTCCTGTTTGTGGTCTAGTCCATATTTTCAACTGACCAGAAGACGTTCAACTCATTCGTCACCTGCTCAAGAGAGACACGAATACCACCAAACAACCACCTACGTCATTAATATACTATGCATCTAGTTCTCGTGGTCTACTAAACGATGTCACCCTTCCGATGGAATTTCGCATACGAAGGGTGTTTTTTTTTCCTTTGAATTTTCCATCCTATCTTTAATCACGGCATGCATGTGGTGGCGATGGTGCACTGCTAGGACTTGCTAGAAAGAAAGAACACTGGTTTAAAAGAGACATGCAGTAGCGGAATAGCTTTGACTCGCAAGTTCAGGTTTTTTTTTCGACGGATCCAACCTCTCCAGATTTCAGCCACAAAAGCGAGCTGGCAAATGGCATGAATCCAACAAGGCGCACTGCATTTGACTATTCTAACTTGTCAGTGGGATAGGCTGGGAACTATGTACGGTCAGCACAGGGATGAGGGGATGAGACGGGCCAGCTTGTCAGTTAGTTCGAGAGTATCACCACTGCCAACATACATACCGATACTTCTTTCTTTACGTGACATCGAAGGCGATCTTATATCAAAGCTTGTCTTTCCCAGCAAGATGTTTTTTAATGCATGCAAGATGAAATTTTAATATTGTTTAAAAATACGAAATACACGCCTAGTATTCATGTGGTTAGTCCTTACATGCGACATTGTCGACAAACGCGTACATAACTGGGTATAATCATACAGTAATTTCACTATCTTTATACCGTGTAACCCTACTGTACGGTTTAGGGGCTATTAGTTCGGTTGGCGCCCTCAGCTATGGGATTAGCTTGAAACCACTGCCCCATATTTCCACAGTACCTTACGTGGACGCATGAATCTAACAAACCTTCAATATTGCTCGGTATTTACAATATTTACAATACTATATCGCGCAAGGTTTATGTTAAAAATAAGAAATGCTGATATCTGTGGCTATGATTCATCTTATATTTTAATGATTTTCTGTCTTCTATGATGATTGTTTACGAGGGGAGTTTGCTTCGAAGAATTCGTGTTATGTGAAGTTGAAGGGTGGTATTTGAAGTACATTGCGTCTTGGGTCCAATCAGGGTCCGTTTAGGATAAAAATAGCATCAGGGAATAGGAGGCATCTAGTATGGATCTATGGAGATTTAGAAGCCTTGCTACGTGGGACCGGACCCTCCCTGTGGATACGAGCAATGAGGCTGTGCTCGAATTTCTTGCCAATAACCTTTTTCAACGAAACACCGCTTATCGCGATCTCACATCAGCTTCATACCGGATTTTAAGCTTGTCCTATGCCAAGGCATTGCACCTAGATAAATATAAGATCTTTTCTATATAGAGCTGGCTATACCCGTTCAGTTCTGATGCTGTAGTTGGTTTCTACACACCTAGGTAGACGGTTAGGTACACACAGGTAATAGGTTCTCTTTTTTCTAGCCTTACCAACGTTACATCCTACCTGCAGAAAGCGCACGGTTTTAAGTGGTAAGTCACATCCAGTTGCCATTTCTCTCACGGCACTTGTATGAAGTCACTCTCTAGCGTCATATGGAAATATTAGGTCTATTTTTATTGGATAACATACTCCTTCCTTCGTGTTTATATATGTCATATTCAGCCTCACCGTGATCAGGATTGTTAGTAAACCATCGCAGCTTTCAGCAATTATACTTGCTTACCTACCTAGTAAGAATCGTCTTGCAGTAGTCACTTTTGATCTGGTACTTCATTTCTGGGGAAGCCTGGCGATTAACTACCGCGTGGGATAAACACCTAGGGGTTGAGACTCGGAACTGAGCTAGGTAGGTATCTATAGAAACATCAACTTAATTATCTCACCAGTTTCATGTATCTGAGTTTTAAAACTTCAGTTATTCGTTTGGATTTTCTATTGAGTACATACCTATGCATTGTGCGCATGCAAAAGCCAGTACTATTATACTTTTCTCAATAGACACTGTCAGGATTAGAGATAAGGATCATGTAAGGGAGTCCCTGAGGCGTTGTTGTTCAATATCGCAATTTAGGTTTGAATAAGCCTACTACTTATCACGTGTTGCCCAGATGGTCTAGACCTTTTGAAATGACTCGGGAGAAGTCTATTAGTTGGCATGGCATAATAAAGTCATCTGTTCTTCATCGGTAAGTGGTCCTGGCAGGTAGGTATTCATGTAGGACATGTCCTACCCATGAAAGAATGAAAGAAAGAACGAAAGAAAGAACAAACATCATACTCGTGTCAAACTTAACTTTACTTCCAATCCGGGGAAACACTCTAGTTTATGGTTTTAAGGTTGCTGTCGAAAACTAGCGCCCAGGTACAGAATACATAATGCTCCCATAACTTTCATTTCCCGTCATCTCTCCCGGAAAACCCGGCAGTCAATCCCCAAACTATCGGGAAGCAAGAGCCACGATGATATCGGGCTGCAGCCTAACAGCACGCGCACCATGATTCGCCTAGATCAGATTAATTGTCCGACCCAGGGAACTGGCAACATCATTCCATTCCGGAATTGAACAGACCATTTGACAAGATCGCGGCAGAGGGGCCAGTTCATTTAAAGATATATTGCTCGTACAACACCAAGACTTGGGTCTTGGAGTGAGTACCTAACATAGTAGTACTACGTGCTCATACACACGCATATGTTCGATCGAAATAACGCAAGTCCTCACGTGCAGGAAGGCCAAGCTAATTCATAAAATCGAACGGTCTCCCGTTACGTGGGACTGTAGATCCCATGGTCTAGACAGCACTTCCACTTGCTCGTGCACGAACTCATTCAAAGGTATGTAAGAACCTTAGATTTTGTATTTGTTCAGTATTATATAAATATCCATTGGTTTTCTTTGATATCTTTGACTTACATACACATGCTCATCATGCAGATGTAGATATATCGAGTACATATTGTACATAGATACTTATCGTCAATATTTGAAAATATGGAAATGCTTCATACTTCCCCCTGGCGTTTTTGTACCTATTACCTTAACGACCTACCATATTAAGCTTTGTCCCAATGTCCCTTGAACAAAAGGTGCAATTGAGAACATTGAAGGGTGCGAAAAGATTATTTAGCAGCGACTAGCGAGCCAATCAGAATGGAAAGCGGGACCTTTCCGGACCAGTTTGTTTCGCCTAATTTGGCAGTTTTGTTATTTCGTACGACAATTCCGTAAGTACGTATCTAGGTACCCGCCTTGTGCCCGTAATTTGGGGACCAATTTGTTCCATTTGTTCTTGTTCCTTGCGGGTGTTTCGCCCAGTTAGCCCATAAGGTTAGGGAAGTTAGGGAAGTCAGGCAAGTCAGGGCAGGTAAGAACCTGGAAAGTTTAGGACAAACCAGGGCTATCCCCCAATCAATGAATTAATGAAGCCGAACTAAACCTTGTAGACCCTGTAGACCTTGCCATTTATGCTTCGATCCCCGTCCCCATTGTGCTCATTCCACCCATCCACCCTTCCACATTACCCTTATCCTCTTCCACTCTTCCACTCCTCCACCCCCCTCTGCCCACTCTGTCGTGCGGGATTGAATTCCATCCTCGTCGTCCTTCTCTTCATCTACCACTCGCCACTTTACTCTATCACACCAAAATATAGAAATATCGCAAGCACAAGTTGCGAATCGATATCAAAGTGGACAATTTTAAATGTTATTCTGATGGCAACATAGGTTGCACTTTATTTGAATTCATTTCTTTGAGCTAGTCTCTCTGTCACTCGTTTATTCCAATCCCAATCAATCAATCAAAAACCAATCCCGCCTCTTTCAAACGACACGTACCCGCTCAACGCCATCGCGCGCCCCTTTCTAACGCCCACTCCGACTCCGATCAACATTCAATTCACGAAGACCACGACCCGATATCGCCAAGTAATTCTTTGAAATCTTAAGTCTAGGAAAGCTAGGAAAGTCTGGAAAACGTTGGAACGATTATTTGGTTGTACGTTGCGCTTGGATCAATCGTCAATCGAAGCGCTGTAGTCAGTTAGACCGATCTGCATTTGGGTCGATCTCACCGCCAAGCCGACTTCTTCATCGACGTTAGAGTATACTGTAGATCCCTGACGAGCAGACGATTCGGTGTTGCCTATATCTCGATTGTCCAGGTTCCCTTTCGTACATTATCTAGAGTTTGCTTCTGCAGATAATCATGGCAGGCATTCCCGGCTTCGTCGGTTTTTCTATCGGTAAGTTTAGTCTCCTCCACTATCATTCTCCACCTCCAACCTCTATCTAATACACCTAATCATTAGACGAAGACATTCCATCGTCCTTCTCTAAGAGGCAAAATGGATGTGTGGTTTGCGAAAATACATCGCCAACCTGCCCCTCTTGCGGCGATAACGAATCATGTCAATTCACGATCCAGACCTGCACTGAGTGTCCGAGAGCCTTTTGTGCAGTTGACCCAACAGCAACGACTTCCACAGCCAGAGTCAGCAGCGGACCAAACGTTGGTGCTATCGTAGGTGGTGTATTCGGTGGTCTAGCAGCCGTTGCTATCATTACGTATATGGTTTGGAGGTTTTGCATCAAGAACAAGAGGGGTCAGTACGAGCCGGAACGGTGGCAAGGCGACGTGGAGCAGTCGAAGGAGGGTATGGAAGCCGACTTTGCTTCAAGGAGATCCAAACGAACCTCGACGCATACAGTACATTCAATCGCCTCTACCGTCCTCACCCGCGCTTCGAACATCATCCAAATCGCGTACATCCCTGGCGTCACTAACCGAGCTACGCCTACGTCGCCAACCCTCCTCGTTCCTCCCGTCCCCCCAATTCCCATTGCGCACTCCGACAAGGGTAGCAACTCGCCATTTGATGAGCAACACTTCTTCGTCCCAGGAGACCTTCGCGACTCAACTTACTCGGGTATTTCCGGCTACAGCGATCGCTCATCCATGGCACGAACTTCATATGCCCCACGATCCAGCGTTGCGTCCACTATATATGGCAAGAACGCTATCGTATCTCCTCTCCCGGCTCAGAAGGGCAATTTCCTCAAGCCCTCTATTGTCAGCGTTAAATCTCGTGCTCCTAGTAGTACTAGTGGCAGTTCAACGCCGCCCGTCCCAGCCGTCGACTACGGAAAATACGACCAACCGCCCCCGTCACCAGCCTTCAGCATCGGCGCTACATTCTTTAAGAATGCCAGCGCATCGACAGCGACCGCAGTGCGACCTCAGGTTGTCCGTGTTGGCAGTGGGCCTAAGGCTATTGACGTGAAATCGAAGTCTTCGGACTCATCCACCGCTGTAGAATCTGATAACCCGGAGCCCCTCGTACAACTTCTCGACACAAGCAAGGAAAGACAATCAGCTGCGGCGACGATTATCGAAGAATCGCCGAGCGTTGATCAAGGCCCTTTTGCCGATCCACCTAAGGGTCACCAGAAGAACAGCTCCCTCAGCGCAGTAATAGGGGAGTCCCAACGGGGGGTAGACGGCAAACGCAAGTCCTCCGCAGAACGGAACAGCAGTCCATTCGGGGACGAAAATGCCTTACGAGATTAATCTAGCCTCAATTTAACGTGACGTCTAGTATCATGACAGGATATGGGAAACACGCGGAAATGGTGGGGATATAACTCGTCTATCTTAAAAACTACTTCTAGTATTTACTTCCTTAGTCTGGACTTTTTTTTTTCTATCTTCTCAACTGTCTTCCTTATTGTCGGGTCAATCGAGAAACCTACTACTGTTATCGAATTCTTATTCATACCACCCGTTTCGCGATGCGGCGGGAGAGGGCCTGGGCTGGATCTTTTTTTATTTATAGGCACGGCGTCTCGGGCTTGGAGATACGAACGAATCTGGGAGCGACAAGTTCTTAAAAATGGCACCCGGTTGCTAGTATCGCGATTTATCGCGGCTGGCGGAGCTGTCGTTTACTACGTATTGCTCCCCCTCTTTATCAAAGATGCCTCAGAGGCGTAGAGATGAAAAAATATGATGTTGTATCAACGCACTATTGTGCTGGACAATTACCTGTCAGTTGTGACTTAGACTTCGTGATGTCGGATTAAGTTTATAGGTAAGTAGTCCCGTATATCTACCTCAGTGTTAAGAAATATACTACGTAAAAATCAAGTACCTTAGATATGATGATGACTGTATTAAGGTCATGGGTTATAGCAATTGCTATCTAATCTAGTCATTCATAAGATACCTACCAATCACCGTAAACCGCTATCTACCTAGTAATTCTGTTGCGTATTGGCAACGAGGTTCTCAAGATATCACGAAGATCGCGTATTCCAAGAGAGGAAATCAAAGTTGAAGAAAGGGAATAGTAGCTTGTCAACAACCCCATTCTCACTCCTCGTCACAACGTAGTCTCCGTGCCTCCGTATATGCAAGGAGGTGTGTAAATGCTGTCAAACCTCCGCCGCGGTACTAGGTCCGCAAGGCCAGAACTCCGGCCCGGAGGCGACCTCGCACTGCATATTTTCGCTTGCCTACTGCACGTGTCGGTGTCCGGTGGGGGGTATAGGGGCTTAGGTAGATAGGCGGTCTAGTGAAGATATTTGTTTGGGGGTATTTGTAAATAGGTAGGAGAAATCCGGGAAGGGTATAAGTAATTAGGTAGGTATAATTACCTAGTATGAAAAGAACTTGAGAGAAATCGAGTTCTTATGTGCGACATACTAGAGATAACAAGAGAAGGCCTACATAGGGTTTACTTGTACGTGATCAATAGGAGGAATGAACATGCTCGAAGTATGGGATGGAATGGGATCTCTGGGTATTTATACAACTTCTCGTTTTCCACGATAATGCACCATGTCTCTATTTCCCTCGGGTGGATTTACGAATTGGCCATTATGCAGATATTCATCCACATACCTCAATAAACCCACACCAATCCACTCCCTAGTCTTCGGTCATCGGTTTAATATTACCTCGAGCAGCCTCACGAGACTCAAATAGGACGAGAGCTTATCTCTTCGTGACAAACCCTACGCCTTTATATTCGAACTAAACATAGGTAAGTAAGTAACCTTAAAGCTATACCTACGACCAGAACTCATCACATCCTCATATGTACGACAACCTACCGACGTACATTTAACTTTGATACCCACATATATCTAGTCGAGCAACGACGAGATCAAGAACTATCATTGTATGAAGGCCTCATCCTCCCAACTATTCACCCCCTGACCCCACAGACACCGTAGTACGAGGAAGTGTACACGCTCATACGTACCTACCAACAGTCACACACGCAAACAACCGACGCGAAGCAACACAAGTACCACACACCCATCTACCCCTCCGCCGCCAGCTGTCCGTATCCGTAGTCCCGACGTCTCATGCCCGCAGCCGTCCCGACCACGTGCCACACACGGGACTCCACATACGCCAACGTGCCGTGCCGGCTATACGACACGGTGTAACTACCTACCTACATACCCACCTACCTAGCAACTACCGGTACCTGTAAGTAAGTACATCATCACTAGCTTCGGTACATAGATATCCACGCACGAGAAGAAGCTACCTGCTTATGCAAGGTACCACACTCCAAGACCGGACATATGGGAACCATGGGAGGCGAGATTTAGTTCGGACCCGTAATTGCCCAAGGCGGCTAAGGTGAGGTAAGGTAAATTAGGTAGGTGTGTAGGGGAATATCTGGACAGGCATGGGGGGATAAGCGGCTCTACTGGAGATAATGGATCTAGCGGTTGTTATGGTAGGTATTGGAAGATGTGTCGTAGATAGAACGGTATGTATGGTGGTGAAAATGAGGTTATTTGTAGGTATCTATCGAATATCAGGTATGTATAAATCTGTGCTAGATGTTCATAATTCCCTCATACATAGTATGTCCGCCTAGACTTCGAGTTGGAAAACCCAATTCCGAAAATTATATAAAGCTGCTACAAGTGTCAGAGCCTTCCGAAGACTGCCCCTTTTCACCGAACGCAAGGAGATTAAGCTTGGAATATCTGTTCGTACCTACCTTCTATATATATCAAGTTGTGCTCTTAGCACTATAGATGCCACAATAAGTGGCTAACTGCATCCTAGCACCTCTTATACCATTCTTATCTACTTACTTTTTAGTAGGTACCTTGGGCGATTCCAGTGAGTGGTTTAAAGGCATTATGTACCATCGATCATACGGGGCGTCATGATTTAACAAACCGACTACTAGAGATTAGCATCATGTGTACCTAGACAATGCGGAGCAACATAGTTACCTAAGGCTGTTTACCATGACTTTCGTCCTTTAATAACCAATGTTTTTATTTTTACCTATTTTATTCTACCTACTTAGTACGTATTTCAGAACCATCACACCAACGCCCAAAAACCACAACAGCCACAACCCCAAAGCGAACACCGAGGACCTATCAACACCAAGCACCTACGCAGCCACACAACGCCAACAAGCCTCCATCCCGGATATACCTACCCGCGTAGGTAATAACGAACCCTACCTCCAACCTATCTACCTCAGTACCTACGAACCGTTCCTCCTCTCCAGTACCTACCCAGCACCTACATCTGCAAAGAAAGGGCTGAAACCCTAGATCAACGAACCAACCAACCTACGTACCTACAGCAATGCACTCCGCAGTCCACGCAACTAGCGGCGCCACAAGCTTACTCCGCATCAAAACGGGCGTTCGTGCAGTTCCCCTATCTAGATTCCCAGGGGCACACCTACCTACCTACCTACCTACATACATACATATCTAACGCGCGCAGAAGGAATGTAAGATTGTGTGGCTCGAACCGTGGGGGTTTAGGTGTGTGTGGTGGACGAGACACAAAAGCCACATCTGCACTCTGACGTACGCGCATACCTCCCACTTTTTTATGTTTCCTGCGTGAAATCTTTCCGATCGATGGGCGGTGGTGGAGAGGGATCGTGATAGGTGCTGATTCAGGAGACATTATTCTTGGCTTGACACTTGGAATTCCCTTTACCGCTTTAAGAGACCGAGCCACATGCACGTACATGTCTTATACTTCAAATTAATACCATCATCGGTGTTTCGACATGTCCCCGGATAGATCATGAATGAATACGTATATCACGATTATGAAGAGAAGATTATATCTCCGAAAATCGACCTACCTACCCACTTAGTAGTTAGGAAAGACTACTCGACTTTCACAAGACCTACTGTACAAGGAAAAGGCAAACGCCCGCGAGAAGATCACAGTCCGTTAATAATGCAGAATCCCACGTGTAGGTAAAGGATAAGAATCCCGTCAGCGGAGACTCGATAGAAGGAGTTCGCCGATGAGCTAGACCCGAAATTATCCAAGTGAGACCGGCGTCTATAGCAAAGCCGTCGGGGTCCATTCCGCACCGCCGAAACACGAGCGAGTGCCTATATGCAAGGAGATACATACGCCCGAGCATGAATGAGATCGCGAGACGGAACAGCGTTAGTGCGCATCGGCCGTTGCGAAGAGTATGAAAGCTCGTGAAAGCTCGCGGAAGCGTTCCTTGGCATTAGCCGGCGATATGCGTAGATTCCTATTCGCAGACTGGCCAACGCATAACTCTGATACAGGGCAACCGCGCGTATAGTAAAATGCCGAAGAAACTTAAAAATGAGAACCAGCAGAAGGCCGTGGCCGGGAAGGATCGCAAACCCTGGGTGAAGCCGCGTTTTACACACCGGTCAAGATAGTAGGACGGGACGGCCCGGCCAAGAAAGGAAGGAGGAAACACGGTGTAGAAGGGCGGATTTGTAACATAGAAGAGGAAAAATTTTTCTCGAACGGCTCTAGATAATTGGAAGCATATGCTAGATCGGACTATATGGCGATGCGAACTTCTGCAGCAGGACCAAAGAGGTATATAGAATTGTTCCTTTCGGACGACCAGGTATCTGCGCCGTAAGCATGCACCACGTGTCGATGTCGCAACGCTCACTTGCTTAAACGCTAGTCACACATATCTCAGTAACTTACGAGCAGAATCCCTTTTTAACTCGTGTCCGTCTTCAAGCTTTCCAACCTTGATGACGCTAGTCACTCTTGCGTGCAGGACACGCGCTCGAGCCAGCGTGGCACGCGGGGATGAACCGAATAGGCCATTCTGGCGTTGCAAAGGATCGCAATGCCTGGATTTCGAACAGAGGCTGAAAGAGGAGTGATTGGCAAGGCGTATGGCCTCGTTCGCCCTTTCAGATATTCCGGAAATTGATAATTTGTTCCACGGCAGACAATTACGGCTCTCAAAGGCAAACAATCACCAACTGATAAAGCAGGTAGGATTGATGAATCAGAGCTCGCAAACCGCGTCCGTGGCATTGGGAAGATTAAGCTGTGGGGTTGCACACCCACAGCCTGGACCCGATCGCCCAAAGCCATGGTTTATTGCCGTGGAGGATACCCTCAATTGCGGCCGTAAACGTCTTTCCCATTGCCTACCTATATTAGTCGATGATGGCAAATGGAGAAGATACACCACTATTAACTCGGAACCGAAAACGAGATCGAACAAAGAAATAGCAGGATTTCCTTGAATGATTCGCTAGAACCAACTCTGCAAGACATTAGAAAGAGATGGAGTCGTGCTGAACCTTTCTTCTGGCGGTGATGGTTTGATGTCACCGAGCAAGGGGCTAATCCCTTCACCTTTAAATGATTAATGACATCTATATCGGCGGTGAATAAAAAATTTTGCTGACTCTAGTAAAACCAAGAGTTGGTAGTAGTATCGAGTGATGCCTAGAAAGCAACCTGGCGTCATCAGCAATGCCGAAAGAACTTGCCGGCGCGCAACATATTGCCTGCCGAGTTGAAAAAAGAACAAAAAAAACACGAAGGCATGAAATTCCCGTAGCGAGGCTCTTCCAACAGTGAGCGACAGGGTATATAATGTCGTCGAAGTGTTTCCAATGCTTCCAAAGTCCTGGTCAAGAAGGGGTACAATGCAAGGTAGATGATGAAAAAGATATCCCTAGCGAGGAAAAAAAACTTATTTTCATTACAATAGAAACACTTGACCTTCCGTTTTGGCTCGGGAACCCCCACAAGGCTACCAGAGAAACGGTTGGCGGTTGCGAGGTTGGCCTGGCTGGCAACTCATATTTCTACGGTGATACCAATGAAACGTGAGAGACTAAGCGTGATAGCCGAATGAGGTACTGCAGGGTTTTCTCCACCATCTTGCCGTAAGTAGTATCTAACTAACCCGAGCTCGAGGATAGTTTACCGGGATCAATGTACGTAGAGGCAGATGTAAAGTGAGCCATGCCTTACGGCGAACAATGCCATGCCGGGCCGTGAGAGTTGGGCAGAGGCTGGCCCGAAGTCGCCACTGTTCGTTCCCACTCAAGACCGAAATATTGTTAATAGGGGCGAATAGACGCGGGAAGAGCCGAGCGTAGCAATCCGCCAGTCTTACGACAGATTTTAGACGGCCGCCATGCGCTCCGTGCTTTTCACACAGAACAGCGGGCGCGCGATTCTCGGCATTGTCGTGCTGGCAAGTCTCATCCGGCGATCCTAGCTTGATGAGGGTTCCGAACTGACTAAGACTGACAAGGCTTAGACCGTATTGTACTATGTAGGTTAGAATGTAGGTTAGAAGGTACGCATAGTAGGTACAGTAGCATAGGTGACTTTGCTTGGTATTTGGGTGAATGCTGTGCCAGGCGTAGATGCGATAGGTCAGATCAAGACCCTCTTAATAATAAACGGCGGCATGTTCGTTTGGGCTAGGATAAAGCAAGAGATACGCATAATAAGTAGGTATGTAGGTACCTATATCCCACAGATGGATATCAGATTTTTGGCATCAAGATGATAGATCGCGTTCTGTCATATCCAAGCACCCAAGCACACGGACTGCACACAACAAGTCCCACATCGGGTCATCATTCCGAGTTCCGGTAGACAGTCCAAGACTTTGAAAAAGGGTCAGTGGGAAATAACAGAACCAAGCCCCCGGCATCGACGCTCGAGAGGAAATTCCCCCCTTTCGATCCCTTTCGATTTTGAGTTAATTACCTAGTAGGTATTATTATTCTTTCTGGTGCTGCTTGCACATGTTGAACCATCGAATATGGTAATTGCATCCTCCCCATGTGTACTAGTCTATGATCTGCATGGATCGATTGACCTAGGACATGTGGAAGAGAAGACCAAAATGGGATTTTACGGTATGATATTCAATTGGATGATTGGATGATATTAGAAGTCGGCTGTCGTTTAATTCTGAGGATGAGTGGTGGGTGATGTTTGGGTGTATTAGCGAAAGGAGGAGGGGTTGAATAAAGCGAATAAAGGGCTAGAATGTAAAATTAATCCACCCAATTGAATCGAAATGGAGAAGCAAGTCCTCCGTCCGGTGGATTCCGCCTACCTTACCTAGCAAGCCTAGGAACTTTAACTTGCCTAGCGGTACATACATATCTCCGTTTACCCAAGTATTCATTACAAGGTTATGGATAGAACTGTGGTCTGTCCTGTCGGTACATTTACATACCTACATACATATGTACATGCCGATAGGTGTTGGCCGCAGAAGGGGCCGCTTGAAGTTTCTGTCTCATGCCTAGGAGATAGTTACTTCGTTCTGTATTAGAACCCCTATATAAAATCATGTATCCGAGTGCGGTTTACTTCCTTGAACTGATCACCCCATTTCGATGCAAACGTCAAACTCTAGCGCTGCCCCGTAAGAAGCTATCTCCTTTTAGCGTATGTAGAGCGGAAAGTAGGTGCACACTGGTGCATATAAAAATGCGGAAGTAGGTATAGTGCGCTATAGTGCACCATACATACCTACATTATACCTGGACTATATCAACCAACATACATGAGGTAGGAAGACCAAGCGAGTTAACATATGTCATCAAGGTAGTCTAATTTGATAACACTATACTCTTTACTCCCTTTTCTCTACAGACTTTTTCCCTTTTTACCTTTTCTGTATCTAGGTAGACTCTAAAGTGTTGCGCAATCCCTAATGCATGCAGGTTGCAAGTTGCAACGATACGGCCAGGGCTGTATCTGATGTATGCTGTAAAGGGGAACGATAATACCATAGTGGTACGTAGCCCACATGTTGTACTCTATGCTGACAGGTTACACAAGTACTTGAGTTCTTCGTATCCAGGTGCATCATGGATATATTGGCAGAATATTGAACATCGGGATACTTACCTACTACGTAAGTATGCATACTCTTCAGCTGACTATTCTCGTGATAAGTATAACCGCCTTGCATTTATAGACTCAAACTATATCGCTGTATCGCTAATTGACGCTAATATGTCGGGTATCGTCACGTCACTTCGCTGTCGTGTGCCATGTAGCATATGCTGTAAGATCAAGAACGTACATACTTACATGGTAGCTTGCGCGGCTAAGCATATGCGTATATTGACAACACCCGGATTCTATCTATCCCAGCCATCAGGATCGGCGTCAGAAGGGTAAGAGAAAATTACCGACTGGCGTAAGAAAAAAAAAATAAAAAAAAAAAAAAACTTCCCCCTTCCCACTACACCCATTCATATATGTACCTAGTCCAAACTAGAGGGGTCTTGCCGCGCCGCTTCGGACGCACGTACATATGCTCTGTAGTGAGCTGTCTGTGCAGAAGAACATCATCCGTGATTTCAGAAGCGAGCTCGACGTTATATGTATTAATGGTAGGTCCATTATATTCCGTAGCTCGGTCTGTGGTCGGTCTATCTCCCGCCTTAACCTCGTTTTGTTTTGTTTATTGGAGTCGGCGCCAAGTTCGGTTTAGATGCCGAACAGAACAAGGTTAACGATATTACCGTCCCAGAGGCTCCTTTAAAACGTAGATCATGTTAATCCAATACCAGCTTCAAGGACTTCTTGGTGCCTAATACTTAATGAAAGAAATCCCCACAACGCTTGCGACCTACACGCTTGGGACTGTTTTGAGAATGGTCCAGACTTATGATTGGCAACATGGAACTTGGGTTTCCTTCTTTTTCTACAAACTAATATATTAATACGTAAATAGGTTTAGTATACATACTGCAATTATGCATACCATTCAATTACCTAGTAGCTAGAGAACCCCCGATTTGTAGCCCAACCATCATACTACTTCACCGGTCGGTCGAGAGAAGAGTAGAAAGAAAAAAACAGAAGAGTCTCGGCAGACCGTTCGCCCGAGATGTGCTTAGAAATCTTAGAAATGCTCCGGGTAGGTAGCGCGACCATTTTCCATTCCTGTTACACGGATTATACCCGTTCCATTGTACAGGGCAGCCCCCGTATCGTGAATGTGGTTTCTGGGTACACAGGCCCCCTGTGGGTAGACGATGGATTATGGACCTTACGCTTGGCCTCTACCCCCGGTCCGGTTCCCGCGCAACGCCCTAGCACACATTAGTAGCAGTTTTCCGTGTGTTTCGAAGGATTGTCGATTGTGTAGGGCGTCGTAGGAATTTGTAATTATTGAGTGCTGACCTCTGACAATTCCTAGAATCCTGAAGCTGTTGGTCTGATGTAGGAGACAGTAAGGGGTAATCGTCTGAAGAGAATCAGAAGGACCCCTAGCCTGGACGGAGGCCGCACGGGTTACGATCGATATTGGACCCAGAAAAAAAAAAAGTCGAGTCAGTAACGAAGCATAGAGACGGAAACGAAAATAACGTTAAGTAGATAGATCAATTCATTGAGCATACGTAGGCTCTCTAGATTCGAGTAAATAGTGGTAGCTGGCTCGAGGTAAAAAGACCAAAAGACCCGAGGTCTCGAGCCATAATATTGCAGCGCTTTTTCTTTTTTGAGATTTCCAGACAAGAAATCGACCATTGGTAAATATCCCACACACATTCGACGACAACACGGATGTCTCGATAAGGGTGCCTAAGACTGGACTAGCAAAAATCGTTTTACCCTGAGCAAGGCACGCCCCAAGACTCCAAAACACCATCATAGCCATCCGCCTGTCTTGTCCAAACAAAACAAAACACGTCTTCGTCCCTGCTCAAGGAAACCAGAGGTACTTGCGCCCAATGATGCCGCTTTTTAGTTCGTACGCCGTTCGCCAATTCGAAAGCTAGTAGATGTATAGAGTGCAGTGTAAGATGAGGCATATAATAACCCTCTAATAAGTATGAACACGGTATCGCCAAAGTGCTCTCTCGTGGTATCCGATGTGTAAGTGTTTGGTTGTGCCATCATTTCGAAGTCGTAGATGGATTAGAGCGCGCGAAGGATACCATGACAATCCAATACATGTTAGGCATTATTCGTCATCGGCGCGTCAATCGCGAACGCGCGAGTGCGCACGTAATGCTAAGGATTAGGCCCATTTATAATATGACGCAGCGTCCTCCATTTCCTCCTCCACCTCGGCGGCCCCTTCTGTACCTATCACCAGGTTCCCTGTGGGGGGCTTCTCCATTCTGCGGCCGCGGGCGACCTGTTTGCGGCATCGGACGGGACGCCTGTTGTCGTTGTCTGCGCAAAATTCTTACAACATCGTAGAACGCCTTTTCGACGTTTATGCAATTCTTAGCTGACGCCTCGACGAACTCGCACCCTAGTTCTCGCGCCAGGGCATGACCCTCTTGAGTCGAGACCTCTCTTTCCGTAACTCGATCGCTCTTGTTACCGACTAGCATAATAGGTACGGCGGCGGCCGGTGTTACCGTGGAGATCGGGGAACCAGGGTAGGTTGGCGATGCCGAACACGACTCTTTCACGCGTTGAATCTGGTGATGAAACCTCTTGATCCGCGAGAACGACGATCGGGACGAAATGCTGTATACCAGTACGAATCCCTCGCCATCCCGGATCCACTGGTCTCGTAATGCAGTATATTCTTCTTGACCAGCAGTGTCTAGTACTTCCAACATACACGCTTGACCATCTATAACAACTTGTTTTCGATACGAGTCTTCAATTGTCGGATCATACTATTTGGCACGGTTAGCGATTAACGATTTATTTGACAGTTGACATTTGTCAGTTCTGATCGCGCGCGGAAACTATCGCGGCTGATGCGGAGAAGGCCGCGTGTGAAATCATTGCAAGCGGGACTTACAGTTTCAACGAAGTGTTGTAGACATAACTGAATTGTCAAAGCTGTTTTACCAACACCTCCATCACCAAGCACCACCAATTTATATAGCACCATTTTTCCCGCCATGTTGAAATAAGAAATGGTCTCTCAGGACCAAGCAAAATTATTCAGATCTTAGAATGATGAAATAATGGAAACGGTGTAGGAGATTAAAAAATGTCGTGGAAAGACCTGGAATGTCGGACTCAGCACGGACAGTAGGCGAGGTGGCTAAGTTCGTCGGGCCGCAGAGCTATTCGGCTATGTAGAAAACGCTGGATTCGGCGGGAGGCGGAGTAGATGGAAGATGGTGGTAGATGGGCACGCAAAGCGGCACCGGTCAATTCGTCGGTGTTGAGGAGACAAGAACCTTTGAATTGATCGCAGCAACGTCCGTACTTTTTAGCTTAAACAAGACAAGAAATGGAGAAGGGGGAAAAGAGAGCAAGGAGCAAGGAGCCAGGAGGTAAAAGATGAGGAGAGATAGGACCTTAGTACGTAGTGGATGTTGTGGAGAATTGAGATTTTGGGAAGGGCCTAAGCTCTGGAAAATTAAGCGTGGTAGTGGATGGTAGCGCATGAGATAGGGAGATTCCAGACTCCTAGGGCGGCCGATACAGTTGAGAGGGAACCTGGGATGGGGAATGCCAATGTAGCCAAAGTACAGAGTAGCCAAAGTAGCGAGATGTAAGCCAATGGCAGTACCAGCATCAGTACCAGTACCTGTACCAGCAATAGTACCAGTACCAGTAACAGTACCAGTTACTAGGCTTGCTAGGCTTCCTAGGCTTGTTACCTAGTACCTAGGTAGGCTCAGTTTCGCTGCTAGCCGGAGGTGCGGTACAGTACCCGTGCCGGGATGATTTTTTGAATGGCGAAGCGGAGGTGGAGAACGACCCAAAGCCAATGTTTCCCTGGCGAGGCACAAAACAGCCGACCAATGAATTGTAGTTCCCAGCTCAGTACCAGAGGTGGCGCTGGGAAGAAAGACCACTACCCACTAAGTCACTAACCCTAATAGTGTAGCTCTTGTGGAGTTTCGACGACGAATTTGTATGTATGCAGGTATGATACACCTAGGTAAAGTTGGATATGGAGTGGGAGGCCTTATTCGGTGATGGCGAAGGCGAAGGCGACGGCGACGGCGAATATGGATATCGCTATATACTTCTATTCTCCTCGATGACTCCTTCAATTCTCTACTTTTTTTTAAACACTCTTTTCTTTCTAATAGTCTTCTGTCGGGATGTACGCTGTAGATGCCGCGGGCGGGTTCCCTTGGGCTGAGCCGAGTTCCACTTTGCGATTGTATCGTACCGTACTAAAGAGGTAACCAGTAGGTAGAAAGCAAGGATCTAGTCAATAATAAACAACCTTGTCGATTTCAATACTGATCTAATGTGGCACGACGTCGATGAAATTGAAATGTTGGCTTTGGCTTTGGCTTTCTAATAGACTAATAGTAAGGGTGATAATCGATAATTGTAAGGTTGAACGCAAGATTAAATAAAGTAGGTAAGTATTGGATTGATATGTGCGTATGGCCAAGAGGTAATAATATGTAAATACTAATTATCGCAATACTAGATTATCCATATGTCGTCGTATCGTAGGCTGGTAGTTGAATGCCACGGACTTTTTTTGGGATATGGATAAATTTTTGTAGGGGTATGAAGAGAAGAAGAAAAAATAATTTACTCGGTGCGGACATGCATGCGCATGTAATGTAGGCCAGGTTAAGCTAAGGTTGGAATTAAGCGGAAGGTGCAGGTGAGGATTTACTGTAACACCTACAATACTCACATGTATTCTGTAGGACGATAGTCTGGTAGGTACATCCCATGGCAAGGCATTAGTACATACATAGGTAGTTCCTACCTTGACATCCATTACCTTTACGTTTAAGGTTACCTTCTAAGAGATACTTGAATACTTCGGGTGTTCTACAATTGATGACTGGAACCTTGAACTATAACTCTATAACTACAACTCCGACTACGACTACAAAAGCCTCGGCCTTCTTGATGTAAGATAATTCCCGGCTCGATACAACTCATTCCAAGGTTTGAGGTCATAGAGTAGTATATAAAATAAGGGTGATGCAATCCAGCGAAACCAACGACACTCATTTGTTCGAATTACTTCTCGTTTCGAAAACAGGTAATCCGATCAACCTGCGGCAGGCTTTGTCGGAGCTGGCTTACGCTTCCCAAGCTTCATTTTTCCTTCCTTTTCTTCCTTTTCTCCTTTTCTCCATTCCTCTCGGAACTTCCTATTTCCTATTTCCTATTCCCCCAAAAACCCACCTATCAACAACTTGGCTCTCATCAACGTCTCTGCCGATTTCCTGCCGGGATACAGACGATGTTATCGTTCCTTTATTCTGCGGCAAGGAGACCCCTTCCTGAACAAGCGTTCTCCTAGAGCCTGATGAGATTGAGAATGGGAATATTAAAATCCGACGGCTCAGCGACTGAGGCTCAACCGCCGGTGTATGCACACACTACAAGCAAGCACTAACCCGCGTTCCGTGCCGGGGAGCTACAGCATCCGATTCTCGCTGCGTTGAGGGGTTAGGGAGAAATACCTTGCATAGGTCGTTACTACGTACACAAGCAGGTCGGCGGCTTTCACCCTGTAAGATGTTTTCCCCGGGTCTGCATATCCATATACCATATACGATCCAATACGGATCGTCCAAGTCCGAGGCATTCGTTACCTACATGGTCTACATTTGCCTTAAAATCTCCTGTATGATGGGAGAGTGTCCGGAATGGGTGGTTTGGCTTGAATAGCTATTCGATGTTCGGCCATTCAAAAAAAGGGAGTTAAGACAGGCAGCTTACCTAGCTCCCGCCGGCCTTTGCAAATCAGAGCGAGACCCTTCTACTTAACTGACGTCGTAGGTCACTACCAAGACAGGCACCTCAAGCGCCCATTCTGAAAAAGGGAAAATTTAAACGATTACAACTGTCAACGCCAAAACTTGTTCTCACTAATATTTTTTTTTTTTCAACTGTTGCATTTTCAAGATCAACGATAAATCCTTCTCTCAAAACCCTTTCAACTCCGCGGCAATGTTACCATACCTACAGGTCATGAAGAAGAAAGGACGAATAGGCGTGGCCGCATACCTCTCAACTGCAACTGGCACATACTTCGCTTAGGATGCTTGCCCTCATCGGCCGCCCACAATCGTTCTCGTCACCGTTAGGGTTACCATTGGTTGACCCGAGAAGTGAAGTTCTGCCGTATACGCACGCACATATACATAACTGCGTGTACGACGTAGTCTATTCGATCTTACCGTCACAATTCTGCTGGTCTCGAGTCCTCCCAATCACCATCTTCGCTACAGTATGTTTCACAGATGCGGGCGCCTTTTTCTCGCCTTGGCGGCGGGACCCCCCTCAAAACGACGTCGGGTCTGCGCTCTGTCCAAAGCTTTCCATACGTAACAGACATCGCGGCGCTTAATTTACAATGCCGCATATGCATGCGCTCGCTTGTCGCGAATGGCAAAGTCGTATACGGGAAGCCTTGGTGGCTTGCGCGGCGTTGCCATGGAACTGGAGCATCGGCGCCCGTGCCATTCCTATCTAAACCTACCTTGGCGGCGAGCGGGCGTGATGGGATGCAGGCAGCAAACTTTCTCGAGTCCGATATCTCTGATTGAGACAAGACGCATTTGGATACCTCGGGAAGTCCTGATTTCCAAGCTTTGTACTATGCTTACGAAGCGTGTCTTATAGAGCCATTCTCACATGAGCCATGTGTCGTTTACGTAAAGAGGGCCAAGTCCCTCCGCGTCACATCCAACTTCTCTGTTGAATTGCAACGTGAATATTTCAGGTTCTTATCCATTCCACCTTTGGCGATTCAACAGAGTCGGCGGGGAGGCATCAGATCCCAACAATATGCTCGAGCACATAGAAATTCCTCTGTTATGCATGAACTATGCGCTCGTCAACAGGGGCCACTTTAGTCTCAATATTCGAAGGTCATTGCCTAGGTAGGTAATCATGATTCGGGTGCGGTAGTCATGTCCGGGTGAAAGGGGCTTGGATTTTCAAAGAAGCAAAAATCGTGGTCGCTATATCACAGATACATCATCGCGCTTTTCAACTATCACTTATCACTTTCACTATGCTTCCAACTCAGCGCAGACCGGGACGCTTGATTACTCAGAGAATCTAGAGCATGTCGAAGACAGTCGATCATACCTAATTGGGCATCCGAATTCCGCAGCGACTAGTGCCAATATAGACCTCGGTGTTCATACACAGGTAGGCAAAGCGCATCGTGTAAGGTCTCAACTTGCATTCCACCCGAAAGACGCGATAAACGCACGTGGGAGCCGCGGCCATCGGGACTTGCCGCATCTTCCACTCTCTTGGGATCGTGAATAGGTAAAGCGTCTGAGGTGTATAACATCACCGCTATTTCAGATTTTCCGCAGGAACTTATGGCATTGAATATAGACTAGGTTCTGGTGGAGTATCCGGGCACTTGGACTCAAAACTAAGCAGTTTGTCGAATCGGGTTGTCAATCCTCTTCGCATCCCGCTACGAGATATCACATATCACCCGAGCTACTCCTCGTTAGTTATCGCGGAAAAAGAAAAAAAATCTCTTAATCAGGATCATGAACCCCCAATCTCGAATAGAGCTAGGTAAGAAACCCCCGTCGTTGGTTTTATGCGCGCTTCACTCGGGTACCCCGAGCCGCCTCGCTACTTCGACAAACCCGCCCTCACCTTCACTAACCCATAAATCAACCCACTCGCGAGCCTCCTTATACCGCTGCTCCCCGGGCCCCCACGATTCCTCGCGGGGGCGCTCCACATAGATCGTTCGAAGCCCAGTCGCGCGCGCACCCGCCAGGTCCCCCAGGTGTGCGGCAACCATGGCGACCTCGTCGGGCCGAACCTCCAGTGCCGCTGCCGCCCCCAGATATACCGTCGGATGCGGCTTATACGCCCCAAAATCGGCCGCGGACTGGATCTTCCGAAACCCTAGACCGCCATACGCGTCTAGGTCCCGCAGCAGCGACTGGTTGCCGTTTGACAGCGTCGATGTCACGTACCGAGTCCCGAGCCGCCGGATGCCCGCCGCGGAGTCATCCCATGGCTTCAGCGCATGCCAGACTAGGCTTATGGACCGCACTTCGTCGTCTGTGTAGATGGACGCGATCTCCCACTTGTGGAGAAGCGAGTGCAGCGCCGAGTAGTGGTGCGCATCGATGTCCTTCCACTCCGACTCGCCCGGCACGAAAGCCCGCGTGAAGTGCCAGTAGCTGATCCTCCATTCTTCAGTCAGCTTGGCCCAGTCCTCCTCCGTCATTGCCGCAAAACGGGTTCGCGGTCCTTCGGGTAATGAGGGGAATTCGGGTGAAGCTATCTTCTCTTGCGCTCGCCTTATGAGTTCTTCCGGAACCGAGGTGCGGTAGTCTACCACTGTGCCGAAGACATCGAAGGTAAGGGCTTTGATGTTTCGGAGCGCTTCGGGGATTGGGGTTGCCATTTTGGGGTTTGTTTCGAGTGCTTGGTATATGATCGTAATGTACTTAGAGCTAACCTAGTAAGTTTTTACTTTGTTACAATCTTAAATGTATATGCGATGTTATGAATATTAAACAAAGATATATCTCATCGATTTACAAGTGATGATGTGATTGATCCGGCCATCGGTAAGGGGTGGGGTTCCCGCTTGTCCGTAAAATACCGAAAACAGAGTACTAGCATGTGCAGACATACCTACGGGCGCGCCCTATAGGGCATTGCGTCTCGGTACTCGTAAAAGACCCGATGTTATGCCAGCGACGTCGTATGGGAAGTTACGATGGGTTTCTTTTGCTGTAGTTGATAATTAGGGGTTCTATGTAGGATTTCTTTTATCCGGCATCGACTTGTTTATGTTCATATCTTAGTAGGTACCTACGTTTATTCGAAAGTTCGATCTTGCATGGCTAAGTGTACTTCAAATAAGTAAGTTTATTTCAAGAATAGTTCATGCGAACGAATGACCCCGATTGCCCCCTTACATACGTACCTATAGTCGCTATAACTCCTATATGTTCAAATGAGTCATAAGATAGAAATGAAACTTTTAACATATTATAGTGTATTTAGTCACTAGTTCCCGAGGTACAGAGGATCTCTCTACTAGATATTAAGTCTTAATCCTCCTCACTCACGTCCATGTGTTTATCAAGAAACCATATCTACCACTGACCTGTGACGTTGGTATAGCGCCTAGGCTCTGCATATATACAAACTGTTTCGTTTACTGTTAAGGGGGAAAGGAGAAACGCCGAAGGATGGTTCTTCGTCAATGCTGGGGATAATCATAAACCCACCCCCTCCCCCTTTTACCAAGAGCATATCATTACATATAGTAACCCCTATAGCTAAAATTGAGAAACTACTACAGGATTTCGTACATTAGGTAGATTATGGAAGATTATCGTAGTCTTATACTCAGCTCCGACTACCTGGCATACAATAAGGCGAGATTGAACAGTCTTCTCAAGGTGTTATTTCGTCTCACATATAGGCGAAGACCCCACGTAGAGATATAAGTGCAAGTTATATGTGTTTCAATTATGACTGTACTCAATGCGACCTATCGTGACCCCTTAGAATCTAGTATTATTACCTGGGTGGGTATTAATGAGTAATTATAGCTAGCAACTATATTACTAAGTAGGAAAACTGTATGGTGCGATACCTACTTGAATGCTCGAATAAGATGGAGTAGTTTACGGCTAAACATGATTAGAAACTAGTATAAGAATATACCTAATATGTGGTTTCAATGTAACTGCCGCAAATCCAGCACCCATATTTAGAATATACCTACCTGTCTATTATGCCATCCTCTCCTAGGCATGTCTAGGCGTCTATTGCATACAGCTATAGCCACATATGGAACCAGTCCCATAGAGACATCACCTGGGTACTGTTAATCGACCTGAGGTTATCAAAGTCCTTCAACTTGTACCGGTAAGTAGACGTCTAGTACACCATAAGTATCGTATACCATCACTGCGAACTTCACTTCTCATGCGAGCGACGAGTATCGCGCAGTAGTATACATGATCGACCCCGTAAGTCATGTATTTGGACTAGTACTCATTATTAGTCTCTAACTACCTTACCTATGCTATTCCTGTTTTTGGGGTGCTGAAAAGCCTCTACTAGACTTTTGTCGTCGGATGCATCTTCGATCTTCCCCGGCGATAGTGGCTCTGCCCGGTTGAAGAAACAACGCTTATACGAACTTGACAACTTGTTTCTTCGTCGGTGATTGCTGAAATCGTCTACTTTAAGGAACGGAAAGTCGACTGAGTGCTTTAGTTTTTGGATCTATTGAATACGGACTATTCGGATTTCTGTCGGTAGTTGAAGGGGAAGAGGGGTCGCCGGTATATGAACTATTATATGGAAACCTCACTGGAGGTTAGTAGCACATTTCTAGTACCTATGTAATTGAGTGGCACAGACAGCATAGGCGCATCTAGACTTTCTACAATCATCGTATACAATTCAAACATATTGCATCTTGAACTCACAGTCTAGGACTTGGGATTGTCGCGTGCTCTAGTTCCCGAACCAGAACGGCTATCTAGTATGGATATATGCAGTTCATGTGATTCTCATTACATCACAATTATGATGATATGATGTCCGTGGCGGCTCTCGTAGACGCGAAATCGTACGTTTCGTAGGCACGACCCCAGCCTCCCCGAAGCGCCGATGCTGCATCAGGTGAAGAAAGCGTGGGAAGCTACTGTATGTAAGCAGGTTTCCGGGCTACCCGGTTATGGAGCCGCGTAAGGGAACCCGTACCGGTGGTCTGGATCCACATCCGGCTTACCGGTGCATGCTTCTTGATCTTAGATCAAGATGTCGGGGGCGTGAGATGGCTTTGGGGGACTTGGCATGCAGGATGTTGGACAAGGCGTTGCTGGAGGCCGCCTTTTTATTTCTAACTCCATGATGTAATTCTAGCTTGGCTACGAAAATCGAAGGCAACGTTTATATGTATACGAAATCCGGAGGCGATATATTACTAACTTACGGTTGGCCGGCGGTATTTAGTGGTTTGGCCGGAAGGGAGATAATGGTCAAGCAAACATGGTAACAATTTGGCCGAAACCTGCCGTCGAGGTTTTGAATTGAGGGTTCGGATTTTGACGGGATTTCGAGGTTGCCAAGCTTTGCTCATCTAATCTCAGCGGGTGATCACCAATGAACCAAACTACAGACATGACCAGAACCAAAACCATATAAATAGGGGAAATCGTGCGAAACCACGCAAGGTCAAAATGCAGTTGTGTAGGTATGTACACCGTAAGAATATCGAATTCGAGAGGCGGGAAAAAAAAGAAAACCGCCTTTCCAGCCCTTTTGACGAACGAACTATGATCTGACATGTTCGTTCTGACCACTCACCTTGCCCCACGCAAGGGACCGGGACGATTCCCGAACTTAGATCATGCAGTAGGTTCCACGCAAGGAAACATTGAGGCTCAACCCATCCATCTCCGCATGGGAAAGAAAGTTGGTAGGTTGGCTGGTCTGAACTTGTGAGTAGGCAGTAGGTAATCAATATGAGACCCGTGTGCCCTCGCCACTGTACGTAAGACCTGTTTCCTCCCTTGTACGATGGATGCATACGATCAATAACAAGATTCACTCTCGTTGGACTATGAGCGTATGGAGTTCACCCCGGCCACTTAAATATCTACTGACTGAGGACAGAGATATGGAGTCTTTACTTCTGATTCGAGATAATTGACGAGGTGGCGAAGGGGAAAAGGGGTTCGTGATAGCTAAACATGTCTAACCTACCTAAAGGAATAATCATCACGACTCAAGTGATTGGATAAGGCGTTGAGTCTCTATTGCGTGCGTACACGAACTCGGTCCCGTTGATAGGACAGCCCCTATTAGGTACCTACCTAGATAAAAGATTAGGTACATATCGTGTTATTCACCAAGCCAAGCAAAAAAGATACCAATTATGCATACGGACCGCATGGTCACGTCGCAAGTCGTGATGGCACGCAATACAGGATATTGATATGACGGGTTATCAATGATCAATCATCTCGCTGACGCCTTTTAAAGTTGCGCGCTCGGGGTCGTATGCGAGTCCTGCAAGCCCGTTGAAATTGGCACAACCCCCGAGGATGTGTGATTCTCCTTGCATCAAAGCAGGTCGAGCACACGGGCGGGAAGTGGAGATTTTGTGCTGAGAGGTTTGTGCGTTCTTACATACGGCACCATAGGTCCAAGGTAATTATGGACGAGATGGAATTAACCGGATGGATGGCTTCTACGAGGTATGTAAGACTTGTTTCTCGGCCATTGTCGTCGAAATAAATAAGACCACCGAATCAGCTCACGGAATTAGCCTCGAAGCTGGTTCGATAGTAAGACGGGAGGGTTCCCCAGGTTCCTGTACCAAACCTGGCTACAATATGGGTTATTGCGTGGTATTATGGTAGTAAGGTTGGCCTACTGTTGGTCTGTACGCGTGGAATCTCAGATGAATCCGACCGGACCGCGCTCGCATTGGGAGAAATCTACAATAGCGCGCAACTTTTGTTGGTTGAGGTCTTTTTTTTCTCTTTGGTCCAGCTAGGGCTCATTTGCTAGCGCGATTCCTGCTACCAAGTTGGCGTTGGCTTTTCGGCTTTCGCTCACACAAAACGATATTAAAAGCTGACAAAAGTTTTCGACGGCTCATCGACTGGTTCGGCTTGTTCGTTGGCGTAGCTCCGGTATGAGACCCCAGACTGTCGAGACGTTCTCTGAAATCCTTCGAAAGAAAAAATAAAAATCCTTGCAGCCAGCTGTGACGGGAGAAGATGTTCTGCGTTAGATACCTAACCTAGGTTTCAGAAAGCCCTAGTGAAAGCTCCCTCGCATTGCCCTATTCCTGTTCTAGCGTTACGTCGACGTAACGGGTAAGACGGCCGTCGAATCTAGTTAAGAGCCGACATAAGGTGTCGACGCCAAAAGGTTACAATGGTCTAATCTAAAATAGTCACCTTGCTACGCTGGACGGGAACACTTAATAGGGCCGGATTGCTGTGGTCTGGTTTAGATCTTGGAACGAGTTGCACGTCTAATCTGCGGTGGTCCAACCTTGGCGCCCGAAGTGTCGGGGACGCACGATGTTGCGCTTCGGTGAACAAAAACTGTTAAGATAGGACGATTATGTGGATGTAGAAACAAACACTGCTATCGTCATCATGTTGTTTAGTTGATTGTCGATGATTTTTAGTTTCGACGATCGTTGGAGATCTACTCACTTTGTCCCTCGGTCCATCTACTCCCTTTAACCTAACCCAAGATTACTGTACTTACAGCGTATCTGTAGCAGCTGTAGGTACAATACCTACATACCACCATGCCGTAGAACACTGCAAGACATTAGCCTGTAAAATGTGATAGGTGATAGGTGATAAGGTACCTAAAGTGGTTTTAGGCGGCTTGTAGTACGTAAAAGCCGTAATGGAGGTGCGGGACGGGAGGAAACGTCTACTGGGTACGCTACTTTATCCGTTGTAAAAAATCCAACGGTGCCTATGGGAGCTTGATTAGGCATTTAAAGGAGAAGAAATATTTTTTTTCTTGGACAGCTTGAATTTATTTCCTATTCCCTATTCAGCCTCGTGGGGGGAGATAGATAACTTAGCTTAGCTTGTCAGGGTGCAGCGTTCTTCAGTTTAGTTTCATAAGCTTCTAAACTATTTTCTATCTATCAAAAGATCGAGCGTTCCAAAATGTGAAGGAATCCGTTTCCTCCCAACTCTATCCAAACTAAACTAGCTTGTTAGTGGCATAAAAACACGTGCCTTTCCTTAGATTACAAGGTCATTGCAAGGTCTTAGTGGGTTGGGTTGGGTTGGCTAGGGTTGGTTGGTTGCATAGCTGCACCTTTCTCCAGACCGGGGAGATGCAGAACCGTAGCATCGGTCACCGTCGCATCCGGCTGTCTTTTGGAACGGTAACTTCGCCAGGTTCTATTCTTCGACTGCGCCTTCGTGGAAGCCATCTTGAAACGTGTGATATAGAAGCCGATAGGAGTTATATCTACAGCGTCGTGGATTTGCTCATTAGGCACCTAGACAATGTCATTTTTTGACAGCCTTGAAAATCTCTCAACTAATACAAGGTACCCGTTTCTAATTTGGCGAGAGCAAGGCCAACGCCACCGTTAACGGAAACAACCGAGGTACCTGTCGAGTTTGATATGCTGGTCTTTTAGAGCCTGAAAACCCAGGGATACGAACCTGACGTCTCGAAGCGAAGTGAGGGGGAATTATGATATGTACTATGTAATTGAGAAGACCCTTAAAAAACAGGGAAGCTGGTCTATCTTAAGATTTGGCGAGCATCATCGGCAGCGTCAAATAATGACGATGGAAACTTCCGAAGAATTTGTTACAGACCTAGCTGGGTACGAAGTATCCCTAGCTGCCCAGGTGCCTTGGTTGTTTTATGGCGTATGCAGCTGAATATCCACGTGTGGTTTTGCTTAGAAACCACAGGTAGATATTAATGATTCGAAACCGGCAGTTAAATTTAAATATGTACATAGCATTTTTAGCCTCGTGTGTCCACTGTCCGAGCAATTGGGCTTTCAGCTGCACACAATAATCTGATCTGAGCCGTGATCAGCTCACCCACAGACACTTCACACTCTGGGGGATTTCGAGATTTCGATTAGCAACCGAGAATCGGTATTAGATACCAGGTAAATACGGAGTTCATTAAGCGGCATAATTTGGTAATAATAGTAATACAACGTCCTAGGGAAATGCGTAGAATTAAAGGATATATATTAAGATCTTAACAGTCGTATTATTTTCTTAATGAGGCTAACAGATCACAGTAAAATGCTTGTCGTCGTCGTCGGCCATGTTGGTGGCCCGTCCCATGCATGCCCGTCTGTCAAGCTGTGCCTTGCATATGCAACTTCGACATCATTCGGGTAGGATTGTGCTTTGACAAGCGATCACTTGAGTGAAGGATCGACCTTTCAGGAAGCTCGGTATGTAGAGAGATCTGGACGCTATCCTATTGCTCCACGTTGCCTCCCTCGGCATTTTCACACTTTTATGAATTGCTCACAATCGTTGCACATCGAACTATCAATGATACAGTAGTACTACAGTGTGTAACGCCTGGAATAGGAGGCACAGCTGAGGAAACATTGCCCGACGTGGAAGTGATTGCCAGAGGTTCCTATTCGACATCACCGCCCTCATCACATCTAAGACATCCCATCCTTCCCAAATCCCAGCTCACACAAATTTCGAATCATCAAGCATCCCGAGTCATCAAGCTCGTTAGAATTCCCGACGGATTCGGGCGAGTTTCCAATTCAACATTCGTCACCTTGTGGGACAAGATACGCCTCACTCTCTCAAGACAAGCCCCCTTGAACGGCTGGGTGAGCTCAACCTGGAAAAAGCTGCTAAAATTCCCTGTAAATCCATGGCCACTGGTCCACATTCCGTAGTTCGTCCGCTCGGCGTGGTCGGTAAGGTTTGTTCAATGTGCTGAACACGCTAACGCGCCCCGAGAGGGCGGGTTTTGCAGATGTCAAATCATACCACACGCGATCGAGTATCGAGAGAACAATGGCTTTCTCCATTGAGCTTATGGCGTCCATTCACCTCTTCTCGAAATATTTATTGGAGAGAAAATGAGCCACTGACGGCCCTTCCGGATCGATACGTTACTCTATGTCTCATTGTAACTGTAACGTTCTGCTTCCAATGAGCTCTATCCAGTTAGGTGATTTAATTGCCTACTCCCACTGAATATTCCAGGTTGTTACCAGTTCTCATGTACGCTGTAATAATCTCCATACGCTTACATAGCTTTTTTAACCTACCACATCGCAGATATGGGATCCCTTTGCAGTAAAGCCCGCCCCCCGTTTAAGGCACCGCCCTAACCTCCCTGGGTCTCTGGACGCTGCTAGGCTCAACTAGCCAAGCAGCCAAGCTTATTGTAGTGGGTCGTTGGACAGCGGTTCTATATTAGACGTTCAGGGGGACCCTCGTCCGGTGCCGACTCTTGGTTCTGGCACCTGCTTATTCCGCGGATATGGAACCGTTTGGTTAAATTTGACCCCTGACAATCTTAAGCTTGCCTGTCACCTAGCGTTAGGTAACACGCTCATAGGCTGTGACGGCGTAGGAATGCCTGTCTCGAACTTGGTGATTGGGCTTTCGCGAACACGAGTATTACGGGCATAGAAACACACGCAGAAGATACCATGATTCTTCTCTACCTACCTCTACCTAGGTATTTACTAGGTCTAGGTACTCCACATATGCAAAAGCGATCACTTAGACCGTAGGGTAGGTAGCACACCTATCCCGCGTCGTCAATTCTTACTCCGCGTTCGCCCGTGTCTGTTCTGTACACGGTCCATACTGGTCCCCTACCCATAACCCGCCTCTGAACTTTTGAAAGCTTCAAGGTACCTATCACTTTTTGAACATCCTGGCGTCGTAGTCTGCCAGGTCTGGCCCTGAGTCCCATGCTAAGTGGGTATCATTACGGAGCACATCGTACATAGTACATACGACATTAGAACCTGGTTGGTTGTAGTCTCTTTTCTTTGCTTCTGATCTCTCGTCGAGCTGTCTCCGCGACACCACGAACATCCTATCGTCGCCTTTTTGCTTTTTTCTCTTCCCGTCTCAGTTACAGTGTCGATCCGGAACGGTCGTTCAACTGCCAACTGCCTCGTTTTCTTTTCAATCTCGGTTTTCCTTTTCTTTACTTGGTTCATCCCGCCACCCGTTCGCCTTCTCTCGGTTCTCGGTTTGTCTCGTTCGTCGTCTGTCCTTGCATTCTCTGGGGAAATCATTACCCCAAGTCTTGAATCCAATGCAAGCTTGAATTTGAATGCATATTCGACCGAGCGTGCGTATACTGCGCCTTCGAAATAGCGTGACAATTGACGGCTCGAGCTGTTGATTATATTCGCACGAGCGCGGACCTTCTCTCTTTAACAAGCATATCCCGACAATTGCTTCTCTTCATTGCACAAATTCAGCTTAGGCCTTGGACTTTGGTAAGTCGAACGCGGTTAGGTCGCCCTCCTGCATTCTTTACAACTTACCCTTACTGCTATGAGCCGTTTCGTAAACCTCAACTATTGATGCGTGAGGGCTGATCATATCATTTATTTAGGAATTGGTCCGTCGAGTAGCCTGCATACTCTATAATATAGGCCTTTATATGCACTCACGTCATATTTAGACTCTTCCAATTGGCTAGAGTTACCTAGTAGGGTTCAACGCGCATATACTGAAACTCATTCAACCATATGCTGAGTTGCCGAGCATGGAGATAGCGCTTTGAGGCTTGCCATTAACTCTGGTCCTCTTATCAACGACTATTACCTACTTCTTAATTATAGCATTACTGAGCGAATCAGGGCTCACCCCTATTCTTTCCTTAATAGCTCCCGTAAGTTGCATACTATACCCATTTATCATTCATTTTCCCCATTCAGTTACGAATTTTTGAGCGTATACCTTATCCTTACCTAAATCGTCGAGAGCATAACGTTTAATCGAAACAGAGATGATTGAATCACACTCTGTTATATCGGATAGCTGACGCTGACGATACAAGGCCAACTCCTTGTAATTTCTACTACTTATCACGCCGCGTCGTAGGCGTGAAATCGTCCATGCTCATATCCCATACCCCTGGTCGTCTTCCATCTTAAGAAGGATTAGTTCTAATAGTGGGGCTAGTTGTATTAATGCGAAATCCATTCACACATCGTCACTTTCTTCTTCGACGCAGCGCAGAATAGCCACCCCACAGTCGAACAGGGGTCTAGATAGTGGGTCCCGGTGTTTGGACCCTTTTTCTAAGATTGAACAGAACGGTACGAAGCTAGAGTCAATGCGAGCTTGCATGACCTATTCTTCGTGTTTCCCAGTTTGAAGTCGCCATCTTCGACAACCGGGAGACCGGCTTGGATCGCGAGTGGTAGAAAATCATGGCTGTATGGGAAACCGAAGACGAGCTCAGCAGTGCTGCTGCTGCGTCACTACCAACACCGACGGATACGCCTTATCGGACGCCGTCGCGAAGTTCTCAGCGCTCGAAGAAATCGCGACGTTCTGGTTCTGTTACACCCCCTGCTTCCTCCCCGCCTCCGCCACTTCCACTGGACAAGATCGATAGGAGGAAAAGCAAGAACAAGAGTAAGCGAACCTCGAAAGATGGAGGAAACGAAGATAATGTTAGCATCTTGGATCCTCGCCGGTTCACGCCTACACTCCACGCGAATCTCGTATCGGAGATACTCTCATTACGGAGAGACCAGGAGGACAAGCTGAAGATTATCGAAAGTCTTGAAAGCGCACTGCACACCACCCGAGAAGAACAGGAGTCTTCGCAAACCAATCTTTCCAACATTGGTAAGGAGAATCGGTCACTGAAGCGACAATTGGCGCTCCTTGAGGGTGGAACTTCATCCGCTTTAGGCGAGTTAGCAAGGGAACGCGATGAGGCGGTCGAAGCAATAACTGAAACGAAGAGACGGTTAGACATCGCGCAGAAGAAGGTCCGGACCCAGGAGGAAGATTCAGAGAGAGTACACGACCTTTGGGCAAAGGAGAGAGATGAATGGGACGATGAAAGGCGTAAATATGAGCGGAAGATACACGTTGCTGAGAGTCGGCTGAGGGTCGTTTTGGAGGAATTTGCTAACCTTCAGGAGGCACAAGCGAATAAACCTCAAAATGGCGCCGAGAGCGAAGGCGAGGACGGCAAAGAGAATGACGGTGCTAGTGTGCGGACCATGAGCATAACTAACAGTATCCGGTTCTCCATGGTTAGTGGACCAGGTATGGGTAAGATGAATGGTCACAGCCTTGCTGATGAGCTCAATTTCGACGATGACGACGATTACCAGACGGATCCGGATGGCCGCCAAAGTGTGTACTCAACCACCAGGCACAACCGGGCTCAGAGCCGGGATAGTATGATGTCGAAATCCCATCGACGTAATACGAGCATCGAGAGTCAGATACGGCCGGGAAGTGTCGCACGCAGCAGGATGTTCATGAACCAGACCGTACTTGACAGGTTAGAAGGTGGAATTCGCGAGGATGACGAGGAATCGGTTGTTTTAACCCCTAAGGTAGAGTATACCGACACGGGTATCCAGTTCTCACCACCGCCGTCTCCCAAGGTCGTCCCTGTAAAACCGTCGACCCCGGAACCTGCCTTGAAATTTGAGAAGTTGATGGGTCTGGAGAGTCCGCCCCGTTCTGAGGGTGAGATCGAAGCAAACCAGAGTCGTAAGAGGGTGTACATTGCCAAGCCAACACCACTGGAAGCTCCGAAGCCCGCAAAGCCAATGGTTTCAGCCGGATCCCAGACGTCGAAGGAGGTCCCGTCGTTGACTACTTCTAGCCCGGTCACCGTGGAAATGATACCCGCTGTTGCCACTGTAACTAAGTCGATCGCCACTCAAACCGACGCTGCTTTGGTTGAACGAGCTGTTTCACCTGAGCCGTTCCTAGTACCTAGCATCAGCATCATCCCGCCAACTAGCCGACCGTCAACTCCCCGTGAACACCGGTTGCCTCAGTATGTTAAGGACTTCGGATGCCAAGTTTCTATCTTGCAATCGAAGCCAATGAAGTCGATTTCGGTTCAGACGGACGAAATCCGGATCGATCAGAGGCTCGACAAACTGCCACCACATCTTCATCCCTCCGCCATCTCATCACGACCCACATCCCCCGCCCCTACTTCAGCAGTTGAGGAGAACAAACCCTTCACTCCGGTACCCGGACACGTTCCTCCGCGAAACCCACGCCGCCTTGAACAAGGCAGACGAAGTTTCTCGGGCGACCTGCCTTCATCGCCTCCTGCGTCACCGACAACAGATAGGGAGACCCGAGATGCTTACCCAGGTAACAACGATGATGGCCCATTATCAAGTGCTAAGGCACCTGTGAGACGACCGCATCGTATTAGTAGCTTGTTCGCTGGCTTTGACGTCCAAAGCTCGGACGAGGCTGACGAATTCAACGAAGACCAGAGCGACTCAGAATACCGCACGGCGCTAGCTCCAAGACCTAAAATCGGCACCGTCAAACCTAGCAAGCGAATGACGACTAGCGCAGTCTCTCCCGTCGTCGCGTCGGAACAGGCTAAGTCCGCGGCTAGGCAATCAACGAGTGTAGTGAGCAAGCTCGGAAGTCCGGAAGTTTACAGCTCCTACCGTCTTGCCGATTCCCCAGAAGGGTTGGCACGCAAGCCGTCAATTAAAGTGTCGACTCGAACTTCTGGTGGGGCCCTTGGGTATGCCACAGGGTCTCGGGCCAGTGTGATGCGCAAGTCAGCAATGATCCAAAGTGGTATCGCTTCACACCAGGGCCGTTCGCGAAGCCCTAGTCTCCCTGAGTCTCGAGATCCTCCATTCCCTATCCCCACGAGAGCTAGTTCGAGGAAGCCACCGTTTAGTATTAGTGCCCCGAGCGATGGTCACCGCAGCCCTACACCCAATGACGAGTCTTCCGGCCGTCGGGGTATGAGAAGCAGCATGTATAGAACGAGCAGTGTTCGCAAAGCCCGATCAGCCGCAGCCTTACCCGGAAGCCGCAGAGCTAGGAGAGGTAGCCGTTCTCCACCGCCACCAATGTCGCCTTCTGAAGAAGCCCCTGAAAGCCCTGGCCTTCCACCTCTGCCGACAAACGATATCACCACTCCCCAACGTAATTACGGCAAATATCGCGGTCACAGATCCCAGCCTTCGACGAACACCGCTAACACGGCCAACACTGAGAACACCAATGTAGGCTCTACCGGTAGTAACCAACAGTCGTCAAGTGTAGTCGATGCGATTGCACAGACGATGGTCGGAGAATGGATGTTTAAGTACGTGAGAAGACGCAAGTCTTTTGGCATGTCTGAAGGAAACGCCCGCGGTGAAGAGAACAGCAACGATCGCCATAAGCGATGGGTATGGTTAGCGCCGTACGAGCGCGCGATCCTGTGGAGCAGTAAGCAACCTGCAAACGGCAGTGCCTTAATGGGCAAGCCTGGTCGAAAACGTAAGCAATAAATATGCCTCCGTGTCCCGAATAAGATAGCTGACTAGATATTTCATAGTGACCATCCAATCCGTCTTGGACGTCAAGGATGACAACCCTCCGCCAAAAGGCGCAGTGCAGATTTTCAACCGTTCGATCCTCATCTTAACACCCCAACGAGCCCTCAAGTTCACGGCTTCAAATGCCGAACGTCATTACCTCTGGCTGACATCCCTCTCTTTCCTCGCCCACTCCCAACAAGATGTCCCCGAAATCCTCCCATCATCCGCCGGGCCCGCACCAAACCTCGCCGCCCCCGCACCCCCCGACTTCGAGATCCCACAGACCAAAGTGAAGAAATCCGGTATCCGGGACTCGATCCGATTAACCAAGGGCAAGAACCCGGCCCTAACCCACCGCCACGACCCCCTCCCGAGCACAAACGAGCTCGAAGAGTCCTTCAACTCCTTTAAACAAGACCTGCCGAGCCACCAACGTGACCTGTCCCGCGACGCCGCCGAACCGCCCTTCATCCCACGCTTCCACGAGCGAACGAACGAGCGCGTGCACGAGCGTGCCAACCAAGTCATACTGCACGGTCGCAAGCGGAGCAACACAGGGGGTCACATCCCGCCGCCGCTGTCGTTCCGGGGGTTCTCCGGGCCAGCAAGCCACAGCAGCTCGTACCACGCCTCGAGCAACAGCACAGCGGGCAACAGCGTCGGCACCGCGGGTTCTTCCGATATATACCAATCGCAGGCGTCGAGCGCAGGGGGCGCCGTGACGACCTGGGGGATGAGCACAGCGGGATCGCAACGGACATCCGAGGCGTCATCGCGTCCGCCCGGTAATTTCTTCGAGGCTATAGGCACGGTGCGCATGGAGGCGTTTATTAGCCCGCTTACGTTCCCACGCTTCGAGGAACATCCTGATGAGCAGGAGGAGTGGCGGTACCGTGCGCGACGACGGAGCAAGGAGGCGAGACGCAGACGCAGCCGTAGCCGTCATCGCGATAGCTATGTCTCGCGCGGTACGCGTGGCACGGATTCGTATGCGGGAAGTCGGATTGGTGAGGAGGATTACTTCCGCGATGACCCGTTTAAGGGGTTCTGATTTTAGGAGCCTAGCCTTTGACGGGGGTTGTTGAGGACCGTTCTGATGGGTTGTTTGCTCGTTGCCCGTGTTTTGCGCGCGTGGAGATACCCTCGAGATTCGTTTGTTATGTTGCTCAGATGATATCACATTCGTTCAGACAGTAAAGGGATTCCGTTGGAGTTTTTGGAGTTATCTGTCTGTTTTGCTCTTCGGGATTCGATGCTTGATATTCGATATTCGGTATCGAATCTCGCGTCGTTCCTGTCGCCTATCCACATTGCCGATGCTTCGGTGTACTTACTGTACGAGTACGACTTTGGGTTTCCTTACCTCCCTTTTCCCTTCTTGCATCTGGTCATCGCTCGATGATCCTTTTATATATATACCGAAATCGCAACCTCTTCCTTCTGCGAGATCTTCTTGTACATTAATTGCACGACCGATCTCTGGTCATTTCTCTTTACGCTTTATAGTTCTACTTCTTCGGTTTCTCGTTTCTTTGTGTGAGGTAGGGAAGGAGTTGGAACCCTAGGGACACGGGGGAAACATCTTGACCTTAACAGGATCAAAAAACAGGACCGGACGGCGGATGGGTAGCCCGTGTTATATATCAAGTTCAGGCAAATGGGAAAGCAGACCTACTCGTCTCAGGGTACATAGATGAGCAACCGGCTCCGGGTCTCAGGACCATTTGGGGGGAACTTCAAAATAGTCGGCTCGAGATCCGAGAAGGATAGGTTTCTTAGGGGATATTTTCTTGTCAATAGCTTAATTTCTAGCTAGCAAAGAAATAAGGATATAAAATTCCTTCAAAACGACTTGTTTGCTGTGAATTTTGTCATATTAGTGTTGTTGTAATGTTGAGTATTCGGTGAGAGTTGTAAGTTAGTAGGATCGTTGTTTGTATGGATGCTAGTATTGAGACATTCATATGCGGTAATAAAATAATAAATTAGTGAGCATGCAAATGCCTGGCATTATATATCTACTGGGGTGTTAGATAAGCTTAAAATCTATTACGTAAGGCAGATTAGTGGGACCTTACGTAGTCCCGTCGGACTGGGTTAGGTAAGTGCCTTGGTCCGGGCGTCAGGTCGCAAACTGGCAAGGCTTCCTCAACGTTGTAACTTCTTAAAGCATTCGATTGTGTCTTATCACGAGACAACGTTAACGCTCTAACTTCTCCCTAACAGACAGTTTCTTAATTTTGGTCAAGATTACAAATCGACGGTGGCTTTGATAATCTACCCTCTACCATTCATTTCCATATAAATCGCCTTTTACCGCTTCATCGGAGACGTTTGTCACTCATTCAACCCCCCAATTATAATCTATCACACAACCGCCAAGATGTTAAAGATCTGGTCTATGGTAAGTCGCATTACTATTCCTACAGCATTCTACTAAGTTGCGCATTCTGATCATAACGACTTGTTAGAAATCGGCCCAGCAAAAAGCCGACAACGCGGATGGCGCAGCTGGCAAGAAGAAGAAGGTAACACCTGCTCAGCTTCGGGTGCAGAAAGGTAAGATAAAGTGTTATATGTTGTATATTTGGATTATGGGATAGCTAAACTTCGAGCCTATATAGATCTTTCCGAGCTATCCTTGGGCTCGACCATGAAGACAATATTTCCCGACCCCGATGATATCCTCAACTTTATCCTCGAGATCAACCCCGACGAAGGCATTTACCACGGCGGCCGATTTACCTTTACTTTCACTATGGGACCGAACTATCCGCATGAGCCTCCCAAAGTGCGCTGCCAGCAGAAGATCTACCATCCAAATATCGACCTTGAGGGCAAGGTGTGCCTGAATATTCTGCGCGAGGACTGGAAGCCTGTACTGAACCTTAATGCCGTTATCGTTGGATTACAGTTCCTATTCCTTGAGCCGAACGCCTCGGATCCTCTTAATAAGGAAGCTGCCGATGACCTACGAGCAAGCAGAGAGGTCTTCCGCCGAAATGTTCGTTCAACCATGAGCGGTGGTTCCATAAGAGGGGTATTATACGACCGCGTGATGACTGGGCGAACATAGCGTGCTCCGACGCATTAGACAAAATGAATCTACTCAACTGGAAAAACTCAGTGGTTACACCCAATCAGGAGACTTCTTCATAAACTTAGGAATAATGACTTCCAAGGTTAGGTTTGGTGACGGATACATCCGATCATCATACGAGTCGGAGGGAGAGATAACGAAAGGACACAGCACAGGACGAAGCTTTACATCGGCTTTGCAGAAGACACATAGCAAGGCGTTTACGAGGAACCGCATTTACTTGGAGCCATGGACGAAATTGCTACCTTATCGTCTCTGCCATAGGAATTCTATGGCAACAATATCATGGACTTTAACAGTCAGGGGCAACGCATTGCATGAACGGCAACTGGCCGTACACGATAGATAGATACTGGCGCACGAATACAATAAGATTCACGATACTGAGGTCTTTCTTTAGCGCCATTTTAATTCTCTTATATTCGTCTCGCTACTAGCTACTAGGTAGTAAATAGTGAGTAAATACTATTCATCCATATATGTCTGTACAGTTGATGATTTTATAGCCCGAGATTTACCACCCGGTAGATACCTAGGTACCTATCGCCAACCTGCCCTATCGATACCTTTTGGATACATATGTAGTACCTGCTCGATATCCATGTCAATGCTGTACTCCATCATCACTGCCAATTCAATGACATGGATGGTTGCTCAATATGAAACTGTATTACCACCAAATGTACCCTGCCCCACACTCACATTGACCGGACCGGTTCTCACAGGTTCAATTACCCCACCATTGGCTGTATGCGCAGACTCACCGCCGAAATCGCACAGCTACCTAGTACCTAGTCGTTAGCTTCCTAGCAGTAGCTACCGAAGCGGATGACCCTGGTAAAAGTTAAAAAAAAAAAAGTGTTGAAAAATTCTGACTTGCAAGAGCCCAATTGAAATTTATACAATACAATTATAACCATCGTGTCTCTTGACTACACCTCTTCCCTTCGATCTCCAGTCAATTCACATTCTTCACGATGGCTTCCAGAGGCTTTTCCAAGGCCCTTCGTAGCCAATTGGCTCGCCGTGTGGCTTCGCCCGCTGTACAGACACGTTCGTTCGTTGCTGCGTCTAACATCGCTCGAGCCACCATCAAGGCCCGCCCTGCTGTAGCTGGCGCCGTTCAACAACAGATCCGTGGTGTCAAGACCATCGACTTTGCTGGAACCCCCGAGGAGGTTTATGGTTGGTGCAATTTACTGTTATAAAAGCATAGTGCTTGTCAATGACTAATATCGTATTGTAGAGCGTGCCGACTGGCCCAAGGAGAAGCTCTTGGTGAGTCCTTGAAATTAATATTAATATTCAATATCTCTGTCGAAACAACTACTAATATCTTTTAAAGGACTACTTCAAGAACGACACCCTCGCCCTCATCGGCTACGGCTCCCAAGGTCACGGCCAGGGTCTTAACCTCCGTGACAACGGCCTAAACGTCATCATCGGTGTCCGAAAGAACGGCCAGTCGTGGAAGGATGCCATTCAAGATGGCTGGGTTCCCGGCAAGAACCTCTTCGAGGTTGATGAGGCTATCTCTAAAGGTACCATCGTCATGAACTTGCTCAGTGACGCTGCCCAGAGCGAGACGTGGCCCGCTATCAAGCCCCAACTCACCAAGGGAAAGGTGCGGTAATATGAGTCATCCATATAAAGCTCAAAAATGCTGACAGTTTATAGACCCTCTACTTCTCCCATGGTTTCTCCCCCGTCTTCAAGGATGTTACCAAGGTCGATGTCCCCAAGGACATTGATGTCATTCTCGTTGCTCCCAAGGGCTCTGGCCGAACTGTCCGATCTCTCTTCCGCGAGGGCCGTGGTATCAACTCCTCCTACGCCGTCTTCCAGGATGTCACTGGTAAGGCTGAGGAGAAGGCCCAGGCCCTCGGTGTTGCCGTCGGCAGTGGTTACCTCTACAAGACCACCTTTGAGAAGGAGGTCTACTCTGACTTGTACGGCGAGCGTGGTTGCTTGATGGGTGGTATCCACGGTATGTTCCTTGCCCAGTACGAGGTTCTCCGAGAGCGTGGCCACTCTCCTAGCGAGGCTTTCAACGAGACCGTTGAGGAGGCTACCCAGAGCTTGTACCCCTTGATTGGTGCCAACGGTATGGACTGGATGTACGAGGCTTGCTCCACTACTGCCCGACGAGGTGCCATTGACTGGACTCCTAAGTTCAAGTCTGCCCTGAAGCCTGTTTTCAACCAGCTATACGACTCCGTCCGAGATGGTAGCGAGACCAAGCGATCGCTCGAGTACAACGGCCAGAAGGACTACCGACAGAAGTTTGAGGCGGAGATGGAGGAGATCCGCAATATGGAGATCTGGAAGGCCGGCAAGGCCGTAAGGTAAGATTCACACATGGCTTCCTAGCGGGTCTATTATATCCATTTTGGGATTTTGTTCGTTTGACTAATCACTTTGATTATATAGATCCCTCCGACCCGAGAACCAAAAATAAGTGCATTTGGCGTTTTTAATGAAAAAAAATTACGGAACGGTAAACTAAATGGTGAAGGCATATTCCCCGGGGAACAAAAGGAGGAGCTTTTGTAAAAGTACCTATTCAGGATTCCGGGTTGCAAACGTTCATACATATCTCACGAGGATCTTGGGGAAGGGCCCCAAAAGTTGCTGTAGTCCAGTTTTCATGAAACATTTCTAAAATTGTTCACTACGCCCTGCGTGATACGTTCTGAGGCGTCCCCCCCTCCGTTATCGGACCTCGATAACAAATCGTAGATTTGTGACTGGTTAGATAGAGGCTTGCTCGGTCTAGACTTCTCTACTCGCCAAGTTCTTTCTTCCCCAGCATAAAACCGTTGGCTTGGGAAGGATTCTGGAAGGACGAGTCAGATTTCAATCTACCTAGTACTTTCGCAGCTTATACCCCTTACCCACCGGTCTATTATATAAGATCTTATCTTAGTCATCCGAGACATACGCCTCTATACAATGGCAGACCCCTCAACCTCACTACCCCTAACCCGCGCCTCAGTCGCCGAAGCTCGGAAACTCATCGAGCCGTTTATACATCGGACTCCGGTTATCTCCAGCTCCTCGCTCTCGGAGCTTGCTTCTTTGCCGGCGTCGGGGGAGGGGAAGGCGAAACCGAAACTTAGGCTTTGGTTCAAGTGTGAGAATTTTCAGAAGGTGGGCGCTTTTAAGGCCCGTGGCGCTTTTCATGCCATTGAGAGGTTGAAGAAGGAGCCGGGGTGGCTTGAGGGTGGCGGTAGGGAGAGGGGGGTTGTTACGCATAGCTCTGGTGGGTTTTGTGCTTTTCTTTCTTCTTCTCTTAGTTGGAGGGGATGTACTAGTTTATGCCTGAAGTTTTCTTATGGGTTCTCCCTTTTCAGTTGGAGTTGTTATTTGTTGCTGCTTCATTAGGTAAGTACTTAGTAGGTTTTCGAATGCCGTCTCTTGTTGGGCGCTACGCTTAAGGGGTGAAGTGTTGAGGGCGGGATAAGAAAGGGTGTTGGTCTCTATTATGCGACCGAGGAGGTAAAGGGGCAGCCTCAGCCGACTATGTGTTGTATCGAGGAGAAAAGAGTTGAGGATTAAATCGGTTGACAACTCTACGAGAACAACATCCCGTCTCGCAGAGAAAATCCCATTTCTGCTTTATCAATGGTCCCTATTTTCTATCAATTCCCCTATAACTTACACGCCGATGAGTACATCTCAAAAATTCTCTTTTTTTAAAAAACCAAAAACGCCTCTTTTCTATTACACAGTTTACTAAATGGTATGACTAACAAAATCAAGGAAACCATGCACAAGCTCTCTCACTCGCAGCCCGCACTAACAACATACCCGCTTACATCGTCATGCCGACGATATCGGCGCCTCCAAAGATCGCCGCGACCAAGGGCTACGGCGCCAACGTGATCTTCAGCGGCAGCACTAGCACTGAACGCGAGGCCGTCACCGCAAAGGTCATTGAAGATACCGGCGCCCGTCTTGTGCCTCCCTATGACCACCCGGATATTGTCCTAGGTCAAGGTACTGTAGGTCTCGAGTTCCAAGAACAAGTCGAACTCTTGATAGCCGAGGAGGCGGAAAAGAGCGGAAAGCCGACGACGAAGAAAGGTCTCGACGCTATTATTACGCCTTGTGGAGGCGGTGGCAGTAAGTTACACTTACATATGAATACCCGTATTATTCGCTCTTCAGTCTGAATTTGGGAGCCATTCGATTGCGATACCCCCCGATGACGTAGACACTGTGCTGTACCGCCATATAAGTTTGTTTAATGGCAAGCACATCAACGAACGCAACTGCCTATTGGCCCAGTGGTCAAGGCGTCTGACTGTTATCTCGAAACAGAAACATCAGAAGATCCCTGGTTCGATCCCAGGATAGGCAGACTCTTCTTTTTTGTTTTCTCGCATTGCGTTCCTTCTCGTTACCCCTTTTCTCAACCTCTGTTCTAACCCTCCCACCAATCCGCATCACAAACTCAAACCAGCCAAACTAATTGACCCATATCCAACTAATGTAATTGCAGTGCTCTCCGGCGTAGCCCTCGCCTGCGAAGGAACCGGGATCCGCGTCTTCGGCAGCGAGCCCTCGTTCCAAGGCGGCGACGACGGAAAGCGGGGTTTCGAATCCGGGTCGCGGATCACCAGCGTAAAGACTCTCACCATCGCCGACGGTCTGCGCACGCCCGTCGGCGCGGTCCCGTGGTCCGTGATCTACGAGCGACGGCTCGTGTCTGGGTTATACGCCGTGACCGAGGAGCAGATCAAGAGCGCGATGAAGCTCGCGTACGAGCGGTTGAAGGTTGTGATCGAGCCTAGCTCGGCGGTGCCGCTTGCGGTTGTGCTGTATGATGAGGGGTTTAGGGCGTTGGTGGAGAGGGAGGCTGGGGAGGAGGGCTGGGATGTGGGTGTTGTGTTTAGTGGTGGGAATGTTGAGTTGGATAAGCTTGGGGCGTTGTTTGGTGGGGTTTAAGGGGATGGGAAAGAGGATGACGTGGTTTGTTTTGTGGATTTCGTGATCGTGTAAGGAACCTTGGTCCTAGGTATGGATCAAGAGGAAGATAGGTGAATATATAAGGTAGTGGGTATGTATATACGTAGTATCATTGATCTCATCCATCTCATATATACGTAGGTAACTATTCCAACCAAAACTTTTATCCTCCACTTTACCTCACCCCCCTACCTAAGAAATCCCGTCAAAATCGTAGCATCACATCACATCATAAGAGGAAGTTCCCAACCCCCTCGGTACTAGGTAGGTATGTAGACCCTCTAGAGTCCAAACATCCAACCCAGCCCGACTTACTTATTATTCAAAGCCTTATCCATCTGCGCCCTCCACTTCCGACTATTCTTCCGCAGGAAGTAAATACACACATTCCCACTTATCCACGAAACCAACCCCACAAGCGTCATCAGCCACCCCACGCCCATCACATCGATCAACGGCTGCCCCACGATACCGCCCGTACAACTCAATATATTCCTCACGAAATTATTAAGCGCCACACCGCTACTACTCCGGCCGGGCATGAACTCCGTAAGCATCGTCGTCGCAGCGCTAAAAACCAACATACTCCCAACGCCGAAGAAGAAATTCGCCACGGACGGCGCAGCCCAATGGATCCCGTACTGCAGCGTCCAGCCGGACCAGATCAGCGCGCCGGGGTATAGGGTCGCGGCCGTCCAGGCGTTCTCGCGCATGCGGTCTTCGGGGAGGTAGACGAGCTTGCCGTTCGCGTCGTAGCGCTGCGCCTTTTCCGCCGCGCGTACCATGATGCGGTCGATCCAGCGCCCGCCTAACATGCTCGCTGCGAAGTAGCCTAGTGATCCTGGGAGGTAGAGGAGGCCGATTATGATGGCTGAGTAGTTGTACGGTTCTTTTGAGAAAGAGGACTGCAGGGAGATGTTGAGGATGTAGAGGGAGCCGAAGGTTATGGCGGCGTAATACACGGTTATTGCGACGGCGGGGAAGCGTAGGTACATTATGATTTCGAGGGGGTCGAGGAAACATCGTTTTAGCCATACTGCGGCTTTCTTGGTGTATACCTGTACCGAGCGCGTGGTGGAGACGCGGGATAGGTCATTGGCGGGCGAAGTTTGGACCGTAGTTACGGGGGTACGCCTTGCTAGGGTTTCTGGCACGCAGAAGAGAATGAGCACGAGCACGACGGCGCCGTATGCGGTGAGGAACCATTCTGTGCCTCTCCAGTCAAAACCTTCCGTTAGCGCGCCGCCGATGATGGGGGCTAAAAGGGGGCCCAATAACGGCCCTAGGTAGAAATAACCCATGGCGCGACCACGTTCTCGGGGCTCCCATATATCAGCTATGGTACCTGCGCCGACGGCCTGCACGGAAGCGGCAGCTCCGCCGGAGAGGACACGGAAGACGATCAACATGGCGATATTAACGCTTAGGCCGCTTAAGAGGGAGAACACGACATTTAGGAAGAATGACGACAGGTAGATATTACGTCGCCCTAGGGTCTCGGAGAAGGAACTCCACCATAGTGGGAAGATCGACATGGCAAGCATATATAACGCTACCGTCAAGTTCACCACCGTCGGCGATGCATTGAGACTTTTAGACATCTCCGGGAGGGCAGCTAACAAAATTTACGTGAGTTTTATGGTACTTATTTGCCAAGTTTTATGCTACGGTTTAATAAAAGACATGTAGGTATGCTTACGAAAGAAGATAGCAGAGCCCATCGGCGCAGCGCACGCTGCTAATGCTATGAAGACAGTTATTGTCCATTTGACTTTATCTGGATAGTCGTAAGGCCGCTCAACCTCTGGAATGAGCGTCAATTGCGCGAGGAACCCTCGTCGCTTTAGTCTTGGCACTACAGACAATGCCCTGGACCGAGTAGACGATGCTTGCGACCTGGCTCGTTCTTTTGTGGTAGCAACCGCAGCTTCTTCGTCGACTGGTATGCCATTTGTTGTTAATATCCGCTCAGGAACGATGTCTATCGAATCATCATCCACGTCACGAGTCGAGCTAGCGATGGATGCAGTAGTCTTCTTGTCATCTGAATGACCTGTATCGAGCCCAACATCTTCTGATTTTCTCTCTATCTTCTCTGGATCAATAGTCATATTGATGGAGCTTCTAGTGAACAATGAACGGTAATGACCCTTGACTATAACCTAGGTTATCTGGACCGACAATGGAATAACCGATATCGGGGGAACAAGGCAGAGGTTTCAGCGGGAGTGGATGATCTGATTTTAATACCAAATTGAGAATCTTATGATAGTATTGGGCCGTGATGCTTCATGGACTTCATGAACGAATGTAGGATATTACCAAGACGATAGAAACCCCGACATCAAGAACTTAGAGGTTGGGGGGTTAGACGGTGAAGTAATAAAATGGCAAAAATTTACCTAGGTCCTATACTGATAGAATCACCAGGGGTCAAGGTCAAAGAGAGGCAAGGTAAGTATTGTCAATCGGGTAGTGGACCTATCATAGGGACTTTCCAACCTACCTACCAAGGTTAGTATAACGAAACGGCGAAAGTAAGCTTTTCTGAAGCGGTTGGCCGATTCACTGCTTTAGTTCGTGTGGGGACGAGCTGCAGAAACGGGAATTGCATCTGCGCGCGGAAAGCCGAAAAACCCGAGACTCAGTCCGCGGGTCAAAGATTCCATTCGGTTAGCGGTTCCGATACGCCAGGCCATAGCCAGGAAGAAAATCGTCCCTCTAGAAGGTTACATTCTGAAGATCCCGGGACACGATTGCGGGTGATTCTCTGGTACTAGCCTGCGATATATCCATGCGAATGGAACATATCGGCGCTAGGATCTATCCCCGGCGGAAGTGTGCGATAGTTGACTGCTTATCAACTATGATATTTTACTAGACGTGGAATCACTGGAACTTTGTTGTATCCTCACACCTGTTATTCACTACCTTCCATGTCGACATGGACGCATAAGAGTGGCGTTGAATCGTGACGCGTAAGACAATAATGTTCCGGATAGATCGAAAGCTCGTCATCTATGAATCGCTCGGATACGATATTTGCGAAGGAGAAATGGAAGGATAATGCTGCTAGCCAGGTAATTAATCGTACGTCGCAGAACACACCACTTGAGGTACAATATCTGTAGCTTCGTTGAAAACTCATCTATTCGTCGCCGAGATCGATGAATCTTAGCTCGTTAGGAGATTCAGTTAGAAGATAGGTAGTATTTGTGAGAGCAACTCTACCTCGTACAGTACGAGACATAGTAAATAGAATTTCGGCGAGTCATTGGGACCATGGATTTATTTTACAAGGCTAGCAGCAGTACATCGGCAACAAGATGGTGATAACAGAAATTTACGAATATCGTCTAGTTTGGGAACTCCAATGTGGCCAATTACATTTACACAGCCACTGTGGCTAGTGAGTCTTAGTGGGGTGTGGGGTAACCTACCGATGATATCCCACCATCCTGCCACCCAATAACCGCTGATAACCTGAGCCGTGATTAGCCACTTGCATCATAGTCATTTTCAGCCGATATAGGAATGTTTAACGATACCATCTCAGACACCAGGTTACTAGGCAATGTCTCTCACAAACGCATCCCCGGCTGAAGCCGCAAAGGCGGCAAAAGAAGCATCGCATGTGCTTGCTACGCTATCCGAATATGCCAGAAACGATGCATTGACTGCCATCCATGCCGGCCTGACTGCTGCCAAGAAAGATATCCTCGCGGCCAATGCTCGCGATCTTGAGGCTGCACGTGTAGCAGCAGAAAGCGGCCAGTTAAGCCAGAGCCTGGTTTCGAGGTTAGATCTCGGAAAGAAGGGAAAATGGGAAGATATGCTGAAGGGCATACTTGACGTGAGAGGTCTTGAAGATCCCGGTGAGTCACCACTGTTGCTGGTGAACTAGATGCTTATGAGGCACGCAACTAATTGTGTCAAAGTTGGCAAAGTTACCTTAAGAACTAAGCTGGATGACGGCCTGGAGTTGACGAGGGTCACTTGCCCCATTGGTGTTCTTTTAATTATCTTTGAGGCACGACCTGAGGTTATTGCGAACATCGCCTCTCTGGCGATAAAATCGGGTAACGCTGCTATTCTAAAAGGAGGAAAAGAGTCAACAGAGTCTTTTATTGCTATCTCTAAGGCTATTTCTGCGGCCTTAGAGAAGACAAAGGTTCCTAATGGTGCTATCCAGCTCGTCACGACAAGAGATGTGATACCGCAGCTCCTGGACCTAGACCAATACATCGATCTTGTAATCCCCCGAGGTTCCAACGATCTGGTCAAGTACATCAAATCAAACACCAAGATCCCAGTTCTCGGCCACGCAGATGGTCTATGCTCGATATTCCTCGAGAAATCCGCAGATCCTCGAATGGCATCCGACGTCCTCGTCGACTCAAAGACCAGCTACCCCGCCGCATGCAACAGCTTGGAAACGCTCCTAGTCCAAGAATCCGCCCTTGAAACCGTTCTCCCTTTGGCAGCCGGTAGTCTCATTGCGAAAGGAGTTACTCTGCGCTGCGACGCCAAGACTAAAGCGAGTCTCATCAAAACACTGCCTTCGAATCTAGCTTCCAAGCTGAAGGACGCCGAAGACGCTGACTTTGATACCGAATTCCTTAGCTTGACGCTTGCTGTTAAGGCTGTTGCTGATATCGACGAAGCGATCGCTCACATCAACACCCACGGCTCCAAACACACGGACGTCATCTTAACTAGCTCGTCTGAACTCGCTGAGCAGTTCATGTCGAGCGTGGACGCGGCGGGTGTGTACTGGAATGCTTCCACCCGGTTTGCCGACGGCATGAGGTACGGTTTCGGTACCGAGGTCGGTATTAGCACGAATAAAATCCACTCCCGCGGTCCGGTGGGCTTGGAAGGCTTGATGATCTATAAGTATAAGATCCGAGGGCACGGTCATATAACGGCTGCGTATGGCGAGGGCGAGGGGAAGAAGAGCTTTAAGCATGAGAGACTTCCCTTGTAAGATGCTGGGTTTGCCATGCATGCTGTTTATGGCGTTTGGTAGTAGGGGGTGGTAATGTGTGGGCGAAAAATTGGAAAAGTTTCCCGAATTTAGCTGGATGCACAAAAATTTCTCGAGTATATCTATTCCTCTTCCGAATTTACTTGATATTAAGTTATGAGATAAATGTCATCGACGCTATATACAGAGTCATCCTTGACCAGAGGGTTCTTAGCGATCGTATTCAATATGAGCTCACCCCTAGACCAATGCGTAAACCGGCTATCGAAATACCCACATCGTTTATACAGTTGCATCTCTTCATCGTCGCCTATTTTATGTAATACAATACCTCTCAAGATGAGAAAAAGACCGCGTTCCTGTTTCGATTCCTGCAGAAGCAATGGCATTGCGATATATCCACTCTGGTCATTCTCCGCTTCTAGGAGCTCCTCGGAACAGTCGAAGTAGATTTGGATTCCTAATCGTTTAATCGACCCGGACTGGTTGTACTCGATGTCTGCCCATACCATTGGATCTAATTCCCTGGTCTTAAACGAGACAGGGAATGTCGCTCCTTGGATCTTCAGAATATTTCGATTACTTGTTCGGCCGAGTGGATCCAATCCCGTGGTGCTTAATGATAGTATCTTCGCTAACGGCTTTGACGGTTTAGAAGCCCCGGGTAAGATCCAGTCGTGGGTATATTCTTCTCCGGTTATATGATCGTAAAACACTGCGCCGTTGATACTGGCCCACGACCAGGTAGGTATCCTATACGTACCCGTCCACCTGCAGTCCAGTGTGTTAGCCCTGTATGATCCATAAGCACACCAGGTTAGTTGTTCGAGAAGACAGTATCGCCACATTCCAGAGAAATAACCGGGCTCCGGGTTGCACCGTGTCGTACATATCCACTCACGCAACAGCTCTACTATGCCACCTATCGCAACCAGTTTATCATCTGATTGTGTAGTTATTGATCCCGAATATATCTGGACGAGCTTTAACCAGGCATATACGAATAAACGGCTTTCGAACGTTTGATCACCCTGTTTCTTGTGTAACTTATGCCAAAAAGGGGGGTTGATTTCCGGAACCACGAGCGTACGTATAATTCCAAGTCGACTGGTCCTATATCCCATCCCATGAAACACTTCGTTCAAGCCCCCGGGATAGGTTTCGCAACAAGTCCCCTCTAAGCATGCCCACCACAGCTGACGTTCGGTGCAGAACAAATTCGAAAGGGCTAGATGAACTTCCTGGTGAATCCACCCCCTATTATATAAATGGCGCCCTAGTAAGATCCGTTCTGAAGCATCGACGCCCTCGGGATTGATGGCGAAAACCTTATCGTTTCCTATATCCGGCCACGAAGGCTGAACAATTGGTATCAGCCCCTTATCGGTTCTGTTCGAAAATAACCCCGTTTTCCAGTTACCCGAGTTCGAAGCAACGATATTGAAAACACCTCCAGCGTAGATATTCCCCATACGCTTTGCCTCCTTATCGAAATCTTCTTGCGAGTCCTGCAATATGCAGAGGGAATCGATCCATAGGTATCTAATCCCTACATATCGGACAATGCTTATAGCATCCTGATAACTTCGAGGCAAACTCGAGATCGAGACACCGCTCCTCATGAGCTTTGCCATATTGCCTCTCTCAAGCACCGGCGGTCTTGGCTCTAGCCATCTATGGCTCATAGTGATGTACGGAACATCCAGGTCTCGTATATTCTCGAACAGCTCCAATGAGACGAAATCCTGTCCCCTGGGCCCCACATTGATAAGGCGCGAGGGTCTCGCCCATTCATGACGACGGTATTTCACACAACCCCACTCATGATGTCGACAGCAGGCAGTCATCCATTTCTTGATCTGCGATAAGCGGCCATTGGCCGGCACGTTCAACTCGGGTTTCCGTCCACGGACTGCTCTGGTATCAATACGAGGACGACTATCTCGTTAACATGAAAATTCAACTCGCCTGGGACCATGAAGAAACTTTTCGCTCTCCCCTGTACTTCCTCCCCGATTTCACACACGTTGTAGACGGTTACTTTGTACCGCAGTGTCGCATGATGCGCTTCATCGGTTTCCATGGAAATGATCTTGACCAGACTCTGCCAGTACGATCGCTGGGAATTAATCCCCATAATTGAAGACGAGGGTTTAACTGGCTTCCCCGCCGGGGCGACGTCAACTTTGGTACAGATGAAGCAACCATCTTGGACGGCTTGGTCGAAGCTTTGCTGAGTCGGGTGATGCGGTAGTCGCGTTGCTTCTTCCCTGGGGACATAGCAATTCGCTGCAATGTCGACCCAGAGCCTGTCATATTTGGCCAGGGGGCGTGGTGTCTGCGCGAAGATTCTCTGGCATGCAGAACAGAGCATCGTCTCCGCATTGCTTGGCGCGATATCTTCGAAGGTTAATAGGGGGGAAGGGCTCCTAGACCCGCCGCTATGACGATTACTGGCGATTCTCTGCATCGTTCCTAAGGTAGTTGTGGATGGATAGAATAATGTAGAAGAGAAACGCGGGTTGATTGGAAAGATAAGTAACTACTGTGCCATTCACCTCCTGATTCTAAGAGTCTTGGCTCCGTAAGATGCGGCACCATCCCTCTCCTCCCTACAATAATATTGATACCTCACCTGGTGGCCTCGTTCGTCCTTAGGTAGATAGTCTCGCATTCGCTAGTAATGAGAAATTAGGATATTTTGTCAAACCCGAGATGCCCGGTGGGATTTCTGAGGTTATGGTGATGCAGACAATACCTACCTACACAGCCTCCGGCTAGACCATTAGGCCATGTGCTACATCAATCTGAGTGCACTTTGCCACTACTTTTATAGCCATCAATTGATAAGGCAGCGAAGGGGGCGGTGAAAAGCAAGGCAACAGGCAAGGCAAACGAATGAATATACCGACCTACCTACCTACCTCTTGTCGGATGGGAAATCTGTCAGAAAATTTGAAAGGTCTGTGTTATATGACAGTCAGAAATGCACTTTTATAGAGTACCTCCGGAAGGATATATTTATCGAGATCAAGAAGGACATAAGGGAGTTACGATCGGGAAGTGACCAGGTGACATTAAATATAGGAGTTAATCCTTTCTATTTTCCCCGAAGTCTTTATTTGTTTATTTATTTACTTTATGTGTTTGTGTATTTATTTATCTCTCCTCAAGTGTAGGTATCAAATGATGCCGATAACCCCGCTCCTTGGATATAAGCAGAATGCTATGGTCTGAGTAACGCGAGGAGTGATCCTCTACTGAGCTTCTCGGTACCGGTAGGTTGGTGTTACCTTCATTATGAAGTCTACTGAGGTTCGGGATGATATAATACGGCGTATTTAACAACCTAAATTTGTAAGATATGGTGGCCGATGGAAAATATACTATTCCCGAATTCCATGTGCGTATTTCATAGCTGGAGGTGCAACATACTTACGTACATAGGTAGTAAGTACCTAATATGACTTACATGCGACCGTGTTAGGACCTATAGCTATCGTCTAGTGTTGTTCTCATGCTTCGAAAATATGACGGACTAGCTGAATTGGCTACCTCGTGCATATGATTAACCGTTCTTCGTCGTTTGATATGAGGGAGGCGAAATGCTAAGTCTGTAGACTTTCGATAATCATCATGCAACATCCATGAGAGTGTGGAGCTTCGATTCTAGTATAGCATCCGAGCTAAGCCCTGAAGGCGCTGGAAAATTAGAATGACAGGGCAAGGTATGGCATAAGTGCATTAGCCGGAACCAAAGCTGAAGATAGGGAATTGCATGTGCTATCCATGGGTGGATGTGGATGGGTAGGTAGATACTGTAGTTACCGCTTAGCAACCAAGGTATGTAGGTGTTTTCCAATGCGAAGACTCGATAATAATTGATAGTTCGACTATATCCAGGTTTTCGGCGGTATAGATTGCTTATTTTAAGACGTCATGATGCCTACTCGAGGCGCATATGCGCTGAGACATCGTTCTGCGAATAACACCCTGCTAATAACTTGGAACTCGACTGTTGAGCTGTCAATTGAGTATATTCCATTTCAGAATGATTGAAATCAAGATCGGAACGGCGAGGAATCCTACGGTGGCGTGAGCGCTCCCTACATATACATACTACCTGGGTATGGATACAGAGAAGGCGACTGGCCACCTATCCTTTCTAGTAGGTAGATACAGTAGTAAGGGCCAAGCTGAATGAATGCGATCGTCTACGAATGAGGTTGGGAAGAATGGCAACATTAGTGAAAGAACTTTTTACGTAGGCGAACCGAGGCGAACTAATGCAGTTGTGATCTGAAAGCCAACGTAATCGGTAATTATTTGTCGTACGTTTCGTGCTAATCTTCTCGATGATTCTAAATAATAGTAGAAGCGGTACGGAAGAGTAAGTAATGATGCAATATGGCACATCTTGCTGCTAGCTATCCACTAGACTCGTGGTTGACGAATAGAATGGGCAGAAATGATGATGACTCCATATGTTCTATCCATATAGACTCGAGTCTAGTCTTGTCGCAGAACCGGCTTCACGAGGAAATACCTCGCAGCGCTCCCTTCCTAGATAGGCAGAAGTATGTATGTTCGCGATGCATTCGTCCACGTCGCTGTGGCGGCTCCGGATCCGATATCACGGGGCAATAGGGGCGTCCCCGCCGGGCTGAATAATGTCATCTATCATGATCGGCTCTTCGGTCCCTTCGAAGAACCTCGTGGCGCCGATTGTATTCGTCCTTTTTGACGTCAGGTACCACGAGCGCGGATTCATGCCTCGCATAATAATCGGCGCTCTATTATGGATTCAAAATCGTTTCATAATAGCGCACGAGTAAATCAAGCGTCTCCTCCCCACAGCGGGACGGGAGCAAGCAAACCCAGAGTTTGCTCATCGACTTTCTCTGCCTCTCAGGTGATAGCGAACGGAGTCAGGTACGCGGGATGCGATCACGGAGGAACCGTATTTAAGGGCTACCAACTAAAGGAGCAGAGGAGGTCATTTGCCCTTTTGGCCCTTCTTTCCCTTCTTGACCTTTCGTGTTGTGGGCGGTCGCTGAAATTGCATTATCTCGAAAATCGTTTGGATTTGGCGGGAGCCAAATGGCGGTGACGAGATGTGGTCGATTTTGGCTGGCCAGCCAAAGGGCTGCTTGATCCACATCCGCCGCCTCATCCCCGGGGGGCCGTGTCCCCCCTGTGATCTGGGCTCACTTCTCGCAGTTCTCGTACCGTGAGACTAGGAAAACGGCACGCGGTGGACCCTATCGCTGACCGCAACCATTGACAACTACAGGACATGCTGGGAGCTACTAGGAGCTGCATATCTCATGTGGAGTTGATGGGGTTGGGCACCATCACCGACTCCGCGCCCGACAAATAGAAAAGGAGTCTCAATAATCGTTAAGACATCCTAGGACTAGTTTTGCTGTAACTTGCTGTAACAACAAATCCCCCCCCTAGTAAACCGAGTAATCCCTTCTCCCCCAGATATAACTCCGAACGAAATCGGCACATCCTTCTTAATGACCCTTTCCCTCTTTTCTTCCCTTTCTTCTGGCCTTTCTTCTGGCTCGTCAGAGATGGGACTACGCGACCAAGCAACGATTAGAAGTGACTCAGGTTATGGGGACGATGCGTCCGAATTGCCGCAGGACGGCCCCGATGCTCATCCTTTGAGTAAGTTTGATTCGTAGCCTACCATACGTTGTTTTAAGCCCCATACATACCTCATACCTCATACCTACCTACATACTCCTGCCGCATGTTGGATTCCCTCTGGTTGGTGTTATTTTCCCACCTCTTATAGCGCTGACAAATTTATAGCACTTAAGGGATACGATATTGGGCCGGCATCCAAATTGCAAGTTGGCGACGTAAGTTTCACTTTTTGCTTTTTCCGTCTTCGAAAAAGCAAAGCAACAAAAAGGCGGAAGATTGATGGCTGAAAGGTGGCTTTTTTAGGTATTCGAGTTTCTCTGGGCCGACGCACCTGAATTCGAGTGGGAATGGAAATGTTTAGGATACAGTCGTTTCATCGTCCTTCGACATAGCGATACATTCCCTCATCACTGTGCCTGCATGTAAGTGAACGGTCCCGACATCCTATATTCACTCTCCACACCTTTTTCGATGGTTCTTTTCTTCGCGAACTGCCTATGGACGTCCTTTGGGGGTATTTAGGTGCATCTGCGTGGGGGAGAAAGTGGGCGCGTCAACTTCACGAAATCCCGGTTTCCATCTTCATTAGCTGACAGTAGTTCTAATTCCAGACCCATATCTGTGGGCGGCAAACATGAGTTCGCTAAACCTGGTATCGACCATTTCCAACAAGGATTTATCTTCGCCAATGGCGATCCGACACCTAGCAACAGCACTGAGGCGGCTGGTGGGGCGCGTTTGCCCTATTCGTCAGTTGGAATCGAGCTACGTCCCGGCAAGCTCCGCGTAAAGGAAGACTCTCGGGCCAACTACGCCGACATTGTCGAAGTCGATCACGACGCACAGGTCATGGTTGTCGGTGACGTGGTACGCTACTTCGACCGAGTTCGGAGGAATGTCAACAAGGCCTTCATGCGACAGATCCTGCGGAGGGCGCTGGAAGAATACAAGAGCATAAGAGCGGGCGAGATGCAGACGGTGACAGACAACGAAGAAGCTCAGATCAGTGCCTCAGAAAGCACCTTACCAGATACCGCAAGCTTAAGGGGTGGCGGGCGCAGAGAAGACAAGAGGCGAAGACGGTACTCTAATTCAAGTTCTGCGTCACGGAGACCAAGACCCAGCTCTCAGAACAGTGTCAGACCAAATCGAGACGATCCACATGATAGTCGTCAAGAAGTCCGACAGCACGATGAACGAGATATCAATTACGACGTGAGATCTATGCATAACGTTGCCTTGGCCGGACTGAAATAAAGCGAAAGAAGAAGAACAAACAAAAAAAATAACAGGGAAAACCGAAATGAAATTTTAATTTTGACACTTGATTCTCCAAACAATATCCTGCATACGGATTTGGCGTACGGCGAAGAGTTCTACAATACACTCGGGAAACGAAACAGGGACAACAGCATATTCCACATTGACCACCACACATAGACAGGCTGCAGGGTCGAACGTGTATATTATGATTCTACGACTTCTGAAAGTCAGGTATAGTTAGACGATTTAACTTTTATGATGATTGATGCCAAACTTGTATTTTTTATAGCATTTAGATGATAGGTACTAAGGATAGGTCTAGGTATTGAATGGATGAACGAGAATGATAATAATACCACTTTGGCCGTTGGCGAGTTGGCTAATTTCGCCGAATTGTGCCTGTACTTTATCTCCTAGCTGCTTGGCGAGATCTGGTTAATGCCCCGACGATTTTCTGGTGGTGTGAAATAACTGCAGATTCTTCAACTGCATTAGATCCTGTTATAGGGCCATTTGCCCTGTAATAATCACTGTACTTCTGCGTGAAAATTATCCCCTGTCTTCCACATCTAGCCTCGACTGACTATTAAAGCTGGTGAGTAGCCTATATAGGCGAGATAGGGGATATATTGATCACAGTCTAATACCTACCTACCCTACCGTTAGCACATAGAACATTTTCAAAGTTTCTAACCCCATCCTATCACCTTGAATATAAAACTTGGAGACGTTTATGTCGTTCGGCTACCTTTTTTATCCTCGATCTCTCAAAGCTCGGATTAAAATCCCCCGTTTGCTTTTGCGATCTTATTGATGGCTCTCCAAACCCCAGGTTAAAAGTGGAACGCCCAACGGATCTTGGTCATTCAATTTCTAGTCTCGAGACGGAATCCTGCAGAGAGCCGAGACAAGCGCTCGAAAGGGCGTAAACGGGCCGTTAAGATGGGTCTTTTCGAGTATATAAAACATATCTAATTCGAAACGAAAGTTTCCCGGAAACATTTATACGTGAGTTCGAGACGAAGCAGCTAAACGCCTTCCATTTGGGGACACGGGCCGATCCACGAGGTAGTCAAAGGCAGTGCTACCACCGGATATTGACTCATTGGCTACTCGGTGGAATTTCATAATACCGACACAGCATGAACCCAAGCTCCTGACCCCGTCGTCATCGATGTAACCCGGAAATTTGACCGCGTCTAATTCTTACTACCATCATGCCCAATATTCCAACGCCAGGTAGGAGAGGAGGGCGGGCGGATGGATGCGATTTGTTTGATTTCAAGCTGGAATACTCCAGGGCTTGTCGATCCTTGCCCCTGGCTAAATACCGACATGCTTCTGAAGCTTTTGGCCTACCTATATCATACGTGACCAATAGGCGCGTCTTGTGATCGCGGCTTATGATGGTAGGTACCATGTACAAGGTGTTCTTCTATGGCATATATCACCACTGTATTCCCTTATCTTGTGGGCTCTTTCGCATTTTTGGATAATTTATGCCATTCGAATCAGTTGATTCGGTTTGGTACGGTTGATCGTTCGATCTTCCCGCCATGGTTCCAGAGATTGCCGATTTTTGGGGGAGACTCCCGCTTGAGTTAATCGAACGAATCCTGGATCTTCTGGTTGACGAATTCGATCCGGACCCCGCGTACCAATGGACCACCTTGCGACATACTGCGCGGCGACAAAAGCGGCGGATAGAACGATTCTTCTGGAATTATTGGTTGCCGAAGCTGACTATCACGCTATATTCGGGTCCGCGATGCCAGATAGATTATAGGCTATCTAGCCATGTAGACGAAGAGAATCCAGAGAATAATCAGGTTCGATTTCGAACATTAGGGCCCGGCCTATCAAATTCGCTAAATAAAGAGGATATCCGGTCCTTGTGGGACCAATACAGCTTTGAGAATCGGGTGGCGCATCTGAGATTGGGCGAAGGGGTTTTGAACCATGGTATGACTGGAGGCTTCATTGTCAACGATACGGATATCGTCGATCTGCAAGTGGAGGACGACGGCTTCAGTATTGCATTCGATTGGAGACGGACCTTCGACGCACTTCTCCGTGAGGAGATCATGATGCGTCAACTTCAATCAAAGATGGTATGCGACCTATTTTCTCATATAACCCAATCTCTCTCAAGTACCCGCGCTTATCACCGAGTAGGCTACGGATAGAAAAATAGTATTGGCATCTGAGCGCCGATGGCCACCATTCCCAAGGATCCAGAGACTGGCTCTTGTAAAGCAGTTCGTGCTTGACATACAGATGGCGAAACGAGTTGCAGTGCAAAAACACCGCCTAAAGCGCCACGATCCATCAGGCCGGACCCAAATAGGGAGTATAACTCATGAGTCTCGACATTTGCATAAGCAACCTATGCCTCCACTATCGCCGCCGACGGAACCAAGAAGAGCATGCTGCGCGATATGTTCCCGCCGCACAGGGCCTTCCATATTCGAGATTGTCGCCTGCGAAGAAAGCGTGGTGCTGAGCTTAGAGGATTGGCAGCAGTTGAGCAAGGAGGAATTGCTCGACTTATATGCTGAAGCGTACGGTTGGAACTGTTACAGATGCCTAGGACAGAAGGACAACCTCGAGTGGCAGCAAACGAGCAAGAATGACTGGCTTACTGTCTGTAGCAGTACTAACGAGAAACTGCATACTGTACGGAGATGGAATCCCTGGTTCTAGTTATGATTGCGGAGGTGCTTATGGCGCTCATCTTCTTTCACCTAGGCTGATAAATTGTTTTTTAGACTGGATTAGCATGCATCTGATGTTGTATATGGCGAAACGGTTCTATTGTATAGCGGCATTGAATAGCATGGGGTGTATATGGCGGGGAGTTTCTTGGTACTGTATTATTTATGATTCATATGAATGTTTAGAAGGTCGGTTCAAAACCGTTCAATACCCTCACGACTCGCACAGCAATAGCAGAAGCCCACCAGTTTATTTAACCCCAACCCTAACCCTTACCCCAGGTGTAAAATATGACTAATCATATGTATACAGCGATAAAACGAAGGATATATGTACATAAACACTATAATATGTATATATGCATCTACACCTAAACCTATACCCCTTAAATAACCCCACCACCCACGCCATCACATCCTCACCCTCACCCTCCCCAGCATCCCAAAAACTGCAAAAAACAAAAATGCCCAGTAAACTCCATACCTGGTTCCACCGCAAGAAGAGCCTCCTCAATCCCCAGCCCCAAACTCAAAACCCCCGAGAAGACCCAACCACACCCCCCCAACTCCCAGCCCACCGCGCCATAACCCTAACCCCCCCAGCCTCTTCCCCATCCCCAAACAGCAATACCCCCATCTTCAACCTCCTCCCCCCAGAAACCCGCCGCCGAATCCTCATCGAAGCCTTCGGCGAGCGCACAGTGCACATCGAGCACTCATTCGCGCACCCACGTGTCCTCTCCCACACAAACCCGGAGAAGACACACTGCGGCATCAGCTCCGTGCCAAACCGCAGCGGGGGATGGCGGACCCGCGACACATCGCGCCCCAAGGCGTGGAGATGGTTTAGTTGTGTGTGCCACCGCGACTTCGAGTGGTGTGTCCGGGGCCCGGGGAAAGGAACGGGGGTTCTGACGGAGCCGAGCGAAGACACGTGTTTGGAGGGGACGGCGGCGTGTTGTCGGTGGTGGTCTGGGGGGATGCCAGGGAAGTGCTATGTTGGTGTTTTAGGGTGGATTTTGGCGTGTCGGCAGGCGTGAGTATTTCCCCTTCCCGTTCCCCTTCCTAGGTCGCTATGGGGAGTTGGGGTTTGTGGTTGTTAGGTGCTGATTATGGGGTTAGGTATGTGGAGGGGATTGGTGTCTTGTACGCTACGAACACGTTTAGTATTTTTAATGTTGATATGATGCACACGCTCCCGAAATTGATTCGCGCTGAGCATCGGGAAATGATTTCTTCGGTTGAGATGATTTGGCGACTTAATCCGAGATCACGCGGGGAGGGCTTGGATGCGCTTAGTGCGCTGCTACGAAGGGTTCCGGAGACTTTTCCGAATTTACGAAATCTGTATCTTTATCCTGCTGGGATCTGGAATATCGAGCCGTCACCTGACAATGAAATTGTGGTGGAGTTCGGGACCGACATCCTAGAACTCGTAGATGGAATGGTTAGGAAATTTGGTCCGCAGTTGCTGGTATGCGATATCGTGATACCTTTCAGAAAGTTTCATGCGCATTGGGTGGATGGCATTGGGAAGGGATATAAGTACGAACATGGTGGAACTACGCGGTTATCTGGACGCATTTGGAGACCACTCGTGCGCGTACAACAGGACAACGAAGGAGACGAATCGCTTCAATCTGGGTATTGGCTGAGGGAGGGACCTGATGATGTCCGCTATCCATTTGCGCATATGGTTCCTCCGTGAAGCACTGGCTCACATTTGAACTACATGGATGAGACTTCTATCTGGTGTTCTATGCGTTGGAACATGCCGCAGGCTCAGTAATCCTGGTAGCAGAAGGTGTGCCATCTTCTACAAATGCCATAGACTGTTGTGCATCACCCCGGTGTTACCAACAGGAGCACACTGTACGCGCTAGAAACTATGATTGGTCTGCGTTAAAAAGAACCGCGATGCTGCGCTGGACGTTTCTAGGGAGAATATGGGCTTGATCATGGGAACTCTGCACGACCAACCGCAACACAGCACGGGTTCCGAATTTGGTGATGGCTTGGTTTAGCTGGATGTGTTGGATCGAGATGAGATCGGTCACTTGGTTCTTGCAATGGCCAACAAGCACGTGTCAAAAGCAACCTCGACGTCCCTTACTTGGATAGCTCTCTAACTAATATCTTTTAGACACGACGGTCTCATTGCTTTATCTGCATGTCTCGTGCCCGCGAATAGTACTACCCGAATATTGTTCATTCGTACACTATGCGTGTGCTCTAAGCTCATGTAATTTCGACCAACGAATTACGGAAAAAGCGAAGGGGGTATCTGGGCAACGATTTAACCACAAAAGTGAAAGTTAAATAGTAGAATAGAGTCGTAGACATCTATCGGCGGCATTAGATCAACGGCCTTGCTGGCAATGGTCTAGGTGGTTATGTGCCTCAGACACCTCATCCTACCCCCTTTAAAGACGCCCCTGAAATGGGGAAGGTCCAGGGTTCGATTCTCAGAGACTGCTGTGTAAAGTCTCTGGGGCCTGAAATGGAGAGGCAAAGAAATACCCAATAGCGGGGGCGCAGTAGCTAGGAGCCGATCAACAATACCTAAGCTGGGCCTTGAAAGTGTTTCTTCTTTTTGTCATTGTTTTTGGTTTCGAAAGTGGCCTATTAGAACAGGCCTTGGTAGACGTAGGAGATGTCCTCTGGATTTATATCGACATATACCATTCTATTTGATATATGTTGAAACCAGGACAATGTGATATACACTGTCTAAAGGGGGTATAGGTCTACCTTGATTGCATATACATACCTCATGAGCTCGTGCGCGTATCGGAGCAAGCAGACGCCTAGCTGTCTGTCCAGAGTAGATTACCTTTATAATTCACGTCATGGCCCATCCAAAGTGTTGTGATCTGTTTGCGATATGCGTCTATCCCCCATCACCAACAACTCTCGAATATCCTATCCCGGTGCGCGACCAGATTCGGGAACTCCATCAGGATCTCTGTAAGCGTCCAGTCTTCCCACACAAGCCTCTCATCAAGGAGTAGGTGCGTGTAAGAAAACACCTTCGCATCGAATAAGCCCGGTCGAACCATCCCGAAGAACCAGTCGTCATCGCCCAGCAGCACAGACAGGGCCTCGAAGGCGTCTCGAGCGCCCTCGTATAAGGTCCCGGCGTTCACGACCGGTGTGCCTAGCGATCGTAAGATATCGGCCTCCGCCGCGTTTCGCAGGTTGTACAGTGTAGTCTTCCGTACGACCAGCGACGCAGAAACGGGAGTGATGTAGAGGCGCGATAGCAGCGCTGTGTTCGGTCGCGACAAGTATAGTGCGTAGAGCCAGGCGTTGCGTATTCGGTCGTCGAGGAGCGATTCGTAAGCCTCAACCCTCAAGGACGGGGCGTCTAAGATCTTTGTGATGCCATTTTCCGCGGCGTACTCCTCAAATTGGCTGGTGGGTATGGGCTTTGGACTTGATGGTGGGAGGAGGAATGGTAATGCGCCGGTAGGTGAGGCGTGATTTGTTGAGGATGTTACGCGGAAAGCGACTCCTGCCAGCTTGAGAAAAGTCTGCACTGATGGTGAGCTGTGTAAATTAGAATATAGAGGTGGGGTATTATGTTTGACATACCTGCCACTTTAGACAATTCGGGTTGAAGCTTGGTAAGCCATATAGGGCATCTCGGTCTGATATGAAGACATATAGAGTCGGTACATCTCTAGCGCTAGGTGAGCGAGCTGGGAGCTCGTTTGGGGGATACGTCAAGAGAGGAAATTTCTTGAATAATCGAGCAAGCGGAGCCGGTATAGCTAACCAGCCTGATATCTTGGACTGCTTCGTATTTATTGTCGTGCCAGATGTATTTGACGACATGGTGAAATGTTGTCACCTTTCCCTTCTGTCCTGTACTTAGCACGTTCGCGATAATAACGTAGACATGTGACTACTTCAAAAGGGTTGATGTTTCAAGGTTCGAAGATTGTCCTCCTATACGTATTTGCCCCTCATATTCAAAAGTGAGGCCAAAAAGTTGATATCCTTATCCCCTATCGATAAAAGGTATCGAACCTCTAATCTTATCGCTGGAGTTTAACCGAAGATTTGGCGTCTTTCCGAAATATTCGCGTTAGTCGAAGCTAAAATCGTTAGATTCCACTAGTTTCGGACATTTTGTGGGGGTTGCAGGCATTCTCAGGGTCTTCGGCGTTGTCATGTACACGCAACCTTGGAAATTTTCCAAGGTACGATACCCGATAACAGCTCATCCTTAAAAGGGGATGGTGCGATGAATAACATCATCGAGTATACTTCTCAGAAGCACGGCATCCCGTCTATACCTTAGGTCATCGATCTAAGGCACGAAATTACGATGCAGACGATGCGTAGAAGGATTCACGCAGAAGCACGGAACATGAGAATGCAGATCATAACCAGATTTTGACATGGTCAAACTCCAAAAAAGTCCGGGGCGCATTGCGGGGTGAATTTCTATTTTCTTCACCCGTGGGGGGCGTCAATTGGGGGTTTCCTTGAATGGGAATCTATCAAAATGTGGAGCAAAAACACGTACCGAGATACTTTTTTTGATTTTTCCAGGTCGGGCATCGTTCTATATCGTCCCATATGAAGAACTGCATGCCCGATGCATATTGATCTCTTATCAGACATGATATATTGTATGAGAAGCTCGTGAAGTTCGAACCTCTTCCGAATTTGCGTTCGCATATCTTTAGAAAACTCGCGCAAAATTCCTTTTTCTTATCGCCAAGAGGTATACATGGGATATACGAGAGCTAGAACAACCCAGTTTAGTTATTCATCGGTGGAAAGATATCTCGACGGAGCCGAGGGACGCGATGATGGTGGACCAAAACTTTATGGGATTGAGCCGCTTCGTCCCTTCGTCGTTTTTAGACGGTGCACGAGCCGCTCATCCGAATTCACGAGACTACCGAAGACACTAACTGATATAAGGTAATTGAACAACGGCTATATCGTCAGAAGGTTAGATGGGTTAGATATTAGCAAACTATCAAACTAGCAAACCGTCACCCACGGAATACACCATAGGCCTTATTCGAGCGGAGCAACGCGGAAGATGGACTTCTTCTATTTCTGGACATGGTCGACGAGATCAACGAGTACATTTCTACCGCTAAGTAAACTTAGGATGTATGATGATGTAGACTTCTAGTAACTGGATCTGGGATCAATGAGAGTGATCGAGACTTGGGGACAAGGCTTGGGTACCTGAAATTGTTCCATTTTCGGGGTTACATTCCAGATCTATTGGCGCGTGGTATTTGTGCTACAATGGCTTAGTGGGATTGTTCACCTTTGGTGCGGGATGTCGTTAGGAGTTTGTTCACGGTTCACCGAGTGTGTATGTGGTTATATGTAAGTAATATAGAAAATCCGGGATGAACCCCCATATAGTAAGTGTTTAGGTAAGATGTATATAGTAATTGCCTCGTAGAAGTAAATGTCACAGGAAGGTAACAGCGATGTTCTATATAACAGTCGGTATTGAAGAAGGTTATGGCAACTGCGATGCATGGAACAGTCGTGGAAGTCTATTATTTAGTATTTGACAGCTTAGTGGATCTGGTCTGTTTCAAGGTTCTCTTTTTTCAACTTTCAACTTCATTTTCATGTTTACCTCGAATTTGGTTCATTATATTACTTCCTATCCGAAGTTGTCAACGAATGCCTAATTCAATTGTTCTCGTTCCCTAGGTCACAACACCATTAACTCCGGTTGGTGCGAATACAGCACATGGTACAATAGGTACCTAGTCAATTGAGTAGTATCGCCAAGCCATGCCCCTCCACCGAGTCACAATTGTTACCGACACACGAGATACCTCGTCATGAAGAAACATCAACCGAATCTATTGAATCAGCTTACTATATACTTACTTTTATACCACCTCCATCTCTAAAATACTTCATTCGGATTTCGCCTGGCTGCTGTATTGGACCCTTATATGCAGCGCCCCTCTTGGTGATTATTATCTATATTGGATGGGTTGATGGTTCACTAAATATTGACCCCTTCATCCAGATCTAGCCTAGTCGACAATCTGCACACACTTAGGACCAAGATTAAGCTTGGTTAAGGACCCCTGGTATTAAATCTATTGACCTCGGAATTGGGGGTCGATACAGTAACAGCCCTCCACCCGTTTTTATTATTATCAGGCAACAAAAAGCAAATAATCACGATATCTCCATTTTCATACCTTAGCACGCTAGGTACTTGCGAAATACCTCGGATCATTAACGCTCTTAACAAAATCCCCACGCTACACTAGGCAAACTAAAGAAAACTAAAGAACAAAAGAATTAAAAAAGGAGGACCGTCATCGACCTTTTCTCCAACTTAATCCACTACCTCCCGCAAAAGGGAATTGCGATACTTGACAGCCTTCATTCCTGCAGATTTCGTCACCGCCTTAAGCAACTAAGGCAAACTTGCGTTGCATCTTGATCGACAGCCTGACCACCACCGTGCAGTGGTCGTGAATCAACTAGTCCTTAATAAGGTCTACCGCTAACCCACGAAAAACCTCTCATCTTCTTTTCTACTCTTTCCCCCCAAACACCATCATAGAAGAAACTCTACTTCTAACGTTTTATATATTCTTCGTCTTCCTCGTCTTCACCTCCCAGAAGCATCATTCTGTCTATACTCCAACAGAAATCCACCTGTCGTACGACATCGCACCATCTCATGCTCCGCTACCACAGAAAATAAAAGGACCGAGAGATCAAGTGGCGCACGATCTGTGTACGCATTTTCAAGTCCTCCGCATATCTGCAGGTTGCCGAAGGCACCATAAATACGCGCCAGCCTTGTGTTTGCGTTGCAAACCAACTCCTTCCTCCGAGTCCCAAGTTCTTCTTTCACAGAAAGATCTCGACACAGCAAACATCCTCGTTGCGCCTTATCTATTCAAAGAGTGAAGAATACTATACTCCCTTCGTCTACGAAGCTTTACAACAACATGGATGCTCCCGTCACTTCATCTACTATGGCCCAGCGCCAATTCTCGTCTACAACAACCAATACCTCGACGTCTCAAGGATTTGCGCAGCCTCCTCCGGCGACACAGAAGACACCAAGCACAGACGCTTTCATCCGAGACCTCAACCTCGTGGCCGAGGCCGCCAAACGAGCCCAGATGGCGGTACTGATGCGAGATCTTGATAGCATAGCGATCTCGTAATCTCACTCACTCACTCGCCTACCTACTTCTCCTTGCGTACGCTCTACTGCCTTTCCTCTTTAAGAGGTCTACATTTTAACTGCAATATGCGTTCTACTCGATACCTTTTTCTCCACCGCTATCGCCATTGGATCTGCTCGACACCTCGCACGATGGGCAGATAGGTGGATCATGGCTTTTCTTTGTGTGCACCTTTATGGATTTGGCCTTTGTCCTTTTCAGGGAGTCATGGATGATATGATGACGTTGGGTCTGTTTTTCAGGGTTCCCCCTCCTTCCCCCACCACGACATCGGCGTTACCACCAAAAAAACCCAGTGAGGGAACCTTATCATCGGCATAACCCGGGGAAATCGTTTAGGCAATCACTAACGCATGTTTTACGAGGGCGAATGGCAATGAAGATTAAGAGATGAAGCGAGGCGTAGAGGGGATTATTTACACTGTGAGGAGGGATAGTGTGTTAATATCTATTGACTTAATCTGTGGTTTTGGATGTCGCCGCCACCTCGCGGAATGAATTTTTCTCTTTCGCGTGGAAAGGGGCGGTAAAGGGGACAGTGGGCGGTTGTTGGCGAGGTTGCAGAAACAGCAGGATGCGATTCGCGAAACCGATGCGGTGCAGCATTGGATCCCAGCGCATAACGAGGGTCGGAGTTGGAGGTCGCAGCCCCCATTTGCATATACCTTTTTTTCTTCTTCTCCTCTCCTCTCTATTCTCGGTCACGGATGCATGCAGGTGGTTTGATTATTTTTTGCTTTCCGGATAGAACGGATTGGCTGGGCTGTACAGGGCATGGGCATCGCCCAACGGGACAAAGAAGGCGGCGGGACCAGATCAGATCAGGTTACTTCAGAATAGAAAGAAAGAAGTGAAATCTCGATGCCATGCCATTCTCGCCCGGTGACCCCTTGCTTGATTTTATCCTACTTTCCTTTGTTCGATGCGCTGATGGTGCTACGCGATGCATACCTACCTACCTACATGCTTACCTACGTGGGGGATTGGTGGTTGCATTGGAGGTAAGCTGTATACACATCTGTATATTATGAATGGGATGGAGAGATGGATGGACAGGCACCTGAGGTTCTCATTCTTCCGGAGCATACCTCATACCTAAGCTTCGCAGCGAAACAGAGATCAGTAGATCGATCGATATACCACCGTTGCTTTCTAGGCTCACTCTAGCTTATGCTGTTCTACGCATATGCGTGCGCGTTTTCGAACCCGTGTTCCGGATTCTCAGTCTGTGGTAGGTAGGTCGTGCTTTGGAGGCTTTTTGGGGCGGACCACTGATTGAGAGGCACGCGCGCGGGTTGGATTTTTTTGTAGGTAGATGCTTTTGTGTTTGGGATGGGGAGAGGCCACATGTAGGTAGGTAGGTAGGTCTAGATTCTGGGCACGCGTGGTACGGGAGAATACCCCTTTTTTCCTGTTCATACCTACCTGTTTTGATTTATTTCAGTTTTCGATTAGGTGAATTGTGTGAATGACTTCTTTGGAACTTCAATTTGTGTTATAGCGTGATCTTCTTCTGTTCAGGTACCTGCTTTCCACCGTCTTGATATGTATCATTGAATGGAGTCCATTCACGTACAGATAGATGCAGTTGTCTAATGTGTCAGTTTTATAGCAATCCAGCACTTTCTTTGCCTTCCTATTCTTAGCTCTTACACATCAATATATCGTACACTTATCTTTGGCATTGGTAAGCTTAGTCTTCTAAGGGGAGGGTTCTAAGGTTTCCGGTTTGATCCATCTTATTCAATCCATTTCATTGCTAATCTGTGCGGATCTAGTTTCTGGGAAGGGGTTGGGGAATCTGGCGCGAATCCATGGCCGAATCCTCGCGATACATGATGGGGAAAATAAGGGACAACGGGTAGAAAAGGCAGACTTGGATAATGCACAAGTAGAGATAGAGGAACTCCGCCATGTACAAAACATAAGGAACAGAATCAGCCTGCCTTCCCACCAAACCAGAGCCATGGCGCCATTCCCAGCCCAGTAGTACAATGGTAATCTAATGCTAAGCAGAGTTTATCCCTCGAGGGGAATCATTTGGTTGAAGGGTTTGGATTTACGACCACGTGGACTAAATAAATGCCAGCGCGTTCTTCAACCTAAAATTGACGATCTATAACAGACGTAAACCGGTGAGTTCCGATAAGATGAACAGTCCCGAGCCTTAATTGAGAAGGGCAGCAGCTAGCTATACTAGCTCTAAGCGTAGACAAGGGACATCGAAATCGATTTGCTATGCGGCCTCGGACTGAATGTTATTGTGTGAATCATAAGACGGGGGTTGGTGGAGACTAAGGCTCATTAACCCCAAGCTCTCAACGTGGGCTTCGGTAACTTGGTCGACCTTTCACACCGTAGAAAATCGCCTTTAGAAATATATGCTGTCGGCTAGAAAGGCTGCGACTTCGGCACCTCATCGATGATAGACTGTATAGTAAGAAGTGATCCAGGGCCACCATCCTCGCGAAGGTAATCTAGTAACACGCTCGTTTGGCCGTAGACGTTTTCTAATGCCGATCGCGATGACTTGCCCAAAGACGCTAGTTATATTAGTTAGTAATACACCCTTGCAGTTGAGGGGACAGAGAAATCTTACAGAGTATGGCGGCGTTGAGCTCTTCAGCTACAGCTACTCTGCCCTTGCGGTCTAGTAAAGGCGCAACTTCCTTGACTTGGAGCGGGTTTGGATAAGCTACAAGCGAGAAAACCTCGGCGAGTGTCTTGCTAATTTCTCCTCTCGGGTCGTCCTGAAACTCCTCCTGCAAGGATTGTCCGTATTCGATCGTCTTGGTAAGAAGGCTTTCTTGGCCTGTTTGAGATTCTAAGCCGTCTTCCTCCATCTGGTCTGAAAAGCCGTTCTCATCGACGTCCATCTTGTTAGGAATGTCGTCGTACGCGTGGCCGTTATTCTTCTTAGTTCCGGGATTGCTAAGTTCAGCGGATTTCCGAACCATTTCAATGAAGGTCCGACACTTCAATTTGAAGTATACGTCGTAGTTTTTCTCCAAAACCGCTGGATAGTAGACTTGGGTATACTTGATGGCCTTCTCAATGTCTCCCTCAAGAATGGCTCTTCGAATACCTAGTCTACGTCAGTATGAGATATATCAAGGGAATCGTATATGCATACGTTGTCTGCGATGGGCATCTTCGTCATCCCGAATGTTGATACCCGGAATTGGTGTTCGTTGGTCTATTTGAAGATTTCGTTTCTCAGTGTGAATCTCCTCGGCAAATGCCCGAGCTGTCTCTACATATCCATCGTGCTGTAAGAATTGCAAGACCTGAAATACCCTAATTAGCTATGACTAGAGTCTTGAGCGGGATAAATATTGGCTTACTAGTTGTTGAATGAGCTCCGTCTCACCCATGGGAGGCGATATTAACTTCTCAATGCTAAATTTCAAACAATTAGTTTCTGTATAGTTTACTCTTAGACGATGATAATACCTCGTTCTATTAATAGCCGTCCTAATCTTCATTTGCTCTTTCTATATAACCGTAGTTGTTAGCCGTGCCTATTATAATATTTTATTAGAATTCCGCTTGGTTTAGGGAGACTACCTTAACCATGTGATCAATGTCGAACTTGAATATCGTTTGACCAAAGTTAACACGAATGTGCTCTCCAGCTTTCTTCATGCCGATAGTGGGATAAAGATCCCCCTTTATGTCTCGGAACGCGGTCTCTATAGACTAGATTAGAAAGGAGACTGGTCTCATGAAGCATGAAACTCTCATATATCAAAAGCACATACTGAAATCTTGTCCATTCTTGGTGAAGAAAGCTTCACGAGTTCGGAAGTTAATACCACACCCAATAGTATCCGTTGGACCAAATGCACCGCCCTCGAATGGTTTTCCAACGTTCTGTCCTGAGTAGACGTCGCCATCATCACCATGGTAGCCCCATGATTCGGGCTCCCAACCTGGTGGTCGCATCAAGGGAACGTTCTTGGTCGAGAATCCGATACACACGGTAGTTCTGGGTGCGTCATCATTAGGATCGTACGGATAAATATCTTCCTCTGGCACATACTCATCTCGTCTTCTAGAGAGAAGGGTAACCTCAAAGTAATATATCCCAGCTTGCCATGGCATTGGGTGATCGGCTCGTATAGAACAGGTTTCGTGATCCTGCTCTCTCGAATTGCGGCTGGCTGCATACTTAACTTCCTGACCATCTGCTATAACCTCCAACGGACCATGCTTATCATCTTTGTTCCATCTAGTGGGTAAAGGGGGTATCGAATTGTCATCCTCGATTGCGGGTACTCGTTCAATTAGGTCGTATGTCATTCCTAGATGAGATGCCGGCGGCTTGTTCGCTAATGAACCTGTCGTTGAAATACCGGCCGGTAAGGTACTTGTTGATTGCTGCTGCGTCTCTCTTTGCGCTTCCTTTACTTTGTGTGCTGCCTCCAACCTCTGCATGTAGCTAGAACCTGTCAAGTAAGATGGTGTAAAGAAACTGCTCTTCTTGTGGACAACTGTCCAGTAATTCTCACCAGGTTCGTAGTGTGTGAACCTCTCAAAAGCTCTTGAAAACGACGGCAATTGAGGGTCACGACTTTGCAAAGCCGGGACCCCTCCATCCAAACTACCATTATTCATATCCGTGTCGGTATTTTGTGCATGTCGTTGGGAATTTAGGTTCGCTCCATACAGGTCGGATGCAGGTTCGTACGGAGGATTGAGAAGGTATGAGAGACGGTTGATCGGAGAATGCGACGCGGGCGCAAAGCTCGTACTAGATCCAGGTATGCCGGATGCGTAGGAGGAATTTCTGAATCGTGGAAGGAAGCTCGTATGAGTAACGTCTGGGTTAAATCCAGGTGAATCACGTTGATAAGGATTGGCCATAGCCAACCTTCAGAATTTGGCTGGATCCCAGAGGGATTAGAGGAAGACCTGGAACTCGCCGAGTACCCTTTGTCGTCCCGAATGCACGAACTTAATGATGTAAGGTCAACAGAAGAGACGCGAGAGCAAGATTTATAGAATTAGAACGGAATCGACAATTTGTTATAAGGCAGATAAGGTTTGCGAATGGTGCCTTAGACCGAGAAATGATGGTGACGATAGAAACAATGCTCCGATTTACTTGTTGAATTACGGCTTATACCGTATCCAGGTGATACATCTAAGTTGGTTGCTGAGTAGGACCTAAACTCGGAGGGAGTAGTCGACAAGACGGCTTCGTAAAATGACTCCAAGCAGGCGAGTGTGTCCGAAATGGGCATCAATTATGTTGTTGAGTTGTAAGTCGAGAGATGATTTGTTGTTGCGGAGAATATCGAACTTGGAAAGGTCAAAGGTACGAGATGTAGGTATCGGGCAATCACGAGGTCACGGAAGTTGTTGCTCGACTTGACCCGATAACGTCGAACGTAGTTACCTTTACACTGCTAGCTTAGTGGGGATATTAAATGTCAATCGATAACAGCGGGATCCAATGACTGCCGGTTTTGTAGAAATAAAACCTGGAGTTTTTTGAGCCACTAGTACTAAAGGGGTATCTATCTAGAATCGCGTATTTTCAACGTCGAAGGTCAATGCCCAACTCACACATAAACACCAAGCTAAGCAAGCTAGTAAAACGATATATGCCTAAATACATGTGTGTGTAATCGTTACAATTATAAGTTGTCAGCATCTAGGAAGATGATGGTACTTCGAATGATGCAAAAATCGCCTTACATTACATCTTTCGCGCAGATTGTATCCATTTCCAGTTGGCGACAAGGGGCCAGTTTAATGGCTTGTTTCGTTACATATTTGTAACTTAGCGGATGAACCCGGGTCTGCATTGAAAAGGGGAGCTAAAACATAGAATCTCCAAGTTTCATTCCTACCAATGTTATCGTATATTTTCTGCGTTTAAGTAAGTTGCGTGGTAATAAGCATGAGGTTGAAAAAAGGGAAGTTTACATATCTATCAAATCCGCGTATGTACCTATAGATGGTGGTTTACATCTAGGTCACTCTATGGTGCCGAATTAAGACGCGTAGATAAATGAAAGGTAATATGTTCTGAATGTAGTATCTTTGGAATCAAGGGGCCATCATAATCTTGATGGATGTTTAAATCCAATATAAGTGACATGAGGCTACAAGGTTGAACACCACACTAAGTTTAATGCCTCCTTAGAGTTTATTAACACTATTAAGGCACTCGAAAACGGGCGAGCTGTAACCTATGAACGACCTGCCTTTACGAACGTTGGAAAGAGTATAGTACAGCACAATGATTTTAGAAATCGGAAATGATCCTCCAGAAGATAGGACACGCATGTATTCCCTTGTGGTCGATTGATCGATCCACGCCGTCCGCTATTTTTGGCCACAACACCAGCATCGATGTATAATGTACAACCCTCCACTGACCCCTAACGCCAAAAGATGAAGTGGTTCCAATGTATTCTCTGCCGAAAACGATGTGACTTCCAACGCAAGTACCTCATTTACCTCTAGGTAAGAGCAATGTGATTCATGATCAACTCCCAGTTAGCATCGTAAACACAACCCTCAACGCCGTGCTTTTTTTGGTTCTCTCAACCTGAAACCATAAACCCCTATGAAATACAAATGACCACCGATAGGGCCAGAAGAATGTAGTCCTCATGAAAGGCTCTCTTAAGAAATGGGAGATTGGGTGAATCTCTGTCTAGGAGGCGGCAGCAATAGGGGTAGGAGCCGGTGAACTAGCATTGATACTTGGCGGGATGCTTCGCTGTTCGCCGCCGTCGGCATGGCTGTTGCTGTTCTCGCTCTTCATCTGGCTGTCTTCCTTGTTCTCCTTGTTGCTACTCTCCGTAGAGGCGACGGGCTCCTCCGCGGTGGGTTGAGGCTTGGGCTTGGGCGGTGCGGTCCAACGAGGAATCTCCCAGATGACGCCTGTAAAGCTCTTCAGCTTGAAGCCTCCTCGGTTCCACTTCCGACAAGGCGCGCCGGATCGATCGAGTGCGCGAAGTCCGGCATTAATTGCTCCTTGGTTTGCTTTCGGTCCAAGTTTATGGTAGGTGCCTCCATTGGCTCGCCCGGTAGGATCGATGGTACCATCCTCCCTAGTAGACCTAATTAGTAGACGAGCGGATGAGTATCAATTAACGCAGTTTATAGAGATTGATTGAGAGCAGTAACGCTGGAAAAGACGAGGCTGATGGAGGTGATGTGATGTGAACTTACAGTCTAGGCTTCTTCTTGGGACCAGGCTTGCCTCTGATCTTTGCTGTCGGGTCGGATCCATTTGCTGTTGCTGCACTTCTCTTTACGCCCTTCTTCTTGGGTGCTTCCGTCGGAGGCCCCATAGGCACTTGCGACGGTGTTCCAACAGGGGCCGGTGTGCCGGGACTCGACGCTGAAGCATTGTCGCCATTTGACGCGGCTGGTGCTTGGTCGATGGGAGCCGTCGACGCGGTATCAGACTCCTTTACGGGTGACTCTTCCTTGATTGATGATGGGTCAAGAATCTTGCGAAGTTTAAGCGACGGGACGCGCAAGGTGACGAGTGAAGTAGTCTTGCCAGTGGATTTTCGCCGATCCTTCTCCTTGTTGGAGGCGGAAGATTTGCTTGGGGTGGGCATGACGACGACGGATGAGGCTTCGTAGAAATAAAGTCGCGATGATCAAGCGTCGGTGATATAGTGTGGTGGTGATGTTGGTGATGGTTTGATGTTGATGTAGGTATTGGTGTCGGTGTTATTGGTGTTGATGATGAAACTGGTGGTGAGGAAAATGGAAGGAAGTGGAAAGTTGGTTGGTGAGTTGGTAGAAGCGTGAGATTGTTGTGTGATCTTTTCTATTTTCTGGGGGGAAAGAAAAAACCTTCTTGGTGGGATGGTGCACTTTGCAGACTTTGTATTTAGTTTAGGTTGGGTCAAGTCATCAACCTGGCAAAGCGTGAAGAGTGATCCACCGAGATCCGACCCCCAAAAACTGAGTCTTGTCCACGGGTCACTGACAACCCCAGGAGGCGTTTTTGCCAATTTGCAATTTGCCCTTTCGGAGATAGTCCAGACTCCAATGCCCCCTTAGGTCGGGCGGTGCGGATGCGGATGAGTTGTATAGTGCTTGATGCGTTACCGTACTGCGATGCGGTGCGGTGCAGGTTCAAGGTTGAGGTGGTGATGTGGTGATTCTGACTTGGCACACACTCTCTCTCACTTCCCTTGTGGGTTGGCCTACTTGGGCGAAAATGCGAAAAACGATGACACGGTGATGGTGGTGATGATGGGTGATGGGCGATGGAATTAAATTATCATGGGATGGGAATGGGAAAACAAAGATGAGAGTGCGATGATGGGAAGGTCAAATTATGAATTACGGGGGCGGCCATTGTGCTCGTTGGTGGTAATCTTTTTGGGGCAACTTAAACTGTACAATCTTTTTTAAAACGGCTTCCAGGGCTTGCTGCTCTGTCTCTCCTCCCGCTTCCCGTCATGGCTCAACATCCAGCTCGTCGCGAAAGAATCCAACTTAGGTTTGGTGGTGCACGAACCACCTACGCTGTAGTAAATTGTCCGAGAAACGTCACGTGTTTTTTGCTTTCCACTACTACGGCGAAACTTCCACTAGGCCTATTCGTTGTCCACGCCTTCCATCAATAAAAGGGGCTAGCCAGGTACCCAGGTACATGGGTCGGATTGGTTTTGGAATTCCATATTTATTACTCCGATAAAATCTGAAGCTATTCCATTTGCGTCTAGACACTCATCCCTCTCCGTCCTTTTCCAAGAAATCATCAATACAAGGCTATCTCTACGATGCTGCTATGGTACATACAATACAATACTACAATACCGAAATACCGAAATATTAGTATTGAGAGTACTAGTAGTGAGGATAGCGAGAACTAATGAGAGCCTAGGTAAAATCCTAGACGTTTGACAATATCCATCCCTCGATTCTAATATCTACAAATGGGATAGAACGTAATATTGGAGAGAAACGGAAGAAACCAGGAGGAATGAGAGAGTGCTCAGCCCCCCCTTCCCTAGCAGCCTAACGACTGACTGAGTGATACTTTTGATTTCTGTATCACCGGCTGACACCGTTTGTCCTCCTGTCACCTCTCACCTGGGCATGCGGCAAATGAGCCCAACCAAGTAATGGGGCTGGTGATCCGAAAGCCATCGTTTATTTACGCATCGCGCGGAAGGATGCCACCGGACTGGTTCGCCAAGTTCATGTAGCCTACGACCCAGCGATCCAGCAAGTCAGCGCTTTCAAAACTCATTACGAATGCATTACTCGCAACATCAAAGCTTACGATTCGACACATCACTTACATGTACCTAAATATCTACATATAGGTCCTAGATATGTACATGCACGTATACCTAGATGTCTAGGTATTAGGTATACCAAATGCTTTTTTGGATGGCGTCACTTCTGCCTAATACATTTTCTCGTGAAAATGCATCGTGAAAACCCGGACCGACGCTGAATTGTGGGAAGACGAACCCCGTACAATACAAAATGCCGCAAGGGAGTGCCTCGTTTTATCAAGTTAGCCACTCGCTTACTTGGAAGTTTGAACTTGGTTTGGAATCCGACCATACATCCACGAACTTCCGCGCGATGGAATCAATAGGCTTTCCAAGCTCATTCGTTTCAACCGCACATTCCTAAGTTAATAGTTCTATTAACTTCCCCATCGTAGAAACCCCTCCAAATTATTCCACAAACTCCGATCGCCTACATGCGCTTACATTGGATGCCTACCTTCTACGCATGATTACCGCCCGCCTTCGCCTCATCATGCCTATCCTTTAATTGCTGGGATTTCCGGGTCGCCTACCTAGTATCCACGAACCCCACAACTCATTATTCAACCCAGATAAGCAAACATGCTTCGCAATGCGAATCTAGTTCCCGCCAAAGGACACGCGGCTGGATAACGGCGATTGCGTACGTAAGTAATGCGCCAACATACCTACAGAAACCCGATTCATGTCTTAGCTTTCAATTCGTGTTACGAGCCAATGCGATCTTCCCGGCACCATGCGAAAAGAAATTCAGCAATCCCCAGCAGTAAAAGTATGAGATGATTACATAGTCACTAGATAAACATCACGACAGCACCCATTAATCACGAACTATCCCGTAGCTTAACCGGAGCATACGTCGAACTCGCAATCAATTTACGTGCGAACCAAGGGTCAATAATAGCAATTTAAATAGCGGCCAATTCATCTCATCAACCCAAACTCGATCAAATTGGCAGACATGGTATTTATAAGTGATCGCAATGACTGCGGTAGGGACAGTCTCAACATCGTATCTTGGGAATTGCTTTCCAGCTATGTTTACGTATACCTATTGGCTACTACATAATATTTAAATCGATGTAAACTAGGTACAAAATCGACTACATGATAAAGTCTTCAAGACAGAAACTTTATCAAGTACTTACAATCGCCCTCAGAGCTCTCCTAGAGACACACGTATAGCTATCTCCTAGAGTAAAAAATGCTACTTTGCCCCAAGTAAATTGATTTTTTGATTATATTCTAGATTACCTACTCTCTCAATTGACCCGGTGTTTTGATTCAAGGTAACCTCGTAGTCATTCACAACCCGGGGGAACCAGTCGTGAAGAATAAAGGCAAGCGAAGGAATACGAGTAGTAGTCGTCTCTGTTACTGGTGTATTTCACTCATACCTAACTCAATGCCAGATTGAGCATTGAACACCATCAAGAATCCGGCCAAACACCTCCTAAACCAAATCAATGCCACTGTCGAGCTTTTTGTTTACCTAGCTTGACGGTGTCAAAACGCCGGGTTTTAGCAACTCGCTCTGTTATTCCAACCCTAAATAATACTTTCCATTGCCTACCTATAAAAGGGGTAAAATTTAAGGGGCTGCTTGACTTATAGTAGATACTCTTGACTCAAAGAGAAAGGTATCTAGGTAGATATCAAGAGCTCACCTGAATTCTAACCGCCTTTCTTGTAGAATGACATAGAAAACCAGGGGCCATCTCCTTTTGACGGCCATTGCTGTCTTCCTAGGCCAGGTCTGCCTGGAAACTTTATTGGAATAAATCATCCCAGAATGACGCTACGTACTTAGGTACGCTATCTCCCAAAACACGATAGCTAGTTAGATACATGGAAACTAGTATAATGGATTTATTTGTCGTCTAGGTCCTAGTGACCGTTTAGAAACTACTAGATAAGCACCTTAGTAAATCAATTTCAGTAAACAAGCCAACATTCATATGTTGAACTGTTAAGAAGAATTGAAGTATTTGGATTATAAGTTGTATCATGATGAATTACTTGCAGACCTAGCCCTAGACCAGCCAATTTTAACGATAGCAATCTGTTAGTAAATATTTGGGGCATTGATACCTCATTTTTAACCCAAACGTCAAGTTTTATCTGGGGCGGTAGTCTCATTGGTCGTACACACGATCTCCTCCTAAAAGATAGCATTATAGTACATCAGGTGACCAATTACCTAGGTTAGTGTGAAATCCCCTCCGATAATACTAATCCTTCCCCACGTGTGAGCCTACGGGAATATCCTCCCCAAATCAGCGGATGTATACGCCTCGCTGCGGTCTCGGGAAGGGCATGGATTGATAGGATATATGCGACTTGGCTTCCTGCACACCTTGCCTACCCGTACCGTGTTGCTACATTAGCCCCCACGATTATAATGTATGGAATGTCATCGGAGGTCACGCGGGAATCAGGAACGGGTAGATCAGATGGGATCGGGGAACTTAAATTTGTTCAATGTGTGGGATACCTAGACTTGACTGGGCCGTTGGAACCTATATGTGACTACCTTGATGTACTCTTATCTCTTCTAACTGAGGACAAAATTCCACGAGAAACCTTAATAATTGCGACTCCATCGATGGGCTTAGTATGATCTAGAGCTATTCCTGGATCTCCACGATCCCCCCCTCATTGCCGTTTCATATAGAAAGTCTAAGCTTGGAGAGACTAAGACACCTACCTACCTACTCAATCAAAACTTGCATATTACTCCAGCCATGGGTTCCAACGAGGTACCATCTGTTGTTAATCCGTTACACCCCTCGATAGTCGACAAGGTAGATCCGATCTTTGCCGAGATCTACAATCGCTACCAAGGTATTCTTCTCGAATAGCTTCCGTTTCCCGTTTCAAGTCACTTACAAGCGAGTCCATAGCACCCCAGCTGCGAGCAGACCAAGTTCCGTATGAGGTATACAACAAAGACAGACCCAAGTATACCTTTCCGACTGCCAAGGTCAGCGCTGGGGCCCCGGATGTAGCCAGCAATACCATCTACAAGATCCCCGTCTCGAACCCTTCTGGCGAGATAGCTATACAGGTGTATGTACCGACCCCGGACGCAATTGCCAGTGGTGGGCTCGAGAAGGATGGATTACTACCGGCGCTTGTCAATTTCCACGGTGGTGGTTTCGTCATTGGAGGGTTGGAATCGGACGAGTCTTTCTGTCGAACCCTCTGTCAACGACTTGGCAGCATTATAGTCAACGTCGACTATCGACTTGCTCCAGAGTATCCACACCCTGTATCTGCAACGGATAGCTGGGAGGCGTTGAAATGGACGTTTGGGAATGCGGGGAAGTTGAAGATAGACCCTTCTCGCGTAGCAGTTAGTGGTCTTTCAGCCGGAGGTTGTATTGCAGCAGTGCTTGCCTTGCTGGCTCGGGACGAACCAAGTGTACCGAATCTAGTCGCGCAAGTGCTCATCGTGCCTGTGATCGACGCAAGATATATCCCGACGGAGGGTTCATGCGACCCTGCGAAGACACCGTACAAGAGCTACGTTGATTTCGAGTTCGCTCCCATGTTGCCTCTCCACCGTCTGGTCTGGTTCTACAACCTGTGGATAGGGACGGATGAAAGCCGCGCAGAGAAAGCGAACGATTTCCGTGCATCGCCTATTGTTGCAGAGTCGCACGCGAATCTCGCGCCAGCTATTATACGATGTGCTGAAATCGATCCGCTCGTATCGGAGGGTATTGCGTACCACGAGAAGCTGACGGCAGCCGGGACTCCTAGTAAACTGAAGATATATAAGGGACAAGGACATCCCTTTGGTCATTGGGACGGGGCGAATCCAACTGCGAAAGAGTTCGTTAGCGACTGTATCAGTGAGTTGAGAGCAGCATTTGCCACGAAATAGGGGGTGTTTCCATGTATAAATGTATCTACCATTGTTACGATTTGCAAAGGAGTTCAGATTACACTAGGTTAGTCTCTGACATAAGAATGAATGAAAATAATTACACTGGACAATTGTATCTTACCAGTTTCGAATATTACCTAGAGAATCCTAGACTAGATCGGCAGTAGTATAGTTCAATACTTTGTTTTCGTATCATGGTGAGTATCGTGAAGTTTTAACTTGTAAGAATTAGAAAGTGCGAATGCTTCAGATACGTTGAAGTATCTGGGTACCGATTCAGGGGCGAATGAGTGTCAGAAGAAAACGAATTAGTACATCATGTACCTATCCCGTTCCCCTACCATTGAAGTATACCTACAACGGAAACTTCTTTCCTTTTTCTGAAAAAAGGAGAAAGAAAAAAACGAAGGAGCTTCTGTTGGAGTTTAATACACAAGTATCTACATGTATCTGTCTAGGTAATTAATGAGATAGAAGTACCGATAGTTACCCCTGATTCTGGCCAAGTCATAGCCCATCATAACTTACATTCTATATGACGCGATATAATGCTCATATATAGACAGAATATTACTACATCTTTAACTTTATATTAATTAGAAGAGTACTAGGTACTAATTACGCAAGTAATTCCCTAAGCATCTGGACGTTAACACCGCTGAAGGCTGTAAACGAATAGGTCGACTGATTAAAAATTTCCCACTGCTGACAACTACGTTACATGTACTTAATACTTGACGTTAAACTTTAAGATGTTTGTCACTGACCATGTAAATTGACGGAATCAGATCAGTAGGGACGAGGACAAATTGTTCGTATTTTTCTATATATACCCGTCCTTCTCCCCTCTACCTCCTCCTCTCTACTAAAAATTGCCAAACTCAACTTCGCCTTTCATCCCACATTAATTTTCGTTGGTTTAATACATCGGCATGAGAAAATCACGCCGCACATAATTAACGTCAATAGTAATATTGACATTAATAATATTCGTTAAGTCATAATATGAATACCTACTCCTACTAATTAATTCCTAAATTTCCTTCCCTCACAACCTTGGAATCTACTGCCGCTACGATGTCTTGGGACCGGTCTGGCACCTGTTTAGGCGTCTGAATGGCGTCGGCAGAGACGAACAGTGCGTTCGGGAAAGGAGAGAGGCGTCGAAGTCCTCAGCACCGCTCACTGGCCTGTGAGCCTTGGTGTTCCAACACAGACCTTTATTTGGATTACCTTTGAGATCGAGGTTTATCCTGATCTAAACTGTCATGGTTAGTTCGTCACTCTTTATTATAACTGCCCCTAGAAGATGTTCTTTATCATTATAAAAATAATGCTAATGTTTTCAATTCACTATTAGGACTAGCTTAACGTACATAGGTGAAGTTAGTAGTGGCAGTAACTTCACAAGTTCCCTATGGTTGTTGCTGCCACTGGATCTGTCATTACTACCACCACATGCGGGTGGCATACAAAGCTAGTCTCTAGCTTCCCGGCACGCATTCGCTCAGGACGTAAGCGATGGCCGGGTTGCGGGGAGAGAGACTTGATATTTCCTTTTCTCGGATATGTCGACGAATGATAGATGGACGAAGCTGATCCATTACGTGGAGAATGAAAACAATTTCCTACAGAACATAGTCTAGCAATGATAGAGCCTCCATAAGATGATGTTGGCCTTGGAACTGGCGTCGCACCGCTGCTAAAAAGAGATATGGGATGAGCAAGTCATCGAAGGCAGTGGAGGCAGAACTTCGAGACGGGGTAATGATAAACCAGGTTATGGGGTAAGTCAACAAACAATGAAGACTATCATGTTATAGAGAAAGCTTCTAACAATGCGACAGGGCTTTAACAAGAATACCTTGAAGGTACCAAACATAACACCAATCATAACCTGGAGGTCCTCCGATCGAAACGGAGCAGAGCTACCAAATTGTAGTCGCTTGATGCTCTGGCCTCATGCCGCGCGACCCATACAATCTCCTACCACTCTCAACGAGTGAAGACCTTTTTCTAAATCTCTTTACGCCCGGTGCGACGAGCCACATCAATTCGTTGATCTTCAATCCGCTCTACAGACTCCTCTACAGACTCATTTTCCCACCTGGATTTTTTCCTCGGATTCTCTCGCTTTTCAACTAGCACTTTCTGTGGTTCGACTCTTTCCTCATGAATTCAGACATGGAAAGCCTTATCGCTGTTTCAAACTTCTTAGCGGTCCCACAGCAATGAACATGTGGGCTAACAATGGAATGGGAGGAGGAGTTGCTAATGGTGTAGCCGGAGGTCTCAAATTTCCCGGAATGCCTGATGGACAAGCAGCAACAAAGGAGTCTACATCGAATATGAAAGGATGGATTATTCGCGACATAGGATATTTCTATCCCGACTTGGAATCGACCGCGACCGGATCATCTGACGTTGTAACAATTGGGAAGGACACTTTCTGGAAGAATGTCGATTTGTTTGTGGAAGCAGTCAACGCAGCAAAGACAAGCCCCGAACGCATCTCAGTCATTCGTGAGAAATTTCCCCAAATGCTTCGAGCTTAGGCTCTAAATCCATGATCAGGGGCTGGTCCCCTATCTTGTAGTAATGTTATTAATATGCTATCGTCTATCGAGGGTGTGTTGGCTGGTCCCCGTTGAAGGCCATCAATATCGAAAAGTACTGGGTTGGGGTTGCACGCAAAATCTTGATGGGGTTAACTGATTGGGAGAAGCACCTGGGTGACTGAAACCGAATCCCTAATAGATGGATGTTAACTGGATGGCAGCGGAGAAACGAGGCGGCATGGACTGATGGACTGGAGTGGTGTCCAGAAGTAATAAGCTTGGCCAAAATGTAGAGCATCTTATAATTAGATACTACATATCAATTGGCACTGGAACGACTGATATATAGGAGGTTCTTGAGGTGATAGGGCTATCTATAAAATATAGACCGTAAATTTTATATCTGAGGATTGGCTGGTCAACAACAACTACTCGTCGCGTTCCTCTTTAGGTACCTAAGTATCATAAACCAAACTCGTACGTTTTAGATGTCCTTTCTCTTTCATATTTAGATAAGTTTCGCATATCTAAACTTGGTGACATCGAATCCAGACAAATTTGTATGCAACAAATACCAGAGAACAAATACGAGGATGGCGAGGGTAATGCTCATAAGCAATGGCGCCTGGATGGCAGCGCACCACATCAACCAAGCTACCTGCTTAATCAGGACGACGAGTATGATGGGTTCGATGAACTTCAAACAATCGACGCCTTTTCGCATTATTCAGATCTCCCGGATGAGCGGACACCGTGGAAGGCCTACGAAGGAGAGGAAAGTGACAATGATATCATCAATGTATACTGCCCAAGAAAAGTCATACATTTTATTTGCAATTCTAACAACGAAATTAGTGCCCATGACCCTACAGAAGGCGATGTAGGAAACGAACTTATATCGAACACGATCCGACAATCAAACGAAAAGAAACTAACAGATGAAGCCGTGCTTACTGAACCCAAACTATGTGCCGAACAAGCCAAATTAATCGAGATAATTATGGAAGGGCATAATGTCTTCTATACGGGCTCTGCAGGATGTGGAAAATCAACTGTCCTCAAGGCTTTCACCTCTTGTCTAGAGGATTTAGGCAAGACCGTACATATTGTTGCTCCAACAGGACGGGCGGCATTGCAGGTTGGCGGCACTACTACCTGGACATATGCTGGATGGAGCCCATTATCTCAAAAGACACCGCTTGAAGAACTTAGGGAGAGAACTCTAAGCAATGATTGGGTTACGAAGTGCATCGAATCAACGGATGTCCTCGTCATCGACGAAATTAGCATGGTTGAAAATTTCCACTTTGAGCGGCTAAATGAGGTTATGAAAGTAGTTCGGGGTGAAGAGAAAGCCTTCGGAGGAGTTCAACTCGTTGTCACCGGCGACTTCCATCAGCTCCCGCCCGTGAAACCATTCCAGCACTGTTTCAGATGTGGAGCTGAAATGATTAAGGACACCACGAAAAATACCTATACATGTAAAACGCACGGGTCATTTCATGACGAGGACAAGTGGGCTTTCCAAAGTAAAGCTTGGAAGGAATGCAATTTCATTCATTTCCCTTTAAAAAAAATTCACCGGCAGAAGAACGACAAAAAATTCATCAACATCTTGCAGACTATTCGAACCGGGAAGAGGTTGACAAAAAGCCAGATAGGATTACTCGAGAACCACGATTGCGTCGTGGAAGGTGCCACAAAGCTCTATGCGACCAGAGAAGAAGTACGTAGAGTCAATCAGATGGAGTTCGACCGTATCGATGCGGAAACATATACCTATAAATGTCTAGACAACTTTAAGTGGAACGAGGTAGGGCATCCGCGGCTCAAATACAAGGAAAAACTCTCAGAAGACGGCTGTCTGCTAGCACTTAATGATCATCGGTTCGAGCGCTACCTACAGCTCAAGATTGGCGCGCTAGTCGTCTTACTCGTGAATCTGGACTTGAGCCGCGACCTCTGTAACGGCAGCCAGGGCATCGTCTGTGGATTTGAGCCGTTCCATGAACCCAGTTGTATCGAGACCGGGGATGGTAACGGGGAGAAAGAGGCTCAAACGCAACTATTTGAGGATAGGGTAGATAAAAAAGCTTGGCCGATTGTTAAGTTTCACAACGGCGAGACGAGGACCATCTACCCGGATTGTTTTATTCATTGTCTCGGGGATAAGAAGCCGTATAGTATCCTCAGTCGTACCCAGATCCCGCTAGCTCCGGCGTGGGCGATGAGTATCCACAAGAGTCAGTCACTGACACTTAACCGTGTCATAGTCGATCTATCCAGAGCTTGGGAAGATGGTCAAGTCTATGTTGCCCTTTCGAGAGCGACGAGACTAGAAGGTCTCAAAATTGAGGGAGATCTGGGGATCTTGTCGACTCAGAAGGGGATAAACTCGGAGGTGCAAAAGTTCTATAAAGACAACTTTGGGATGTGAAGCTAGCTTTCGGTTGCATGTATTTCGAGTGCTTAGGGCTCAAATGTTGCCCGTGATAAGGACCCTATATGAAGAAGTTTGTAGTGAATTTCAATTGAATTCGGTTTGCGGGGAAGTGAAAAGAGTCAATGCATTGTCTTACTAAGAAGAAAATATTATGTAAGTCATTCATTACCTAAACAGAATTTAGGTAAGATGTTTACGTAACATAGGGCAAAAATGCGAGAACCCCTCCTTACGTAATGAAACTAAAATAATTAGTCAGCAAGAGAAAAGGGGTCTGATAGCTTTTAGTAATCACTAACTACTGTGGAAAGCCTACCTTATAGTATATTGCCTTCTAAGATTTGGAATTCTAGTCTGAGATCTACCCCGGATGGTGAGTGCCGAGCAAGGATCAAATACGTGCATTTATCCGGGAAATAGAACCTGGTATGGCAGGTTAAAGCAGATTACATAAGCACCCCTTTCCACTGTCAGTGCTACGTATTCAGGGGTTGAGCGGAAAAATGAACATTTCGCTAAAATCGTATGCATACACATCTTATTGTCATCTGATTATCGATCTGAGATCCTAGGTATCCTAATGACTTCTCTTCCTCGGGTTATCTGATCCCACGGACTTGCTCCGGAATGATCTTATTAAGGTAGTTTAGGTAAGCTTCCCCGAATATTGTTTTGATTATGAAATAACCATCACACTTGATAGTAGTGTCATAATGCCCGTCAGTATATTACAGAAGACAGAGCAAGCGTGATTCTTGACTACGTCGCCGCATCCCGAAATTTCCACCACTCAAGTTTCCGCGGTTTCCCGCGGCTTGCGTGAACCAACCGCATAATCAGATGTAATCCCAGGAACAACGTGAAATTTCTCCTTACCCACGCCTAAATAGAGAAATCCTATAGCGCGAACTATTCGCGGCTCGTTGTTCCCCACGGCAGGAAAGGACCAGGGGTGATCTCGGCTATATTCTCCATATTAACCGCTCGTCGTCTATACGACGACGCCCTTGACAGAACGGCATCAACATGCAAGACGGAATGAAGTAAAATTGTACAGATCACGGGGTTAATATGAGTTTGCCCGGCTGTATGTTGTAGGGAATTCCCGAGAGCTGGTTTAAATAGAGGAAGAGCCCGCGGCATGGGAGCGAAGCCTTGGAAATCCTTCTTGCTTTGTGTTACGCTACATCGAACCGTCTATCGGCCTCGTCTCTCAAGATGCAGCTGACTATTCACTCGGTCGCCACCGCGGCGCTCCTAGCGTCCGGTGCTCAAGCGCTTCTCCGTTTCTCATGTTCACAGCTAGTCGTCGAGCGTCTTGACCCGCTCGTTACCCCGGGCGTGGTTGGTTCGCCCCACGTCCATCAGATTATTGGTGGTAATGCCTTCAACAGTTCGATGGACTACCCACGAATGGACATCCCTAGCGAGGCTACTTGCACTACCTGCACATTCGCTGAAGACACATCGAACTACTGGACCGCCGTCTTGTACTTCCGTGCCAGGAACGGAACATACAAGCGTGTCCAGCAGATGGCTAACTCGGGCTTCGAGGGCTCCAAGGGCGGTATGACCGTCTACTACACGCCTAGCTACAACAGCGGCAAGGTTACAGCTTTCAAACCTGTATGATATCCCCCAATAAGTATCCAAGAATACTGAGGTAAACCTTAGAGATGCTAACTGCGATGTCCAGGGCTTCCGTATGATCGTCGGAAACCCGACCTACCGAACCGAGGCCGAAGCCAAGAAGTACCGCCAGCTTACCTACACCTGCCTGGAAACCATCCTCACCCGAACTGGGGAGACCATGGACATGCCGAAGAAGGTGTGCAAGATGGGAATCATGGCCAACATTCGCTTCCCGACGTAAGTGTCTCCACCAGCCCCACCCCTCAAAAAAGGGGGCGGGGTTACAACAACCACGAACACGCAACACCAAAATACTAACCACCTCCAGCTGCTGGGATGGCAAGAACCTCGACACACCAGACCACTCCAGCCACGTCTCGTACCCCGCAAGCGGGACCTTCGAGAGCGGCGGCGCCTGCCCATCAACACACCCCGTGAAGATCCCACAGCTATTCTACGAAGTAATCTGGGACACACGACCATTCAACAACCCGAACGACTGGCCGACGGACGGCAGCCAGCCCTTCGTCTGGTCATACGGCGACCCCACGGGATACGGAAACCACGGTGACTACATGTTCGGCTGGAAGGGCGACGCCCTGCAGAAGGCCATGGACCAGAACTGCAATATCGGATGCGCGGCGCTGAAGACGCAGTCGATTTCCCAGGGAAACCAGTGCAGCAAGCAGGTTTCTGTTAAGGAGGATATTGATGGCTGTGAGTGATCCTTCTTTTTTTTCTTTCTCCTTGATTCTATGATGTGCTTGTGTCCGCTTGGTTGCGAAATAGTTCTGACTTCATACAGGGCTTACGGAGCTCCCCGGTGGCATGCCTGTTACTGGTGCTGGTGGCAAGGTTCTGTATTAGGCGAATGGTTGCATGACGGTGGGTTGATGGAAGTAATAGAGATCATAATGAATTCAGTAAAGCGGGCGTCAGAGGCCAGTACTTAGAAGTGCGGTCATTAAGACCGTTTGTGCAGAGCTAGGAAAATGTCCAATTAGTCTACCTGCTTAAAGACCGGGTCCTCTAAGTTTCAACCTCTTGGCATATTTTCGCTATCATATGTTTATGTTTCTTGTCCTAGTTCGCTTGGAATTATGAATGCTAAGATCATTTCGTTGTGCTACCCAATTTCGCCATGTCCCAATGGACTATTCACTGCGGATTGATCGTAGGGTGGGGGTTAAAGATACCTGGAAAGCATCGGGTAGTCTCGGTTGTAGGATCTACGAAAGGCCCAGCATCTTGGATAGAAACTGGAAGCCAAGGGTCTAGATGGCATAAATCAGCTGAGTTACAATAGAAAGGTTCTGAATATCAGCTTACAGCTATAGTTCCAGCCCATCTTCATTAGGAGAACGTCCCATCTCCGAGTAGCAATTTCAGGAGATTTCCGGAGTTCACCCTCGGCGGTAACAGTGCAGTCTCGCAAAATCATGGCGTCCCACGAATGTTTGGGGCTGAATATTTTGGGTCCATGAAGAATCCGAATCTTGTCTGGTCGAGTCGAAAGAATACCCCATGAGACATTGTAACGGGTCATGGCAATGGTAGAAAGCATGATCTTGATATCGACTGTGAGGATGTTAGTTGGGTGCCTGTATGATGAATAGGTAGAAACGAATAGTTACCCCTAATGTGATACTCTTTTAATTCATCAGGATACTTGAGCCATATTAATCTTGGGAAGCCGTAGGCTGTGGCACCACAAGTCGAAATCATCAAATTGCATAAAGCGTTGTTCTCCGAAGTCCAGAACGTTTGCTGGAGGTAGTTATTGGTATGTGGTTTACGCGGTAGAAAGCATACATACTGTCTCGGCGATGTGATCTTCGCCCGCTTTATAATGACACTGTATAGAACATAAGCTTAACCAATCATCGCAAGATAGTATGCTTCAGAATCGTACAATCTTGGCTAGATGACAACTCCCATTGAGCCTTGAGTAATCGATGAAGTCGGCAGAAGGGCCAAAGAGGAGTGTGCTATCCCTGATATCAAAGGAACTTCCCACCCAGAGGTGTGGATAGCGCCTCAACTTATGTCTCATCTTGCGGAGTATCCGACCTTCGCTCATGGGGGCGGGAACGGCAGGTTGGGCTTCGTCTACTGTATCTTCTCCCTCTACCGTCCCGGAACTTTCATCATATTCGGGCTGGTTGGATTCTCTTATCGTCTGTAGTAGAGACATTTTGATTTCGATATGAGGTGGTGTGAATATATTGATTAACAGCCCTGGAGGATATTTCTTTTTATACAGTGCGACTGTATCTCGAGTGGTAATTAAACGTGGGAGGTCAAAAAATATGATTATCGGGATGGGATGGATGTCTAAATTTTGTTGTGAATTCAAAAGATCGGAATTGGTAGGTAGGTACCTATCTACCTAGTAGTTTTACCACTTCACCTTCCCAGTATTATCTCCCTTTTTTGGCTACACCCCTAGCTCCCAAGAAAGTGCGTGTCAGGACGAGACCGGGTCATGGATTCCTCAGTGCCCAGGCGTATTATGGTTCAACCTGTAATAACCTAAGATTGAAGGTATAGGCAGGTGCAACCATAACACATCATCTTCCCTAAAATTACCTAGGTAGCGTCTACTAGGTACACGTAGTCGGGAGCAACATAAGACTAAATACTTAAGAAACGCTCTGAAGATCCTAATGTGAGTTGCGTAAGTAGGTAGGTATTGATCGTGCCAATTAGGTATATGTAGCTACCCAGGTAACTATTATGGCATCGTTTTAAATATCTCACGAAGTGTTCAAGTCAGGCATAGGTACTAATTTATAATAAGAATTACCTCTGGTTACCTATTATAAGATAATGTTGCTTGGATATCAACACTCGTCCTAACCCTAACCCTAACCCTAACCCTAGCCCTTGCGAGATTCCGATATCAAGCGCGTTAAACGTTATGTTATATAGGTACTTCCTTTGTACCCCTATGTAGATCTAGAAATCGCAATCCCATATGCTATAGGATGAAGAAGCAATATTTAGCTCGAATAGGTCTCATCTTCAACCACACCAACCAGTGAACTAGGTAATCTAACGTAATATTTAGCTATATTCCTAATGATAAGCGATGCGTTGGCTACACTTGCAGTATCTTGAGACTAACTGTAGCGGTGTATAGCGCAAGAAACAATAGATAGAGCTGCTAGCCGAATAGGTGTGGTAACAAGCGAAGCTGAAGCTGAACAAGCGAGATGGCAAGGATTAATTGTCCATGGCTTGTGCGATGACAGGGGTCGAAGAGAAGGTGTAGCGAGACATGACACCGAACAAATCTAGAACGAAAAAAACGTGATGCCAAGAAGGAATAAAAATGATTACACCCGAGATGGTCGTTGCAATCCTTAGTTATTCGTACTACGTTGTTTAGGTTACTGTATTTGTCTTTTATGAACCCCTATTACACCCGTGACGATGGGCACGGACTATGGTCAGCTTATCATCGCGGTTCCGTGTCAGCTTGTAAGATCCAAATCCAATGTCCGAAATTTTGACGATTAGCGTGCGACAGTTCCCTAAACCTTACCGACACCAAACCGAATTTTTTCGAATATTTCAAATTAGACTGTAGTTGAATAGTTTCTTATATTGCGTACGTAATTCCGATAGAATATGTTGTACTACGTGGAGTATAGCTATTAGACACAAACCAGTCTTTAGATCCCGCCTGTGTTAGGTTGCACGTAATCGTCGCAGCAGGCGCGATGGTCGGAGATCCACCTGTACGTTAAATAAACTTCAGCCGCTAAGACTGCTAGGGCGCTGCTGGGAAGTACGTACCTCTAACTAAACTTCCAAGTTCAAAGTTTCAATGTTCCTTTCGAATATTTATCACATTAATCTTTAAATTATTGGATTTTGATCACTATGAGTCGCAGTCTTGGTGTCAAGAGAGAAGCCCGGAGTTAAGGCAAAAAAGATGCCCCGACCACCCGGCTTTTCCACATCATACATCCTAGATGTCAGAAAGAGGATAAAGCCTCGGCTCTTGAGGAACCCTGCTTTGTTTTTTATTCTCTTCTCCGCATAATCTTGAGTTGCATCTCCCATTGTGATTTGCGGGGATAGCGACCCCCAATGATACTTCATGGCTTATTCGTTCATTCGTCGCAGCCACTTGGCTTGATGCTCCAGGTACGCAGGTAGGTAAAGGGTCTAGGACCAATGAGAGAGCTCACATAGCGAAGGGGAGTTCTCAACGTTGCCTACTACCAGCTGCCTGCTTGGTCACGGATACGGTAGGAAACACGGCAAGCCCGCACCGCACCCGAGCTACTGAGACGGGCTCCGCACTGTGACGTTAGGATTTTGATGGAGCAGCTCGCGTCTATTCACCCTTTTCAGTGAGCATCCTACTTCGTTTTCAATTTGTTATCTCCCATCTCAGAGAATTGTCAAACTCTTGGAAAGTTTGTAGGCAAATAACGACTGCGACGACATCAATTTTATCTTCTGTCGCGACTAAGGTTCTGATCGATATTAAGTGGCTTAAGAGGCTTAATAAGGACCCTAGCTTTTTACCACTCCCAGATCTGATTCACGCTCCCACCAAAACCAATTTCATCCCAACAATGACAATTGAATCAAGATGGTCGACTCCAATACCCAACTGCTCGTTGCAGAAATGGGTATTCGGGTCTTCATTCGAACCTCTCCTAGATACTCCTCAATTTGTCGACGCTGATCGCCCGGAGACACACTTCCTTACACAATCCGATTATCGTCTGTGGTCGAAGCGATTGGCCTTGGGATTGATGCGAGCGGGCTTAAAACCAGATGACCGCGTTCTGCTTTTCTCTGGAAATTCATTTTTCACCCCAGTGGTTTTCATGGGCGTTCTTATGGCAGGAGGCGTTTTCACTGGCGCTAATCCGAGCTTTGTTGCACGGGAACTTGCTTATCAGGTGAAAGATAGTGGCGCTTCATTTCTAATAGCTAGCGAAACCAGCATCGAGATTGCGGTAGAAGCCGCAGCTCAAGTGGGCCTACCGAGAAGTCGAGTGTATAGCTTCGATGCGACGGCGCTTGACCCGGAACTGGGCAAGGCACGTCTCGGCATCCAGCACTGGACAACTCTCCTTGCCTCGCCAGAAGACGCGTCTAAATTCGACTGGATTGAGCCGACTAAATCGAGCGAGAAAATATGTGCCCTCAACTATAGCTCAGGAACAACAGGCGTGCCGAAAGGTGTCGAAATAACGCACTACTCCTATGTGGCGAACGGGGTTCAGGTAAACTTCATGGAACGGTTAGATTCTCTGTATGAAGAAAAGAAGAAGCGGGCCCGCCGATTGGGCTTTTTACCACTGTACCATGCGTACGGGCAGACGTACTTCATCAGCATTTACCCGAGAGAGGGCGTCCCGGTCTACATCATGTCCTCATTCAATTTTGAGAAGATGCTACAACATATTCAGAAGTTCCGCATCGACATTCTCATAGCCGTGCCACCCATCTTAGTCGCACTCGCTAAGAGTCCCCTCAGCCGTAAGTATGACCTCAGTAGCGTCGAGATTATTGGTAGCGGTGCTGCGCCACTCGGGAGCGAACTTAGCGACGAGGTCGTTAAGCTGTGGCCACCAGGTGCTGTAAAGCTACGCCAGGGTTGGGGCATGACTGAGTTGACGTGCAGCTGCACATCGTTTCACCCCGAAGACAAGAATAGGTCTGCAGCTGTTGGTGAGCTGGTACCGAATTGTAAAGGGCGAATTATGAAGATCGATGGTTCGGGGGAGATCACCAAAGCGAAAGAGGCGGGCGAGGTATGGATTAGCGGACCAACTCTCTTGAAAGGTTATTGGAATAAGCCTGAAGCGACCGCAGATTCCGTCCATGTCGACCCGGATGGCACCCGTTGGATGAAGACCGGAGACGTTGGATATATAGACAAATACGAGCCAGGAGGGCTTCTGTACATTGTCGACCGCATCAAGGAACTCATTAAAGTGAAAGCCAACCAGGTTGCACCCGCTGAGCTAGAAGGTGTACTTTTAGACAATAAGGGCATCAGTGACGTAGCCGTTGTGGGCGTTACAATTAACGGTGAAGAGGCGCCGCGCGCGTACGTTGTTGCGAATCCCGACGTGAAGCAGACAGAACAAGAGATTGCCAAATGGATGGAATCTAGAGTAGTCAAGTACAAGTGGCTGCGTGGCGGTGTCAAATTCGTCGACTCTATTCCTAAGAATCCGGTAAGTCCGACAACACCAGCCAGATCATATATGTCGGTGAGAAGCTAACAAGAGACTCATTAGTCCGGCAAGATTCTTCGTAAAATCCTCAGAGACCAGGCGGCCAAAGAAGTTGGAGACAGGAAGCCGAGTTCGACGAAGCTGGCTTAAGTTAGAACAAGTAGAGAGAGGGCTTAGAGAAGTTGGGTCCTAATTGTTTTTCTTCTAGCGAGGCGCGAATGTCCGGCAATAAGCTGCGATCTCATTTCGACGGCGCATATGAGTTTCTTGGTGTTAGCATTATCTAATGAGATTCAAGCAACCAGAATATGAAGTATCTAGGTTGGGATGTCGATAACCTTTAACATGCAGCCTCTGTATATACTGATGCTGGGGTCTGTAATTTGATTCTTGTGTACCTAGTATCCCGTGGACTAATATGGGGGACTTCCGAATGCTGCCCTCTGTGACACAAGATGTTACCCACGCGAAATCGAGTGAAATGAGAAACGAGCCCTTTAATACGTCCTTCGCACGAACCATCCCCTCATTATGTTAGCCGTAAGTTCTGTTTGCTACCAACGCAATCAGTCCGTAAGCGTACTCGGTAAAATTTCTCGTTATCGTTAACATTTTTCATTTTATCGTTAGATATTTAAACTAAATTTATCCGCGGGAATTATTAAAGCCCGTTCGTTTAACTTTGTAAAAAAAAGAAAATTCCTTGGATATTTCTTAAAAAGGTAAAAAATAAAAATAATAAGTAATAAATCGATATTTCGTACGAAATTATATAATAAGTATTAAAAATATAAGTTTATTTATATAATATTAAGTGCGAAATATTATAATTTTAATAATAAATTTTTAAAAATTAAATTATTAATTAATTATATAAATAAATAATAAAATTATCGTTAATTTTAATAAAGTAATTTTTATTAAAAATTATTTTAATTAAAAATATTATACGTTTTAATTAATTAATAATTATAATTAAATTTATAATATAATAAAGTTTTTATATTAATAATACTTTTTTTCGTATTAAAATTATTATATAAACGTATATATTTTTAATGTTTATTTTTTTAATTAAATAAAATTTTCGATTTAAAATTATAAGTAATTTTTTTTAAAAAATTAAAATTTAATTAAATAAATTAATATTAAAAATATATATATATATATAATTATTTATATATAAAATAAAATATTATTAATATAAAAATTTTATTATATTATTATAATTATTACGAAAAATTATTTTAATTATAATAATTTTAAAAACTAATTAATTTAATTAATTTTAAATATAATAATATTATATATATACTTTTATAACTAAATTTATATGCGAATACATATATCCCACGTTTAAATAATTCATTTTAATATATTACTATATACTTCTTTAATAATTTCCGTACATTTTATTACTATATTTAGAATAGCGTTTCGAATTTCCGAAAAAAAATCTTTTTTTTGCAAAGATGTACGAATGGGCCTCCACAAGAGTGGAAACCACCATCCCTCTTCCCATTACAAAAAGAAAAGATCGAAATCTTCTAAGTTACCAAATTGGAATGCACACCACTGTAGCTCTCCTGTCTAGTAAGTAATCGTAGCCGTCTTATTCAAAAACCTCTCCTCCCTCCGCGCAACCAAGTTCCTCGCGACCCACTTCCCCGCGTCCTCCCGCGAGATCGTGTACCCGATCGCCTTCGTCTCAACCCCCTTCGCCGGGTCCTCAATCCCCACCCGGATCTCCCTCTCCGTCTCCCCATCCGTCAACAGACTCGCTCGCACCACCGTGTATTCCTCCCCGCTGGACGCGAGCTTGTCTTCCATCGCTCGCTTGTCTAGGTGCGGTACTTTCAGCACGATGCTGTAGAAGGGCGTCACAGCGACCGGTGTGTCCCGCCCGAAGCGCGACATCCCGGTTGTGCTGAATGCGGTTATGTGTGGACGTCCTACTACGCCTGACTTGCGCAGAGTGGTGAGTGCGGAGAGCAGGGTTTCTATGCCCTTCTCGCATACGTGGGCGTCGTCGAGGGTCATTTTACTCCAGATGAAGGCGCCGCCGATTGTGGAAACGATTGCGTCTACGAGGGTCGTTTCTGATGCCTTAAGACACCGCGATACGGCTGCGATGTCATGCGCGTTGCCTTGCACGATTGTGAGGTTAGGCGTCTTCTCGAGGTCGAAGATGGCGCTGAGTTTGGCGGGGTTGCGGCACAGCGCGATGCAGGAGTGGCCTGCGGCGAGACAGGTCTTTAGGGCGCCTAGACCCACGCCGGTGCTAGCGCCGAAGAATGCGACTGTTTTTTGCGTCATGGTGAGGGCGAATTGGTATTTTATTTTCTTCTAATTCTTTTATATTGGGAAGAGGGATTTGGGTGGAATGTATGGTATCTTGGCATCGTGATCTCTTCAACGCCAAGGTCGAATACATGGATCTTATACATTCATACTCCTAGGGGTAATGACTCTTGCTAATTGTCACAGTCGGTCATAATGATTGGATCCACGATGTCGCTAAGAAACCGCTTCCTTTGCGGCAGGTTTTCGCTCTTTTTTCGCTACAGGGGCCGCTAGCTCGGGGTGCGATTCCCCCGGCTTGATTTTTAGTGCCCGGGACCTAGCTTGATTCGGGTGATACAGTAGAGCCCAGCTGAGGCTATAGAGTCAGCTTCCCACTCCACAGTACCCCTTTTCGTATACAAATCGCGAGATAGTTGCAAGGATTGGCAATTCTCACCTAAGAATCCCGAGAGACCTGCATCCTTGCATCTGTCTATTCGTATGGTTGGATATGCAGATGCAATCTTATCATACCAAGGCTTCCAAATCGCAATCGAGCTATCGTAGCTTCAATATTGGAAATCGTGGTTTAAGGCTTGGCGCGTCTATGGCAGGTTGTGCTAAGAGTAGTCCCGTTCAACGGGCACCCAAATGCATCACGTGACCACCCTCAACCTCAACACTGTCATGCGATAATCTTCAACATAAATCCAACGGGAATTCTCGTAAATCGCTTAGGAATCAGTCGTATCGAATGATATATAGTCGCTATAATATTTATGAATTTGAATTCCAGTATCGCTTGATATGAAAAGCCGCGTCACCACGTTGCAGATGATATTTCATTATTTATCTTGTGCAGGCGTCTTAATGAGGTAGTAATAGCTTTATCCCATCATCATAGACTGGTTCAATATATGTGACGACCACGATTGTAGGATAGTAATGTGAAATAAAATGGACTAAGATCTTTAATTGTAAATGTGTTAAACGTCGAAAGTGGTCACAAGAAAAAAAAAGGCCAAAAAGACAAAAAAGCTCAGCCGGAAGACGGAGGCGGTGGTCCTTGAACCTCCAGCCTCTCCGCGTCACCGACGGGAAGTCTTGGCAGCCTACGAAAAACCCCATCTCGCCCGGCAAGGATTTTTACTGACCTACTCTCTCTACCGTGAAGTCACAGGGGCCCTCTGCTTAACTCCACGATGAAAGGCACTTGTGGTCCATGCTTTACCCATACATTATTATATTATTTAACCCTTAGATCGCAAGTGCACAGTTCGGTGTGGGTCCTAGGGGTGAGTCAGGGTTGCTTGGGAAACAGTATGATCAGGCCTGATATCTTTCAATACTAGGCAAACAGCACAGAATAGCTAGAGGCACCTTTTCCCATTTCATCGTGCGTACTATTTCCTACTCATTGATTCTAGCTTTGCTCGAACAACATCATATGCCTCAACCATGCCTCGTACCTATCTAGCCTAATCGCATGGGTTTACGATAATTGATACGATTCTTACTCAAACATTTCCCCAAAATCTATATCTCGTAGCACGAGTACGTTCGAATACTAGTTGTAGCGTATGTGCTCTTCCTGCCAGTAAGTCATTCTCTAGCGATCTCCTTGTTCTAACTACAAATATCATCAGTCGATTGACTCGTGTCACCAGTCTCTGAGACGTAGTTCTTCTGCTCAGCTCTCTTCATTTGCCAATTTACATGCGCATTCCCTTCCACCATCTTGGATACCTCGACCGCACCGACTAGGTCCTGGCGAGGTTTATTTAAGACACTATACAAGAATCATCGCCAACTCACGGTCGACGTCAATGGTGTGTCGTTTGAAATCCGGGGCGTCTCGAGCCCTAGAATGGAGATGCGAGTCTTGCCAACTATGCACTAGAAGATGCCAGATGGTATTGGATCAACTGGCGAGAGACGCTCCAGACGACCCGGGCGATAAGGTCACCGAGCCGATACCAGTTTCAGATAATATCCGGACAACCTCTATGCAGTGCGCCCAACCTAGAGAACGTAGTCATCCACACCTACTCGAGATAAAACGCCCAACAGATTACCGCCTTATCCAAGTCCACCACTCTAGTGTTTTCGTTCATAACAATAAGTTCGTTAGCGGCAACTACTAGAATAAGACCGACCCCTTTTCTGCTTACGTAAGGAGGCGTAATGCAGTGCTGTGAGTGGAATCCGACAGTCTTCGGGAGCGACTACAGTGACTTTGATGATAGGTACCTACCTAGGTAACACAGAGCTACAGACGCCAGATTCAATTATCCAAATTCCGCCGTAGAGAGCCGCATGCCCAAGCATACGGGTCGGTTCGACGTTGGTTCTCGCATTCTAGGATCTCTGCTTATTAATGAACTTCGAATGCCAAGCGCTTACCTAATTTGGGCGGATTGAGTTACCTTAGCTAATACCTGATCCGATTGGAACGATAGTTCCGCGATGCGAAGGAGTTGGTTACGACTTTCTTGCAAGATTTACTAGGAGTAATGTTACCCGGAAGACATAATATTTTGTTAACAATCCGATTCAATTCCTGGACTCCAAGGGGTGCGGTCGCCCTGGGATTAGGTAAGTGGCTTCCGCCCGTTACACAGCCCTAACTCGTTTGACTGAGCCGAACCCCCTTTCCCTTTCCTTTTTTTGCGGAAAGCGCAGCACTCGAATCTTCCCAGCCTCTCCCCAAAATGCCCAAATCGCTCGGCAGCATTGCATCGCATCGCACCTGTGACCCCTCGGCCGTCAATACCGTACATCTTACCTCACATAGCGATCCGTCCATACCTCTCGTTAGCGTCTTCTCACCCTTTATATGGAGTCGCACAGACCCGCCCTACGATCAACGGCAGCACCCGCCGCGTCCGCGCCCGTCATTACAGGTGTACTACACAGCCCCTGAAGCGGGCGACCCCGCATATCTAGAATTGGCCGCTCGCACTCTAGAGACGGAGATACTCAACGAACGCCACCAGGGGAAAGATCCCGATGAGTGCGATCGATTGGATGTCTATGGGATGCCGTTTCGGGGATCAGATGGAGACTTGCAGACTTGATACATGCATGCATAGAGCACCAACAATGCGAGATCGCTGCCCGGTCCCAGGACAAGGGTTGGTACATCCAGCGCTATGACGTCGGCGGCAGTCAGTGGCGGAGGGCGTTGGTCATCGCGAGAAACCCGCAGGGATGGTAGTGGGTGGGGCAGGACGAGAAGGAGAGGAGAGATGTTGGTCTGAGCATAGTATTTTTTGATTTGGTCAATCGCGAAGAAAGCGACGAACCCGAACCCAGACCGATATACTTGGATCACAGGGCTGAATCGGTAGAGATGGAGGACGTCTTAATCAGAGAACTCAAGGCGGAGCTAAATTGGCAACACAGTGCCTCACAATTTGAGGAATAAGAAGTTAACCATGTCCGGTTTCTCCGAAGCCTGTGGCGCTCATCCATTCTAGCACTCCCCCAACATTGTATTTCCCTTGAACTCAACATAAGGGTACCTTTGAGAAAGAACGGTGAAAGATGAATACTAGAAGATACCTACGATGAAGCACGGAGAGTACATGAATTTACATACAAATTTACGTATGAAAGGATGTACTTTTAATATGGAAAGAAAGCGCCGTTGGTACACCGGTCAAGTTTCGCTAATTTCTCGCTGCAGGTGCGGCTGAATCGGGGCGTAATTCCCCCGGCTTTCTATGCCAGCGCCCGGGCGCTAGCCCCTATTTGGAAAATTCTTGCTTACGGGACCCACTAGCAGGCATCTAGATTCGCGAAGTCGATTGCATATTCACACCAAATCAACATTCTTGTGACACTAAGGAGATATCCATTTCACCCTATAAGAAGCTAAGCCACCCTTGGGAAATAGAGAATGTCACAGGTCCCGGCCGTAGCCATCTCGGCAGCGACTCCGGGTGTTTCGAGCGGGGTGGGTCTGGAAGTCCCTGATTCGGCTTCGCCCCCCGAGAAACACGCGAGCGCGGGTACCTCACCACGTGGGGGGACAGCATCTTCACCATCTGGTGGGGTGAAACTGCGTAGCTGTGTTACGTGCCGGACTCGTAAAGTGCGATGCGACAAATTGTCACCGTGTTCGAACTGTCGTCGCGCAAAAATCCCTTGCGTTTTCCCAAACTTGGATAAGCCACCGCGATGGGCTCGCCGGCTCGAGCGAATCGCGAATAGTGCTAAGGCGGCACAGGAAAGCGATCCTAGCGTGAATCAAGTAATGGATAGACTACGGAGTCTCGAGGGTCTTGTCAAGGAGTTGACTGGTCAGTTAGAACAGGCGAACGCTGGTGTCCGCGGCTCGCCTTCGGCCAACTCTCCCGAGCACCTGGGGCACGACCGGGATGTTAGTCACCAAATCGAGCCAGAGTTATCAGTAGAGAATATGTCGAAGGTGCAGTCGTCGTTTGGTCGCTTGGTTCTCGGGGATGCTGGCCAAAGCCGTTATGTTAGTAGCGGTTTTTGGTCACGCGTCAATGACGAGGTGAGGCGATGCATATCACGTGCCTTCATCTGAGTAACTAATCTGGATGTAGCTACATGGCCTGAAAATGGATACAGAAGGCCTGGCTGGCGGGGACTATGATAGCTCTGGAGATGAGGACTCCCCGGGAAAGACTCCCTCAACACAAGAGCTAGACAGGACACCTTCAGAACGCCATGCGTTTCTCTTCCGGAATAATCTCAATTCACCATCGCAAGACCTGCGTGAATTCCACCCCTTACCTTCTCAGATTCCCTTCCTACTCAATGTCTTCTCCGAAAATGTTAACATCATGGTTCGCATCGTTCACATTCCTACTGTTTACAAGATGGTACAGGATGCTGGTAGTAACTTATCATCCTTAACACCGGCAAATGAGGCTTTGATGTTTGCGATCTATTATGCCTCCGTAACTTCAATGGAAGAAGATGATGTAGGTTCCTCCCAATTTTGATAACAGGAATTTGATGCTTATATCTCTTGCGTTCGCTCCAGATCATAGCGAATTTCGGTTCTACTAAGCCAGAGCTCAATCTCAAATATCGTCTCGGCCTGGAATACGCACTAGCAAAGGCAGACTTCCTTAACGTCCCAGATATAATCCTTCTCCAAGCTTTCGTCATATTTTTATTCCTACTTCGTCGCCATGACAGCCCACGATTCGTATGGATGATGACAGGACTTGCCATTAGGATGGGACAAGCTCTTGGTTTACAACGCGACGGCAGCCGCTTCCCGAATCTCACGCCATACGAGGTCGAGATGCGACGGAGAGTGTGGTGGGCACTATGTGCCGTGGACGTGAGGGCTTCCGAAGACCAGGGCACGGATCTTACCATCACCCAAGGCAGCTTCGACACGAGATTCCCCCTAAACATCAACGATTCCGATATTAATCCCGAGACAAAGGAAACCCCCAAGGAGCGCGAAGGACTAACCGACATGACATTTTCCATCGTATTCTCAGGCCAAACTAGTGTAACGCAGAAACTGATGGCCCTAAGCCTCAAAGACGGGACATCGCGTCTAGACGAGCAGACGCGGCTCATAAACGAATTCTACGAACAGCTAAAACGAACATACCTACAGTACTCCCACGACACCAGCAACATCGGGTACTGGGTAACCGTAACCGTAACCCGCCTCCTCGTCGCAAAGATGAGCTTAATAATCTACTTCCCCGTGCTCTTCTGCCCGCACGAGCACCCCTCAGACACAGAGTCCCTACGCGCGAAACTCTTCGTCGCAGCCGTCGAAGTCGCAGAGTACAACCACGCGCTGAACGCCGAGCTCGCCTGCCGCAACTGGCGCTGGATCTTCCAGACCTACACCCACTGGTACGCCATCGTCTACATGCTCATCGAGGCCTCCCGCCGCCCCTGGTCCCCTGCCGTCGAACGCGCTTGGGTCGCCCTCCACAGCCGCTGGCTTATTCCCGCCCGCCATGCTGACCCTGCTGCTAACCAGAACATCCGCTTCTGGGTCCCCCTTCGCAAACTCTTGGCTAAGGCGCGCCGACACCGTGATGAGGAGGTTCGCAGGTTGAGGAATGATGGCGAGGCTGCGCGCGTGTTGGAAAGGGTTGATTGCGCTGCTCAGCATCCGGCGAGTTCTGGCCCGTTTCCGGGTGCGGATGGTGCGGAGAGTTTTCGCGAGAGATGGAGGAGGTTGGTGGGGTTGGAGGGGCCGGGGGTGGGTGGGATGGCGGGTTTTGCGCAGACGGCGGAAGCTGGCGCACTAGGTTTCGGTGCTGTTTCTCAGCATGATACGGGAATATTGGGATTGCAGCAGGATTTTGAATCGTCTTATCTTCAACACGGCATTTCGCAAGACGGAGAAGTCGCAGTAAAGCATATCCCAAGCCAAACTAGTCCAGGACTGAACCTAACCATGCCTACGGAGGCTCCTACTCAAATCGAAGCAGGGCTGCAACATGCTGGCTCGTCGTATAGCCCCTTCGCATCGGGACCCACGGATTTAGGCCCGGGCTTTGGGGCTTGGCTGTGGGCCGATGCTGACCCCTCAGTTGACGTGTTTGCGAATATTGATGCTGGGGCTGCGGACTTCAATATGGAGCTAGACGGCGAGATTGACTGGAATAATTGGATCGAATCGGCTAAGGGCATGGAGTTATCGGGAGAGCAACCGCCGGCGGACGGATGGGCTTGATTTATGGCATTTCTCCTTTTTTGGATTGGGGGGGAGAGGGGTCACAATGCGGGATACCTAGAACATGGGCTAGGTCCTCGACATAATTCCTCGCTAATGGCATGTATATGTTGCCTAGATTAGGACTTTTTGGACTGCGACAATGCGACGTGAATCCAGGACGAGGACATGAAGGTATTTGTTCATTTTTGCCTGGTTATCTAGGTGCCTAGGTACTAAAGCGATCTCGAACCCAGCCCTTCAACCTGTTCAATCTATGATATATAGAAATGAGCGCTCCCTCCCATGTATTGAATATAGCATGTATGACTATTTGAGATCTATCCGAGTTAAAAGACCTCCGGGAGCTTTCCACGCTGAAGTACCCAACAGCGAATAAGGAGGCGATGTAAGTGAGTAGCGGTATAATAACGAAGGTACTTATAAAGGAAGTCATAGATGATCCACTGTTATCACCTGAAGAACTATTGAAAACGGGCAGAGCCCAAAATGTCTGATATCGCGTAAGTTGATGAAACTCCTAAAAGACTCGATGAGGTACTCACAGCCATGAATCCTAGGGGGGTGTAAATTACAGTCACTACTGTAAAGACGTATATCGCCCGATTGAGAGCCATTCCTTTGTTTGCATCGCGAATAGAAGTAGCGTTGAAAAGCTAGAGAGGTTGTGAGTAATTTGTTTCAAACCACATAAAATTGGATTCTTACCCCATCCCTAAGGTCTTTCACATCTTGCGTTCTCCGATTTACACGGTCAATGAGCCCTTTAGCCCGTGTATCTATATCGGAGATGACAGTATCCCAATTCTTCTCGATCATTCGCAACTCTCGCTTATCAAGATGAAACCCCAGATTGTTTCTATTCTTGAGCCATTCCTGTCGTATTGCCTTAAGATCGATCACGCTCTCTTCGATCCAATCATTTATGACGCGTAGTAATTGATGGACATTGAAATATAATCTTGATAGCTGGAACGAATTGTCAAACATCAACCTATCCCAGCCCGCCTCTTGGTCATCAAAATAAGCAAGCTATGTCAGTACCTAGCATTAGTTATAAGCTATCTTAAATTCTTGACGGCATTTATACCCACCTTAACGCGGACAGTTTGATCAATCTTGTCCAGGGTACCTATCCAGCCTTGCTCCCAGCGACTAAACATGATTAATATGATAGTTTGGAATTGAGCAATCCAGATGCCCTTGCCGCAGGGAAGTATTCCATTTTGTCGCCATATTTCCTCGTTTGGAATAGATTCGGATTGCATACGCGTGTTCTTTTTATCGCAGTCGTACGTTAATAGTAAGGTATATGCAACTTTATCACTAAGCTGCTCGACACGAAGATGTAATACTGCTCTTCGTTCATTGAATCTAAAATACATCCTCCTTCCGATAGTAGAACGGGGCGTGGTTAAGTCAACAAATTCTCTGTTGAGTAATAAACCAGTGGAAGTGGCCGTAGGGGTTCCCCAATGTCGAGGCCACTCTTCACACCAATGTAGATTGTATGTCATCTCAAAGTGGTGGTTCTCAATGCATATGCTTTCGCGACTACTTGCAAGGCAGTCCCAAGGGACTGCAATAGTTCGAAGAAGCGTTGGGTTAATTCGGTTTTTAGATGCTGGCTTTCTAAGCCAGTTACAAAGTCTTATGAGTGTAGGCAAAGCCATAATCGAGTTTTTGTCATCGTCGAGGCCATTGTCATTGAAGCTAGAACATCATTAGTTAATAAATTTCCAGAGTTCACTCTAAAGTCAATACATGATTCTCCCAATATTTCCCTAAGCATCGAATTAGCCATGCATGACCTATCATCTCGAGAACTTCACTACTCGCTGCAATCACTTACATCGCTACATTGAACGGGATATCCTGAAAAATTAGGTTCACCGTAAGATTTCTCTACATAACCAATGTGATTCGGCCATTGGCTTTTAATGGATTGTGTTATATGGGATGATTCGATAAACATCGAACGTTCCTTGACTGCGATTCGCAATCCCTCAATACGAAACGTAATATCTATTAATGGGTCAAATTCGAAGCACAAAGTGTCTTGATCCCGAGAAAGAAGATAAATAAGACTGCCAGCAATGCTTAAAACGAAGTCGATGAATGCTTTTCGCATCTCTTTCAGTAGAACCTGATCCAAGACATGGTCACTTAGCCATTGATCCAAATTTGGCATCAAGAGGGTGGAAGTTTCTGGGCCTGTGACAATATCTGCGTCATTATTCTCAATATAAGTTTCCGTTTGATGATTTTGAATTTCTAGGAAAGTATTCAATTTAGTCAATGTTACTTGCAATTCCCGCAAAGTGTCTTCTAGGCTTTCTGCCATGGTGATTAGGTAGTCTGACTGTCGATAATTAGTTGGATGATTGAACTTGGAAGTTGATATTTAGTCACAATACGAGAGTAATATATTGGGTATCAACATATTTTTGATGGAAGATCTTTACAAGTTGTGTTCAATCTACATTGGTCGTGTAGTTGAACTATTCTAGGACATTTTACCTAACTAGGACTTAAGATGCGGCCTCCCATTTCACCTATCGAACGAATATTTCAAGGTTAGCGTATAGGACCCACGAACGAAGACGTGGAAAGATGCTGTTGGCGTATGACTAATGTATTAGGTAAGTACCATTCCTAGTCTTACATAAGATAGGGTTGGATTATTAATACGGCGATATCGGGGTTTCCAATATGCCTTCGGACTTACCGGGGTTACTACAGGCCTGCAGTGTTTAGTACCATTGGAGCACATCTCTTTGACCCCGGATTAATTAGAGAATGTTATTACCTAGGCAGGCACCTAATACCTGTACAACTAATTTCCCATCGAGGGGCCGTGGCAAATGAATGTAATTAGGCGTCCCTATAACCCTTTCCTTTTTGCCCAGGGATGAGCTTAGTCAGATATTTTTCTACTGCCTTCTAACGAATGTTTAGAATTTTTTCTGTCGTTCCTCACTGTCGTCCCCAACTCAAGACTACCAGTCCGCAGTATTTCCTGCTCAGTTATTGTGTCCACCACATGAATAACAACCCTTCTGAGACTTGTTCTTGTTGAAGCAAACTCTCAGATATCCCTCCCAGTTACCGTTGTTTGTCATCTCGTAACAGGCTTGCCCTCTATCCTTTGTGTAGGCGTCATTGAGGCCATTATATACGAGAGAGCCTATTCCTGAACTGCTGAGAACGGTCGAGTCGTGGCCACGGTCGGCCCAGTAATGGATATGGATCTGTTCACTGCAGGAGGCATCGTCCGTTCGTCCAGTGATTAGGCCGGCTCTCGCAAGTGAGAACGATGCTGAGAAACCATCCTCATGAAGAGCCAATGCCGTTATTCCGTCGTCGATATCAGTCCCGTTGCTTATGTCATACTTGTCCGTTCCAGCTGTGGCATGTTGAGCGTACAGCTCGCTCCATGTTACAGCATGTGTCGATAGGGACTTCACCTGTGGACCCGCATCTGAGGCGTCTCCCTTTTTGCCAGTGACCCAGCCAACTACTTTGTCTTTTAGCGTCGTGAATACCTGACCAGATGCAGCTACATAGATGCTACATGTAGCGAGAACATATCCATTCAAGCAAATCACTATAATATTGGTAAGCATTTTGTCGTAAAGTAGCTTGGGGAAGTTACAATGAAAGGGTAAAGGCGTCCAAGTGTTATAGGTCGATCCTTATCTACCTAGGTAGGGGACTTACTAGAATAACCGCCATTGGCATCATGGGACTCATAGACGACGAAGTTGCCACGACCATTACAATTCAATCTTTTCTCCAACGTCGGCGTCTCTGGTGCTAGAAGGGTTGAAGAACCTAGAGTCGCAGCGCCGCCGAGTGTACTCCACCACAACGAAGCTAAGAGGGCCAAGTGTAAAAATAACATTGTAATGGTCCGTATGCGAAAAGCTCGCGTCCTGGGAGATAACACTCGTCTTTTCGAGATGAATACAAGACCAAGCGATGGTAGTGATGGCGATAAAGAAAATTATTGTTAGCATACGACGAAGATTGATCCACGGGAGCTGTGATATTGATGGCGTTGCTTCTAGTATTGCAAAGCCACGAAGCGATATCAGCATATAGGGTCTTTTATAGACGCAGGCCAGATCAGGTTGCGTAAGTGATGCTTCGACAAGGACGAGATGTTGTGGATGAGTTAATATCTCATGAACTTGATACTTAGGTACCTATCTGAGAAAGGATTATCATAGGTTAACTACCTAGAATAAACCTGTATGACCTTGTATTAATCAGACCCGCTATGGTTCAATTATTCCAGTGTACAATCACCAAAATGTCTCGTGATCGTACTTGATCTGATGTCAGAAATGACGTTCGAACTATCCTTTAAATTTCTAATATCGAATGCTCTATAGCAAATGATGTTAGGTACCTAGGTAGGTATTGCATGGCATAGAAGACATATCTCCGTCCTGTAACACCCATCTTCACGGCCACGACACTACTTGACATCATCTATTCGACTTTTCCGTTACCTTTGTCTTAGAAGAAATATTAATTATCTATATTCTAGCTAAGTATTTACTCATTTGTTCATCACTCTACCACAGTTCTGATCGCCTTATTTCAATTAATTGCCTCTAACGGTGACACAGCTTTAGAATTCATTAAATAAACTGGACTCGCGATAATATCAGCGACCTTTTGAGTCTTCGAGATGTATCGGAATCTGCTGCGACTGAAGGTCAAATCTAGTTTGATAAACAACGTGTTTTCAAGTAAATTTTATTGTTATTATTCGCTCCGGGTTGGAGAGCATGGAGAATATGGTGAGTAAAGGGGTTATACGGATGCTAAGTAAATTGAGTTAGTGGAGTTTTAGTGGGACTCTGCTATATCTAACCCCTACAGCTATAGGTGGGTTGCACCCTACGAAGATGCCCCCTCAATTTAGCAGTGCGTGATTAGGTACCTAGTACCTAGATAAGCAATTGTATATTTTGCACACTGTATTTGGTCTTGGCTAAAACCGAAACCTGATAGTGATTCATTCACTAAATTCTAGTTAATGGCTGCTATAAATTCAGCCCATTTTAAGGACTCAGCCACTGGAGAAAAACGCCACATGGTAGTAGGATATCTTAATTTACACGGCTTTAGGTCATCAGCACAGCCGCTACAACTACAGTGATTGCCTAGGTGATTTTCAGCACGTCGCACGTCGTTATAGGTGCCTCTAGCGCATCTTGTCTAACGCCCCCACCCCCGCCCCTCACCTCCGACCCCTCTTCGCATGTGAAATTTTCGAAAGTTTCTCATTATCTTCAACCTGCTACTACTTACTATTTTCTCGTATGAGTGCGATCCTCCTTGGTTGTAAATCACATCATGCAGACGATTCCTGTTTCAGGTGGTTTTGGGAAACGTTTCATTTGATTCAAAGCATCGATTCCAAACTCAACTACTTGTCCGTATTTCGCGCATCCATCTACTGTGTTAGCGTCTTTTCCAGTGGCTAAGTCCCTGTGTTACGGCGGTTATCCACTAAAATTCAGAGGTACAGGTACCCGAATTAAAGTTTGCCAGCGAGATCATACGGTCAATCGAAAAGAGCGTTGGCCTCATGCACGGCTTTATCAACAACATCTGGGCTCATTTTTCTAATGACCTCCTCTCGAGGCCTAAATTTGCGCGAATAGAATGCTATCCAAAGGTTTGAATTAACCACCGAGTTCTTCTATACGGGAATGAGACGACGTACCTCCTTCAATGCTGTTATAATCGTATTGCAGGGGCGCATATCGGTCAGATCGTGAGGATGCCTTGAGTTCGATATGGTATACCTATCAAGATCAGACTCTACTTCGTCCTTGCGATATGAACACATGTTAACTTACCTTGAAGTATGGTTGGGTGAGATCTGGGAAGCGAAGGATGCCTATATCTACGACCGTTCTTTCGTGCTTCTCGCTCTTGTAGAAGACAGTACCAATGCTCGTGATTGTGGCGCCAGTCCACGCAACTATTTCGGCGAGCTTCGTGATGGGGACTGGGGTCGTACTGAGGATGTCGGCATCCTGGATCAAGTTATGGAACCATAACTCAACCTATCGAGATCATGAGTAACAATACAAGATAAAGAGAAGGGTAGCGCTTCATGCCTTCTTGATAATGGCTGCATCTGGACTTCCATCGACTTTGAATATGTTGGCCACCTTGCTAGATAACGTATCGCAACGATTGACAACATCGCCAAAAGGCTCAACGACGGAATTGTTCAAAAAGGCCGTTTCAACAGCGCTCCATTTTCGTTTTTCAGGTTTCATTTTTTCGATCATCATTACTGTTGCAGTGATCATGACCTTCAAATTTTTATCCATCTTTCGAACTGAATCACTGGTGAGTTGTCCATAGGCTGGGGCGAGATCACATCGAAGGAAGTCGTCTCGGGTGGCGAGGCGGTGCTTAATCTGTGAATTCTACATTAATATCTATATACTTGAAGAATCTAGGAAGCGGAGTATCACAAACCCACTTTCGAAGGTTCAAAATCGTCGAGGACCATCTGTATAGTGTTCTCGTTCTGAACGAAAATGTTGGTGGATGCGAATGCAGAGCCCCCATCTCCTCCAGTTGCATTTCCGCCCGTTAAGTCACCGGTTCTAATGCTGCCGTGGACATTGATCTCCTTGTTAACTATGGGGGCATTGCCATGGGTAACTGCATTGCAACTGGTGCTAGGGTCACCGTTACTGTCGTTTTGGCAAGACATCGTGTGATGGTTCGAAAAATAAATGATGGGTGAAGGGTGAGAATGGGAACCCAAGCAAATTCGAGCCTAACGCATACCTATATCGGCAAAGTATCCCCTGCTATACAACCACATACAGCCACATTATGGCTGCGTTGCTAGTTATGTGGAGTGGCTCAAGACGCTCGAGGGCCGACATACACGCTACCCTTCTTGCACATTTCTTCCACCTAGTCACGAGTGGGGATAGCTTAACTCCCCTCAGTAACGTCATCGGATTCGATGCGATAGATGTAGTTCGACACATATACGCATACCTAGTATACAGATACTAAGAAAGTCCTAATCTAAAAATTCTCTCATGCTCTAAGGGGCTTGAGGACTATTAGAGGAAGCCAGGTGGTACAGAGGAGTCAGTACAAGTTCACTAGATGGAGATGCGCAGGTAATATGGCGCCGTAAATTATGGTATTTGATTTCCTGGACACTGATCTGTACTAGTCTAGGAACAATGTGTAAACTTGACCACCATAACTGTTAGTTATCTTGCCGGCACACCATATGATATCCTCCTGATCATTGGTCCGTCGTCCGCTAGTCTTAACGGCGCCGTCAATTTCCTGATCCATAATTCAGCCGAGATTCCTACAGAGGATATGGGTTGTGTGAATGGGGGTCTTACTGGTGACTAAGTCCAGATTAGAAAGTGATTCCGGTGGAAAGGTTTCCAGCGCTGGCAGAACCACCGCCAGCACCATTACCGAGAGTGGCACCGTTGCCGACTCCACCGCTGATGTTTCCGCCATGAGCATCACCGGTCTTGTTGTCGCCGGTCGTGATAGTCTTGTTGGCGTCATGGCTATCACGGACAGAATGGTCATCAACGGTAGAGGTAGAGTGATCATGAAGGTTAGAATGACCCTGGGCCACCTTGCCTCCAGCAGGGACGTTGGCTTTGTTATAGGCAGGCATTTCGAACGTTCGGTTGAAGTGTTTGAGTAGTAAGTTCTTGGTTTGGAGAAGTTGCTGATGATGGTGGATTGTATGAGGATTACGACGCGGATTCGAGTCGGACTAAATAGTATCTGAGATCTCTTGTTTAGCCAGTCTCTCTTACCTCCCTTCCATCCTCATCCCGCGTCAGGCATCACGTTCGTGTAATGCCCAACCTGAAGGAGGGTAGGATGATATGAAGAAATATCTTGGCTCCCTCCTTTACTAGAAGATCATGCCATCCTGAGCCAGTCCGGAGGCAGTTTCTGATATCTTCTCCTCACGAAACCAAGTTTCACTCCAGCTGAAATCAATGAGTTGGAGCGGGTCGAAGATTTTCGAATTAGAATAGAACTATTGGTGCTTAGTATGTGATATCTTTGATAATTTTACATTATGTTACGTATGTTGTTGGTTTCATGACCCTTGAGTTTATGCCTAAGATCGTGGGGAGCTTTTCCGAAGCTTGTGACGACGTTCACTCTTTTGGTACGCCAACCAGGACTGCAGAGACTGAAGCAACTTGGAACAAGCTGATCCGCTTTCGATGGTCTTCCATGAGCAATACCTACTTTAGGTAGGTACCTAATCGAATGTTGCGGATCGACTGCCATTTTCCGTGACATTGGGTTTATTCTAGTCCGAATACCTATTTTGATGATAGACGATTGGTTTAGCTTACTAAGAGCTCTGTAATTGTAATCCTACATACCTACTATCCAACTCATGGAGAAAGTCTATAATTTCTAGAAATAATGGTTGTGTGAAAGCCTATAAGTAATTAGAGTTGCACCCAATAGTCTGTGCCTTAATTCAAGGTCTTCATGTAATAGACGTCTGAGAGGGCGAACGTGGATATCACATAAGACAGGATCAGAACCAAGGCCACGAGCCCCGCGTCGTCTGGTATCAATCTCAACCATATCCTTTCTTTTCGACGCCAAGTAGGAATGCACCTTTTGCATAAATTCCTACAGCAAGGTCAAGCCGTCGTGGAGGGTATCTGTAAAGGGAATGTAAGCTGCTATATCAACTTACGATGCGTAGGAACTCGGCAAATCAACTTCAACGTCAATATCGTGTTGATAGCAATCACAATATCAACCAGTTGCATTGATAAAGTGCAACGCTGCCGAATTTACGAATTCACGGATCACCACCGGATCTACCACGTTCCAAACAGAAACAGAAGCCGCGTACCACCTACGTGACTGGGCACTTGGTAGGTTGCACGGACGCGTCGGTAGTCCGGCTTCGTTGCCAACCTCTGAAAGCTGTGAGTACCCGGCCGGAGCCTCACGTGGGTCCTTCTTCACACCTGATCCGATTCCTCATTCGCGTTTGCCATACCCCTCCTTGTCGTCGATTAAGGTCCATAGTTAATTATCCTATGCCAACCTCATATTGATTGACCTTGAGAATGTGTGGTCTGATTGGTTAAGTTTCATAGAGACAATCCCCATGGGGAAATTGGATTTGAAGGTCAAGGAATCAGCTCAGCTGAAATATGCATATTTGACAAGGATGAGTGGACTAATTCCGGGAAACTTTACATCCAGCCTTACCTTACGTAGCGTCAATGGTGGGGCACATAATCTACATAAGCTTCTTGCCCAATCGAATTTAAGCAAACCGCATCGGTGACACAGCCTTCTCGCGGGCGCTAGGATAACCCCGCTTCCAGTTACGGGTAGGCGCATTTGACCCCCAAATTTGACGACAAGTCCATTCCGGCTCTTGCAGAAAGTCTCAGGAAGTAAGGCACCTTAACCATCCATCCTGCCTGCCTGCCGTCTTCGAGCTCATGCCTAAATGAGGCTACATTACGCAATTCCCAAGATTCGTCCGAAATCGTGCCTGATCACATATTCACATGCCCGAATACTTCCTCCCAGGTTCGCACATTTCAAACAGACTCAGTTGTTTCTATCTCACCAGACTATATTACATGAATTATACCTAAGGAATTTGCTAACAGCATCACGGCCTTGGTGGGGACATCTTCAAAGGTGCTTCCTATGTTTGGAAGCACGCACCTCATCATATCTACCCCTTTGCAACCGACCCCAAAACTATACCCAAATGAATAACTTTACCTACTTACAAAGTAGGAAGTCGCTTATAGTAGGCGCACTATGGTGGGTCATGATGCCACAGTAGTGAACCGTAGGTTTGCCGTCATCTCTAACTTCGCCCTGCTTCTGATAGTAGACAACTCGCTCGTCGCCCGCGCTTGTGTTGCTCTTGCCGCCGTCGTAGACTTGTCCGTTTGCAAAGGGTATTCTTGGCGGTTCATGTCTGCATGGCATTCGGCTGGGAAGCTCAGCTTCTCGCCCTTCGAGTTGTCACGGTTTAACGCAAGGAGATATTTACCCTCTATGAAGTAGTAAGTAAGAGAAATACTCAAACAGATATACGTCAGTCTAGAAGAGGGGCTTTACCGCTATGAGTGATAAGGATAAATTATCACGGCAGCATCGTCTTGTGCAATGCATAGGTACTACCTACAAAATACCAATAGTGAAATAGACATTTAAGAATAGGTTTCATTTCGGCTTGTTTTCTTTGTAATCATATTACCACAATCCTCAATCTGTACGTATGAGTTGAATTTATACCGTGAGTCCGTGACAGCGTGATCTATGCCAATTACCCCTGAATTCTGCCAATAAATGTCAGACAGTCGGCAGGGATTGGTCTTTGGTAAAAAAGAATTGGACTTGCCCAGTGCGCGATTAGATAATCAATCGCTTGATACTGTATTTGGTTTAGGCTTAGGCTTAGACCTAATAGCGATCTGTCCGCCTATAAATCCACTAAGATATAGCGGATACTTCGCTAGGTTCTAGGGGTTAAGCCACTGAGGAGGAGCGCCACACCGTACAAGGATTTTTGAAATTACACGGTTTTGGCCCTTGAGCAAATGTGCTAAACTTTTGACCCGAACCTTCGTAGGCTAAAACCGCGACCTGACAGGAACTCATCCACTATCTTTTAGTGAATAGCCGCTATAAGTTAAGCCTTTTTAGGGAGCTTAGCTACTACCTACCTAGTAGTAGATAAGAACGCCACACAGTTGCAAGATAGGTAGGTACTTAATCCGTTCTAATTCTTACCCAGCCAATGCTGACTAATTTTACATCAGGACATCTATTGATGTAACACCCCGTCCACAAGAATATCCACTCCAATATATTGCTGACGTAATGCTCTATGGCTGTGCTACCTACTGGCTTGGTCAATTGAAACTGATAATGTTCTACAGTACCTTTTAAGCAAGTCGTCGTCCTAAACATTATCTGCATAATGTTAGATGCATGGTTCTCTAACAAGCTCGCACCCGACGGCGACGTCAAGGATGGTTGCCATCCTGACGAAGCAGAGGCTCTGAAGAAGTACCTCCGTCATGAAATAACAGCTGAAGAAGCCGCGCATGCCATCTCGCGACCTATAGAGAATAGTAGCAATCCAGGCGAGGACTTACCGCGTCTTTGGGATCTTCTTATCGACGCTCTGCTCGAGCTGCCATTGGATAATACCAAGCGATTGATTACACTCATTCAAACCATCGAGAATCTACCAGAACCTGATATGACGGCTGTAGAAGAGGGAAAGCGGCCAGCTCATGGCAAGCTCTGGCGCGGGCTGCCGGGTTTTGGCCATCTTTACGCGGACATTCATCAATCAACCGACTGGCGCGAAGAGGCTCTCGAAGCGGAGGCAACCGAACGCAGGAGACTACGGGAATATCATATTAGGAAAGCAAAAATAGAAGCACAGCTGGTAGCAGAAGGACTGGCTGGCATCCCCATAGACTGGGGTTACGAGACCGTGACGGACGCGCTAGAAAGAAAAGATGCTTTGCTCGACGTCGAGATTCCTGCTGCGGCCGAGTGGCTCAGCATTGCAGGGGCGCGCTTCTGGGAGTGAGCTACGAAAAATGAGGAGAGCTGGGCTTTGGACAGACAGAGAGACCTCTGGCAAGGAGGAAAGGCAATGTCAGTTGAACGATACTCATTCTGGCGCAATCGTTTGAAGGAAGTCCAAAAGCAAAGTGATTTCGCGTTCTACTTCGCAGAGAGGGCACTACAGTCAATGAAACGGGAATCTAAAGCTACATCGTAACTGAATCAGGAATGAATCATTCTCGTCGCGTGCGAAGTCAAGACGATTATACGAATATGAGACTACAGAATGAAGGTGTCGGTTTTTCATCCGAGACCCACCTCCCCTTCGACGATACCGCCTTAACTCCATGATTTCAACAACATCCTTGCGGCGTAAGATGAGTCATGATGCGCACGTACTTATGGGATTAATCTTACACGATATGTAATTGCCGGCAACCTACGAAGGTTCATGCCAAAAGTTTGGACCATGTGCAGCGTGCGCTGGTGGCTGAAAGCCGTGTGAACTAAAATAAAATCCTACCGTGTGGCATTTTTATTTAGTAGCTAAGCTCCTTAAATAAGCTTAAGTTATAGCGATCACCCACTAGAATTTAGTGAATAGATCGCTATCAGGTAGCGGTTCTAGCCTAAACCTGATACAGTATGAGATAGCTGCTTACTAGGTATCTAGGTCCAAACTTTTGGCCCGAACCTTCGTAATCAGTTTTCTTTCTAGGTACGAATCAATGTGATATTCATTACGCCTACCATAATCCTACCACATCTTCCGCCACCTAACCTTCATATCCCTATCGGGGGGTGACGCCACCGCATTTGCGTATTCAATGTCATCCAAAGCAGGCCGGTCTGAATGTGACCCATCTGGCATGACCCACTCTATAAATTCTACCTCAAACCTCGAGAGAATCATGGAAATCGCAAGTAGTACCTCTGCATTGGCAAAATAGCGTCCAGTACATATAGAAATACCGCCGCCTACATCGTCGAATCCTCGCAATAGCATGAGTATCTGTTTACAGGCTCATATTTGGGGGGATGGTACTTCGAGAGAAACTCACCGTAGGGAAAGAATGACCCCGACTTGCCAGCGATGGAAAATTCCAATGCTTTAGTAACATGGCCCATTTCATTCATTGTCTCTACTTCTTTCACGTGGCGGTAACCCCAAAATTCTGAGGCTGGATGGTCTGGCTTACCCCCTGTTCGCAGATATTGTTAGTCTGGTTCGGTCAAGGGGGGGATAAGAATGTTAAAACACCATACAGACAGACTCGTCAAGATGAGCAACTTCAGTCGGAGCTAGGACTACAGATCCTTTGGGCAAGGTATATCCAGCAATTGTGACAGGTTCTGTTGATGTTCGAGTAATCAGAACCCCTACGTGGAGGCGCATTACTTCTGTGAATACCGATTGCAGTAGCGGCAGAGACGTAACTTTCTCCTGATCTAGGTATATACCATCAGTCTGATTTGCGCTTCTTGCCTGCTCAACTTCGCTCTTAACTGCTCGGTACAAGATAGGATCTTTGAGCAGTTCAAGCATAACCCAGGTACAAACGGGAATAGCGTTGGCGTGTACTCTGTATACAAAGTGAATTGGGAGTTAGCGTGCTGCAAATCACTAGCTGGAGGGTGTGAACCTACCCATAAAGAAACAAGGCAAAAGCGCCGCCGATGCTCTCAGTAGCGAAGTTGAAATCCTTTGCCCACCGGGCCAATCCTTTTGAGACCTGGGTACCAAACACTGGCTCCCAGTCGACCCCCTGATCCGGACCAGTCAAGTCGAACTCACGATCAGCGAGTTCATACCATTTACGACACATGCTATTGAACTTATCCCGGATACGCACGTCTCGTCTATTAAGCCAAGTTGGAAGACCGAAGGCCAGCACTTCAGGAACCTTCTCGTATTGCCAGAAGGTATCTATGAAGTCGGGATTGAGATCGATAATGCTTGGACCCATTACTGCTCTTGTCGCTGCAGCTACCATATTTGATTTGAAAAAGTCGGCAATCCGAATGTTCTCAACCCATTCATTGACGGGGAAAACAGCCAGCTCCTGGGCAAAGAATTTCTGGAAAGACGTGCCGAAGGCATTGACTTGACGGGCACCAATCAAGGTCTCGTCGTGCATGCGATGGCTTTCGTACCAGATACGCTTTTCCGGGGGAGGTCGCCCATCGCTTACCCGGCGCGGCAGAGCAGTAGCACCTGACCTGTCTGCATAGAAATTTGACATATCCTTTGGTGTGTATCCTGCCGCATTCTCGAGTATGCTCAGGATCCACGGTTCCGATGTGAATGACGATCGGAAGATGGTAGAGACATTATTGCCGCCCGTAATCAGGTAAATCTTCAACGGACCGAGCTGGCACTGTACAATGGGTGTCTGGCTTAGGGCTTCTCTGAGACAGTCACACTTTGGTAAGAGAAATTCTAGGCTGAGCTGAATATGTTTCAGACTTACTTTACACGCTCAATAAAGCGCCTTTTGTTAGTCATAAACTGCCAGCCATTGGTGAAGAATGGAATTGTCTCTCCGAGTCGTGGAGGGTGTTCCAAGTTCTTTGATGATTTCTTCTTGTCCAATAAGGTTGCCCAAATAGGAAGAAGCAGTAATAGAATTCCCAGTACTATGCTAATAAGCTCAGGCATCTCGAAGGGTATCTGCAGATAGGTTTTAGAATAGTTCCTAAATGGTGAGTGATCCAATATATACCTAAGTTGATACCTATTAGGTAGGTACGTGATGGAACACAATGCCTGGATCTAAAGCAACTCTAAGTGGCACTCATAAGTCTATCTCTATAGACTATTGTTAATTCAGAATAGCGACGACTTCTTGTCAACTTTTCCCGTTAAAGGTAGGAGTGAGAAGATTGTCCTCTCATATTCAACAATCTTCTCACTCCCAGGTACAAGTACGTGGCTTCTCGGTAGGAACGTGTATATACTAGCATTACTCACATCGTTGACCAGTCAAGTAATACAAGAAGCCTCATATACCGTGTCTTCGGCAAAGAAACCACACCATTACTCCGCATGGCGTGGACAAGGTGTATGATAATCCGCCAAGAAGAAATACAACTGAGACCGTAGTCTCCAATATTCCTTCAGATGTTCCACTGTTAGCATCGATTTTCAATCCGCCGAATTGCGCCATCTTGAGAGCCTGCCTTAATCATACACTGGGAGTAAAAAGCCTCTGATTCATTGTTAAGGCCGGGAAGATATTAAATAGGCAATTAGCAAATCGGAAAAGAGGTATGGTGGAACCCAACGAGGGCAAATGATTCAATTGGCTTTATAGAGCCTCACCGTCACCTTATTTAGCGCCGAGTGGTTGCGGGACATGATCCATGCTGACTGCGTCATTTATCGGCATGTATGAATAATTTGAAAGTACTACTGTATCACAACATGAAGCACAATATATTGGATTATGTCGCTAATAGCCTTACGTCTCCCATGCAAGCACGAACATACGTGCATGAGAGAGTTCTTATCTCATCCAGAGTGGCGAATTAAACTATCTACCGGACTGTTCTAGAACAGCCAGGTGAGTACCACGTGCTATTCACTTACCACTCGGGCTGTTAACCTAGGTAGGTGGCTACTTGTAGTGACGCGTGTTGAAATGTGTGCCGTAGAAGCGCCACATCGCCTCGGTCCAACTACCTTTAACAGCCAGACTATCTGCGAGTGGCGTCGTATCATGGCTTAAGTTGTGATACAACAGTAGGTACTTAACAGTATTATTTTATGTTTCACAAATCACTTGGCTGGCCACCTTTATGAATTGTCTCGGATAGTACAAACGCCTCTTATCCCTCATTCGCCCGGATTGGTTTCATTACTACCCATTATGAGGTACCTACTAGGTAGGTACTATATTTCATTTGGGAATCTTAAAACCCGGGACATAATTGGCGAAAACGCCTTTAGGATCATACTCTCTCTGCACCTTATCCAACATCTCGGCACTGGCTTGCCCATAGCTTGCGATTGGATCCTGCCACGCCGCAGCATAATTGAGGTAAAGAAACGGATCCAGATCACCAAGCCCTCCCACTTCCTGCTTGATATCCTTTATCAAGGCTCTCATTGCTGTACTGACTCTCCCATCATCATCACTTTCAGACCAAGTGATGCTTAGTAATATCACCATTAGAGGCTTGTTTTGCTTTTCATCTAAACCGAGCGCGTTATTCTTGGCATGTCGAGCATAGATGACCGGCGGAAGTGGCTCGAATACCACACTCCATACAATACCCGGAATATCCCGAATGGAGCTCACACTGGCATTCCAAACCCCCACGGTTGCGTTGATAGCCTCAACCGTGGGGCTAATTGTAACTGTGGCGTACGCAGCACTAAAGCAGGTACCTATTCATTAGTCGCTACTTAACTAGTTCGAACAAGACTCGTCGGCAAACATACCGCATCCCATTAGCCTGTAACATTTCCGTCTCGGCTGACAGATCCGTCATATTGGTAGTCCTCAGCGTGCTGCTCAGCGATGGGATCTTGAGGAGCTGCTGGAATGCAGCAGGATTCGCCTCATCCTTCGTATACTCCATGCTATTGATAATGAATGACGTGTTTCCACTGTACCCAAAGGTACCTATCAGTGATGAGTTCTCATCATAAGTAGGACGGGTGCTAAACTCGGCAAGAGCGGCGATCTCTTCATCGTGTGTAGACATGGAGAGTTGGACGTTGCCCCCCCAGAGACTGCCCTGCCGGAAGGATTGCATATCAACCCGGGTGACTATGCCAAAATTGTTCCCGCCTCCGCGCAGGGCCGATAAAAGGTCCGGATGTTCATTCTCATTGGCGTTAATGACCGACCCGTTGGCAAGAACCGTCTCGAAATTGATGACTGTGTCACAAGTCCATCCGTAGCGCGGGCCAAAGTAGGAAATACCACCACCGAGACTCAGACCTGCTACGCCGACACTCGAAGTCCGGCCGCCTACAACGCTAAGATTATAGTTGTCGAGATAAGCATACACAGAGCCCCAAGTCGCACCAGCTCCAACAGATACCATAGAACCGTTTCGGTTCTTAGTAATGGCGTCTAGACCCCTTAAATCGATTGTAACCCCCCCTTGGATGTTGGATGCTCCAGTAAAGGTTGAATGCCCGCCAGACCGGACAGCAAATGGGCAGACTGGACTTAGAGAGGTACCGCTAGTGAGAACCTTCACGGTTATTGAAACGTCATCAGTCGTCGTGGGGGAAACTATGCATTCAGGATGTATACTCGTTTGCTGCAAGGTAAAGTAGGACATTAGGGAAGCCGCATATGCGTCAACTCCCGGAAAAATCACCTTTTCCTTCAGCAAAAGGGACAATGTGAGGCACTAGGTAGGCATGAGGTATGTTAGCAGCCGTGTAGTATTAAAGCTTAATTAAAATTTACGTCATAATACTCACACAGACGCTTGCGACACTTGTAATGTTAGCCATCTTGGATCGATACTGCTTCGACAAGTCGTGCTCTGAATAGCAGTCTCTGTCTAGTCGGATCGGTTCCTTTTCTATAGATTTCACTTTGCTTTCTACGCTAAATGCTTACCACACCTCACAAGTTGCGAATTTGAAATCTATTTTCAATAATACATAAAAAGCATCCTTTCTTACGCCTCAGGGGCTTTCGTTGGGGGCCATTCGAAAGATGAAGGGATTCTCAATACGCGTTCAGAGGTTTTCAAGGCAGCCTACCTACCTACCCATCTATCACAGTATTCTCGTCAGAACTCGACATTTGCGTCTGCAAGTCGGTGAGTTACTACAAGAATCCTCCAGATGTGACCTGAATGATACCGTGATAATCTCCTGAGCGTTGCCAGAATAGGGCTGCATCCGAGTTGCGAGCTGCATTGCATACTCCCTAGGTCGGTAATACCTTCCAACATCTAGACGGTTCACATATTCAATATTAAGTCACACACTCCAGCCTTGCTTCAGTATCACAGCACTGATGGTTGCATCATGTTCCAATGGACGGGACGCGTACCATCGCGAGTACGGCCAGAATCGCACCTAGAGGAGCTGGGTACCGTCGTTGAAATCACTTACTTCTCTATCGATGCTAGGTAGTTGATACGGTTTCCAACTCTTAGAGTCACTCGTTCCACGAGCAGTCATATACCTAGGTAATTTGCAAAAAAGATTTAGTTGGTGTGCTTCGCATTTATCCCACCTCTGCATTGGCTACACATGAGAAATTCGATACCCGTACTCACCCTTTCTGTCTTCGGAATCAATCAACTCGTCTGCAATCATGTCATGGACTCCTAATTCAACGGACGTCTCAAACGTCAACTTCACCCGGTCGAAATTAGACCCAGGGTTTCTCACCATGATACAACTCATCGTTTTCTCGTTAATTACGCTGTTTACTTGGCGGGTCTGGAGGTTTACCGTATCTCCTATGCTGAATCCTTCCCATCCCAAGGAGTTTCCCAGCTGGGTTCCATGTAAGGACTTCATCAGCAGAAGTATCTATTCTATTTATACTAATACCGTCGCTTTCTAGATATTGGTTAGTGGTTACGTCCGCTATGCTATTTATAGCGCTGACTTCGTATGATCAGGTCATGCCGCAGCTTTCTTTTGTAACTCGAATGGTTTGCTCGCTTCAGCTAGGTAAGGCAGATAGAGAAACCCCCGTGATAATTTCCATGCAGAAAGAGATGTCCTAGCTTACACAGTCGGTCAGGAAATACTTCAATACTAATGAGCCATTTGCCTTAACTGTTCTGGGAATGACTTTTTATGTCGTAACACAGGCGAAACACTCTGCCGAAGTGTACAAGAGCACAGATACACTCTCTTTCGAAGACTTTGTACAGGGGCTTATGAGGACTAATGGAAATGATCTAGATGTCATCAAAGTCATGTATTCACCACTGTCTATTGACAAGGCAGGATTTCCTAACCCTCAAGGTGATTCTCTTGGTGTTCTGGCACAGAAGATGCATATCCACCAACTTCATCCCGGTCAAAACTTGCTCGTTCTCCAGAAACGCGTTCAAACGTGGATTCATGGCCACTTGAGTCTAAGGGTACTCCATGATACATGTACATACGCTAGTCCTAAAGGCCTAGCCAGTATCGAGCTTCCGCTCTATCAATGGTGTTCTGAATACTTCGTTCGGCTAGGACAACAGGTATATTTCGGGGAAATTCTCGATAAGATCGACCCTGGCCTTCCGTCTGCCTTTCTAGAATTTGACGAACTTATCTGGAAGATGTTGTATCAGTACCCAAGTTTTCTTTCACACGACATGTCAAAGCCGCGGTCTCGAATTATCGCTTCACTAAACAGATATTTCAGGATTCCCCGAAGCCAAAGGGAAGATGGTGCCGCCTGGTTAATCAATACCATGGAAGACGAAGCTAAATCTCTTGGGATTGACGACGATAATTTAGCTGTTCTGGTTTTTCACTTATACTTTGCGTTAGTCTCTCTACATTATGTCCATCTTCCGTGTTACAGGTTTGCTAATAATAAACCAAGCATAAATACAAATACCCGTAAGACGGTATTCTGGGTGCTTACCTACCTCGTCCACAATCCATCTCTCATGAGGGCATTCCGCGAGGAAACTGGACCAGCATTTGACGGCCACAATCTAGTAGACCCTTTCTATATTCAAGATCCCGTGAACTGCCCCCAAGTTGATGCGATTTGGCATGAGACGTTACGACTTTCTGGGTGGTCAGCCTCAGTAAGGTTGATAAATCAGGACACCGTCATCGGTGGGAAGCTGATGCGGAAGGGCAATCGAGTTCTAGTTCCACATAGGCTTTTACACTTCGACGAGAGCATATTTGGTCAGAATATATATGCTTTCCACCCTGAACGATGGCAAAAAGAGAACCTCACGCGGAGCCCCTCTTGGCGGCCGTTTGGGGGCGGCAAGACCATGTGCAGCGGTCGTTTTTTGGCCCGGTTCTCGGTTACTACATTCGTAGCTACACTTTTGCGACGATTCGATATCGAAAAGGTTGGAAATTCACCGTTTCCGCAAGCGGATCAGGGTCGACCGGTTCTCGGTATTATGTCGATTAAAGAAGGACATGATTTCAATGTGAAACTCACGCCAAGAGAGGCTGTACGCTAAATGAGCGTATTCATAGCTTAAAATCAGACTTGCAATGAAACAGGCTTTACGTCGATATCGAAATACGTGATATCTCACATGTCACCAAAATTGGTATTTTATCGTTTTTTGCAAACGAATTATTTCCAGGGTCTCTCCTGCGAAGATCTTAGCCAATCATCTAAACCATGTGTGGTGGGTACTGATTACGTACTTAAAGCCGTGTGAATTTAAATTGTCTCGTACCGTAGCTCATTTTCTTTAGTGGCTACGCTCCCTGAGTTATAGCGATGATCCACTAAATTATAATGAGCAGATCGCTATTACTACGCAGTCTTAGGTCAAGATTGATACAGTACCCATCCATAAATTGCTTATTTGATTACTCAGCTGGGCACTGAAAGCGAGAGAAGTCTAAAATTTTAACTAGCCAAGGCAACAGATGGAGGTATCATTTACAGAATCTAGATCCCAACGCAATTTCCAAGATGGAAAGGTACCTAGGTAGAAATCAGCCCACCTAGATCATACCTAGGCAGTAGGTAGAGCCTGCTTCACACGAAAAGTATGTCCTTCAAGAGGTAACGCGAAAAGCAGGCTGGGAAGGGACGGTGGCATAATATTAATTTAATCGGCTGTAGTGGGGGTTAGGATGGTAACACGACATAAATGGCCGCACACTAGGCCGGGCGCATACCTCCAACGCAAGGGATAAGCTCCTTGCTTGAAAGAGCCTTTCCGTATAAACCGAAAACTTAACTTCAAAGAAATTTCAATTCGCCCAGTTACCTATTAGCTACGCTACCAGGCCGATAAGAGGAAAAATATCTACAATTCTCTTCACACCCACTAAACATAGTGATCGCATTCTTGTGCGGAAATGTCTGCTGTCAAGGGGACGGTCCTGGTCACCGGTGCCAACGGCGGCCTTGGGAGCGCTATTAGCGACCAGCTTGTTTCGCAGCCCAAGTTTGCTAACTATCATGGCCTCTATACAGTTCGCGATGCAAAATCAGCACCTTCTCTCATGTCAATACTGTCCAAAAACCCATCGCATTCTCACAATGTTATTTCCCTTGATCTAGCGAATCTCGACAGCGTTCGTAAGGCGGTTGATGATATCAACGCCCGCGTTGAAGCAAAAGCTATCCCTCCAATCCAAACGCTCATTCTCAATGCTGGCTTCCAGGATTTCGGCAAGCCGATGTGGACTGATGACGGCTTCGACATGACATTCAGTGCAAACTACCTTGGCCACTGGCTGTTGACGCTGCTGTTACTGAAGAGTATGAACAAAGACACAGGGCGCATAGTCGTTGTTGGAAGCCAGTCCCACGAGTAAGCCTCTCATCATTCATCAGGCCATGATATCCTTATGCTAACTTACGGCTTTACCTACTAGTCCATACGACAAACGAAATGAAGGTACCCAGGCCTTCGACGGGGATTACAAGACTTTCGTACACGATGAGGCTAGCTTCGAGGCAATAGCTAAGGGCACCTGGAGTTCTGCTCAAGAGGATCCGTCTTGGCGCAGCGGATATCGTCGCTACGGTGCAGCTAAACTATTCTCCATCATGATGATCCATGAGCTCCAGCGCCGCATGGATCGCGATCCGGTACTAAACAAGGTCAGTATCTTAGGCGTCGACCCGGGCACCATGACAACCGGTCTCCAGCGCCATGCAAACTGGATCATTCGTGTCTTGATGTTTAAGATCATCTATCCCATCATCGCAATTTTCATGCCAAACGGCCTAGTAAGAAGCACAGCAAAATCTGCATCGCAAGTTCTCGAGGCCGCGTTTGAATCAAACCCCACCTATGGCGAGTTTCCCAAGGACTCATACTACTTTGATACAAAGCCTTTTGAGACCAGTACCGAATCCAAAGATCTACGAAAGCGAGACTTAGTCTGGAAAGAGAGTGTGAAATATGCGCACTTAGAACCAGGTGAAACGATCCTAGCTGATTGGCAGTAAGTCGGAGACTGGCAGAGTATTATGAGGTTTTCTCGTATCTTGTTATTACCTACCTAGTTAGTACGCTCTCTGGAAAATTCAGATGGAGATCATTTCAAGTGCCAAAAGCCATCGCACCAGCGCAGCTAACGATTCAGTACTAGAGAAGTACGTATACTAACCGTTACTTAGGTAGGGGGTAGGTAAAATGCAGTGTTGAGTGGCACAAAATGGTCACGAAAAGATACGTACATATTTTACCGACCAATCAATTAAGGAGTGTAGCAATATCTAAGACATGAATGCATTTACATAAATAATCCCCGGCACCCCGATCTTACAAGACAAGGCGTGTCTTTATCAGATAAATGTACCTTTTTTTTTCTTTTTGATAGCCAGGTTCCTACATTACAAACCCACCGGTCTCATCATATTTAATACAAAATCCTTCCGCAATTATTGACCTCTTCTCAATCAGAGCGCAGTATCAGAATTAAGGGGTGGTATCACAACAACTTGGTAGCACAGCGTCGGCGCTGGCTACATATTAATTACCTACCTCGGCTGCTGGCAATGTTGTTATGAAGTTCACATGAACATCCAAATAGCGAAAACTTATATCTACCTACCTATTTTAGGAAGGCAGTATTAACATCCTTTACCAAGTTACGTAGACTGTAGACCGCTAGTTATTATATCAACCTTAGAATATCACATCTGGCCGCATTCCCTCTCTTCCATCCTACCGGTACATAGCCCTAGTAGCGAAAATAAACGCAAGGCTCTGGGGGCTGCATTGGATGCTAGACAAACTAACGTACTAGATACCTCTCTGATATTTGTATCCTTGGTAGCACAAGCCAAGAGTGACAGTTTAAAGCCTTAACGCCTCCAACAGAGCTCAATTCCGTTGCTGATACATTTCTCCAAGCTGCAAAATTTTAAAATTTTACTTGATCTGTTTGCCAAAATGGATCCGGACAACACTCCAGCTAGAGCGCCGCCTCCAGGACGCGAGTCCAACTTCACTAATCCCGAATCAAGATGCTACGAATTGATAATTCTCATCGCCGTATTTACTGCTCTTATTGTCATACTTGTGTCCTTGCGCATATACGCGCGATTGAAGATCACCCGTTCTTTCGGTGCAGATGACTGTATGTACTCCAATATAGATATCTAATCGTTTGTAATTACTGGCAAAATCTAACTCCGTTTTACCAGGGCTCTGTATTGTTGCAACGGTTAGACTCTTCTTCCCTATAGTTTTTAATTTGCTGACGCGATGAATGGACCAGATTCTTACCCTATCCTACTCTGCTCTGATACTTAAACGTGAGTTTATTTGCAGGCCCCATTCCTGCAACTACACGTTTTCTAGAGCCAACAACATACAGTTCTCTGGATACCAGGAGGCGGTATATTAGGGATTCATTTCTGGGATGTGCCGCTTTCACATTATGTCGGATACCAGAAGGTAAGCGAAACTCCAGTCACAAAACCCAAATATCGATACTTAATAGGATCTATCTCCAGGGTTCTTTGGCCGATTCGGTTCTAATCCGTATCGACAACACCACAATCAAGGTGGCCTTTCTAGTTTTCTATCTTCGGTTATTCAGCCCTGTTACTCATGTCAGATACATGATTTGGGCTGGTATAGCTATAGTGGTCACCTTTTGTGTTGCCTTTGTTATCATCGATATTGTGGCATGCGCCCCATGGCCAAGCGAACATGGGAACTGGCTCGCCCCATCTTTGATAGACCGTTGCAACGATATTGCAGTAGATTTAGTCACTGCCGGCGCCTATTTCAGTGTCATATTTGACTTTTACATCTTGTTTATTCCACTACACCAAGTACCAAAACTAGGTCTTTCCAGGAAGAGAAAGATAGGCGTGAGCCTTATCTTCCTCACGGGCTTCTTGTATGTCGTCAACCTACCCCCCTATGAATTCTATACGAGAAGCTATTGACATTATCACCTTTAGGGCAACGTGTGCCGAGTTAGTTAACCTAATCATCCGCCAGAATAAAAAGATCTTTGACCTATCGGATTTCACATGGACCATCGTCCCCGTATACGCCACGAGGTAGGTACAGCTTCTATCTCTGGTTTTCTTTTCATAATAAGGGGTCCATCCAGAGCGAGATGAGACAGAGTACTAGCTTTCTCGTATCCAAACTAATCTTCGCTATGACACAGTCTCGCCGTGATCAATGTCGGGCTGATTTGCCACTCGCTCCCCGTCGTGTTCGTCATCTTTGTTGGCCGCTTCACAAACCTTAGTAAGTCCGTAAGCTCTTGGATTAGGGAACGGCGTAGTCCCCACCAGAGTGCTGGCGATAGTGCTTCAAATCTCGCAGCAAATGATAGCGCAGCACCACATCTTCCATCCACTCCAGGTGATTCAACCCTCTCAGGGATACGTAAGTTCATCCACGATATCTACCGCTCAGTGGTGCAGAACTCGGAGCATGGCGAGACTACCCTTACGACTTATAACGACCTAACACCAGCGGATCTTAGCTACCACGCCCAACTGAGAAGCATGCAATCCAAGCAGACCCTAAAGAGTGAGAAGGTTGCCCAGGTATGAGACCAACGAGATCGAACCCTACAAAGAGCGAGTTCTTGCCCACTCAGACAATAAATCGTTTCCCCTGTGGAGTATCCGGGGCGCTAGGATGGCTGATTAGGTTACGTGATGAAAGGTATTGGATTAATAGGGTTGATGGGTAACATTCAATGTCCTGATGTAAGACGGGATGGCGGTAAACTTTTTCCTTAGTTCCAAGTAACTCAAGTCAGATTGAATATACTGCTGACGAAAACTCCTATTCTTCGTTATTTCCCAGGTGCCTTCAAACTAGACTTTGTGCCACATAACCTAAAGTTCGACGTAATCATCTTACACTAGAAGTTTAAGGACGCCATATCGAAGACTTGGTAAGCTACAGACACAAAGCACAAACTATACGCGTTATAGTTAGGTAAGATGGCGTTCTCGACAAAATTCTAATATGAATCTACCAGAGATAACTACATAATGCCTACCTAGGTCCTAGGAATAAAACCATTCTATGGCACCATACTCCAAATCTTCCCGGTATGACACTTCTCCCTTTTCTTCCAAACCTCTCAATTTCATACCTACTCCTCAAGAACTGCTCCGTTCAATAATATCAGTTCATTGAATACTACGAAAACAGGTATAACGGCGCAATGACTTCCTCCATTTTACACCCGCGAAGGGGGCACACGCACACAATCATCTGGCTTCACGATCGGAATACTTTCGCTGTAGAATTCTTCGTCAAACTCTTCGACTGCGAAGCACCGCAGCCGGAAGGCTTGCCAATCGCTCTGCCTGATCTCTTCCCTACGGTCAAATGGGTATTCCCCCAAGCGCCGCTTCTGCGCGCCGACCAGTCTAACATCGAAAACATGTCGCAATGGTTCGACTTATGGTCAACTGGAAACCCACGAGCGCGACCAGAATTGCAAGAGCCCGGCTTGCGATCCAGTATCACCCAGATCATGGACCTCATCCGACGAGAACCGTTACCTAGCCATAAGATCTTCTTGGCGGGATTCGGCCAAGGCTTCGCAACTGCGCTTTCGGCATTCCTTACAGCTGGCGGTCTACAGTTCGCCGGATTGATCGGCCTCTCCAGCTGGCTACCTCCTTTCGCCGAGCGCCATCTTCACACGTCGATGTACCCCGTAACGGACGAAACTCCGGTGTTCCTGGCTCATTCTGTGGATGACAGAGTTGTGTCAATTAGCAATGGGAAACTTCTTCGGGATACTCTCCGTATCCATATGGGATCGGTAGAATGGAATAAATACACGAAGGGTGGTCATTGGATCAACGAGGATCAGGGAATTGATGATATTGTCACATTTTTGAGGGCTAATATGTAAAGCCTGGGCTGTTTTGATTGAGTTTACGTTGGTCTCAATATTGGTATCTTAGTAGTGCACGGTTTCATTAAAAGTTGAACTAATCTAGTTGGGCTATGTTCCCAGTTTAATCTCTAATTTCAATCAATTAAGTTAATTCAATCCGTTCGTTTTCCGTGTCAGTATCTTCAATCGAACTTTTGCTTACGCCCCCACTTTCATACGCCATTCTCAAGTCTAAGTGTCAAGAGCTCTATCTTGGGCAAAGGGATAAAAGGAAGGTGGAGGTGGATAAGGAGGGGTGTGAAGTTGGTAAGATGGATACCAAGTAGGTACTTAGGTGATACAATGCCTTTGTCTTGACAAGGTAGAATATAAGTTGAAAATAACAATACATTTTAATACGCAATGGTATAATACCATGGATATCATTCTGTATTGTGTCATCGTATAACCTAGCGTAACTCCGATATGTTAAAATGATGCCTGTTAATCAAACCAAGGAGTGTGGTGATGACCATCTCGCGGGGTTGACCGGATGGTGTTGATACTAGGTATTATGGCTAGGAAACTAGGGGGGGGTAGTAGTTTGAGGAAGCAAGTACCTCCTCGTATTGTTAAGGTCAATGTTAAGATCGCTTCTAGGCACCCAATGAGTAGAAGCTTTGCAGTCTCTCGATGCCCACATTTTCTATCCAACTTCAAAGTCGAGAATCCAAAAAGCTAACCTATTAAAATAACTTCTGGCGTATTAATCAGAATACTCCCGCTCCATCTCTTAAACATACCTTCCTACAAATCCCAACACACTAGGCATATCTTTAAAACCATGATACCGACTTATAAATTCACCCAACCCCATATTGAAATTCTTGCAGCTGCGTGCCTTCTTCCATAACCCGCAACTCTCTGATTGAAGAATCCTTACTTCATACTTCATTCATCTTGTGCGAGCACAAAACAAATTGTTCAATCTCATACATCCTCTTGATTGAAAATTTCTTCTCAATCGAGACTCTCGCCATCAACAAACATTTTATCGTCCAAGTGCCTGCCGCCTATGAATATGATCTCTGGTAAGCTCTTCGCAGATAGTTTTGCCACTCGCCTTTATTTTTAACATCTCTGAAATCACAGTTCCTTCAAAGGCACCCCAAACTACTACAATGTCCTCGCCTGAAATCAACTCGCGCAGCGATCTTCCTCAGCAGAAGTGGTATGACGTCGAACTCAAGGATATTCTTCCTCGTCGCGGTTTCGTCTTCAATGAGGGTCGCGACATTCTTGATGACAGAAGCGACGCAATCCTGAAGTGGGCGATTGAAGCCGAAGTCCCCAGTCTCAAGAAGCGCGAGGTCGACGAGTTCATCGCGGAATTCATGATGGACGTCAATGCGATCGCCAACCACCACGTTAAACCAAACTGCATGTACATCGACCTCGACGGTGAAACCCGCGCCAAGCCAACGTTGGCAATTATCGAAGCGGCTTGTACAGAATGGAAGTGGACCAATCAAGTTCCGCGCCAAATACTCGTCGACTTTCTCGAGGAACTGTGCCAAGCAAGATCCGTCTACAACATGCTCACGCGCATTAAAGGAATGCCCGAAGCCGACAAAGGCAAGCAAGGCAGACTTGCCCTCGCAATCGATGAATGGAACGGCACAAGCCCGGTAGAGGACCCCGAGGACTACTACTCCCGAATGCCGATGCGCAAGATCCAGAACATCATCGACAAGTTGCTTGAAGGAGATTTCAAAGACTTGGGACTATATGGTCGATTAGCCTTGGGTGAAGATGAGGAGGACGACGAGGATTCAGGAGACGCCAGCGACGAGGACGCCCCTTGGGAGCATAATTACGTCCGTCACTTCAGAATGAAGGACGCACTAGGTTCGACTAGTGGCTTCACATCTCCCTCTATTCATCCGCGACGCCATCTTTTGCGATATTAGGAGTCGACGGTTTGGAGAAGGTTCAATGGTGCGAAGTATTGGGGGAGGTTATTAGAAGTGGGGCGCGATGAGTCAGCCGCACGGGATGCCGCGGCCAGCGCTATTGCTTACTTGGGACCAATCAAATCACGATCGCAGGTTCCCTAGATTGAGATTGTACTTAGACACCTCCCCCATAGCTCAGCTCTTCTTAGGGCGCTCTTATCCGGTCGATCAGCTTTCGACCCCGCACTTGCCGACGCGAACGATCCGTCATCATCAATTGATACGTTCCTGTTGCACTTGCTGAATACATCATATGACCTCCCACATTCGTAATTTCGTAGAAAAACATAAGTTTTCCTCATGTTCCGTGCCGTGCTTTCCCCGAACCACGTTACCGGTAACACCACGGTATGACGGTAGGTCAAGTGGACCGTTACAAGATTCAAGGGTAGATCGCAAGGAGATGCCAAGTACAGTAAGATAACTCTAAACCAACTACAAAGGGAAACCTCAGAAAGTCAATTGCCTCACTCGTGATCTGCTTATCTAACATTGTCCAACATTACCTAACAAAGAACCCTGACTTAAACCGATTTTAACCTCCGATCTCGTTGGACTAACCATGTCATCGCTTTAACGTCGGAGTTCCTATTTATCTTGAACTGTTCCTGCCGTGAATTGAACCTGACTAGAATCTAGACCAAGCCTTTTTACCAATTGAAGATTCGCTTTATTATCCCACAAAGCAACAATAATTCGTCAACTCGTACAACCTATACCTCTACCTCAACCTAAACAGAAAAAACAACGGGGATCCAGACAACAAAGAAAGATGCTCCAAGCCATCTCCTCCAACCACGACGCCCACCATGAGCGTCGGCGCAAGAATTCCCTAGCAAGCCTAACATCCTCTCTCCAAGACAATAAGAAGCACCTCCTCCTAGCCGCCTCCGGATCCGTCGCCACAATCAAACTCCCCCTAATAATCGAAGCCCTAGCCGAGCGCCACTCCCAACGGAACAGCAGCCAAGACCTCAGCATCCGCGTGCTGTTAACCCCATCAGCCACACGCTTCCTATCCGGCCAATCCCGGGAGCAACCCCCCGTATCCTCACTCCTCTCCATGCCATGCGTGGACGGCGTATACGTAGATGCAGACGAGTGGCGCGAGCCGTGGAAGCGCGGCGACGCAATCCTGCATATTGAGCTCCGGCGCTGTAAGCCATCCCCTATTCCCCGCATTCCCCGCACCTTTTACCCCTTTTCCAATATCCCTCCCTCCACCCTTATCCTTGTCCCCACAATAAACCTATCTCTATAAGATCGTACGTAACGTTGGTAACTAACCAGCAGGAAAAAGGGGCCGACCTCCTCGTCATCGCCCCCCTAAGCGCGAACACCATGGCCAAAATCGTAGGCGGTTTCGCCGACGGCATACTGACGAGCGTGGTGCGGGCTTGGGACGCCTGGGGCGAGCTGGACAGCGACACGGGGAGGAAGCGGAAGAAGCACATTATCGTCGCGCCGTAAGCCCAACTCCCTTTCCCTTTTTTCGTATTTTTCTTTCATTTTATTAGGAGAGAGGGGCTTGTTTGGAAGTACTAACCGATTCCGCAGCGCCATGAACACGGCAATGTGGCGACACCCCGTGACCGCCAAGTCGCTGCGCGTGCTCGAGGAAGAGTGGGGCGTGGGCGGCCACGGCAGCGCAAAAGCGCGTCCCGCGCATCCCGCAACCGATGACGAGGGGCCCACTCCTGAGCCGAAGAGGGAGGGAGACGATGGGGGGTGGTTCGAGGTTTTGAGACCGCAGAGTAAGACACTTGCCTGTGGCGACGTCGGCGACGGCGCTATGATGGAGTGGAAGGAGATCGTGGCTGTTATTGAGGAGAGGTTGGGGTTGGAGGAGTGACTGGTTGATTGGGTGGTTGTGTAGATGGCGAAAGGATCGCTGGACGGGGCGTTCGGACGAGCGGTGGGGGTGGCGTTGTACGAGAATTAAAAAAGCAAAGACGGACAAGGGCAACGGGGGTATCTGGGTGTTTTACCGTCAAAATAATCCAGTATGGGCTTCGTCAAATGGAGATGGCTACTCGTTTAAATCTAGGGAGATCTACGAAGACAGACGAGTCACGTATGGAAGACATAATAGCAATAGCAAAGCACAGAAGTAATCAGAGCCAGTTTAACACAATGCAATATTTGCAACTTATGCAATTGGTGTACAGGACCAGTATCGAAGCCGTGTCATGCAGAGAAGCAACTATTATACATATTCCTCAACGAGGTGTCCTTAAAGATCCCCGAAGAAACCATCCTCGTAAAGAGGAAGCGGAAATGCAAACATCAATTCGTGAACGCCTCTCTCATGCCTTTTGTTTTCGGAAAAAAACATCCCTTGAGAGTGATACCCGGTAGAACCGTGCTTCTCCAAGGAGATGGGGTAAATTAGGTGGAGTGATGAAGTAAAGTAAAGGGAAGGGGAAAAGACAAGCGTAGTCAAACAAGGCAGAGAAGCCCTTTCATGATCCATCCCGGATCCGCCGTCGCAATGCAAATGCCATCCCTTTCATACCTCCCGTTACTGACTCGTGGGACAACTCCGGAGGATGCCAAATGTTGTACAGGTAAAAAAAAAGAAAAGAAACGATCTGGGTTTTTCGCAGATCTAGGATAATACAATCCTTGTCATAACTACTTAAGATCGTTGGGGTCGTGTCGGAAAGTGCACTTATCGCCTTTCGCACATTGACCCTTAGCCCAAAAGGTACAGGGCTTGGTACCAATGAGAGAACGATTGATCCCTTTGTGGTCTTTAGCTGCCGAACGCTGGAACTCCTTACGGTTTCCGCGTTCGGTATCGTCACGTCGGCCGGGCATATTCTCGGTCTGTGCTGTCTGCGGAGAATACTGTGACTGACCGCTATATGACTGTGCGTTGTATCCATAACTCCCGTATGCCGAGCTAGTCTGCGCCTGAGGCTGAGACTGGCTCTGGGGCCAGCCTTGGTAGTAGGTATTAGCCGTAGACTGTGCCTGATTGGCAGTCGTGTTGTTAGCTGGGTTCAGCATGGCTAGAATATCCTGAATATTAGGAGTGGATGTAGTTGCAGCTACAGGAGCGGGAGCAAAGGCCGGGGCCGGGGCTGGAGCGGGCGTCGGCATTGGAGCCGATACTGGAGTTCCCACGGGCGTGCCTAATGCAGCTAAAATGTTGCGTACGGCAACGGTCACCTGGTTTGGTGCCGGCTCTGCGGCGCTCTGAGCTGATTGAGTAATGGGTTGTGCATATGGTTGAGCCATAGGTTGAGCTATTGGCTGCGTAACAGCTTGACCGGCCTGGAGAGCCTGTACTTGCTGAAGGATCGCTGCATACTCTTGGGGTAGTTGTGATTGCTGCTGTTGTGATTCATAATGAGCAATCTGAGCTTGTGGTTGGGGTGGCTGTGGCTGCTTAGGCTGAAGTGCGCTAGACATCAGCAGGCGATTGTAGCCGTCCCACCACTCTGTGACGCGGTCCGGATTCGAATGCAAATGTTCAGGGGGCTGGGTAGCCGGGTATGGTTTGCCCTTGAACTTGGCAAATACGTCTTCGAGAGCGTCTACGTCTCGTTGGACCTTCGGATCCGCGTAGTCGTGACGGCGTTGCGTCTTGGGATGGGCGGGGTCATACGGATCTGGATCCACGTAATTCTTCACCTTATCAGACTGCAATAATGACAAGACTTCATCGGCACGCTCCTTTTCGCTGCGTGGGCGAGCCATCTTGACGATGGCATTGTCGAACAAATCTGGTGCTGTGATAGGCGTAGCACGCAATCGACGAACCGCTCGGTCAAGTGCAAGGTGAGGACCAAAGTTGAGTTGGTCAGACGTACGCTGGTGAATCTCAATGCGTCGTGGGGTTGTAGCAGGTAATGTCTCGAGCCACTTCGCGGGGGTTGATGGCACAGCAATAATCTTTGGTTGGCTAGAAACATCGACGAACTTGCCGCTTGGAGATCGTGGAGTATCTGGAATTTCTGACACGCTAGTGTAGATAGCCATCAACTCGCGACTTTCGTAGTCTCCCATGATCTTCTTCTGTTCAGATTCAACCGGGCGCTTTCCACCACGTGTCACAAAATTCTTTTGTTGGTTCTCTAGAGGAATACCGCCTGCCTCTGAGCTGACTGAAACCAAGATAGGATTGTACCAAGATTGTAAGGCAACCTCCCGATTCTCTTCGAAATCGTCATCGCGATCTTGGGTATCTTGATCTTGCACTTGTTGTTTGAACATCCGTCCTTCGGAGCGGTTATCTCGCGCATCTCGGAGCATACTATGATCCCGGCCCCTATCTTCAGATGTATCATGCTCTAGAATTCGGATTTCAGTGAGCTCATCATCGGGCTTCCATGAAACGCGAAGATGTCGTCGAGACTCCTTACGCAATCTTCGCGCAGTCTCTTCTGGGGTTTCAGGGGCTCGTTCTGGTTCATCTCGGGGTTTAGACACCTCCTTCGGCTTCGAAATCTCAGCCAGGATATTTCCAATGGCAGATGAAGTGCTCGACGGTTGGGGAGTTGGCTTCTTCAGTTGGGCCTTAGGAAGAACACGAGATCGGCCAGGAAGCATCGATCCGCTAGGCCTAGAACGACCCTGTGTTGACAATGCCGATGATGTTTGAGAACTGGAAGGAGTCGTGGTGGATGGTGCTTTAGCAGTCGATGGAGTACCTGTCTCGCTCTCAACCGCGGTCTTTTTCGGAGCACGAGTATCGACATCCCCGTCACCTGGTCTCTTGAAAGAGGCTTGAGGAGGCGTTGCCTTAGTTGCTACGTTGCTAATCTTTCTCGCAGATCCCAGACCGGAATAGTCAGTTGGTCGCATCTTCTTGATTCCCGCGCTCAATTTCTTCGGTTGAACTGAGGTCTTCAGCGGCGATGCCTTTGACGTTGACGGACTATCTTTGGTGCTTGTCGTAGATACCTTCTTGGAAACACTAGAGGTAGGCTTCTTGGCATCGTCCGTCTTCTTGGAATCCTCGGCAGCCTCTTGGGCATTGAAAGCTGAGCGTTTTTCAGCGTTCTCAATAATCAGGCTAATATAATTAGCAGCTTCGTTGTCAACATTTCCCTTGACCTTCTGTTGCGTTCTGCTCATCTTGACCTTTTCTAATAAGTCTGTGTCTACCGTGGCAAACAGAGAGAGAAGCTTGAGAATGGCCTTTGGGTACGGGCCATTGTAATCGCTTGAAGAAAAGCGAGTAAACAACACAGAGTGTAAGCCAGCAACAAGCTTCTTATGCGTGCCAAGTTGGGTGAGAAGGAACTTATCACCAAACTTGAGGGCGGCGTCAATAGCAGCATGGATCTCAAGGTGCTTCGCTTCCAAGGCAGCACGTTTGTCTTCTCCCCCTACATCCTTCCCTTCCCTCAGCATTTTAATTTTGGTCCGAATGCCCGTAACATAATCACCAAACTTGTCAATGTTGTTCCTGAGGGCATCAGGTGAAAGTTCAGGATGCTTTGGGTCATGCCAAAGAATCTTGACAATGTCATATTCAACAGCTTGAAGAGGGGCTTCGGGTCGCGGTTTTGACGCGATCTGTTTTAGGCAACGCGTTAGTATTAAGTAGCCACGTTAGAAAATTCGATCGTAGAAAAAATAGCAGTGGTATCCGCGATGAACACCGAATGAGGCGAGGGAGGCAGATCATTGGCATAAGGCACGATATCCATCTAGAGGGGGAGTACAGGGCTGAATGGAAGTGAATTGGTCGGAAAGAAAGGACATACCTCGCGAGCTTGAGTATCCTTAGGATCCTCCTGGTCATCACCGCCCGCCCCTAGGTGATCTAATTTCTTGGTAGGATCCATGATTGTTGATTTTCGCTTAGCAGAGGCCTTGGCTTTGGGAGGACGAGGAACGGATTTAGGACCTGTCGGAATAGATTAGCTTTGAAATTAAAAAATATAGTAAGATAGGTGTTGGTGGCTGTATATGGCTGCAATGACTGATGAAAGAGGATTTATGCTTACCTTCGTTGTCTGCTACAAGAACAGGTTCGTCGTACAATTTTTGAATCTCGTTCTCAATAGTACTTCTTTCATTCGCAGATAATGATTTGGACTGAAGCTTGGTATTTAAGTCTTGTAGGTCTCTCTGTATTTCGCATGGAAGTCGCAAGTTGCGATGAGGTAACAAATGTGAAGTACGCGTGTCGCGTTTTGTAGTGTAAGATTTAGTTGGTTCGGTGCAGACAGCACGGAATTTACCCTGCTTCGTTTTGGGTGGGTTTTTTACCATAAGGTACGGAAAGCCTTCCGGAATCTCCCAAAGTTCATCATCCTCTGCTCTCGCTGCCTCGTTAGGTACCTCGTTGAGTGCCTGGTGCCCCACAATTTGGATGGTCTGCAAGCTTTGGGCAGATGGAGGGGTAGATGTTGACTGAACACCCCGCATCTGCTGATAATGCTGCGGTTGAACTGACCTTTGAGTCTCAGCAAAATTCTGAGGCGTCGCCGCTGCCATAGGTTGCAACTGTACTGTCGCCCCATTCGAATGTTGCCGACCTTGATATTGGAGCATGGGCTGCGAGGGTTGAGGGAAGTGACCTTGCCTGTTCTGGGAGTCAACACCTTCAGGACCGAAGAACGCTCTAGTAAAAGGAATTTGATGCTGTGGATGCTGCGGGTGTTGCAGCTGTTGTGGTTGCTGCGGCTGTTGGTGCTGCTGCTGCTGAGGCTGTAGTTGATGTTGTTGTGGCTGTTGGGTCTGTTGCTGTTGCTGATGTTGTTGCTGTTGCTGATGCTGGTGTTGCTGGGGTTGTTGTTGTTGGTACATCAATTGCGGGCTATGATGGCTAAACCCTACTGTTCTTTGATTGAACTGAGGTGGGAGTTGTTGAACTGGTTGGGTCTGCCATGACTGGGCACCAAATGTATTCGGTGTGTGGCTGTGGCTCTGACTAGCCTGCTCAGTAACATACTGGGGAGGAAGCTGATTTTGAAGAGGTGCCTCATATCCAGCATGGTTGTTGAAAGGTCCCCCGTATTGTTGTAAGTCATGTCCACCGTGGCCATGGAGGCCGCTTCCATTGGGGTCATTGTTAAACTGATGAGTGTTAGAGTAGTAGGATGTCTGATCTGTCATGTTCCCTCCAGCGAAGGCACCGTTTCCGAACTGGCCTCCAGATTGGAGAGAGGGATATCCGGGAAAAGTGGCTGCGTTGGAGTATTGACCAAGGTCTGGTTGGCTGTACTGGTGGCCAGGATATTGTTGGTAGCCATTGAAGTTATTCAAATGGTCCTCTTCTTGGGAGACACCAATCCCATTTGGATAGGGATGGCCTTGCCAGCCATTGCTACCTTGAGCCATGATCGAGTGTCCTCAAGGGTATCACGTGATGATGATTGAAGTGAGGCACGTGATGGGAAAAAGAAGGAAGAAGGCACGTGAAAATCCGGGTCACGTGCGTGAATGGGAAAAAGGGTACCACGTGATCGAGAGAGAAATGTACGTGTGAAAATTAAACACGTGATCCAGTGGCACTAATGTTTTAGAAGGTCAGCATCAGCATCACCCAATTAAACTAAACCCAAATGGGGGTGGTGTACTTTTATTAATTCGGGATGACGTATTCAAAGCTTGGATTCAATGTTATTAAACATACCAATATTAAGTGATGGTTGATATTTCGGCAGGGTTACGACATCGCAATCAATGCCATAGATTGAACAACGGCCCCATACAGAACATAGGCAATGTCCGCTGGGAGGTGGTATCGATTTCGAGATTAACCTTGGGTACAAGGAGAAAAGGATCTTGTGGCGTTTGTCTAGTAAAATCAACGAATTAAAGGGGCGTGTTATTAGACTGATCCTGTAAAAAGCGGCTGGGGCTTGCAGGTTGCGTTTATGCCGGAATAGGTATAGGTAGACCGCAGATCTAAAGCCACCTGCAGATAGAGAAATCAGTTCTGGCTTCAAGGACAAAATGAAATAAAAAAAAATGTGGCACGTGTAAGGATCGGTTGAGCTGTATGGAAACATGCTGAAGGCTAGAACACCCAAGAGGCAAGGCTATTTTTCAGAGCACGGTGACGGAGGCGTTTCCGAGGCATAGAGTCGTCGGGTACTGGGAGAGTGATATCGGCATAACCATCGGATGGACTTTGGACTGCGGCGTTTGAACTAGATGTTGGCCTGTAGACTTAGAACTTCCAAGCAGCCATTATTGAAGCTTTTGTCTTCGACATTATTTCTCTATGATGAAATATAGCCATTGCACGGCCTGGCTTGCCAATAGATCTAAGAAGACCGTTAAGACTTGTGGTTATAAGTCGGAACTGCATAGGGTGTGGTCATGTTGCTCGATGTCTAGGAACTAGAGTCGATTCGATGATATTCGCTGTAGTTGGATTCGCTAATTGTCTCTTGTCCAAACCTTTGGCAGACGTGCTGGAATAAGGCAGTCTTCTCCCCCCGGAAACGCCCAAGAACTCTTGGCTGTGAATAATCGATAGACCATTAAATTGACTGATGAAGAGCTTAACAGCAATTAAGACCACTACGGTCTGACATGATGCTAGGCTTTCATATTCAAAGTTAGAGTATTTTAGAGAGATTTAATCTCTCTCGCTCTTTTAAGCCTCTTTCACTCTCCGTCCCTATTGTAAGGGAATTTAGGAGTTACTTGTTAGATCTTGACTGGTCACTAGAACTTTCATTGTTCAAGTCGCACCCTTGAATGCTCAGCTGTAATCCATAGGTGAGGGTACGGCCACTGTATTTTTTACCCTGCTGTTGGCTGCCAACCCAATTGTCCCATGCCGAAATGCAAATACATAGCTGCAAGAATCGGAATTCGGGGGTGGGTGGAGAAAATCCACAACAGAAAGTGATCAACCAGGGCGCACACACGCATATACACGACACATGCTCTTAAATTTTGTGCAGATAATAGTGTTGGAAAAGGCTTTGCAAAGGGGAATAAAGGAGAGAAGAAAAGAAAAGAAATTAAAAAGGGGGAGGGGGAGTTGATGTTATTTTTCATACCCTTTATAGTTTTTAATTATCTCCGAACCCAACAATCGCTACCCTCTGTTGCTGTTTCCGCTGAATCTGACGCGCCTGCTTCTTGCTTCTGTCTCTTCTTATGAAGAAAACAGTTGCTCGTCATGCTCCCATTATTGAGAGATATAATTTACGACATGGAATCTTCCTGGGGAATTTAGACTGGAGAAAAGAAAGAAGTCTATCTCAAGAATTCTGGATGAGTGAGTGGGATTGTATAGAGCCTGTGAGGTAGAAGTAGAACTGAGTTGGTGGATTGATTGCTTGTTTGTTTAGTTTGACAGATCGAGGAATGAAGCGAGCGCGAGCGACCGGTACAACTTTTCAAATGTATAATTGAGCAACCCAACTATGGAAGAATCTTTCCATGGGATTATTTACTAAGAATTAGAGAAGGCGACTAATTGAGATGAGATCAAGTCTTTGATGAAGTGCAATAGAGAGAGAAGGCGGTTGATGTTTGATGATTGAAAAGACACAATAATTGGGGAGGAAGGGGAACGAGTAGATGTACGGGAAAGGATAAAGAGGAAAGTTTGGCGTCGCAAGCTTTTTCTTTGGGGGAGGCGAGTGAGAGAACTTACGCTAGAAGGGAAGGGACATGGAAAAACTGCCTACAGCCCAAAGTGGAGCTAAAAGAGATACCTTCCTGGTTCCGTGGCTGGGAACTAACGTAGCGTCGGTATGTCGGCTTCCTTGTTTCACTGCAAGCTATGCCTACCTATGCAGTTAAAGCTTATTATTAGCTAACCGAGCTAGATAGTATGAGAGTCCGATGAAACATTATAGCTTTTGATAGTATAGCCACAGTTATAGATCATCGCAGAGCCGGCTTTAGTCTGAATCTTAACTCTCACTATCTCTAAAGTATCTCAAGTTTATATCTGCTATATTAATAATAGTGGTATATCTGAAAGTGTCGTTTTTTTATACTTAACTATTAAGTAAGTAATATACCAAGTATGCAGTTACGAGGTTAGATACTAGGTACCTATACATGGATAAAAAGAAAATCCAATAAAAGAATTATTACCTTTTGAATAAATCATAAGTGTCCAATGAGAATTGATGATTATATTAGAAATGTCTAAGGCGTCTGCAAAAGAAAGCGCCAAGGCTAAGCTGTATGTAAGTTACCACCTGAGATTACCGGGATGTGCTATGTACATAGATACTTACAGCTTACAGTGAGCTTACAACCTCTGTGGAATGTACATAGGTACGTTTACACACGTGCAAGGCTACGTAAATGAATGTACTCATGTACTCAAGTACCTGCATACATCATTTTGCCAGTCGTGTCATTTGCCAAAGTTGATAGCTGCATAAAACATAAATGTCCAATAGCTTGTTGCTTGAGATGAGTTTTTGAGGTTCACATCACCAACAGTCCCGATAGGATAGGATAGCGATTGATAAATGGCAAGCTAGTGATCTATTCACTTTTTAACACCGTCTCAAATTCGACCTTTCCGGCCGTCTCTGCTGTCTCTATCACATCTTCCACCACCAACTGCATCACCTGCATCGCCTACCTAAGCATATACATGTATGACTTCGACGACAATTATATGTTCACCGAAACGGCGCAAGCGCAGACTGTATTAGCTCGGAGAATATATAGTTGCGAATAAGAACATCCACACAGTTCGAAAGCACCGATCTCATGGCTGGGGCTAAGGGAAACTCGTTGCGCGATCGCCAAATCGGTTCGACTTCCTCTTCAGTTCTCCGAGCTTTTTACGGCTAACTTACGGTAGCATCTCTTAAAAAGATCCTCAACCTAAACGAGGTCCTCGACCAAAAAGATGAAGACGAATCTCATGCGAATGGGCTAGCCCCGGCTGGTCCTATATTAACTGCCAATGGCGAGCCCATATGGAAAGTTCTCGTGTTTGACGATCTCGGCCGCGACGTAATCAGCAGCGTCATGAGGGTAAACGACTTGCGATCCATGGGTGTCACCATGCATATGTACGAGCCCGCTAACCCCCTAAGCCAACTACTCGGTTAGGTATCGCGGGTCGTTTGCTAACGCGCGATTCTTCAGGCATCTTTCCGCATCGCGACATCCTATTCCAGATGTTCCCGCCATCTATCTCGTCGAGCCGAACGCAAAGAATTTAGAAGGCATAACGAACGACTTGCAGAAAGGCGTATACTCTCCTGCCTATATCAATTTCCTCTCCTCAATACCACGTCCCCTTCTCGAGGACTTCGCATCGCAAACCGCAACGGCGGGTACGGCGGAACACATCGCACAGCTGTTTGATCAGTACCTTAATTTCATAGTCGCCGAACCGGATCTATTTAGCTTGGGGATGCAAAAAGAGCACACATACTGGGCTTTGAATAGCGCGAAGACGAAGGACGAAGAATTAGACCATGTTGTCGACAGGATAGTCAGTGGTTTGTTCAGTGTCGCCGTGACCATGGGTATGATAACTGCAATCTTCTTAATAAGAAACAATACTAATCCAATATTTCAGGTGTCATCCCTATTATACGATGTCCCAAAGGGGCTGCTGCCGAAATGATCGCTGGCAAGCTTGACCGAAAACTTCGTGACCACATCCTCAACTCTAAAGACAACCTTTTCTCTAATACCCGACCCGCCTCATCTACGGGCACACCTGCCTCTCGCCCTGTCCTCGTTATCTTAGATCGAAATGTCGATCTTAATCCTATGCTATCGCATTCTTGGACTTACCAGTCCCTTGTACATGACGTTCTTAATATGAAGCTCAATAGAATCACAATCGAGACACCCGTGGATGAAGAGAATCCCGCGAAGGGGGTGACGAAGAAGGCTTACGACCTCACCTCCACGGATTTCTTCTGGGAGAAGAATTCCGGCGTTCCCTTCCCCCAAGTTGCGGAAGATATCGACGCCGAGCTGATGCGCTATAAGGAGGACGCCCAAGAAATCACCAAAAAAACGGGGGCGTCGTCATTGGAAGATCTACAAAACGACACGAGCGCGAGCGCGCAGCATCTTAAAGCGGCTATAACACTCCTACCAGAGTTGAGAGAACGAAAAGCTGTGTTAGATATGCACATGAATATTCTCGCTTCGGTATTAAAGGGCATAAAGGACCGCCAATTAGACAACTATTTCCAAATGGAAGAAGACGTCATGAAGCAAACGAAAGCTCAGATCCTCGAAGTCATCAAGGGCGATGACAAAGGCAAAGATTCGTTAGATAAGCTTCGATTGTTCATAATCTGGTTCTTGAGTACGGAGCAAGAAGTCAATCGCGCAGATTGGACTCAGTTTGAGGAGGCGCTCACAGCGGCAGAGGTTGATACAACCTGCCTTGCCTATATTCGACAGTAAGCCTCAAATGCATCACATATTTACTTCTCAATACCATACTAACATCCCCCGCAGAGTCCGCGCCACAACAAAAATGACCCAACTAACCACCATTGGGCCCTCCCAACCCAACGCCTCGCAATCCAACTCCACCGACATATTCGGCCGCTTCTCCTCCCTCTCCAGCCGGCTCACGGACCGGCTCAAGGAAACCGGCGTAGGCGTTCCCACGAACCTCGCCTCCAACTTCGACAACCTCATCGGCGGCATCAAGAACTTCCTCCCCGCGAACCGCGACTTCACCATCACCAAGATCGTCGAATCCATCATGGACCCCCAAGCCGCCTCCACCTCCGCCATCGCCAAGACAGAGAACTACCTCTACTTCGACCCGCGCAGCGCCAACGCCCGCGGCAGCATGCCGCCCCCGAGCGCCATCCGCGGCGGCGCCAGCACCCCCGGCGGCATGCCCGGGGCCTCCGGCGTCCAGGGTCCCGGCACCGGAGCCAGCTTCGGCCAGCGCCGACAGGGGTTCTCCGAGGCCGTCGTGTTCACCGTCGGCGGCGGCAGCATGGACGAGTACGGCAACCTCCAGGAATGGGTCCAGCGCACGGGCGAGGCTGGCGGTCGCGCGAAGAAGAGGGTTGTTTATGGGAGTACGGAGTTGCTTAATGCGAGGGAGTTTATTAAGGAGGAGTTGGAGAGGTTGGGGAAGGAGGTGCCTTGATGGTTTGATGTCTGTCTAGGTATTTATCTGTGCTAAGGGGGTGATGAATTGGGGGGTGGGGGTGGATTAGGTACTCCGGAAATTTAAAGGAGGACGTGCTAAGTTCGAATGAAATGATGAAATTCGCCTTGTGAGGATTGAGTTGTGCGCTTGAAGTATCGACGGGATTACTTGTGATTTGTGTTTGTGCATGTGAGGTGTGTTTCTATTTGCCTTGTCCATCTAGATCGATCAGAGCTGAAGGGAGTAGATTTAGATTACTGGGCTCTTGCTAGGTAGGTACCTACCTACCGTATTCAAAAGGTCAAGCTGGGAAGCCCGAAGCAAATCACATCAACCTTATGTAAAATTCCTGTTGATGCCAGGTTTTGTGACTAGGATGTCTCACAGCATGTTTACATATGCTAGGCATCACGACTATAGGTACCTAGGTAAAAGATAACACGGAAGTTCAGTAGGCATATATGTATATATGTATATATATTTATATCAACGCATCCTAATTCATGCAGCAATATCATAAAATCGCAACTCCGCTACGCCAAGCAATGCCACTGTCTCAACCCCCGATACAATGTTCCATCAGCGCTTACTTCACACACACAAGTAGCTGTTTTGCCCGCGCAACAAGCCGCGCGATGCCCGTATATCCAGAGCCAGCGGATCGCCTATCCATCAAGGACATTCTGACCATAGCTTATACAGTAAGAGATAATGCCGGTATGTAAGAAAGTTCTCACGTAAAAACATTGTCACCGATCCCAAACACCCCCAGAGCTTCTGGAAGCCCTTTGTTTTACAAATGCACGAGTGTAGAAAAATCGAATTCGTCATCCAACATCAACGTCTCATTATGCATTCGTCTCAAGTCTCCGATATACATTTTCTCTCCTCTCCTCTCATCATATGCTAGAATCGCGCAATCTTTCTATACAACAATGATTGCGCGTCGTTTCGTATCCGAGTCTCTGTACGTCGTAAACTCGCTAAATGGGGTATAGTGAAGAAATGGAGAACCTAGTTTCCGAACACGAAGAAAATGAATTGAATAGAAGTGGAAAGAAACCGGGAAAGGGGCCATCTGGGGTATACCGATAAGCCTTAGAAATGTTGTAAATGTTCGTAGGCTGCCTTAGGCCAAGGGTCTTCGACCAGGACAGTCAGCAAATCCCAGACCCTAATATTCTGAGACCACCTAGGCAATACTCAAGGAGGATGTCGAAGTAGTTAAATATCAGCGTAGAAGATCTCTCCGAATCCCCTTCGGTCGTAGCGTAAGCCACAAAAGCAGACTTCCACTTAGAAAACACCTTATAATCCAAGGTCGGAAACCTTCTAAACGCCCGGCAAAAGAAGAAGAGTAATAATTGTATTGCATGTCTGGGTCGGAGGATCTCTAAACGCCCCTGAACATTCGGACGATAAGGAACCAGACTACGCCAATAAATTTGAATGCGCTTAGTCCTGCGACACTCCATAGGACGACAGTCATATAAAGCGTGGACCGTTGGTCCTGGCTCTCCTCCTGTTGTTTAGGATCGAGTTTCTCGAGGCCGGCCGTACTAAGAACCAAGGCGACGAGACCGAAGTTAGTAATCATCCAGATGATGACCACCAAAGAGCGAATCCAACGATAGTAATCCATCTGAGCTTCTGCTTTCTGTGCCTCGTTCGGCGGCTTCTGGATGACTACATGCTTCTGGCCAAAAACCCTCAACTCCTTCTCATACTGCTCGTCCAGATCTCCCTCGTCGGGCAATTCGGTCTTACCCTTGCCATCTTTGGTATCGACCTTAGGTAGCTCTTCGGCCTTGTCGTCTCCCTTGGTACCCCATGATATGTCGTGTGTGTTGCAGAACGCGTACACGTTTAGAACATTGACGTAAGTGGGTGTGAGAAGCAAGTACTGTATGAAGGAAGTAACCATGTGCCAGGGGTCGAACATTAGGAGCGACGCGATGAGCCAGAGACCCCAGGTCGACAGCATGGATACGATGAGCGAGTAGAAGATCTTATTCTTGAAAATGTCGCTGATGCTGAAACCTTTGGATACTTGAGCCTGAACGGCGATAACGGTGATATACACAGCAGCGAATGTCAAGTATCTGTAGACGTAGTTAGCATCTCATTAAAAAAAGGTTGAGCGATAAGGGAATTAAACTTACACCATGATCACACACCAGAAAATAACCATAGCGGTGTATAACCTGCCAGAGCCTGCCGGGCGATTGCCCATAGACAGAACGAAGCAAGCCATCAAGGATATACCATAAAACCATTCAAAAACAACCCCGAGAATCTCACCCGCCGTGCCCAATAAATTATCGTCTCCGAGACTTGTTGTCAAGATCTTGAAAACAAGGAAGAAGTTGCCAATAGCAAACCAGGCGAAGATCATGTTGAAAGTCTGGAAGCCAAACTCGAGGAAGAACATCAACTTGCGGAGAATAGAGTGATCAGAACGGAAGAACTGGTAAAAATGTGCAATGGCGTAGATGGCAGCAAAGAACGAGCCATTAAGCCAACGACGACGCTGTAAGATGAGTTCGGTCACGGAGTCAGGCACATCAGTTTCCCCTGTTGCCGATTTGACGTACTGCAGGATCCAGTGACAGTTACGCTTGGTAACAAGCTCGAAGCAGAGGATACGATCTTCGGCCAGATACATATTAGCCGTGAAAACACCGGCACCGGCTCCATGTAGCGTTTCACCCTTGAAATATTTCTCGAGTGGTCCTAATCCGTTCTTGTCGTTCTGTAGAGCGACATACCGATACGCCGAGAAGGCGCCGGGCAAGACAGAGATGAAGCCGAACGCAGATTCGAGAGGTTTGTCGAGAATATTACTCATTTTATACTCGAAGTTTTGAGTCGCGACAAGAGGATTAAGCAATTCCTTGCCACCCCTTCCCAGCATAGCCTTAATCTCACCGCAAGCACCAGCGCACATGGGCTCGAGATCGAACGCTTTCCAAAGATGATAGATAGAATTTCCACCTGGTTTAGTACCGGCATCGATAAGTACGCAAATATTTGGGTCCAGGACACGACCAAACGCCTGGAAAAACCATCGATGAGAGTTGATCTTCTTCTGGTTTTTCTCCTTCAGGCAAAACAGCATCTGCACAGGTTGCTTCTTGTACGTGAGCTGAACCACGTCGTTTTTGATCTGCATGCCCACTTGCGTCGTGTATTCGTAGACGTGAGCGGTAACGTCTTTTCCGTTGACTTGTTGCTTGGCAATACCTTCCTGGTAAACACCCATACCAGAAAGAAGAGCTCTTGTTCGAGGGTTGATCTTTGCACGTCCATCGCTGACTACACACACAACGACTTTCTTCCAAGCATCCGGACCCCACGTCTTGCTTTGTTTTCGACTACACATATATTCGATATTCTTCAACACACCAATCATGGTTCGCGCAAAGAGAATATCGTCTTCGTTGTACATGGTAATAACAATGAACAACTCAGTATGTCGTGGTTTACTGAAAAGTTTTTGGCGCAAGGTAAAATTCTCGCTGTAGAAATCATTAGGATCGCAAGTAGCAGCAGTATATCGCATATGGGTAAACTCGTCACGTTCACCGTGGGGAAGCTGGTTCAAAAGTCGTGGAGGTATGGGACAGTCGAGAACTAAATTTCCTCGGTACAGGAGCACCTGCTTCACCGTCTTCATCCTCTTCAGTCCCCCTCCTCCTCCCCCTGCCTGAGCTTGATGGTTCGGGTCATCAGTGTATGATGCTGGCGGTTGACCCTGCGCGTAGGGGTCATTCTGAGTTAACATTGGCTGTTGGTCATTATAGTCGTATCCGTGATGGTCAGAAAATGGTGTCGAAGTAGGATGCGGTGGCTCATAAGGCTGATTATAATAAGCATCGTGATGTTGCTCGGGGTTAACTGCGTAATCGGAAGGATAACCACCCTGACTATGGTCATAGGGGCTCTGCGACAGGTTATCGATGGAGTGCGCAGCATTCAGCGGAAGAGTGTCGCTTGGGGTATATCTTCCTGGGCCAGCAGGTATGTCGAGATTGGTAGCAGATGCCGGATGGTGACCGTAAGGAACATCATCAAGCTGGTATCCATGTTGAAGGGGGTGGCCTGGCGAGGGCGTGCGACCCATTCTATGATTGTCCATGGTAGGATCGTAATAATCGTCGTCTGAGAAATAGGAAGTGTTAGAAAATTTGCAAAATAGTATTATGAAGTAAATATCAAATAGCGATGGCAAGCCCTCAAGCTATGTAAGTGCCGCCTGCGCCACAAAGCATGCGTCGCCTTTGACTAGCAAGACAAGGCAGTAAAAGCGGATGCTCAAATAACGAGCACACAATAAAAGTATTGTTGGTGTTCAAGTGAATGTATGAGTGGAGTTAAGGCGATGAGTGTGGCTACTCAAAGGTCATGACGAAGACGAGAGGCAGTGAAAGAGAGGCGAAAGGAAAGAGAGCTCTAGGAGAGAGTGAAATGGATACTATGTAGAGACAACTAGGTAGAGATTCAAGGATAATGTCATGATACATACTTAGCCGATTATAAGACATGGTTTATGGAATATTCCCACACGAAGGGTGGGCGCTTCAAGCGGGTAAGTTGTTTAGGGGGTCGGTAGAAGTGAACGAAGCTTGGCTTTTGCGCGATCGCGATCGCAACGAGACTTCCAGTCCAGTGATTGGAATGCGGAAATGTGTAATAGATCCGTGGAATGGGGAATGGAGAAAGGTGGAAGACTGATTCACTAAAGATTCGAGAACCCAAAGAACCCCTGACCCTGAATTGGGACGTCTGCGATTGAGTGTATCGGGTGTAAAGCACCTATTGTGGTGGCATAGTACCCTTGGATGAATGAGGGAGGTGGTCCAGTAAGATGTCGCGAATTTAGTCGAAGAAACGTATACAGAGGATGGGGATACGAAGTGGTGTTTGAGAATCTCCTTAGAGGTTTAGACTGAAAAGAAAGGGGGGTTGAGAATTCTAGATTCTAGGGAGTCGTTGCGAATGGGCGGAAGAGAAGAATGATTGTGATCTAGGAAGAAAATGGATCATTGGACAACCTTGACGAAGAGTGTCAAGTTTCACTAAGAAAATGGAATGAAAAAAATTCAAGGGACTGAAGAGAATATTTGCGACGGCTGGGGCTATCAACTAATTGTCAAGGACAGAAGTTACTCAAGGGCAGGTGATATGCTGTTTCAGGTCAACAAAGCGGGCGCAGCAACCAAATTAAAGGCCACTAACGGCACCTTGCGCCGGTACAACGGTACAACAGTACAAAAATTGACAAGGGTGTCAAACAAACGCTAACCTATTTAATTCTCCACCCCTGGTAACCACAGCATCCTGAGCATTCTCTGACGTTTCCCCCACCTGTATTAAAGTCCCTAGTGACGTCGTTTGCTTTGAAAGTCAAAATGTAAAGGATTAGGTAATTAAACTATTATCTTTTTAAGATGTAATTCTTAAATCAACTCATTCTCTACATGCATTACCTACTTACTTACCCAGCAGGCAAGCAAAAGATGCATTTGATATATGTCCAAAGAAAATCTGCATCGCATAACCAACAGTCGCGGTCGCAGTCGCAAGAACACGCAAGGCCATGTCGCGTAATGAGAAAGCCAAGCACAAGGTTCTCCAGAATCTATTATCTATACAACCAAAAATAGCAGCCCGATCCAATCCGAGTTCACCTAAGTTACTAGCATAACAAAGCTTCATCGCCACACTTCTCAGCCACAACCGAGCTGACGATAATGATGACGATACTCGCAAGAATTGATTGGATAGCCTATTACCTGTAGGTACAAAGTATAAGCTAACAGGCGAGGCACGCAAGGCAGCAGGATTACAAGGGTTAGGTAACGAGAGCGTTACCAGGTACTCTTGAGATCTCATCGTTCTTATTGGGAACTTGGAACCTACCATGTCTCAGCCGCAAGTAGTTCTCATTCAGCTCTTCAAGCTAGATAACTAAAGACATTATTTAGCTGCTTAGGTCTCCATTCAGAGATCGAGAGAAAACCTGCTCAAGCTGGCGCTATCCACACGTCATTATAGCATATACCCACCAAGCAGCTAAGGCATACACACACATCCACGGATAAGTGTAGGTGTGTTGATGCACCGCAAGCGGGTACCTGAGCACCTATAGCCATTATGGTCAAGAAATGCATGTGCCAGCTGTCTCGAACGAGTTGTTTAGATAACCTGCAAGCCAATTAAAGACCGATGCCGCTAGGTCTCTGACGATATGCATACCATCCATCCCGCGATTTAAGAGATCCTCTTGGCTGGTTATACCATATGTCCTTCGCGAATGCTACCTTGCTTTTTAGATATTGGTAGTCGTTAGCAAATCATCTAATCTAGGTAGTGCTACCATCTACCTTAATAAACACCTTCGACATCTACATATGAAGCAAGCCAGTAAGCCTAAACCCATTGGCTATTGCTATCTTGTTACAAGCCCAGCGAGCTAATATCGTAGTCATCGCCAGCCATATGCCTCCTAATTTAAGAGAAGATATGCCGATTGGCCGAAGAATAATCCCCTCATAAGCGGCCACGCCACTCATGTGATCAGGATGCAAGCTTATCATAGTATTTTTATTTGGTTTTCGTACGCACTTACCTACCCACCTACATTTACAATCACGTTCCCAATCTCGCTGTGACGGGGAGGAAATAACAACGTTGTTACGCGACGAACACAGCACCATACATGCATGAGAGAGCCCATCGTCTACCTAGGTCCTACTTTACTCCCAACAAGCCCCCCACGGGTCGAACCCCAATCCCAGCCTTACGACGAATTAGGCCTCCGACACCCGCAACGATGACGATTAAAATATGGATCGCATAGTCTTCAGGCTGCGGCAGTTGCCGCCCGACTTTGATAAGCTAAAGACCGTTAGACTTCTAAGTGAGGCTCTTGGGGTTGATGCCTCCACAATTCGAATATTCTCCTTAGCATTCTCCGTCGATCCATATCTACCACATAAAGTAGCCACTTTAATGTTTGGTGATGCCATTAGAATTCAACAGGCTCTTGAAGATGGAAGACGACCAGGAATTACAAGATCTGGAGATGAATGGGTGGTTAAGATCGCCAATCTGAATGATAATTGTATATTGGATTCCCACTTTCGAGGACTGACTGCTTTATATGACCCACCATCGCATAAGGCTGAGTAGGTGTCCTCCAATACCAATGTTCTTACCCCAACTAATAGTTGAAGTTGTATTGCAATATCAGGGCTCGCGAGTCACCCCTTTGGATCGTGGCAACCGAAGGGGCAGTCTAAATCCTTCATGTGGATTCGCGATGCAATGCCGAAGTCATTACCAAACGTTCGACCCATACTATACGGTTATGATTCAACTCTTGCGAAAAGCCATTCATTCCAGTCAACATTTGATCTTGCGCTATCACTAATTAGTCAGCTAAAAGCGAATGGTTGGGCATCGCCAACCTGTAAGCCTCTTGCTTTCCTCGCTCACAGCCTTGGGGGAATCATTTTAAAGCAAACGCTCGTCTCGCTCGCGGGTATGGATCGTCATGTCGACCCCATTCTTCATGTTATGAAAGGGGCGGCATTTTTTGGGGTACCTAATCTGGGTATGGAACAATCGCATCTCGAGGCTGTTGTCATGGGCCAAGCCAATTCAGAACTCGTTGAAGCCCTTTCGCCCAAGTCCACATACCTGTATCATCTCGACGAACAGTTTAGTGGAATCTCATACTTCCAGAACTATCTGTTTTATTGGTGCTATGAGACTATGAAGTCACCGACTGTTCTTGTATGTAAACAACCCTGTCATATTCTCTAGCGCTTATAATCATTAATTCTATACCTAGTTGGGCTCGGATGGTAAATGGTCAAGAACCGGTCCTGAAGAGATCCTGGTCACACCGGAGTCTGCAACTCGTGGATTACATGGAGATGCTAAGCACTGTGACTTGATATTTCCAATCAACAAAGATCATTCAAACATAGTCAAGTTTTCTGAGAATGATCAGGACTACTCTGTATTAGTACGACTGCTAAAACAGATATTCTTTTCCAGAGATTCGACGGGAACAGAAGAACTAGCATCAAACCACATGGCAACAAGCTTAGTCCTAAGGCTCCCGGATCTTACGACAGATTCAGAGGAGAAATCGATCAACGACACCAAAGATCGTAAGTAAATAAATTCCCCTTTTGTCGAAAAGCCAACTTATATTAGACTAGGCATTCTGAAGTCACTTCTTGCCCCCGAAACAGATCGTCGACTCGAGCAAATTGAAAAAAAGTTTCGGAGCACCTTTAACTGGGTCTATGATTTGTCAGAGCCAGGCTTCAAGCGATGGCTCCAAGAGGATACCGGACTCTTCTGGATTAGAGGAAAGCCTGGTTCTGGTAAATCAACTTTAATGAAGTTCATTTTCCAGGATCAACGCACCTCGGTCCTACTTTCCGACTGGACAGGAGAATGTTCCTATATTCAAGCAGCTTTCTTTTTCCACCATCGTGGGACTTCACTCCAGAAGTCCTTTGAAGGCCTCCTTAGAAGCATTTTATCCCAGATCATCTCACAGAAGCCATCTCTTTGCAAGTTCCTTCAGCCTATACACAGTGAAGAGGTTTCTGCTTCAGATAATTTGTCTTTAAGGGTGCTTCAAAAAGGCCTTAGCGACATATTAAGGCAAGAAGAGATACCACTGTACCTCTGCTTATTTTTGGATGCACTAGATGAGTTTGATGGACCGTTGGAATTTTTATGTCGATTTCTTGGAGATTTGGGCGCCATCACCCCGGGACCAAATAAACGGATAAAGATTTGCTTCTCGAGCCGTCCCTGGGAACTTTTTACAAGTACTTTTCGAAACTGCGCAGGCTTCCAAATTCATGACTTCACCAAAGACGATATTACGGACTATTGCTTGGGTTCGATTAAGGAGGAGAAGATTTCATCCGTCGCACTGGAGAGTTTGATACCAGATATCGTAACGCGGTCGAGGGGTGTTTTCCTATGGGTGAAGCTCTTGATCAACGACCTCGCCCATACTAACAAAACCAACATAAATAATATCGAGATGAGGAAACTACTCGAATCCTATCCTACAGAACTCGATTCATTTTACGTCGAAACCATTCAACGGATTCCGCGCGCATATAGGCGGAAGACTTACGCGATGCTTGAGATTGTAGTTCGATCTATGGAATCGCCGGATCCTAATCTATTTATGGACATCGTTGACTGCTCATATTGTAAAACCTACTCTGAAGCTGAAGCTACGCTCAGGACACGAGATGAATTTGCCTTGAACCGCTCAGCCCTCGTAAAGAGCGAATCGAGAAAATACTGTGGTGGATTGATCGAGGTTTATCAAACTAGGCACGGTCCCGGTCTCTACATCCAAGTCCTTCATCAAACCGTTGAAGACTTCGTGAAAGATCCCAAATTTAAACGATTGGTCTTAGAGGAGCAGTCTAAGATTACGGTTGAAAACGGTTACACGTTTTTAGCCAAATATTGTTTTTTGTCAATAATCGCTTACCTCGCGAATGAAAACCCGCTGAATATCAGTGTCGAGCCTCTACTCTTTAATCCGAGTCATCCCCCTAACCACCCTATTATCGATTTCGAAATTTCTTCATCATATGCTTATCAATCTGAACGGACTACTGGTCGTAGCCTCAAAGCATTTATCGACAGTATCCCATGCGAGAAATTGTCTGGCCTAAAAGAAATTCATAGAAAGCCCACTCGTCTTGCCCTTTCTGTGTTGTTTCACTGCCACCTTTATATCATTGAGTCCCTTGCAGATTCACCTACCCTCTTGCAAAAATCCAGAGAACCATTGTTGACCTATGCCTTCCAAAATACGTCTGCTACAAACGATGCGATGTCTGCTGTAGGATCTGCCTCCATGATTGAATTCCTTTTGGAAAGAGGATTCAAAATAGATCGAGACCCGGTGGTTTTCTGCCACGCGATATCAGAAGCATCGTCTAGACCTGGGCTAGAGAATTACGTTGACCTTATTAAAATCCTACTCAAATATGGCCAAAACCCCGATGTAAATCTCGGAAAACGCTGGAGGTCATACGAACTTGTGGCCTTACATTTCAGCGGACTCTCGCAAAGACTATTTGATATTCTTCTCAGCCACGGTGCTACAGCAAATATCCTGGATGCTAAGAGAAGGACGCCACTGGACTGCTTGTGTAGATGGGTGGACGAGTATAGATATCGTGACACCCCAGAGGTCTACCCAGATATCTATAACAAAGTCTGCCTGCTTGTGTCACATGGCGGATTCGTAACGAAAAGGGGGGTTGAATCTTCGAGGCAGCTCTTACGCGAGTTACAAGATGCTGGGTTCCCTATTGACGATTTGCAAGTGGTCTTATCCAAACCGAGAAAGATACCCAGAATTTCGCCTGGGACTCCGTTTAAGAAGATGAAAATCTACTTTTCTGGGAGGAAACTATTAGGTTAGGTGAGATTTGGGGCATAATTGGGAGATAGCGGCAGACCGCCTGGTTACTGTCACATCAGACTGTATGTTTGGTGGTTGGTTGGTGAGCTGTTTTGTATTGAATAGCGTTTAAGCTCAGGGGCAATAACAGGCATGACGTAAAGGTGTTCGGCTTTTGGAAGAAACTGGCCTTTTATTACTAGAATGAGATACGAACTATAGCATTCTGATTCTTAGTCAGGCAACAAGATTATTATTATACAAAAGATATGAGTAATTCATATGGATCTAGGTATGGTTCTATTCTGCCTAGGTACCTATGTAGGTTCCAAGGTTCCAAGGTTGTTTTGTCACATCAAATTATGTTCACGAACAATAAGATGCCATTCATTCTATAAATAGCACTGAGCATCCGCTACTAGGTAATATTTTTGCTCGTTACAACCTCGCGAATCACAAGAACAATAGTTCTAGCAATCTATTATCATATACATGAGTAAACATCCAACTATCACTTAATTTTCAAGGCAAAACGCTTCACTGGCCAACATGGCGAACACTCACAAGGGAACAAAGAAATGTGCTGCGTGTTCTAAGCATATTCCCCAAAACCATCCATTCGCATTATGCCCTGCTTGTCTGGCTAAGAAAAACAAGGAGACAAACCGCAAGGCCAAAGAAGTATACAAGTTAGCGAAACAGTTAACCAATGCCAACTTACTTTTTTAAGAAGCTCCCCCTAACCATACTCCCATACCTCTAACTACCTCCTTACCTACTAAGTACCTACGTAGTATGTTACCTATAACTACCTAGTTATTTAATCTAAATTAAAACACATTATTGTCATGGTGGCATTATGGTGTGGAAGTCGGATCTAAGTTTCCAACGTATCGCGATAACATATACGTGTAATGAAGTGCTGCTCGTAAATACCTACCTAGGTACCTACCTACCTACCTACCTAGGTAAGCATTAGAGAAGAGCCAGATGAAGTTAGTCGATATTGATCATCATGATTTCATTACCCTTTCACTACCTACCCATATGTGCGTACCAATCATGAACTTTCAATAGCCTGGTTAATTGAGATCATGGGATATTCTATCCTTAGTTACAACTCAGAAATCTCGCCACGGCCCGTACCCCTATCTTGCATCGCACATATATGTCTAATCTCGAAACCCAAGTCGACATCGTTGATCTCATAATATCTCTTCAACGTCCGCAGAGCATTCTGACACTCCTTCGCCGTGCGCTTCTCGTCGCTTAGCTTCTGCCTAGTGCCTACCCCGTGAATCCGGACCCCGTCGCCATCGATATAAGTCAAGGCTACCCGATCACTGTCTCTCTCTCCGAATAACGGGGGTTGTACGACGTACTTCAACGACCTTCCCGAAACCCCCAAGAGGCTCATATCGTCTGGTTGTCGGATAGGTACGTTTTGCACGCGATATAGACAGTTCCCAGTCTCCTCATCGCATGATTTCGTCACGGCAAGCTCTAACCAATGGAACGAATCTAAGTCTGGCTGGAAATGCGAGGTGTCGCCATTACCGTCCGCCGACACCCACCTACGGGCATAGGGTTAGAATATGAGGCGCGAGCTCGGGTCCGTGTGGGATAAACGTACCATCCGAAACTAAAATATCCCTTCTCCGTCATATAACTGAAGAACTCGGTTGCCCGCTTCGTGTGACTGACGGACGAGGATACATCATCGCTTGGAAAGGTGAGGACGGAGGTGCCGTGGAAGATCACCGGGTGGGTAGACGCAGTTGCCCAGACCGCACTGATGAGAGTAAAGAGAGCAAGCAGCAGCGTTTGATACTCCATTGATATCATTATTTCACCCCTCAGCTGGGAAGAGAAAGAGGATATAGTGACAACAGATGGGCTGTCGTTGGATTAAAAGTATCCAATTATTAAGACGACAGTGCGCATTCAACAAGCGCTGTCGATCCAAGCATCGGCATAGGGCTAAGGCGGCACGGATGCTCCACTACAGAATCGTCCAAGAAATTTCCGGCGACTTTCTCGGGTATCTCGTCTTGAACTGTATTAGAACTTTGACTAGTATTCTTTCAAGTGTGGCGTAGTCGGAGACATAAGACTCTCAATATGTATGGTTATCTGGGGTACGCATCCTCTGTATCAGCTTTAAGAAAGAACCGACACTCGGCAGTCGTATTGGAGGGTCAATAATATAATATTGGCATTCGAAGAAGGATGTAACGACTTTTCTGGGCGTCCCTGATGTCGCTTTTAACCCTTTCGGTCATGCATTCGATATTATATTGGCATTCAATCCTGCTAACCTGGAATTCAAACCCTACACCCATTGCGGTTATAATATCAGAGACAATTGCTGAAGAATGATTTTAGTAATCGTATATGATCCTAAGACATTTGTTACAGCACAGATGTTAGTCGACTCCATAGCTTGGGATTTACCTGGATGAACGTGGTGTTGTGGAGTGTACTGGCAATTGCCGTCTTAAGCACCTGTCGTTACGGGTTAAGTCCTATGGAGTAAGCCAATACCCGCGTAAAATTACCCCTGGTTCGCACATTAATGTATGGTAGTGTGGGTGGTAGACATGTGAGACAGCAATATTCTTGGCAATGTCGCAGTAGCAATGCTGAAGTCGAGACCGTGGCCATAATATAAGTCGAATAATAGGCCACCGGCTGTATCTGTCAAAATCAGGAAACAAGAGCCTCTTTTGATGAATACGTCATAATATCTTCGACCTCGGCGCATCATTGACGAGATACGCTCTTTGAGATTTACCTCAATTCCCTAGATATCAGCTGTCGCAATGGCATCGCCAGACCAACCGCTTGCCCGATACCATCTCTGAATTCCGTCGCTCATCTTGAGTGAATTCCATGTGCATCATATTGCTCGTATCCATATCCTTGTCAACGTATTTCTAGAAAGTATCGACGAAGCACGATGTGGCTTGGAATAACCTTGTCTTCTAACTGACCACTGTCAACGGGTGCCTCAGTTTAACAACAAGTCTTGGCCCACAACTTTTCTTTCTTCATTTCTTCCATGACCTTGGCTAAGGTAAGGCACTGGTAAACTTATTCGACTAGATCTTCTGGCGGGGAATGCGGGTATGGGAGATCGCCTGCATCGGGGCCGCTATGTGGTTCGAGTGGTGTAGTTTCGATACCGCGCGGGGACAAGCTCGTTCTGAGACTATCAAGTTTGAGGAGAAAGGTCGGATTAGGCAGACTCGGTGACAGAAAGTGCATTTATGAGATGGAATACCGCTGCTAGTACTTAATAATGCCTACATAGGTAGGTAGTTATAAGAGACCACGGCATCGTAGTATGAGACCGGAACCTCGATATGTTGCGATCCATCTATAGGCACGTTGTGGTTGTTGGTATATTCGAAATTAGTAGATAAGAGCACTGATCGTACATATTTGCGATTGTATTTTCTGGGTGTGGCATCACGTGCAGGCAGGTCGCTTAGGGGCTCGACGCCGCTGACGTTAAGACGCATTGATCTCTAAAAGTGGGAGCAATACATATGGATTTACGACTAACCTAACGACGACATGGTAGTGAATGTTTCAGAGAGGCATACCTCATGCGCAACCCCAAGGTAGATCTCCCCAGAGCTAGAGAAAATGATATTCATTACGATATCCTCAATCAAGCGACCCCGAACTTTTAATTGGGACGCTGCTAAGATTAGATCTTTTGGGTATCATTCAACCCTTGATATTGCGGCAAAGCAACTGCACGCGTTTTAGCCTCAGGGTATCGCCACAACACATCAAGGCACCAAGTTTCCTCGTGGTGTAATCAGGGAATAATATGAATACGTCATCTACGCAAAGGGTAATGATAATAGAATATAAAATTAACTATCCCCTTTGATAAATGTGGTAACTTCCATCATGATTCTTACGATCCTGGTACCCTCGAAGACCGGGTTGTATACCTACTAGATGTACACACATCGAACAATTACTACAATGGTCAATACTAGGTATTCCCATTTTAATATATCCCCCTCATGCTTATGATGGATCCGAGTTTGGATGGGCGGGATCTTGTCGCATACGTGCTGCAGTCGCTTGAAGAGGAGGAGGAATTTCACTTTCTTCGTTTTGAGTTCTTGCAGCGACTTAATATAACCCAGTTGCAAGTCAAATTGGCAAGGTTAAGGAAATGCATCGAGAAGGAGTATTGTGTTTCCTCTAGTAATAGAGAATTACTTGAGAAGACTCTACGCGACTACGGTATGCAGTGAATGGATGTCATACAGGACAGACAGCTACTAATCTTGCGCAGCAACCGCAATTAGAGATTATCAATTCGTAAGGGGTCAAAAAGTTCTTGGGGAGCAGGAGATTCAAGACAGAGAACACCTCCTGAGGCGATTCTTTAAGTCACCAGAAGACCTCAGCGACCTATCTCCTCCGCATTATGCCTTCAGTCAAGGCACGGGATCGACAATTGACCCGCTCCGCCATGCCTTCATGAGATACCTCCCAAGGCAGCTTTCCTGGTCCAAGGAGGAGCGACGTCGGAGGGAAAGGGAGTACGCGCTTGGGAAACAACCGAAGGAGGTTTCCAAGTTCGTTGATCAATCCGTACGCTTTATCATTGCCTGCATCGGCAGCCTATTCGTCATCGTGCCTACGCTCATCGAGGCAGCGATTGCTGAACCGAGAGAGGTTCAATTATCACAGTATAACGTCTTTTTCACCTGGACGTCGTTCACTCTCCTTTTCGCTCTTACGCTATCTTTTGCTGTCAAGGCCTCGAACACCGAGACCCTTGTTTCTACATTCACATACGCTACCGTATTGCTTGCACTTATAGCCATTTTCGTACAGATAGGTACGGGAGCAGGCTCCATGCATTGAAATGTGTGGCGATAAGGGGATGGCTGTAAAGAATTGTTCAGAAGACATTTCCTGGTCTAAACAGATAGATTTGATATCAGATCTTCATTCGAGCCTGTGAAAATTCTATAATGCGTACTCAACCACGAAAAAAAGCATTCCTATCTTCAATTCTGCTCATTAATGTTCGTGGCTTGTTCCGTCGTGAAGTCTATCAGATATAATTAAGGGGTCAGCGATGAAGAGGGTGGCGTCTACAGCGGCGAGATACACAACCATAAATCGCGCCAGTAAGACGAGGATACGGCGTTTCAGTTTGAGGCCCGTCACTATATGAGGCGCTGGTGGCCAAATTCTCATCGGCTTGCTTCGAATCCTTGAGCTTGATTGCATGCCAGTTCGGCAAATAGGACGAGGAAAACGGCGCCACTATCTCCTTTTCAGCCAGAGCTGAATTGTTGGCTTCGGCTGACATGCTTTCCGCTGCAGATAATCTATTAGAATCGGATGAATTGCTTTTGGAAAGATGATCTCGTCAAGTCCGTGATATAAAAAGCATTCACCTTCTACATCGCGACCCCTGGGGTAGATACACCAAGATACACCTACGCCATCCCCTACCGTGACAGCCAGCATATAATCACGGCAGCCCCTCAACAAGATCCAAGATCCTATCCACAGCCTGCTTCGGCAGTACCTCCCGCATCCCCTGGAGCAAGCCCTGCGGCCAGTACGGATACATAACAGTCCTAGCTCTCCTGCCGCCGTCCGCGCCACCACGGCAACCCGCATGCGCCAAGACCGCCCTCGCCATACCCCGCGGCGTCGGACACAAGATCGAAGTCCTCTGCAACCTCGCCTAAACAGCAGGACACGGCATCGATATCAACGCCACCCCAACCCCATCCTTTCCAGCACCTCCTAACTAGAGAAACAACCTTATGTGGCATCAGATCGAAAAGAAGGTAGGTTTGTAAAGATATATTCAAAATAGATATACAAAAAGAATGTAATATTCATCCATAGCGATCGTGAGAAATAAATCTAGTCATTACAAGTCATAACACATAAACATAACATCACCTCATACACCTCCCCTCATATCCTCATAAAAGTATCATCACACACATCACTACCACCCACATATGTCATAAGTAATCACCCCCGACTAAACAAAATCGGCACATCCATACTCCGATGATCCAGCGCCGCTCCTCCCCCCACACCTCCCCTTCCAAACAAGCCCTCCCGGAACCTCGCCCCACTCAAAAAGCCCCCAGCGCCAAAACTCTCCTTCCGCGAACTCACCCCACTCTTCTTACTATAGCAACTACTCCCCGCCGAAAACTGGCTACCCAAACGACTCAGCACGAGTTCCTTCGCGCGTCGCAGCGCACTGGTCTGGATATCCGGGTCTTCAGCAACGCGGCGCTGGGCCTCCTCGGCCTCGATATCGCGCTGGACGGCGGAGATTTCGGAGCACAGGTCTGCGGTGGGGTCGTAGACTGTGGCTTCGAGGAGGATGGGCATGCTGGGGTCTGTGTTGAGGATTGGGGGGGAGATGTCTAGGGGAGAGAGTGTGGGAGGGGTGCTGGGACGGTAGTAGTCGTCCATTACGAAGTCCGATTCGTCGAGTGGTGAGTTTGTGAGTTCGGGTTCGGAGCCTGGGGCTGAGAGTTGGGAGATTTCCCCGAAGAGGCGGCGGGAGGCGGAGGAGGTGGAGTATACGCTGTTGACTTCGCCGAAGAGCCGTGGGGTAGAGGTTTGGGATAGGCGGGGCGGCTCTTGGGGACGGTGGAATGATTCGATTGAGGGCTGGTGGCTGTGGGTATGAGGATGCATCTCTAATTGCTCCACCGGAGGTTCCTTGGTCTTTGGCTCCCTATGGCGGCGGTGTCGACGATGTTCATGGATAGGCTGGTCTATTGAATCCTCGGAAAGTTGCCGGTGATGATGCCGTTCACGATGTTTATGCTCATCTTCTGTATGGTCATGATTCGGCTTCCTCCTGCGGCGCTTCTTCGTAACGCGACGTTTCTTAATTTTGTTCGGAAACGAGATACTAGCTTGTCGTGCAGCTTCTAGGTCTGAAGGTAGGTCAAGAAGGTCTTCCTCCTGCTCTGGTGGTGCATATTGTTCACCTTCGTTACCTTCGCCATCATTGAGATCGAGATCTAAGAGCTCCTGGGATACCGCGTAAACAGCAGGCGATTCCTCCGATAGTTCGTCATCTACATCTTCAGGATGGATACTCGCGACTTCTTCAGATATGGTCGCCATTGAGTGCCGGGTCCAACGGCCGCTACGAGAAGTATTGTCCGTCAAAGGCGCTAATGCATCATCCCAACTACCATCATTGATCAAAACCGTATTCTCGAAATCAAACTCGCGAACACTATGTTGGTGCGTCGCGACCAGAGAAGCTACTTGGGGCGAGTTCATTGTAGAATTCCGAATTGCCATGTAACGCAGCTTTCGGAAGACAATAGGCTTTCTTAATGGCGTCGGTGGTAATGGTGACATAGGTGAGGTGACTTCATGGAATAGTTTTTGTGAACTCCGAGGCGGCGCAAACAATGGGTCGGCCGCCAAAGACAGCGGGCATGGCCCCTTTTGACCCAGCCAAGTAAACGTTAACTTTTCTAGGTTTGTTGAAAAGTCCCGGATATAGTCTTCGAGCATCTTCAGATGATCAAGTCCTGGCGAAGGACCATAAAAGTCCCATGACTCTACGGTAATATGAAGCTTTCGGATCTGCCTCCATCGTCGAGCTGCTGATGGTAGACAACCAAAGCCTATGACATGCCGCAAATAGATAAAGGCAGACGGGTGGACTGATGATAGCGAAAGTTTTGTCAGCTTCCTCACCGGCGCCCTCTCAAGTGAGATTCGTAGACTAATAAGTGCATAGTCAACAATATCCCTCCGGTATCTCTCCCTCGGGTCTTGGCCTGGTGTTTTTATTGAAAGATGCCTCATATTTGTCAGGTACTTCATCGCGTTAATGAAGGACGGTACATTAGACGCTGCGTGGAACAATGGCGGATACTGATCCGTGAGGATCTCGCCAAGCCCCGAATTGGCGAACTTAGGCCTCTCCAGAACGGAAGCCATAGAAGTGTGAGGCTTATATAAGAAGCTAATCTCACGCCCAGTTTCGGGGTGGATTAGCGGGGGTAAAAATGTAGCATCGGAATGCGGAAAAGAAAAGGTGAGATGTTCTATATGTTGGCCTATTCTCGACAATGCGTCGATCCTATTTTGCCGAGTAAATGTTTGCGCCGTGAAAGTCAAGTTGGTTCGTAAGAAAAGCCGTTTAGTAACGAGATTGCAGCATGCTGAAGATGCGAGTCGGATATTGCAGATGTCTTGTTTTGGTAGTAATTCGAAGAGCTTCTCACGGATACGCTCCTTCTGCCACAGGCAATAGAATGCTTGCGGTCCTGTTGCCATAGCTCTCGCATGTCGCTGAGGCAAATCTTGTCGAGGTTGTGGTGTTAGTTTGAGAAAAGTCCAAATAGTGGACTGCCTTAAAGATCACGAAGGCGGTGTGGATAGTTAAATTGGTGTCAGTAAAGTCTGATCAAGGCCAGGTATATCTGTGTATATCTTTGAGGATAATTGTGGGATAAATATAAATAAGATTTGAATAACTAGTAGTTGGTAACAGAGCCGCTATGCAGGCACAAGACGCTAAAGTGAGGTTATTCGCAGTTCATGCGATACCGTTAAGCTGCAGTCTTGCTTGCACTAGTAATAACAATATGATTCAATCAGAATCAATATGATTAATGAAACAATGAAGCCTGGTTTTGAGGGAGAAAAGCCGATAACAGGTCAGCCGGGTCCGCGAAGGTCGCAGCCATATGTTATACCTGTTGGCTCCCTCTCCCCGGCTCTATACAGACATTTAGACATTTAGACCCGCCTCCCACGTTCTGCAGTAGAATCCCTCCCGTGTCTACCAGATCTCTCGCTCGACATCAGAATATTCCCACAGATCGAGAATGGTTGGTAAGTGAGTCATTCTCACGATTTTAGTGCGCCCGCTCATCTGCAAGTCGGGCAAGTCACCATGCAAGCGAGAAGTGCAGGAAAGTCGAAGGAAAGACCAAATAGCAGACGCGACAGTTGTTATAGACCGCGATGCGAACGATGAGTGGCCGATTTCAGAGGGACCTGCATGGTGTTCGATGCAAGACTACTGCAGCTGTCTCACCGTGCCGGTGTTCTCAGCCAGTGAGGGAAGTTGAAACGATGTGGGGGAGCGATGAAGAGGAGAAGAGAAGCGCCGTGCGACAGGGGGAGAAGGAAGGAAACGGACGACAGGTGGGGCGCAAAGGGGCGCAAAAGCATCTAATAGGCTTGGCATTTGTGGCAGCCAATGAAATTTGTAGTTGATTATATTCAGTGGCTGGTGACTGCCATGTCCATCGCGCTTGAACTTCCACAACTTGTGCTGCAGGCGCGAAATTGGCACGAAATAAACGCGAAGTATACCCAAGGCCCCTCTTTATCGAGTTAGGTATCTATTTCTCTTCCATTCATATAAAAGACATTAGCGCTCTGAACAGCACATTATCTCCATTTCATGAATGACTCAAGTAACTCAAGTAATGACGAGCAATAGCTTTTTATATTCATGGGGACGAGAAGATATTTCACCCAGTCAAATTTTGGATTTTTTTAGATTATATTTTCGATCCCTACAAAGCCGGATGATGTCGGTTAAGTCAGATTGCTAGGATGATGTACAAAAACGCAACCGAGAGCGCGGTATCGATGCGACGGGTGGAGGTGGAGGAGGACGATCAAAAGCACGAAGTTCGTGTCAACAGATACCCCAACCCAGACCGGCACCCACCCACCAAGATCCTAGTATGATCGCGTTGAATGTCTTGTCCCGGTCGATCTGTTTCGAAACATCTCGACCCAGACTTACTTCTAGGTAGGCTAGAATGACGGAAATCCCGGCCGCCTCCGTCCTATCCTCTTTCGTCTAGGAACATCTCATCAACGAATCAACGTCACTACGGATGTCGCCACTTTGATATTCGTCCCACGAAGTTCATCGAATCGTTATAGAAGATCCATACAATATGTAGGTCCAGATTGGCCATCGGCTTTAGTGGCTATCCGATTTCACAACCTCAGTCGCAAACTCTCGGCACAACACTATGCCTACATAATGGTCACACAAGGGGTACATGGGTATGTTAAGTGACCAACAGATTAGCGAATATAATTGAAGCATTCTTATCCGAGCTACAAGTCGATATCACTTTGTGTCTATTTGATCCAGTCGTTAGGGATTGGCCGCCGCTTCCCTTGTTCGAGGCTCCTTTCCATGTCACCCCAACTGTCTGGTGTGGCAATCAATATACACGAAAACCAAACTCCTCGCATGTATCATCAACGTCTGAAGACTTGAGCCGATCCGCGTGGCTGATACTTGAATGCGTAAGCCGGCAATATTACAGGTAGTGATGCTAAATCTCGGTATCAACTATGGCGTCTATGCAATTGGCCTGTAGCGAGGAACGATCGCAACCTGGGAAGCCGTCATGATCTTTCGTAGGTGGCGATCAGGATCAAGATGATTTAGAGGTGAAGGTTTAGTCGGTCACTCCGCACTAACATCGGAGTTTGAGGCTTCGGCGCAGAAGATTCCCCCTTCCAACGGGTTCTTTGCCTCGGACTTTTCCTCCCGACATCGGCCTTCCTGCTCGTTGTCTGAGAAATTGCTCAAGGACCGTAATCCAGGTGTATGAATGATATTGGACAATTCAGATACTGCCCTGAGTACCTAGGTATCTCGCGAACCTTCCATCTCAGTCTTCCTCAGGAACATTCTTGGATGACGATGACTCCCCATTCACTTGATCGCTGGATCGCAGCATAGTTCAACATTGAGAACTGTTGTGCTAGTGGCATTGGACTACTTACCTAGATAGAGAGATCGAAATGGAGGTTCTGATTTGGTGAGTTCCTGTTTTTCATTCTGTTCATTTCGCCACAAGCATATTGTAGGAAGTATATCGCCTCTCACTCATGGATGGCCACTGGTTGTCGATTCTACTTACTTATTCTCTCCCTGCTAACAGCACATTGAAGAGAATGGGGCATAGTTCCAGTAAAAATCGGCACACCATGGTTGTCTGTGATACCTGATAATACCAGGCGGTTATGGTGCTGGGTGTTGACTTCTCGACGAAGTTCGGTTTTAAGAAGCGTGGTCCGTAACGAATTTGGTAGCCCTGAATCATCAGTAAGAGAGGTGAGCCCACATAACTGCTCCCTGGGTCTGGCTAATGTGTCTTTCAAGAATCTGGGGAAGAATCGATGACTGCCCACATCGAATCCACCTATTCTGCGCACCTGACATGCGACGAAACCTCATGTTCGCAAGGGGGGTAAGCCGTCATAGCCAGCTTGCTGCCGTCTCTAAAGAGATGTGACAATCATCAACGTTCCTATTATGGTTTTAATCAACCTAGTAATTTATTGTTGATGACAGACTTGCTTCCTCCCCATAAGGTACAGAAGAAGACTACCAATCCAAGGTCAAGCGCACGTGGATCTACGTAGTGATATATATTCAGGATATCTTAGGCTTCGGGCAATAATGTAGTTTTATGCCGGGCGTCTGATAAGTGAGTTAGTATCCAAGATATCAGACGTGATCGGGTGAGGAAGTAGTTGCGGATGAATTGAGTAAGGGGGTTGCGGAGGTTAATGGAAATAATTGTTAACAAAATGATAGTGCAAACACCTGAATTCCCTATCATTCCCTTAACATTTTCTCTGGACCTTGAATACAATGGACAAAATCTCGGTCTACCACCTTGTTGTCAGGATAAAAACATTATGTAGCTTCTATTATGTGAAATAAGGCTCTAGCGACAATACTTTATACATTATATGGAGATGCTCGGAGCGCATTGATTGAATGAGTTCTTTGAAGTGAGTTTGAGCGATCTTGGTTGCACTGATAAGTGGGACTGTTCGGAGAGATAATCGGGTAAAGTCCGGTAGATAAAGTATGTAGCTGGTCGCACAGCATTTCTGTACTTCTGAAACGCCACAAAGGCTGCAAAAGTGGAACTCCGAACTTCTGGAATTCAAAATCACTCACCCTGTCACCTACACAATCTCGAATCAGAGATCGACACATTCAACAGCTATGATTCCTTCTGTCCACAAGTATGTGCATTTACATACATAAGCGCATCCTACGGACAAATCTAGTAAAGAGATGATGATATCGGCGGTCAGGTGCAAAATGGTACAAATGATACCTAACCTCAAGAAACAAACCGAGGATGTTCACCATCGTCGCATCGCTAAATCGTTGAAGAAACGCCAAAAAGAGACTCCGACTCCACAATCCGAAGGAGATGAAAGGGATATTTGAACTATTTTCTCACTTCTCTCTCTCCTTTTTCGGTTACACCTTGTCGAGAAGCTGTGCGTGTACTATGGTCGGGAGGGCAAGTTTTAGCACACTGTCGGGTACTCGTGGGTCAAATAATGCTGTGGCTAAACTACAAGGAGTAAAAATTGTTAGCCACACAAGGGTCCCTAGTTGAAATCTGTACCTGACAGTGTGCTAAAACTTGCCATTCAGACCATAGTAGCAAGATCGGACGATAATGGTGGGCTACTAGCAAGCCCTCATTATATTTCGCTCAAGGGCTGAAACGCCCGCATAGCCCTGTCCTCTCGCATCCCTACCTGGCACCTGGGTACCCATCGCATCAAGATTTCTTCTTTTCTTTTCCACGCACACCAATCCCACATCAGCACGAGGCAGTTCGTCACAAGTCGACCGAGTGATGTGTTGGAAGGAATAGATAGGTCACTGCCCTGACCTAACAATCTGGTATGTGATATCACATCTCCAATACATCGGTTCTATCATACGCCATCTATCTGAGCAACTGGGGCTACCTAGATAGGTACTAGGTAAGTATCACTAAACGCTCTTCTTGTCGCATTACGTTCGTCTTTCCTAGTCGGTCCCTTTGCGAACTCGGGCATGGTGGTGCGGCTCTGCCAAGACGAGAATTGGCAAGCTACATATTCTTAGGGATACAACAAGACGTAAATACTATTCTCGAATATCCCATTTGGGAATTCGTCTGATGGAAACGAACGAATGTTGCTTTCGGCTGTAGTCTGATGATTTTCTCTGGGATCCAACGGTCGGTTATTTGCGACCAACTCAGCACCTATGCGTTTTACGCCAAGTGTATGGCACCCGCATGCCGCTATGATCTCTGAAAAGAGACTCCGAAGTGAAGTACAGAACAGAGGCGCAGCTTTACCACACATCCGGAAAATTGACATCACATTGTCACCACAGTCGCACCTATGAGAGCTACATTCGTATTTCTATCTTGTTTAGAAGCCTAGACGACGAAAAATAGAAATATCCAGGTAGCAAGTGCTTTAACAAAGCATAATATTCATTCAATGGGCTTTTAATGCAAAAAACCCAGACCAGATCTAGCTTCTTGAAACACCCCTTGCTGATTGGCTCCGGTACAAAATAAATTGAGGGACTATGCAGACCCCGGTCACATTTGATGCATCCCAGTTAGCCATCCCGGAGCGGCTCGTGTACAATCACTTGCTTGGCCTTCCCGTTCGTCTCCGTCAGCCATGTCTCCATGCCCATGCCCAATTATGAACAGGGCCGGGATGATCACGGAGGAAGAGGAGGGGTCCAGTATCAGCTCTACCCCCATACAAAAGAGCTAGAGGCCCTGCTCTTCTACTACCCACGATCTTAGCTGATCTTCTTTCATCCCGGCTTTCCGCTGTCGCGGTAGTTTACATTCGTTTCTTCTTGCCTGTTTCCCTTCTCTTGTTGTTTCCTATTCATATGCCTTGCGAGTCTGGAAACTAGTAATATTCTTCTTTGGGGGATGGGAATCGTAGAACTACACAGCAACCATGGGCCGCATACGATCAGATACGCATTCGTCGATGATGGAGTCGGCTAGGAGGCCGAGTATTTGGGCAGGTAGTTTACGGCGTGATCATATCCGCCTCGGTGACCTACCGGACGAAGACGGGGCCGAACGAAGTCAGATGTACACCTCGTCAAAGTCAGGACCATCTAGTGCCTCAAGGCAAAATTCATTTGCGTGGCCCTTCCACGGCCGTAATGCTTCGGAAGCTATTTCGACGACGAGGTCGAGTCACTTTACCTTACGGACATGGCAACCTCGAACCTTTTTTCGACCTCACGACGACACAGCGAGTATCGATAGGAGTATTGTTCCAGATTATGTTGTTAATTTTATAAGAGGAGAAACGCCTGAAACTTTAGCAATGAAAAAGGAGCGAAGGAAATGGGGTCAGCACGGTGTTGAAATCACTCCACATCGAGAAACCTTCGCATCGTTTCCCATCGAGTATGGTCATTATTATTCGCACAGCGCGGACGTCACCCGTGATCTAAATACTTTTAGTAGCTGGAGTCGGAAAAGCGGCTTGCGTAGACACATAACTGGATGGAGAGGTGGTGTTATATTCAACAGCTTAATATCATTCATAATCCTACTCGTCGGAATCATCTGCTTAATATTGGTCATCGCCGAGGCCAAACTTCTTTCTGGGGAATCGGCTATCTATTCGGGCGACTGCACAACGGCCGAGCATATCAACTATGGGATCCATATCGTCATTAGCGTCTGCGGTGTTGCCATCCTCTCTGGAGCCAACTACGTCTTCCAGATCCTCTCGAGCCCGACGAGACGGGAGGTAACCGTTGCGCACGAAAATAAGCAGTGGCTTGACATCGGCGTACCATCGATACGCAATTTTATGCACATCTCAAGTTTCCGAGCAGTTGTCGCTGTAATTGTCTTGCTATCTGCAGTAGCAAGCCAAGTAATGTAAGTGGATTTATACAAAACTAAATTACTCCCGCTGACAGTATACAGATATAATGCAGTAATTTTTACGACTCAAAATATAGTTAACTACGACGTATTATTCGTCACACAATCGTTTCTCGACCACGCTCCTTTCAATAATGATACGAGGATCAATGAGGGCCGCCTCTCAGATCTCGACATAACCAGTCTCCAAGATTCAGCCAGCGAGATGATTAACATGACCTCAACGACTTGCCTGCAACAATTTAGCGGCGTCTTCCAACCTTCATTTAACGCAGTTTTGCTTATCACAGACTCGACTTCTACGAGCTCTTCTCTCATTCGGACCGCTGAGTCCGGCACTCAACTGACTACTTTCGCTTCAAACAACGACATCACAGCCCCGGACGGCTCAAAAGTTCAATACTGTCTCGCGCGCACTAGTACGCCTCAGACATGCAGCGTCAACCTTAGCGGCTCCATATTGGGCATCGCCGTATTACTTAACCTCGCAACCCTCATTTCGATGGCGGTCATTCTCGCGAGATCCTCTTTCGCACCCCTCGTAACACTTGGCGATGCGATCCGCTCGTTTCTCCGTCATCCGGACCCGACGACGGCGAATGCGGCGTTACTATCCAAGAAGGATGTCCGGCAAGGACATTGGGCCTTTAGCGAGGCGCAATACTTTTTCCCGGCCACCCATTACTGGTTCCAGACGCCGTCGCTCCCTCGTTGGATCTTAACGATATTATCGTGGTCCGCAATCGGCGCACCAACAGCCGTCGCGCTTGGTCTCATGATTAGCGGAAACCTCGACAACCCTCTCACGCTCTTCGGAGTCGCCACTCACCAATTCAGCTTCTTGCCGCCTTCCGTCTTCGGCACAGCTCAAATGGCGCTCCTCTCCGCATTACCCCAGTTCCTCCTCTGTATCCTCTACCTAGTAATCAACGCACACCTAACAACCTACTTCCTCTCGCACGAATTCTCCCTCTTCGCACTATCCCAGCGCTCCCTCCGCGTCTCCGCCCAACCCTCCGGCGAACAAACCACAAGCCTATACCTCACTCTCCCGCGCCCCGTCTCCTGGGCCCTCCTCGCCTGGTTCGCCGCAATGAGCTTCTCCCTAAGCCAAGCCGTCTTCCCCGGCACCGTCAAATTCCTCACCCCATCCTCCACCTCATCCATCCCACCCCCGCCAAACACCGCAGACATGGTAGCCGTATCCTTCAGCACCCAAGCCCTGCTCTCCCTCCTCGCACTCCTCACAGCCCTCGCCCTCACCATCCTCCTCCTCGGCTGCAGACGCACACAAGCGGCCTCTCTCGCCTCCGGCGAAGTCACAGGGAACCCGCTCGCGCTCCGCGGCGGCTCCTGCAGCGCCGTCGTCAGCGCGAAGTGCCACCACCACGATATCGTGCCCCCGGGCCAACTCCCCGAGGAGATGGCCGTTCCGACGGGTGAGCCCTGGCTTCGGTCTATAGCGTGGGGTGTCGTGGAGGAAGGGACTGGGGGAAGGCCTGGACGGTGCGGGTTTTCGGCTGATGGGGTTGGGTGTGTTGATGCTGGGAAGACTTATGTGTAAGTGGGGTGGGTTTGGTTTTGGGGATTGGGGTTTGGATAGGTGATTTTTGGATAATACCTGGTGACAAGGAAGATGAAAAAGGAGAATGGGGAGGGTGAGAGGGAGGAGTGGTTATATACCCATATACCCCTATCGTCATACGCATAGGGCGGCATATTTTCTGCGGTTTAGATCGGGTACGGTTAATGGGTTTTGGGTTCCGGCTCGGCGTGTTTTTTGCTTTACATTGCGAGGCGTTGCTTGCGCGATCATATTACATCATATCATGTTTATACATGTAGAGTGCGAGGACGGGATCTATGCACTAGGTGGAAAAAGACGGGGGTGGTGGATTCGGGTTGCTAATCGCCTACCAAGGTAAACTCCGAGATTGATTCTCGCAGATATCTGGTGTGGGTAGATGCATATTACGTTACGTGGCGGTATTGCGATGAGCTTGGGCTACGAAGATCAGATGCAATATACATAAAGCTAATGCTGATATTTGGCACTGCACATTTCGTCTCTATTTTCCAGTGTGCGTGCATGTCTATTTTCCCTAGGATTTAGGTAGGCGAATTTGGTAATATGACCCGATTCAAATTTGACGCCGTAAGCCAAGACACGCAATACTCCGGGTGAGACTGGATTTGAGATATGTAGATAAAACGCCTATTTCATCCCGTGCGGAACGCTAAGAATAAGCTGTATCGTATTGTACATATCAATACAGGTTTACCTCCGCAACAGCCACGCCCTTGTCATTGTAGCTCTAAGTGCTTCCTAATCCTCAATAGCCTCTTCGTCAACCATCAGGCTCTGCTGCTGAGGCTCGTTCTTGGCCTCGATCTGGACGTTGGCCCTCGCCTTCTCCTGCGCCTCGACGAAACTCTCCCAGTACTGCGGGTCTTCCTCGCGCAACCTCTTGACGATCTGTTCCCTGTGTTTCTGGAAGGCGCGCAGCGGTCCCTCCTCCTGGACGTCTTTCATAACCTCCTCATCCCCTTCCATCAATTCGTTTATGATGGACGATATAACCGTAACGTGATTAGGATCTTTCCCGATCTCCTCCGAACTGGTTAGTAAGTCATAATGCTCTTGCTTGATGAGACCTCGGCGGAATCTATGGCCGACGCGGAGAGCTAGGCCTTCTTCCTCGACGAGAGCTTTAGAGGTGTGCGAGATGATGGAATTCGATCGGGACGTGGACTGAGGTGAACGAACTTCAGTCTCGAGATCTTCCGTATCTGACATTAAGCCAGCATCAGCTTCAAGCGACGAGACCGAAGTGCTGAGTTCGGGTGCGGTAGCAATCGTGCGGTCCGGTATGGCAATTTCTGTCGAGTTTTGACGTGTTTCTGGAAACTCGTCCTCGAAGCGTTTAATAATGCCTTCGATGGTCTGGTCAAGGAAGATAAGGCGATCTGCAGTAATGTTAGCAACTATGACGTAAAAAAAGTACATTGCGCATCTTACGATAATTGTGGATGTCCTCCCTGGAGGATGCTTTTGCCATAGCCAAGGCTGGCTGTAGGCGAGCGCGAATTTTCCGTGCGCTAATAAGCAGGTATTTGGACGTATCCTTGACCTTTTCTGGGAGAACTTGTGTTTTGGGTGTTGTGGTTCCAGACTCAAGATCTTTAGTCAAATCGCCTGAATCGCCTTCCCGGTTCTTCAAAACACAAGCCAGGGCTTTCACCACACCTGTACCACCAATGACATAATCCTCATCAGGCGCCGGCTCGCTGTCATCATGTAATTCCATAAGTGGCGTATCTTCTTCGTGGCCTACGAGATGTCGAAGGACGTCCGGCAATTTGTCTTTCTGGCCATCTTCACTGGTAGAGTCACGGATGTCCGGCACTCCCTGCAGATTTCTCATGCAGTACACAACGACGCGGTCTGCTAGCGCCTTCACAACTTCGCCAGATTCGGGAGAAGGGTTATCGATGTCGATCTTAACCAACACTCTTGACACGCGGGCGGCGGCTAGAAGAGAAGCGTATAAAGCACAAGCTTCTTCTTGACTCTCCTCGGTCCTGGCATCAGCTAGGCTAACAAGATTCGGGTTCTCGAGAAGGTTAATATGCGCTAAATTCTTCACTTCTGGCAATATTTCAGCGAGGGCAATCGCTTGTTCTGATGATAATGAGACATCTGCGAGGTGCAATCTTCTCAGATTGTTCAGCTCAGGCAAATACCTAGTAAGTCAACGTTAGCATGGTGAAGTCTGATACAACCGAGGTTAACTCACTTGCGTATTAATCCGAGAGCGCTGGGCTCGGATTCGAAGAGTGCTTGGTTATGTGATAAGTCCAAGAACTTGAATTCCCGAAGCTTCACCAACTTCGGGAATAGTTTACACAAGGAAGCTGGTATGAGGTTACAGTTAGCCAAGCTGAGAGCCCATATCCCTTCTTTCTCGTCAAAAGCGGCAGCCAGTTCTGCGAGATGATCCCTGAGATCGTTGCCGCCAAGATCCAGTCCTTCGCATTTCGCATGGCGCAGATATCTCGCGATATGCTGAATACTCTGTGCATCGAGATTATTATTTGCAAGTCCGAGTCTCGATACTCCCGATTTAATAACCCCGTCGATGATAGCTCCAAGTTGATTGGAGCTTAATCCGGTTGAGCTGATATTGAGAAGTTCTAGTTCGGGCCCAGCGAGACGTTCCCCAATAGCCTTAGCGAGAAGCAAAGATAGATCGATCGGAGCTAGAGGCTTGTAATCTCCACCAATATGAAAGTGGTGATTGAGAGGTGTCTTTGGAGGGTCTGACGGAACAGGGAAAGGTAAATGAGAAAGGTCGAGATATTTGATGGAACGACACATATGGATGAAGAGGCAGATGTGTTTCCATCCTTCGCCAGTAATTTTGCTGTTACTCTTCAGCACTAGCCTCTCGACCACACCGCCTTGCTGGATCAAATCGGAAGCTTTGGATATGGATTTTCGTCTTCCGGTATTCGTCGCTTTCCGGGCAGCTAATAGTCCGGCGAGAATAACACGGACACCTTCGTCCGTTAATCCGCAATTTTCTAGTATAACTTCCCTAACCGGAACAACCGCAAGGAAATCTCCTAATGTAACCAAGTCAGGTGTCGACATGAAATAGCCAGCAAGGTCCAGCTTTTCCAGGACGCCATTCGCACACGACTCCGTTGTTTTTGGAAGCTGTAGAGTGATCTTGGTGAGAATATCGGTTTCTCGCAATTGACAACATCGTCGATATATCCTACCAGGGTTCGTCGTAGGTGCCGATTGCGTTTTGGTGATTGTTGATTTTATTGATAGATCCTCTGTTGAGCTATCGCTGTCGAAGTAAAGTTCCATAGGGATAGCTCCTTTTTCGAGAGCTTCTCTTCGTTTCTGTTCTTTCTTGGCCTTTCGCTCTGCCTCGCTTTTCTTCTTCTTTTCCTTCTTACGTGTCGTCTCTTTTTCTTTTACAGGTCCTTCTTCTTCCGCAGTGCCATTAACCTTCGGTAGTTCATTTGTTGCCTTGGTATTTTCCTGAGTACCCTCTTTTTCCGGCTCTTTCGGAAGGGCTTCGCCAGTTGCCTTAACTACTCCAGCATTTTCCTTTTGCTCTTCTATGGCCTTGGGGTTCTTCAATGTTTCGCCTTCGCTCTTTTCGGTCATTTTTCGCTTCTGAGTTTTGTCAACCGGTTTTTTATTGGCAGCTTCTTCGTCCGCATACTTAGGCAGTGGCGCAATCTCGACGTCGACGCAGAATGCAACTCTACGGAGTTTTGCCTGGCTGAGTTCGTGTACACGACATCTCTCTCTGTGTTTATCGACATTTAGCACCTTCCGTTCCACAAGACCATGACTAGCTCTAGAACCTGGTATAGCATTCCCGTTCGAAGACGACAGGCGACGAAAGACTCCTAAAAACCCTGGCTGGTTGGATTTCGGGGGTGCGGGAACGTATGGAGCATCACCAGTCTGGCGCGACGCATGCGGGAGAACGGCATTTCTGTTCGGCGATATCTTGGGTAACGGTGTCACATCATCGGTATCGTCTTGTGGCGTTGCAACTGGAGGGGGAGATTGAGTAACTGTTGGGGACGTGGAAAATCTGGACGAAATGGTAGAGAACCATGATCCTCTTCTTTGCGGTGGTGTAATATTTTGCGACGGTGAACCTTCGACGGATTGACTTCTCCCTCTACCTGTTCGTTGAGCAAGGGACTTTGTTGGAGCGGGTGACTCTGTCGGAGAACGAGGCGAGCTTGAAGGAGGCGGCGGGGAAACGGTTTTACCATTACCATTGGCGGTAGCGGTAGTTGTAGGTTTAAGCGGGCGGTTCGGAGCAGAGTCTTGGGCTTGGTCAGCTGAAGAATTCCAGGCGACACGACTGTTCCAGTTATCTGCGCCCCAAGAAGATGGACATTGTTAGCCCTCATATGCTTGTACCTGAGATAAACAAGTTGGGCTAGCGACTTGGGAGCAGCGAGATAACAAGATGCAGGTGCAGATCTTCCGATGATTAAACATATGGGGTTTTACCTTTTCCATGGGTCATCCAGCTCACATCCATAACCTGCTCCATACTGAATCTCGCTTCTTTGTGTTCTACTTTGCTGGTTGAGAGCACCACCGACCAGCCTATTTCGGTTTTTTGTCTTTCAAGATACCAGGAATATATATATGCCTCCTACGACCTAACGACCTACAGCCTTGCTACACGCCAATCGGTACGGGCGTAAGGTACTCCTTCCTATTCGGCCTTGCGTTGTGGCGGCGAAGGCGAAGGCGGAGCGGACCTTGGGGTAAAGACGCTGACGAAGGCGTTGGAATGGCTATTAATAAGTCCGGACAATTCGCATTCGTGAGGATCGTAGGGCAGAAGAAGAAAAAGAGGGTAATAAAATGTGAGTTGGTACCATAAAATACCAAGAAGCTAGCTTTGCCTAGCTTTAGTATGTATGTATTCGTTGGTCAAGCAAGGGCAATCTCCCAGCCATTTGCCATCTTGAATGATTGAGTAGATATGGGTGATGAAGGAGATGGGTAGATGTGGTACTTTCTTTGCTGGATAGGTGCGTGTCCTTGGATCTGGATCTAGATCTGGAAGACCTAGGGGACACAGCAGGACAAGACAGATAATGGATGGTATGTATGTAGAAAGGGCTAAACCTCGAAAAAAGAAGTGTGGGGTTCACGGTCTTGCTTTAAGGTGACCAATTCAATATGAGGCCTAGGGTATGAAATGATGCAATATATTTAATCAAGATACCACCTACTTTTTAGTCTAGCAGGTCTAGCAGGTCTAGGTAGGATGAAGACGGAATAGCTGAGAAAGCTGACTAAGAAGCAGCTCAAGGCTTTTCAGGTTACTTTCAGTGGCGTCGAATTGAAAAAAAAAATTGAAAAGGGGAAGGATAAAAATTCCAACGGCGAGTGCATGTGTTGTAGTAGATATGTCAGCATCGTTGCAGCAGTCTGGTATGTACTAAGGTAGCTGGGTCGTAGCAGCCGTAACAGTTGCAACTTTAATGTAGCATCGTAGATCCATACATGTTCATTTCTTTTTAGGTTCGTAACTCAATTCCGAGATGTTTATTTATTAGCGGTGGTTTGATTGGAATGTAAGGAGCATCGCGTCACGGCACAGCTAGTTGGCTACATTCGCTAGATTCGCTAAATTCAGATGGCAAGCGGAACGTTGAAGGGAGGAAGGAAGTGGGCGGTCAACCCTATTTCGTTAGGTTTTTTTCCGCGAGCAGCGCACGAGGACCAGCGATGTTCAGGGGGGCCTAGTGCACTTTTCAGTGGACTAGCAGCCGCTGTCAGCCTCCTGAGGTTGGAAACACAGTCAACGGCGGCAAGTACGCATGTATCTCCACACAACTATCACGCGGTAGGTACCCTCAATATTGTACCTAGTACCCAGTGTACCCCAGCTGCCCCAGGTATGACCGCATACATGCGTTGTTTTCCGTTGCACCGTGCACGATTAGCATGTACCTCCACACCAAACACATTAAGAAATACTTAGACATTGGACATTGGGCATTGGAGTACGTCACATGCCTTCTTTCAGCTGCTAAAGGTGTAAATGTGTAAGGAATGAGAGGGGCATTGAGGGGCAAAAGAAGAACATTTGGACATTGAACATCGAACACCCAAGAAAAATGTGACAATGGCTGAATGCGTGCAATCATCCATCGTCCATACAATGGTCCGGATTGCTAGTCGAACTACACAACATCATTGGATGATTGGATGATATGGGATGTCATTGAATCAAGGTAGCTAGGTAGGTCGAACTGGTTAAAGTAGACCGATGCTATCATAGTAGGAACAACTAGGGAACCAGCCTGCCAACATGGATTCATCAGCTGACCGGCTTCTACCGATCCTATCAGAATGTCTCGGCGCCCTCCTACTTGACGCCACAAGTATATTCATACTGCAGAAGATTAGAAATACACTGGTCGCTCAGCGTTATTTATTCCCTCGTCGGCTGAAGACTCGGAATATAATATCTATTTGAGTCGTACAATTGCAATCTAGCAAAGATAATGAGTCTACACAATATATACGATACGATGATAGAACTTAGCTAGTCAGGTTCTGTGGGTCCTTCTGGCCCTTCTAGCCCTCGTAGACTTTCCTTCGTCGTCTTCAGCATTAAGCGAGTAACTGGGTTGTCCATGACTTGGCGATAAACTAAGATGACGGCATCTTTATACTCGGGTCTCATGTGAGACGATTTGTTCATTATCGGGTTAGTGAATGAAAAGTCCACGAACCAATGCAAGTTGACCCTGCTTCGGAAAGGGTCCAACGACAACAGATAAGCCGAACACTAAACTGGACTACGTCGCGCTAATAGGTCGCCTCCAAGCCATTGTGATCCCATCCATATGTGACACAGTCTTCGGTTATTGTAGTCGGCACGATCAAGTCTTTGCTAGAGATGTGTAGGTTTGCTTAAAATAAATTTCATCGTGCCAGATAATAAAACAGAGGACCATTGGCTCTTTGAGATTGTGCGTACACCGGTATTCATGAGGCTGTGAGGGCGATAAGTTCTCGATGGGTAGTAGATGATACCATCCATGACCGCACGCCGGGTAGGTACCTACCTACGTAATGCAGCAAACTCTTCAAATTACATAAATAGCAGTCTAGAACCACCTCACATGTGCCGCCTGCATGACTTCAAAACGTGCAATTATAACGGAAGCCCTCGCTTAAGAATACATCCCGAGGCAATTAGAAAAATGTTTTCCAACTCACGAGGCTTCCAATAACACAGTGCTAAGTGAAGTTAAATCTGGACATTCACGTATCTTAAATTTGAAACAGCATATGCACGTGTACAGCTAATCGTCAGCAAATGACTAAGTGGCTGGCAGATGGCAACTACGCCCCCGCGAACGCCGATGGGTCGTCTGCCGAGACGAAGCTTCCGAAGCTTCCTAAACAAAATTCCGCCTTCATTCTCCGGTTCCGGGCCGGCGTTTCTAACTACACACTTTCCCTTCAATGTACCTAGTCAGTTAGAATGTCAATCCAACGAACATAAGTTAATATAGGTATATACCTAGTACCTATGCATTAGTAATATCTGGCAATCGAAGCTTGTCTCTCACGTTCCTGTATCTACGGTGATCACTATCGCAGCCCTGGAGCCTTCACACCAATCGCTATTTATTGCCTAATATGGTAAAAAAACGAGTTGTCAAAGCAAATATTCAGCAAATGCTCATTCCATCATAACCATGTTAGACTTTTACATGGATACTGGTAAATAAGAAAATAGATGTAAAAAAAAAAAAAGGTTGATCTGGCTGTCTAGGGAATCGAACCCTAGGACCTAGTGATACTGCTAAATATATTTTGTAAGGATATTGAATAAGAGTGCATTTACCACTAGGTCGAACCAACACCGCCCTTCTACTTGATTAGTTGGTCTCCATTTATGATAAATAGGATTAACCTCCTCTATATAGGTAGGTATGTATGTTTCAAACCGTTATAGTTCATCCGAACTGATTAGTCAGAAAGCACAGTTGTAGTAAAACATCCAAGTTTACACAGTAGTGATTTGCAAAGTTAACTAGAGCACTAGACACAACAGACAGTCTTAGATGTTTCCCTGTTCTTATCGCCATAGGCCACTCCGCCTATCTATCTACCTAATAATCTCTATGGCCCCCTCGATTACTGATAGTAAGCCCCTTTCAATGGAGGCTGTCTGTGGCAACTCTACCTACCGCCCCTTCAAAGGGTTGTGTGTATTGAGAACGGATGATATAATTTGTTTTCCTAGTTCATAAGCTAGATTGAGAATCGAAGATGAGTCAAAGACTCATTTAAGTCCCTCCGTACGCCTGACTGCTCCCTAGAACCATCACTCACGCCTGATTATAGCAAGCCAACATCTGCGTCGCACCGAACCAGCTCACCTCCTCGCCAGCGGCCTCGCCGTCAAAAAGCCATCAACTTACTATGAAGCAGATACCCAAATATCCCATCATGCCTGATACTAACCACCTTCCTCGCGCGAACGTACCTTCCGATCCAACCTAACGAGACGACCCTCCGCACGAAGTTAACGCAAGGCCCCCCAGTGGTGTGCCGAACTTAGATGTCTAGGCCCTTTAACACCTTCTCCAGCCCCGCGAAGCCGCGGACGTAGAACTTGGCTACCTATGATGTCGTGATCCTAGGATTAGGCATCGGAGGCTGATTCGCGGGTAGGGGGGTGAGGGATGGTGGCTATTGAAAGGATGCTTATCAGTCCGCTCGCTTGGTAACCCCAAAAACCAGACTCACTCGCCTGCCAGTACGTCTCGATGCCGTTTCGGGGGTGGATTCTGGCAACTTTGGCGAGATATTGGCGGGAGAGGACTTCGTGGTTCTCGGACTTGTTCTTCATGTCCCCTTACACCTAGAAAGTTACTCGCAGAAATCGAAGTTACCAGTTTCCAGAATGATCTAATTTATTTTGTATCTCTTTGGTAACCGATTAAGGGGTACTATCTGAGTAGGAGTGGTTGTACCTGTGAAAGAGTCGAACGAAATTGAGACTTTCGCTGATAACAGTTAATAGGTACTGAAGGTTTAGAAGACTAGATCGCGCGTTCTTCATATGCACGATACCCTCCATTTGAATGAACTGTATCATCTCGCAGGCCATGTAGTCTCTTCTATAGCAAAGAAAGATAACTATTGGAATAGTTAGGAGCGTGTTTAAGTTAGTCCATATTTCGCCGGCGATTTGTTGTCGTACTGTCGTGCTGTAGCATCGTTTCCACGTAACATAAGCTTTTCTGTAGATCAAAATACTGCATCCAGCAGGTAGTGTAAATGTCATAATTCCATACACGAACGGGGGAGATAACTATGTTGTTGTAGAAGGTTAGAGAACTTTTAGGGTACTAGGTGAGGAAGACCAGGCAATCACGAACACATTTCAGCATTCAAAACGTTGACGGTGCATAAACTTCATTAATTCGTTTAGTGACCTGTCAATGAGCCATTCCTATAAACTCCGATGCCTGAAGACAACCGTAAACGCGGAGCGACCTTTTTTTCCTTTCCTAAACCAGCAGCTTATTCCTGGTTGCGCTCGGCAATCTTAGCCTTGACTCTCTCCTCCTTCTCCGCCTTGGTAGACTTCACAGTCCTGTACTTCTTGGACTCTGCCTTCCATTCCTCCTTGGTCTTTTGGGGAGCATCGCTCTCGGCCTTCTTGAAGGGATCCTCACGGATGGCGGCATGGGCCTCAGTGTACAAGTCCTCAAGACCATCAGCCTCGATATCGTCGTCGAGGTACTTCTGGAACTGGCTCTTGTATCGTTCCTCGTCGTCGTCGGCAAGGGTCTCCATGTACTCAGCAACGTGGCCAGCATAGATGTACTTCTTTAGGGTCTCGGCGTCGAGTTCCTCGCTCTCCATGTCGAAACCGGGGAATCGGTTCTCGGAGTGGGGGACGAGAATACCGCCGTCAGAGGCGCCCTTCATGACACCGAAGACACGGGCACCAGTGGAGGTTCGGGCAAGACCGACATCGAGGAAGGCCTTGAAAGGTCGGCGCTCTTCGCCGTCTTCCTCAGCAGCCTCGGTCAGGGTGAACTCTCCATCGGGCTCCTCAACACCAGCGAAGGTCTCGTCGAGACCAAGCTTCTTGAGGACACGGCGCGCAAGAAGCAGACCGGTGGCATAGGCAGCAGCCCAGTTGGTCAAACCATGCTCGATACCGTAGGCCTTCAGTTCGTGGGAGTAGGCGGCGGCAAAGACCTTGTCACCAGCAATCTCGGAGGTAACGATCTGGGTGATGATGTCGCGGTTGGTGAATCGGACAACTAGGCGGTACTTGGGTGCATTGTACTTGTTCTTGGCCTGGGAGATCAGGCGCTTGCGGGCATAGTAGTCGGTCTTTCCCTGACGACGGCGCTTGTACTTGGTTTGGAAGCGGCTATGAGGTATTGTTAATTCGGCTGTCATAAATATTTTTAATGGATTAAATTACTTACCTGTAGTAGGAGCTGCTCTTGACCACCTTGTTGAACGGCTATTGAAATCCCATCGAGTCAGCAATTTGCGCTTCAGAAATATTTCCTCCATTCCGAAGCATCTTGCATTGACTCTTGTGATCAAATGTCACATTGCGATATTCGCTATTTCTAGCATCGCAATGACTTGTATTTATCTTGGACTTACCATCTTGACTGATGTTGCTGGTATGCAAATGCTATCAGCTTGTTGGTCGAAGGTGTTGGAGTTGGTGATGAGAAGGAAGAAAAGTTGCGAATTGAGAAAAGTAGTGGGTTTAATCTTTAATTTTGTACATGTGCGTTCGCTTGCCCTGGTTTGGTGGAGTACGAATCAGCAACGCTACAAGTTTTCATACTGGGGTAGGTGACGAGGCGGACCTTCCGCTTCTATTCAAAGCACAGACCACATCCAAATTGACGAGTTACCTAATCAATCAGCCGAGGTTTGTCTACTAGGTACATGTAGTAGCTCAAGCCTTATTGGAGGTCAACATACCGACCTTCTACCTTCATAAACTCGCTGAAATGCATCATATTGACTTGGAAAATTAGAAATATTGTTGGCAAGAGTTTATAATTTTTAGTGCAGTTTAGTATACGATTTGACCGCACATAAAAAATACATATAATCTTGAAACAGTACAATGGCTAACCAGAAGAAACCAAAAGTGCTTCTGTTCGATATCGGTGGCGTCTGTGTAAGTCTATGGATCTCTATTACTATTCCAATTTACAGAATACTGCATAGGCTGAAGCAGTTAGTTATAACTGATAGGCTCTAGGCTTTCTAATAATCATGTTACATGTCGATTGCTAACCTACTATGAATAGGTCATCTCACCTTTCCAGTCCATATTAGATTATGAACTGAGTCTGGGGATACCACCTGGCTGGATAAACTATTCCATCTCCAAAACAGCACCCAATGGTTTCTGGCATAGGTTGGAAAGGGGCGAAATTATCTTGGATGATACGTTCTACGCCGGCTTCAATGAAGACTTACATGATCCCGTGCGATGGGACGCATTCTACAAACTCCAGCAGTCGAAGAACCCAAGCCTCCCCAAGGAGGTTCCTCCACTTCCGAATCTCGACGCGCATTGGCTCTTCAACGACATGATGACGGCATCAACCGCCCCAGATCCGTGGATGCATCCGGCGCTCGAGAGTCTAAAGGCTAGTGGGAAATTCATCCTAGGTGCACTTAGCAATACCGTTATCTTCCCTCCAGGCCATGCACTCCATCGGGAGGATTTCTTCGCCGAACCAATCAGGAACCTGTTCGATATTTTCGTGTCGTCAGCGCACGTAGGACTACGGAAGCCGGACCCCAAGATATATGAGTACGCGCTAAACGAAGCAGATAAATTCGCCAAGTCTCATATAGATGAGGCGCGAGGGCAATCGTTGGATTGGAAAGATGGTGTAAAGCCGGAGGAGATCGTTTTTCTCGATGATATTGGTGAGAATCTTAAAGCAGCTAAGAAAGTAGGGTTTCGAACTATCAAAGTGCCATTGGGAAAGGCCTTCGAGGCAGTTGACGAACTCGAGGCTATCACTGGTCTTGTATTAGCTGGCAACCATCCTAGGATACCTATCAAGCCGAAGTTAGGAACCACAAATGCCAAATTATAGTTACCTAGATAAGAATAGGGATACCATATAGCTAGGTTCATTTTGTGGAGTGGAGAACTGAGAGCAGGATGAGAATTATTTTACGATAATGTCTGTTGATGGATAGACGTTGATAATGGATCTCGTTGCTACCCGCTAGTAGCTGCTTAGTATGTACCTAGGCAACCAGATAACTTGTTGTATCCATATTCGTACCGAATCTATTATATCTTGTCCGATGTTAGGCGTCAATATCTGCGATGTTGTACCATGGTGTGTGATTTCTAGGTAGTTTTCGGGAAGCGCCGTAGTGGGGGCCTTATCTCCGGATATCGCCAATCATCCATGGTTGACAATTCAATCAACCTCCCCGCAAATTTTACCATAGATAGGTACCTAGCTTCTAGCATTATGATCTCTGCAAATTACCTCCTAGTTGTATGTTATTAGATATCTTCAACAGACCATCGAGAGCAATAAGTCCCTGTCACCGCCAGAAGCGACGACAGGCCATCCAACGATCGATTGATACCATTTAGGCAACTGCTTGATTGAGGCGAAGCCTGGCGCAATGGTTGGATCGACATCGGACTTATTTCCGCAGCGGAATTCGATGACAGCGGAACAGGTCGCAGCAGGCATCAAAGTAGCACTGACAGTGCAGCGTCGAGCTGTCGCATTTGGGAAGAGACCTTTTGCTGCAGTTCTGATAGGTCCAAATAACGACGAAGTGCTACTGACGCACCAGTCTGTCGACCAGGTCAATCACGCAGAGAGTTCTCTTGCAAGGCTCGCCTATAAGCAATATCCGAAGGAATTCCTATGGCAATGCACTCTCTTCAGTACATGGGAGCCTTGTGGCATGTGCACCGCCACTATTTATGTGCGTTTGGGGTCTCTTCAGAATGATAATAAGACTGACAGAATGCATATTGGTAGTGGGCGCATATCGGTCGCATTGTTTTCGCAGGTAGCAACGACCAGTTGTATGAATTGACCGGTCCGGGCAACAGGGAGAATTTTACCATGGACTGGCATACCAGAGACTTCTTAAAGGGCTGTCCACAGAAAAATATCGAGGTCATCGGACCGTTAGAAGACGAGGGCAAAGTCGTTATCGAAGAAAGTGACAAGTATTGGAGTAAGACTAGGTAGTTGGTGATTAAACTTGCGATGAAGACTTGTCAGACCTGATAGATATTGATATTTTCATCGTGAGAAAAATTAAATGGGGTATGTTTTTTTGAAAGATCGTCAATGTATGCATGACTGCATGTCATCTCAGTTTCGTTTCCGACGGATGTAACTGGGTAGCTGCTGGGTCGATGAAACGGTCTTGCTGCGCAGGTACCCGCCTTTGATCAAGTATATTGTTGGTAAGATAACAATTTCCTGATCTCTAGAAACTGTGTTCTTGTAATACCTACATTGAATACCCGACATACTAAGAATGCCCAGCTGACGTGTGTTGGATCAGACGTTTCGAGGGGTTTCGCAAGGGATTTAATATGCGGCCGTATTCATGACGCTTGGAGTAGGGAGGGACGTTTCTTTTTGACGGATTGACGAGTCGCGAGGCTATGTAGATATATCGTGGGTGCTATCTACTAGGTAGATTTTAAACTTGACGTAAGAGGCTGACGACGATGTGAAGGAAATAATTGTCGGATGTAAATGTGTCGCGTGTCCGACTAATTTCCCTGGTAGAATTCTAACAAATTTACTTTTAACGTTGAAAAATAGTAGTGGATATAAGTGGGTACCGACCCGCCGTGCCCCGAGCCGACTTCCGTCTGTCTTAAAATAGACCAATCAACGCGAAGAAAAGGCAAGAGCCTCGTAATGCCCGTGCGCGGCACACCGAGCATCGTTGTTGTACCACTTTTTATCAAATTGCAAATTGATGTGGACATTTTTACCCTTGAATTCAAACATCCCCTATTGAATTTGGCCTTCTAGGGGTTTCGAGCTTCTATTGTTCCACTTTCAACAGTTTTGTCTCACTGTACTAACTCGGTAATAAAATGGGACATCTCAATGATAGCTAATGATATGCTAGTTGGCTACCTAGATAGTTCTGCTATTGTGGCTCGTCTGATATGGACTCGACACAAAATCCTCCTCGCCTAGTAATCCCCTTTTATCCAGCCACTTATTACACAAAGCTTAGGTTCGATATACATCTGATCTTACCTAATGAGATCTAGATTTGGGTAGATAAAATGCTACTATGAAATCGAGAATGAAAGGGGTAGAAGGGGGTAGAGGGGGGTTGCCGAGAGCCAAGGATAAGCTTAGATGAGAAGGGGATATATAGTTGTTATAGCCTCTGTCTAGGTAGTATAAGTTGGAAGCTAGACGCGTTTTTGTTCTTGGAAGGTAAGTAAACTGTAGTGGACCTACTAATAGAAGACATCACGTCATCAGAGGAAATAATATATTGTATGTTGTACTTAGTACGCGAATATTTTCAGTCGCAGATTTGTGGCGTGTATTGAATTAGGAAGGAAAAAGTCTGGGGTGGCAGTGCAATTAGGGAAAATAATGGTCTTGCAATAACAGAGATATTGGTGTCGTTACTTCCTACATTTTGTAAGTTCAAGGGATCATCGTATCTTTTTCGTTTCCTTCCATGAACCCCCATTCCACCGCCCTCTGCCCTCCCACCTTCCTTACTATTAGTCATTCTAGTTCGTCGTACCTTCCCTCCTATAGTGTAATAGATCACCCACGATTCCACGTTACACACACACACACCCTTCCGGGCATACATTGAAATTTCAATCCTTACAACCATTTCCCACATATCATCCCATTTACTCCTTTCGTCGAGTATTTACCCTTTCTTTTCGCGTCCTCCTCTCATCATCGAAAATTCATAGAATCATGTTCATTCATACTTCTTCCCCTGTCCTAAGTTAATCCCAATCTCAGATAAACGACCGGACTAACACGGGATGACGCACCATTGTTCTTCCTATGAATTTTCCAAAGGGCCTTGTCAGCCTCCGGCTGCCCCATTACTGGAGATTCGTGGTGCCGGCCTTCGTACTCACGGTTTCGTTTTACTTTCTCCTTGGAAGTTTCTGGCAGGGCCAGCAACCACAGGTTCCATACCATGTTGATTTCCACGGCAAGGGCGATGTTGATGGCCATTTTGCTTCACCCAGCCATGACGGAAACGATATCTCCGTTAACTTAATTATTGCTACTCTCTCTAAGGACGACATATCATGGACACAAAATATCAAGATACCTAATCTGAAGATAATTCGTTATGTCAGCGACGACTTAAAAGCTGAATTTCATCCCCCGGTGCCGAAAAAGGGACGCGAGGCTCTAATATATCACACTTACATGCACGACTTTTATGACGACTTGCCAGATATCTCCATCTTCACTCATGCCGATGAAAGCCCGTGGCACGTGGAGGATACATTGAACTCATCCTTAACATTCGCCTTATCGCATCTTGATCTGAACGAGGTTCTACAAAGACAATACTTTAACTTACGCGTATCCTGGGAGAATGCATGTCCCAACTGGATCAACACCTCGAAGACCGATAACGATTGGTCGAAGCAGGAAGAACCTTACATGCACGAAGCATTCAGCGAGAATTTCGCTACCAATGAAGTTCCCGAAATCCTTGCCGGTCCATGCTGTTCTCAATTTGCAGCGACGAGAGATGCTGTGAGAAGACACCCGAAGTCACAGTACCGGATCAATATGGAATGGTTGATGCAAACCCACTGGAACGATTATATCTCGGGGAGAGTTTGGGAACACATGTGGCCATGGCTCTTTGTAGGCAAAGCGGTGGATTGTGACGTCGAATGGAAATCGTATTGCAAGATGTACCATGTCTGCTTTGATCCTCAGAGCAGAAACCGATTGATTAACCTCAAGGAAGAAAAGAAGGAGCTGGAGATGAAGACGGGACTTCTCGAAGGGTTGCTGGACCTATTAAAGGGATTCGAGGTTAGGAATCGTCTACGGGAAATTAAGGCTATCTTAGCAGAGGAACTGGAAAAGGCGGTTGAAAGAGGGAAGGACGAGGCAGTACGAACGAAACTGCTATCGGATTATAATAATTCGTGAGGAAACGCGGCCTTAAAGAGCCTGGAGGCAAGTTGCTTGTACACCATATGATACCCTAGTCCTAATACAAAATAGTATTGCGAGAAACTTATTCGGCTATAACGGTGTGCGGCTCTTTACAAGCTAGTCTCGTGTTGGGAATCGAGCGCTCAAACGACGGATTCCTTGGAATGAAAGTTACACTACAATATAACAATCTTGTCATTAGTACCTAGATTGGATCGGTCTTTGCCAGAAATGCGATGTCAAGGTATGAACCTCAGTGCTAGACACGATTCACGGAAGCTGACCGCTTTTCCAGGCTGGAAAGTGCTTTTGACCTTACGCCTCCTGCAGCTAGCCGATTCTGTTACGATCTTGTCATACCATACCATACCATAGTGCATAGGTACCTGGTACTTTAACACACCCGGATTCACCAAGGACCTTAAGATTTGTATGGAAACTATATCATGATACCTTGTAGATGTCAAACAAGAGGTCTATTTAAGGTTTGTTTCCCCTGGGTTCAGTTTTGTTATGAAGTCCTAGAAAATGAAGTTATACTAATTGAGTGTATCGGTTAGGAGATCCCGAGCTTTATCGATTTAGGTATCCCGAATTGTCCGAAGAATTACAATGGTACTACGACTTCCGCGATTCTACGGCTTAGTTGAGAGAACCCCTAAGACGTTACCAACTACGTAATTTCCTACGTTTCGGGTGCCCTTTCGGCAACGAACTTACGCTCCTATACGTCTCAGAAACGCCAATCAGGATCATCCGCATTTTTAGAAGCTTCGCCCTTAACTGTTGTGGGAATAGTAGGGTAAGAACTTTACTTGAAAGAGTTATCTCCGTTCTTGGCTAGCGTGCCTAGTAGCTGGCAATTGATGGGACGGCCGCTAACCCCGCGTCTTTGGGGTACGGTTACCCGCTAACCCGCTCCATCAAGGAAAGCTAGTAGGGCTAGCAGGGGTCTTTTCTTCTTCAACCACAACCAATGACCTTCATAATGTTACTCTATCCTCTTAGTGCGCGAAACCCCATGTTTTACTTCATCATCGAAGGTCATTTTCGGCTACTCAATTCCTAACGAGTTTAAACGGCAATTCGTCTAGGAAATGGATCAGTTCTACACCAATCGTATTACTCGAGAGTGACTGGACAAACTGGTGGACCAAACGTCGGCTCGGCTAGCAACATCTCAAAGCAAACCCTGTTCGAAGATGGGCAATCTTGTAAGTGACGGTTGATATGCAGCGTCGTATCGAGCTGTACCTTGCTCAGCTTGCTGCAGGTTTATCTTCCCGAGCTTGCTTCTGGATTGGCGGATTGGCGGTCATACCTTGAATGTTCTTTGTCGCAATGATAAATAATAAAATGTTGATCATCCGCTCAAATTTGTGAAATCTTTAACCTCGAAATATTTGGCGATCCGAAGCCTCTAAATCATTAGATCTCGCCGAGGATGTCGAATTCACTGAGCGACAAGGCCGACGATGCCAAGAGGCAGATATCAAATGAAGAGGCGACTATTAGCAAAGAGGAAGAGGTCCTCTCTACTCAGGGCGTCCCCGATGTCGCGAACCTGGCCCAGGCTAATATGAGGGGGCTAAGAGCACCCGAGATCATCGCGAGATTGACACCCGAACAACGAGTTGAGCTGGAGAATAGGTTAAGGAGAAAGATTGACTGGCGATTGTTACCAATGGTCATTATTATGTGTTAGTATATTATTACATTGGGCGCGCATTGTAACTAACGTAAATCTGCGTCGTAGACATTTTGAATTATATCGATCGGTTAGAGCTACCCTGCGACGATGATCTTCTCGACCTGTATTAACGGACCATAGGAATAATATTGCTGCTGCGAAACTTGCTGGTCTCCCCGAGGACTTGAATTTAGATCCCAATTCAAGCGAATTTCAAGTGCGCATCTCTTTATCCGCTTTTTGGGTCTGGGAATTCTGACTTTGTGGCATAGACCGCCGTGAGCATTCTATTCGTTGGGTAAGCTTTGCGCACCGCTGCTATGCGCTATGCGCCAATACGGCACAGGATATGGGCTGACATCCCGGAATTATAGCTATCTCCTTATGCAGATACCATCGAATCTGTTCCTGAACAAGATCGGCAAACCTGCTATCTACCTCCCAGCATGTGTATGTCTTGGATCGCATATATGTAAAATATTCAATTGGATACTCGGCGAGCTAACCCGAAATGCTAGATGATGGTCTGGGGTGTTATTTCGACAGCTACTGCCTCCGTTAAGAACTTTGGGGGCCTTATTGCCGTTCGATTCTTTCTAGGTTTCGTTGAGGCGGCTTACTTTGTTAGTCTCGCGAAATATTGGCCAACTCAATTGAACTATCTCGCTGACTGTATTCTAGCCGGGCTGTCTCTATTACCTGAGTTGTTGGTGGTATGTTGACACAATCCCCTTTTTACGTATCTTATTGCTAATTTATTTATAGTACGTGATAATGATCCCAAATTACCTAATATTCACAATGTCTCACATCCATTATACGTTCAAATATGGCAAACATAGGATTACTATTATGCAAGTGAACTAACAATTTCTTTTAGATACACGGAAGGAGCTAGGTCTAAGAACGGCGATGTTATATTCCGGGTCACTCATATCAGGTGCCTTCTCCGGGCTGATCTCAGCAGGAATCACTCAAAACATGAGCGGAGTAAGAGGGTTCGGTGCCTGGCAGTGGCTGTTCATCATAGAAGGTGTCATCACCATCGGTGTCTCTTTCGGCGCGTTCTTCGTCCTTCCTAACTTCCCTCGAACGACATCGTGGCTCACCGAAGAGGAGAAGGCGCTTGCCGTATGGCGATTAGAAGAGGACATTGGAGAAGACGATTGGATCGACAGCGAGCACCAGTCTCTGTGGACAGGGGCTAGACTAGCTTTTGCCGATATGAAAACTTGGGTCCTGGTCTGTAGCCGATCGAACTAGAGGCTTTAAGAGCTAAGCATGCTAACTCGATATCGACAGCTACTTCTTGTTCTCGGTATCATCTCGAGCGCCTCCGTTACGAACTTCTTCCCTGCTGTAGTCAAAACTTTAGGCTATAACAACATCAACACGCTGCTTCTGACCTGCCCTCCATATGTTCTTACCGTCATTACTACATTTGTAAATGCGTGGCATGCAGATCGGACGGGTGAGCGCTACTGGCATATTATGGGATCTTTGATTGTTGCTATGGCAGCATTCATCCTTGCCGCCGCAACTACCGGTATAGCTCCTCGATATGTTGCTATGATGCTTATGGTAAATCAAATCTCTATCAAATTCAACATCACCCTAACATGAGACAGGTTCCTGGTGTATACAGCGGCTTCGTAGTAGCACTCGCGTGGATCAGCAACACCCTTCCCCGGCCACCAGCCAAGCGCGCCGCAGCACTCGCCTTCATCAACGCCGTTTCCAACGCATCGAGTATCTACGCTTCTTATATGTACGAAGATAGAATGGCGCCCCGCTACATAATTGCTATGTCAGTCAATTGCGGTACCATATTTCTCGCTATGGTTGCGGCTACAACCTTGCGCTTCATGCTCATCCGGTTGAATAAGAAGCTGGACCAGGGCATCTATGTTGAAGGTGCTATCAACGCTTTGCCAGGGGCTGCTGCGCAACATGGGTTCAGATTCAAGGTTTAGGGTGTGGTGCTTATGTGAATAGGGGGCGGGGCATGAAGTCAGTTGGCTCAGGGATTTTCGACATCGTATTTAGGTGCAATCAATACGACTTCGCAGCAAAAAGCATGGGCTGCCACAAAATCAATAGGGCGGTCACCGTTGTCTATGTACATACCTGAAGAGAGACATCACCTTTCTACTCATGCGGTTCTTTCCCGTGAAAAGGGGTTAGCAATATTCCGGTACAATCCACTCAGCTGTACTCGCCTCTTTGACTTTCGTTATGTTTCATGCAGTGAAATCACCGGAATTCGGGTGAATCTAACGGGCTCTTTCCTGATTTTTAGCCCCTTTTTCGAACCCGAAATTGAAGATCTTATGGCGGGCACATACGCATCGTTATCTTCGCCTTCGCCTCCGCCTTCTTCTCACTCGACGTAATCATCTTTAAGCGACACATTCTTGTTATCGCCGTAGTCTTTTTATTTGCTGCCGTCGTTTTCTTATTCGCTGTCATCGTCGTCTTATAGATACTATTTTAACAAGACTCTCTTCTTAAAGTGATAACTTTGGTAACTTTTTCTTTCTATTACTCATTGCCGTCGTTTATTTACTCACTGTTGCCGTCGTCGTATTTTTCTTCTCTGCTGCTATTATCTCCAGCAACACTATATTCTTATAGTTACAGATCTGAGATCTATAAGCCCCTCTAGCCTCAAAGTCAAAGGGAGGTAGCTAGGTAGCTAATTCATATAAATAGCGAATAACACTCCATCCGAATCGAATAAGCCACTGCACACGTGTATGCCTCCGAGGGACATTAGTATTAGTAGTATAACGTACCTGTTAGTAATTTCAGGAAGATGGCATGGGGATGAGGTTGTCTTCTAGTTTTAGTCTCACGATAATATGTTCTCATACGACGTTAAAGAGAAAATCGCTGTTACCGTCGTCTTCTTTCCACGCGGGGGGTTATACTCGTCGACTATAGACTATGGCCGCCGTATAGATCCATGCTATACTCGCCGAAAGACTCTAGGCGAGAGCAGGCGTATGAAATGGTAATACGCGCGTGTCCTTTCCTTTATTCATAGTCATATCAGTTAGGTAGAAATTGCAATATCCAACGGGATTTAGAACAGCTGTACTCACCTCTTTGAGGATATCTCACGCTCCCTTTCCTTCCTATCAATTTGCCTCCTTCCAAGTTGGTGATATCTTTCCAATTTAACCACAGACCCGACTTCGTTGTAAATTCTAGCCCCGTCTTCATTATTTAATCTCCAAAAATCCCAACTGCGTATTCCTAACCACTTCTTATTTCATCTCATGAATTCCCTTGTCCAACAACAGTATCCAATTCATCAACCATCTTTGCCTTCCGCCGCGAGATCATAGCTATGGACGAAGGCTCTATGCCCACTCGTCCGCCTCAACCGGACGTTGATGATGAAACGTTTTGGAAGACGCGTATCCGAGATAAACTTATAGCTTCCCATGAGAACCATACAATCCATGGACGCCTCGATCCGCACCAGATCTTGAAGAGCCTAACGGGTACGTTTCTAACCACACTCACAAATATATAATAGGAGCAGTCTTCTAATTTCCTAATCGCAGAAATTAAGATATTTTATTCCGGTCACGATGTTCACCCATCTCGAATTATTGACAATGAGAATTTTGCTCGCTGGGCAATTGAAGAAGCGTTAGAAGAATACCAACCGGGCAGTAATTTCAAAACAGCAGGTAACATAATGGAGGGTCGGTCCGTGAATATCAGCAAGCAATTGCTCCTTGATAAGATCACGGAGGCAATTCAAGTTGAAGGTCAACAGGACATTGATGCCGAGGTATGTAAACCTGAATATTCATCACTATATTTCTAGCTAACAGGCAATTAGGACCCAAACGGATCAAAGGGCTCAGAGTCGGAGATCGTTCAGGATGTGAGCGCCGTAGCCGAAACAATTATTTCCGCCTCTCCTAACAGCCTTGGACCTCCTATCGAAGCTTGTGTATCGTATCTTCGAATGGAGAAGTGTGGTACATTTGGTCGCAACAATCTCACTGTCTGGAAGTCCCCGTTTTTTCCGAAACTCGATGGTCAAGAGGGCCGCAAAGGTTTTCTCGATAACCAGGTCACAGCTATTGTCTGGATCATGGCAAATATGCTTGGAAGCCTGCCACAACTGAAAATAAAATTGCCCGAGTACTGGAATCCAACTACCGATACCTACAATTTCCCACGCGAGACAGAGATCGAGAGGAAACACCGGAAAAGACTACGTAGACCTAGATACTTTGGTGGAATCTTAGCGGATTCCATGGGTCTAGGAAAAACTTTAACAACGATCACATGCCTTGATCTAATGATGGCCCAGAGGCTTCACGTCGTCAAGAAACAGGGTGGGGGGTTCAAGCATTGCCCCGTCCTGATCCTGACACCCAACCTAATCGTCGCCTCCCAATGGGTTGACGAAATCGAGCAGATCGGAAACACGGCTAGCATAAAAAAGATCATCATGTCTGGAGAAGGCGCTCGGAAAAAAGCTGGACAACTTAGAACCCGTGTCCTAAAAGCTTCAGAGTTCAGAGAGTGGCCGGACGACTTGAGCTATGTCTGGGATGAAGACGATCCAAGAGCGTCCAAAGTTATCATCGTGATGTCAATTGATACTTGGTCAAGTCGGACGTGTACGACTAAAGTCATCGATAAAAACGGAAAAGTGGTTGAAGGAGATTGGCATTCCACATTCACTGATTTAGAACGGCAATTTTCCATCGTCGTGGTGGATGAAGCTTACAAAGTCCGCCACACGACCACCCGATATTGGAAATCAGTGGCATTGTTGGATCGCCAATTTACCCTATTGATCACGGCAACACCTTGCATGAATCTCCTGGTGGACCTCATGGGACCTGTGAGATTGCTCTGGGACAGACCCGAGAGATATCTTCAAGAGAACATGAAAAAGTGGCTGAATATCTCGAAGAAGTTCGAAGTTCCCAGTCATCTTGACAAACTCGATAAGATGGATTCCTTTGATGATCACCAACTCATCGCCGGTAGGGACGCCATAGTTTCTCAGTTGATCAAAAAGTTTAGAGGTGATGCGGATATCCAGGAGACTCGAAAGTATCTGAAGTATTTCGAGAAGCTAGCCATCTTGCGAAGAGCTCCTGGTTCCAATCTACATTGGGATTGGAAAGGTAGTAAGCTAGTATCCTGTGAGTAACACTTTGAGATATGTAAATCTTTTGTTTGAAATGACTGCTAACTAAACATCATAGTGGACGGTCTACTGCCCAAGGTTTCTAATTTCACAGTCAACATTCAGCTTGACTGTCCTTTAGAAGCAGCCTACCAAAACGCCCACTTCAAATTACTTATCAAGTATATGGGTATGCTGAAGAAACTCCAGATACGACGAGGCGAGAAAAAATCAGAGAAAAAGAAGAAAATTCAGGGACGACGGCACGATGAGACGTCGAAGAAACAATCAGAAGAAGAAAAGGAAAAATTTGAGTCAGTTCTCGCGATGTATCTCCAGTTCGAATTAGCAGCGGCTTCTGTGGACATCTTTCGGCTCGAAAAGCTCTTCTCAGAGAACGGATTCGGCATCAAAGCTGAGCACGTAAAGTTGATGCGCCATAACAATGTCAACTTCCTTCATTTCGCAGCATTCCTGCTCCGCCCCGGCGACAAAAAGCCTAGAACTGCCCTAGATTACGTCAAGCTTGCAGTTCGCAAGTCCCCGATCTTGCGATACATATTGCACCACGTTAAGGAGAAGGTCCTTGACAGGAAACCTGGAGAAAAGATCAAGAAGCTCTTGATCATAGAGGCAAGGCCGATTCTGGCGTACTACTACGAAATCGTGCTTCAGTTCCTTCTGATTAACTGCCGTACCCTTCACGCCGGCTTGTCGGGCGAGCAGCGCAGGGAACTCATTGACAGTTTCAACGACGATGGTGATCATTCGTGTCAGATTCTGATACAAATGTACTCCGTAGGCTTTGCAGGCTCGAATCTGCACAAGAGTTGTTCGCAAGTCTTGGTTGCGTCACAAGCCCATAGTTTTCCTATCCAAATGCAGGCCGTACATCGCGTTATTCGGGTATGTTAACTAAATTTTCTAGTTATGATATGCCATAAGTTACTAACTGAGTCTAGGTCGGGCAGAAGAAGAACGTGGAGGTCTACCGACTGAAAGTCAATAACTCATTTCACCAGTTTCGTGAGAGTAGACAGGTCGAGAAGATCTTGCCTGAACTAGGAACTCGAGCGCAAGGTTCGATGGTCAATATTCTCGTGCAACTACTAAATCTATTCCAATTCGAGATAGATGATGCGGTGAATTCTCCAGAGGGACAAGAGCTTCTACAAAGCATGAATTTGCTCATTGACAAGGATACGGTAGTCGAGGGCGACGATCAGCCGTATGAGGATGATGATAGCTGGGAAGAATACGATAGTAATTCGGAGGAGGAAGATAATCAGTCAGAGGATGGCAGCCAGCAAGATGATACGAGTGAGGAGGATGATGATAAGAGCGAAGACGATAGCGACGACGAGGCTTCGGCAACCAAACGAGCAAGACTAGAGGACGAAACCGATTCCAACTCTGGGGATTCCGAGAAGGATTCTTCTGAATCCAAAGCTGATTCACAGGACAAGAACCCTATTCGCCCGAAAAACGAAGGAACCAAGAATTTATTCAAAAACGACCTTAACCAGTTTCTTCGCCTTCAATCGCGCGCTGCTTATTACAACGAGTTCAAGAATTTCCCCAAGGAGGTGAAAAGTCGCTTCTCACACGACAAGAACAACCTCAGACGGCTACTATCCTACTCTATCAGACACGGTAAAAACGGTCCATTCGTGTGGACGGCGGAGGACCTGAACGACTCTGCCGTTCTCGAGAGAGCGATGGAGCTGGCGCTACGAACTCGACTGGGAGCTAAGAACATTGAGATGTTACCGCTTCCCCATATCAGCTTCACCCGTGTTCGCGAAGAAAAGTTACAGCGTCTCACGCAGCTACTAGGAGAATCTAACTTGACAGCCCAGGATATCGATGATCTCATCGAGGAGAGAAAGGAAACGAGGCGCAGCAGAGATACGAGTGGCGAGTTACGACTAGTACAGGATGGCATGACGTTGGATGAAATCGATGCTGCATTTAAGCTCGATATCACGAAGGGAGATAATGCGCAGAGTCGTAAACGCAAACGCGATGAAGCTGCGATGGCTGCTGACGCCACAGTCGGCAAGGCTTCTGAGAGTACTCTAGCATATGGTGAGGGTTGGAACGAGTTCGACTCTGATTGTGATGATTGGGATAAGAGTAGCATCGAGGACGAAGAGGAGTACGAAGAAGAGGAAGAGGCCGAAGAGGATGAAGAGGCCGAAGAAGAGGCCGAAGAAAAGGATGATGAAGAGGACGAGGAAGATAGAGGCGCAGTAGGTGAGATTGACGAGCCTAAGGGTGAAAACGACGTGCTTGACGAATAGTCACACCAGTGGACATGTAAATCCATCGCAAGCTATTCCATGATGGGGATTATCTTGATCATTCACAGATATCTACCCAGATGGCTTGCCATGGTAGTATGGGATCGTATCAAACAACTGGTCACATATTAGCTTCACAACCCCTAGCTTAGCAAAAACAGAATCAATCGACGTCTACCATACATATTTCGCACCATATCGTAAGTCCCTATTATGATTGCTCACAGCTAAGCGCCAAGAAGGACTTTTGTGATGTTATCGGGATGACACATTCCCGGTATCGAAAAAGCATCTTATGAATGAATATGGAAGATTCGGCCGCCCGTCCCGAGCAAATGTTCGAGATCTCTTTAGGTGATGTGTAAGAGATCTATCTAGCAAACATCTCTCTCCCTTACATCCACATAAGCTTGCCAATAGTAATGATGTCAATGGGGATAATAAGCAAAAGACGAAACAAGCCGAAATTCAAGGATGTCCATTCCTGATAGAGAGCCGACCAAGATAGGCTGTCGCTTGCTACATCCGTAAGTGGCGCCGTTTGCTCTGTGTCACGTCCGGGGATGCATGTAAGTCGATCTTGGGCTCTTCTGGGTACAGATGAATAGATGTAAGTATAGGTACGAAATAGATAGACGATTGGTCTACTCGCTTGTCTAGATACAACTATGCAAGGGACGACGTGTTGGTCGGCTATCTTAAGTTTCTAATCCTATATGGGGACGGATAACTGCTTCTATCATATATGATGAATGCATCATTTTCTCTTCTGTATCGATACAAAGGCTGAAGATTAGGATTAGACCTAACCCTAGATCTGGGAATCCAGGGCTTTAACTCGGGACTTCGGATTACCAAAGAGAGGAAAGAGAGAAACATATAAGTCTAGGATCTTGACCCAAGCGCATGGGACGTCGAAGCGAAGATGACAATATGTACGATATCGTGTCAGCCTCGCCTATAATGGACAGGGAAGTTTTCGAAAGTACTCTGTACAGAATGAAGATTATCATCTTATTTTGATTCGACGCATGAATTTGAGACAAGATAACTAGGAAAATATCAAGACATCCATCACATGGTCTACTATGCATGCACCTATAAGACATACCTTAGTAGCTAGGCAGCTAGGTAAGTACCTAATAGTTACCTAGCTGCCTAGTATGCACATATAAGACATGCGATTTATGTATTTTGCTTATCTCACCAAGTATCCAAGTATATCAAAGTACTTACATAAAAGTATATACTTTCGTACAAAGTACATCCATGGATTGCGTTCAATGTCTTAGGCAAATTTAACTTTGTAATATCACGTGGTGGCTTACAAAGTTTCGTGTCTTGGGAAGTGATAAATAATAAATGATATGTGATAGAAACCTCAAGCCACCTCCGTTCGATTTCCAAGTTCTTCGTTGCCTGCCAACTTGCGTGCCTGTCTGCCTGTTCGACAGCTTGATATTACTAATTGCTATGTAACCTGAACAACTCAATAGGTCGATAATGGGGCCGCGAAATAACCTTGGAACATTGAGCTCCGAACCACGAAAAATAGAAAATCGGTAATAAGAAGCCCGAACCAGGTTGTTAACTCCTGAAACTTGCGCTTGCCGCTTTTCCAGGTGGAAGGTTCCCCAAACCTCCTACTCCATGGTAGGCTAATTAGGTCCGGTCTAGGGTACCAGAGCTGCGGAGAGCTTGGGGTGAACGTTTGGGGGATTGGAGCATTGGAACATTCTCATGACTCGCGAATACGCTAATCCTCTTTTGGATAGCTGTAAGCTACCCTTAAGCTACCCCGCTTTACAGCCTTATTAGAATCTCCACTCTATATGCAACGCCGATCGGTCGTTCTTGGCCGGTCATCCGTCACAGCCCGTCATTCGCGTCGCAAACCTTGGAACTCCAACTCTCCAACTATCGCCAACCTCAACACTTTCCACCTATCCACGCACCTACGCACCTACATTTCGGCGTTTTCCTCGTCCCGCGCCTCTGTACGCGCTACCAGGGTGATCGCGAAGATGATACGCGACATCTTTTGCACTAGCAAAGACCGGTAGCCGATTAGTCAGCCTACCAGCTCCAGAGTCCAGACCCTTTCAGTCCTATTCTACCCCCAGTCCGCCCAGATGAGTTCCACACCGCCCTCGTCGTCGACCATCCCGCAGACCCTCTGGGACCTGCAGGTGCCCGTGCTGGTGACCCACGCCGGAGCGCCCAACACACCGTTCGTAGCCTCCGTCCCGCGGCTGAGCTACCTAGCCCTGCTTCTGCCGCGCCTGACCTCGTACTTCGGCCTGCCGTGCTCCAGCTTCCACCATGAAGACGTATTGCTACGCAACCTCGCCGTCGGCCTTCTCGTCGACCTGTATCAGCCCACCCTGCCTTGGCGCTTAACCGTCAGCGACGGCTTGGGCTGGGATATCGGTGATACATTCCTCAATAGCGCTAAAGAGGCAAGTTCCGTCCTTCCATCCTCCCTATCAAGTCTTATCCGGGCCGTGCGGAAACACGAGGCGCTAGCAAAGCCAGGGAGAGAGCTGTGGCTGAACTATTCACTCGCTAACCCTAGGAAATACGTAGGCCGACTTTGTGCGAAATGGCAACGCGCACCAGATCATGTCACTATCGAAAGATCATACGACCGCGCTATGGAACGCGGTTCAAGATAGTAAGGGCGACTGGCTTACTATCGTATTTCACGTGTTACCTGGCAGCTGACTCTAGAGATTAGACGATTACGCCTCCTTTGCGAAAGTCAATTCCCGGCTTCTTAACGCGTCGCGCGATCTGCGGAATGTGCCTATACGGGTGTATATCCCACAGTCGTCGGACGACCCCGCTGGCGGCGAGCAGGCAGGCTCGTTCAAGGTGGTTCAGTCTCTAGTGAAGCCGCGCGTTAGCGAGCGTATGTCACCTCTTTCTCCTACCCCTTTCTTCCTAACCTAACCTATCTCTATCACCTATCTCCACATCATTCCTTATCTAGATAGAAGTCAGGATAAACTCAACGTCCATGTAGGAACCCCCCAAACTCTCGGCGCCGCCCTGCGCACACTCTTACCGCGGCTATTCCCCAGTAGCCGGGACCCCGTGCTCGCGGATGTGGTCCTGCACGGCGCCAGCGTGCCATTCCGCGCCCCGCTCGAAGACCTCATGCGCGAGGCCGCTTATCCCGACGGTTGGCTGTGTCTCGTTGTGAAGCCTCTAGATGTGTAGTGTAGCTACTTGCCCGTGGCTTTCTTGAATTTTCGCTATCTAGGCAACTACGGCCCGGAGGCCGGAAACGGTTTAGGTGTTTGGATGAAGCAGGCACGATGGATCCGGGCGGGTGGGCCGCGACCCGTCCGTCGGTATCACATTGCGGCAGGAAGTAGCGAAGTGTAGCATAGCATGCGGCGTATCGATTTTTTCCTTTTTTTATTATTGAGGAGAGAACCCACAATAGATAGAGTAACGACTTACAAGAAATTTCTTGGTGTAAAACACTTCTGGCTTACTACGCCCGCCCACCGGCGCGGATATGTAGCCTTGGAAATTCCACGCCGGTGGCGTTAAGTCGAATGACAAACCGTCCCATATCCGCGCTGTACGTACCATTCGCTAAGACCAGCCGGCCGGTCAGAAAACGTCAATTACTACTCCTCCTTCTCCATGCGCACCGGCACCGGAGATGCACGTGCAAGAGAAATTGGAATAAACACCCATCCATTCATTGATTCATTCAATCAATCATTCATTTACTCATACAGTGTGTGGGTACGCGCCTCCTACGTAGCTACCCAATTATCTAATCCAAGCGAACGAAGAAAAAGAAGTAGAAGCGGAAAAAATTAAAAATTGGCAAGAGTTTGCTAGGGCACCTATGACGACGGGCTTTGCGTTACCCTACCTAACACCTAGCCTCTCGAGCCGATGTACCACACACCCCCTTTCCACCTACCGACATACCCCTGACCTCCGCGTGAATTGGCTGAGGTAGGTAAACCGCTCACGTACGCACACTTGCCTCTAATAACGAGAGGGCTTGATAGATACCTAGTAGATCATAGATAATAGGTAGATACCTGAAGCTAGGTAGGTAGGGGAGTAGGTAACAGCAATAAGGATACCGGCACGCGCGTTATACGTATAAGTGAGACACCATTCCCACAGGCAAGCAGAGCAAGAAGAAGAGAAAGAGGCATTGCATTGTGTGTTATTTCGTTATTAGGTCGGATTGGGTGCGAATGCGCGACGACCTCGGTAGCCAGCCCGTAACACCCGAGCGATGAATCGATTAGGTACCTATTTATTGTACGACGTCCGACGGATTTTCAGGGGCGCACTTTTTCCGCATCCTTCCCCAACAGTGGCGTACCTACCTAGACACGAACGCCAAAACTCGTGAAAGATGGAAAAATTCAACATATTACGTAGGCAGATAGGTATATCCAAACGAGCATGCCCACTAGATAAGTGTCTATCTCCTAGGTAGGTAAACACGTACGTATAAACCTCGCATACACGACATCAACAACAGTCATATCATCAAGCCTCACGCACATCCATCCATCCCTATCCCCCTAACCAAACCTACCAAACCTACCAATCCCCTCAACCCCTCGCCCGTGAACCAAGCCCTACCCCCAGCCCCCAGCCCAGGTCAGCAAGCCACGAAGTCGAAACCCGCCCCTCCCTCCGAACAAAAGCCCGAAGCCAAATTAAAAAAAAAAAAAGAAACTGGTATCTCCTCCGCCCCTTCCAAAGACAAGGGGAAAATATGTATGTATGTATGTTTCCGCAACTATGCCATGAATGAATAAACAGACGATTCCCGCCACCCCATTGACGCGAACACGGACGTGGGCGTGCCGGGTAGAAAAGCCGGAGAGAACCGATGGAAATGATGCAAGCCGCCCAAGATACCGACCGACGCTATGTATGTATACCCGTCCAGGCAGCGAATGGATAGGAGAGAGAAAAAGGAAACAAGAGGGTTTGAGTTAGATAGGTAGTTAGGTAGTATCGATACAAAATATGCAACCGGTCCAAACCGGATCAATGTATCGCATCTCATCGACCAAAGGAGTCCACATCGAAGTTTCGGCATCGGTTTCCCTCGGCCCGACAATAGAAATCACGGGTCGCAAGACACATTGGGGCTGGGGATTGGTCTTTGCGCAGAACAGACGTCGAAGAACGAATCGTACCCATGAAGAAGTCGCAGAGAAAAAGACGCAGGAATCAAATTTTGTAGATAGTAGTATAATACGTATATACTCGTCGGTGTTGATATATATATATAGTGTGTATGTAGTAGGTAGTAGTAGTAGTAATATAAAAAAAGCACAACAAAAATGCGCGCTCTCCGCAAAGGGGGGGTATCCTAAGCTGTCGAGTTCCCGTAAATCTTGTTCACAAAGGATATTCCAATGCTGCCTCGATGATATAAAAAAGAGTTGAAAAAAAGTAACGCCGGTAGTGTATGCTCCAGTGGGCTGGCGCCACGAACGATGATAGGTTAGAAAAAAAATGTTGCAAAAAAAATAAATATGAACCACCAGACGAGAAAATACTTTTGCCGGAAACCAAGCACGTTCGAATGTACCTGTAGTATGCAAACTGGCACCGTAGAACCAAACATTGTCGCGCCGGACAGTCTCCCGAAAACGCCGTTGCTAGGTGCGAAAACCTCCAAATACAGATTACCTCCCCCGACCTGACATAGTCACCATGTACATGGCATGAAATGACAGTTTGTCCTCGACACATCAAGTATCGAACATTATAACCGCACCAATCCAAACACGGGGCAATTAAGTCCCACTTCTAAGAGACGGGAGTCCAAAAATGCCCCCATTAAACACCACACAGCATCGCTCGTCCGTATCGTATTTGTTGACGCAGTCGTAGTCGTACAATTTAACAACCCAAAAATCTCTCTCAAGGAATTTGCGGTGGAGGCAAATGCGGTCGCGCGAGGGCGGATGGTGGAGGTGGATGAAAGTTGTCACCACTAGGGTTATGCATAGGCGGCAGAGGACCACCACTCATTATGCTTGAAAAGCTCGATGCTGCAATATCGTATTCATTCGGGACGAACCCAAGATCTTTTGCCAAGCCGATCAAAATATTCATATCGGCTCTCAGCGCGCTCGTGGGTGTGACAATCGATTGGAAAAAGGAGATCGTTCGAGAAAACAGAGTGTTTAGGGTCTCCGCATCGATAAACCTGCGCAGATACCTATCCTTGAAACACGCCGCTAGAGTTAGGAGATTACCCCATTGACTGTAAATAAGTTAGTTATCAGGCATGACTTTTCGTGTGAACGAACTAGTTGCACTTACGCATGAGCCGTTCCAAAGACGTTGGTAATTATAATGCGTTGAGAGCTAGGTATCCCATGGAACGCTCGGGTACTCTCGACGAGAGCATTGATTGCTAAGCCAGCATACCGAAGAATCCTACCATCCACATTGCGAGGTATCTCGTCCATGTCAAGGGACGGCTGAGTATCGGGTGAACCCGCTTGGTTATGATATGGCCACGGTTCTCGTTCGAGGATCGCCCTCAAAAAGGGTCGGTAAAGAATAACCTGCGAACCCCAATATTTAGCACGTAGACGAGCTCCAAGTATATCGTTGGCCGGAGGGTCTTTGTCGTCCCATTGGTAGCTGCCAGGCACCCATCGATTTCTCGAATTCGCTAGCATCTCCTCGATTCTCTTGACGCCTTCCTCGACGGCTGGGTCACTCAACGAAATTCCGGTTCTGTTCTTGCTCTGCTTCTCGGAGTCGTACAGTAGAGTATGCACCTGGTTCAGCTGCTTTCGAAGATACAGCTGTGCAATATAACCAGTTACTATGTGTTCTGAGAAGCCCTGATTCACGGCATACTCGGAATTTGGATATGGCATCCTATCTTCATATTGCAAAATACCGGACTGTGGGAGTGGCAGTTCGGCTAGGATATCACTATGCATCTTGCGCGTTAGTATTCTACCAGACAAAGAATAATCTTAGAAGGGATTACCTTTCCAACTGCAGGCAGGTCCAAAAGGCAAACGCCAACTGATTGTCCCTGCGTGACTGACCAATACTTCTACCCTGGTCATGCCACTTCGAAAGGCGATCGAGGCTCCTAATCCCGGTTAGTTAATGTTGCTGGCCATGGCTGACTCTCGTCGGGTCTTTTTACTTACGGACGGAGTATAACTTGTAGATTCCGACTTGCAAGAGAAATGTAAGACCAACTCTCAAGTACGCGACCTAGTTGCCCATAATACAAACCTGCTAAGATATGCACGTAGATGTGCTTTAGATTGAAGCCTCCCATGTGGCTACCCATAATATCCATCGCAAGCGCGAAGTATTCGAGACCAGGGATGACGTCCAAGTTTCGCTTATGTGAATGCGGACCTCTCGAGCCTGATATATTCCCTTGGAGGGAAGGTCTTCGACTCATGGGAATCCTCTCGCTTTCCTTAGGAGACGGCATGTTGGAAGACTGCGACTGCGAAAACATTCCCGGAGGTGATCCCTGCAGAGGTGAAGCTAAAATGCCGTTGCGAACTGAAGGCGAGTGATGCATCGGCGAGTCCGACTCGTGGACTGCATCGGGGATTTTATCTTTATGAAGACAAATCTTGCCCAGAGCAAAAACCATCAGAACAAGCGCGCTGTGAACGCTTCGATAAGGTCGTCCGGGCTTTACAAATGTTGTTGAGGGAGTTTGTTCGTCCGCGGCAGGTGATCTCTTCCTCTTTTGTCCCGTTTCAAACGGCAAAATCCCACTCGGCTGGTTGACGAATCTCGCGTTCCCACCCATCTTGTTGCCCTGGTTTTTCTCAGACTTCGGTAGAGTATCTAGAAATATTTTAACCATGGCTGTAAGCTCTCTCGGGATGATTATAGGATGCATGTTGAGAATATTTTCCCTGAAACTGTTCACGTATCTCCAGATCTTGGTCGAGTCCCAGTCCGGATTTCCATCAACATTAACGACACCACCTCTATACTCAACACCAGGAGGGGGTGTTAAACTGCCCACCTGGCCCCAGGCTTCTCCCACGGGAGAAGGAGATGCAACATCCGAACAATCATCCAAAACGTCAGTCATGGTATGGTCCGGTGGAGTTTCTTTGTCCGAAGCACGGATATCCTGATCGAACCCCTCGCCTCTCCCAAAAACGCGGATTATGCCACGCTGCTGTTCTTGCCGGATAGGATATTCGTCGGGATGAAATATCTTCTCCGCTTCCATTAAATGGTGGACCATTCTCTCGATTGATGGCCACTTCAAAAGTAAACCTGCTAAAGTCGTATGGTTCGGAGGCATGGCAGGTTTGCCAGGCGTTACAATCGGACCTGGGTGTTCCTCCATATCGTCATCGTTCGCTTCTTGTAGCGTAGCGTGAGCTTCATCCATAGTCAGGCTCGGCTCCACCACTGTACCCCCCGGTGATGACAACGATTCTTCGCCCTGCGTCTTACTAGCAGGCCCAGGAGAACTAGGTGGAAAATCATCTGGGTGCTCCTCTTCTTCGATTGACTCGACCTTCATGTCAGTCCCGGGGTTAATCTGCTTGACCTTGGTTTCTAGGTTTAGCATCCGCTGGTTTTGGTTCATACTAGACTGTGCTAATCCAGCAAGCTCTACGTTAATATTTGACAGCTTCGAATTTATCTCCTCTCTCATGGAAGCCAACATTTCCAATAAATCTGCGGTAACTTTGTCGGGCCTATATTCAAATTCTGGTGAGCAGCCCGTCCCAGTTCTAACTTTATGCTCGACTTACTGTTTTGCGGGGGGGTCTCGATATTTACAATCGATGTTTTTCTCTCTGCAGTTTTTGCAAGGTTTGGTCTCGTCGCATTTAGCTTTGAGCTGCCTACAGCTATCGCAGGCCTTGTAACGCATTATAAGTCAGCTAGAAGTTTACGGACAGCCGATTTGGGGAGCACTACCTGAGAGGCGCGTTGGGCTTTTCGCTTGGCGCTAGTTGCAATCTCTACTGGGTACATGGAGGCCGGAGGGCCGTATACGTGAGGACTATCATAGGGGGGATGCTGAGGCACCGGTGTTGGTGGAGGGTGGTAACCCTGAGGTTGCCTATACATGGCCGGCGAATGCGGCATCGAGGGCCCGCCGTCGTAGCTCATATGTCGTCGCGGGTCGTCTGGAGGCGGAGGAGGGTTCGGATGAGGACCATGGGGACCTGGCGGAAGATTCTCTGCAACACCACCGGTCGAGTTAGGTCGGCGCAGCTGGGGAAGGGAGGTCTCTTCGGCAGGATCTCGCTTCACAACCGGCTCTCGAGGGGCATAGGACGGGTATGGCGGATGCGCTGACGAGGGAGGGAGAGGTGGCTGTCGATGAGGATCATGCATTGGCGGGTACGGGTCGTGTTCATGATGGCGACGGTCGTCGAGATGATGGTGAGCCGACGGCAAGGGCGGATCGGGAGGCCGCGAGAATGGAGGCGGGTGCTGAGGCGGATGTTGGTAAGGCGGCGGCGGCGCAGGATGATGAGGGCCTGATGCTGGTGGTAGGTGTGCGGCGGTAGGATGAGGCAGTGATACGGCCTGATGCGATGACCATGACGGACCGGTATGTAGAAGCCGGGGACGTTTATGTTCAGGCGGCCCAGATTCCATGCTTGGGGTGTTATATGCTTAGAGTCATAGGCGGAAACAAGCACAGGTCAGGCAAGGCAAAAAAAAGAACAACGGGGAAGGTGGTCATGAGAAAGGCGATCAGGAAGGAGACCAAAATGGCCCCGGAGCAGAATGGAACAACCGGCTCGTCGACCTTGCCAAGACAAGCTCAGACTACACGCTGGTCAGTTAGGGTGTGGAGGAAGGGACACTGATGATGTCGCAGCTCTTATTGGTGAAGCTTATGATGACATTGAAGGGTCGGTGTAATTGTCTTGTACTCCGTATATGGTGTAGGGGACAGGCTGTGAGAGCTCGTCAGTTCTCGAACGAGGCGCGTGGAGGCGGTCCCGGGTCCCTGGGTGAAGCTCTGCGGTCCGGAGGAGCCCAAATTCAGAAGATCAGCAGTTGGGCAGAGACGAGAGAGCTACTATGCTACTACTACTTGATGTCTGTTGTAACTGTACAGACGCCGGACGAGGGGGGATCTAGGTATGTAGGTATCCAAGGATTTCCCGGGGGGACTAGGTTAGAGTAGGGCGAAAAAGAAAAAAAAGAAACGACGTCGTCGAAGCTTCAGGAGACGAAGGAGGTTTTTGGTGGATGTCAAACAGGGAAAACCGCGAGACCCAGCGTGAAGTAGTGAGTAGCAAAGTAACAAAGTGGGTAAAGAGGGTCATCAACGAAAGCTCAGGTTATTTCGGCGTCCAAGAGGCGATTTGCCCTGGACGGTTGGAAGCCCTGGAAGCTGGGTGAGGGTACGTACATTCTTTTTTTTACCATAGTACAAGAGAAGTGGGTATATGTCCAAAAGTATTTGGTTATGGGTTATGGGTTATGGTACCCCTACGCCATGGTACGTACCGGCGTACTATCGCAGTCGTAGTCGTAGTTTTTTTAATCCTTGCTCCAGGTGATGGACACACATATCACCAGGATGGTCGAAGCTAGAGCCTAGTTCCTGTACATAGTAGACGAGCAAGGGTATTGGGGTTGGACATGGGGACGGACGAGGGACGAAGCAGGCGATCGATAAAGTACTGGTACGAAATAATTGCACATCTTGGCGGAGTGGATGGCCGAATATAGTAGACCGCAGCCAAAATGTACAATACAATACATGCCTACATACATACATACACTGATACATACACAACAAGTCGTTATGTACATATCTTGTGCGTGTATGGATGGAGATGGATGTAGGCATGCACTATGTATGCGTCCAGCAACCAGTGTATGGTCTGGTACATCGCACGCCGTTGGGTACGGTAACGAATTTGGCCAAGCTGATTGGATGTCGAGATGATGGTATGTATTTCTCCACCATGTTCCTTAGGGCCTAGGACCGAGGATATTATGACATCCAGATCCATACATACATATTGTATGTACGCTGCTAGGGAATGACAGCGGACTATTATGTACGTAACGTACGTGAATTGCGCATACCTACCCGAAGTTGGAAGCTATTTAGTCACGAGTCAGTTAGTTTAGTCAGTCTCTTACTAGTAAATAGTAGAGGGCGGTGAAGAAGACTGAAGAGAGTGAAGAGAGAGAGAAAGAGAAAAGATAGACAAGAAGCGATAGCGAACTTGCGATAACTTCTTTTTTTGGTGGGAGCCCGCCAAGTAAGCAATTTCAATAGAAGGTTAGAAGGTTTTTCCTAGCAATTTTTTTCTTCCTTTCCTAAGCCGGCTCTAATTGACGAATGGCGATCGGTTTACAGGCTAGACAAAAGGAGGACTAGTAATTGCAAGTGTCGTAAAATTCGGAATTTAGCGACTGCTTGATTAGCCACGAGTCGAAGCCGGACGAGGGATAAGATCCATGGATACAGAATAGGAATAGTATTATTCCCGACTCCAATAACAGCCGCGAGTCAGCACTCAGCATTCAGCACTGATGGGCTGGATAGAGTACCAGTTTGCGGCGTGAGGCAGATCAGTGGTGAATGAAGAAAGAAAAGATATGCGAAAATGATCGGAAGCAGGACCTGCAAGACCTGCAAGACCTGGGGCACACAGATGGAAGTCCCGTTGTGTTACGATAAGTGTTACTACTGGTGCTACCTATGGCTGTGAGTGTTACTACGAACATTGAAGGAAACCGCCATATTACATTTCAATATGTGGGGACAATACAGGATATACTAGGTACTTGCATAATACTTCAATTTCGACGGCGCTTAATATTTGGCAGCATGTTGAACCTAAGTTACTGAACCCTTTAAGCTCTCCATCTCTGTTCTTTCCAGTCTGTACGCTGTAGTGAAGCCTGTCTTGCCTTACTTCGTAGCGTGGTCCAGATAAGTTAAGCGCTACCTAGTAGTGGGGCATGCTAAATAGGACCCGACCGACAAACGGTCTCCGTCACCTTCGAGAGGTACCCGTCCCTCCAGCAATTAGTGGAAGTTACAGCTCTACCTAGTAGGTCTCTAGGTACAATACACGATACACGATACATGCACATAAAGGTAGGTAAGTATATAAGTATACTGATACATTGGAGCGGATGCGGATGCGGAAAAGAGTAAGAAGCCAAACTTAGCTAGGCTTATTCGTGTTACACACGGCAGTAACACTTGATCAAATAGCTGTAATACGTACGTGTATTGGATATTGGAGGTAGGTACTTGTTTAAGAACTTGTTTGCGTTTACGGCATAGATAATTACAGGTGTTTAGGTACTGAATCTGACCTAATTATTACTTTGTACCTAATAGTAAATATTCACCTACTTACACTCGACATATAATTTACCATGAACTTACTCTTAATAGAGATCCTTATAATCAAAATGTATGTCTTATATGATCCATACATCAGATGTCTAGATGTATGTATCATATACCTACCTAGGTAAAGAACTTTTATTATCGAGATATAAAGCTAATGCGTGTCTGATAGCTATAGCTTTTAATAGGTTAGTTTGCTTTTTCTTTGGTCTGATCTGGTCAGTCAGGTGTACGTTGAACAGGGATATCCTTTGCTTCTATGCCTCGCGAAAAAGTCTAAGCACAGCTCAAGTGCTCTTCTAAGGCGGGGCAAACTTCAGATGTTCACCTCACCACCTCCATCTCCGCCATCTCTTTTTGACAGCGAGGCGGATGGTGTCATGTTTTCTAACTAAAACCCTCCCTTGACAAGGAACAGGTAAAAACGAGGCGCGACGATCCTTGACGGGAAATATATGTCAAGGGAAATTCGGGAATGAGCTTATCTTCGGACGGCAGTTTGGCGGCATCGATTCGACTAGAGACGTTGACGTCGAAAGGGCTAACCTTAGTTTCATACGCGGTCAGTTTTAACCGGGGCTTCGAACCCTTACTATTTTGAGAATTGCCTACTTTTTTTATAACTTTCCTAACTTCCTAACTTCCTTACCTTACCTTTGACAGCACCGCGTGCCCACAATGCGAACAAGATTTCCCCGTTCTCGAATCCTAGCCAAGGCACCAAGAACCCCAAGGTCCAGACTCGGAGAGTCGAGCAGGATCATTGCATTGCATTGCCCAATGACCTGGAAAGGCGGCTGATCAGTACCTGCAAGTACAGACATGCGTATCCTTGGTTTCCCTGGGTCTGGTACCTACGGTACCTAATGCTTGGGATGCGGGTATGCAATGTGTGAGCGGCACGTCTTTGCTCTGGTGTATGGGGATAGTAAAGACCTACCTACCTACTTACCTAGGTAGGCATTCTCCTCAACCTTATTCGAGATTTCGAGTTGCATCGCTCACTCTCCCGTTTTGCTGTTGGTTGTCCTAAAATACAGGCAACCACCAAAAAGACCAACGGCACCGGCCGGCAAGGGTTAAACCAACTACAAAGTCTAAAGGTAGTTTCGACGCACAGCCTTGATTGGATTCCTTGGGATTTCTCGGCACGGGGCGTAGCTTAGTGAGGTGAGGGAGATAATAGTTGATACTAGGTAAGTAGCTGATATGTACAAGATCACGCAAAACCGTTCCCTAAATACATACCTTAGACTACCTGGCTGACTAGGTAGACTACTACTACACATGTGGCTACCCGGCGATCTCGGGCTAATGTATGTAGGTGCTCTTAAGGGTAAGCAGTCAGCGTCACACGTAGGACTAGGGTAAGAGATGGATATGTTCTGCTACTAGATATTTTAGATACTAGGTAGGTATGAAATCGGTAAGTATTGAGCTGCTGTAATTCTTGACATCATCCTCTTTTAGGTGGTTTTTTTAGTCAAGTGTCGACCTTAGTGTATTAATTGCTGTCACCTGTGTATGTGCGTTCACCGCCAGAATTTCAGAATTGGCATATCGTGGGTCTAACGCAATCGCTTACTCAAGCCTGCGTTAATGCACTTAAGAAATGTGCGGTCTACGACACCAACATCGCAAAATGAACCTTTTCTCTATAATTGATATAGCAGCGATAGTAATTGCCGCCGGGTGGGCGAGGAGTCGGGATGGAATTCCTACTATGTAGATAATTGTGAACTTCCTCGCGCAATGGGGATGGGGGCTTAGTGAGATGATAGGTAGTTAAATTCGGTCATCAAAGTTGAAGTTACTGATAGGAGCGAGCACCCCTCCCACCCCATCCCGCTCCAGCCAATCCTACGAAGTGACGATTCTGATGCCACGCCGCAGTCGTACGCATGGGCACTTCCATGGGCACTTTCATGGGGCACTTCTCGCATACGCTGTACATGATTTTCAGACCCCAACCTAACCCATTTTCTTAAGAGTCGGA